GTACTTTTTAAAGATAGTAACATAGTCTTACTATACTTAGATTACCTCTTCTATAAGCTAATTACAATAGTCCGCCTCTATATTTGTAGTCGCGACAAACTTATTACAAAGCTCTAACTAATAGGTAATTTTTACTAGATAACCTAACTTCTGCTCTACGCGCTCCTCCCTATCTACTTTATTACTATAAAGCCTCTTTTCTACTAATATTATAGTCTAAGACTTTAAATGTTAAAGGCTCTTCTTTACTAAAGTTTAGGTAGCCTAAATTATAGCCTGTTTATATTAGCTTTAACTTTACTATAAACAATAGACTACCTTACCTTATCCTTTTTTGTAATTACTTTTTAAAGTTTGATTCCTCTAGCTTAGAGAGTTAAAATAACTTAGTAATGTTAACAAAGCTACGACATAAGAGCGTCGCTCTAAGAGGGGTTATACTTACAAAAATATACTCTTTCTTTAGATTTTTGTAATAGACGTACTTTACTAACGCGGCTACTACGCTATTAGGCCGTTACTCTTTACTAGAAAGGAATACTTATAGTCGTTATCCTTGTACTTTAGTAGGGTACCCTATAGGTCTTATAAAGCCATTTAGTTTAAGTATCGCTTATAAGCTACTAAACGCTTTGTTAGTACTATGTTGTCGTTAATAGTTTAAAAGAGGTACGTTAAAAGTTCGTTAAAAGAGTTGTAAGAGAAGGGGGGCGTAGTAGCGTTATATTTGTATAAGGTAAAAAGAAGAAAAAGAGGCAACAAACTAGTAAAAACGAGTCTTTATATACCTCTTAGCGCTATAAGGGACAGACTAAGTAAAGAGGGACAAAAGAGGTGTTTTTCTATATTTACTTAAAAAATACGATTACAGGTAATATAGTTTAATCCCTATAGCTACCTACTATTAGTGTACTATTAACCTTCTAGTAAGGGGTAATAAAGGATTTCTAAAAGTAGCAAAAGGGTAAGGAATACTAGCGCGCCTAGGTAATACGGTTTATATTACGTATTAGGGGTCTTATAACTATCTAGCGACTTACTAGTACTTTACTATAATATGTCTTTACTAAAAGTAAATACAAGAGGCACGCTAGGTAGAGATCTAAAAGTACGATATATAATAGAAATCTTGTAGTTTAGCTATACGCCTCTACTATACTATAAAGTCGCTACTATTCTTTTTTTCTTAACACTACTAGTTATATAGTTATATAGTTATATATTTACTTACTAATTTATTCTTATACATTTATTCCTGTTTCTAAGGAGGTATTAGCCTACCCTAGCCTCCTTATAATCTAACGGCTACCTATAAGCTTCTAAGGATAGAAGCTAAAAAGGGGGGATACTATGTTAGGTACGTTAATATATAAGACTATAATAGCTTAGAAATCAAGTATAGGGTAACTACGTACTATAACTAAGGTAATAGTAGGCATTAAGGAGCATAAGAATAGAGGGCAGGAGAGGGGAAAGAAAGAGGGTTTAGAGATTAGTCTATAGTTAAAGTAGCGATATACCTTCGAATATACTACGACTGTCTATCGACTCTTACCTCTTTTACTCTATAGAAATACACCTGACACTAACTGCCTTCTTGTATGTAATTAGGACGTTTTCTAGATCGTCTTTAACTACAGTCTAGTAAGTAGCGTAGAACGCTATAGCTATAGCGGAATAAGCTAATTACTATACCCTCTGTTTAGTATTATCCCTTGTATCCTCCTTAGTTATATAACGTAATTAGGATTAAGTTATTTAGGCAGTTTTAAGGTTAATAGAACGTATAGAGTCTTAAGCTTAAGCTAGAGCTTAAGCTAGAGCTAGAGTTACCTTTAGCTTGTTCTTTAAACCTTTTAGGCGCCCTCGGCCGCGCTTAATAGCTACTAAATCAGGTAAGGCAGTAGTCGACTAATCTTAGATCTGTTCTATAGTAGAGTTAGTATTAGCTAGTAGATTAACATTAGTAGTAGTAAGGGGCGGTTTCTTAGCTATTTTAGCTACTTTAGCTAGATCTTAATCTTTAGCTAGCTTCTAATCTTTAGCTTTATCTTTGCCTTTAGCGTTTGTTAAATCTATAAGTAGATTAGTTAGTAGGCACGGTTTAGTTAGTAGTAACTATATCTTATTATCTAATACTTTTAATACAAAACCTCTTTTGTTAAATCTTACGTTTAATAATCTAACGATCTTATAAGCTCTTAAGGGTACGTAATAACAGTATATTTAGTAGCCTTTAAAACTAAGAAAGATCCCTTTTTTAGCGTACTTATCGAACTTTCCTAACTTAACCTATCTCTAATCTAGGATATAAATATATACCTTATAGCCAAGTACTTATAGGTAGGCTACAGACAGCTTGTTGTCTTGATTTAAGTATAGCTAATCTATAAAGGCTTAATATAGGGTTTTGCCCTTAATAGCTAACGTAGCTATTCTATTAACAACATAAATTATCCCTTTTAGTAACTCTAGCTATAGCTCTTTAAGGACGTTCTAGTTAATTATAGTAGATCGTAGCTATCTAGCTATAATCTTGTTTACGATCTTAGACACGCCTAGTTACTTAAGGGTATATAGTATAGTCTCTTTAACTTAAATCTCCTTTACCTTATAGACGCTAGTTAACGTAATACTACTATATTCGTTACTACTGTTAACTATTAATATAAGGATCTTAAAGGGGGCAAACTAACGCTCTATTATATTAATAAAGCCGAGGATCTTATTATAAGCCTCCTCTTTCTTCTTATAAGGATATCCTTATCTAGTACGCGTAGCTATATCTGTTATAATAGTAGTATAGCGCTTACTATAGAATCTAATTAAGGTAACCTTTACTACGTCTATACTTACCTCTTAGAGTATAATAGTAGGCCGGTATTTAATAGAGCGTCTAACTAAGCGTAGTAGCTTAGATAACTTATAAGGCTTACATAAAACTATAACACTAAGATCTGTATCTATAGGTTTGTCTATAATCTATATACTAGTAGTAATCTCTATAGTTTTTTAGACGTTATTAAAGCCTAAGTACCCTAATCTCTTGTACTATAGTTTAATACCTAGCTTGCCTTATTAAAGAGTAGCTAATAGTACTATAATATAATAGCTAGGCACGTCTAACTATAGATACACCCTTATATCGTCGACCTTATAAAGTATAAGCGTCTCTCCTTCTTTGTCTAGAAGGGCTCTTTTAGTAATAGATCTGCTATAGCGTAAGAGCTTAACTCTTAATAAGAGGTTAATAAGAAAGGTTAGAATAAATAAAACTCTCTCTAGCCGTAGTTCGTAATACTAATCGCCCTCTACCTTAGCCTTTAGAATAATATCGCTATAACTCTCTAGTTAGATTAACCTAGTGCCTGTTAGAACAGGCTATAACTACTTAGTTACCTTAAAACTATAGTAGATCGACTTATCGTTGTATATATAGTAAGTTACCCTTATATTAGGGCACTAATTCCTCTTCTAGAACTCCTTTTAAGTAGCTAACCTAAGTACTACCTTTAACGCCCTTAGGCCTAGCGCGCTATTAATCTACGGCTACTAATTACCTACTATATAAAGTAATATAGCGCCTTATAAAGACTCCTTTTAGTCCTTTCTTTTTAGACGCTTTTCTAAGAACGTAGTCTAATAGTCGTCTTTATCCTTTATAACATAAAGCTTACTATAGTAGTAGTACTACTTTCTCTTAAGCTTCTTCTTATCCTTATCCTTACTCTTACTCTTTCCTTTATCCTTGTTATCTAGCTTACTACTATATAGTAATACTAATAATAGTACTAATCTACTATCCTTTACCTAAGCTTTGTCTCTAATCTCTATAATTAACGTGTTAAGTAATAAGGTACTCTTTTTGCCGCTCTTTTATAGGTTTTAAAGAGATTAGTGTCTCTTAGCCTATTAAGGGAAGGCTTTTGTAAGTCGATTAATAAAGATAATAGCGTACAAGTAGTCGCTCTTAGGCGCTATATCTAGTTAAGTAGCTCGTTTAAGTTAAGTTATAAAAGCGTTAATAAACTTCTCTACATTATTATAATCCTTATACCTAAGTAGCTAGAACTTATCTACTGCTTAGTACTATTAAGTAAACCTTTTACCCTTATAGTAATTAGCTAGCTTAGTCTATATAGCCTCTACTAAGTCTACTTTCGCTATAAGATTAAGTATAAGAACTAACGAGATGTTCTCCTTAATAACCTAGCACGTTACTACGTTACTAGCTCTCTATTTGTTATATTAGTCTTGCTCCTCTTTTATAGCCTTAGTATTACTATATTTAACAGCTTTTAGTATAAGGTAGTTCTTAGATATGTATCTATTAAGTCTATTAGCTTCTAATATGTTAAACACATCTAACTTCTAAGTATAGTAGTTACTCTTACCTTATAGCCTCTTACTACTCGTAAGTACAGTTAATAAGTTAGACATCGTGATTAGTCTAAGGGTTCTATAGATACAGCTATTATCTCCTTCTCTTGACTCTATAATCTAGTCTAGAGCTCTAGTTTGATCTTTGACTAGCGCGCTATAATTAAAAACAGGCCTTACCGCGACAAATCTTATGATCGATAGATAGATCGAATCCGAATTTAGTAATAGAGGAGATCAAATAGTATTACTACTATGTTATACGGGATATTCGATCTATCGTCGTATCGTAGGAACTAATAAATTAAATTGACTAAGTAAAGTAATCATATAGAGTGCCTGTATAGTAATAGTAAACAACTAACTTTTTGGCGGGTTGCTAACCCCGATTAGGTTAGACTAGGGCCTCCGGAGCATCCTAGTCCCGTGACTGCTAACCCCACGTGATAAGGCCAGTGGTTTCTTGTAACATATAATATACAAGTATAATACAGATAGATTTTGAATCCTGACTCCTGATCTAGGTATGCCCCCTCCTATCCTATGCTACTCCTGAAAAATGCATTTTATTTATACAGTACATGCCCAATTATTCAATCGAGTATGCAGTGCGTACTTACTCAAGAAGAAGAAGCTTCTTCTTTATCTTCATCCATAGCATGATCCTCTTCTTCCTCCTCTAGGACAGCAAGTTCCTCATCATCCTCCTCCATCATCTTCCCATCCTGCACCTCCCTAGATGGATCCCTGACATCGACCCTCTTCGAGAAGTACCGCGGGGCTTTCGTCTTCCGACTCGCTTTCCGATCCACCGTCGAGCCTACCATGCGCGCGATCGGTACCAGACTCGGGACTTTTCGCACGACGTTGCTTTCTACTTCGCCTGTTGCCAGCGCGTCGGCGAGCCGGTACGCTGTGTCTATAAAAGCAGCTTCCGTATCGTCCTGTCCGAATCGTTTCGTGCGGATGGGGCGTAGGCGGAGCTCGCCGCGGCGACCGCCGGCTTTACCGGCTTCGATGGAGGTGTAGAGGAGCCGCCAGCCTTCGAACTCTAGGACCATGGTCTTGCGGATCTCGAGGCCGGCGAAGAGGTATTCGACATCGTGCAGATCGCCTTCAGCTTCTTCCTTGCCCAGGAGTTCGAGGCCCGGTTCTTGACAGAGATGACGCGCGATGGGGATCGTGAGTTTGGGAGGGGTTTCTAACTTTCCTTGGCTGAGATTCAGGGTTGAATTGTGTAGGAATTCGGTGATTCCGGGAGGATATCGGTTGTGGAGTACTCGGAAGCGGGAAAGAGAGCGTTGCTGGAATCGAAGGTCGACTGCGGAGTCTGGGAGCATGATATCGGAATTCTCAAGGGAGACAACAGCTTGGATGTCTTTGAGCTCTAATTCTTTGGTCTCCTGATTGGTTGCGAAGCGCATCTCGATGGGGGGAAAGGCGGACAACGCTGCTATGCCGATTGGTGTGGTGGATTCCTTGGGGATGAAGAAGGGGTTTGGTTGGAAGCGCATGATGAGTGATTCGAGAGGCTTGCGACGGATGGCTCGTGTGGGCTTGGAGCCGAGAATTGTTGAGAGATTGGGGACGGCGGTTGAGAATGCTCGTCGTACATCTGAGGTTTCGCCCATGGATTGGAGAGCCTTGGCAAAGGGTTTGGAGGGATCTAAATGGCTGTGGATAATGCTTCCTAGAAGAGCAGAAGACTCCGTGTGATAGGTATCCTGCCAATAAGCGTAGCCTTTTGGTTTGTGTTGGGAGTCATCTGTTTCTATCTCGGTTGGCTCCTGTTGCTTTTGGGTGACGGGTTTGGGTTTGTGGTTCAGAGCTTTGTCTTCTTTATCTTCGGAAGTTGTCTCCAAAGACCGTGTCGATTCCGCAGGTTCATCCTGTTCAACCTTCTTTGCAATAGGTGTGGTCCATCTCGTCCACTGACGAAGACGGTCACGCCATATAAGCCCATCAGTTGCGGTATATTCAACAAAAGCTCCATCCGACATTCCTGGAGTTTCTCTGTAACCCAACCAACTTGATACTCTGTTTGAGAAGTCTCTTGAGGTCACAAGGAGACGTATTGCCGTATCAATCCTGTTTCCAGTTGCCGCTTCCGGATTCCGGTCGATGCATGAGATGAGAAGCTATCCTCATTAGCTTAGAATGGGGATGCAGTTTAATGGCTCGATATACATACCCTCTTCTTGCTTAACACCTGGATATCAGTGTTGGTGATATGACCAAGCTCTTTGATGGTTGAATCATCAAAATGGATATCAACCCATTTTGTGAATTGGCGCCAATTATAGCCAGCTGGCTTTAAATCAGTCAGATCGACATATTTACGTCGGATGTTCTTCAATGCCTCCTCAATCTCCTTCACAATCAGTTCGCTCTTGGCTCGGGTAGTTGTGATACGGATTGTACGCTTTGACCGGAATCCATCAATTCTTTCGTTCTCCCCGTCAATATATTCCGCAGCGATTGATCCTAAGACAGGCCTGCTGCCCTCTATTTGAAGCATTAGCATTTATAAGAGCAATGATCTAGGCCGACTTACTTAGCAGAAGATCATAATCCCCTGGCTTCAGTTCAAGCTCAACCTCTCCTATACCTTCTTCCACCTCCGGCAGCGCCAGCTTCCAACACTCCCGGATTAATCTGAGGACCAACCGTTGCTTATTGGTATATGATGCTACAGAATAGCCTCCAGTAGAATCACCATCCAGGTATGTTGTAGACTTGGAAGATTCGGGCATCCATGGTGATATTCGAGGGATCAAGAATCCGACGCTGGGGCTTGATTTCTCTCCACCATTCGCCTCGTTGAAAGATTGGATGTAGCGTGCCAGTTGTGATACAGTGAAGCCCGCTTGCATATCTTGTACAAGTTTGTTGAAGCCATCCCAGTCTTGCGGCTCCTCCCCCTTTTTGGGCCTGAACTGATTGATATTCTCCTCCACCTCCTTTTGTCCCACCAAACCTCTTTCATTATCCAATGCTGCCAGTATATCAATTGATTCCACCGGCTCAACTACTTGGTACTCTTTCGCATAATCGTAAGTAGTGTATTTTGAATCTCTTAAGACGATGACTTCCGCAGGTTCTCCCAGAGCATCAACATCCAAGCGTTCTCGATTCTCACGCTGTCTATTACCAGTATATCCGTAGAGTTTCCCAAGAGGGTGTTGGGAGAGCAGAGGGCGGCCGGTGACCTTTTTTGGCTGGAGAAGGGTCGAGTTGTAGGTGGGCCGCCCTTCTGAATTTCCTCCTGGTGATTGTCGGGGTCCATTCTCAGGATTGGCCGTGGTGGACTGAAAGGCAAGCTGGACTTTCGAGGGCCTTCGCCCTGCCAGACGTAACTGACATCTCAAACATATGTGGGGTCGAGCAATCATGAATGCGACTGACTGCTGGAGCTGATCTTGGTGTTCTCACTGTTATATTTCCTCCGTATGTGAGGCCGAATTTTTTCGAGGTCTATCGTCGGCGCTCGGTTCACTCTTCGCCGACCTTGACAACGCGTGAATGACGGCGCGGGCGCGTCTCCCAACTCTGTCGACGACATCCACGAAATAGCAGCTCCTAATTCTGAATCAAACATTACGAAAGATATTACCGATTACGGGATACCGCCTAGTGTCTGCATTTGCGACTTGAATCAAGATGCCTTCCGCTCGGAAACGCCATCCTGTGAGTTCTCGAAAATCCTCGTGCCCCTGCTTCGGCGCTGATAAGTTCTAGGCCGCAGAGGAGTCTGAGGAATCGGACGCAGAGATGACACAGAGCGCGCAACGGCGACGTCGTGCACCGGTATCAGAAGATAGCGAAGAGGACGATGAGGAGCAGGTTGGTGATATGGATGTGGACGGAGGGGAGAGCCAGGACCAAGTCGTGAAGAAGCTGGTTCGATATGCATTGGCCTGTGAATACCAAAGATTGCCTATCAAGAGAAGTGGAATATCAGAAAAAGGTCAATACTTGCACGAATTCCAAGGCCTGCATTACTGATAGATTTAGTTCTTGCGAAACAACGAGTCCCTTTCAAACGGGTCTTCGAGCAAGCACAGACGCAGCTCAGAACTAAGTTTGGTATGGAGATGGTCGAATTGCCTTTGAAAGAGAAGGTCACTATGAGGGATAAGAGAGGTAGGCTTTTGCTAGTGAGATCATTGACATGTGTTAACATGTATCAGCTGCGCAAAAGACAAAAGGAAGCTCGAAGTCTTCCGCATCCTATATCCTGACTACGATCCTCCCTACCAAGTACCGAATTCCTGAAATAATACCTCCTTCTATCATTGGGAGCTCCGCAGAAGAAGCAGCTTATACCGCGCTGTGCACAATGATTGTATCAATCATATCCCTGAGCCCAGGAAAATCAATCCCAGACTCGAAACTTGACCGATATCTAGGACGACTGAACGCGAACAGGAACATGCCTATGGATAAGACGGAGAATGTGTTGAAGAAGATGGCAAACCAAGGCTACATTACGAAGGTTATGGACAAATCGGGTGATGAGGAAACTATCGACTGGGTAGTGGGACCCCGAGGAAAAATTGAAATTGGTAACGCGGGAGTACATGGTTTAGTTAATGAAGTTTATGGTGAGAGCGCACCTGAGGACCTCCAACAGAGATTGAAGCGGAGTCTGGGGATGATCAATGTGGAGGATCTCGGGGATGATGAACAAGAAGAGGCAGATGAAACACGGGAGGCAAATGATGGGTCGAGTACACAGAGACGACAACCTGGTAGGTTACGATGATCGGCGACTGAGACAGGTCGTTTTATTACTGCTAGCTATTTCCACGGGAAACAAGCATACCAAATGCCTGGACCCAAAGGTTGCTGGAAAGTATCAAATGTCTCGCGACACAACTGCAACTGGCCAGGGCGCTTGAAGGGTATGGGGTAAACCCGCCACCCATATACGGTATGGCATTTGCGATTTACTCCTGGTACCGCAGTCAAGCCAGTTCATGTTGCCAGTTTAGATGCTCAAAATCAAACATGGCCTTTGCGCGTGTCAAGCTACAAAGCAACCCGTGGGCTTTCCTGGCTGGTTCGCTAGTATCATCGGCCCAAAGCCATATGATTGCTATCCCATTATGGACGTTCCGCGACTCTGTAGCATTATTTCGTTCCATGGGCCAAATGGCAACACACCTCCCAACCAAATATCTCAGTCTTGGGCCTCCGGCGGTCTCCCAACAGGTTGTATCATTTTCTGCATATTCCATTAGCACCTACTCACTAAGACTCCCTTCCAACCACTGGTCCGCTTAAGCAATGACATACCTCAATCATCATACTCCGAACCTTCTCCCTGCACTCCCCCATACCGATAGCCATATAGCTCAACATCGGCGGGTGTCCAATGTAGGAAGCGTAGGAATCGCGGTGGATGTTGGAAGTCCATTCGAATTTCGTCGTGTCTGCATGGCCAGTTCCTACATAACGGGCTTGCAGCTGCTCAAGCTGTTGTTGGGCGCGGAGTTTATCGGCCTGTATATACGTGTCAGCTTGAGCTAAAGGGAGAGAGCTGAGGATGCGCAGCAAGGAGCTCTTGAGTTGGTGTTCGAGTAGACGGGCTAAACACGGCGCATGCCTGCGTCTCTGTGTCTGCTCTGCACTCTACGGAGAACACCCTGACTTAGAATGAAACAGATGAAAGGGTCAGACGTACCATATTGAATTATTGTGAGATTGCTGAACAGGGACGAAAGCCGAGCATGAACAGCGCGCGGCTTTGGGAGGAGGTCTGCTTCGGCGCGGCGAAATGTTGAAGCGATATGCGCTAGGGAAATAGGTGTTACTTGAACCTCATCCCCAATTTGATTTCTTCAACTCCAACCTATGCTTGCTGCCGTTTTCCCATTACGATATTCGGGAGGAAATGCATTAATCTTCAGATAAGGACCGATTATTGCAGAAGAAAGTTCTTTTTCTACATCGGGGAGCCATGGAGTGAGTCTGCTCGTTCTTTTTCTATTCACGTGATGCACACGTGACTATAAATAAGGAGGACAAGCCTGTAACGCATTGTTGGAAGAGAATATTGATGCCCAATGATGTTGAGAGGCTCAAGGAGCCCGGAATTTTCAAGTCGCTCAAGTCATCCGTGTATTCATATTTGCTAACATGACAACAGGGGAATCGAATACCAGCTGAGGTCCACCCAAAATCCCGTCCGCCCTCGTCGTCTATATCCCCTTTCTCTTGACCGACGGATGCAGCAGGCCGACCTGCTCCGTCAGAGCGAAGAAGAGCTCAACTCAGCTCTCCAAAGTATTGAAGAGTCTGACTCTACACCTCGCGCAGGTAACCACACCGGGGATCAAAACTGCGAACGATGTGTCAAGAAGGAGAGGCAAATCACGGAAGCCTACTACCGCTACTATCTAGGAGATGAACCCGGTCGTTGGGATTACCACCTCTTGGCTTATAGAGAAGAAGTTGAACGAATGTTCAATGAGCTTGGGACCTGTACTCTTGAAGATATCCATGCACGATATCAACAAGAGCTTCGAGAGCACCTCAAGAACGATCTCTGCAAAGTTAAACGTGGTGATTCCGAAACGGTCGTTGAGAAGAAGAATTTGGCATTGTCCCAATTCGACCTCGGACAGGATCTCAAACAAATCCTTGAAATGCATCTCGACTCTATCCTGTCCTCCACTACCCGTGAAGCAGCTGAAGCCATCGCTGAATTACAGAAGACGAAAACATACGAAGAACGCATCCCTATATACGTCAAATACTATTGTACGCCCTCCCAAACCGATACGCCTCAGCAAAAGAACATAAAAGCCAAGTATGCTCGCCAATTCAAGGCCGGTATTCCTCATGATGAAGTGCTTGACGCCTGGAAGAAGGAGGTAATCTCATCACAGAAGGAAGAGATTCTGAAACTAAAGCATAGACTGGGGGAGTTGCAGATGGCGCAGAGTGCGCATTTGAAACATAAGGCAAAGAAAGCGGAGAAAGACCAGAGGATGCAGGATAGGGAGTACGTTTTTGTACCGAAAATGGAGAGGTGTGCCTTGGAGAAGTGTGGGAAGGAGGTTGATTTAAGTATTGAGGGAGGAGCGCTCCAGTGTGCGGTTTGTGATTGGTTGGCAGCAAGGAATGAGAAGAGACGGAGGTTCTTTTATTGTTGTGAGGAGCATGCTGAAGAGGATTTTGTAAGCCGCTCTCTTTTGATTTGTGGTGATGAAGCTAACATGGAGAAAGGATGAGCACGACCGGAACGAGCACTCCTGTATTATGGAGAACCATTGCATTTACCACCCAGAAGCAGGCCCAGAAGGAGAGACAGGAGCCGGTGGACTCTGTCCCGATTGCATGGACGAAGGTTATGTTAGCTATTTCTGCTCACAGGCATGCTACGCTCGCAATCTTGTAAGTGTTTTCTTCGGATTTGGGTTTTGTTCTTTACAGGTGAAATGGAGAATTAATGGTACATGAATAGGAGGCACACCGAGAGATGTTCCATTATGGGAGAGAGATCAAGAACGCTTCTGAGCAGCTGGATATATTTCGTCCGGAGCCAGATCTGGAGGTCATTGCTTCATAATCCGAGCTGGAACTCGTGAGGCGATGATATTGAACAAGGCGTTTGACGGTTGAAGGTGGGTAGATAGGGGAGTTTGGGAATGTATCCTGAATGCTTTGTAACCTTCCGAATTTTATACCGGTTTATGATAGAGATGTCGCTATTACTGTCTTCCGCTCCGCTCGCTAGTGATGTACCACCATGGTCCATCACTCATTGAATGAGCTTCCAAGGGTGGAAATTTGTGTTTCCCCCTCGAGTCTTAGAAGCCGTCAACACCACAACCAGAACTCCCTATAGTAAGGTATCTTATCTTGCGCAGGACTATACTGTAGTTGATTGTAGTTGATTGGACTTGCCACATTATTATTGTAGCCCTTATCTTGTCGAGATTTCTTATGTTCATTATTTTTGAAAAAACCACGAGCGGACGGCTTTGGTGGGGCGCCTGGCCGCATCACCCCTCCAACGCTGACCCCTCCAACCCCTCCAATGCCACCCCGCCTCTTGGTTTTACGGCGCCTAAGAGAATTACTGAACACTTGGTGACCAGCATCATTGAAAATCTCGGCGTAGCAAACTGGTACACCGTATGATTCAACCGGGCAACGAGCGCCGTCTAGCCTCAATGAGTCCCGGATAGTGGGGCTCTGACAGCCTCTAAGTCAGACTCTGCGCTGCTGGGCCCCTCACAAATCAACTGATATCTGCCCGACAGACCTCGTAACCAAGGCCAACGCGACGGGTCTGGGACGCTACATGCATTAGAGCGTGTAAAATTCTGCTTGGTCGGGCGTGAAAGTTCTTCAAATCTCTGGCACCCACATGCCCCTCCCAGCCCATTCATCTCGTAGCGGGGTTAAATCCTGAGGGAGCCCTAGCCGCCGCTGATTGGCTCGTTTGGCCAAAAAATCTGCGCCACGCTACGGCGCTAAGGCGCTGCCCGATCGTTATGAATGCCAGACCTCACAGAAAATCTTCTCCTCTTCTTTCTTTTAAAACTTGTCTGCGCATACCTTGATTCGAGCAATCACTCTGTGCAGTGCGTTCAACCTCCATCCAGTCTTGCATCAAGGGCTTCCTGACTGACATCGTCTTTTCCAGATTTACCTTTTTTCAAAAGAGACAAAAAACCATTTCCCAACCGTTAATCCTTCAATACCGTCAAGATGGGGTAAGTCAGACCGCATCTCCTGCCATCCGGCACCACCGCAGCTCCATCATCACGATGGGGCTTCATCTGCTCATCGACTCTGTGCTGACGGCTCTCTGCTCTACAGTAAGGAAAAGATGCACATCAACGTGGTCGTTATCGGCCACGTCGATTCCGGCAAGTCCACCACCACTGGTAAGCTCAAACCGAACCCCGCCGCAGATACCGAACAGCCTTCTGAGATATTACACAGGTCACTTGATCTACAAGTGCGGTGGTATTGACAAGCGTACCATCGAGAAGTTCGAGAAGGTAAGGACCAGACACATCTCTTTGACATCTCCCGCCGTGTGACTCCTCACCGATTTTGTCCTTATCGCGAAAATTGCCCCTCGGTGGGGCAACGACTCGCTTCACACCACATTTCTGCCCGATATTTAGGGCACCACATCAACAAGGGACAAAGGGTCAACAAACAAGAACGACGACAGCATCGATCTTGAATTTTTTGTTAATTCTCACTTTGCAATGCGGCCAGCGACTGACTCGATCTATAGGAAGCCGCCGAACTCGGTAAGGGTTCCTTCAAGTACGCGTGGGTTCTTGACAAGCTCAAGGCCGAGCGTGAGCGTGGTATCACCATCGATATCGCTCTCTGGAAGTTCGAGACCCCCAAGTACTACGTCACCGTCATTGGTAAGTTTGCTGACTCGATCTGCCGTGCCGCTCGTTCTGACCTTCTTCAGATGCCCCTGGTCACCGTGATTTCATCAAGAACATGATCACTGGTACCTCCCAGGCTGACTGCGCTATTCTCATCATTGCCGCTGGTACTGGTGAGTTCGAGGCTGGTATCTCCAAGGATGGCCAGACCCGTGAGCACGCCCTCCTCGCCTACACCCTTGGTGTCAAGCAACTCATCGTCGCCATCAACAAGATGGACACCACCAAGTGGTCTGAGGCCCGTTACCAGGAAATCATCAAGGAGACCTCCAACTTCATCAAGAAGGTCGGATACAACCCCAAGACTGTTGCCTTCGTTCCCATCTCCGGATTCAACGGTGACAACATGATTGATGTCTCTACCAACTGCCCATGGTACAAGGGATGGGAGAAGGAGACCAAGGCTGGCAAGTCCACTGGTAAGACCCTTCTCGAGGCCATTGACGCCATCGACCCCCCCACCCGTCCTACCGACAAGCCCCTCCGTCTTCCTCTCCAGGATGTCTACAAGATCGGTGGTATTGGCACGGTGCCCGTCGGTCGTGTCGAGACCGGTATCATCAAGGCCGGTATGGTCGTCACCTTCGCCCCCGCTGGTGTCACCACTGAAGTCAAGTCCGTTGAGATGCACCACGAGCAACTTGCCGAGGGTGTCCCAGGTGACAACGTTGGTTTCAACGTCAAGAACGTCTCCGTCAAGGAAATCCGTCGTGGTAACGTTGCTGGTGACTCCAAGAACGACCCTCCCAAGGGTGCCGACTCCTTCAACGCCCAGGTCATTGTCCTCAACCACCCCGGTCAAGTTGGTGCTGGTTACGCTCCAGTTCTTGACTGCCACACTGCCCACATTGCTTGCAAGTTCTCTGAGATCTTGGAAAAGATTGATCGTCGTACCGGAAAGTCCATTGAGGCTTCCCCTAAGTTCATCAAGTCTGGTGATGCTGCCATCGTGAAGATGGTTCCATCCAAGCCTATGTGTGTTGAGGCCTTCACTGACTACCCTCCTCTTGGACGTTTCGCCGTTCGTGACATGAGACAAACTGGTATTTACCCCTCCCAACACTTCTTCCAGGTTCATTGATTTACTAACTACTTTGCAGTCGCTGTCGGTGTTATCAAGAGCGTTGAGAAGTCTGACAAGGCTGGCAAGGTCACCAAGGCCGCTGTCAAGGCTGGTGCAAAGAAATAAACGATCCAACCATGTTACCGATTAGTTTTACATGAGCGTATGACAATCTGGCTGGGATGGAATGGGTTAGATAGCTTTGCTTTCTTTGCGTCGGAGAATGGCAGTACTTCATTGACACATTTTGAACATGGTGATGTGAACAAACCCAGCAGTAAACTTCTACTCTCAAACAATCGTAAAAGTCCGCTTCTAGTGAAGCGTTAATGTTAATTCTAGTTGACATTAAACCCAATGGTATCACTGTTCGAATGTTGAGACACAAAAGTCAACCTACACGAAAAGACCAACCCGCCAATCCCTAAGAGAGCGATTCCCCAAGAGAGCGATTTCTGTTGATACCGGATCAACCGTATAAGCACCACAGACCGGCCTAAGAGGGTGCTACATAAAGCTTCCGAACCTGCCATTTATTACCCTTCAACCATGACCATAGCAAAATTGGACGATATGCCATTGCTCACACCGAAATTGGGAGTGGAATTACGATGTACGATGATATGTCCTTCCCCTATGGTTCAGTGGAGACGGTGGCTGTTGAATATTCAGCGAACATCGACTCCTTCGACCTGTGCCCACAGCCCAGTAATAATGCGATGAGAACAGAGGTGCAATATTAGGGCCGATTAGCCCGTATTATTATGTAAGAACAAACCAGCTCTCGATATACCTTGAGCTGCAGTCCAGCTTGTTGGTCTTTGAATCTAGCATCCCAAAGATCCGAATCCTACGTGAGCACCAATCGTGATCTGGATTCTCTCAGGGAAACAGAGGACCCTGGGAGACGCGCAGAAGACTGAAGCCTCGGCAAAATCTTTGGAAGAGAGTATCTAGGGGACATACTGAGTAACGGCAGACGCGCAATCAAACGGGTTGCTTTGGAAAGATATCTGGATTCCGAGCAATACCCCGCAAGCACCCCACGAAAGACCAAAGGGGACCACCGCAGAGCACCATGGCAGAAAGCACAGCAAGGCCCATCCAGCCGCCTCCAAAAGACGTACGTCCGATGCACATCTGAATCTAAATCCATCTCTCCACAACAACAAGCAGCTAACCCCGCATTCCGCACCCCGCAGCTCGAGACCATCTCCCAGATCGAGGCGTCCCTAATCCTCCCGCAATTCACCGCCGCCGACGCCTGGCGCCTTGGCAGCGCCCTGCGCGAGCGACTCCTCCCCATCCCGACGCCCGTCGTGATCAACATCTCGCTGGCGAATGCGAACCAGACGCTGTTCCACACCGCGACGCATTCGGGCGTCATGCCCGACAACGACGTGTGGGTGGCGCGCAAGCGCAAGACCGTGCTGCGCTGGGGCGTCAGCACTTGGTACCTGCATTGCAAGTTCGCGGGGGACGAGAAGGCCTTCGCGGAGAAGTATGGGCTGGGCCCGAGCGCGGGCGAGTATGCGATTCATGGTGGCGGCATCCCAATTCGTGTGAAGGGTGTGGAGGGTGTGGTGGCCGTGGTGGTGGTTAGTGGGTTGAAGCAGCATGAGGATCATGCGGTTATTGTGGAGGTCTTGAAAGAGTTTATATAGGGAGGGATAGGCGGTGTGGAGTGTGTGAAGGGCTTGGGGTTTATAGGGATGGTGTATGGAGGCACCTGAAGATGGATTCATGAAGATATTTGAACAGTTTGCTTGTGAGATACACTCTACATATTCAGGAAATAGAATATGAAGGCTCAGATCAAGTCATAATGTAGTTCCGAATTGCAATACACAGAAAGCAAACTCAATACCGGTATGAAGAATGATATGGCTAGCACTTGATGATCTCTACGTTGAAGAGAAAAGGGGCTCGCTTATTTTGTAGCCCCTCAAATATTGTAAAGACAAAGAAGGACTTCCCAAGATATATCATCATTTCCCTAATACTAATCACAAAGAAGAAAAGCATAGTAGTCCAAATAAAACATCATCTCCTTATTTCATTCCATGTCTTCTCCAGCTCCAAACTAAAACAAAAACCCTACTTACCCAGTAAACTGAAACTCGACATAAAAGAAAAGACAGAACTTAAGGAAAAAGAAAAAGAATTGGCATTTCAGCACTTACCAGCGAGCAAACCCACCATCCCCATAAGAACTTTCCCTACCTGAGCCAGTCTCGCTCAAATACAGCGTTAGCGGCGAGCATCGGGACCGTTGAGACCTACCTATTCAAATCCTCATCCGCACGATCCCTAAGCTCTCTCCCGGCGCTGCAAAATCTCTCTGGCGGGGAAACCGAGCGGCGAAATCGATCATCATGCAGCTCATGAAATCGATCGTCATAAACGCGGACAACTGTGGAATTATCATACTTTCTTGTTGAATTTTCGTACATACTTGAAGACGATGACGATGGTGAGCGGGACACCGTAGATGAGGAGTAGGATGCGGAGCGGGTGGATGGCTTGGGACCGGGATCGGGATTACCTGCTGAATATCTTAGTACTGTACGTGAAGAGGAGAAGGATCCGGAAGGAGAAGGATTGCTTAACCATCCTCCTCTGTTTGGAGAGAATCGTGATGAATCTCTTGCTGGATTCCTGGAGCGGAAAAATTGCTCATCGGGAGATGGCGCGCTGGATCTTTGATATCGATATCGATCGTGATCGCGATCTCTTGAATCCCGACGGTACATTTCGGACTTGTCGCTTGCTGGGGGGTTTGGAATCTCTGTTTGCATATTATCAGCTGTATAATCTAAAGTTTGGGGTCTGGAATAGAAGGAGTTTGTGGAACTTATGGTTCTGTTTGAGAAACTTGACATTTTTGCTGTTTGCGCGTGCTTTTTTCCCTCGGGATTTGATATGGGGGAAATGTTTTTGTGAATAGAATAGAATGGTTTATGATAAGTTGGGATGTGTTGGGATGGGTTGTGAGTAGTTATGATGAATTGTGTTTGGGATTTGGAATCTGGAATTGAAGGGAAAGACTGAACATACTTATATGAAATCTAGACAACGGCCTTTCCATTCCTTGGGCTCAATCGATACTTGTCTTTCTTTTCTTTGTTCTGAACAATAAATAGACCTTGAAACTTGAAAGCTCTTTGAGAGGATGAAGTAGTATGTATATAAGGAATTTCGACAAGCCTCACTATTCCATTGTTCTTGTCTTTCATTTTTTTTCTTTTACGCACAATGAATATTTAAATACTTTATCTTTATCAGGAACAAAAGGTATAGAAATTTGAAAGAACTCTAAACTTTGAGAGATTTGAGATGAGTGCACGAGGACTCAGCTCAACAAAGCCTTGTCATTTCACCCATCTATCAGGGTCGCAGCCTGATTCTCGCAAAGCTTTGTGTTGGGGAGTAAGTAGAGCACTTTGTCACCACCTTATAAAAGCACCAAGAAAACCAAAGCAAACGGAAAACACAAAAATTCCCAAGGCTTCTCATTTATCAGTCGGTCCCTCATGTTATAGAAAGCATTACTCGCGGGCCAACATCTATACAAGAAATCTTCGAATTTCCATACAAACGCATATAAAACAAGAAAGCAAAAGACTCAACCCCCATCTTCTTCTGCCAGACAGACAGTAAGTTACTTACTAGGTTCATCACAGTAAAATCCCATAATTAGTGACGCACAAAGCTCGCGAGTCCCCAGTCACTTGGTGTTTTTTCTCACCTCCCCAACCACACATGACTGCATCAGAATCCAGACCCGGCCGCTTGAGCTGAGTGAAGATAGATAAAACTCGGCCCCAGATCTCCAGACGGGAATTTCAAAATTAATAGCGGAATCCATCCATAAGAATAGACCACTGGCACTGATCTGACTGACTGATAGGTAGAATCCATAGATAATACACCAAGCCAGTAAATTAGGTACCAGACCACACTTCCCGAAGCTCCTCCTCCTTCTCCTCGTCTGATCGTCATACATCTCAACACTTATCTATCCAAGCCTCACGAAAAAAGATAAGAATAGAATAATATAAAAATAACCCTGAATTTAGGGCACTTAATAATAAGTACCTTAGCCATGAATCAACCCACCGGTCTAGGAATGCGCAAAAACTCATCGTCTGGTTAACCTACCTTACCTATGGGAACGGAGCGAGTTAGCTCGAGGCGTTCTAATTTAGAACCTGAAGTTTTGAGAAGACTTACAGTCATCAAACTTTTTCTTCTAGGTCATGGATGGGGTTTAAAGACTAGGTACCTATTGATGGTATGTTATATCATAGTGAGACTAAATTGTAAGATTCGTTGTTTTGGGGGGGGGGGGGGAGTCTGTTGAGAGAGGGTGAGAAATAGGCGGAGGGAGGAATGGAGGGATGCGTTGAGTTGAGTTGAGTCGAGTTGAGTTTGAGAACGAGATGTGTGATATAGAAAGTGCAGGGAGTGATATGAGCTGAGCAACAGGAGAGGAAAAGACTGTGTTAGTAAAGAATGAGAGAAGGCTATTGAGACCAAGTCCTGATCGTATTCTCAGATGAGTAACTAGGTAGGTCTCAAGAAGGACTCAAGATGTAAAAGACTGTTTTGAATTTGAATCACCAAGGGAAAATCTCGAGATGGAATATACATTGGTAAGGACAGAAGTATTTATTTATTAAGAGTACTACTATGTTCAAAAACAAAGACAGAGCTTAGAAGCTCGAAAAAAGTATTAAGCGCATCTATCTAGAGCTATTGCTCGTACAAACGCAACCACACCTGATGTGTCGAGAAATTTTCCGTCTCACATGGATGAGATCGATCGGGGGGGGGGGGGGCTTGGACTCCTCAGAAGCCACGGCCAAAGCCTCCAAAACCTCCATGGCCTCCGTGGAGACCGTGATGGCCGAAGTGGTGGTGTTCGCGTTCCTCGAAATGATCGCGGTCCCTGTGGTGACGGCCCTTGCATTTATGATCCTTCTTATCCTTCTTATCGTGCTTGCCATGGCACCCAAAGTCAACGTCCTTGGCGTTGAAGCGGTTGCCGAAAAGGTGGTGGTGGTGGTGTGGATCACCAAACTCCCTCTGATGATCCCTGCCCTTATGGCCCTTGGATTTGTGGCCCCGGAACTTCTTGTGTTTCTTGTGATGACCCTCATCTTTGTGCTCTTCCTGATGGTGGTGGTGGTGGTGATGGTGAGGATCTCCTCCCCCGTCTCTTCCTCTTCCTCCCCCGACGATTATTGGCGTTCCTCCAATTGGTATGACATGATGCCCATGTCCTTCGCGTTCAGGCTCACGCTCACGCTCATGCCCATGGTGGTGACCATGTCCATGGATGCCATGCCCATGATGCCCCTCGCGTTCATGCTCACGCTCACGCTCATGCCCATGACCATGCCCAAGGATACCATGGATATGGCCATGCTCATGACCGTGCTCATGCCCTGGATCCTTATCCTTATGCTCGTGCAATTTGTGGTGCTCATGTGCTGGAAGCTTGATCTCTATGATCTTATGATGCTCAGGCTCAGGCTTAGGCTCGCGGTGGTGACCATGTCCGTGGTGACCATGCTCATGGTGGCCATGCTCGTGGCCATGCCCGTGGCCAGGATCAAGGCCATCTCTTCCTCCAAAACCTGGGATTACTCCTCCACCTGGTATGATACCATGGCCATGGCCATGTCCTTCACGCTCACGCTCGCGCTCGCGCCCATGTCCATGGTGGTGACCATCAAGGATGCCATGGCCATGCCCGTGTTCTTCACGCTCACGCTCACGCTCATGCCCATGATGCTCGAAGAGACCATGGCCATGCTCATAGCCACGCTGACGACGCTCGAGGTGACCATGCTCATGGATGCCATGCCCATGGTGTCCCTCACGCTCGCGCTCACGCTCTCGCCCATGCCCGTGGAGACCATGCTCATGGATACCATGATGTCCCTCACGCTCACGCTCTCGCTCACGCCCATGCCCGTGGAGACCATGCTCATGGATACCATGGTGTCCTTCACGCTCACGCTCACGCTCACGCCCATGCCCATGGAGATCATGGAGCTTATGGTGTCCCTCACGCTCACGCTCACGCTCACGCCCATGCCCGTGGAGACCATGCTCATGGATACCATGATGTCCCTCACGCTCGCGCTCACGCTCACGCCCATGTCCATGGAGACCGTGCTCATGGCCATGCTCAAGCTGACGACGTCCGAGGAGACCATACTCATGGAGACCAAGCCCATGGTGTCCCTCACGCTCTCGCTCACGCTCTCGCTCACGCCCATGGTGACCATGCTCATGGATACCATGGCCACGCTCACGCTCTCGCTCGCGGCGACCATGCTCATGGATACCGTGGCCACGCTCACGCTCTCGCTCACGGCGACCATGCTCATGGATACCATGGCCATGCTCACGGCCACGGCCAGGATCATCACGCTCAAGTCCTCCAAATCCTCCAATTATTGGCGCTCCTCCACCTGGTATGATACCGTGGCCAAGGTGTCCCTCACGCTCACGCTCACGCTCACGCTCACGCCCATGGTGACCATGCTCATGGATACCATGGCCACGCTCACGCTCACGCTCACGCTCACGGCGACCATGCTCATGGATACCATGGCCATGGTGTCCCTCACGCTCACGCTCACGTTCTCGGTGACCATGCTCATGGATGCCATGGCCATGCTCGTGGCCACGGCCAGGATCACCACGCTCATATCCTCCACCTCCGACTACTCCTCGAGTCGGTATAAGATGATGTCCGTGTCCTTCACGCTCACGCTCACGCTCACGCCCATGCCCATGCACATGGTGACCATGCTCATGGCCCTTATGTTCTTCAACCTTCTTATGCTCGTGCTTGTGTTCTGGAAGCTTGACCCCGAGCTTTTTATGCTTGTGCTCGGGCTCGCGCTCACGCTCATGCCCATGGTGGTGGCCGTGCCCGTGGCCATGCCCAGGATCACCACCACGCTCGCGTCCTCCACCGGTGATTACAGCTCCTCCAACTGGTATGACATGATGCCCATGTCCTTCACGCTCACGCTCGCGCTCGCGCCCATGCCCATGGTGACCTAGCTCATGGCCATGCTCGTGGTGTCCGGGATCCTTGTGCTCATGACCCTTATGCTTGTGGCCCTTATGTTCTTCGACCTTCTTATGCTCGTGCTTATGACCATGCTCGTGGCCATGGCCAGGATCACCACCACGCTCGCGTCCTCCACCGGTGATTACAGCTCCTCCAACTGGTATAACATGATGCCCATGTCCTTCACGCTCACGCTCACGCTCACCCCCATGGTGACCATGCTTGTGGCCATGCTCGTGGCCAGGATCCTTGTGCTCATGACCCTTATGCTCATGGCCCTTGTGTTCTTCGACCTTTTTATGCTCGTGCTTATGCTCATGCTCGTGATGTCCTGGATCTTTGCGCTCGCGGCCACGCTCGTGATGGCCATGCTCATGGTGACCATGCCCACGCTCACGCTCACGCTCTCGCTCTCCGAAGCCGTGCTCTCCGAAGATGCTGCTCTCTCCGAAGCTGCTCTCACCGAAGCCCTCTCCGAAGGTAAAGTCTGAGATCTGTCTGCCGATAAGTCCGTGGTGGAGATGGTGGTGCCCATGGTGGTGTCCGTGCTCAAACTCTTTCTCGTCCTCGTACTTGTCTTTGTGATGGTGCTTGTGCTTCTTGTGGTCATGCTTGTGCTTCTTGTGGTCATGCTTGTGTTTCTTGTGGCCATGCTTCTTGTAGTCTTTGTAGAACTCTTCGCGTTCCCCGCCGTGGTGGCCTAGGTGGTGGTGGTGGCCCAGGTGATGGCCCAGGCCATGGCCCTCATGGTGGCCCTCGCGGTGACCATCGCGGTGGCCACCGTGGGCAGTGAGAATCTCGGCGAGGCCTCGACCGGAGATGGATTCGAGGTGACCTTCGCGGAACTTGATCTCGTGTTTCCGGGGTCCATGTTTTTCGTGGAAGCCTTTCTCGATCTCACGGATGGTGAAGGCAGACTTCTTGTCGAGACGGTTGAGGTGTTCGTCATCCCTCTTGTCTCTGTGCGATCTGCCGTCGTGTCTCTCGTCGTACCTCTCATCGTACCGCTCGTCATACCTCTCACCATGCCTCTCATCGTATCTATCATCGGGCCTCCGGTCATGCCTCTCGTTGCGCCTGGGATCGAACTCTTCGTGCTTGGGATCATGCTTGTGCTCCTTCTTGGGATCGTGCTTGTGCTCCTTGGGATCGTGCTTGTGCTCCTTCTTGGGCTCCTTCTTGGGTTCGACCTTTTCGTGCTTGATCTCGTGCTTGATCTCGTGTTTGAAGTCGTGGCCCGGGATGTGCTTCATGTCGAATTTGAACTCGTGCTTCTCATCGAGGTTCTGGTCATGCTTCTCGTCATGCTTCCCCTCATGCTTCTCCTTGACATGTCTGAAGTGACCGAACTTTCCTGCTTCGTGGTGGAGATCTTTTTTGTGATCCCCCTCGATCCCGTGCTCGCCGTCATCCTTGCCGTCATGCTTGCCAGAATGCTCCCCTTTGTGTTCACTGTACTTCTCACCGAGTTCACCGTGCTTGTGCATGCCCTCCTGCTTCTCGAAGTTGTGCTTGTACTCGTCGACCTTCTCCATGTGCTTGCCCTCATGCTTCTCCATGAACTGCTTGAAGTTCTCAAACTTCTCCTCATGCTTGACTTCGTGCTTGACCTCACGTTCAGGTTTCTTGTGTTCGACTTTTTTGTGGTGCTCCTTGTGCTCCTTCTTGTGATTAGGATCCTCAGTAATAACGTGAACGTTCACATCGATCTGCTGGTTGGGGTCATGCTTGTGCTCGTGCTTGGGATCATGCTTGGGGTCATGCTCGTGCTTGTGCTCGTGCTTGGGATCGTGCTCATGCTTGATGTCGACCTTGGGGTCGTGCTTCTTCTCCTCATGCTTGTGCTCGTGCTTCTCAACCTTGGGATCAAACTCGAATTCATCGAATTCATGCTTGTGCTCGTGCTTCTCCTCATGCTTAGGATCAAACTCGATCCCTTGCTTGATCTCGTGCTTGAGCTCGTGCTTCTCCTCATGCTTCTCTTCGTGCTTGGGTTCGTGCTCATGCTTGATCTCGTGCTTGATAGGGTCGTGCTTGATTTCGGGCTTGACCTCGTGCTTGACTTCGTGCTTGATCTCGGGCTTATGCTCATGCTTAACCTCAAGCTTAGGATCGTGCTTAACCTCAATCTTAGGGTCGTGCTTGATCTCGGGCTTGACTTCATGCTTGATCTCGGGCTTGTGCTCGTGCTTGATCTCAGGCTTGTGGTCGTGCTTCACCTCATGCTTGGGGCCATGCTTGGGGCGGTGCTTGCGGCCAACAGAAGAGAGGACCTTGATGCTCTGGAATCGGAGAGCACCCCAACCGCCTGGAGACTATATTTAGCATGGGTCTGACACTCGACGAGAACGAGAACTTACGGTTGCAGACTTGGAAGGACTTCTTGGTACCCTTGGGGACATCTAGGGACTTGCATTCCTTGGGGCCAAGCTCTACACGTTCCCTGTCGGAGAAAGGAGTGATATCCTCAATATAGACAGAGCCGCGGCTGTTCTCTGATTTGGGTCAGCAGATAGTCTCGTTTCATGATCCATAGAACATACCGTTGCAGAACTTCCAGACGGTCTCTTCTTTCCCATCGAATGGAGTGTGGTAGCTGTTACACTCCATGATTGGCAGGGTGTCTGACAAGTTAGTATATAAGTTGCTCTGAGGGTGCAACAGATAACTTACGGGAATGCATGGACAGAGGATCTGTGAGTGCACAGGTGACCCAACGATTGGTTGACTTTTCGTCTTTCTTGCCATCCTTGGGCTGGTTCTCAATTGGAGTGGCCAAGGCCAAACCAGTGAGCCCAAGGAGGGCAACGGAGAGGGAGGTATGCATCTTGCTGTGGTCTGAACTGTGAGAGTGCAGTGTACCGGTCGATGTAAGGATCAAAGAAACATCTGGAGGAGGGAGAATTTGGAGCCCTTAAATAAAATTCCATGGGGACGTCATCTTCGAATAGTGTCGACAAAGCAATCAGTAGCCCTCGAGGTATTCCCTTTCTGAAGAGCTGTGCCGAAGTGTGTTGATGCAATGTTCCAAACTTCAGATTTATCGCAACTCGCCCCGGCGATCCCACTTGGTTCTCTCTCAACAGGACTAACATTGTGGCAGCGCAGAAAGTATCGCAAACCAATCGTCAAGTATGAAAGCCAACGCTTCAGTTGAGCGCGGATGATACAATAGGGATGGAACTATAGACCCTTAGCCTGGTTGTCAAAATGCTAAAACGGGACCATCCGTCAGAATGGTTGAAATTCCCGACTGCTACCTAGTCCCCTATTTTCCGACGGCGCAGTCTAGTGTTAGACCTGAGAATAGGAGGTGATATTAGGTAAGGGAGCAAATGAGAAATGGATGGCATCATGACTTTTCTGACCCAAGTACTTAAAAACAGAGCCAACACAGTTTTGAGCGATCGCTTGACCAAGCCAGCGTTGGATGCCAATAGTGTGATGTTGAATAGCATCAGTGGTTCAAGGAATGAGCTCGCAGAAAACGGCAAGTCGAACAAGCTTAGGAAAAGGGAATGGTGACAAGGCGGAAGTGACAACTTAATCAATGCCTTTTCATCATGGGCTGGAGCTCATCTCTACTGCTGTATCTGGTGTACCATAAGACTACACTTTTCACCGCCTAAACCGCACGATGCTTGGTAACGCCCGCCCATGCACCCAACCACGCTCGTACAAGATCATTACTCGCTCAAGCCCTCTGCAGTTGGCAAGGGAATGGCCCGATAGAGTAGAATCAGAGCGGAGTGTGATTCTCCACCACCAGACAACGTACTGATCTTCTCCGCCTCAACTTCACTAACTTTGTCATCATTAAACCACCACCACTTCCCATCCTCCTCACCTCTCTTTCCAGTCTTTGGATCAAGAGGACCCTGCTTTTTGACGTAGGCAGTATAATGACCGCTGTCTGCGCTAGCACCCTGGTGTGTGACTACGCCTCGAAGTTCGTAAAGACCTGACATATTGGCGCCCTCGTCCTTTGCGAGCTCAGGGTTAATCAGAGCATGCAGCTCCTTCTTCGCCTCCAAGATGGCAGCGGCCTTCTCGGCGTCAATTTCAGCATCAGTCTTGTACACTACGTCTTCCATCTCGACATCTCCGCCGCTGGACTTTTCACCCTTCTCTTCTTTCTTGTCATCCTTCTTTGATTCAGAGACAGAATCGACGATGCCGGCTGCCTTGTCCGCAACTTCCTTATCATGTATACGCTTCTGACGTTTACGAGCCCTATCAATATCTTCTTCATCCTTGCGGACCTCCCGCACCTTGTCTCGGACTGGGATCAACATGTCCCTGAGCTCATCTGTGCAGAACTCGACAACATCCAACTCATGAGGGAACGTAACCTTGCGCATAATCTTTGCTTTCTTCTGAGCCTCTCGCTTCCAGAAGAATCGGACGAAATGTACGGTCAGGTATTTCGGAAGACGCGAGATCTTTGACTTCTTGGTGTAAACAGCATTTCGGCCAAGCAGTTCTGATCTCTTCTCAATCTTCTCCTCCAGCCCAGCAATTATTCCATCTCTCAAATGATTTATTGTAGCACTGATGTGGCAATCCAACTTCAAGAACGTATCCTCGCTCTTGACCGGCTCCTCGCCCAGATCCTTGGCCTCCTGCTCATCACACTCAGTTATTGAAGAAAATCGCCCAGCCATGTATTTGTCGACGAATGAGACATCGCCGGCAGCCTCAGAGCTACCAGGAGCAGTATCCTTCAGCTTTAACTTCTGACGCAGTTGCGCTACGATCTGTGACCAAGCCTCCTCTGCATCCTGCTGTGCGTAACCGGGACCTGATTTTGACTTCTCGGCAAATTGTGGGAAGGCAGTCCGAAGAGCATTGAGAAAGGCGATGGGCGGGAATCCTTCTTGGGTTTCGGACATTTGCTTGTATAGGTCGCGCAACGAGGCCGTGAGATCTGTAGAACCCCCCAGGGCACCAAGGCCAAACATACTGAGGTCTGAGCGTGATGCGATGCCTGATGATGGTCCTGCTGTATATTTAAACAACTGTTCCTGAAGCTCTGGGACCGCCCGTAATGCCTGTAGAGTGGAGTTGAGATAGCATGTGTTCCCTAGATTTTGTAATCCAGCAGGTATGGCTCCGACCTGCTGTGCAGCCTCTGCCTCGGTCATGTCTTCAAGGAACTTTATCGCCTCCGTTGGTCTATTGAGTTCGTTGCCACCCGATGGAGTACCCATCATCATGAATGTTTGTCCTGGCTTTGCGCCGATTTTGGAAAGGTCGGTGTCATCTTTGAGCTGACCACCCTTCACCAGAATCTTTTGTCGGTCTGGCTCAACACCAGTCAGGGAGAAGAGCTGGAATTTGAAGACCTCGCCGGTGGAGGTGGGGTCAAGGTCGACATTGTACTTCTTGCCCTGATGTTTGACGATAACTGGGGTACTGATTAGCAACGGTCTGAGGGGTCTTCTGGCTGTATTTAGACGAACCTGGTATGGAAGCCATGGTGACGGCGGGAGGTTTGAAAGGCAGAAGAGGCTCTTTCAGACGTTGTAATTTGTAGATGATCTGTGATGAGCGGCTTTGAGGAAGATGTAGGTATCAGAGAGCAGAAGGCGCAACTCCATATCAAGGCGGCTATTCGCTAGCGCGCGTCAACTTACGTAGCGCGGGATGCCTGGACCCCACCAAGCAACCACAACTCCCCCGACAGCAACATCTGGAGGGTTATGCGCCGCGAGCCTCACTCACCACCATGGTACGTATCTCACAGTCCTTTGAAGAAGTATTGAGGAGAATCAATCGATTGACCTTCACAGTCCCAATCATTGCGCCCCTACCTCCAATGCGTGCGCTCCACCCTAACCTCCGCACTCAGCCTCTCGAACTTCTCGTCGCAGGCCTCGGAACGTCACAATGTCCCAGAAATTGAGGCGAAGACCTCACCCGAAGTGCTGCTGAATCCTCTCACTATTTCCCGGAATGAGAACGAGCGGGTCTTGATTGAGCCTAGCATAAACAGTGTCCGGATCAGCATCAAGATCAAGCAAGCGGACGAGATCGAGAATATCCTTGTGCACAAGTTCACAAGATTTTTGACACAGAGAGCAGAGGCTTTCTTTATTTTACGGAGGAAGCCGGTTAAGGTATGCTAGGGAAGGCAAGAGTGAGGGCATTACTGATTGATTGTAATAGGGGTACGATATCTCGTTCCTGGTGACGAACTTCCATACCGAGGAGATGTTGAAGCACAAACTGGTGGATTTCATCATTCAATTCATGGAAGAGGTGGATAAGGAAATTTCAGAAATGAAACTCTTCGTGAGTGTGCCCAGGAATGTCTTATTCTGCCGATTATTGACCGCTGGATAGCTGAATGCACGAGCAAGATTTGTGGCGGAGTCCTTCTTGACGCCTGTAAGTGACTCTGTCTTTGGTCTACCACCCCTTGAAAATTGTGCTGATGCAGGAAATATAGTTCGATTAACGAAGAATCGATTCAGGCGGGTTCTGAATGGTACCGAGGAGAGGGAATATTCGTGGCAGTGCTGACTCGCAGGAGACCATCTCGGCGTTTAGGGGAAAAGAACAAGTTCATGATATCAAGATCAATTTCGATACGCTGGCCTTCTTGTGTGCTTCTTTTTGTGAACCTAACAATGCCCCCGTTCTAGTGCTTGAAAGACAACCTTTCCAGAGGATGTTCTATATGCCCGTCCAGAGACAGCTTCACTCTAGCACAAGCGTGCACGACCGAGGCAGGGAAGTGGAGTTGACCAACCGAATAACGATGGTAGTCCTCGTCAAGAAGCGGAATCTCTAGGTCTCATGATAGTTTCTCAGCCAGGTAAGCTGAGTGTCCGCCTTCTCAACGGCGCGACTATTTTCACTTGGATATTCTTTTTCGTTCCCCAGACTGTGATTTCTATATTTTACATTCATCCTTGCGTCTATTCTGAAGAGTGAGTTCTTGGAGTTGAGGTACTTGCAACAACTACCTTGTCTCATTGAACTGATTCTTTTCTAGAGTTATACATTTACACCATCTGCCTAAGTCACTTCCGATCAAAAACACATCCTTCATCGGATGAGCGCTACTCTCCAGATTCAACGCCGCTATCCGTCAGCTACCTACGCCGCCTCATCCTCGATTTCCAAATCACCCACCCTAAACTTCTGCCCCTTCCGATCCGCATAATCCGTATGGTCATGATAATTCTTGACCCTCTCCCTCACATACTGCAACCCCGTGACCTTTGGCCTATCATTCTGCAACTCGGCATCAGTGATCAGGCCCAGGCGGCGCAGCAGCGGCGACGGCGCCGGCGCAATATCCACGTTGTCGCCGGGGCGCACGAAGTAGAACAAGCCGAGCCGGTCGCCATCGACCTGATCCGGCGGCGGGCGCACGACGCGATGGATCGTCGACTTCAGGTACCCCTTGCTCCAGAACTGCAGCGCGTCGCCGACGTTGCAGATGATGCCGCCGTCGACCGGAGGGATGTACTTCCACGTGCCATCGAAGGTCTTGATCTGCAAGCCCGCGACGTTCTGGCTCCACAGCAGCGTCAGAGAGCCGAAGTCCGTGTGCGCGCGCGACCAGGTGTTCTGGACCAGTGCATCCTGTTCTTCGGGACGTGGGTGATAGAGCATGTAGCGCAGGTGGTCTTCGGATTTGGACTCGTAGGCGTGCCGCGAGGAGAAGTAGTCGGGGGGTAGCTCAAGGATCAGGGCGAAGAGGGTGAAGATCTTGGAAGCGATGGCGAGGGAGCGCTGGGGGGATAGTGTTACTTCTATGTGCTGTTGTGAAGAGGATGCTGCAGGGGCTTACGCGAGAGAACTCCTCGATTTCAGAGAGATAGGGATCGAAGAAGCTGTCTCGAGGTTCGGATGCCAGTTGCGGGATGAACTTGGGTATGTTGACCTGCATTCTTCTATCAGCGCCTGTCATCTCAAAACAAGATATCATACACCCTTACGCTTTCGATATTATCCAGCACCTCTGTTCCCTGGATTCGTTTCTCATTGGCCTTCACGATGGGTGTCAGCAGCTGCCATCTCTCCAGCTGAAGGACGACATACAGCACGGTAACCAAAATAATTGCCCTTCCCGAAATCACATCTCAATTCCGGCTTCGCCTTCTCCTCGAGCGGACGGTTGAAGTACGCCTGGCCGATACTATACTGGCGCGTCACCTCTTCGTCTGTGAAGCCTGTGCCTGTAACGCTGAAGAAACCGGTGGTTTGGACCTGCAATCCCAACACGTCAGGAGACGAACTCTTTATCTGGGGATCTGGGGAATGTGCGAACCGCATGGCGAAGCTCCTCAGCCAGCTTCTCCTTCCCGCCTGGCTCGTCAAAGGTCGAGAGATCAATGACTGAGATGTCGGCCCAATCCAGAGCAACACTCGTCTTGGCAGGACGCTTCCACTTAGGAAGTTCAGGGGAGATGGCTGAAGGCATGATTGGTAAGAGCGTTGTCAATTGTTTTCCGATTCAAAAAATGACAGGAAATACAACAGCTACTCTGGATACAAAATAATGGAAAGAGAAGAAGTCTGCTCAAGAAATCCAAGGCGCAGTTATAAAGTGCAAAGGAATGGGGTGGAGGCGGGGCAGCAGTTCACTTCTCGCCCACATTACTCATTTCCGACGCCCAGATAAGAGATCATGATTCAGTCGAGACCGTCTTGAATATCATCTGTGTGAATGTGCCCCTCGATTCGCTGATGGAGGATTCGCGTGCAAGAGGGCAGAGCACGTCATTTGCAAGGGCGGAAGATGTCATGTTGTTAGCGACCCCGTTTCTACCCCATTTACCCCGTCTTGTCTCGCTTCTCCATCGACCGAGCCCCTGCCAAGGTCAACCGTCTTTCTCTGCCTTTCAACTGATGAATATTTCCGCGCTCCAGACCTCGCTCCGTATCTCGATTTTTCTCGAATATGATAAGCCCTGAACGGGTTGGAGATACAGGCACTTTACTTTCTTTCATCCCATCTTGCGTGTACCCTGGTCCTTCTACCTACGTACATACCTAGTCGACGTCGTGAGAGCCCCATATTAAGGTGTGCTCGAGCCAGCTTCATTTTTCAAAATCTCATATACATACTAGCTAGCCATGTTCTTTTTCTATATCTTGAGTTCCAGACCAAGTGGGTGTGTACGGGCTTGAGACACAGGTTTCCTTCTGTTTCTTTCCTGTTAGCAAAGTGATCCTATTCCATCCATCACCGCCCAGCATGTCAGGAGAGAAGCAGCAGCAGCAGGCCTCCGAGACCTCCCTCTCAGATGATGGAGATATCCAGACATCGCTGGAGAGCGGCGGCGTCTCTCTCAAGCGCGCGCATCGCAAACTCGACAAGCGCCTGCTCCTCTGGTATTCTTTCGTCTACCTTATCATGCGCATTCACGTGTCCAACATCTCCAACACGGCCATCATCAACCTTGAGCAGGGCACTGGTATCAAGAAGCAGCTGGGCAATCTGAATAGTGAGCAGTGGGCGTGGGTGCTGAGCATTTTCTAGTACGTTCTCGACACTCTTTGAGCTTGCTTGGGTTGGAAAATAAGGGATTAACGTGTGTGCAAAAGTTACCCCTATTTGTTCTTCGAGCCGCTCGCGACGCTGATGTTGAAGAAGTTTACGCCCTCAGTTTGGATGTGTCGGATTATGCTTACGTGGGTACGTATGCATCGCACACTCCCCCCTACCCTTCTCCTTCAGCGATGCGAAGAGAGTGCTGACGGGCCCCAGGGAATCATCTCCATGTGTCAAGGAGCAACGCAGAACTACGCCGGCATCCTCGCCTGTCGATTCTTCCTCGGCTTAGCAGAGGCCGGCTTCTACCCAGGCGTGCTCTACCATCTGAGTTTCTGGTACGCGCCCAACAAGCTATCGCTGCGCATTGCCTTCTTCTACGCCTCTGGCATGTTCTCCGGGACTATCAGCGGCCTGCTAGCCTACGCCATCTCATTCATGAACGGAGCGGGCGGCTTGGCCGGCTGGAGATGGGTGTTCATCCTTGAGGGCTTACCAGCAGTGCTCTGCTCCTTCGTGACCTACTTCTTCCTGCCCAACTACCCGGAGACCGAGAAGTTCCTCACCCCTGAGGAGAAAGCTGCCATTCTCGCCGACCTCCCGACCGAAGCTCCAAGCATGAATGCGAAGACCTTCAACGCCGCGCAGCTCAAGGAGCTCTTTGTCGATCCGACTTTAATCACTTTCCTCTTGATTTGGATCCTGCATGGGATTGGGGGCTTTGGAATCTCGTTCGTGCTGCCAACTGTCATATACGAGCTTGGGATGACAGACACCGCGAGATCACAACTTATGACGATGGTACGAGGCCTCTCATCCCTTCTGCGCCTTTCCGTCCCGAGCCCCAAAAAACCACCAACAAGAATAATATATCACTAACCTCCTCCCAGCCCCCTTACTCACTCGTCTTCTTCATCCTCATGACCCTCGGCTACCTAATCCACACCAAACGTCTAAACCTATGGATTGCCGGCCTCGGAATCGAGATTGCGCAGATCATATGCTATATACTGCTCATGACGGTGAAGAACAGCGTAGCCAAGTATATCTTCGTCATGATCGCCACTGCTGCTTCTCAGTCTTTCTTCCCTATTATCTGGCCTGGTATGTTTACCTTCCTTGGATTTCGAGGGGGGAGGGGAATAAGGTAGATAGCTAACGGAAGAATAAATAGAGCGTATTCGAGTCGCCCACGGAACTACCACGGCTGGTATCGCTATCGGAATGACAAATGTAAATAACTACCTTTCATATCCCCCGTATCTTCCCTATATCCATATATAATACTAACTTATCTTGACATAGGCCGCAGCGCAACTAATGGGCATAGTTGTACGTTCCCCCATCTCCCCCTCTCCCTCTCCCTATCAAAAATGTTTAAAAGTACGAAATCTAACCCCCTCTCTTTCTCTCTCACAGGGCCCTCAAATCTACCAATCCAAATTCGGACCAACCTACAGAGTCAGCTACGGCTGCTCGGTAGGTCTCCTAGTCGGCTGTATCCTGATGATTATAAGCACTTGGTATCTCGTGTGGAGGCGTGATCTGAAACAGAAGCAGAAAGAACGAGAAGAGCTTGGTTCGGCAGATGTTGTGAATGTGAATGTGAATGTCGAGGATGGGAAGACAGCGTGAGGCGATTTAATGTTATGTCAGCTAGATATGGGAGAGCGTAGGTATGAATTAATAATATATATATGTATATGTGTATATGATGATCTATTTTTGCAGAGAGGGCGTGCTTTCTGCATGTACTTTCTGGACTGGAATATAGAAACATTTTGAGAGAAAAGGGGGATGGATGGATGGATGGTGTGTAGGGAATTCTGAACGTATACAGAGAGAGGAAGAAAAGAAAAGAAAAGCGTAATGGACTTGGTATATACCTATATACCCCCTACATGCCGCACCTTTCTTTCCTGATAAACCCCCCTATTAACAGCAAAGGGGCACACACACACACACACACACGTATCAGAAGCCCAGTACCACACAACAACAGCAGCCAAGTCATGCGAGTATTCATATCTTTCTTTCACATAATATATATAATTTTTCATTTTTCCATCTTCTCAATCCATTCCCTTCCTTACCCAAAAAAAATTACCTACCTAATCAACATCCGGCACGGGCAAGTGATTCAATAATTTCACCTTCCTGCCCAACTGCTGCATGGCCTTCAACGCATTATCATCACGCAGCTTCTCCGTCTCTTTATCGCTCACGAGCACGAAATCATGTTTTAGGTATTTGGTGCCTTCGGGGACGCCGTATTTGGCGGCGATGTCGGCGGGCGCGGGCACGAACTCGACGATTAGGGAGTTTTTGACGCCGAAGACTGCGTCGGAGGTTTCGTAGGGGTCGCCGCGGAGGTAGAGCGCCCTGGAAGCGGGGGGTTAGTTTTTGAGGTTTTTGGGGGGGAGGGGAGGGAAAGGGGGAAATACGTAATCAAATGATCCCAGCCCTCCTTCTCGAACATAAAATGCATATGCGCGGGTCTCCAAGGATGTCTCTTCAACAACTTCAACAGCTGACCCACAGGTCCATCATGCGGAATGGGATACGGCACAGGGACGATGGCCTTGAACCAGAACTCGCCATTCTTGTCCGACTTCATGATACATCGGCCATCGGGCCCCGTCCGGTCCGCATGCTGCACATCGTAATGGCCCGTGGAATCCGTCTCCCAGATGTCGACTTTCACGCCTTCGATCGGGTTCCCGGCGGGGTCTTTGACCGTGCAGACTACGATGCAGGGCTCGCCTTGAGGGTCCGAGGACATGCCCGAGCCGGAGCTGATCTCTTCGGCTTCGTGCGTGTGGAAGGGCCCGAGCACTGATCCTTCGGTGGTTCCGGGCAATTTGGGGTGGTCGATGGCGTCGACTAGGAGACTGAGTCCGAGGATGTCGGAGAGGAGGATGTATTCCTATGATTGATTGATATGTTGGTCGTGGGGAAATCGGAGGAGGGAGAGAGAGGGAAAACTTACATGTCTCACGTCGGTAGTGATCTGGCCTACCTTGACCAGGAAGTTGAGAGCAGTCATCCATTCCTTGGTGCTTAATCTGGTTTCCCGCGCGAAGTTGTGGAGATGCGTAACTAGTCGTTCCATGAGGTATCTGGAGAAAGCAGAGGGTCAATATGTTTTTTTCCCGGAATCACCGCAGCATGGGGGAGCAGCGCAATTGCAGATTCACTTACGTGAGGCGGGGATCATCTCCTTGGGAGTTTATGGTGATGGTGTTCTCGGTGATATTGTCGATGTTCAGGTCCTTCATAGGAGGGATCTTGACTTTTGTTGGGTCCATCTTGGCGGGATTGTGCTGCGCGCTCTCTCGAAGTGTTCGAAGAATGGAAGAATGGAGATAGATGATGGTCGAGGGAAAGAAGAGGGAGATGTAGAGACAGAAATATAGAAATATAAGAGGGGAGGAGGGGTAATGCGGGGTATTAATCGAGTGAGATGTCTATCCTGCTCTATATACACACAGAGACTGTGAGATCCACGACGGAGAGATTTCGTCTGATATAAATTGCAGAATGGACAATGAATGGCCCGAGTCGCTGAAGATCCGGATGTTCTCAGTGGCCAAGAAGGTCAGATGGCAGGATCATTCGAGGGCGGGCAGGGCAAGGCGCGCAGACGGGTTCATTAGTAACTGATTGGAAAGGATTGGAAATGTTAAATGTTTTGCCGGTCGTACGTTGGGTGGAATGGTTCCTTAGCCCATCGTTGGCCCCGGATTCTAAGAACGGCAAACGATGGTTGGGGGGTATTCCGCCCCCGCAGAACATAGGATGGCTGGATGGCTGAATGGATGAAGACAATGGTTGAAGACAACACCCGGCTATCCTTCATGCTTCAACTCTCAAGTCCCCGACTACTTTGGCGCAGAGGCAGTATCCTCCTTAATCGCATTGTAGTTGTGGAATTGCCTGCTTGCCCATGTGCGCCGCTGGTCAGGGATCTTCATTGATGTCTAGCTTCCTCAATGCTCATATCCAAATGGGCTCTGCTCTGCATTGCTACGTAGAGCGTCTCTATCTATTCCTTCTATTCCCTCTATATGTTGACACACCCAGATATCCATTCAAGGCCTTCCCTCATAGGACGCCTTATGTTTCGATGCACCTTCCGCCTTCTCGACCATATCAACCATGAAGCTGCCTCCCAGCAAGATCGCCGGCTCATTCAGGTTGTGATGCTCGTAGCTCAGTGTCCCAACACCCCCGGCCTCCAGCAGGAACGTCGGGCCATCCCTCAACGTCTTCTGCACCCACCGCATAGCAAACGCTCTGAGGATATGTCCATGAGCTACAATTAACACATCTCCAGGCGGCGCCTCCCCCTTGGGTTTCCCAATGACGGGCGCATGATACTTGGTACGGATCTCATCGATAAGTCGGTCGACGCGCGCGGTGACTTGTTCCGGTGACCTAGACGTTCTGTTAGCAAAACGGGAAAGACGAGAGTATCAGACCTCCCAGAAAGATGAATACGTACTCTCCGCCTGGGCACCCATCCCTCCATATATCCCACGGCTCAAGCCCGGCCTTGCTCCTCATCTCCCTAATCTCAGCGCTGGTGATGCCCTCATAATCGCCGTAATCCCACTCCCTGATATCCTCTGTGATCTCCACCTTAGCATTTGTCTTGATTTCCTCTTCAGACAGCGTTGTTGTTTCCTCCCACGGCAGCCTCTCTCTGCAGCCGATTTCGAGAAGTTTGAAGGTGCGTTGGGCGCGGCGACGGGGCGAGACGTATCTGTGGTTACATGTAAGATAGATTGTAAGGGGAGAGGAGAGGAGAGGAGGGGGGAGCGGAACACGAACATATGCGCGAGATTTCGAGGGACGATTAATCGATCATCGCCAACCAGCGCGCGTCCAGTGGCTATGATCCTCTTCTCTCCATTCTCAGTGAGAGGCAGTTCAGTCGTGCCCGTATGTCGCCCATTCAGAGACCATGCTGTTTCGCCGTGACGGATCACGAAGACCCTTGGAGTTGCCATGCCCGCTTATCTGATCTCCGTTCCCTGCCCCTTTCTCGGATTGCAATTGGGTCGAACTTTTGTAATCTGATCTCTAAAGTCCTCGATTGGAAATACTCTACCAGGCGGTCCAGGTCGTTTGGTTTTCGTCTTTAATACTGTGCGAAGAGAGGAGTGATTACCTATCTGACAGAGCAGTGAGTGACGTATACATGCTGAACCCCTCTACGCCCAAATGCCCGACTGCGCAACGCACAACGCGAGAACGAACAATGGCAGAATTTACCTTTGAACAAAAGTGCAAATCCCCTCAATCAATGATTCTGTTGAAATCGACTACACAAGAAGAATTGAGAGAGGAAAGCAGAGAGAAATGGCAGATTCTCCCAGGGCTGCACTCCGCCCACGCCGCGCCATGATACTGCCGCGCCTAGCTCAGCATCTGCTGGAGCCATATGCGTCCCTTGCCTACCTTACCATATGTACCGACAACACCGCAGACGTGTAGACCTACTCAATAGGCTTGCTTTTCTATTGTGAGCTCTTGGTCTTCTACTTCCTCGACGACCTCGAATCCGGCGAGCGCCCGTGGAGACGGAATTACAATCTTCCAGCTGTTGCCGAAGAAGCGATAGAGAACTGGATGCGCTGAGGACAAGAGAAACGGAGATCGAACAGTGGAGAAGTTAGGGATAGTGAGGGCAAGAGGAATTCCACGGCTGAGTGCAAGAACGGACGTCAGAAGCCACAGGCATTGTGCTGGGCGAATCAATTATCGCTATTCCATACAGCAAGAACACCGCGATACTAGGTATATTCTAGTCGGAGGGGAAGGGAGGCAAGATGTCGGCAGCAGCACAACAGCAGAAAATCCGCAGATTTGTCTGGACGGGAGCAATATCTGCGGTTACGGCGATGGGAGCATGGTATGGCGCGGGACTAAAGACGCAGAGTGAGATAAAAGAGGTCTGTATCCCACTGTCTAGTGCTCTCCCGACCTCCTCTTTTGATAATCTTTCAGTTGAGTTGAGGAAAATGCTAATGGCAATATTCAGGAGATTGAGAAACGACGGGAAGCCACGCCGGCGGAAGTCATAGCAAAATTAGAGGAACAGAGAGGGGCTTTGGTTGCTAAGAGGATTGGGCTGGAGAGGAAGATACATGAGCTGGAGATGAGGATGAATGGGGCCACGAGGGAGGAGAGTATGCAGGGGATGGAGAGAAAGAGGTGAGAGACACTGGTTGTCTGATGGAATAATACACGCGGGTTGATGCTTTGGGCCTCATGCTGAGGGAGGGACATCTGGGAATACTCGATCCAGCATGCTCCTCAGAAACGCAAGGGGGATCTTGGCCTTCGAGTCAAGTCGATAGTGGAGGCAGTTGGAGGAATTGTATATCAATGACTGTATAACAGCATATTCACAATTACATGGGCCAGGCTCTACAACAAAGGATATCCTCGCAAGGACGAGTCAAAATACCAAAGAAAAAATAAGTCCGTCAACTCCAATTGTCTCGGTATGGCTTGAACCAAATGCAAGAAAGGCCCACCACGACAGTTCTCGGCCTGCGAGAGGTATTACAGCTGTCCCCGGAAATTTTCACAGAAATTCTCAACTCTATGCGGACGTGAGACAAGAGGGAGGTTCTTCAAAGTGCCCGACAAGTATCCGAGGCTACTGTAGCGGGAAAATCGACTCCCTACAAACTCTCCGACATAACATAAAGTACCTATATACATTTTGGTCTCCCCATTTCTCCCACACAAGAACATTCCTTCAGGATACTCTACATCTGAGAAACATCCAACATGACTGACTGGGCTGAAAAGAACCGCTCCCATTTTGAGTACGCCCCCGCTTTACCACGTCCAAAACTGCCTTTCTGTCAGCCTCGTAGTGCAAGGCTGCAAGGCTATCTCTCTATGTCCCTCCTCAGCAATCCCCTTTCTCCCTCTCTCCCTTCTCTCCTTTTCCCTTAGCAGTTCAGATCATACATCAGCTAACCCCAAGCAGTGAGCAAGCATCAACCTACAACAGCAAATTCCGCAACAGCATCGAGCAGATCACCCGAGCGATCCAAGAACGCCTCGACTTCATCGGCGTAGACTGGGTCGACCCCTCCTCCTCCTCCGAGGACGAAGCCGCCGCATCATCCTCCAAAGCCGCATCCCCAAAAGAAAAGTCCATCCGGCTTCTAGACTACGCATGCGGCACCGGCATGATTTCCCGGGTTTGCGCCCCCCCTTTTCTCCCCTCTCTCTCAAATCCTAACACTCACACCCCATATCTTCTTAGGCCCTAGCTCCCTACATAACCCAAAGCATCGGGATCGACATCTCATCCAGCATGGTTGAAGAATACAACAGCAGCGCTTCAAACCAAGGGCTCAGCGCCTCCGAGATGCGCGCCTTCGTGGGGGATCTGCTCTCCCCGATCCCCAGCCCCTCCCTCTCACCCCCCGAATTCCACGACTTCGACATCGCCGCCGTCGGGCTCGGATTCCACCACTTCACGGACCCGCGACTCGCAGCCTTGCGGCTCGCTGAGAGGTTGAAGAAGGGCGGCGTTCTGTTCATCGTGGATTTTCTGCCCCATGAACATGTGCATGGACATGCGGCTCACACCGTTGTGCATATGGGCTTCGAGGAGAAGGATATTAGAACCTGGTTTGAGGAGGCGGGCGTGGGTGCGGGCTTTAGGTATGAGGTGCTTGGGAAAGGTATGGTGGTTATGCATGATGGGAGGGAGCAGAAAAGGAGTCTGTTTATGGCGAGGGGGACGAAGATGTAGTGCTTGAAGAATTCACTTTTTGCCTATTGTTAAGTCTTTTGATCGAGTTATGTTGTGTTTGAATGAGATTATGAATGGATGTGGTGCTTGTTCAATCAAGTTATTAGTATCATAAGAGGAGAAGGGGCTTCTTTCCCCGCTATTAGCGTCAGTCGAGTTCAAGGTATCTTCGATCGAACAGTCTCTAAGGAATTATTGCAAGCGCAAGAGACGAGATTCTCGACATGTGAACTCATTGCATTGCCCTCTTTGCGCCACCAAGGATGAAAATGATGAATTGGCAGCTCAGATAACATTTCCATACAATGATATGTGGTTATTTATTCAGGGCTATCTATCATCACCCCCCTATTCTACGCTCTTTACGGATTTTCCTCAAACGTCCCAGGACGGAGACTGCAGAACCGGCTATTTTGAGGCCGTGTTTGTAGCAAATCTATCTACCAAACGCCGTTGCCCGTTGACTCTTTACAAACCAAATTACCACATCCTCGTCCTCCTCGTGAAACTTGACGCCCAGCCTCGTAGGCGTACCGTCTTTGGTCTCGAACCTTGCTCTGACCTGCACACTGAAGTGAGCTATGATCACTACTTTGAAGAGGAGCGTATCTTCGTTGATATGTTCCAGCGCCATCGCGTCGACCCGTCGAGGAAAACTTCTCACCGCCAGCTAGTCGTTAATCACGTCTAGAGTTAAGGTATCGTTCCATACGAAGGGTGTGTGTATAAACCAGCATATCCGGTCATGGTGCAGGACATTCATTTCCCCCTTTTTTTTCTTTTGAACTCTTCTGGGTTTATTCTATAGTAATCTAGTAAGGCATCGCCCTCTATAAAAGATAAACCTCGCATCACTTGCATCGTGTCCCTATGTCTATTCCACAGATTTAGCTACCCCATGCATGTACTCAGTCGGGTTGTAACTTTTCACTAAATCTGGAACAGCAAGCAACATTCTTCGACTTGTTCTGGCTGGTCAAATCGATCTCAGGCGTGCCATCCGCAGGGTGACTAACCCGATGCACAATACGATATGGTATCTTGGTTATGCTTTGCTAGAGCGAGATGGGAGCAGCAGACTAGAAAAGATAGCATCATCTCCGGCCTGTGAAGGGGCTGGAGTAACGAAAGCTGACCACTCTCACTCGAGGTAGCCAACTATTTTCTGACTGCAAGGAATCGATATAAAATAAGCTTGAACTATTAACCGCATGCCGGTTTGATATAAATGGTGCTGACGACTAACATAGACCTTTGTCTCGACTTCCAGAGACAGGAGTGAGGTGCCACGTCTTTGACAAGTTTCACATGGGAGAGAGGGAAGACAAATTCTAGCCTGGACAGCCTAGGGCATTCAGAACAAACATGTATATGTCGACTTCAGACAGGATTGTAGGGCAGAGGGAGAATGCTGCTCTTATAAATGCCCGACACCATCCTCCAGGTTGATGTCTGATAAGGGGCAGCTCGAAGCCAATATGATAGCTCAGAACTGGTGGATGCGGTGAGTGTCGTCGGGGCGGGACTATACTTTTCCAGAAGCATCACGTGATTTAATGCCGATGCAACCCGTGGCCGGTCCACATCCGATGCGTGGTGCTTACCTCAGCGCGGTGTTTGCTGTAGATCCGTTGCTGTCCGATGTTCGGCCTCAGGGCGTCGAGCCTCTGCGGTATCTACACGTGTGCCTACAGAGACCCAGTGTGTGCCTAATAAGGCAGGCAGCGCGGGAGATCCCTCTTCTCGGGAAGCACGTGGCGGCAAATTCTCATCGCTACGGAGCAGGCATATAACAGATATCATAGAATACCGATAACAGTACATGAAAATAGATAAAACTTCACCTATGATATCATGTATATATCATGGAAAATGTACGCGCTTGTCTCTCATTTACCATTTGGTTTCCTTCGGCCTTGGGCGAGGGGCGGCCGCTGAACCCCGCTATTTGTTATTCCAACGCCCCGCCATTTGCCTAAATGGTTTGACCTTCGGAGGGCGCGAAGGCAAATACACACAATTTTCAAATGACTCATTTTTCACAAGAAATCTCCCAATAAAAACATATCAGATATTTTGGTTCTTCGTTGATTCAAGCCTCGTGCATAGTTGACTCTTGCAAGGCTTCTTGGCTGCGCTCCTAAAAGGCCCATTTTACCGCCGTAGACGCCGGCCGAGATATACCTACGGTACTTGTATAATCACCTACCTCCCGTTGCCTTCACCCCCCCGTGAGAACCTTACCCCACCAATCAACCAAAATGCCCATGTAAGCCCACCCTTTGCACCTTGAGACGAATGCGAATGTGCCAGTACTGATGGTGGCGTGAACAAGGCTCAAGGATCCGTCAAAGAAGTACAAGCGCTTCGAGCCTTTGAAGCTTGAAAACCGGCAATGGCCGAACAAGACCATCGACAAGCCTCCACGATGGCTCTCGACCGATTTGCGCGATGGCAACCAGAGCTTGGTTGATCCCATGGTATGCCTCTCTTCAGTGGTCGTCCATTCGTCCAGGAGGGTGCTAACAGGTCGGACAACAGGACGGAGAACAAAAATGGAAATACTTCAAGATGTTGGTCGAATTAGGATACAAGGAAATCGAGGTCTCCTTCCCCTCAGCCTCGCAGACCGACTTCGACTTCACGCGCCGCCTCGTCGAGACCCCCGGAGCTGTCCCCGACGATGTGTGGCTCCAAGTCCTCTCTCCTTGCCGAGAGGAATTAATCAAGCGGACGGTTGAGTCTCTCAAGGGTGCCAAGAAGGCGCTTCTACATATCTACCTTGCGACGAGCGAGTGTTTCCGACGGATAGTGTTTGGAATGACGGAGGATCAGAACGTGGAGTTAGCGGTCAGATGCACAAAATACGCACGGTCGATTACGAAGGACGACCCCTCCCAAGCGGGCACAGAATGGGCCTTCGAATTCAGTCCCGAGACATTCTCAGATTCCCGACCAGAGTTTGTGATTAGGATATGCGAGGCCGTCAAGGAGGCTTGGGGCCCTACAGTCGAGAACCCCATCATCTTCAACCTTCCAGCCACGGTGGAGATGTCAACACCAAACGTCTATGCAGACCAGATTGAGTATTTCTGCACGCATATGACGGAGAGAGAAAAGATCTGTGTTTCCCTTCACCCCCACAATGACCGAGGGTGCGCGGTTGCGGCCGCCGAGCTGGCACAGATGGCTGGTGCGGATAGAGTAGAGGGATGCCTCTTCGGGAATGGAGAGAGAACGGGCAATGTTGATCTCGTTACCCTGGCTTTGAACCTCTACACACAAGGTATTCACCCCAATATCGACTTCTCGGATCTTAACAGAGTCGTCGATGTTGTGGAAGTGAGCAACAAGATCCCAGTCCATCCTCGAGCACCCTATGGAGGCTCCCTCGTCGTTTGCGCCTTCAGTGGTTCTCATCAAGACGCTATCAAGAAGGGATTCCAAGCACGCAAGCAAGCCGGAGCTACAGACGAGGACCATTGGCAGCTACCATACCTTCCTCTCGATCCTCAAGACATTGGCCGCACATACGAGGCCGTCATCCGGGTCAACTCACAGAGTGGCAAGGGTGGAGCAGCCTGGATCATTCTGCGGAATCTCGAGCTCGACCTTCCTCGCGGTCTTCAAATTGCGTTCAGCAAGATTGTTCAGAAACGAGCAGATGAAGTGGGCCGCGAGCTCCTCTCTACCGAGATCCAGGACTTGTTCGAACAAACTTATTTCCTCAAAGAGAACCCACGGTTTACATTAGTCGACTATAACATCACCACCGACCGCTCGGCGTCCCCTGCGCCCCCAGCACCGGGCAAGACGCAGGATACCAAGAACCTCAAGCGATGTTTCAAGGGCGTGATCGCGATCGATGGTCAGGAAGTTGAGTTGCAGGGTACTGGTAATGGGCCCATCTCCTCCTTGGCCAATGCCCTGGGCTCAGTGGGCATCCACCTCGAGGTTGCGGACTACAAAGAACACGCTATCGGAGGAGGCACAGATGTCAAGGCAGCAAGCTATATTGAGTGTTCGGCTGCCGGGTCAAGCGAGAAGGTCTGGGGTGTGGGTGTGCATGAGGATGTGGTGCAGAGTTCTTTGATTGCACTTCTGAGCGCTGCCAGCAACGTACGTCTGCATAACCCAAGCACACATAGAATAAAGGGGCTAACAGAGATACAGTTTGTCACCAGCAGATCCAGCACCCCCTTGTTGCTCAGGGGAAAACATGCGCGAGCCCCGAGCCAAGACCTTGACCTTAACGGAGCCCCTAAGACCGCGGATGGTGTTGCCATCCCCAAACCTAGTGCTCCGCCAAAGAGCGGACCAGACGCGGTGGGTGTCTTGGAGGCGAAGGCGAATGGGATGTGAGTGTAGAGAGAACAAAGAAGGCCTGGCGCTTGGATAGGTAGCCTTGGAGGGGTAGTTTTAGCTTCTTGTTAACCTTGCATGGTTGGGAGGGCTTAAAAGTCTTGTTTATATGAGTAAATAGGTACTTTACTACTTACGTCGCACGTTCTGGAATCAGCGTAGACCCTATTAAAGGTAAGGTAGGAAAGGGAGATGAAAAAAACCCCCGGATCTCCCATCTCCCCCAAAAACCGTGACGCGCGTCACGTGCCTCACCTCCAACCCGACCTTGCCCGATGCAGCGCTAGCGCCGTCTCTATCCCAGCAGCAGCGCGAATTGCTGAGTGGACGACTTTCTGAAAAACGATCGACCCTTTACATATCTCCCCTACTCTGTCCAAGTCTCCAAATCCCTCCCCCATAGACATCTTCTTTACGGTTCTTGATTCTTTACATTCATTTGCCTGTGGAGTCCGCCCCCCTCGCATCGTCTTGCTCTGTTGACCGTTTCGGCTTGTGCACTCTGCCCCGCAGCCTCGCACGGAGTTACGAGTGCAAGAGAGGCACTATCAACACGAAAGTCAATAAAACTTCCGCACAAGCGACCTTCCACCACAAACCTCTTTGACTCCCCCTTCTCGACCCCTCCCCCGTCTCTTTGCCCAGAGACACTCTCCATACTCTCTGCCACCAAAGCAAGCTCTCTGTAAGGCTCTTACCTAGGTACATTCCAGACGCACGAGACGCGCAGCAACGGCTGTGACACCGCGATCATGGACGTCAATCAGGTGTTATTGAATACCTTCTCAGCTGGTCAGTTCTCACATTACCAGCTCCAGCGAGGGCTATCAGCTGGCATAGATTGATCAACACTGACTGTGAACAGATGGTCCCACTCGAAATGCTGCTGAACAGCAACTCACACAAGCTGCTGAGACCAACTTCGTATGTTGCCTATGTTGCCCTACCCTGACCGCATCCCTTGGCCTGCGTAGCGCAGCCCTGCTAACCTCTGTCACTACAGTCCGGCTACCTAGTCACCCTCGTTCAAGAACTTGCCAACGAAGAAGCCCAAGGCTCGATCCGTGCCGCTGCTGGTATTGCGTTGAAGAACGCCTTCACTGCGCGCGAATATGCTCGGTTACGCCAATTACAGGAGAAGTGGATACAACAAGACCCCGACACCAAGAAACGGGTGAAGGATCTCTCACTCCAGGCCCTCGCCTCAACCAATGCTCAAGCTGGGCAAGCAGCTGCTCAGGTCGTCGCTTCAATAGCAGCCATCGAGCTGCCGCGCGATCAATGGCCCGAGCTTATGCAATGGCTGGTACGCAGTGTCGGCGATGGTGCTGACCATCTTAAGCAAGCTTCCTTGACCACAATCGGATTCATCTGTGAGAGTCAAGATGCAGAGCTCCGAAGTAGCCTGGTTCAACACTCTAATGCTATCTTGACTGCTGTTGTTCAAGGAGCCCGAAAAGAGGAGCCCAACCCCGAGGTTCGTCTGGCTGCCATCTATGCTCTTGGAGACTCCCTAGAGTTCGTAGATAGCAATTTCAAGAATGAGGGCGAGCGGAATTATATCATGCAGGTTGTCTGCGAGGCTACACAAGCTCCTGATACGCGGATACAACAGGGCGCTTTCGGGTGTCTCAACAGAATCATGGCTCTTTACTATGAGCTAATGCGCTTCTATATGGAGAAGGCTCTGTTTGGCCTCACTATCATGGGCATGAAGAGCGAGGAAGAGGATGTTGCCAAGCTCGCCGTGGAGTTCTGGAGCACTGTTTGCGAGGAGGAAATTGCCATTGAGGATGACAATTCACAGGTTCGTATTAAACCTACTCGCCTTTCTATAGTTGCTGACCCATCAATTACAGGTCGAGAGAGTTGATCAAATGCGACCTTTCTACCACTTCTGTCAGGTCGCGACTAATGAGGTCGTCCCAGTTCTCTTGACACTATTGACAAAGCAAGATGAGGATGCAGGTGATGACGAATATAACATCTCACGAGCTGCATATCAATGTCTGCAGCTTTACGCCCAGGCAGTTCGACAGATCATCATTCAGCCAGTTCTCTCGTTTGTTGAGGCCAACCTGCACCACGAGGACTGGCACCACCGAGATGCCGCTATCTCGGCATTCGGTGCCATCATGGAAGGTCCAGATGATAGCACTCTCGAGCCCATTGTCAAGCAGGCACTACCAGTAATCATCACCATGATGGATGACAAGGTCATCCAAGTCAAGGATTCCACGGCCTATGCTCTCGGACGCATTACCGAGGCCTGCTCAGAAGCTATCGACCCCCAGGTCCATCTACCACAACTGATCGCATCACTCTTTGCCGGTTTAATCAGCAGTCCGAAAATGGCTGGGTCATGCTGCTGGGCATTGATGAATCTTGCTGAGCGCTTCTCGGGCGAGATAGGATGCGAGGAGAACCCTCTCACACCTCACTTCAACGAGAGTATTACACGACTCCTCCAAGTCACCGAGAGAGGTGATGCTGATAACCAGCTTCGAACCGCTGCTTATGAAGTCCTTAACACCTTTGTCCAGAATGCGGCCAATGCCAGTCTTCCTGCTGTTGCATCCTTGTCAGATGTCATCATCAAGCGTTTGGAGGCCACCGTTCCTCTTCAAGCTCAGGTTGTCAGCGTCGAGGACAAGATCACCCTTGAGGAGATGCAGACCAGCTTAGCCAGCGTCCTCTTGGCCATCATCCAACGACTCGAGAAAGAGATTCAGCCCCAGGCTGACCGTATCATGACCGTTCTGTTGCAGATCCTTACCAATGCAGGTCCGAAGTCAAGTGTCCCTGAAGCTATCTTTGCAACTGTCAGCAGCTTGGCCAATGCTCTGGAAGAAGCCTTCTCTCCTTACATGGAAGCTTTCGTTCCCTTCCTCTACAATGCACTTGGCAACCAGGAGGAGCCCGGTCTCTGCTCGATGGCTATCGGCCTCGTCAGCGATATCACCCGTTCGATGGGCGAGCCTTGCCAACCATACTGCGATACATTTATGAACTATCTATTGAACAACTTGAGAGTACGTCATATTTTAACTTCTTACTTTACTCATCCCCCTTGGAACCTCTATTTGAATATGCCGGATCAAGCCCTTTTTCCTTGTTGTCCATATTTGAAGGATCGTCGCTTACATCAGACACAGAGTACGGCGCTTGCCAACCAGTTCAAGCCTGCTATCCTTCAATGCTTTGGGGACATTGCTGGGGCTATTGGCGGTCACTTTGAGACCTACCTTTCGGTTGTCGCCCAAGTCCTTCAACAGGCTGCCAGCGTTCAAGCTAGTCCAGATGGATCGTATGAGATGTTCGATTATGTCATCTCGTTGCGTGAAGGTATCATGGACGCTTGGGGTGGGATCATCGGCGCTATGAAGGCTGGCAACAAGAGTAAGTTATCCGTTCGTCGGAGGTACGGCGTGCTAATATCAATCCAGCTGCACTGCTTCAACCATACGTCGAATCGATCTTCCAACTTCTCAACATTGTCTGGCTTGACCCGAACAGAAGCGACGCGCTCATGCGCTCTTCTATGGGTGTGATCGGGTATATTTTCACAGTTCCTATAGATATTGTTCAGAAGTTCTAACGTCAAATAGTGATCTCGCCGATGCCTTCCCCAACGGCGAGTTCGCATCGTACTACCGCGCTGATTGGTTGACCGCCATGATCAAGGACACTCGTCAAAACCGTGAATACCAAGCCCGAACCATTGATACGGCTCGATGGGCACGCGAGCAGGTCAAGCGTCAAATTGGGGGCACCCAAGGCGTCCAACAAACATGATCGCTTCTTCGATCATTCGCGTCCAAGAATCCTATAACTTTTAATGTCCTTCCCCTAGGGCCGGCGCAACGTGAAGTTTACGCATAGAGCTTTACTGGATTATTGACGTCTTCATTTATCACTTCTGTTCTGTTACATCTTTGCCTGGCTTATCTTCGACTCTGCAGCAGGCCTTACCCTTGTTTTATTCTTTCCCCCTTCCTCCATCGTGGCGACCCCGGAACCTTCTAGCGATAAAGCGATAAACGATCCTCGGCGAAGTCGACCGTAGATCCGTCTGGGAATCATCGACACGACATAAATGTTTTGCACAGCACCTTACAGCACGTTTAGCACCGACAGCACCCTTGTATAAAAGTTTTCGACCCCTTACACCCCTTGTCACCACCCCGCGCCAATACCCCAGATATGCCCCTACGCTAGCGTTCACGTTTCCTTTTACGACGAAGAGAAGTCAGAGGAGGAGATTAGAGAGAGACGAGCACCAGAGGAGGACATAGTCATGCCACCTACCCTTCTTGTATTCCCCCGATCTAGGTGGAAATAGTAATGTAATAGCCCGCAACGAGCGACCGACTGGGTCCGTAGCGTGGCTGGTGGCTGGCTATAATCGCAAGGGAAGAAAGCACGGATCCGAGAGGAGATGGATCGCATGGAGAGAGGTTGTGGATAGATTCTGCGCGCGTGGCCACGGCCCCTGCATCAAGTGATGTGATGGGACCCCGTCACCGCATCGGACCTTTTTAGGGGAGTGTAGGGGAAACTATGGAAGGTTGTGGATATGATTGAGATGAATGAAATGTGATCCCTCCATGCTTATGCTTGCGTGCCTTTAATTATGTGATTGTGTGATTATCAACCCCCCTCCTTTCTTCCCTTATCCAACTATTATATTCCCTCCTATTTTCATTTTAGTTTCGATCTAAGAAAGAGGTAGACGTTGATGTCACTATTCACTGGATTGATTGTACACCTACGGAAAACAGAGATAGGTAAGGCACTATTAATATAAGCATGCACTGCTTAACTAGGTAGGTAGGTAACCTCGTTCGATTCATTGTTTTACCTAGCTAGCTAGATTCCTTGCTATAAATTCATATATATACAATTTCATCAAAAAGGTTAACGCCTATGCCATCTACCTTATCAAGTGCGTGCGGAAAATGTCAACGCTATGCATACATGCTGTGATTCTTTGGGGGGTTTCGTATCGTATCGTGTGTCGTTATATCGTGGCATATCGTGTTGTCATGGGAGGGAGTGAGAAGCTTTTGTGGGGCTTGGGTTTTTGAGCAAGATTCGGACTTCTCACCAAGTAAAGCTCTCCTCGATAAAATCCACCACCCCTTCCTCCTGCACCTCCCTCACCACCTCTCTAACATTATCCGCTAACCCACCGGGTCCGCAGACCGTGACGCACATAGCGCCCACCCTATTCCTGACCTCGTTCTTCAACAGGAATTGCACGTTTGGGCGTCCGGGGAACAGCTGCACCGTGGCGCTGGGAGAGATGAGTTGGCGCGCGTCGCGCGGTCGCGTTATGAAGAGCTTGAGCGTGAGGACCGCGCGCCGGTGCGGGTGTTGTAGAAGTGTGTCCATCCAGGGACGAACCCAGGTTAGTTGTTCGATGTCGCGGATGATCCAGACGAGGAGGATGCGGCGCGTGGCGACGGTCGCGAGAGAGTAGTTGTGTAGCAGGTGGCGGATGTAGGGCAGTTGGTGCGTGATGCCGCTGGAGCCCGCGAAGAGGACGACGTGCCCGTAGGAGTCGAGGGAGTGGTGGCCTGCGTAAGGCCCTTCGAGGGCGGCGCGGATGGGCAGTGTGCGTGGAGCCACTCGGGCTTTGTTGAAGAGACGTCGGGTTAGGCCGGTTTGAGCCTGGATGATGAAGGAGACCTCGGTGATGGTGTTTGATTTGTCGATCCGCATTGGGTCTTGCGACTCCAAGTCCTTCTCTGCGCTTGGGAGGACGGGGATGCGAGGTCGGTGGTCAACCCACGCGATGGAGAAAGGGTGGGATTCCCATGGGTTTATCGAGGAAAATCGGAGGTAGGCGTGGGTGCCAGGCTTGATATGGATGTATTTCGGAAGGTGCAGGATCACTCTGCAGGCATCCCCAGGTAGTGCTTCGACCGAGGCGTTTATCCAGCCTTTGCGTGAGTAGTTGCAGTACACGATCCTGACCATGCGAGCAATCCTTTCTCCTAGCCATAATGAAATCGCAGCCCAGATGTAGGGTCTCTGAGGAAGCTTGCCCAGTTCGCAATGAATAACGACGGCAAGCATCAAGACGCATGCAAGTATGATATGGACATCAAGGAATGTCTCGTAGAAAGCATGTCTGACTGGAGAGGGAGAACTCAAGAGGATGACGAGCATAACAATGGTGCCAACCGTGCCCCAGGTTATGAAAGGGTCCTGTATAATCATTGAACCAATGCCAGACCATCCTGTTGCTGCGTATTTGACATAAGCCCAAGCTGCGGTGTGTACGAATACTTCCAGGACGACAACTCGGCCCATCCATCGATGAAGAAGGTTGTAAGTGTCAAAACTGACCTGCAGTAGGGAGATCAAGGGGTTGTTACGGCCTGCGAAGATCACTAGCGGGATCATGTTGACAACCGCTAGATCCCCTGATATGCCCCGTAGCTGAGCTACTACCGAGTACTTGTCGAGTTTCCCATAATCCAGCCATGCGCAGTACACGATGTTGCTTATGACATAGGCGCTCAGGAGGAGGGTGTGGAACCTCGACGGAAGGGTTCCCATGCTGATAGCTGAGGAGAGCCGGATCTCTCGATTGTGACGTTTCTTCCACAGGGGTGCGTAGAGGAGATGTTTCTTGACTTTCCACCAGCTTGTCCGGTTCAGCGTCCAATACGTCTGCTGTTGCCCTGATACGCTCATGGCCATAAGATGTCGTAGATGGGACTGGAGCCTCTCACCCATTCTTACGAGGAGTATGAGCACGGCCAGCGCGCCTAAACTCCCCCACAAGGCATCTCTGAAGATGTTGTTCATCGATATGTTCACCCCGTTGAGGGCGGTTGCAAATGGTGCTATCGCCTCGGCTGCTGACTGGTTTGTCGAACTGGCGTTTGTGGAGCATGTGCTCGTTTCGTTCACGAGCTGACGAAGGGAGTGGAAGGCGTGATGCTCCGTTTGAGAGGCCATTGAGGTACTATCTGTGAAATTCGTGGATATTCGGGTAGGACCTGAGATACTTTAAAGTGTGAATAGATCTAAGCGTTCTTGAGTTGAATGTTTCTAGAAGAGTCGAGGATATTGAGACGTTTGAAGATTGGAGACCAACCTTCGAGATCAAGATAGAGATGACCTCCTTAACAATACTATTCTCCCTATTGTTCTCTAGTGCGGAACAAAGACTTGGTGTTCTGAACAAGAGGCATTGTTGTGAAGTTGATTCGAAGGACAAAAGGTCGTCGTCAGAACTGATAGACAAAGGGCACAATGACTGTCTTGTCCCCGGTATTTAGTCTGTTGCCTAGTATGATTCAAAGACAAAGGATAATATTGTGGATGATCCGATAGGGAAGGGTGTAGATTGAGCTCGTAGAACTTGCGCGAACTGGCGGAATCCCAATACAGAAAATTGAAAAGAAGATGATTCAAAGCTTCGTCTCTCTGATCACTCGTTTGTTAATTGGCGATGTTTCCAACTTGTAATTTCGCTGCTCAGCAGAACTTATAGGTGCAGCGGATTCGACTTCGATCCAAGGAAGCAGAAGGCGGGGGAGCTAGAACAAAAGAGCAGCAAAAGAACTAAAACGCAGGTCATCGCACATGAAAAAGAAGCTTTTCGTAACTATGGGCCGGCGGTCTTTTACTACCACCAGATCGAGAGAGTCAAGAGAATCGGGAGCGGGTCCATCTCGTAGATCCCAGCCACATTCAAAACTACAGACAGGCTTGAGGCAAACGAGGGAGCACAGCACGGCCTACCAACTAGATGTACAAGCAAGAGGACTGCGAGCCTTAAGAAGCCAGGCAGTCCGGGCCAGCTAAAAACTGCTCATCGTGACTCGTGAGTCGTGAGGCTACCTCTCAATCGGTCCTGTGGATTGTGGGTGTATACGAGGGATGTCCCGGGCCACCAGCGATTGGACGTGGATTAACTCGGCTCCAAGTGCAGATCTCGAATATCCTGGACACTTTCACGGCGCTCTCGTTTCACTGGCCGAAGGTCTTGAAACAGCCCGAGAAAGGGTTTCAAGTTTCAACATTCACGGGTCGAGCCGACGAGATAAGACGGAATGATTGGCCATGCTGTATGCATACCTACTGTACTGTCGACACGCATATACTGTGGACATAGTAATCATGTTGAACCACGACTCACAAGCTGTAAGATGACGTTCTGCAGGCGGAATCTTGGATCTGGAGAAGCTTCTGTGTATCAGTCTATCAGATAACACCAGACCGATCTTCGCTCGCGTATAGATACTGTAGATCTGGGTATTAACATGAATCATGCACGAGGGCGGGCTCGCTCAGCCTCTGCTGGTATGGGGGGAACCAGCCACGGGAAACGGGACGGGACACGGATAAAGTGGCTTCACGAGAATGCAAAAGCTGGAGAGGAAACAAGCAATCTCTTACTAAGAACTATTCAGGTGGTTCGAACTAATATGAAAAGATATCAGAGAAATGGAATAGGATGCAAAGGATGCAAAGGAAGTAAAAGAGATGTCGTCGAAGAAATGGACAAAATTCCTCGTCTACTTGGAGCCTTATACCCGAGGCATGAACTCCGCGTCTTCGGACATGGTAATCACGTGAAATGACTAAGTCACAATCGCCGTCCTGCCCGAACCTCAAATTTCCAAGAGCTGGATTACAACCAGCCATTGAAGCTCTCCAAGACCTCAAAATGGGATCCGGATCCTCAAAGCCTACATCTGCGCCGACATCTCATGTCTGGCAAAGGTAAACCATCTCAATTGTTTCCCGGTGCAACCCGAAACTGACATGCCCCAGCGAATCACCCGTCCGATTCTCGCAGGAGCTGGTAGACTCCTTGCAGGCCAGCCCCGAGGTATGTGTCCAGCGTGAAGTTCCCATTCTATTCAAATCGCATGCTGATGCTCAATCTCAAAGACCGACTCTACGCGTGCCAAAGCCCTCGAGCTCCATATCCAAGCGCGTGTCGCCAGCGAGCTGAAACGTCTCCAGGAGAGCGCGGCGAAAGAGTACGAGGAGCTGCAGTCCAAGATCTCCGCTGTCGAGGAGCAATCAGCAGAGAAGAAGGAGAAGTCGGCGGGCGACACATTGAGGGAGTTGGGCAGGGAGGCGGTACAGAATGATGTTCAGGAGTTGAAGAAGAAATTGGAGCAGAGGAAGAAGTTGGCGGACCTGGATGAGAACGTGGAGAAGGCCAAGGGGGAAGTGGTGAGGTGCTTGAGGGAGAATGACAGGCGGCCTCTGGATTGCTGGAAAGAGGTGCAGACGTTCAGGGAGGAGGTTAGGAGATTGGAGGACGCCTGGGTTGAGAAGGTTGTTAGGTAGTGAGTACACCACAGTATCGGGAAATGTAGAATATGTGTAACAGAAGGAAATGGATGGGCCGACTGGCTTTTGGGATATTTCGGTCAACATGTAATCTGCATGAGGGAAGGCAGACCAGTACATAAGACAGAATTCCGTGGTTTTGGTGGATGGGGTATCTTTTTTACTCGAGGAATTCTAGACCAGATATATCTTCCGGGTCTTTGGGAGGAGGACCTCCTGTTTCTTTTAACAGCTGCTTTCTCCTCAACCCCTCTGCTTTCTTCCTCTCCCTCCTCACCTGAGGGTCCTCCCATTCCTCTCCATCCCCCCTCCGCTTCGACGCTGCGCCAGCAGACGTCAGTTGTCTCAGCAGTGCTTGAAACCTCATGATTCTTTCACTGTTAACCCGAAATCGTTCGTTAGAAATCTCCAGCAACGTTCTCAGATCTTTTTCCGAAACGCTACAAAGCTCTCGTCCATCATGGTGGAACCCAACTAGTGATTCCAATGCTAGGCCCATCGAGCGGACGGCGACTATTGGACTCGGCGGCTCTTTAGTAGAGGACGTCAGGTTGATAGCACCACTCTCTCGAAACCCGGCTTGGAGAGCTGCGGAGAGAACCATTTGGGCATGTTCAAAAGATGCCGTGAGGACATGGAGAATCTGGGGCCTGTTAGTAAGAGGTTCCATTAGAAGAAAGGGTAAATTAGATCAACAGTTTTCTGAACTAACCATAGGCTCAAATTTGAAATGTATATACCTCCTGGCGGCATCACGTGGTGGATCGTCGTGCAATGGCTCCATTCCCAGAAGCCCTACCAAACCGCCAACATGCCCATGTTCATCAACCGCAACTTCGGTATGAGAGACGTACAGCCATCTTCCACCTCCTCCCTTCCCACCGACTCCAGCTGTTGTCTCTCTTACTTCACCTGCGTCCCCGGAGACGTCCATTTGATCCTCCACAACTTTTCCATCTTCCCCCTCCTTTTCCCCAGGCTCAGCACGGCTCTCCTCTTCAAACCGCCTTTTTCCCTCAAGAAACACACTAACTCGTCCCGAACAACTACTAGTTGTCACACATCCTTCAATCTGATTGATCTCATCAATGAGATCTCGGATCCCTACATCGATTGAGCCCTTGGGTGACAGATCATCGTATTCTGACGCTGGAACAGAGAGTTGATCCAGGATCTTCTTCTTCTTAGCAATGAAAGATTGGGGGAGAGCGGCTTTGGAAGATTGCATGGTTGTGGGGAGGAAGGTGTCATAGTTCAAGAAGAAGAGGGTTTTAGTGACAAGCGAAATTCCTGCCTTTCTACCGAAACATGAAATCTGGATTCTCCATCAATCATCACCACTACACACTTCACATATCATCGTGATGCTAGCTTTTTCATTCAGAAATTCGCATATAATGAGTTGGTTTATCTGTATTGGGGACCTCTCCCCCTGAACAGCAAACCTTCGCTCGAGAGCTGGTGATGATTTTCTCAAGGCAGCCCGAACCTTCACCAAGTCAGCAAATGGTGTTGTGTTGCGTTGCGTTCATTCATCAATCTGTCAAGGCAAATTCAAGTGTTTGTTACTGGCGCAGCAATTATTGAGTAGCACTGAATTTTTGATATGCCTATCGTCCACTACTTCCGAAGCCCACGAGAGCCATGGCCATCCTTCATAACGCAGACCAAGCATTTCACAATCACCATCATCTATCAATTTATCGCGTCGCACGAATTCATTATTCCTCAAGTTAAGGGAAACCCATCCATAAATCCTGCCCTAACCTCATCTGAGATCCAGCTGAGTCAGTTCAGGCCATCCATAATCATCAAAAAGGTTGCAATAATTAAGGCAACGACCAAAGAAGAGAAAGCTCCGAAAACAGAGGTAGAATCATCTGTACCCAGCAAAACCCCAAAAAGGGTATATCCGACTCAATCTCATCAACAGACGCGAGTGATTGATACCATAGTCAAGATGTGATGTGGGCAAGGGACAGTGTCTGGGCTTCAAGTAGAAACCCCGGTTCAAATTTGCGGCCGACAACGATCAGTCAGTGTAAAGCATTTCGTATCAGTACGATTGCTCGCTCGACGGCAAAGCCTTTGGGCCCAGAGCCTGCCTCAAAAGCTTTTCGATCGCCGACCACTCAATTCTTGCGACCTCAGCCAATTTCATCTGTGCGATGTTTTTGGGGAAGTTAAAGTGCAAGTCGAGATCGCCGAACAGCTTCAATTCCTTTTTCTGTTCACCCCGTGCAGCTTGCTCCGCGAGCGACAATTGCTGCTTGGATTCCGTGGTTTCGCGAATGATCGCAATGTACCACTGAGGATAGTCAGAGTGGCCATTCAAAGATACTATTGACATCTCGTTGAAGAGTAATATAGGTTGGGAACAGAACTTACCAATAGCACATCAATGGGAGCACCAGGTTTAGGGCCAATTGTCCAGATATACTTCCAATAGGCTGCGTATGGCGGAACTCCATACTCAATGGCTGTTTGGTCATCAATCTGACAGATGAAGACGACATCGTCTTTCATTGCAGGCGTGAAGCCAGGACACTTCAAGGCAGCTTTCCAAACACGCTTCAGAAGCATCGGAGTGAGACTGAGGTTCTCCTTGTCATTGTTGACACGCTCCACTAGAAGGGTCAACAAGTCAATGGTAGCCTTGTGCAACAGGCTGCGGTCTTCGATGGTAATGTAATCGACCATATACCATGGGTACTGTTAATTGTTAGCAAGGGAAGCCTTGACCGAACGACCTTTTAAGGGGGATATACCTTGAGCAAAGTACTGATGAGGCACTCGAATGGGCGCTGAGGGCACTCCTTCGAGAACGGAGACTAGAACTGTCAGCGAAATTGTCGAGCACTGGAGACGGGAACAATAGAACTAATGGAGAGGCCACGGAAAGATACTTACTCGCTGTGGCGACTCAACGTGCTTCACCAACATGACCAGCTCCTCACGACTGACGAATCCCTGGAATCCAGAATTAAACTTGTCTTTGGGGTCTCTGGGAATAATCTCAGGCTTGGAGCCATGCCACTTGACATTCTTCGCCTTAGGGAACAAATCTTTCATGAGCTGTTCCTGGCTGGAAAGCTCCACCTCAACATGACGCTGACCCAGACGACCACCACGCCCACCAGTTCGGTTGGTTTCGAAGCGATTTACTGCAGCGACAGCCTCGTTCAGACTGACGAACTCGATATAGCAATCTAAAGTCTTGCTTGTAACACGCTCCATGATAATGTGGATAGGCTCATTGTCCTGCTCTGCAACAATTTTTGCGTTGCGACCAAGAAATGCGAGGACCTCTGGGCGATTGACCGAGTATGGGATCTGCAGACTGTTAGCACATCCTGCAAACACTGGTATCTGGACACTCACATTCTTGATCTTGACAACACCCCAAGTGTCTTCCTTAGCCAATCTGCAATATTCGGCGAATGGCAAGTTTCTGTAATCAAGAACCTCCGCGATAGTCGGCTTACGGGTACCATTTCCAGTCAGGTTTCGAAGCAGTGGACTGGCTCCCATGTTGTTTCGTCCGGCCGGCCCAAGCAGAGAATTGTCATAGGGAACGATGGCTTGCATCGGTGCGAACGGATTGGCCGCGCCTGATGAACCATAGGTAAAGGGATCATTTTCGTTGATTGCCCTCAAGGTCCTAGCCTCGGGCCTAGCAGCAGCAAGCAAACTCAACATCTTGGGTGGTGAAGCTCGGCGTTTAGGGTCGGGAATGTCTCTCAAAGTGGAGTTAGCAGCAGTGGGAGTGTTATCGAGCCAGTTCGAGACGGTCTTGTGAGAAGGATCCGTGGCTGTAATGCTCTGTCCGCGTCGAGATCGAAGGTGAGGAGTCTCGGTATTGCGTGGCTCAGAGCTGAACTCAACATCCAGCTGATGGGGTCTCGGGCCTGGCGTCGGAGGCAAGCTGAGGTTAATGTTGGGTTCTTCACTCATCAAAGACTGACGATCACCGGAGACTGAACGGACGCTCGTATTTCCAGCGCTCTGGACGGAGCTGGGAGTGCTTGTAGGTTGAGGTGTCTTCATCGATGGTGGGTGGACTGGACCTCCGAACTCGAACTTCTGGGGATTGTTTTGGCTCTCATAACTTAAAACTGGTGCGGTTCCTAGCTTAGAGGGCTGCATGTTCTGCTGCGAAGACGAGAGTCTCTCCCTGCGGACGAATTGCAAGGTTCCCTGATGCAGGCCACTGTAAGAGGTATTTGGACCAATGCCATAACTACCTCCCTGATTCTGGACGCCGTATGAGGTAGCGGTCGAGTTCATAACCTGTGGATTGTGCACACTTGGCCCAGAGAAAGCGGATCCCCATGGCTGACCAGTCGCGCCAGCACCAATTCCAGGCTGTGCCATGCTCTGGAAGTTCTGACCTGTGATCGGAGGCGGGTAGGTTGGAGAAGGCAAACCATTTGAGCTTGCAGCGTACATGTTGGGTTGGGAGTTATAAGCTGTCTGACCTCCCCCAGCAGTTCCATACTGACCATAAGGATTAGACGTGACTCCAAACGGCTGCTGCTGTTGAAAGTGAGGTTGCATGCCGCCAACTGGGCCTCCGAGCAGACCTGATTGCTGGGTGTATTGATTGGCAGTCTGATAAGGCGGCATATCACCCATCTGGTTACCTTGCTGTAAGGACTGCTGCGAGGTTGAAGAAGAAGAGATCGAATTGTTCCGGATGTAAGGATTAGCATACATCGGGGGACCTTGGAAGCTCTGTGTGACAGGCGTGATGGGTGAGAAGCCAGTAGGCACATAGGGCGAGGAGGTGGGGTTCAAGGTCTTGCCCGCTCCCACGAAGCTCGGCATGGTCGCGGTTTGAGAAAGGTCAGGCGTGGCCCAAGGGCTTGAGATCTGAGGGATGAAGTTGTACTCCGGTGCCTGGGCTTCGTTGGGAAGGTAATAAGGCAAAGGGATCTGGGTGCGAAAGCTATCAGCGGAGTCGGTCGAGTCAGTGCTTTGTTGACGCTGGAGACTAGGATACTGCGGCATATCAGAGAACTGATTCGGAATGCCTCCCGTGGGGAGGTTGTTTCGGCGTGGCTCCATCGCTGTACTCGTTGTTGTTGGATGTTGAGCAAAGGTGGGTGTGGAGATCTGAGATGAGAATATGGTGGAAGAGGTAAATCGCTCGGGGTTGGAAAGTTACTACCTGGGCCAGTGAATCTGAATCTGCTCAGTATCTTCATGAAGGTTCACTCGCTTAATCCCCCCTTTTTTTTATCTCTTTCTCTGCCTTTGTCGCTCAATAGATGCTTTCCAACTAAAGAAAGGGGTTGAGTCATTCAGAAGCTTAGAGGCTAATCTCTCATTCATAGAGCATGTTGAGTATTGGAAGTTTGACTTGTTGCTTTAAAGCATAGGCAAGATACAGGATTGCAAGTGCTCGGTCTTACTTTTGTCTATGACTCTCTACCTAAGATCATATTTTCAACTTGACCCAGTGTTGAGTTCTTGATATATGTAAGTAGCTTGCTCATAGAAACGTACCTAATACATCTTCGAGGACCATGAATCAAAGATCAATCAATCCTCTTTTCTCTTTAGCTAGTCAGACATATTCTCTTTGAGCTATATGATCGCTGCTGCATGTGTAATAATTCATGATGTTAGCCCTATTTCTACAGTCACTCTAAGCTTGCCTGGAAGATGGGGTTAATCCAGGGTAGATAAGGTCAGTGATTGAACAATCTTGAATACTGGGCGAGCAAGGAAGTCTTGTTGCATATCATCAACTAGAACGGGGGTAGGTCAACAAAGGTGAGGAAGTTGAGACTCAGACGTGCAACAAATGCTGGAGAAGGGGGGGAGAGGGGTTGATCTGAGTTGATCTGAGTTGATAACACCGAGACAGGAACATATCCCTCAGGCGACGAGGCGCCACTGCGATGTGCAACAAAAGTTGAGAGGGGGCGGCTTTGAGCTGGTTTGTTTGGTAACGCCAAGGCTAGGCGGCATATCCATCCCTCAGGCGACGAGGCGCCACTGCGATGTGCAACAAAGGTTAGAAAAGGGAGAGTGAGGGGGCTGATCTGATCTGATAAGGTAACGCTAAAACATGAATATCCGTCCCTCAGGCGACGAGGCGCCACTCCGACGTGCAACAAAATCTAGAAAGGAGGCTGATTTATCCCGATTTGGACGACCCAAAAAGGAAACACTGCTTGGCACGCCACTCCGACATGCAACAGAATTCTAAGAAGGGGGATACTGCTACATGATTGGATGATCTCAAGCCTTGGGTAACGTAATGCTCAAGTACGATGTGCAACAAAACACTCAAGATAGGATATCTCTGCCTGATTTAGACAATCCATAACAGTGCTATATATCAGGCGCTCAGGCGCCAGTACTCCGATGTGCAACAAAGTCCTTGAACAGTAGGTACCTAGGTACCTATGTACTCTTCTGTTACCGGTTAATCTTAAATTTAAGCTCAAAATCCGTATGTAGGCCAAGCATGGCTTAGATGTGCAACAGAGTTCTTGAATAAGGGGTACTAAACTACTAGTTCTATAAAGAAGCACTCTGATGATGATTGCAGTCTTGAAGTGCTTCTAGAATCAAGAAATGACGTCTGCCCAGGTCAGACGTGCAACAAAAGATTAGGAGGGGGCTTTATATGCCTAATTAGGATAACCCGAAAGATGAATATATTATGGGTGCGACTTAGATGTGCATTAAAGTTCTTGAAAGGATGGCGTGTTCATCTGGTTAGACAGCCTTCAACTTAGTCTTAAATGCCAGGCACAATCTAGGTAGGTGATTTGAATTGCGCATCGCACTTATAGAGAAGGGTGAGAAGGTGAGGTGTAGCTCTTAGATGAGTTACGAAATTCGTGAAAAGGGGGGGACTAGCGTAATTTAAGCGAGGCGTAGATACCTTAGGAAACAAAGAAGCGTTTTGACGACATGTTGTAGAACCAGACTGCTTTTGAAGATGAGAACGTTGTCGAGGTCAGATGTGCAACAAAAGCTTGACGACGACGATCTGATACAGAATCAACAGGCCTTTGAAGGTGAGAACATCGGCGATGTCAGATGTGCAACAAAAGTTTTGACGATACGGCACAGAACCAAAGGGCTCTTGGAAGGTGAGAACATTAGCGAGGTTAGATGTGCAACAAAAGCTTGACGACGACGATCTGATACAGATTAAAGAGGCCTTTGAAAGTGAGAACATTGGCGATGTCAGATGTGCAACAAAAGTTAAGTTCCGTGGGGGCGCCTTTGTGTCATTGGCTGAATTCGGGTGCCTACCAGAAATTGGGCTTCTAGGCTTCAAGACACGACAGGTATATAGACAACAAGTCTACCAGGTACTTTAAGCAACATGTATTCTTCTATACAGCAAGCTATACTTACACCCTATTACTAGGAAACTTGAATTAATAAGGATAGGATAATTGAGTATATGTTTTCCAATTACGTTCTTTACGGACTTTATATCCCTAGACACGCTACCCTGGAACTCCAACACTTCTCTCTGAGTACACAATCCATATGCCAAACGCCTTTGCCTAGAGAAGAGAAAAGATGCCGTCTTCCTTGAGTCACCCACCCAACCGTCCATGCACGACAAAGGAGATATTTGTTTGTTTGTAAAAAGGCTGACGGGCTGTCACACCGGGCTCCCCAATCCCTTCCATTTATTTGCAAAGCCGTTGCTCCTGCTGCTCGCATATATATTCGATATCAGTCATGGGTTCGCTTCCTTAATCGTTATCTTTGGCGCCTCCTCAATGGGAATCCTATCACCGCACAACCTTCCGATTCCGTACCAAGAATGGACTAGGCATGTCGTCCGTCTCTGGATCCCAGACCGGCGGTGGCGTACTCTCCTTTGCGATCCTCTCTGCCATCCGCGCGGCGAATGCTTTACCCTTGGCTTCGGGGCTCCTGGTCCCATCCGCAATCTCCACTGGTCTGCCGCCAGCTCTTGCTTGTGCTAATTCGACTAAGGTCCTCCCACGTGGTGGTAGAGTTCCTGATCCACCGCTGTTAACTTTGGCCATGTTGTTCTTTACTGCGATCTTGTTCAGATCTTCGCCTGTATTGGCGCCTTTGGCTTTGAGACTGCCTTTGCGGGTTGGTGAGAGAGGGGCATTCTCGAGACTTAGGAGATTCGTGGAGCTGGGGATCTTGGATAATCGTCGATTGGGCGAGTTGCTTCGTTCTTTCAGCGCAGGGTTGCTTGACTGAGGTCTCAAATCTGGCACGTTGGATAATGTCGGTAGCGATGGGGCAGTCGATGCTTTGCCCGCGGCAAAGATATTGAGCTGGCTGTTCTTCTTGGCTAGTGGAGCAGTCTTCTGGGAGACCAGAGCTGGTCGAGCACCGGCTGGTTTGAATGGGTTCTTTGAAGCTTTTGGTCGCGTGGGTGAAGGTACGGGAGGAAGGTCGTCCTCATCATCCTCGTCGTCCGAGGTGATCATAGTCGGCTGCCAGCGAGCTTCAGCTCCAGCTGCGGCAGCCGCAGCGAAGATGTTTCGTCCGGTACTGGGGGCTTTCGTGCCACCATTGCGGCGGGGTGAGAGGGAGAGCGAGGCAATGGAAATTGGTGATGGTTCGGACATATCCACATCCATTGGTGTACCAGCTCCGCCAGCAAACATAGTTTGAGCCCGGCCAAAGGGAGTGCGTGTACTTCTCTTGAGAGTTTTGCTGGGTTCTGGAGAATCCATTGAGAGATCCGTCAGATCTGTCGTAGAGGGGAAATCGAGATCTCCACTTGTGCTCACTGATGAGAGTGGTATGTCATTTCCAGGCTGGGGCCCTGAACCTGAAAGGTCCTTTGCTGATGAGGCACTTTGCGTGCTAATCCTCTTTTGCAATTCATCCTCCACTCTTTCCCGTACTTCTTGGTCAAATTTCTTTTGCAATCGTTCAATCTCGAGTTGCACAAGTCGATTGATCTCTAGCTGAGCCTTGACTTCCCATTCCCTTCGCAGAGAATTCTCAATCTCTTGTCGCATTTGCGCTTTCTCTGCATCCAGTCTCTGGAGCCGGTCTTCTGCTTCTCGTACCTTCTGCATAGCAAGATCCTCCTTTGTTTTCAGTAGCCGTCCAAGTTCTACAACTTCCTTCTCCTTTCGCATCAGCTTAACAACAGGGAGATTGAGTAGGGTGGCAGTGTCAGGCCGCCGGTCCGGGTTGACTTTGAGGCAATCTCTAATGACAGCGTTGAGTTCTGGAGAGTAAACACTGGGTAACGGTGCAACCTTTCCCTCCTTGATCTTTTGGACTAGTTGAAAGTGTGACTTGGCGTTGAATGGAGGTTCTCGAGCGCAGAGTTCGTAGATGATGCATCCGAGTGACCATATATCCGATTTGAGGGTATATCGCTCTGCTGCGCAGATTTCAGGGGACATATAGAAGGGAGTACCGACGTAGGTGGATGCAAAGTCGTGTGATTGCATGATTTTTGAAAGACCAAAATCCCCAAGTTTAACTGAATTGTCTTCTCCAAGGAAAACTTCAAGATATTAGCCGGAACTCCCAACGCGACCAACATTAACTCACCATTTTCCGGCTTGAGGTCGCGATGCAAGATCATAACACCGCCAGGAGGTGTTCGCGGTTTCGCAGTATTGCCCAGCCCCATGACATTGCTTCCAACTTCTGGGGGATCAACGCCGTAGTGACACCTGTACAGCGCTGTGACCAGCTGAGAGAACATGCTCCACACAAATCCTTCTTCTGCGTATTGCTGCTTCAGCTTAAGATCCTTGATGACGCGACCGAGATCTCCATTTCCGCAATATTCCATATATAAATGGAGGTCTTGGGTTGACTTCAGGTGTTCCCGGTGGTAATATCCAACGATGTTCGGGTGTCGAAGAGAAGAAAGAATGGCAAACTCAGCGTGGAGTTGTTCTCTTTCTTTTGTTGACATGCGCACATAATTGATCTCCTTGCGACAGAGCACTTGACCATCTGACTTTCTGCGCACCTTTCTGATGATCCCAAAGGAGCCATGGCCTATATGCTGTTAGGTATCATCCATGTACTGACAGCTCGAGACTCACCGATCTTCTCCAATACCTCGTACTTCTCTACTTCAGACATCGTCTCTAGGGCTAGTAATCCGAGTTGCTGTTGGTGTGTTCGTTAGTAGACTATTGCAACATCTAATGCCATGAGCAAATGTTTTGCCAGGCTATGTTCGTGGTGAGTATTTGTCGAATTGGTGCGTTGATTCTTTTCTTTGGAAGTCTTCTGGTCGCTCGTCTCTTCCGAAATGTTGACATCTCGCTCGTCGCCACAGCAACACCAGATCCTTAGTCTGGGCCACTTTGGCGACAGGCCCGCTGATTGGCGAACTCTAATCGATAACAATTGCCACAGAAATACTTTGTCATTATCCCACATTCTATCACCCCTCCCCAGTATACTTAGGAGCTGCGGGTCAGCCAAGATCAGGATCCAATATGGTTTTTCGCAAAGACGAGCTTGAGGTGCAGCTCAAGGACGAACATCAGCTTATCCAAGACGGGGTTCTTAAAGACGATTCGCCTCTTGACACCAGCCCGGACTTCCAGAAGCTCTGTGATGCTTGTCGCATAGGAGATCTGAAGGGTTGTCAGGAAGCTATTGCCACGGGAGTCAATATCAATGCTAGGGACCCGTTTGATTATACACCGCTGATATTGGTGAGCGCTACCGTCTACCTTAAGTATAAGCGTTGCTTGCTCCCAGAGGTGTTCCGCTGACAAAACTGCCAGGCCAGCCTTTGCGGGCATTATGAAGTCGTTCAACTTCTCCTCGAGTCCGGCGCGCTCTGCGAACGAGATACGTTTCAGGGCGAGCGATGCCTCTACAACGCGTTAAATAACCGAATCAGGAATCTCCTGCTCCAATATGATTACTCCAAGAGTACCAATCCGCTGCAGCCTCTGGCCTCGCACATTACCTCTCTGCTCACTCGAAATACACCCAAAACATCAGATATCCGCCTCGCTGCTTCTTCGGATATTTGGGATTTACACAAATTTGTCCTATCTGCAAGATCACCATATTTCCAGAGGAAATTGGCTGCAGCTCCTGAAACTGCGGTTTGGAGGCTGCCCAACACGATTCCCCCAGAAGCATTTCAAATTGCACTACGGTATTTATATCTTGGAGACGTACCATCAGATCTTGGCCTCAGCAATAAGAGTTTTGTATCGGAAGAAGAAGTCCTCAAGGGGATTGACAAAATTAGCAAACAATTGGAAATTGAATCGTTGTGGGAAAGCATATTATCTCCAAGTGACAGGCGGATAGCTAGGCAACGGCACCAAGATGAAGTAACAAGGGGAAGGGATCAGATCGAGACGTGGTACCGGAATAATGTGCTGAAGCATAAGATCCATGTCGATTCGAGCAGGGCTTCAGACGTGAAATGGACTAGGGATAATGGAATTTTCGCGGATGTCTTGTTGCGGGCTGACGAAGAGGAGGAAACGGATGAGCCGACTTCTGGACAAGAGACACCCAAGATCAGAAATACCCCTGGGCCTTTGAATGGGATTCCAATTGGACCTTCAGCAATGTTGCGGTCGGCATCAACAACGAGGAAACCACGGAAATCCGTCCTCTTCCCCGTTCACCGGGCAATGCTCTTGCGTTCTGAATATTTTCAGACAATGTTTGGCTCCTCATTTCAAGAAGCCCAAATGACAGAGTACCTGCATATTGTGACCGTCGATTGCTCGCCTGCGGTCTTAGAGATCGTTTTGACTTTCCTCTACACAGAGAAGGCCGATATTCCTCTCGAGCTCGCCCTCGACGTCCTCTTTGCCGCAGATATGCTATTCATCGAGAAGCTGAAAACGAAGGCCACCATAGTCATCAGCACGATAGGTAACGGTGCCAGCAACCTTGCAGATCGCACTCATACAGAAGGCCCCGAGGAGGTTGAGATTGAACCTATCAACGTTTACGACGTCCTTCGAGCGGGTTGGTTCTTGAAGATACAGAGATTAGAAGAATTCAGCGCGCGATATTTAGCCTATAGGTTGGAGGATTATATCGATGAGGAGGAGTTTGAGGAATTGATCAAAGAAAGTGCGGCGAGAATTGAAAAGAGACAGGAGACGGACAGTATTGAGTTGGTCGATGAGTATGCTCCCACCAGTCTAGCATGGTGTGCGTCTGCTAATAATGATACAGCATCCGATACTACCTGTCTGAACGCTTCCGGCTACGGTTTGAAGACTCCGGTCTCGATGAAATGATGGACGAAAATGGAGAGATCAGCGCCGATGCAGCGCAAGCCATTTCCAACGCTTCTGCTCCACCAGATGAAGCAATCTCTATGAGTGACCCTCCAACTAACAAACAGGAGCCTCCCTCGAACCCTTTGATCAATGGCGAGATCAGGACTTTAGACGGAGAAATAGCTGGCGATGAGTTCGCCGCCGATGCTATAAATTACCAAGTCCTTCTTGGGAAGATCGATGCTTTGTTAGAGCGACTGAAATTAGATGCCTAAAGAGCAGAGAACTATAGAAACAGAAGATCTAATGATTGAAACGTTCGACATTTGCCAATAAAGTATTTCTATAATCAGAAATGAGGATTGGCGCGGCTTTGTGTTTTGAGAACGTTGGTTCTGATCGCCGTTGGATACCTGCTTCTTCGTTTTGTCGGTGTTTCGTCCACCCCACCGTTTGACATACCGAGTTTCAGGCCGACATGGCATTGTCAGAGCTGGACTACCGACATCCAAGCAAGAGCCGAAAACCCAATACACTCGGGTAAACATTGCTTATCCTCTTATATGATGCGGCTACAAGCCGATCTTCTGCTGGATACTGCTCTTCCATGTTAGTTGTTTCATTGCGAGTTCTGCCGTGCAATTGATTTCCCGTATCGAAGAGATCGACCTCGATACAGGGAGCAGCTGGGGAAGGCCTCGTAACGGGGTTTGTGACCTGAGCATCCGCCGTCTAGCGTCTGGGAATGTGTGATGTAGTAGATGGAATCATTGGCTTTGAGGCGGAGGGGTAGACGTCTTAGATATGCTGATCTAGCATGGGCAGCGTGCCAGCGTCTCCTGCTCACGGATCCGTCTCAGCGCCCGCTCAATAACTCCCTCATATCTTCTCATTTCTTCGCACTCTCGTGTCTTTTGCTTCTCTCAATCTTGTTTCTGTCTCGTTAGCTTCCCTCCCCTATCCATTCACAGCATCGGCTATCGTTTGTTTGACGTTGATCCAATGACCTGCTTGTTTCTAAGAAAGAGGTCTGCGGGATTCTAGTCTAGATGACAGGATTCTCCGATCAAAGATCTTTCCTCGGCGGTGCCATATCTACGGCTGCGTCTCCTTTAAGGAATGGTTTTGTGGAGGTTAACTGTCGGTCACCAGTTACCCCACGACGGATTCAACCGCCGTCTTCCCACGGCCCCGAAAGGCTGTGGAATATCAATACCAATCCGCCTCGATATGGAGCGTACAGCAACTTGCCATATCTACCTACGCCGCGGGGTTTTTCGTTAACAGAATCTGGGAAAGATCAGGCCGGGCGACATGACAACTACATATCATCAAGCACCACGCTCATTTCTCCATCTACCAGCTCCTCATTCCTCCCTCTCACTCCCAGCTTCCCTGCTCCCCCAGTGGAAAAGCTGGGAACGTTCTCCGCAATCAATATCATCCTCGGTAAGACTGTCGGGGTAGGTATCTACAGCATCCCCTCCTCGATCCTGACCTCCGTCGGCTCAGTCGGGGCCTGCATCACGCTCTGGATCCTTGGTTCCCTGATATCTTACTGCGGTCTCGCCGTTTACCTGGACCTCGGAACGGGAATTCCTCGCTCTGGTGGAGAGCGTGTGTACCTTGAGCGTATCTTCACGAGGCCGCGGATGCTGGCTACGTGTTGCTTTATGGCCTACGTTGTACTCTTGGGGTTCAGCACGCCGAATTGCATAGTGCTGGGGGAGTACGTGATGTATGCGTTGGAGATTGATGCCAACAGGTGGAATGTAAGGACTGTCGCTGTGGGCGTCATTACCTTGACTTGTGTCATACATGCAAAGTATCAGAAGCTTGGACTACGCATCATCAATGTGTTGGGCGTGGGGAAGATGCTCATTCTCGTTATTGTCATCCTTTCCGGGCTTGCGGGAGCATTTATGGGCGTTGGGTCTTCGAATCTCCCTTCTCTCGAGCGTCGACGATTATCCCTTGAAGTAGGAGACACCCGTTCTACAGCGCAGAGGAATTTTTCCAATCTCTTCGCCGGTTCCTCGACGCAACCACACGACTACGCCACTGCTCTCCTTAAGATCCTCTACTGCTTTCGCGGCTACAGCACCGCGAACAACGTCCTCTCCTCCCTACACAATCCGATCCCCACCCTCCGCGTTGCTGCCCCCGTCGCGCTCTCTCTCGTCTCGATTGGCTACATTCTCGCCAACATTTCCTACTTCCTAGTCGTCGAACTCTCCGATTTTAGATCCAGCGGAACAGTTATTGCCGGCCACTTCTTCAAGACCATCTTCGGCGAGCTCGTCGGCGAGAACATCCTTCCGCTCTTCATCATCGTCAGCGCCTTTGGAAACATCGCCGCGACCAGCTTCGCGCAGGCACGAGTGAACCAAGAACTCGGCCGCGATGGCCTCCTACCTTTCCCACGGTTCTGGTCTCTCCCCCACGATCTCGACCCTCCGCTCGCGGGCCTCGCACTGCATTGGCTCGTCAGCGTGCTCGTGATCATCATCCCGCCGCCGGGCGCCATCTACGAATTCCTCGTCGACATCGGCGGCTACCCAGTCTCCGTCATCAGCGTCGCCATCTCGCTGGGGCTGCTCTACCTGCAGACATCCCCGCGCGAACACTGGAATAGCCCGTTCCGCGCCCGCAAGATCTATACGCTGGTCTTCGCGGCTAGTAATTGCCTCCTGCTTGTCATGCCCTGGATCCGCCCGGATCTGCAGAAGGGCGATCCCAGGTTCCCGTACTATGCATACCCGGCGACGGCGCTGGCGGTCTTGGGCACTGGTGTGCTGTACTGGATCTGGTGGGCGCATGTCAGGCCGGGCAGGGAGAGGTGGGTGAGGAAGGGGGAGATGCATAAGAGGGCCGGCAGTGATGAGATGTTGCCAATGATGGGCGGGGGTGGTCGTTCATCATCGCCCACCAGCGTGGATGTATCTTGACCTCGAGGATGCATTGGAAGGGGACTGTGTAAGAGTATATTGTATAAATCCTTAGGCGCTAGACGTCTGTATTTAAGGTACTTATTACTTACATCGCGAGAGCACATCGTATGAATGAATAACTCCGCAGCAAGCTCTATGAAATGAATATTATATTTTACTTACCCAATACCCATCCTTCGTACCTCACTCATCCCATCATAACCAATTCCCGAGACAGCATGATTGATTCCTCAGCCTCTCAACCCCACCCTTCTCCTGTGCACCCCACCTAGCAAGTAGTTACCTAGTAATCTTACTAATATAAACCAAATAACGCCTCCTCCTCCCATAGTACAAATGTCTATGGTGTACTGGTACGCACTCTTGGTTTAGTGGTAAAATCAGCGCTTCCCATGCGCTGGCCCCGGGTTCGATTCCCGGAGGGTGCAGTAAAGTAATCCCCTCATCTTTTCTGGAGATGTGGTTTTTTTATATTTATATTTTTAATTTTGGACTTTTTTGGGGGGTCTTTTGGTGGGGAGGGGTGGTTGCGGAACGGATGCGGCGATGCGATGATGCTTTTCGCTAATGGGCGAGATGGCTAGCTAGCTGGTGAGAGGGGAAAAGGAGGGGCTGGGAAAGAAAACATATATATATATAGGAGATTGACAATGATATTGATATTGAGATGGATATAAAACACAGAATTTACAAAGTCATGAATGTGCTATCTATCTCCACGCTTCTTGCACCTAAGGTACATATGTCGTCCAAACAACATCGGCTATTCATTTCCGTCCCGAACCCAGAAACGCTCAGCGCTATTTTAAGACATAAGGTAGGTTTAAAAATAGCTATGTCTTAAAATTAGGTTTAAAGAGGTTCTTTTACAAAATACATACATAGGGTTAGGGTTTTGTTTGGTATTGTGTTTGTTATAATCTTTGATTTCTTTTGGAGTGCAGGAAATAATCAGGACAGGGATCCTGACAGATGTCGCGGTCTGAGCTGTCAAGATAAGATCTCCGGTTGTGCCGTGGCGGGGGGTGGGTGCATGCGTGGGTGCGGGTATACTCCGTATGTATGGATGGAGGATTTGATGTGCAGACAGTGTGGATTTATGTATAAGATAAGGGGCTTTTGCTTTTTGAGGAGGCTGGGGAAGGGGAGGAGGTTGGAGATGGGAATGTGGTTGTGATGCACACTGATGGTGGAATAGGTATGTAGGATGGTGGAGAATGGGGGATTGATGTGAGGTTGGGATGTGTGACGATCGAGCGGCTTGGATCTACAGTGGCAGGTAAGGTAAGTTGATACTCTTATCTTTCTTTATACTTATCGACATACAGTGGATGTAGATAGATATACTGTAGATATCAAAGGAAAAGACGTTGAGAGTCAATCAATTGCTGGTAACCGCTCGTAAGATGATTTCCATGCTGACGGCACAGTGCATTCGTGATGGGGAAATGACATCAGGTATCAAGCATCTGCCTTGGCTACTGAACAGAGTGCCATGTGGTTCCAGTGGCCAGCCAACATAGAAAAGAAACATGAGTTGCTGGTGTTTTGATTCTGCATGCGGGTTGAGAGGCCTGAGAGTATATGTCTGTGTGGTGAAGGCCTTCGTGACAATAAACTCTGGGTGATTATTAACACCATCTCCATTGAAAAGGCTTCTCCGTTTCCCACTTCTCACGGGAGAGACCGTAGTGGACGGGCCTGGCCATTGAGATGTTCATGGATCCACTGTTTCTCCTCGTTCTGCTCCAATTATTTTCCCAGCGGTTGAACAGCCCGGCTCCTCCAGTAACGAGTCCCACTTCAACCTTCTGCCAGCATTATCTGACATGCAGATTGTGTACTGTAACTCCGTATGCACCTGTACCGTGCCTGGACCTCTGGACCTCTGTGCCTAATAACCTAACAACCTGATAACCTACATTCTTCTCTCCCTCCCTCTCCCAACTCCTGTTTCAACTCATCGTTGACCTGTCTCTCCCATCGAGTATGCATTTGTTATTATTAGCGACGCCCTCCCCTCGTGTCGCTTCCACCACCGCGGCCGACTTGTAGCTTCTTCCAATCCACTCCAAGCCAAGCCAAGACATCGAATCATCTCCGTCTACCCGAACCTGCTGAGTCCAGGGACCAGAGTAGTTTTGACGAATTTACGAAGTGCACGACCTTTTACGAAGTACCAAGCCCCTTTACGAAACACACACGATCTGCGCGGGTCAGATCGTCCAGCTGCACAGCTCCAGCAGCCATCAACCTACCATCAACTTGGTTGAAGAGCTGTATCGCGGAGAAGAGAGCAGGAAATCAAACAAAACAATCAATAATCAATAATATCCACGTTGTCGGGGCCGCGTATCCTTCTGCGCTACTCTTAAGACCCTGGGACCTGGGTAAACCGCGGAGACTACTTGCGTACTATAGTCGATAGGACGGTCTTTGTCTCAGTGGAGCCGCATACCACAACCTCACCACCATCTTTCCAGAGCAGATTCAATTACAATCTGCCTCTCCTCCTGGCAGGCCCGTCGTCACCTCGCCGGGGACATTCCCCCTTCTCCCCGCCTTGATTCCATCCTTCGTTCGACCAACCCGGCCATTTCCACAATGGCACGCCTTCCCTTCCTTTCGTCATCATGGACCTCAGCACTCGTTACCACTATCGCTCTCTTCTCTACAATCTTTCCTGCCGTGCGAGCAGCTAATGCCCCGGCCACTATCCAGGGGACAAATGGTGCAGGAGTGACGAAGACGCTGCTCGTTGACCGCTATCCAGGCTTATATACAGGCAACTTTGGGGATTGCATGGGAGGCCAGAGCTTGATCAATCTCACTTCTTTCGATGCTGCTTATTATGCTGATAATATGACCGTTCTCTTCAACTTGGCGGGAACCACGAATTTGAGGAACGAGACAATAATGCGTACGCCGAACCCTCGTTTGAGTACTGTCGTTACAAGTTGCTAACCTAGTCCCTAGTCTATATCTCGGTACAAGCCTGTGAGAGACACACTCGAGAGGGGGGAGACACCTTGCTGACACCTCTCTAGATGGCGAGGACCGCTTCGATAAGACTTTCAATCCTTGTAGCGCGAATTTTATGAGGTAGCTTCACTTCAATTGATCCCCCTTCATGCTAGTTTCTAATATGACCAGCCTCTGTCCGATGAATAGCAGCGTTCCAATCCAAGGCGAAGCCAATATTCCAGTTTCGACTTCAGACGTCGCTTCCATCCCGAACATCGCTCTGACGATTCCTGATTTCGAGGGCTATGCTATTCTCCGATTCTTCTCCAACTCCTCACAAACAGAGATCGGTTGCTTCCAGGCTATCATGCGGAATGGGGCCTCATTCTCGCACCCAGCAGCCGTTGGCTCGGCCCTGGGGGGTGTCACTGCTGTTGCTCTCGTTGCATCTTTCGCAACAGCCATCTATGGCGCCAGCGTACCGCAAATACGGACGCACTATGCACACTCTCTGTCGGTGCTGGTAATCTTTGAGGTCTTCCAGTCAATATTCTTCTCTGGGGCCTTGTCACTAGAGTGGCCGAGCGTCTTGCCTGCATTTTGGAGTAATTTTGCATGGTCTGCGGGCCAGATCTACACAAAATCCATCATTGATTCCGTCAACAGCTTCGTTGGCATCTCCGGAAACTCTAGCCAGGCCGGTCATGCGGGATCCACTGACTTAAACAACAACGGAGGCCTCCAGCAGCAGATATATGGACGTTCGTTAGGTTCGTTAGAAAGGCTCCCAGATGTGATGAGCTACGATCTCCTCAGGAAGGGTGAGGAGGCTGCGAGTCAGATATACAAGCGGGCAGTCAACCACACCGCAGTGCAGTCAAAGATGTACTCCTGGGCTGGTACGCCCATCACTCCAGGACTTCCACTCCCCGGAAACTTTTCTGGGTTTGCTGGAGAGCTTGCACAGATGGGTATCCCTGCTGCGGATGCTTTCTTGGTCGGACTCTTGTGGTTTCTGATCCTTATCGCCATCCTCATTGGAGCTACGACAGCCTTCAAGTTCTCCCTCGAGCTCTTCAGCGTTACAAAGCTGATCAAGCGTGACCGGCTTGCACTCTTCAGAAGCCACTGGCTAGGCTTTCTTGGGCTCATCATCCTCAGAACACTCCTCATCGGATTCTTTATGATGATGACCCTGACCCTTTTTCAGTTCTCTTACGGTGGGAGAGGAGGGGTTACCGCAATTGCAGCCATCATATTTATCATCTTCTTCGCGGGCATGCTGGGGGTTACCTTCTACGCATGCTTTTACCGGTTGCGATTCGGCAAGTACGCATCTGAACCAGATCGTATCCACTTTGAACACAAGAAGGTGATGAAGTTTATCCCCTGGTTTAGGACTATACGCGAGAGCTCCATGAGTGAGGAACATGACAGGACGAAGACAGCAGGATCTGTATCATTCTTCCGGGTCCGCTTCATCGACAGCGATTCGGAACGGCAGAGTGTCCACGAGGATGAGGCCTACACGAAACGCTTTGGCTGGTTATCAGCACGTTTCCGACGTACTCGATGGTGGTTCTTCGTGATCTGGGTTGTCTATCAGTTTGTGCGCGCTTGCTTCATTGGGGGAGCGCGCGCAAGCCCAAAGGCGCAGGTATATGGGATCCTTGTATGGGAGGTCATTGCTTTCGTTGCGATTGCCAAGATCAATCCATTTGAGGGAGCTCGCAACACTGCACTGGCGGTCTACATGCTTGGCCTTAGTAAGGTGGCCACTGCCGGTCTCTCGATCGCCTTCCTACCAGAGTACAAGGTCGCAAGGATCCCAACGACGGTCATTGGTGTCGTCATCATCGTCATCCAGGGGGTTTTGGTCGTCGGCCTCCTCGTCCTGATGGCCCTCGGCATTATCTCGAGCTACATGTCACTCACCCGCAACAGTGAGCAGTTCAAGCCACACAGCTTGGAAAGTGTCCGGACGAAGTACTTTGATGTGATCGAACTGAAGGCGACTGACCTTCCACCTCCACCGCCACCAGCACCCGAGGAACCAAAGGAACCGTACTTCACTGTTAATGCGGTTCGTCGAGCTCCGAAGATTGAGGACGAGGATAATGACCTCGTGCCGGACATAGCCCCCCAGGGTGCTCCATCGCAAGCCCCTATTGTCAATCGCGGCAGCAGAGCCAATAGCGCTTCCAGTCGGCATTCGGCATATGGAAATGTCCCGTTTGGAGCAAGAGTCCACCGGGCGAGTTGGAGTTCTCGCGACTTCCAGAGCTTGCACGACGACAGGGCGGATTTCCAAGTGCGTCCGCAGTCGCGGCTAGCCAGTTCACACAATACAGCAAATACTTCTGCATCTACACAACCGCTGATTAGACCAGCACCTTCGCAATCTAGCCTGAGATATCCGACGCCAACAACGGAACAACAACAACAGTCGGCGGGCCAGAGAGTGGCCTTTGCGAAATAGAGATCCAGGTGAGGAAGGCATGCCAGAACGGGTGCCCTTACGGAGCCACGAATGAGAGTGGGATAATTGGAGTTAATAGACGGGCATGGTATACAGGGAAAAAGTGGGGTCTTGATTCTTGCACAGCATAGCGTTCCTTTTGTCATATTTCTCGCATGCCTCCTATTCAAGATGGAGGAGTCTACATAGAAGGGTTCTTGTTTTTGCATTCATGCATCAGTGCATGATGGATGGGTGGACCTCATAACAGAGCGTGCCGTCCTGGCTCGGAGCTTTGGATATGGGTATGGAACGGCGTTCAGGTAACGCCTCGTACATATTCGAAGCTGAATCGGTTACAGAGATGGCTGCAAAGATAGCAGTGCTCTCACTACAATACAATTTCTTACAATCTGCATTCTGTTTCCTGCGCCAGTCACGTGGATTGTTCTGTGTACCTAACGTGCCCCATCTCCTCTCTCCGCGCGCGAATGGGGGGTTTTATTACGTTGATATGGATATTTGGAGAATTGTTAGCTGAATGCTGGACTTTGGATTCTGGATTCTTTTTACCTGGGTTGCTACACTTTGTGGAATAAAGGCTCCTCAAGGGGGGATTTCAAATTCCACCACGTGACAGTCCCGGTTCCTTCCCACCCAAGGTACCTTACCTTACCTGATACCAATTGGGAGGCAGAGGAGCACCCCAAGGAACCTCAACTCGCGCCTCTTCTTCACACTTCATGTGACTTTTTTCGCGTCTTCCCTCTTCCACCAACTCTTCATGAGATTCCCTGTTTCGTACTCCTGATTGTCTAGTCCCTTTAACACGTCTCCTTTTCTTCGATACCTAGACCTGGGGAGCCGCGTTTCAAGGATTTGGTAACCGCGTCGCGGTAAGGAGTAGTAAAGATGTTCTACAGTCATGAGATCTTGACGAGTAGGAAGTATGGCGTGGCAACGGTTTGGTAAGTTCGAGATGTTCTCAAGACGCGTCTCTTTCCATGACTGACCAGGAACTAACTCTCTGCAGGCTGGTGGCCACACTGGGTGCCAAGTCAAACACAAAGAAGGTAACTCGTAAGGCTATCCTTGACGTCGATGTTCGCAAGGCGTGTGAGACCATCATTCAGCCAGAGGCGCCAATGGCTCTGAGACTTCAGAGTAATCTTCTGTATGCTACCTTACCCTCGGTCGTTGAAAGACGCGTTTTCTGACGTGACCAGCTATGGTGTCTCGAGAGTCTATGACCAGCAGTGCTACTATGTCCTCTCGGATGCACAGGCAGCTCAGACTCATATCCGGACTATGTTAAGGGTCCATCAGAACAATGACCTTGATCCAGGCGCTGGCAAGGTCCGGTGAGTCCCCCCTTTTCACTAGCCTAGATAGGCACTGACATGTTGCAGTCCTGAGCAGCTCATCCTCATGGACGACCCAGCTTTCCTGCCCGAGACAGCTCTTCCGGCTCTCGATTTTGATTTCTCCAACTTGGAACTTGAGCCTTTTAGAGCCTCTGAGCGCTCTACACAATCTATGATGTCCATTCACGGACGTAGTCGTTCCTTCTCTTCCTCCCATATCGTCGGCATTCTTGACCTACCCTCATCCAGCACCCACGCCGGCCCTCAGCAACTCCCTCTCGATGACCCGTTCACCGGATCATCACTTCAAAAGCCTCTGGGTGGTACAGGTCGCGGACTCTTCGATGATGAAAATGACCTCTTCCAGGATGACTTGATCTTCGAATTCGATGCTGATGGCCAGATCAGGGATATTGATGCTAGTGAGCGAGAGGCTCGACGTGCAGGTAGTATTTACCCAAAAGGTCTTCCCGGGAGCGATTCTGCAGCGAGTAGACGCGTCCGGAAGGAACATGAAGAGGCTGCTGGCCATATCCTGCCGGTCATGGATGCTGAGGGAGATTTCGACATGATGAACTTCGGTGAGGACATGCAGATGCTTCCTGAAGCCGAGCCATTCCCAATGATGAGCGGCGGTCTGGGAGCCAACGACAGACCTCAACCTTTGATCGCCTCTGAGGATCGTGTCTATCATGTCTCTTCCCAGGAGAACTCTTCCGAAACCGCTGAAGCCCCTCTCAGACACCGCAAGCCTAAAGTTCGAAAGACCTTGGGTCTCGATCAGACAGTCGAGCTCCGCAATAGCGATCTCCTACAATGGCAACGCGAGTACAGTGTTAACATGACTTCCGCGACGCTTCTAAGTGCTCATCGTAGAGCCACTGCTCACGCAAAGAAGAATGCCTTCTCGTTCGTCTATGGTGCGGGTCTCAACCGGGTAGGCCATGGAATTGGCACTTCAAAAGTGCCCCTACCTCTCGATATGTTCTCAGGGACCTCCCTTCTCGCAAAACTCACCGGCCAAGCCCCTCTCCCAACAGAGTCCCAAACCAAGAGCTCTAAACGTACCCGTGATGCACACGAGGAGGAGCAGCAGCAAGTGACCCCAAAGCGTGCTCGCCATGCCGAAGGAGAAGACGAGATCGGCCGTGGCAGTTTCGATGACGACCAAGCAATGCTTCTGATGGAAGAAGATCCCAGCCTCGGGATGGAAATCGGTCGTGATGCCCCCTCGGCACTAACAGACTACCCCTCGTCCGCTATGATGCCCTGGAATGTGAACATCTCCGCCTCTCTCCCCTCCCACCCCGGCCGCGCCTCCTCCCGTCTCGCAAGCCGCTCCCCGCTCATCGGCCGCGGCTCCAATATCCCCGGCCCCCTAGACCACTTCTCCCTCCTCGAAGACGACCACAACCACCATCAGATCACTTACGGCCGCTCTGACGATCCCCCCATCATCAATAACAACGATGACGAAAATGATGACGATGACGCAATCCTCCGCCGGCACGCCCATCCCCTCCTCAATTCCTCCAGCAGCCACCCAGACCTATCCTTCGAAATCTTCGGTCCCTCCGCAAACGTCGACACGCAAACAGCAGCTAGTAGCCAATGGGTGCGCGAAGCGCTCGATCGCGAAGCCTTGAATTTCCTCGAGTACGTGAGGCACAGCATCATCACGACGGCGGATGATGTCCAGAGCGTCTCGTTCGAGCAGCTCTTCGAACCGAGAAGGAATTCAAGGATCGTGGCGGCTCAGGCTTTTTATCATGTGTTGAGTTTGGCGACGAAGGGCCGGGTGTGGGTTACCCAGAGCGAGGAGGGGGAGGGGGAAGAGGGCGGTGTGTGGGGAGAGATTAGGATGGGGATTTTGGGATGATGAGTGAGTGGCTGGGTGGATTACTTGTTGATTGCTTGATTTGATGTGATGGATATGAAGGAATGAATGAACGAGTGAACGAATAGCTTAAGTGTACTTGCTCAAATCATTCAATTCAATTCAACTCATAGAGGCGAGCAACGAAGGCAGGTTCATAACAAGTTGAGAATGTGGGAATCTTTTCATTTCATTGGACGCAGGACATCATCATTAGATGACGGACTTAAAGAAGGTCCTGAAGAACTAAACAAACCCCATGCCTTCCAACGGACAAACCGTACGCCAGACACCAGCCCTGCCATGTCCCCAACACCAGTTAATTTGCGCTTGCTAAACCCTCATTATCATCATCATTCATCCCCGGTCTGTCCTCGAACTGCATGAACGTGGCGGGATCAACGCCCTCGCCCATGATCGCATCCCATTCCTGGGCTACGTCCTCGAGTACCTGGTCGTTGAAAGCTAGGTCTAGAGATGGGTGTGAGGCAGGGCCTTGTTGTTCGTAGGAGAGTGTGTAGAGCAGTTTTGCATCTCCGATGTCTTTTGCAGAATTGAGGAGAGCTTGGAGAGCAGCATCCAGGAGGGCTTTGCTGGTTGGGGAATAGAGAGTTGTGGCGTAGAGGACACCTGTGATTTAGTTAGCTTCCGGTTTTCTTCACACGCGTTTAAAAAATAAATGTGTAGAAAGAAGCATTATCAGACTGTCAGAGGTTGTTATCGTCAAGAGATATCAGACAATGTAGATAAGTATTCATAAGTTAAATCATCACGTAATGCTTGAGTGGGGAAGAGGGGAAGAGAGAAGAAGGAAGAGTACTGACACTGTCCGGCGGGGCATTCGCCCGTTTCGCTGGAATGGACCATGATGTACACGGGGTGGGTGTGGGGAATGGTGTCGGTGGTGAGGGTGTTCGGTGGGAAGACCACCACGGATACGGCGGCCAGAGGTGAACCTTCGACTGAGCTCTCGAATAGGGATGCGAAGGGCGACGACACCACAGCGATGATCTTCGAGAGAGCTCGGGGACTCGGTGTAGTGTCATCTTTCGACTCCGAACCGCGAGCAAGGTATTTCGTCTTGACCGTCTCGCCGTTCGAGAGTTCCACTTCGATGGGTTGGTCCTCGCCCTTTTCCTGAACGGTTTTGATGCCTGTCCCGAGCACGTAACTCCCGCCTCCCACAGCACCAGCTCTACAGGCAACCTGCGAGATCTCAGCGCCTCCGCCCCATTTTGGCAAAACTGCTCCAAAGCCAGGACCGAAGACTCCAATAGAGGTAAGATGTCTCTCGATCCTAGGCAGTGCATAGCCAACGGATGTCTCTTCCGGCTTGTCTAAAGACAAGGTCAAGGCAGCAATGAGAGTCTGAAGATAGGGAGAAAGCTGGAATTGGGACGCCAGGAAATCAGACAGACTGCTCTCCGCATGGGGCTGCCATATCTCGGGATGCTCCTCGTAGTTTACTACGAACTTCAGGAATTTCATCAAGCTCCGTTTCGCACGGTTCTCGATGCTTTCATCCTCGAAGATATCTTCCCGTCCATTCGGCAAACGTTTCAGTATTGCTTTCTGGTCGGATTCAGACACAGCCTCGGCCTCGGGTAAGGTGTATATCCACCAGTTGCCGACGGCCTGGAACTCGAGCTGGCGGTAAACCTTCGAGGAGACGAGTTGAGTGAGGAGCTGAGACCTCGTGTATATTATTTGCGGCGAGAGGGTTAGGGTATATGCCCTTGAGAAGGAGAGTTTCCTTTCTTCCTTGGAAGCTTCTTCATCTGGTTTCCACAAAGAGGCATTTCTGAAAGTTCCTGTGGGAGAATCTGATGATTGATGATGTCAGCCGTGATCACAAGGTGTTGATATAAGAGCATACTGACCTCCTTTCACCTGCTCGACCCATTCGTCAGCCTCCTGCAGACTGAAAGCAGCCTCAGCATCCCCGTAGTACCCATTCTGGTCGACGTGGAGAATTTTCTTGCCGGAGCGGGACAGAGCCCTTCACGGTCAGCTAGGTCAGTCAGACATGACTTGAGAACACTGCTGAGATCAAGATCAAGCTCACAAGGCAAGCAGGGACTGCCGGAGTCCCGTCCCCTCAATAAGGACATCCCATTGCGTTTCACTCAGAGACTCCATTGTTTCTGCGAGAGCACTGAGAGAGCATAAGGAGCATGGAGAAAAGAGAAAAGTAGAAGAAAGGAAGTTCCGTCGTGGGGCCTGTTATAGAAATTCTCCAGTTCGCGGTGCTAACCGTATCAGGACTAGGGCGGGAAGCGAAGCGAGCAGAAACAACTTCATGAAATCTTCAAAGCTTTTCTCTCTTTTTCTTGCTTCTTCAACCGTTCGACCAACCGCGCAAGTCTGTCTGCCTCCACGGATTTGCGTATGCGAGGGGCCTTTCAGTAGGCTCCTCTTTGTTGGACGGGAGACCAATGTCTGCGTCCTGTATCTACTGCTCTGGAATTTACGCCTGAAGGAAGCGGTTCGTAATGGATGGTACAATCTTATAAGTTATGGCTTTCATTCAGCTTGGGGCTGTTGTGATGCTATGACGAGTATGTCACAAGTATTGGCTACTTATTGGGTAGACCATAGGTCTCTTAATGTCCGTTCATGATTCATACAATACCTAGGAATCTAGATCCAAGGCTGTCGATTCTCAAACCATCTCAGTTACTAGAGTCTTCATTCTGAAAGGGTTGCTAAGAGCATGAATATATTGATATATTGACATGTAAATTTCTCGCACACATCTCATCCTAGACAATAAATTACAAGTTGGTATATCCCACATTACCCTGCCTCCCAACGCCATCATCCGCCATCGAGAGCTCAAATTGCATAGTTCTCAGTATGTAGGAAAATCTCATCCTTCGAATCATCCCCCCAGATATCCGCCTGCAGCCTCGCAACCGTATTCGCGACATCGACACGCATACTCGGCGGCCCACAGACGAAGACACACGTCCTTCGCCCGAAGATCCCCCTCCCGTCCTCCCCTCCCGTTGCCATCTCCTTCAGCATGTGCCCCAGCTGCGGTCGTCCATACTCGGTCGACCAGCCTTCCTTCTTCTTGGGGGCCACGAAGGCGAAGCGCATGAGGTTCTTCTGGAATTCGGTGGGCGTCTGCGGGAACCCGAAGTTGAACGATGGTGAGTGGTTTGATTGCTCGACCGCTTGGTTGGGGATCTTAATTTGCAGCTCGCTGGATTTGCCCCGCATGTGAGCGGGCTCCGGTGATGCTGGGTAGGAGTGGCTGAGAAGGTCTTGCTTCGAGTCGCCTGGCCACTCTTCCCGCGGTTCTTGCGATATGAAACCATGGGGCTCGCCGCTGGGGTCCGGTGGCTGGGAAAGGAACCTCCGCGTTGCTTCATGCGAGTCCACCTCAGATTTCATGTCTGTTCCATTCGGCTTTCTCAGGGAACTGTCTCTTTGGAGCCTGTGGGCTTTTGTGGGTGGAGGGGGGAAGACCTTGTGTTGTAGGTGCTTCGGATGTGGTAATGAGGAGATGGCGTCTTCATCCTCTGCTCTCAATTCTCTCTCCCTTTCAGGATCTCCTTGTGCCTCATCTCGGATCAATGCTGAATTTCTCTTCGCTGCTATCTCAGAAACGAAACCATCGAGTTTATCATGAAGCATCATGCTGATTGGTCTGGGTGCTCTCTCACTCGCTTCCATCTTATTTGTCTGGATTTTGGCTCCTGTCACATAGAATTGGCAGGTAACCGTATCCGGAGGAGCGGACTCTCTGCAAATCCGAAGCTCTTCCCTAAACCAATCCATGGCTTCTAATCTCTTCAAAGCCCATACCACTTCGATCTTTTGCGTCACAGCCTTCCCATCTCTCATTCGTTTGATGAGGTTCAGCAACTGGGATACGATCGCTGTGATGCCACTTCCTCCTGCAAAGAGGATCACAGTCTCGAAAGCAGCTAATTCTCGTTGCATTCCGCCGTACGGGCCTTCCAAATATGCGCGGTAAGTCTTGAAGGGGCCGTTTTCGATCGCCGTGTTGAGAACCTTGCGGGTGAAGCCTCCAAATGGTCGGAACACCAACGTACAATCTCTATACTCGTCGCCATATTCAGACGGGAAATCTTGGCTGCAGAGTGACGAAATTGTGAAAGGGTGGTTCTCAAGGATAGATATTCCGGGCATCCTTAGATAAACGTACTGGCCGGGTCTCCAAGTCATTTGTGTGGGTATTGTAATTTTGATGGCATTCTCAGACATCAACGCAATAGCCGCCTCGTCTCCAACTAGCCATGCAGCCCTCCAGGGCTTCAACCAGTTCAAGTTGAACAATCTCAAGAAGTATGAGAGACCCCAGATAGCTACTGTCGCGTACAAGTAGCTCCATGACGTGAGGTAGTTGTTGCAGTGCCAAAACAAGAGTCCAACATAGAGGATTCCGACTGGAATATGCAAAATAGTGAAGAGTTCGTAGGCGAGGGTTCGCAAAAATGGCAAGGAAGCTACGCAAAGCCAGCATAGAGGAACAAGACAAGCAATTCCAGTTCCATAGACATAGCCAGTGCCATTCTGAAAGAGGGACGCAAATACTGCTGGCCCACCCTGACCCCAGACTGGCTGGATGTAGAATGGTATAGTATGTACCAATGTTAGAAACAAACACAGATATCCGCCCCATCTGTGGAAGACACCAAGACGGTCGTGACCAATCCCCGTTATCATTGAAACGAGGTTGGCTTTCATGCTGGTAGCAATGATCCAAGGGGTCATCGCGACAGCAAGCATGCCGGCTCTGATGGCAACTGGTGGAGACCCAAATGCAATGCTTTGCCAGTAGAGCGGTTGTGGCAAGAAGCAGTAAAGGGTAACAAAAGCCAACGCGATGATGAGGATGGCAATAACTGCCAAAGAGGGGAAGCTGAGAATGGTCCTTTTCTTCCATTTCAGCTCAGGAACAGGCCGGTAGAAGACCCATCTGAACAGCGCCAGCGTGTCGTTGATAACTTCAATTGACGACCAAGGTGATTGTCCCCTGGTAAGCTCAAACCCCTTTTCGCCTTGTCGAGGGAACATCTGGTTCACTGTTCGTCCTGTGGGCAGATTGCCCAGTGCGTATTCGGTATCATGCGCGTACATCTCTGCCCTGAACTTCTCTACTTCCTGCTTATGCATTGCTTGTCGAAGCTTGTCCGTCCAGAGATGGTAGAGTCTTGTCATACCTACGAGTACAAGAAGTACAATACAGAAGTAGGTCCATCCCAGCGCATATTTTCCCGCTGAAGTCCAAGGATCCACCGTATCTGCCTGCACCAGGCCAGGAGGACTCGTTGCTGTGAGTGGTATGAATATACGTTTCGCAAGCTCTCCGAGCGTCCGGGATGCGTCTCTCGCCACCGGCATATCTCCAGATGCAATCGCCATTGTCGGCTTGGCTCTTCTGTCCTAGCGAGGGAATCGCGAATGGAAGTGGGGTCCAAAATGAGTCGAAAATGCGGGGAGGTGAAGTGGCTCAGAAATGTTGATCAAACTACCGGAGTGGTAGAATGGTCTGATCAACTACTACCTGGATGTGATTCCGTTAAAGCGCAACTGCCATTGAGATAATTCGTTGCACTGCCGTTGATATGTGCAGAATGTGCGCGGGGTATACGGTCAGGCTCCACGCCGCAATACCCAGAGTGCCAGACTCTTCAATTAAGTAGTAAAGGACGATAGATAGCGAATGTTGGGGTTCCTCTCGCAGAAGAAATGAAATAGCAGGAAACGAGAGGCAGCAGTGGATCGAACGGATAAAGCGGTGTTGCTGCTGGTCTGGATATATGCGATTGTCGGTATTCCATACAAGCCCCCTCGATGTTGTACAACCTTGCAGTATTCACTTTGCAGTTCCTGCAGGGTGAAGCCACTCCGGTCACTCCAGCCGCTGGGTTTATTGCTTTCGATCGAATCCGGATGTGCACATGTCCGATATGGTCAAAGACCAAGAGACAGCCAGTCAGATCGACACGAGGGTCTACTGCTCCCCGCACGACGTCTTTGGTGCCTCTTCGAAGCTCGGCGGTTACTGCAATGTACCGTAGACCCTTGCTTATCGAACTGCTTGGGGTCGTGGATTCGACTCGTGATTGCCGTTATCTCGCATGCAAGTTACACAGCTCGTGGGTTGCCGCTCTGCTTTTCCCACTGGGGTCAAGAGAAGTGGCTCTTTGTTGTGGTGGACACAGTAGAATGCTATCAAAAAGTTTATAACAGAGCTCAAAGAAGCCCATCCTGGAGAGACTTCTCGGGGTAATCCCATGTACTATTTTATGGGCATTGGGGATCGAGAACGACGTGCTAAGGCACGGTCTATCGGGCCATTCAACTTGGAGGGGGCCGGGACACATCGAATAGGACGTCGGCACTGGCCTAGACATTGTGGTGACCTCGCAAAGCTTCAACCAATGCGCAGCTTGGGACTGCTTGGAGTTGCTTGAAGACTTGGATCAAGGCTGCTCCCCGCAGGCAGGCGGCAAGACGACAATGCCTATTCGCTGGATGTGTTGCTCGCTTCACCTCTGTCCTTGCAGATCGTGGGCGGCCCGCAACCGCTTACCGCCAATCGTGCCCCAGTCCGCAGACGACCCCTACTGAGGAAATCCTGCACGATGTGAGTGAACTTACGACTACCGTGAATCCATGACAGTCGCCAGGCTCGAGGAAGCAGGAGGATATCCCGCAGTTCCTGGTTCGTTGCCGCCGATATCAATCACTTTGAAATGATCTCCAACAAGCATGTGGTGAGGAAATGAGATTCCGGGAGCCTAGATGTGGAAGACTTCATCTCCTCGAGGTATCGCATTGCAACGTGAACTCTCTATAGACGCTTTGCTTTGAAGTGGTCCAGAATTACTCGCAGGGCAGCATTGAGACCAGGATTGCCAACTTCTCTGAGTATAATGGAGCGAGACGCTTGCCGGTAATGTCGGCACCTTGAAGAGTTGAGCCAGCTTTTGCCAATGATCAGTATCCTTGATACCATGTCTGAAAGGCTGAGAGGGAGAGAAATACTTCAGTTAAACGGGGACACTCGTAGCGGCGCTCTTCATGGTCCACAAGGCCTTGGCTCGCGCAACGCCTTGAAGCTCGGAGACAAATCAAATAAAAGAAGAAAGGGAGAAAAGAAAATGTGGATGAGAACAACACCTTGAAAACCTTTATAACACCTATTGCAGCCAAACATGACGCCCAAGATGGATCCAGCATCCTGTTGTTCCAGCCTTGCGTTCAAAGTTACAGAAAATGTAGCCTCGCGAGAAACCACGCCTTTGATTGGCTGAACGCCAGCGGCCGACTTTTAGCTCCACCAAGCAAGAAACAACTTCAGCAAAACATTTGCCTTGTTCAAGTATCAAAAGTGGTCGCCATCATGGCCTCCACTGTTCCTCAACCAACTCTCTCCTTTCCCCGGGAGACCTTTGCGAAGCTCTCTCCTCACCCTTATCTCCTCGCACATCTCCAACCCACCTCCTCAGATTCTACTCCGACGCGCGCAAACGGGCGATCACCGACCCAATTTCGTACAGCGCATGTTAACAATGGCTCCCTCACCCACGCCGAAGGGAGCGCGGTGGTGCGAATAGGGGACACAACTGTTGTCTGCGGTATTCGCGCTGAGATATTGCTTGCCAGCAACGCAGCAGGATATCGCGTAGATAAAGCAGTAACAGCCCCATCGTCGAGAGACGGATACAATGAAGCCAAAGAGCTCGATTTACTGGTTCCGAATATTGAGTTGGCGACGGGATGTTCCCCTGCTTTTTTACCCGGCCAACCTCCAAGTACATTGGCACAAAGTCTAAGCACAAGGGTCTATACGCTGCTCCATTCGAGCGGGTTAGTCGATCCCGAGGACTTGAGGATCTGGTACCAGCCGCCAGATCTTAGAGATCCGGATGAGATGGAAGACGAAGAGCCAGATGCGGTAGAACCTGAAGTCAAGGGGTTTTGGACACTGTATATCGACATTCTGTTCATCTCACTTGATGGAAACCCTTTCGATGCGGCTTGGGCCGCTGTTGTGTCTGCGCTGAACAACGTTCGATTACCCAAAGCGTCCTGGGATCCAGACCGGCAGATGATTATTTGTGATGACTCTGTAGTAGAGTCAAAGAATCTCCAGCTAAGGGGAATGCCGCTTGCTGTCACGGCGTTAGTGTTCAAGTCCAAGGAACAGGCTCGAGGAGGGGAGAAGAAGTACTGGATCCTGGTCGATCCTGATACGTTCGAGGAAGGGTTATGTGATGAGTCTGTCACGGTTGTAGTAGATTGCTCAAGTAGCACTACGAAGGTGTTGAGCATTTCGAAGTCTGGCGGAACGATTGTAGGGAGGGAGGAGATGAGGGAAATCGTCGACTTGGCAGCGACGAGGTGGATTGATCTCAGCCAGCTTCTGAAAGGTTGATTGATCATCCGGTTGGTTCAAGCATAAGCACGCCCGCAAACCACGCACGCAATACCAAGTTCAGCGGCATATACCTTCAGCAATGCTGTAGGAGGTTCCTGACCCGGACGGCGTTATCCTCATGGAAGTTACATGTCCGTCGTCAGCTACACTGACTGGTACTTGCCCCAGCCGTCGGATTGCATCAGAATGCCCGACGTAGCTTCACGGATGTATCTTCGCGGTTCTATTCATCTAGTTATTAGAATAGAATATGACGCCAGAAGCTCATTCGGCAGCAAAATAATACCCCCCCAAAAAATACGTCTCATATCAGTCATGTATATATGTGACTTCAAATAGATGGCTCTTTGGCAATCCCACAAGTCCGCGGCTCTATCAATGACTGAATAGTGATGAAAACTTGAGAAATACGAGATGCTTTGGATGTTGTTAAGTTGCTTAGAAATGGATGATAGGCTTATTCAACCTCTTCCGGCGTCTTAGGCATTGCGTTCTGGTTTTCTTCTATTTGGAAATCGTCATATCGATTTATACTGGAAAATCCTTAAAAGCCTGAGATCATACACTTTATTAGCATTGTACTCAGATATAAGTCTCCATTCTTCTGAGACCTTTCTATTTCAAGACATTTATTCGTCTATTGGTAAAGGCTTATTTTTCCCTTAGCATAAATACTTGTCTATTCAAATAAAAAATGCCTTCCAATTTCCAACCGTCCTTTGTATACGAGTAAATTGGAGTAATCCAAACAAACACTGGTAATATCCAAGAAATTCCATATCGTCATTCCTAGACTGATAAAAAGAACCCCCCTCAAAGAAAATAAGTGGATTTAAAAGATTGAGTATCGCTACTCTAACCTACAGTTTCAAGAGTTTTTGATTGCAAGTTATTTCTATCAGGGAGAGACTTGGGTTTAAATCATTATACCATATCCTTGAGAGTTAGCCAACTGATACCGAAGGCTGTAGCTATATCTTGACATCTCCCCCTTAAGCTCAAAACACACAGGAGTGCCGGAAATCACTAACCGATGACGACCATGAGTTTTATTGCAGCACCGCCTAGTTTGTCTCTGTTAGAGCCGAGAAAGAGTCCCTCTCAATATAGATATCCTCACCTACTGGTTTAAAGATTATAGAGTATATCACAAGGCTTCTAGGCCTTCTTGCGCTTGTATTGATATCTTGTCATCGATGAGATATCATAAGATCGTTGGAAGCGCGCTGTGGAGCGACTCCTTTGCTTAGCGAAATCCCCCCCTTCTCTCTCAAACTCCCTTACGCAAGTTCTGTTCTGTAGGTATCTCTCATCGATTCTTAAGTCAATATGTTTTAGCTGGTAAAAGCAATGATTACGTATAATTCGATCAGTCCATATCTACCTTACCTATCTTCTAAATTTCTAATATATATTTCTCTATCTAACCCCGTCACCCCAACGATACTGTACACTGTATCCCTATTATAACCTAGAGTAAAAGCTCTCCTACCAGTTGCCTCGTGTTGCTATCAAATATTCTCTTTGTCTCTCACCCCTCATGTTGTAACGCCCTTCAACCGTTGAAAAAGCCCATGAATGCTTGCCAACTCTTCAGCCCTCTGATTAACAATCAAAACCCATAGCCCAAGCTAGGCAGATAATCGAGAATTCAATATTGATTTCGCAGTATATTGAAGAGCCGTTGATGGAGATAGATTACTGTTGTCCTTATGCTTCAGCATATATATACCCCTTAGGCAACGTCTTAAGCTGGTATCAGCGCCATGTCACCATGTGTATAGTCCACGCTCTGCTTAAGGACTCCTCGATGAGACACCTGAGCTTTTGTAGAATAAGGTAGTTTGAAGGTCGGCATCGAAGGTATAGAGGTGTCTCTGCAATCCAAAAGTTAGCTAAGTCGATTTCTCCTCTCTCATGACACGGATAAGGGATAATACTTCGCACATTTGCTTTCTCGATTCTTCTATTGTTGATTTACATACCTTTTGTATTACTCCCTTCCTCCCTTCCTTCTCCCTCGCGTGTCTGTCGAAGAGAAAAGAACCTCGCGTTGAGGGAGCCTAAATATCTCAGCAACTCGAGGGGAGGTTGTCAACGCTCCCCCGAAGATCCGAAACGCATAGATTCTTTCATACAATAGCACTCCCTCTTAATACTAGCTCTTGGGGCATTACTTATCCTATTTTAAAAGACTGGTAACGCTTGCGTGGAGATCATGGTGTCGAAGTTTCGAAGCCGACCCTTTGCGTTTCAGGGGCCGCAGTCGTTAATGCTAAACGGTTAAGACAGTTTCGGGGCTTCAAAGTCGTGAAAAATAGGAAAGAAGGGGATTTATGGGTGATAGATGAGTGGTAGGAAGTGCGTCTTTGTTAGAAGTGCTGTTGTTTTGATGTTAAGGGTGGGCAGGGGTTAGGTGATGGATTATGGTAGGATTGGGGAGTATGGATACGAGGATACGGAAGTTGCTTCACTACTCTGCATACACTTGTTCAGTTGCCTGGGCTCCCTGGGAAGAAGCTGAGTGTTATGCTAAAGATAGGAGGTATGTCTTGATTCTCTTCTTTAGCAGTAAGTATAGAGATTGAAGCCTGGACAGGACGCTGCTGAATGCAACTTTTACCAGACGCCAGTGATGCGAGTATTATGACCGTCGACACCTAGCTAATGTAAAGCTAAATATCTCGAAGAGAGATTTTAGGCATTCTTTCAGACAACTAAAAGGAAAATCTTAAAGAGCATCTTTAATAGCAGACCGATTTGGAGATCTTGACTCTTTCTCCAAGGACTCTACGTCTTTGAGATGGTCTTTCTTTCCAATACTGTGTACATCAATCAGCTCGGCTCCAGCCATCTAGCTGCCACAGGAGGGTTACTCCCTAGATCCAGGCTCCAAGCTCTTACCCTACTGACTACCTCTACAGTCGACTCTACAGAGAGAATTGATATTCACACACCAAAGGTTCTCATCTCCTGGTGTGCTCTAGATATGGAAGTCACCCGCGGCCAGCGGACCTGCAACATACGGATGGCGACAGTTTGCAGAGCCACTAATGTGAGTGAAGAGTCGCCACAGAGTTGCAATCAATCAATCACCCGAGCCTGTTGCTTGGCCTATGTGATACATAGTATACAGTAGGACCCAGTCCAACAGCCTGAAGTAGTTCTAGGCCTTAGTAAAGACAGCCTGACCAAAACAAAGAGGGAACGAGGCGCGTAGTAACATCCGGTTGAAGGGATATGGCTTTAGGGTTGGCTCCATCGATGGGTGACTGATTCGCCATCTGAAGTGGCTTTGGCAAGGCCTCGGGGACTATGAGACACTGAACACATGTGGATTCACTTTGACATAAAAGATAGGAGCAGTCCTGCTCTTTGGAATACTAAACGAAGGAAACCAACAGCTAGAACGTTGTCTTTTCAGCGGCAGATGATGAGTCTCCCGTTGAACAAGCAGATTCACAGAGTACAGTATCAAACTGTTGTGTTGACTTTGTTCCTTGGAAGCGCTCGGACACCTGGGGCAGGAGAGCGCGGCTGCATGGCTGATGTTGGCTCGACGGAAGTGACACCGGCCGCATCGCATGTGCAGAACAACGAGGCCTCGCACCTAGGTAGCAGAAACTTGCGCACTCCTGATTGCATCAAAATGACTGCAAGGTAGAGGAGAATTCATGCTGGCAGACTGCAGATATTCTGGATTTTCGAATAGTGGAGTAATCGAATTACAACGGGGATTTCCATTACAAAGGGGTCAACGGTGTGACGGCTCAGGAGAAGCTTGGCAGCCTGGGGTTTGAATCTGCAAGGATACTTCAACCTTTGAAAACTGGGGAGCCGTTATGTTAGCCCTAGTTTTCGGAATATTTATCTGTTGATATGTCGATCGAAGTTCGATTAGCGGTTTGAACCCTACTCATAACTCGCGAAGCTATGAGCTCAAAATAGATGACTTCAACTATTCTTGAGAAAAGGATCCGCTGCCTATCCTTCCTATAAGGGGGAAGAGTCCGAGAGCAAACAACAACTCGTTGGTGGCCATGTTTGTTGGCATGGGGTTCCAAGTTCCTAATGTACCCAGTAGGGGCGCTCCGTAAAACTGATTCGAGATGGGCCTTGATCTGGAGCCCCGCCCCCGGCTGAAGTGTCCGAAAGGGATGGAATAATCGGCACTCCATTCGTATGTAACTGGGCGGCTTGTAAGTTGTACCACGGTATGTCTTGCTGGCCCGGGCTCCCTTCATGCGGCACTCTATAGACCCTATGCCTAGTGACATACTAGTTTACGCGGCGATGTTGCATCTGAAAAGCGGTCGAATTGAAGCGAAGATATAAAAGACGTTGATATAGGTGGGTGGCAAGGGCAAGGACAGGGCACCCAAGCACACGCGGAAAAGCAATCAAATCCCTAACGGCGAAGCGCGCAACTTCGGATTCGTAATAGGAACAATAAGGCTCTGTAATTGTATCCAACATCGCGCTGATTCTGAACTGAGTTCTACCTGCGTAAAGTTGGAACGTTCCTTGCGGTCTTGCTTCTTCTTGGGTTTGATGAGGATTAGGGGCGTCAAGGCTTGTTAACCTGGATTTTGTACTCCGTATGATGGCTGAGATTAATACCATGATATCTCATGAGTCATGAGGCGAAGTCGTATAAGGATAACGAATCAGTGTTTCCATGAGGGGTATAAACTGGGGCCCGTCCGAGAGCAATACTGTACTGAGGATCATATTATCCGGCATCTGACCATGCACCGGTATTCCTACCAACCAAATGACAAAGATATATACCTCGGGAAGATCTTTTGACTGACAGACGACAGTGGGCCTCAGTTAGTTTTGACGGAAGATCAACTCCCGCCGGTTATCCCGGCTGACAGGTGTTGTTGCTCTTGCAGATATCCTAGCCGAACATCATTGATCAAATATATGAGGATCTTGGCCATCCCATGTGGCATTTGCATCCAACGGAGGCACAAGAAGAAAAAGGTTCCCTTTGGGCACGCGGACATTTATGTTGAAATGCATCTTGTGAGTGTTGTGGCCTTGTGCCCATGGCGTGCGAAGTTCCAGCCCGAGTTTGTTGCCGCCAAGGGCCCAGACAGACGGGGAAACGGTAAGATGGCTCAAAAGAGGGTGCGGACGCATCCATACTCCATAGACAGACAGGATTGAAGTGCGTTCAGGAGGCGCCTTATACAGCCGTCATGCTGGTAGGCCCTCTTATGCTTACGGGGGTGACAGACAGCATGTTTCGTTCTTTTGGAGAGGGAACTTTCGATAGCAGGCAGTGGGAGGGCACGATGCCGGTTCATCTATTTCCTGCAAGAACGTAGAAGCTTGTCCTGGAAGGGCGGCCTCGACATGTGCGTGTACATGATACACACAGTTTGTAGAACGTGAGTTAGCTGCATAGCAACGCAGGAGGCCTTGGCTGAGTGCCATGCAATTATTTCCCATGACAGCGGGCAAGGTCCGGCACCCCCATGTGATCATCCTGAGGCTTGAGCATCCTACCCCTTCCACTGTCCATGGGGCGCGGGTTGCTGCGAACGGGCGATCACCATCCATCCTGAGACCAGCCAGCCCCTGGAGATTTCGAGTAAAATGGGGTCCATGACGACGTGTATCGGAGCTGAATCTGCGGCCGCTGGAAAGGGGCAGGCTAGCAGATCGAGCATTGATCCCGAATCCTTTCTTCGAATCTGTCCCAACCCCATGAGGCTGGTCTACCGATCTCTTTCATGTATCCTCCTCCCAGCCCCCCCTTGAAGCTCCACGAAGCCTCCCTGGCACTCAATGTTCGCCTCAGGAGCCCGGGCAGGAAACGGATGTTAGACTGCATTCATAAACGAGGAGGCAAAGGGGCCACCTAGAGGCTTTGCGGTGGATCGAAGCAGGTAAGGCTCATCAGTGATAGCTTGGAGAAGAAGCATCTCCGAAATGACCACGAGACAACCACAGCTATTTCCCCATCTTGTCCCACCCTGCCGCGCCGCCGCCGCATGCCATGTTACTGCGACAGACGATATACAGACGGCTTCGTAGGGGCTTTCAGACCCATGTCCATGGTGCCGACCATGTGCAGTCGGCACATGGTACTGTGGTAGAGGCTGAAGGTATCTATTGGATAGACAATACGGACTCAGTAGAGAGTCGATGAGGCAAGATGGGTGACACTTCCCACAACTTCTGCGGCTTCAGGCCATTCATGCGCCCAGGCATAATGATCCGGCAGTACAGCGACGACAAGGGGAGGGCTCCAGCGTTGAGGTTGGCGTGGACAGGGATAACGGCAATGACATTGACATTGCCATTGCCATGGGTATATTATCGTCGCTGGATGCGTTTGCGTTGTCATGATCTAGATATCTTTTTACCTCCTTTATGCCATTGCTACCGATCTGTAGTAGTTAAGCGAGACTACAGCCATTTCCCGGAGACCTTGTTGCTTGGAGGAGTTGACTTCTTACCTAAACACAACCTCAGTCTTCTCCAAATGGGCCAGACAGTGCAGACACTCACTGTTGGGAGCGAATAATGGATAAGACGAATCTCTCCACCGGATGCCCCATCATTGGTTGGGGGAGCAGAGGGCGTCAGGGCATTGGGACGCCAGTGTTCCATCGCAACCCACAGGCCGGGAGATCGAGTTTCACTTCGCGATCAGTGCCAGGATGATCATCCGGACTTGTCACTCACGTCAATGCAGCATTTCGCAGCATGGCAGCAGGGCAGCTCTGCAGCATTGATTGCAGTCTGCAGCATTGCCGCAGCCTCTTGTATGGCGTCCACGGCTCAAGACTCGAGACTCCAGGGAAAAAGCGAGTGGCAGCGCCTATCACAGCGCACGTGTATCTAAGCCGGTGGAGTCTTTTGCCGTATGGGGTTCTGTACGGTTCTGTGTCCACCCGTCTCGACTAGAGCCTCTACGCCTGTGTTGATTTTTATTGCAGGATTGTCTGACCGTTGACGATACTTGTCCCCGTCGGTTGACGATTACCCCTTCGTACGAGGTCCTCCGAACCGATCCACCCGTAAATGAGGCCTCGAGAAGCCCATGGCGTCGTGGCGTTGTGGTGTGGGGTTCTCTCGCCGGGCCCTTTGGCGCATTTCCACTATTCCAGTAGTGAGAAAGCAGATGCCCAGGCCCCCAGAGGACCAGCCGCCCAGCCGCCCAGCCACTGAGAGCCACCGGGGCTACCAGGGCCGCCATCTCGGAGCACTCTCCCTGAAAATTCCTTCCACCTGTCAAATGCCAAGATCTGCAGAGGGATCAACATTGGCGCTCTTTAGCTCTTCGTTAACCCTTCACATGATGGCATGGGTCCCTGTCCGCGGGCGTCGACGACGGGGTCCAACTCGCTCCAACCCCGGACATGCTGCCCAGGGATAGACAGATGTGCGCAAGGATCCCGTAGCCGACGAAGGTTCGTTTCCCTCGTGTGCCGCATCTTGCTGTCCACAGTTACTACGGAGACTGCACTTAGCCTGTGTGACAGGAGCAAAGCGGACATCATCAGCTCCACGCGATGTCACAGGCAGCCTGCCGTGGAAGACTACGGAGTACGGAGGAAGAGACACAACAGGCTGGCTCGACTAGCTGAAGAAAGGCGAGTACAGCACCTAGAGGCGCCGCTTCGCTAAGTTTACACAAGTGGGCGTGGGAGGGCGACAGGCAAAGGACCAGCATTATTTAATGTAGAAGCAGAAAGGTGGAGTTGCTGTGTCTGGAATGATTATTGTTCCTGCGGGCACAACACAGGCCAAATGGGGATCTACGAGTCCCTACGTTTCACGATGATCACCCTGGAACATCTACGTACCTTACAATCACATCAGACACTCCAAGGGCCGAGTGGGTAAGCCTCTGCTTCTTATTACTACAGTACAAAGGGCGAGTAGCCTCCACGCAACAACCCGCTCCCTTGCGCCGGCTTCAATAAATTCAGAGCAACGGCCCACGGGCCGGAGACGAGAGGAGAACAACGTGGTTGACAGGCGCAGCCCCTTCGAAAATCGAATGTTCGTGCCGGTTAGCAGGGCTTCTAGAGCGTCTCTAGCCAATGATCTAATTAAGTATTAATTCCGAGCGGGTCGCTCGCTGATCTCCCTGGTTCGCAGCCGTTGGCGTCCTCCTGATTGTAGAGCCGTCGTCGTGCTAGAGGAAGATCTACACCACCAAAATCCGCTTTCCACTCTCCACTCTCGAGGCCTTTCACCCCCCGAGAAACCTGGCAGCGGACAGCGGCTTTATGAGAGATAAGAAGAGCGTCGCCGTCTCCGTGCCTCTGCGGCCCGTCTCTCGTGTGTGCCGATCAAATAAAACTCTCCGGCTTCTCCGTTCTCTGATTCTGAACACCCATGGCATAATAGACCCTGGGTCATATCATCCAAACTTTGAATTACCACGGCGCTCGCACCCTCAACGCGAGACTCCGCCCATCGTGACGATCGCTGGAGTTGGCTGGCGAGAATCACACTGGAGTCTGAACCATTGCTAGCTGTCTGGCAGAAATTCATCCAGTATACCCAAGCAAACCCTCATCTCAGCTTGCTCATCAGCTATAGCCCATTCCACCAACAGAGCGTGAGCTTCTTGGCTGAGGTCGGGAGAGAAGGAGGAGGAGAGAGGCCTCCAGAGATCTCTGGCTCGACTGTAGATCGGCACAGGAGGGCCCACATACTCTCGAGAGAAAGGCATACTTTGCCCACGTCGAGGTGGATTGCCGGTAGCAGCCAAGACACAAAAGCGACCGTTTTGCGGGCAGATCGTGTCTTCGCTCCTGACTACTACGCACCAGAGCGCTTCCGTCACCCTCGTCTCAAGTGTCCCCCTAGAGTCCTGGACCGTTGTCAAATCCTAGCCCCAAACACCTGGGGTGACAGGCAAGGCTCCCTCCCAGAATCCGAGGGCCTGTACCATACGCCTTGAACGGGTTTTGCTCCGAGGCCTGTCTGCAGTCGACAAGCATTAACGTCTAGCCGACGGATACCCATTGCCTGTAGAGGACCCCTCCCACGGCTGCGAGGGTAACGGTTTTCGCAGGCATCATAACTTATCACATCCTGACCTCTCCCCTCCCCTCGAAAATCCTGAAAATCATCCTCTCACATCCCACTCGAGCACACACTTCCGGCTGCACTACGGCCAAGAGCTTCTCCGTAAGGCCTGTCCTGCTCTTGAGCCGATCACCCTCAACTGTCAACTATAATTATTACGCCAGGCTTAAGCCTTTGTGGCATCTTAAGTCGCAGTCCCGGAGGCGACCCACTCCAATTTGTGACAGCATTGCTCAGTACTTGAGTGGTTGACCAAGGATCCTCTTGGGGCGATTTGCGCCTGATCGCCCACACACCGTTTCCGGGAGATCTGATAAATAACCTCATTCCTACCTCACACCCTTACGAAAGAACGTAGCTCAATCAGATTCCTCTATCCCACACGCCCAAGTCCACACCCACCTTCGAAGGCCTGGGATTCACATAGATGCGGACAGGAGGCCAACACTCTAACTGGCACTGATATCTGAAGCCTCGCATCCCCAGCCGTCTGTGAGGGCTGCATATTCGAAGTACAAATCAAGGAAAACAAAGCACCAGTCCGAACTTCACCACCAAGTCTCATCAAACCGTCTATTCTTTCGTCAACGCGACCAACATATTCAATATAACAATTCGCAGGCCTCGACCGCTCTTCGGGTTCTCACAGGTCATGAATCTCTCCAGTTTGGTACACGCTGGTAGACACCAAGGAGAACAACAGCACTTCATACACTACAACCCAAGACCGCAGCAAATCATGGCATCCTCTCTGGTAGCAAATCCATATACAACTCAGCATCTTCCTCAGAACTCTTCTTACACATATGTCACCGCTCCTCAACCACCCCCATCGCCTCCTGTAGACGAGGCCTCGAAATGCTCTCTCCCATCTATATCAAGTCTTCTTGGAGGACTCCCCAATGAATCGAATCCACGAGAACCGGCCCAACAGCAAGCACCACAAGGTAAGAAAGCCGACTGAACTGCAAAGCGATCCAATCTAACACAAAAAAGTATCACAACCGCAGAAGGTCGAGTACAGACCCAGTTCAAGCCATCAATATGGCCGATCACCGGCAATAAGTACTCGAGGTGGACTCCCCCCGACCCCACCAATGCACTCAGAGTCCGGTTTTGACGACCGACAATCCCCCTCTGCGGCATCGAACTCTGGATATTCAGTTGTCTCAGCGCCAAGTTACTACTATGGGCCTTCAGCAATCAACAACGGGGAGTCTCAGGCTCAACGGCAACCCACCTCGTCCGTGCCGCGAAGACTCTCAGCACCGGTGCCCTACAGTCAACCATCGTTCAATGCGTCTCAATATAATGCGAGCCAAATGAGCTCCTACTACTCAAGTCCAATGCAGTCGACACCCCCGCAATCACAGGTTTCTGGGCTGTACTATCAGCGGTCCCTTCCTCAGGTTTGTTTCCAACCTCTCATGTACTGTGAACAGCCACTAACTTCCTCCAAGCAATTCCCGCCACCATTGATGCCGCTTTCTGTGACTGTCACTCCGTCATCTGGTGCGAACCCTTGGCAACATCACCACTACATCTCGCCATCATCGGCTGCAGCATTCCCCCAGTCGCAGGATCGGTACATCTGCCAGACTTGCAACAAGGCCTTTTCTCGACCATCAAGCCTGCGAATTCACTCGCACTCGCACACGGGTGAGAAACCATTCAAATGTCCGCACCAGGGCTGTGGGAAAGCCTTCAGCGTGCGGAGCAACATGAAACGCCACGAACGGGGATGTCACACATTAGAAAGCAGCGCGCTGCTGCACATGAGGGACTGAAAACGGGGCAATTGCTGTGCTATGTATAAAAGTGGCGGTCTTCACTTTCTCCTTCGACTTTGTCTCATCAACGGCGGTGGCTTCTTCAGTCGCTTATACCCACTCGTTATTTCCTTTGTCACTTGCTACAGGCACTGTTCATCATGAGAGCGGCGTTCGGGAATCGAGGCAGCCAGCATTTACACGGGCGTTACGGATACTTACCGGGCCTCTCGAGAGGAGGCTCGAGGGACATGATTATGTTTGTTTGATAAATAAGAGGAGAGGCAAAGAAGGATCGACGGGAATCCCGAGATGTAGATATCTAAGAGAAGAAAAACGAAACGAAGCGATGCTTGCAGGTCCATCATCCTTCTCTGCTGCGTGGCAGAGATCCAAGGCTGTCTGAAGCTGGATGATTGCAATGGAATAGAGCTACTACAATGAACGAATAAAAACAAAGATACATGATGAGAACAGAGTTTATGCGAAATACTGTGCTATGTGTGCTGTGTTATGCTACGATTTTGGGAAAACCAGCCAATATCCATTGCTACTCCTGCTCCCCTTACAATTGAACAATCCCCAGGTTTCTCCCAAATTCCAATCTTCTATCATCTACGTGTCTACGTGTCTACAGGGCGTCCAGCACACGATACCTCCTTCCCCTTACACTTCCTTACTGTAAATCTCCATCCCAGCTCATCATCACCCAGGAATCAGGAGAACCATGCATGCCCATCTCAACCACCGGCGCATAGCGAGCGACGTTCCTCAACGCCAAGCACCCAAGCTTCCCCCCTCCGACGCACGGCTCCACTTCCCTCCCTACGCTTCCTTACAAGTAGTAGTATAGTCGTAGTAGTAGGAACGGAACAACAACGTGGATACGGGCCAGCTTACGAATATCCTCGTTCCCAGGGGAGCGGGCGAGAGCATCCCCGGCGCCGCTCACCGTTGAACACCGCGGATCCGCATCCGATCCGCACAGGGAGGGCGCCCCGGCCGGGCTGCTGTTGAACGGGTTCCGTTAGTTAGGGACTTGGTTATGGAAGTGGTATGGTATGGGTATAATAAGGGGGGCCCGGATGGAACCGTATATTTAGTAGCGGCGATGATGGAGCGAGGACTACTCAGGAGCCAAGGGGTTCTGGAAGCCTTGGAAGGAAAAAAAGGGGATCGGCGCGAATAATGACTATCGCGCGGAGATTGGACGCGTATGGAGGGACGGCTGTGGAATAACGCTCCGGAAGAGGAGCCTATTACCTGATCTGGTAAGTAAGGGAGAGGTGGAGTTAGAGTGGAATGGTCGTGGTGGCTGTGTACTGTACTTAGAATGTCTTGTTTCTTGGGACCGAAAATGGTGGTTTGTTTAGGCCTTTGTTTCAGTATCAATCAACCATCCAGTTGGACGGCGTGCTCTTCGTAAGTTCGTATAGAGTAATAGAAGCATAGAAGCATAGATGATGGAGCGTGGAAAGGCAGGCATAGGCCTGCAGCCCTATTCCCTCCCCCGGGCCGGCCGGGCCTAATATCAGTAGTCGAGTGTTATATTGGGGAGGGATTTCCGATCCCGAATCCTTCGCAGATCTTCCTCAACGCTCATTGCGAATTCCGTGGCTTACTGTATAAGCAGCGGCCTCACATCCAAACTTCTTTGTTTAATTCCTTTACTTGTCATATGCAACTATCATGCGAGATGTCTTGCTTCGACGTTATGCCCTATTGTCATTGGCTCATAATATGCGAACTGCGGGAGCTGCTGGAGTTGACGTTGAGAGAGTTTGCATAGCGGGGTTGTCCCTGTCTGCTCTTTTCCCGCCAACTGCGCGCATCGCTTAAGCGGAATCTGCAGAGGGTTCTGAGAAAGGGGTATCCTTGTATCCTTGTAGGCACGCATGAACTGTATCTGCGAAGAAACATTGTTGGTGCTGTGGCTGGCTGGTTACGACTTTCGCAGAATGGCCTTTGAAGTGTACCGCAATCATTCTGGCTGCGTCTCATAGAAGTAGAAGCAGTGATCGATCACGGGTGAGAGCAAAGACGTCCTCGACGAGGCTCTTCTCATACAGATGTGCGTCTGGCATAACGCGACGACATTCGATTCGTAATACAATTGCATTGCCTTTCGTCTCTTTGACTTCGGGGCACATAGCCACATTCCTCTATTTCTTTGATCGTCAATCTTGACTAACGATTAATGGGCGCGGGGAGCTCCAGCTACTTCGTAAAATTTCAATGCATCAATCCGCCGCTATTGCGTACTAACCTTCGATGGAGGATCCCAGATCCAAGTCACACTTCGGATAATTGGAGACCGACTTGCGGAGCTCGTCTTGAGATGCGGCATGTTTGAGCTCTTTTATGGACAGTCCGACTCCTGGGCATTGGGACGGCGTCGAACTGTACCATGGCATAGGAGACGCAAGGTCTAGATCCCGCATAACAACAAAGGATGACCCTTGGAGGAATGACGGGCGGGGACGGGTAGGCATGAGAGACCTAAGCGTGAAGATCATGCGGGGCGTGATGAAACGGCGCATGTTGGAGTTTTGCGGATGCAAGTTTGGAGCGACACATGCTTTTTGGGGTTTGCCGGCGGAAACCGACGATAGGATTCAGAGGATTGAGGGGTGAAATAGATAGCGGTAAAGAGGAGATGAATTATAGAGGGATGATGGAAGGAGAATGTGTTGGATTGGGTAGGGGATGGATTTGATCTGGATAAAATTGTATGAGGTTGAAGTAGAGACCCGGAGAAACGGATTTGAAGGGGGGAAAAAAATGAAACCACCAAGATCTTCCTGGATCTCAGGAATTCAACAATCGTGTTGAGGGAGATGAAAGATTGCTGGAAATCTCGGGAGGCCATTGCATATCTGAAGCCCCCTGATCAGCTCAGTGCAAGGACAGCTCCATTAGGAAGCTCGAATTGTACTCCCCAACATCAGCACACCACCAGAGACAAATCTCTCTGTCCTTAGCTTCGGTCTCTTTTCTCGGGAACCAATGGTCTTGCTTTATCATTCCAATGGAGGGTGCCATGTTGAGGAGACTCAGGGAGTAGTAGGTAGGAAATGGGGGCATATCGTGTACTTGACCGGCCTGTTAAGGGTCGGGTTCAAGTTAAGGCCCTCGTACAGTTGGTATATATCCGGAAAATCCATTGCACTGCTTCTGGGATATCAACCGCATTGAAGCCTCCATACCAGGACATTTGTGAGGTTAGCCAGAGAGTTGTCATGGAAAAGAGGAGACTCATGATGGGCATGACCTGGGCCTTTAGCCACACTGGATGAATTGCTTCAATGAACATACTGCACTGGGCAATATATCCGGCTATGCTCACATGTTCACGGAGTTGGGATCTCATCGGTCTAACGGTCGACAACCACAATCATGTCTGCAGCGGGGTGCTTTTGAGAAGGCCCATGCCTCGGTCCTCGGGGTCTTATCTCCCAGACGTACAATATCGACACTTCGTCCACCGGACTGACATATGAAAGCATTGGTTGAACAATCCTCGTGGGTTTCAATCGCATCGTTTGTTGAGCACGCGAGTAACCGGGATAGAGTAGGGATGTAGTGATGGAAGAATGCTCGGCGCTACCGTCCAGCACCCAAACCATAAAGGCAACTTGCTAGAAACTCTCTCAGAATGGCCGCTCAGCTGATGTCGAGGTGGTTCTCTATGGAGGCATCCCTTCCGCCGATGTTGCAAGGGGGGTCTTTCGAGTGCGGGCAAAGAGGATTGTCTGGGAGGTCCATCACAGCTCAACGCCGGGAAGCCGCTGGTTGTCGTCGTTCCTACGCCTCTGCTGGACGAGATCTTCTCTCCGAAGAGGCTCTTGAATCGAATATGCAAATGCACGGCGGGCCGCAAGGTTTCAGACCTAAGCGCTATGCAAACCCCAGATCGTGGTCAGGTAAGGGGAGAGGCCGTCAGCGTTTAAGCAGCCAGTGATCGATGAAGCCGCAGCCCGCGCCGTCTCTGTATGAACGTCGGAGGCTTCAAGAGGGTGTCCTCAAAACCCGGGCCTGCGGGAAAAAGCAGAAAAGCGCTCGTATATTAGGAAGACGGCCCATCCCGTCAATTGGCCTCTGCTGATCCCTTCTTTTCTGTTTCAAAAAAGATATCAGAAAAGACAGAAAAAGAAAAGAAAAATCCAGAAAAAAAAGAAAAAGTTTCGCCAGCAATTGTGGTCCGCCGTCCCCCCTTGCCTTGCCTTCCCCAGCCTACAGTAGCCGCATCCCCCCATTATACTCCGCCGACTCCAACTTCACGACATCTCCAACAGAGGTGGAGCTCCTGCAATGGTTCAACCTTCATCTCAATTACCATGAGGTTTACAGCAACTTTGCAGCTCTCTGTGAGGGTGTCGTCGCCTTCGTTAAATACTCTGCTCCCTAGCCGCCGCTCACCCCTCCCCGCTCCCCAACCGCCATGGCATCCCCAGCGAACTCAGTGCCCGATACGCAGCTCGGCCTGACGAATGATGAGATTGCCTTGCTGCGCCATCACCAGCAGGCCGCTGCGTCCACCGCTGGGGGATCTTCTTCCCGTGCGGCCTCCCGCGCCTCCTCCCAAGGGCTCCTCCTCCTCGACGGATCCTCCCTCGCAGCTCTCGGCCGGCACTTCGATCGCCTGATGCAGCAGATACAACAGCGGCTCGACTACCTGTCAGAACAGTCACAGATGGTAGCGCAGCAGCAGTACGACCGGGCAGGCAATGCGATTGCGATCGCTGATGCCGAGATAGCCCGGTTCCACGATATATTAAGGCAGATCGACGAATTGGAGGTTGATTTTGATCGGATAAGGCATATTAGGGACATAGTACGGGCTTACAGGCAGAGGGTGGAGGATATGGAGCAGGAGGTTGAGCGCAGCGGCCCCAGCGGGCGGCATCGGCATCACCATCATGGAGAGAGCGCTGGAAGCTCCAGTCGGCGGCATCATAGGCACTAGTTGGCCTTTGAATTTGAGAGTATGGAATACTTAGGAACTGCCGGGATATGACATGGGCCACACGGCCGAGAAACAGGACGAAGGAAGGCCGATGGGATTACCAGGCCGCTTCGGATACACATGAGCAAGAGAGATAGGCCTCACGGCTGGAAGAGGGAACAGCCTCGCGGCTCACTGATTTGGCGTTGTTATTTTGATTCGGTCTTCTATGTTGCAGCATCAATACCCTAAAAGTACCTTGGGATGTCGTGACGGAGGTTGGTGGCTTTTTCTTTGATCGAATAGCTAGGTGTAGGTGCTGGATACGGATGATATATAGTAACTTTATTATCTCAAATGGTACCTACATAGGTCATATCATATATTTATAAGAGGGGTACTCTATGCAGGTAGTTGATCATTGATAACTGTCCATATGTGTAAGTGATGGAGGTATATGATCAAAGGCAGCGTAGCACGATGCAGAGCACTTCTTCTTGCGGTTTCCAAGGTTCTGCGCTATCCCTTTGGCTGTAGTCATTGCATTTAAACTTTATCAGTCTTTCTGTTTCCTAGATTTAACCCGGAACCACTGGTTCTATATGTGCGTCTGTCATGTAGGCGCAAACCTTAGTCTCGCTGCTCAGGAACTAGATGCTCTGAAAACCTTCGGCCCTATCGTATCATTTTAATTACGCAACTCTACAACGGCTGCTTGAAACTTTTAACTGGGAGATGCACAAATAAATGCTTCAATCCCCCAAAGAATCAACTCAACGCCCACTCTCGAGCATGTCCAGAAGCAGGTAAATTGAGCTCTGCTTCGAAACTTGACCATAATAAGTACGATAATAGGTAGCAGAATTTGACAGAATTCTATCCTGCCTCTGCTACTTTACTCAGACTATTTTCCCCTGAAAGGACCTTATCAGAGCGTCGTCATGTACAAGTAGTAGTCTTATGAGGTACCAGAGATTAACGAGGCTGAAAGTTATACTGCAAGGCTGCGGGGTCTTGTTCACGCTAATTCTCAGCCTTCTCGCGTAATTATCCTAGAGACGTTAGAGACCGACGCTACATGGTAAGCCTTGATAGAACGGCTCTCAGGTTCAACCTCAGATTTCATCAACAGCTACTGCGACTATCAACGCGCTGTGCTGTGCGTACCACGGCAAAGATGGCTTCGCCCGACGACGATCCCCCAACTGAAGCTGAAGTCAGTGGCATGGCGAACCTGCAGATTGAAAATGTACGAAGTTGACTCGTTTCCTCCCTTCTCTCGTCCTGATTCTCGAAGTCAGCCTTTGTTTGCCCTCACGACTTAAGTTTTTATGCGCGCTTCTCCCCCTTTGACAAAACCATTTCAAACTTTTCTTATCTAAGTCACTGACTGTTGTATTTGTTCTGACAGGCCGAGACTGATGGCGCTCCCTCTGCGACAACGAGCACACCTGCCGCGACTGGGGACAATCCAACTACACAACTCCCTATTCCAGGCGCAACGCCAGATCTAGCTCCCCAGCCTCAGGATTTTTCTGTCGTGATATCAAACAACGCGCCGGGATTCAAGTACAAATACCCCGAGGCGAAACCAACACCTCCAGGTGTTGACGATGCAGAGTGGAACAAGATCTTCACGGCTGCCGATTCTCGCTTTTACAACAAGGCCCATAAGAATGCAAACGCATCCAAGGTAAAACGAGGTACTGGTGAGACACGCGCCCTTGCCCTTCAAATGCTCCAGGAGAAGCGCGAAAAGGCAGCAGCCTCTGCGAAGGACACCGGCGCGTCTACGGGACCAGCAACTAAGACCAAGGCCCCCGCCGCAAGAAAGTCGCAACCAGCCAAGAAGGAAGCATCTACCAGCTCTCGTGAGATGAGTCCCACGACAATGGATATGGCTGAAAGAATCAAGACTGAGGGGCGCGCTCGCAAGGCTCCATCAGTCGCTGCCTCTTCCGATCGTGGGACACCCGCTCCATCTACTGCACCAAAGATGGGCAGTGCACCTCCGGCACCACCTAAGCCTCAGAAGCCCGGTCCAAAGAAGGGACCGGGTCCAATGAAGAAGAAGCAAGACAAGAAAGCACTCTCGAAAGGTAATATCGACCGTAGTCGTCTGGTTTTCTGTACGATCTACTAACTTCTCACTCTAAAGGACTCCTTGCTCCGGACACACCATCCAGCTCTCGGCAGACTAGTCAGACCCCTGGTCCGAAAAATGGTGCTTCCTCCGGCGACGAAAGCAATGACGGTGGAGAATACTGCATCTGCCGTGGCCCGGATGATCATCGCATGATGGTCTACTGCGAGGGTGGTTGTGAAGATTGGTACCATTGCTCTTGCATTGGCATTGACGAGGCCGATGCAAAGGAACTTCTCGACCGATTCATCTGCCCAAAGTGCAAAATTCCAGGCGAGCTGTTCACTACGTACAAGCCTATGTGCAGATACTTCAATGTTGGAACCTTCCTCAACCAACCCGCGTGTCGCAAGGCTGCTCGCGTTACTATGGATCCCCCAAACATGTACTGCAGTGATGAGCACCAGAACGCCTTCTGGGTGTTCGTTGCAGCTCGCGCTCGCCAGAGCAATGAGCCATCCAAGGGAGGCGCATTAAACCGCGCTGAGATCTATACCCTTCTGAAGCAGTGCAAGAATGTAGCTGAATTCCAAGCTCTGGGAGGAAAGCCACGACTTCCAAGGAAGGAAGGCGATGATCCAGGTAAGCTGCCCTCTCAAATATACTCAACCACTTAGCTAACCTGCGTAGACCGCCCGCTTGGGCTTGATTATCTCACCCCTGAGGAGGAGAAGGAGATTGAGGAGATCAAGCAGAAGAAGTTGGTCATCCAGCACAAGATCGAAGGCTATCAGAAGCAGCTGAAGCTCCTCAAGATGGTTATCGAACGTGCCAAGATTGCGGCTCAACACCTCAAGCCGGAGGTCAAGAGCATCTGCGGCTACGACAACCGTCTCTCCTTCAACGAATTCCAATTCGAGAAATGGTCGAAGACAGTCGAGGGGAGGACCGCTCTCGAAACCGGAGTTCTTGGTCCCCGAACCGCTGAGACGAAGGACATCAATGCTGCCATTCCATATCCCGGCCAAGTCATCCCCGAGCCTCCCGACGTCCCTGACATTCTCAACAACATCTGCCTCCGCCCGGAGAATCCAAAATGTCAGCATAACAAGCTCTGCAGCTGGAAAGAAGTTCACAACACCGACTTCGCATACAATATGAAGCTCCTCCGGGACAAGCTTGACAAGCTCACGATCCAGGAGATGGAGATCATTGATGATGCCGAGACACGTGAGGCCACGAAGGATTACTACTCGGATAACGTCACCATCCAGTTATTCTAGGACATGGTGCGACGGAGGTGATGGTGATTATTAGGATGGCATGTGCATATGGCGGCGTGGTGTGGCGTTTCGAGGGTCTAAAAAATGGCCGGGATATACCCAATGGAGTACGTTATGATCTGAATCGCAACACCCTCTCTATTTCCAGTGATCTTGATCGTGATCGTGATCGTGATCGTGATTCTACTTTCCCCCAGATTCCTCTCTCCCTATTCTTCGCCCAAGGGGCATTTTCTACCACTTGTCACTTCTCCCTCCTTAAACCCTCAAAGCAAACATGAACGAAAACATCATCCTACCTAAGGTACCTACCTACCTACCTTACCCTAATAACCTATCCCGCATCTAAGTAAGTAACCAAACACCATCATAATTTTGTCTCGTGTCAGGAAAAATAAAAAAAGTCACGTTCCCATCTCAGGCGCATTCGAATTCAAGACCCGAGTCACGGTCACGCGGCGCGATCATGCGCATGCCGACCTCATAAGTATAAGAAATCGAGATTGTTTTTTTTTTGTATTTTGTTTGTGCTTTTAAGGGAGGTATACGGTGCTTGATTATTTGTTTATAAGATTTGGATTTGATTTTGTTGAGTTGAGTTAATTTGAGTTGAAGTTGAAGTTGAGTCTCACTCCCAAGACAAAGACGAGACGAAAACACATCATTTTATAATCGTTTCAAGAGGACGATGACGAAGACCAAACATAAATCTGGATATCGAGATAGGGAGCAGAGTCTCTCTTCATCCTCATCCTCATCCTCATCCTCATCCTCATCTTCATCTTCATCAACCGTCCCAAATCCAGCTCCACGATGTGCTTCCCCCACCCGCTCTCGCTCCCGCTCCCCCTCCGCCTCCACATCCAGCTCTTCCTCTTCCTCGCGCTCTTCCTCAACCCCCCCACCAAACCAACCCAAACACAAACACACACACAAACCCAAGCACCCCTTTTTCTCCCTCCTCTCCAGCGCTGAATCTCTATATTCGAAACATATGCTGCACGCACACCAGCGTCGCAAACTAGCTCTTGAGATTCGGGAGCTTGAGGCGCATTCTCGCCAGAGACGGGATCGAGATCCTCCTATTTCTCAGCTGCGGAGGAGAAGTCGTGAATACACATCCTCATCTCCATCCCCATCCCCGGCCCTGTCCCATACACATACACATACGCATACGCATACGAATCAGCCGCAACAGCAACATACCCTCCTCCACGCAGCCACAGCCTCCCTAATCGCCGGCGCCGCGACAGCTTATGACCAGCGACCTCGACCTGGGGAGGAGCGGGGAGAGAGGAAGGAATGGGATGAAAAGGGAAAGAAGAAGAGAAAAAGAAAAAGGAAAAGGAGGGTGTTGATGGCGGCGGGGGTGGCGGCGCTTACGTATTTGGTGGTGAGGAAAGGGGAGAAGGAGAGGGAGAGTGCGGGGGAAATGGGTGTCGAGGTGCCGGTTGCGGTTTTGGCGGGGTTGGGGGCGGAGGGCGTGGTTTGGGGGGATGAGGATAGGGATGGATGAGAGAGAAGGGCTTCTTTCTGATCATATTGGTATAAAGGGGTGTAGAGAACTATGATCCGTCCCCCCTTTTTTTAACCGAGGACTGCTATTTCTTGATACACGCTGGGAGTATAAAGCGTAGCAGACGCCCTCCCACAACCAGACCATCTTTAGTATGGAAATGGATATCTATTTTCAATTCGATACAACCGCTTTCACGCCTCTCCCAGACCGAATAGTACGAAATCTCTCAACGCCTGGCCCATCTACATGCCATCCAAAATGACTTCTTCCCATACGCGTGCTTGCTCGCAGGTATTACTAATACATTTAGGAAATCGAGTCCTACGCTCTCCTTCGAGCTGGTTCGTGTATTTCGGCTCAACGACGCAAAAGAGAACTACGCACTAGCCCACTCGACGACTTCCAGGGCGCACATAACGAGGATGAGTGTTGATGGGAGGATCCTGTCACTCGTTAGTCACTGGTCTCATCCTTCGAGATTGTTTGGTGGAATGAAGTAAGGGGGTGAACTGTATACATACCAGATAACGTAGCTCTGGAACAGCAATTTACTCATCACACCTTCGTAAACCCCATTGATCTGACATATCTGTGCCAGTTGCAACGCACTTGGGGCACCCGTCAACAGGAAGCAGACGATGACGAAAATCGGATCATCCAATATGCTCACAGGCACGAATTTCGCCGCCAACGCCAATAGAGGCGCCATTATAAGTGTCGGCAGGAGCATCCGTGACATCAAGGATGCCACGAGCAATTTCTTGCCGATTTGGTTCTCCTCGGAATTTTCATCGTGAGCTTCCTGAGGGAGGGTATTGCGGGCGAGGTTTGCGCCCAGAACCACTAGGATTAGAGGGACCGCTACGCCGCCGGATTGTGAGACAGCTCGAGTTACCGAGTTGGCGATGAAGGAGCCTTCTTTGAAGAACAGGCGTTGGAGACTAGGAATCGAGGCTACGATCACGGCCATTAACATGGCCCAAAGGGGAGGGTTCATAAACTCCCACATGCCATGGAAGAAGCGACCGAGGACGTTGGAGATCCTTGTTAGGAAGTTTTGCAGGGTAAGGGGAAGTGCATGGAAGGCCTTCTGGGCGATCTTGGTAAGTTTATGCGAACTATACGATACACCCTGCTTGGTGTGGAAGCGTGCTCTAGGGAGCACGCCCTTGAATCCGGTAGGCAGTTCTAGTTCATCCGGTGTAGGAGTGCCTATGCTCGGGAAGGAGGTGATGTTGCCATTTGGGTAGTCGTTCGGGAAACCGTCCCCGCTCGCTAGTAAGCCATGGGCTTTTCCTGGTTCAGTCTGGCCAGCCTCATCTGAGAAAGATGCAGCATATTGAGCACTGGTGACGGGTGTTCTGCCACCCCACTCAACTGACTCTGGCTCGTCCCGAGTCTCTCCATCAAGACCGGGGATGAGTTCAGGCTCGTCTTGATATCGCTCTTCTTCGATAGATCGCGCTTCTTCAATAGATGCAGCGCTGGTTGCGTAACTTTCGGGAGGGGCGAGCAGAACGTGGTATCCCCAGCTCCATCTCACCAGCTGCCCTAGCTGTTGGAAGATCAACAAATAAAGGATCCCGCGGGCGGCAACCTCGTCATCATTGTCCCCTGGTATCTTGTCCCAATGTAATCCCTTCAATGTTTGTGATAAAGAAATGACGAGTGAGATGGGGAGCGAGTTCGAGTTTCCGAAGACCTACAACTATTAGCATGATCGATCGGCTCCGATCTGAGCAGGAGACCTACCCCCATAGCAGTGACAAAATTGGCAGGCCTCTTCCCAAACCCAAATGCCCTCGAGACCATGACCGAGACGAAGTACGAGACAGCGGTTTGGACGACGAATATTACTGGGATCACAGCCAATTCCAATAGCTTACCTGCAGTCAACTGCGAGGCCAATTTCGTGAAGACTATGTCGAATTAGCAAAATCCAAGATGGCAGAGACCCCCACATACTCAGACAAGGTGTGAATAAAGCCACATTCAGGTTGGCGACGAATTTCTGTTTATCCTGATCGAACATGCCCTGCCTGGCGATGATGTAGCCGGGGAGACTAACACAGACGACCTCCATCACGGCCTCGAACACCAGGAGGATGAGGTGGCCGAGGGAAGGATGGGACTCATGGTTATTCGCCCTCTTCACGATTCCCAGGCCGAAGTTAACGGCTCGATCTGCGATAGAAGGGCCAACATCTCCGGTGGCAAAGGCATTGAGGCGGTAGGAAGTCGGGGAACTGAAGAGAGGCATCGTTCGAGGGGGAAGATGGTTTGTAGGGCGGCCCTCGCCCGATGATTCAAGTTGATATTCAGCAGATGATGTTCATCTGGTAAAGGGATGTTTGAAGAGTTGAAGAGAATTGGTGGGGTGGTTGGTTGGGAAGGCGGAAGATGGCGAGGCGATGGCGATAGAAAGGAAGCTCGAGGCTGGCCAAGACGATGCTACGCACTGCCACGCGTATCGCCGACCAAAACTGTTGGCGAGTACGGCAAGCGATAAGGCATGGAGAGGGCGGCTGCGTAACAATGATGCAAAGAGGATATAAAGAAACGGAAAAGGGGGAGAGCAAATGGGAGAAAAGGGAAAAGGAAATGGGGAAAAAAGGAATAATACTGTAAGAAACACAAAAAGTGAAAGAATAAACGGAATCTTCAAATCTCGTATGGATTTGAGAAAACGAGGGCGGTTAGAAACGGTTGATTGGTTCCTAGCTATCTCCAGTAGTAGGGACCTGAGATCCTTGGTATTCTTGGCTGGCGACAAGGCGACAAGGTGCTCTGATTCTGCCATTACTCTCTCTCTGTACAGTGTTTGGGTGGTATGTGGGTGGTATGTCTAGTATAAGGGGAGATTCAATCCGATTGACAGAGATACTTCTGGTCATCATCAAAAACACATCCCCTCCTTCAACCCTTTAACTATCAATTAATTATTATTCAATGGCCGTCTCTTGGATTGTCGATAGCTGCGGAGCTTCAGCAGCTTCAGACCCAGCTCCAGCTTCAGCCCGAGGGCTGTGATCCCAGCTGCAACACCAAGGACATCCACCTCTAAGACCGCCTCGAGCCCTTTTCCCCTTTAGTTGTCTTAGCCGTCTCCCCTCCTGAAACCTGACAATTCAAACCGTGGTGCATCGCGTGCCCCGGTGCTCCAGTCTTAACGGAGCTCGCCTTGTCTTCAGCTAAGAGACAGTCAACGGTTCTCTTTCGTCCTTGCAATTCGGGTTGATTGAAGTAAAGTGGATTCCGTGGATGTGAAGTTCGTTGAGCCTGGAAAATGGTACGATTCTCCAATTCAGTAGCATGTTTCAATAGCACATTACAACAACAACCACCACTGGGACAGGTGAGCATGATGTGTCCGGGAAAGTCGAGGAGACAAGAGGCGGAGGGAGCGGGCTGTCTCTTCCGCATGGACGGGGGACAGACAAGGACACCGGTGAGATCTCTCCTCACTGATGGTTGAGAGAGGAGGGAGAGGACAGATAGGACAGGATGAACAACTCCGGCGCCCTTTCATGCGCCATACTCTCTTTCCGTGCCCTCTTTCCATGCTCTCTCCCAAAGAAAACCTGATGTGTGCATATTCTTCCAACACCACTTACCACCCATCCCCTATCACTCCCTACAGGTATGATCATGGCCGTGCTGATCGAGTAACCCTGACCTCACCACCGGCTCCATATAATGCCCCTCGTCGACCCCTCCAAGGCTCCAAAGCGCACCAAGGGCCCCAGGAGCAAAGGATTGCGGCAACGTCATCGTCGCCCCGCCTCTCGATCCCTTCACGTTGTTGGCTGCGCTGTCTAGCTGGGGTGCAGACGGGCGCAGAGAAGCCTCAACCTACTTCTCCGGCTACCGCGTGCCTAGTCGAAGGCTCGCCGTGCGTCCGTTGGCTGCTTGATAGGGACTATCGGCTTTTGCGATCGAGGCTATCTGAGGCCATCGAGATAATCGAGAGAGTCAAGAGAAGGTTTGGCGGGCGGATTCCTCGTTTCCCGTCTCTCCCTTTGTTACAAAAGCAAGGCGGAGCCAGCAACCACGTCGAATGCTTGCCTTTGCCCGTACCCTTCTCTCTGCAGCATCTCTTGCGGAATATATCCATCCATCTGGGACCCAACCCCTAACCGGCGCCCGGCCTATCCCCAGGCTTTCTCACCTCCGGCTCGAGTTGCTCCAGTCGTGGCTCAACCGTGCAACCGCGAAAACGCGAAACCGCCAAACCGTCAAACCGTCAAATCGCCAGCCTCGGCTTCTTCCAGCGCAGACAGGCATATGATACATCCCTCCCCTTCATCTCTCCTCTCGTTGGGCAACTCAAACGGGACTTTCGCGGCATTTGCTCAGCTTCTCCAGGATCCAGATCGTCGCTCTGGTAGGTCCAAGTTTCCAGGTTTCTTCTCTTGAGCCGCGTAAGAGCTTATTACTGTTCTTTGCCTCCGTCCAGTCACCCATGTACCAGTATTGTCGGCCAAGCGAAACTGACATCCCCACTAAGCGCTGCTGCAACAACAGAATCTTCCTCCTCCTCCCAAATACCGATACACCACCGCGTCTGCCAATCCTCTCGAATAACTTGCTTGCTCATGCCGCGCAAGTAGACGCACCAGCATCGCAATGGCTACCCCGCCAAAGGAGGGCCCGAGTCCGCCGGGACAGCTCCCAGATGGCGCCGCATCTCCTGATTCTCAGGATGTCTCGCCCGCATCGAGCCCATCTCAAGAGAAGACGGCTGCCCAGCGGATGCCCTCGTTACGATCAGTCTCGGATCCACCGACCGCCCCTATGACCGCCTCATCTACACCTCTCGGCATGCTGAACAACGCTCGGCGGCCGAACCTTGCGCACCACTCATCCAGCCTGCGAGGGAGCCAGGCCAGAGGTGGAGGCCTGTCAGAAGGCATGGAAGCCAAGATGAAGGCCTTTCACCTGTCGAGACAAGGCACGCCTCCGTCCCGCCCAGGGATGTCTTCGCCAGATAGCCCAAATAAAAGTCCAAGTCCAAGCCCGGTTCCAAGCCCGGGGCCAGCCATCCCCGGCCTGCCTGGGGGACTGCGGCTTCCACCCAATATACGACCAGCAGCTCATAACTTTGTCTCCGCTCCAGCGGTCCCAAAGGCGAAACCTGGCTTGAGTGAGCGAAGAGGCATGAAGTTGCCGGGAGGCCTGCCGGGTGGCGAATCGTCCAACTCGAGCGCATCGCCACAGGGTAGCAGTAAAGGAAGCACACCACAAACCAGCAACGGCCAGACGGGATCGGTGTTTAACCAGTTCTCGAAATACATCGATACTAAGAACGGCACCTTGAATTTCGCCGGCAAGGCAGTGATTACCGGCCAGGGCATCAAATTTACAAGTGGGAACACCTTCAGCATCTCACTGGACGAGGTAGACACGTTAGAAGAACTGGGCAAGGGGAATTATGGCACTGTCTATAAAGTACGACACGCGCGCCCACGTATACGCAGACCGGGTCTTGGTCTTGCAGGGAACAAGGCCTCTACTCCTATGACCCCCTCCCCAGAAAAGGAGGTCGAGCTGGAGCCGTCACCGAAAGGTGGCTCGACAAGCGGCGTTATCATGGCCATGAAGGAGATCCGCCTTGAGCTCGACGAAGCAAAGTTTGCGGCCATCATCATGGAACTAGACATCCTACACCGGTGCGTCTCACCGTACATCATCGACTTCTACGGGGCTTTCTTCCAAGAAGGTGCGGTTTATATCTGTATCGAGTTCATGGATGGTGGCTCGATCGACAAGCTCTATGGTGATGGAATCCCCGAAAACATTCTTCGGAAGATCACGTACGCCACGACGCAAGGGCTGAAGACTCTCAAGGATGAACATAACATCATCCACCGAGATGTCAAGCCTACGAACATCCTCATCAACACTCGCGGACAAGTCAAGATCTGCGATTTCGGCGTGTCGGGTAACCTGGTGGCTAGTATCGCAAAGACGAATATCGGATGCCAGTCATACATGGCTCCCGAGCGCATCTCAGGTGGTGGAGTTGCACAGGCGGGCGCGAACCCGGGAGGCGGGACCTACAGTGTCCAGAGCGATATCTGGAGTTTGGGTCTGACTGTGATTGAGTGTGCTATGGGACGATATCCCTACCCTCCGGAAACCTACGACAACATCTTCTCGCAACTAAGCGTAAGCATCTTCTCCTTCCATATCCTGGATACCCGTACTGACCCGAGAAACAGGCAATCGTAAACGGCGACCCTCCGGATCTACCGGAAGAGGGATTCTCGCCGATGGCCCGCGACTTCGTGCGCGGCTGCCTGAACAAGATCCCCAATCTGCGTCCGACATACAGCATGCTCCTCGAACACCCCTGGCTCGCCTCCCTCTCCAAACCCCACAGCATCAGCGAGGAGGACGGCGAGACCGCCTCCTCCCCCGACCACACCGGCACCGAAGATCCCGAAGTCGCCGAGTGGGTCAAGACCGCCATAGAGCGCAAGAAGAACGGCCTCATGGGCGAGTCCAAGAAACCAGCGCTCCACGCCGCCCCATTAGATACCGTCTCCCCCGCCGCCAGTCCCGGCTAAGCACACTCCCCGCCCCTCTCAGAGAAGGGGCGGCAGGTCCCCCCCCTTTCTTTGTGCGGTTGAAAGCTTGCGCGCGCGTCTTTTTTTTCGTCTCTTTTATCTCCCATACATACATACGGAGATATCCCTCTTCACTCTCGACAATCGCCGAGAGTAGCAGAGAAAAGGCGTACGCGTGCGCAAGGCATGGACTTAGAGAATCACGAATGGGCTAGGATCGGGAATGGAAGCAAGGAAGTAAAGAACTCATATATCATAACGAGCAGCTGGGTAGCGTTTTCTGGGGGGGGCGTCGAAATCAGGAGGATAAGGGGGGGGGAGTAGGGGGGTGTAATACATAGAAGAAGAAGAATTCATTCAACAACACAAAGAAAGAAAGAAAGAAAGAAAAGTCGAGCGAGCCAGCCAGCATGCTACCTAGCACACAACACATCACAGCACAGCACAGCATATGATTAGTATTAAAGTACCTACCTTACCTTACCTATAAAGAAACACATTTTGAGGAAATGGAAATTAAATATATAGAGAGAGAGAGAGAGAGAGAATAAATAAATAAATGATGAGAATTTGATTAGATGGATGTGTTCTTGTGTGTGTGTTTTGTTGAGTTGGGTTGAGTTGAGAAATTAAGATAAATACCTTACCTACCTCAGCAGCAGTATCATCATCAAAGCCCACAAACCCTTCCTTTCTTCCTTCCCCAACACCCGCTGAAGAAATCTGATACCTTTTTTAATATTTTGAATTTTTTTATTTTCGAACTTTTTTCGCGTCTCTACTCCCTACCTATCTAGGTAGGTACGTAGAGTCAGTCAGTCTTCTACTGTACGTTTCTCCAAGCTCCAAGCTCCCTCCCTTCCTCACTCCTCCCTATCTCCTATCGATCTATAGGTATAGCCAGCCCCCAGATTCCCATCCGCGGGGGGTATTCCAGCCTCGAGGCTGGGGGAGGAGGTGAGGATTATATACATGTATGTATGTATGTATGTTATGTACATTGATGATTTCGATGTTGTTGTTGTTCTGCCGTTCGGGATGCATTCGTTAATCCGTGTGACGAGAGTATGATGATGATGATGATAAAACCGCTGGAAACCCACGAATTGAGGTCATGAAAACAGAAGAAGAAGCAAGAGAGCAAGAAAATAACAGAAACAAAACCCCCGCTGTCGCATCTCGAATTCGACATCCCTTATCCAAATCAACATGTGGGCGGGTACCGGCCCATAACATTAAGCACCCGGGGCTGAAGGCTGAACTATGCGTCGGCGTTGCGACCTCCCCGACCACATCGGAAGAGGCTCTTTAAGCCTCCCCAATAACCAACATCCTTGCGCTGCGACGCGTGCCTATTGTAGCAAGATAGATCAGCAGCTAATCAAGAAAACGCCGCCGCCGCCTCGAGCAAAGCGCTTACCAGCCGCTTTGCGCGTGCTCTCCTTTATCCTCCTCTTTGTGCTCCACCGATCCTGTGGGGAGACCGCCGATAGAACCCGACGCACCTTTCTCCATCTTCGCCGCCACGAGTGCAATCAAAGCTGCACCGACACCCGACCCGTCTTTGGCGATGCCGATGCGGATTCTCTTCTCGCCGGCGGCCCCAATACCACCCATCACTCTTAGCGCATCGCGCATGTAATCCTCGAAGCCGGGATAGAATTCAACCAAGGAGCCATCGACACCGATGTCTACGATTCCCCCGTCCTCGCCTTCCACGCTCACGGTGGCTGCAGGCTTGGCGTCGCCGAGTTCAAGGTCCTTGATCTTTTGGAGGGTAGCGGCTTTAGATGTGTCTGGAGTGCCGGGGGTGAGACGCCCGGTCTGCAGGACGATGGCTCCGACTGCTACGCCTGCTAATCTGGCTGCACGTTTGCCAATCGCGTGGGAGATCTCCTTTACGGCTTGGGCATCTTCGAAGGACGCAGCTGAGACGCCGAGGGACTTCTCTATCTCCTGGCGTAGAGAGGACAGTCCCTCGCTGTTATCTGCTTCCGCGATAGAGAGGATACTGCTGTCAACTGCCCATTGCTTGAATAGGGGAGAAGACTCCGAGACGGTGGAGCTATCATCGCGGAATAGGGGAATGCCGGGAGTCTTCATCATCTCAACGAGGACAATACGGAGGATTTCTCCAAGAAACATGCCCGAGATGCGCTTCTCAAACATTTGGATTCCAGGGTTGACACTGTCTTTGTCCAAAATCTCGTCGTAGATCGTGCTAGGTAGAACTTTCATGCCGTTATCGAACGAGCCCCATTCTGTATTTACCACCATCTCTCCAGTAGTGGCATCGTATTCGCCCTCCATTGGCTTGGTGATCTTGGACAGCTTCTCGACATAGGCGCCATTGGTACCTGTGCCAAAGATAGCTCCAAGGAGAGTTCCTGTCTTCCCAGGAGATGTGTAGGAGCGTGCCATAAGTGTGCCGACGGTATCGTTTACAAGAGCTGCTACCTTCACCGGTAATCTGAGGAGATCGATCTCCTTTTGTAGCAGAGCACACACATCCTGACCCACTGCATCTGGGATATTAAAGCCTTTCGTCCATCTAATAAGTGTTCCTCTGTTGATTCCAATCTGGTGGACGGGAAAACTAAACGTGAAACCTAGCCTGAAGATATGCTCATCTCTGTATCCTTCGGGTGAGCTGACCGTCTGACGCCGCCTGATGTGCGCCTCGAAGTGGTCTTCGTGGTGGGTCTTTAAGAACAGCTCTATCTGCTTGGCCAGGAATGAAAAGAGCTCTTTCGCCGTCTTGGCCTCCATCAGTTCTCGTGGTATGGCTACTTTCGATTGTGTAAGACTGAATGTAGTATCTCCATTCAATTGAATGGAGCAGACCCGGAAATTTGTTCCCCCAAGGTCAACAGCCAGGTACAGTCCCTAGGAAACCTGTCAGTCTCGACTCTGATGGGTAGAGGGGGGGATCTGCTTGCCTTTTCCGTGCCATTAGGAACGGCAGTGACATATGTAGGGATTTGGCTCATGGTGGTCGCATTCTTCTCCAATCCCTCGTCTGTGCTATGGTCAGTCTGTTTATTCTTTCGGATTGCCTGGCAAGGTTGTACGCACTCATCTCGGCGATGAACTCGGCCACGGTCTTCTGTACGTCATTGTCGCTAAAGTCGAATTCCGCGGCCACGCGCTTTGCTTCGGCCAGGAGGGCCATCTTGTGCGGTCGAGACACGGGCGCCTCAGAGGGGAAAGGATGAGGCGATTCGCAAACGCCCGCCTCGAGATGCGCAGGCGGGGAGAAGGAGGTCTGGGAATAGGGCTGCGGGGGTCGTGTGCGCAACGGAGGGTCTGCGAAGAGGTATTGTACAATCTGGGAAACAGTCAGGAGTTGGATTTTGAAGGACTCGAGCCCAGGCCCATGTCATGTTATGTCGAAGTGTCATGATGGTGAGACCGGCGGGAGATAGAGGGTGGATGACGACTCACGAGGACAACAGCCAGAAGAGCAAACGACGTGAGGTGAACCAGACTGATGGGATTCCGGGTCGACACTTTGTGCGGTTTGTAGAGGTTTCTCTCGTCGAATAGTGTGACCGGCGACGGACTACGAGAACTCGGGGGCGAGCGGGCCCCTCTTCTAGTTAAGGACGACGTCTTGGTGGAGGAGGGAGGGAGAAGGCCACACTTGGCGGGGCAGGGAAGGGGGGGGGCAAAGAACTGGGTAGCAGGCACGCGCTGGGCAGCGGTACGAGCTGGTACGAGCCGTGGGGTCTTCTGGGGCACGAGCTGGGGGCGAGGGAAGGGAAGGGGGGGGGATCCAGAGCAAAAGCAAAGGCAAAAAGCAAGTAGTTGGCCAGGCAGGCCCGTTTATGCGGAGCAGCAGATGCAGTGGCAGTCGGAATAATCGCAATCGCAATCGCACAGTGGTCGTAGACACGAGAGTAGTCGCCCTGGAAGCTGCGGCAGAGCGAGTAGAGAGTGGTGAATCGTGAACAAGCAAGTAACAAGCAGAAACATCAACTATGAACGCATACTGGAGAACGCGGGTCTCGTGCGGGTCTGCTAGGCGCGGTGCCAGTCGACCATAGGGCAGCGCCAGGTGAGGTCGACGATGGCGATTGGGCAATGGCGGGCAGAGCGCGACGTTCGTTGAAGAGCAAGGCCGGGGAGCCAACGTAGTTTCGGCGACGGCCTGGACTTCTCGGCCAAACTGTCAGTCTAAAGGAGGAATTGCCCGAGTTGCCGTGTCTTGATTATGTGGCTTTTTGTTGTTTTTGTTTCGAGTTGGATCTTTGTGTGCTGATGTTCATCGAAGAAATAAGAGGGAGAGAAGAGAGGAAGTGCGCAAGAGGGAGATCGATAAAGATACTGTGGAGATAAGGTAGATAGAGATGCCAAGCTGAGAAAAGGCTTGCTGGGGTCAACTCTGGACAACTGTCAATGCGACAACTTTGAATGAAAGATATTTTTATATTTTTATTTGTTTTGTATATAAACCTTGTGGTTCTGTATGGCTACAACTACAACACTGCCTCTGCGGTAACCTCTGTCTCCAAACCCGTCGTCTAATTATTATTCCTGAAATTTGGAGTAATATATGAACGCACCCCGGAGAATGTCTCCAGAGGCCTGACGCTTTCGGTCCTTCTTCGAGAGCCTCACATGTCTCATGCGGGTTCCACTGCGGTTCTGACTGGAGTCAGTAAGGTCTTCAGCCAGTTCCCACTATCCCACTGCCGTCTTCCAGATTGCCGAGTGGGCGTCATGGACTCTGTGGTGGCATCGGGAGCCAAAATCTCGAGTCTTGACTTTTGCGTCTTGACTGAGGTAAGTAGTAAGGTCTTGACCACGGAACACAGCACTCGATTCTTCCCATCAAGTAAGGTAAGGTAGCTAGCTAATCAATGACAAAGGAACCGTGATGGCTGGCCGGGGTGTACCCCGCAACCCAACAAAGACCACAAGAGCACAGCGACGAGACAATATCAATAGTTACATTCCGACAAGAGTAAGGGGCTCTTGATAGATGACGAGTGAGTTCCCTACCTGTGGGCAATTTTCCCTATTGATACAGATAATAGCTGAGAACCTAGGCAGATGAGGTAGTGGTCGAGGTTCCTCAAAAGCTGGATCGCTCAGGACGGTCTCATCCGCTACCAAGAGGTTAGGTGATACATACCATCGTGAAGATGGGTTGATATGACTATATTTATAGGTAGTCCTCCGTCACAGCGTCAACTTGGTCTCCAGAGGTCCTCCAAGGTCATCGGTCACGTGACTGCACGTGGCCTATTCTTGAAATAAACCTGACTTCCAACCCAACAAGGTGGGCTACGGAGTATATATGCTCTGTATACATATGAATTCTCCGAAAGAACTCACACGGTGTTATGATGATTGTAGGCAGAGTCCTGAAGGACCACAGGGGACAATGCGGAATGCGAGCAGAGTCTGCCTCGTGTGAGCACAACCACCCGGCTTCATGATTCCAAGTCACGTTTGAAACAGCCGCCAACGTGATTATCGAGGATCCTCCCGTCAAAGAAACAGGGGACTGGAGGGGTCCCCTCTGCAATCCACCAATCACAGGCGGGCGTCCTGAGGGAGAGCCCAACTCCGAGTTGGGCTGCTGGGGGCTGAAGAGCTCCAGTGAGTGCACAGATTTCCAATGATGCTGCAGTGGCGATCCGCGTGCCAGGAGTCAGGACTTTTCACTCGACTCCTTTGATACCGATGGACTGTACCGGGGCACTGGGGACAGGACTCGGCAAGATGATGATGTCCGAGACGGCAGAGGATGGCGTGGAGGAAGGGGGATTTCAGCACATAAAGAGCACATGGCATTGTTCTTCCATGGGGCATGCACTGAGGACGGACGGGGCCCATGGATTCGAGGGGCATGTCTCTTCAGGACTGACAGTACTTTACCGTGTGCGGTCGCATCGTGGCCCTGCAACGTCCATGACTGCAGAGTGACTGAGAAGAAAAATATCCATAGTAAACCAACAAAAAATAAACCCATAATAAAAGCCCGTACAGATTGCGAAAGGAGAGTATTGTTGCCAGATTAATCCCCTTTCCTGGTGTTCCCTATCTGCGCCTCGACCAACCCCTCGCCGCCAAGCTCGTGGCCTTCTTTGCTCAAAGCGAACACCATCAAAGGGCTCTAGAGGAGAGACTGCAAAGACGAAAGTCTCTTCCCACCATCGATATCATTATCAATTATTATTATTGTAATTCTTCTTCTCCTCCTCCAAAGTCCGCCGCATCCTGCAGATCAGTCCTTCACAGCCTCACTTGCTTGCCTCGGCCAAGGCAACCCTCACTCACTCTCCCTCACCAGGCTGTGTCCGTCCCTCCACCTCCAACGAAACCACTGGAACCACCACGCCGTCCTTGATGGTCGCAGAACCTCTTCAACCCCAATTCCAACTCCAACGACTGCAACAACTACAACTACTGCTATAACAATACGCCTCACGACCCACGATCCACCCACCCCTCCCCTTACTAAGTCTCGCCCGTAAGCAAATACTACACTACTACCGCGCACCCCCCCATCTCACCCGCCGCCGCCGCCGCCTCGCTCCCCCAGTCTCTCTCTTACTACTAGGGCCTAGATAGATCAATCAATCGCCAACTTGACTGGTCGCTCTCTGCGGCGTCTGTCTTGTCTCCCCTTTGCTGTGCCAGATCTCTTGCAACTACTTGCAACTCGCAATCCTCCTTTTCCTCCTCCTCCACCTCTTACCCGTTTCATTCGTTTTCTTCTCTTCTCTCTTCTCTTATCCTTAATTCCACACCGAACCCCGCTGGCTGCTCTTTCGTAGCCCCTCCTCGCTCACCCCTCCTCCTCTCCTGGCCCTTATGAGTTCTATGAACTCCCGTCTCAAAGGCCTTGGATTCGGTTCCAAACGAAAGTCGAGCGCCGTCGCCCCTACGACTGTCCCCCCGAACACCTCCTCGCCGCCCCAGCCTGCTGTTGGACAGGACCCGACAACCGCTTCGTCCTCCACGTCGAGCCTCCATATGAACCAGCCCGGTGCTGTTGGGCGACCGCCGAGCTATACCAATAACTATCCTCCTGCTACCGCTGCAGCGGGTCGCACAACGAGTCCCATGGTCCCGGGAGCCCCTCGCACTCCGCCCACACAAATGATGGGTGGCCCACCACCGATCAATACTGCTGGCTCTCCATATCCTCCAGGTCACCCTGCTGCCGGTGTTATGGGTGCGCCGCTGAATGGAGGACCACCTCAGTATGGACCACCACAGTATGGAACCCCCATTCCGCCTGGGGGCGGCAATCTACATTACCCGCACAGAAACAACGCCGTCGAGGTAGAGGGAGCTGGCAGAAATAAAGCACAACTGATCGTTGGTATCGACTTTGTAAGTTATCCAACGCCTCAAATACAACCCCACCGATCCCATTCTAACGTCAACAGGGAACTACCTTCTCAGGTGTTGCCTTTGCCTTTGCGACGAACTCAGAAGCCAAGGAAGATATCATCACAGAATGGCCTGGGGCCGGGTCATACACAAAGCAGAAGGTAATTGTGGCACATCTGACATGATGGAGAGGACGTAAGGCTGACGAGATAGATTCCGACTGTGTTATACTACGACAAGTACCAGAAGGTTGTTGGCTGGGGTCCTGACATCGCTGACGCTTTAGCACCGACTGGATACCCAAAGCCAGGCGTGCAGAAGGTCGAGTGGTTCAAGCTGCAGCTGATGCTTTCTGGTAACACCTATATCGATCCTATTAACCTTCCTCCCCTCCCTCCTGGGAAGTCAGAGATTGACGTGGCTGCTGACTACCTTTTCAAACTCCGACAAGCCATGCGAGCCCAGCTGCAGAAAACACTGGGCGAGGTTTTCAACAGAGAAGAGCGGAACATCCGGTACTATCTTACCGTCCCTGCTATTTGGAATGATGCTGGAAAGGCTGCGACCAGAGCTGCTGCTATTCAGGCCGGTTTCTTGCGTGATGAGAACGATAACCGGCTTACTCTCATTACCGAACCTGAAGCGGCTGCATTGTTCTGTTCAAAGGCCGGCCTCCTGAACCTCAAAGTCCACGATGCCGTGTTGATTGTTGACTGTGGTGGCGGAACCGTGGATTTGATTGCCTACGAAGTCGAAGAAGAGTCTCCTTTCACAGTATCAGAGTGCACAGCAGGTTCGGGTGACTCCTGCGGATCAACCGCCCTCAACCGGAACTTCAGCAACATCTTAAGAACCAAGATCCGGAAGATGAAGCTCCCAGACGGGTCCAGAACTGCCGCCCGAGTCTACGCTAAATGTATCATGGATTTCGAGAACCGAATCAAGGCCGATTTCCGCAACAATAATCAAAAGTGGGCCGTTGATGTTGGTATCGAGGCCGAGTTCCCAGAAGCAGGTATAGAGGAGGGTTACATGACCTTCACGAACGAGGAGATCCTGCAATGCTTCGAGCCCGTGGTAAACCGAATCTTAGAGTTAGTCCGGAACCAGATCATCGCCATTCAAGCTCAGAACCGGACGCTTCAGAACGTGTTGGTTGTCGGTGGATTTGGTGCTTCCGAATACCTCTTCCAACAGATCAAGCTTCACGTGCCTCCCCAGTTCCAATCCAAGGTTGTCAGACCTATGGATTCCGTTGCGGCCATTGTCAAGGGTGCTGTCACTGCCGGTATCACTGAGCGAGTTGTTACATCTCGTGTCGCTCGCCGTCATTATCTGATGGCTACTCTCCAGCCTTTCAAGGAGGGCCACCACCCAGAAGCCTACCGTGTTCCATCTTTGGATGGTAAGGACCGATGCAAGTTTACCCGCCAGCTCTTCGTCCAGAAGGGTCAAAGAGTCAAGATTGGAGAGCCTGTTAAGGTATCATTCTTCAGACAAGTTGCACCAGGTGCAACCTTGATGTACGAAGATATCTTATACGCTTGCGATGATGATGTCTGCCCCGAATATACCAAAGACCCTCGTTAGTTACTCATTCCTGCAAGTTGGACATTTTGCTAACAGTGTCATAGGCATCAAGGAAGTTGTCACGCTCACCTCAGATCTCTCGCGCAAGAATCTCGAGAAGGACTTCGAGCGAATGGACACACCGCAAGGCACTTTCTACCGAGTGTACTTCGACATCTATCTCACACTGGACGGATCAGAATTCAACGCCGAGCTGGTGTGCCAGGGAGAAGTGATGGGACGTTGCACGGCCAGATTTAAATGAGCGCACTACATGAGGATATTGACGGATGGCACGAATTTCTTTTTTTCGCCTCGGAAGAATGTCAAGCTTGGCACCGAGATGCAATGGACTGGATGACTGGGCGTTCCTCGGAGGAGCCTTGAGATGGACGAGACGGGGACGATGATTGAACTGGGCGAAGATGTGATACCGGCGTGCGGCTACATATGCTTGGAGGGGTTTTATATATCACCGGTTTGATATTTGATAGATTCGTACAACGATTTTTTCAGCAGTGAAAAGACAGTTAGTGGAGATTCAAGAGCGATTGTTGGAGCATGGGGGTGTCTTGGTAGTTTAGTGATATCTCAAATAAAGTCCACGTTGCTTTACAGTACAAAAGACCGTCTCTTGCAGTTCACATTGCAGTTTCTGTTCCTGTTCCCGTTCCTGTTCCTGGACCAGCTCCTGCACCCAAGGTTCCATGCTCTCGAAGTCAGGTAGGCTAGACGGTTCCTATTCCCGCCCCTTGCGGGAGCACCCGAGATAGCGGGCCCCTTTATATACCCACTCCGAATATGGATATATATATCTGCACCCTCCCGACGTCATTGCGCCTATCGACAGGAGAAACGACAGGACCGCAGCACTTCTCGAAGGTTACAGGATGAAGATATCACTGGCTTCTAAGATTCCCAGTTGGAACACAGATAGATATTTCTTTCCTCTCGTTAGTTTTCTTTTGTTCTCTGTTTCCTGTTTCATTACGCGCGCCCTTGTTGGCGTGCGCTCTCTTTTATCGCCCTTTGTCCTGTTGACTTGACCTTTAATCAATAAACTCTTCGCAAGTCGATACTACCACAGCGAGGCTCAGCCTTTCATGAGCAGGGTAGAAGAGCAGGGATAATCAAGGATATCCTCGATCGATCCCAGTAGTCTTCAGAAACTTCTAACCACGAGATCAGGACCAGGATACACAACTCGACCATCTAGCGTCATTGGAGATACAGGTTGTCTCCAACTCTTGATGATCCGTTGGATGACAGCCACCAGCGACAAACTGGAAGATAAGTATACGATATACAGGGGCACATCGACTAAAGGGCTTCTTCTTGGGCAAGTTGCAACATTCCTCCTTCCTTAAATATTGACTTCGACCTTGCTTGACATCGCTCTGCTGTGGCGGGGCTATCTAAAGTACCACAAAGCGCCCCTCATATTGTTCTACATATTGTGTACTTTACTTATTACTGCTGCTTCCAAGATCCTGAGAGCCACGATGTTTTTCTCAACCGCAGACATGGCCTCCTCAAAACCAAGGAACGCGCGAAGGCGGAAGCTCGCAGCTGCTATCTTTTTCCTCGCCCTCATATCGAGTGTCTCCGCGAGACTAAACCCTTCTGAATTACCCGCAGCTGATATAAGACGACGCAGCGGCTCTCCGGATCGACCAGCTCGCTGGGGACCCCCTAGGAAAAGAGATGGTGGTGTTCCTCTTGTAATCAGCAATCAATGCCCCGATCCTATATGGCCTGCAATAGGTACGCAAGCTGGTACAGGCGCTGGTACCGGTGGCTTCCTCCTCTCTCCTGGAACCAGCAGGAGCTTGACTGTGGGTTCAGATTGGCAGGGTAGAGTATGGGGACGGACGAATTGTAGCTTTAATGTTGCTGGCAATGGAGCGAGCAATTTGAACGGCCATAATGGAGCTGGAGCAGCCTGTGTTACTGGAGATTGCAACGGTGTCTTGAGCTGTGTCGTTACGGTAAGATAATCCGATCTCTTTGTGCAAAACGATATACTAAGGTGTACAGGGAGATACACCGGTCACACTGGCTGAGTTTGATCTGGCAGGGGGTGTCGGAAACAAGCAAACCTTCTACGATATCTCCCTCGTCGACGGCTATAATCTCCCCTTGGGAATTACTTATATCCCCTCCCAGGCTGCCGATCTAGTGGACATCCCGCCAAACCTCACGAATCCTGCCTGTATCGCAACAGCCGGACTCCTACTCCAACCCGCCATGTCAGGAACGCTAGGAAACTCCTCCAACTCCTCCTATCCCATTCCCTATGAGAGCACCCAAACTTCCGCCAAAGTCGCCAGCTGGTGTCCCTGGGACCTACAGGTAAAGCGGCCAACCAAACCCGGCGATGGTGTATACCCCTACCCCAACGACAACATCCAGCGTCCCATCTTCGACCCCTGCTTCTCCGCCTGCGCAAAAACCAACTCGCCATCCGACTGCTGCACAGGAACCTACAACACGCCTCAAGTCTGCAAGCCCACCCTCTACAGCACGGCAGCCAAACTCGTGTGCCCAGACGCCTACAGCTACGCCTACGACGACCAGACCAGCACCTTTATCGTCCCATCAGGCGGCGGCTGGCAGATCACATTCTGCCCTCTAGGGCGCAGCACCAATATCCTAAAGACGTTCAAGAAGCAGCTAGACGCGCTCAGTCAGGGCGTCCCTGATCTCAGGGCGCTCCAGCAGGCGGCTAGGAACCTGACGCTTATTGATGAGGCTGGGACGGAGAATCATGGGGGCCGATCGAGGGGTGAGAGGCTCAGGGGCGCGAGCTTGTGTGCGCTGGTCGTGGTTCTTGCGTGGGCGGTTCTCTGGTAGGGATTTTCGTTCTTGGGGTCGCACGTAGCTTGTGTTTCTTGAGATGTGGATGGGATGGGATGGGATGGGATTTGAAGAAAGGAAGGAAAGGAAAGGAATGAACAGAAGCGCATGTTTTTTGTTTATTTGAGATACCCCTGAATCCAATACCCTGTTACTGGTATCCTTCACGTTATGCATTACGAAAAATTCAGAAAAAGAAAATAGAGAATCAAATGAATGGATGGATGAAAACTCCTATCAAGAGAACGAAATATATAAACAAAAGATTTCATTCATATCCTCTCCCAGCTTAAAAAAGGGGAGGGGTTCACGATCCATCAATTAATATAATTAACCGAGTATGAAAAAAAGGGGGGCGGGGGTCATGCATCACTTCCTTCCATTTCCATTTCCATTTCATATATCATATATATTTTTTATGATCGTTTTTTATTTCATTTCCTAATACTCTATCTAGCTACAAAGTAAACTAACTAGTAGGAGTCTGCATGGCAGTCTTTCTAACTGCTCGTTTTCTGTCTATCTATCTTATCTAGCATAGGTATGATGCTGAGATCATGTATGCTATAGGATCCGTGAGATGAAGATGGGATGGGATGGGATGGGATGAAGATGGGATGGGATGAGTGGTACAGCGGAAGGAAGAAAGAGCAAGGAAGATGGATGGATGGATGGATGGATGGGTAGGCGAGAGGATGAGTGATCTGATCTGACTTGGGGAGGGGAGGGGAATATGAAGAGTCGTAGGTAGGTAGGAAGTTTTTGAAAGGGGAAAAGGAAAAAGGAGGGGGGGAGAGAGGGTGAAAAGCCAGCCAAATAGTTGCGCCCCCATTTCCCCACGCCCCGCGCTATGCTTGAAATCGTCGTTTTGTTTGGTTTGGGGTTGTCATGATTTTTTGTTCATCATCCATGGTACCATGTAGATCCATCCTCTCTCATGCCCCTATCACATCAGGCCTTTATTCTCCTTTGCTTTCCGCCGACGCTCCTTCTCGCGCTCGTACTCCTCCGGGTCGAAATCGCTGTCCGAGCCCTCGTACTCGTCGGGCAGGTCCTCCTCCTCCTCGTCGACGATGTCGGCCTGCTCGACGAAGTCCCCTGCGTTCTGCGCGATGTCGATGGCGTCGGCGAGCTGGCGCCGGAGCGCGACGTTGGCCGGGTCGACGAGCTGTGAGGGTGTCAGCAGCGCGCGGTTCTTGATGCGTGGATCCGACCCGGCGTCGATCATCATGGAGATGAGGCCCGAGGCGAACTCGGCTGTGTCGGCGTTCAGGGGGAGAGAGTTGATGTAGCGCACGGCGGAGTGGAGGGGGGTGTCGCCTTCGACGCGGTTTAGGGGGTCGCATTCGAATCCTTCTTGGTCGAGGAGCAGGTCGATTACTTCATCTGTAGGGGTTGGATGTGTGAGCTTGCTTTGGATCTTGGGTTTGGGAGAGGGGGGAGGCCGTACAGTTTCCTCGCAGTGCGGCTTCGTGGTAGATGTGGTTGCCCATCGGGGTCTTCGTCTCGTTGAGCAGGACCGCGGCTTTCTCGGGACTCCCGGCGCCATCGATGACTTCCTGGAGGAGCTCGGTGTTGTTTCTTCGTGCTGCCTCTATGAGGAGCTCTCCTGGGCTTGCACCCTTGGCTTTTGTCAGTAAGAGATGGAGTTATGAGGGGTTGGGGAGAGTTGGAACAAGGTGGAGAGGTGCATTGCATGGAAATGAAGAGGGTAGAAGAACAGAAACGTACATCCTCATCCTCTGGCTCAGGCTGAGATCGGGGATCTGCCATCTTGCTTGTGCTCTCACGAACCCCTCTGCTGGTTTGTCTTGTTGGCGCGTGTTGAATGCGTTCACCGCGGGGTTGGTTTCGGGTTTCGGGTTTCGGTCCTGGCTGTGTGCAAGAGCTGGACTCGTAGTAGAGGTCAAGGGTGAAGGTATTCGGAGGAGGAGATCGTGAGAGGTTTGCCGGGAGGCTTAGGAGACTATGGAGTGGGGATAACACGAAGTTGCAAAGTGAGTGGATTCACTGTTCGTCTTCAACGACGAACTGCTTCAAACCGTCGGATCCCTGGATGGGTTCTGTATGAGGCTTAGCGTCGGCAATTTGTTTCGCCGATCTTTGGTGGTGGGGGATATTTTTGGAGGCGTGCTCCGTACAAGTTGACTTGGAGTCAGGATTTTGCGCATTTGATTGTCGAGGTCCGACTTTTGCAGAAGAGACCATTTCTACGGAAGAATTGAAGTAGGGATCTAGCAGACAGTAGATGCAAGATGTTACTCTGTACGTACTTTTCCCCTTGCCTCCCGATGACCTCCAGCTAACAAATCCCAGTCTGCCCCTCCTGCTCGAACGTCCTCACAGTCTCCGTCACCACACTGGAGGACCATACTCCCACCAACCGTCTCGAATGCCAGACCTGCCCCTATGAATACGTCCTCCAGAAACAATACTACGAGCGGAAGACATTTGCGCGGAAAGAGAGGGAGGATGTGTTTGGCGGGCCGGGCGCTTGGGACAATGCGCAGAAGGCCCCTGTGCAGTGTCCGAAGGAGGGCTGTGGAGGCGAGGAGGCAGCCTACTTCCAAGTCCAGATTAGAAGTGCTGATGAGCCGATGACGAGCTTTTTCAAGGTGAGTGTGATCTTTGAACGTGGGAAGAAGGGCAGGAGGGAAGAGATGCGACGGAGGCTGATTGTGGAACAGTGTATGACCTGTGGGAATCGGTGGAGAGAAAATTGAGCATTGGGTTTTGGAAAGCTATTTGTATGGGATGGGGGAATGGCGTTAATACAATGGACGATTGATCGAGGAGACTTTGGCTTTGATGCGATTCAGCGGGTGCATTTGGACATGTCTTTATTTATATGACCTATCAGGGCCGGGCTTTGGCGTTTTGGTATCCGGTTACTCCGTCAAATTTCCATCAGATTGCTTGAACATACTCCCATGGCACCCATCCTATTCCTTGACACCTTAGAACGCCTGGTATACCTATCCCAACCCTCCCATATCTCCCCTCTCCTATTTCTTGCTCGGCCACTCCATGCCAGCCTTCGCACCCTCCTCCACCATCCTAGCTACCGTCTCGCCACTCAGAATATCCGTCCTAAACCTCTCCTGCTGTAACAACTCCAGATTCCTCAGCGTGGGGCCCGGGTAAACCAGGTACTTGAGATAGGGCGGGTGGGCAAAGTACTGTAGATATTTAAGATACGCGAGGAATTCGGGGTTTTCGAAGTACTTTTTGGAGGCCAGGTGGTTGAGGTAGGTGGGTGAGGCGAGACATTGTACGAACTGTGTTGGAGGCTGTTAGTCGAGGATCAGAGAGAGTGACGGGGTTGGTGGGAGGAGTGCGAAGGTCGAGGAGAGACATGAGGCGAAGCTTACCTCGAGTTCGATCTCAAAGCGTGTGAATCCGCCATATTTGGGCTCTTCCGCTGGGATTGGTGGTGGTGCTTGGTTCTCACTCATGATGCTATCTTCTGGAACGCTGGTCGCCATTCTATCCGCAGGCGGTTGGCCGTTTTGTCGCGTGTTATATGGCCAATTGTAAATGCGCAGATGGAAGTCCTCTAGTCACGGCCTCCGACTGCAATTGTGGATATGTGCCTGAAGAGGCTTTGCGGATATCTGGGGATTTATTCTGTTGTATGTACCTGAGGTTGAGGTCGGGCAAGGCTGAAAGATCAGCGGCGACCAACTCCACTCGCTTGTGTCGAAGGGGGCAGTGAGGCATCATCGTAGGCAACTACAATTCCAACTCCAACTCCAACTCCTACATATAACTTCCAACTTTGCTGACTTCAAATCTCATCCTGTAGCAAAGCATTTCTCAAGCCATGGAACCCATCAAAATCACCATCGACCTGCGCAATACTACAAAATGCGGTCGCGCAGGCTTTCTCTCCACCGCATCTATGGGCACGGCCTTCTTCCTCCTCTTCGTCTCTCTCTTCTCTATTGTGATCCTTACTATGATACTAAGGCAACTCATTAAGTCCTCATCGCCACCTTCCACCAACACGCAGACAGACACAACGTCCAATGAAGCCCTACCACCACCATACTCACCTCTTCCATCAGCAGGGGGAGTCCCCGCATCGTCTTCCCCTCTACCCCGCTCCAGTGCAGCCTTGTTCGTTCTCGGCAGCGCTCTTTTCAGCGGCGAGCTCTTTGCCGTCACCACGCTCGCGTTCTGTATTCAGAACCTCGAGTACTGTCCTTCGTCTCCCCCAGACGACTCTGCTGGTTTCTTCAACATTCTGTGCTGGTTCGCTTACTCGCTACTTGTCCTCTTTGCGAGCTCGGGCTTTGTTGTCTGGTGTCTTTTGTTGAGAAACCTCTGGGGTGGAGGTATGAAGGAGGTCCCGCTCGACTTAGTGGCCATTGTGGTTGCGACGCCGTTCATACTGCTGGGTCAGATGGTAGTGGCGGTTATAAGGGCAAGTCAAGGGCAATTCTGTAGCCAAGTTCTTGACGAGGAGGGATCTGGGGTGGAGGCGCAGGGACTTGTGGAAGCAGTGGAACTGGAAGCTGGGAGCCAAAAGTAAAGTGGTAGGTGGTTAAAGCTTAAGAATTCAAGCCTCATTGTCTACAAGGCCTCACTGTCTGTGATATAGTGCAGTGAGGATAGTGTCTGTTGTTCAAAAAGGCAAACCATAGCGCCGCTTCCACATTGAAGGTAAGCGCCAGCGCGATGAGGGCATTGAGGAAGTTAGAGAACGGTGAGTATTGAGATTGGAGGGTCACAATGCACTTCTCGGGCGGAGACTAGCTCTGCTCATGGTGAAAGGTCACATTTCAAGGAGAAAGAACGTCGAGGGAGGGTTGTCGGCGTCACTCAAAAGCGGAAGATGATGCGGGATCTCGAGCAGTTCAAGCGATAATCCTGCTGAAGAGGACAGTGATATTAACGAAGCAAACGAAGCTATGAGGAGTCTACTTAGTTGCTTTAGGGGTTGTGGACTGTTTGAACGGTCTGAAGTAGAGGCGAGGAGTACATACTGGGCAAATAGCACTGCCCCTCCATCACTTCAGAATAACAGAGACAACGATTCCTAAAAGCAGACGAAGCAGGGCAAGTATCAGGCTGGCCCGCGGTAAGGCCTGCAGACAGATGGACATCCCAGCTGACAACGAAAGTGCTGCATAAGCGTCAGAGTCCAACGCTGGACGGCATTGAACAACCGGGCGCATTTCCCCGGATTTGAGAGCGGTAGACTCGTGGATGCTGCCGAAGAAAATAAGGGGAATAGAGTAGAACGATGCAACAATGCAATAATGAAATAGAATAGAAAATTAAAACAGAATGCCAGGAAATGATGTGCCTTAGAGATCATGGTAAAAGTTCAACTGATGTTGAATGGGAGTCTCTGGATAAAGTTGTATAGGATGATTCAGCAATAATACGGATACCAGGTATACCCAGGATATATACCTAATATAGATAGACTTATTACCGTAAGGCAGCACCTTATACTGGATGACCCCTATTAATAATCCTCCTGAGAGTCGCTTAGGCCATCCCCTTGTGCCCGAAGAGGAAAGACTCAGGGTCCTTCCCGGTTTAGGAAACCACCATCGCAGAATACGGGGTACGGCACTACGGAAGATACGCATCCGGCAGACGATATCCAGAGGGGTCTTGCTATCCACCGATGCTACATCAACTCCCTCCCCCTCCATTCTTCCTTTTCCCTAGAAATACAAATCGATCAATCACTTCTATACATGTCAATACCCTTCCTTCAGTACAGTTCAACCAATAATACACTTCAAACTTCAATACAGTACAGTCAGTCCAATACTCCCGGATCCATCATCGGTGCCTTCTCTCGCCAGTATCTTCAAGCGACGTCTCGCCACTCCAAGACCATCCCATTTCTCCATCTGCCTCTGCTCTGCATCTCCACCTCCATCTACATCTCCATCGCCATCTGCTGCCGTCGTGTGGTCACTGGTCGCGGATTAGAGGACGGAAGTGCGAGGACGTTGCGTCTGCAGAGGGACAATTACAAAGTATTCCAATTTACGGTCCCTACACAGGCCCTTGCAAGCCTCCAGGAACCTAGGGACCCAGGGATCCAGCACACCGCCCTCCCAGAGAAGCGGTGCAGAGCGCAATACGGAGGACACGGGATCAGGGTTCCTTTGCGGCAGAGTGAGAATATTCGTGAGTGACATATAAATCACACGCAATCGTCCCCGAAGATCGTCCCAAGATCATCCCCCTGGATCGTCATCTGCAAGATTGGCCTGCTCTCCTGGCGCTGCGAATAATCACCTGGCCAGTGGCAAAGAGTACTTACCTTTACTGTACTCTGTATAACACTTACCACGCACGCCTTGGATCGGGAGGACCTGTAGCAGCACACCACACACACGCGCGTTCCGCTGCATCATACCCGACCGATCTGCTGCATCTATCTGCATTGGACGTTGAACTGCCAGCAGCCGGTTGCCAGTGAGCGCGCTCGTCTCATACTCTGCGCAGACTGCACATACAGAAGAGGTGCCTGGCTACTTTGTACAGTCTAGAGGCAACGAACTGCACAGACAAGACTCCATCGTCCCCGTCCCCGTCTTCGCCGCCGAGCCGAGCGTGGCCAGCGGCTCCAGGACCAGACTCACCTAGTACCTAGTACTGTAGCAGCCCCAGCCCCCAGCAGCCCGCGACCCAGCTACACACGACTACTCACCAGGTAAGTCCCGCGCCGCGTGGTTCAAGCTCGACACCGGCTTGTCTTGGCCTCGGTCGCTAATCACAATAAGGGATCGATTCACAGAACGTGCTCCTGTGGTTAGGACCAAGTAGAATTCACCCTGACCTCCCACGGCTCCACCTCTCCTGGCCGACTCTACTTTCAACTTCAACCCTCTCCCTCTCCCTCTCTCATCCACTCCTCTTCCTGCTCCCCTCTGCAAAGCGAAACACCAGCAACGAGGCACGAAACACGATCAACGAACCGCGAAACAAACGAACAAACATCGGCCCCAGCACCACTTTACCCGTCGAGACCTCGGAGCATTACGCAGCCCAACGTCCAATCCTGGGAGCGTCCAGCGTCGACACCATGTCTCTCGTCCAACCAGGAGAAGGAGGTCAGTTTCCGAGTCAGTTCCTTGAGCGCGTGTCGCATCGCATACCACTCTCCCCACAATTGATATCTGGAGAGCGTATCAGCTTGGCCAGCGCCCGTTTCACGGTTTCAGAATGCTCAACATAGCAGCATCTGGAAAATCCCCCCGTCATTGGCAATGCACCGTCCCGATTGCTAACCATCTATTTGATAGACTCTCGTCCCTCTGGACTCACCCTCAACCTCTCTTCCAACAACCCTTTTCGCAATCGAATAGCATCGCCGCATTCTCCCTCGTACACTCCTTCCGCTCCTCCTCCGCGACCAGTATCGCGAAACCCCTTCCTCGATCCATTCTCTTCAAATACTCCGCAGTCGCCCTTTTCCACATCGCCTGACAAGATGACCTTTCCTTCAGACGTCACGTCTCCGCCAGCCCCTGCATTGTCGGGCAACGCAGCCATCTTATTTGTACGTCGCACCCTAATTCATATTGATTGGACGATTTTCCTTGTGATTCAAGCCCCCCTTCGATGAAGACGTTCCTCAACGTGGTCGGGCGTGCCTTACTGATGCTCACGACACAGGATAATCTCACTCTCAATGATCGGCCCTCTAGCAGCAGCAATGGCATGCGACCGCAACCTGCACGCGCTAACACAGGCGATAAACCCCCACCACCAGCAGTCCGCAGCCGTGGCGAGAATGTCCCCCCTCGACCGCACCCCGATCACCGCCCTTCGCGCTCACAGGAAGATGCTAGGCGGGCTCACAGAGCAGCAAACCCCACTAGTGGCGCGGGTGCAGGATCATCCAGCAGATCTCGCCCAGCAGCAGTACTCGATATATTCGCAGATCCGGTAGAGGAGTCGTCTCCAAAGAAGAGCGGTCGCCCGCGACGAAATTCTGAGTCGTCGGTCGTGGACCGAAGCAGCAGCAAATTGCTTGACCCTGAAGAGGAGAAGAAGCGTCAGGAGAGACGTCGACGTGAACGTGAGCGCAGACATCGTGAGAAGGGCAAGGATAGCAAATCGAGAAGACCCGACCGGAAGTTGGATATCATCGATAAGTTAGATGTTACTAGCATATATGGCACTGGGTGTAGGTATCTTCAAGTGAAAGTTAGACAAATCGCTGACAGAGATAGTATTCCATCATGATGGCCCATTTGATGCCTGTAACCCACACCGAAACCGCAACGGAAGCAGAAGAGCACCAATGCAAGCATTTCCGAAGGACTCTCTCAACAATGCTCTGGGAGGCGGAGGACCAATCAACAGGAGACCTGATCATGCGGCTTTCTTGGGCAATTACGATGATGAGGCTTTCAAGGACTATTCGAATGGGGCCTCTGGAGTCGATCCTTATGATACGCGGGCAAAATCATCCAAGACGGAAGCGAATGTCCAGAGCGCTACGACAAGAATCGAGCCTATCCACGGTGAAGAAACCCTAGGATTAGGCACATCTACTTTCCTAGAAGGAGCCCCAGCGTCAAGGACAGCAATGCAGCGACGAGAGAGTGAGACTGGACAGACGGAAGGCGGTCTATCACGGACGAAGTCGTTGGCCCAAAAGATTCGGGGGATCAACACCACTCGGCGTGACTACGGCCAAGCTGGGAGAGTTACCAGCCCCGATGGCAATTACGGTGCCAGCTCTTATTCCCCCGCCGTCCGATCTCAAGGTGGTAGCAACACGAACCATTTCAATGAATTCACCAGTGGAGACGATAGCAAGAAAGATGTTAGTGTAACCTTTGCCGAAACACGCACTGGAAGAGCTCGAGCACCAAGCAGTCCAGGACGAGGATTTGGAGAACGTCTTGAACGACGAGTGACCAGTGGAAGCTCGGAGACCGAGCAACCAAAATCCAGCGGAGGATTCCTGTCCCGAGTGAAGAGTCTGAAGGGGGGGCCACGCAAGCACAAAGATAGCGGCAGATTCCAAGATAGTGACTACTACTGAAAGCGACATACTTCGATATGACTTGTACAACAATGAACGGAGATGAGCACACACCGATAGGCTCGATCGACCCGTGACAAGAAGGTGATTTCGTACTTTCTAATTCTTCCGCTACGCGCTTGGATTCCTTTTTCTCTACCTGGTTGTCATGTGCATGCATGCCTTGGATTACATATGGGCGGGGCGGGGCAGAGTATTCTCACTGATCAGATACGGGGGACGCGAATGGATGATGTTTGTTATCCTGTCCTGATACATAGGCAGGGATGCGTGGGCGTTGGCGTTTACTTTGGAATTGGCAGATGCCCATATTTGCTGCGATTTGCTGCACAAGTGAGGAAATGGAAGTGGGATGTAATGGAGGAAGAATTACAGAGGAGGAGAAGAGGATCCGATAGGCTTGATGGGAAGGAGATAATGGCTTTTGTGGGGAACGAGCGGATCAAGGGATGAGAAAATATGAGTACGGAGCAGAGTGTGAAATTGAACGGAATCAGATACTGTGCCCCGTGAGCGCATGTAATGAGTAGCAATGAATGTGAGGATGTTCCTAATGGGTGCGTCGAGGCCAAATATCTGACTTCGACATCTACCCCGCCTCCCCTTTTTGTTCTTCCCTCTCTCATACCGTCACATTCCAAGCCTAAGAAAGCAAGTCGAATCAGGAACCCCCTCAATTCAAACACGTCCTACCATATATCCTATATCCTATGGATATAGGGAAGGAGAAGGGGGAGGGGCGAGTGAACATTCATCACATATAGAAAAGATAAAAGAAAAAAAGGGGGAGGTATTCATCTACCAGCCTTATCCAGTAAGTTATTAACCTATTCTCTTAATTCTATTCTATTTTGCAAGATCCTACGCCCTAGGTATACTCTCACTCTCACTCTCACTGTCTCTCACTACCTACTGTTTGTTTGTCTTTAACATACTATTACTGTCGCTATCACCATCACCATCCCCGTTCTCAACCTTATCATTATCATTACCCTCGTTATTAGGTGGTATCAAATCTATCAACACCAAACCCTAAGAGATCCCACACTAAAAAAGCGAAGGAGCATTGAGACCTCCCGGGTAGTCCCCCTATTTTTGATCTATTGCAATCTAGACCGCCAGTTATTTCTCAAGATCGATGTCCCAGATTCAGCATCATGATGTTCGATTTAAGAATTGACTACACTTGTCTGGCCAAGATCGCGCAACCTGTACTATATCTCCTGTTGGATCCGGAGACGATGAAATTATAGTGTTGGAAGTGGCTTTTGTTTTGTCCTGACTGCTAATCGCCCTGTTACTGGTCTCAGTTCTTATCAAAATACACAATACGAGGCTATAAGCTTTAGGTGATCCTACTTACCTAGCTATTAGCTCTTAAAACAGCGATACAATGAAAGGATATTAGACTGTTAGATATTGGGGCCTGGTAGGTTGAACTTTTGGATTCGGCGTAGAGGGTCTTTTTTCTCTTGTCTTTTTTTTGGGGGGGGGGTGGGGGAACAGGGGGACAAGAGTGTGGGTTTTTCTATTCATACATAGAGCAATAATAAGCGGCTGCTTGATCTGTATTTTTCTATTCATTAGCTCGGAACAGAATAGAAAGTAAGTTCTTAGGCCTTTTAGGATAAAGTATAATAATAAAGTGTGAGGGTGAGTGAGGCTCGATGTTGAAAGGTTGCTACCTATGCTTGCTATAGCGGGCATTCACTACCAGTTCCAAATAATCCCAATCCTCCCTCTTGAGCTCGTCCCCGTATTACTTAACGTTACAGGAGCTAGTTGCATATTCTATAGTGAGCGTTCGGTAGGTTTTCGTTCAGGCTGATACTCACTATGTGTAGAGTGTGCCTTCAGGAGTCCTGGCAATTAGAGAGTGTACATACACCCGGCCGAAGGTCAGGAATCATGATGTTGCGCGTTTTGTAGCCACATTCGTAGTAATGGTTGGATATTGGTATTTGAGTGTCTTGTGGTAACTGAGTGTCTTGTAGTAATTGAGCCTCCTAGACATTTTCGCTGTTTGAGGCAGGCTAGAGCTAGCAAACTATGTGACCACCGCTTTACATTCCCCCTCATTTTGAAGCCTCTCAATCTCTAGTCTCTGCCCCTATTTTTGTAACGGTCCTTGATTATATGTGTGAAAGTCTGAGGATTGATGAAGCTATTCAGTGTCTAATCAGTCATGGCACAGGAGGGCCTAATGTGATAAGATAAGTTAATGACTGGATATAATAGAGGCTTCCTAACTTACTTGGTCGAATTCTAGATCGCTGGTTTTGTCTAGGTCTTTCTCATGCACATCTGGTGCACCTACACCTGCAACAAGATGAGCCCGGAGGTCCAGGGTAGGTCCGGTTGCTCAAAAGTTTGATGGCGGATCGCGATTTCGGTCGTCTGGTTATTACGCTCTGACAGACCGTCGGTCTGCAGATGCCACGCAGTAGACACCAGAAGTGCAATCTCTAACTCGACGCGAAGTGTAACGCTTTTCAAGTTTTGTCTCTGACAGGATCCCGTCAAGTTTGATTCCAGCGTCAAGGACTCTCTCCTTCTCTTCTGCGCTTAATGATCTGAACAGGTAGTGCGCCGCATGGTCCCTAAAGATCCTCATGTTTTCTTCAGTGATGAGGTCGATTTAGTCCGGTATACCTTAGCCAATTCTTTATTAGAGGTTTCCAGCTGTTTCCTGGCCTCCCCTAATTCGTTTTCTTTGGTTTCCAGCTGTTCCAGGCGTCCCCTGACTGCCTCTAATTCCTCCCTAGTAATCCGCAGATCGTTTTCTAGGTTGCCACACCTTGCCTCAGCCTCCTTATTGTCGTCGTTGAGTTTAAAAGGTGTTAGTATCTTGTCTACAGACAAGATACACCGGGCAAGCCCGGAAACGATTTGTGCCCATCGACCTGGGACGGGACTCATGGGAGGGTCGACAGCGGGTTCCACTACCGCTACGGATTTAGCCCAATGGACCCCATGTATATCCATGCCATCATGAAGGACGGCTGAAAGGTCTGCGATCTGCTGGCGTGTGGGAAAGTAGCCCTGTTTTAGTAGCATACAGGCGTCGTACATGATCTGTATGCACTGCAGTGCTGTTCCACCTGCCTCTATGCGGAGGGCGTCTAACCATCCCCGGATTTGATGTAAGTATCTCGTGATTTGATATAGACATGGTGCTACCGTTACAACTGGTGATATCTCTAGTAGAGGTGGTAGTAAGAAGACTCATCGTTAGCCAAGTCTGTAGGTGTCGTATTTGCCAAAAGAATTGGTCTTTTAGGCAAGTATCATCATCAGATACGGAGAAGGGCTTGAGCGCAAAGAATCCCCCTTTGTTCCACATGGAGTGTGCACCTGGCGAAAGAGTAATCAGGTCTGTCGCTGATTCGAGAGTAGTTGTAAGTTCTGCTTCCCAAGCAGCAACTTTCTGATATCGCCCAAAAGGTAGGTGGAACATTTCCTAACGCGTCTTGTATGCGCTGAAGAAGGCGGAGCCGCTCTTCGCTAGGGATATTGTAGTCTTCGTCGTGATTTGATTGCGGTGATGCCATAGCTTGCTGCTTGTGAAGATGTGAAGTGGTGAAGGGGTGAAGGTGTGGAGGTGTGGAAGTCCTAGATCATATAAAGATGGAAGGAAGGGTAGGTAAAATAAGGTAGGTAGTTACTCGACAAGGTCAATAAGCGAGCCTCGAAAAGCAAGACCACACTGCCTTACGTAGGTAGTGTACCTACCTTACATTGTTAGAGTTTGCTGAAGAATTTCGAGCTTGTCTCTCACTTTATCTTGTACGACGTGCAACAAGGTAGAATAAGCGAGCGGTTATTCACTGGCTCTTATTCACTCATTTAGGTTTTTGAGAGACAAGCTTATGTCTCATTCACTAAAAGAGATCTCAAGTCCAAGTATCCACTTTGTCTGGTGCGATGTGCAACAAAACAAAATTAAGCGATGTCTGTCTCTATAGAGGTCAGACTCTTGCTTTATCTGATGAGATGTGCAATAACAGAATCTACGAGCTGTTATGGGGTCGAGGGTAAGAGATTCCCGCATCGACGGATCATGTAATGGATTTGATTGCACGTTGAATGCTATGTTGCACATGGAATGTAAGTCTTTCTATAATATACGTTGGAAGAAAAGATAAAATGGTACGATCAACCAAGTTCAAGAAGAGAGCAGGCAGACAGACCTGGTAAATGCACAACAAGGAACTGCTAATCAAGAGTCCGAGGATCGGGATTGAGGATATAGGGCTCTAACACAACTCTGGCAGGGCAAAAAAGTACGGAACAATTAGAATAATGCATGTTGCTATCAGCTCAGGTTCGTTATTTCGTTGTCTGCTTAGGAGGAGGACTTGCAGGAGTGTGAGAAGTCAAAATTACCTACCGAGTCACTAACTCACCGATCTTTGTAGAAACGGTTTACCCATCTCGAAAACATCTCTGCCTCTCTCTTTCTACAGACCTCCTTTAGCCAAGCCCAGAATACAATCAACTAGTTCACACAAGAGAAGCCCAAATTATCCCGACTTCTCGATACCCGGGCCTTGCTGTCTCGGCTCGGCTCGGCTCGGCCCGACCATCAAGGGCCATGGCGGGGTGGTGGGGGCCGTGGGGCTATAGCCATTTCACAGACACGGTCATAAGTACTAGCCCGACCCACCCTCCGACTTGAAGCCGACGATGGTATGCAAGTTCTGAAGTTCATAATACAGAGTGCCTCCCTCGTATACGAGTATGTTTCGGGAAGCGTAACGACACTTCTCTCGTGTAGCCTGCACACAGCATCAGAAGATCGATTGTGCAGGAGTAGAATATAAGAGCGCAACTCAACGGCCCCAATTCTTGTGCTTCGTGCATCCCGAGAAGGTTGTTGCAGCCACAGCATGCAAGGAGTCGGCAACTCAGTGCCCATCCCCTGACCCATTTCCCCTCAGAAAGTACTAATGATCTTCACTAGAATACCTTCGAAAAGTTCCACACTTCGTTTCAGGAGTCGGCAGGAGAAACACAATGCTGATACGAGGCTAGAAATACTAGACAGTCGCAACACCCACCAGACTTCAACTCCAACCAAAATAATTGGCCGTGCGTACTTTACTGTCCAACTCCCAGAACATACTGTTGCGAACCCCATCTTGCCGCAAATACTACCTGCGCTTGGATGTACTGCAACTTGCATGGAAGGACATTATCTATTGAGACGTGGGACATTCTCTACGTATCGGAATCGCAGCACAGTAACCAATACCAATTGGCAATTGCAGCTTGGAGTTTTTGGGCTACGAAATTTTCTGGGAGCGAACATTCAAATTAGATGTTTGGTCACACTTTGCCATAATGCTGTGAACATTGGATGTAGGAGGGGTTCGTCAAGGGTGGCATCAATCCAAGTCCGCTGAGCATGTCCAAGAGGCGGTTTGATTTGCAGCCTCAGAGGGGAACAATTCAAAGGTTCAATAAAGAGCAATAAATAACCTGGAGGGGCGTGCTTCCGTAGCAGATACTTATCAACTATTCCGGGGTTGAGCTATTACCGGACGGTGAACTGCAACAATAAGGTAGAGTAGGACTTCGTACTCCACGGAGTCATGTCTCAGTCCTCACCGGTAGTCCTCCTCTCGCTAGGGCTCGAACTTCAACCCGTCCCGCCTCGACAACTCGGACTACATAAACGAACTCCAGAGCTGGCAGAAGAATGCAAATATATTTGAATTCAGAATACAGATATATAATTTAGAAAACGTGGAAATGTGGAAATGTGGAAATGAGAGAAGGATTGTAAATAATATTAGAACGCGAATCCCAGAAATGCTGCACAGTATCTCTTGATACTCATGAGAATCTGCTACTGATTAAGAGGATAAATGTCTGGGTAATGGTGAATTCACTTGAATGTGAAGGATGAAATAAAAATTTCCGAGCATAAAACGCCTACTAGCACAAGATCTCGAGGCATGAAGTTGTTCTGGGTGTTTGTGAGGTTGTATCGTAATTATGTAGCTCTCGAGAAGCCATGAGAAGAATACTATCAAAGTATTGCCTCTAAGAAAGATAAGAGCATGGGTGCCAACAAGAATAGTTGTTGACCATCACTTGACACCTGAGGTACCTTCAAAAGTAGCATCACGATGGTGCAAAAACTGGACGCGACTTCGTCAACACCCACCGGGCCACCGTATATCCTACCCATTGCTGAGGCCAGACCTCCATGAGTTCATCCCATTCATGCTCATGATCATGCAGGACACGTCGAAAAAAAATTGAAAAAAATAAAGAATAAAAAAATAGATAGCAACGATCCCCACTTCTGCGCTGGCATATTCCTCACCCAATCCCCTCACTGCCAAGCAATAAGCTCAGCATAAGCCCAACGCCCCCGCATGCAAAATCCGAGTCATTACAGAAGAGTTGCGTGCTGCAGTTCTCTGACATCGGATTTGTTGTGCAGAAATCAACAAGAAAGAGGGTTGTGTGGTGGAAAAGTAACGGTTGGGAAAAAGATCCCAACCGGATGCTGCCGATACGAAGCGATCTGCAGGAAATTTTCAATGCTGGCCGACCCGACATACAAACCTCGTGTTTTCTCCATGAATAGCAGAAAGGTGAAGCATAGGTACGGCTGGATGAAAGTTAAGGGACTGAAGGTTGGGTTCTTGAATACGAGCGAGAAGAAGAAGAAGATTCGTCAAAGAGACGGGACGTCAGAAAGAGAGCTCTCGATAACTACCGAGTACAGTAGTGTGTGTCCTATATACTGTATATATGTACATCTCGTACAGAGAGGCAGCGCAACATTCCTCGTTTGATTTAGGGAAGAGACAATCCCAGCGTCGATCTATCTCAGAACTGCTTCTCGGAGAACTTCCATAGGCTGCGTGAACTGGAAACGTGGGAGACCCGGGCAGCTAAGGAAGGATTCCGCCGCGATCTCTAATGCCCCGGGTCATCCTAGATAGTCGCTTAGGATCCTCCTCCCGTGCCTTAACAAATATTTGCAGGCCCTGGGCCAAGCCGGACGGATGCACGCCACTCCACGCCTTTTTGCACCGTCCCATTCCTTGCCGTCCCTTTACTCCGTGGTAGCTCGTACAACGTTCCCTGGGTGAGGTGCGCACTAGACTGCCCTGGGGTATCCGAGCGAGGGGACATATGGTCGACGAGACACAGTTTCCGGAAGGCTGGAGCTATGAGAAGAGCTGCTGCGAGCGAGCTGGGAACTGGGAAATATCAGCTGTAGCGTCCTAGCAAAGGGAGACCGCAGCATGCTGTGCACATGGGTATGTATTCCCAAGTCCTTTGAGTCTTAAGGAGGTATATTTACTGCTATTATAGTACTTACGGAGTACTTACGGACGGACGTGCAGCGTTTCCGCCCAGGCGGCGCCCTGCTTTTTTTGGCATCCAGGCTACATCCAGCTGAGATAGAGGTTACTTTACTTTAACCTTGTACCTTGGCTCATCCCATGATCCTAGCCTTCGCGTCCGCTGGAGTACCCATATCCAATATTCCAGCCTTCCACGTCCCCAGGTTGCCAACTTCCCGCTCCATGGGCGTATTATTACGGGGGCATGATTCCCACTTCATACAATCATGGATTGACTGCAGGCCAAATATGTCAATGCTGGCTAAGAATAGCTTCTCCGACACCGAACTGGGCGAGGGCTTCCGTGCAGCTGCATGGTTTCCCGGCCTTATTCGCCAGGGTACGTCGTACTCTGAATACAGAATAGAGAGTACAAAATATAAAACATAAGATAACTAAGGTGTGGCATCTAGAAAGACCTAAAAGAAGAATGATGACAATATACAGGAATTATGCAGTGGGTGGAAGCAGCTCAATCATTCTATCCGGTCATGCCATGGGTCGTGTAGGGCTTGAGCATCTACAGATTATATCGATATCACTGCCCATCGCAGATGGTCGTCCGTTGGGTTAGATCTCCGCCGCCGCCCACTTGTCCACGCTAGAAACTGTCATCCATCGCCCCAGCACGACGGCTAGTCCTGCTAGTCCTGCTACTGCACCGGGGAGATCTGACTTATTTTCCTGCCGTCTTCGCGGGCCCAGACTACAGCTGCTCTCCCTGTAGACAGGCCAGAGCTGACATCGACGGCTTGTCGACCGAGATCTCCACAGGACCTGAGCAAAAGTGCCATTGTTTTTGGGAACCCCCAGCAATCTTGCATTTCGGCTGAGTCCTGACAAGCTTATACCCTGTCCCCCACGCCTTCTCGGTCTCTCCTTCACTCTCAATCGTCGATCAGATAGGCCAACGTCTAAACTTCCAACTCACGTTTTTCTTTCATTCTACGATTTTATACAGCAATCTGAGTCTCGGCGTTCTCTGTGTGAAGGAAGATAATTAAATAATTACTCCAACCCGCCCGTCTATCCTCTCTCCCTCTCGTTCCTCGAGGACTTGATCAAGATGGAGGGGGGCGCTCACTATCGAGGGAGTGCAACCTCGGGGATGTCCACCACTGCAACAACGCCAATGCGTCCTGGAACTCCAGAGAGCAGAGAAAATTCTGGCAGTTCTGCTAATCCTGTCAGTCCTTTCGGCGACGAGATCACTCCCGCGCCCAGAGCGAATCCCTTCGCATCACCCCTCAATTCAAGACCAGCATCATCACTCGGCTCCTCCTCTGCCGTGCGACCAATCCCGTCCAGATATTTCCACTCCAGAAGAGTGCGAAAAGGGGATGTCGAGAAGCCATGGTTAGCCAAGAAGGATCCGAAGGAGAAATGGGTCACCATCATCCCGTTGATCGGTCTAGCATTGGGTACTGCCATTGCTGCATTTTTGGTATATGATGGTATTCACTCAGTCGTACACCACAAGTACTGCCCGGTCCTGAGTGATGATTTCTCGGGAGGATTCAACACTGATGTCTGGACGAAAGAAGCTGAAGTTGGCGGTTTTGGGTAAGCTACTACCTCCATGGAACATGCCATGCCATGCTAACATACCTCTCAGCAACGGCGAGTTCGAACAGACCACCTTGACTGATGAGAATGTCTTTGTCCAGGACGGAAAACTCATCATCAAGCCAACCCTTCAAGATGCCAAACTTATCGAGACGAACAACGTGATCAACCTCACCTCGGATGGCACTTGCTCCTCCAAAGTTCTCTCTGACTGTGTTTCCATAACCAACGTCACCACCCACCAGATCATCCAGCCGGTCAAATCAGGACGTATCAACACGAAGAAGGGCGCAACTATCAGGTACGGCCGCGTCGAGGTGACAGCCAAGCTGCCCGCCGGCGACTGGCTGTGGCCCGCGATATGGATGTTGCCCGTCAACGCTACATACGGTCCCTGGCCCCTGTCCGGAGAGATTGATATCATGGAGTCCCGCGGAAACAACCACACGTATCCGCAGGGCGGGAACAACATCGTCTCCTCCGCTCTCCACTGGGGCCCCGACCCCGCCAACGACGCCTGGTGGCGCACGAACGTGAAGCGATCCGCACTGCACACGACGTACGCGGCGCAGGAGCACAAGTTCGGGCTGGAATGGTCGCAGAAGTACCTCTTCACGTACATCAACAGCAACCTGCTCCAAGTGCTCTACACCAACTTCAACCAGCCGCTCTGGAAGCGCGGCGGGTTCCCGGCGTACGACAGCAACGGCACGCGGCTCATCGACACCTGGAGCCAGACGGGCCACGCCTCGACGCCCTTCGATCAGGAGTTCTACCTCATCATCAATGTCGGCGTCGGCGGCACCAACGGCTGGTTCCAGGACGGCATGGCCGGCAAGCCCTGGTCCGACCAGAGTCTCACGGCCAAGTACGATTTCTGGAACGCGCAGAAGGATTGGCTCCCCACGTGGCAGGCGCCCGGCGCGGGTCAGATGGAGATCAGCAAGGTCGATATCTGGCAGCAGTGCGATGGCGACGAGTCTAGCACCTAGCCCCTTCTTCCGGGACGAAAACGAGATATATTCTTCGGCGCGGCGTAGTTAGGTATACGATAGGTCAGGTCAGGTTGGCTGGGTGTTCACTTTCTCTTGTTTTTCCTTGGGGCGCTGGTTGCATGTACTGAATGATTGATTGATGGATGGGAACGGGAGCTAGATCGGGTCTTGATCTCTTACACTTCTTTCCTTTCCTTTCCCCTTTTCCATCCCTCCAAAAAACAGAGAGAAGAAAGATTCGAGAATGTCGGAATATACTTTGTACTCATCTGCTTATTATTACCTTATATAGTGAAGTAATTCCTCCTCCTCCTTCTCCTCTCTAATAAACCTCTCATTCAATCAAAATCCAAACTCCGCGCCATCAAGCAAGCCATATATTTACTATTTATTGTTGATTTTCTCTCTAGCTGAGAATCTGGGAATTTAGGATCGTGGGATGGTGATATCATCCCGTCTGCGTACCCATGATTCCATGAAACAAATAGGCATCAATCAATAGAACCGGAATTTCTGAACTAAACCCTTAAACAATAATACTCTTTTCAACACTAATAATAAAGTAAGAATCCGGACCGACCCGCGATGTTCGAAGAAAACTAGTTGCTGGTTGGAATATAGAGAGATGGTAAATTGGTAATCCTTGGTGGGCTGGAGCTTGGGTGTTTTGGGCAAAGGGATAATTCCACAGCACTCGTTGCGAATAATTCAAGCGCTTTATGTATACAGGATTCTTACAAAGCTCTACACATGTACCTACAATTCAGTGAGAACTCTAGCTCTTCAGAGGGCCTTACCGCACCTCGCAATGAGAGCGAGTGTCTCGCATTTCATCTACCTACCGTTACACCGCAGCTCGCAACGTAAATCATCGTTAGAAAGGCGATCCTTTGCGTCGAGCCGAGACGAGAAAGGGGTGAGAGCGATACTCTGGAAGGGAATCGATTTTTTATTTTGTTTTCTTTTACTTTGTTTTCATTCTTGCTGTGTGCCCCTGTTGGCTGGGCGGTTTTTGGTATGTAGATGCGGTAGGAAGGATAAGAATAGAAGAGGCAGGGAGGCACTTGGGTGCAGAGAGAGGTCCTGGTAAATAATTATCCTGCTATCGCATCATATCGTATCGGATCGTATCGTATCTGCCGTATCTGTTGCATGTACGGACTGAAAGCATGATCTGAGCGATATGATCTGTCGTGTCCGAGCGCGGTTGGAGGGTTTGTGAGAAGCGGAACATGTAGCGAGCGAGGCGGCTCTACAAACTCGCGGTCGGGCTGGCCCGCCTTGTCGGGTTCAGCTGAGGAGGGAGTTATTCTGCTGCGGATAAGGCTGGACCAGGAAGGCATTAGAGAAGCAAGCGGTCGAGCATGGGCCAGGGCAGAGATGCACGAGAAGCCTCGTATTTGCCAGCACAGACAGCATGCGTATGCTGGTGTACGGAGTGTACCTGTACGGAGTAGACCAGGGAACATTCGACCGCCTTTCGTGGGTCAGGGACTCAGAGTGCAATGCTTTCTTTCCCTTCGGTACTTTGGTGGTGTCTGGACTCTGGATGCTTGTCGACATATGTACCCCCCTGGCGCTCCTTCACCGCACAGGCTTGCAGTTCGTGTTCGATAGTCTGGTAGAATACTACTGTACGTTGTAATCTGAGCCTACTGTGCAGTCAGTCAGTCAGAGGTACTGTATAAGACCCGTGTTTGGATTTCGGACACCGTTGGCCCTTCATCCCGCCGTGGCGCGCGGCTGAGACGGCCCTGACGGCGAGTCTGGGCTCTCATCTTCCCGGAGGCTTGAGACTCCAAAGCCCAGCGATAAGCAGGTGGAAATAACTCTCCGTGTCGGAGCAGCTCAGCGGCATGTACGAGCGTCGTATCGTGATGAGAACCATTTGGAGAAGGAAAAAGGTTTCTCCACTCGGGCTTCCAGGCTCCAGCAGACCCAAGATCAAAGCCCCGGGTAGATCAGCCACGAGAGACGGTAACCAGAGGGGCAACGTGAAGTGCGGCTGTAGCAGAGTACAACGTCCGTATTCCCATCCACTGTCCGGAGTACGAGGGTGCATCGGCTGTGCATGTAGACATCGAGGATTCTACAGTTCTCCTATACGGGACATACAGTAGTAGTGAAGTAGTAGTAGTAGAGTAGTAGCAGTAGAGTATACTGTATAGTGTGTCGTAGGAATACGCAGAGATCGGGACTACTCCGGCCCCAGATCCCTCCGCCTTCGGGCCAGGGACGGCGCGTAGCTAAAGTTAAGTTTAGCATTGGCTCCGCTAAGGTAGGGTACGGTAAGGCAGACCTAAGGCTAACATAACAACACCACGCTGCGATTTCCAATGCCCCTCTCATCAACATTCCCATATCATCGCGGTTCCTTGATTTCCATGATTTCCTGTTGCGGCGGCCCTCCGTCTCTGACACCTGGTGGCTTGTGAGTCGGTGGATATTGGGTCCCGAAGAGGAAGTTGTGGCGCCTGTGCCCGCCGCGCCAAGGCAGTTGACGGAGGATTGCCTCTGTGACCGAGCGATGCTTTCATCCCGTGTTCTGTAATTGACGACGGTTCGGCAAAGCCAGCAAGGGAGGGGCCGAGAAAAGAATGACAACCCCAACGAATGATGACGGGGGAATTACGAGACGCATCAGTACAGCAGGTTGAGCAGAATAAGGTAAGCAGCTTTTACCTTGGATCCCCGACGTATGTACAGCATATTGTGTTGTATGATGTGCCTAGAATAACATGGTTTGCAGAGCATCAACCCTTGAGTCTTCCAGGGGTCCAGGGGTCCAGGGCACCCCGTACAAGGCACTGCACGATGTACATCCGGAATCAAGCGACGATAAGTGAGGCCAGGGTTCTGTTTGCCCATTTCGCACAAGTTGCATATTCTAGAAGTAGCTAGCGAGGAGATTTTGACTCGGCCATCTCTGGCGTCTGTTGGTGTTTATCTTGGGCTCTGCAAGGTATGTGAGCCAGTGCGTGGGCGTTGCGGTGTAAGGCGTGACGCTGTCTGCTCCCAGGCCGAGACCACGATCGACGAACGACAAACGATAAACCCCCGATCAAAATGCATCAACCTTCGCCCGGGCCTCAATCGACATCGCTTCCACGAAGGATGCATGTGTCGCTGCATGTCCGTCCTGCGCTGTCCGTCCCTCCCTTGAACCCTTGAACCCTTCGTTCGAGACCTCGACTTCCCGTGTCCTACCAAAGCAATCGACACAGGGATCGATTCATCCGGCCAGGACTGTTGGATAATGGGCTATACCATGTTTACCTCCTCCCCCTTGCCCTTCCTCGATGCCCCCTCTTGACCGCCCACAATGCCCGGCCCAGCACTCACTGTTGACCTCCTCAGCCGTCGAATCATGTGGCTAGTTGATAGCTGTTTTCCCAGTATCAAAAAGCCTCCGAGCTTCTGCAAAAGCCATGCCTCGGGGTCTCGAACAGACATCCCGCTCTCCTCGTTCACAATATGCCCCCCCTTCCTGTTTAGGCGTTTGACAGCAGGCCAACTCCGGGCTCAGCCCTTCTCTTTTCTCCTCCATTCTCCCTCCTCATCTTCTCTCCGCTCTCCGTGCTCCTCTTTTTTAACTTTAAGCTTTCGTCTGCTAGACAAGGGCTTCGGTCGATATACTGTATACATCCCAAGGCCTCTCGTGTCGCTCGTTGTCCTACATTCGTTCAATCTCCACAGCGTCGGGCATAGACCGTGACCGCCGCGCCCTCCCCGACCTCAAGACCTTCTTCCACCACCGCCCCGACGCCTCCCAATGTAAGCCAGCCCTCAGCTTAACTTCAGCTCCTGCGTCACATTAACCATCATGCTGACAAGTAACAGCGCCGGCGGGAGAAAATAGTTCTCATGTTCATGAGACACTCTTAATCCCTCCTTGCCTCAGTCACTCGTTCGAGGAAGTGCACTTGCTCTTGCTTTTGGAAGACACAAGCAGACCTTAGATCTCAGGATAACTGGGACTTCTCGCTGTTTCGTTCACCAAACTCTCCCCCCAAAGCAAGAGCACCGCTATCATGGGTCTCAAAAGTTATTTCAAGGCCAAGAAGCCGGAGCCGGCTACTGACCCAGTGGTGGTGGAGAAGCCAGCCTTATCACCTCCGCAACCAGATCTAAACATGGGACTGCAACCGCCAACGTCAAGGTTCCAATCGTCAAGGAATTCGTTGTCGAATCGCTCCACTCAGAGCTCGACTTTCCTCGACGATATCAAGCATGAGGTTATGGTTAACTACTTATACCAACAACAATGCTCACAACTCTGGGTGAGCGACGGCAGTGGAGAGCTCGAGGGCGTCCTCCTCAGAAAGTCCAAAAATACATACATGGCTTGCCCACCACAACTAGGCAGCTCGACATTCGCGGCCGCATGCGCTGCGCTGAATGTGCAGGTAAGGGAGCTAGCTCTTGCGCTGATTAAAGCTTTTGCTGACCATCTCAGTGCGCCATGACAGTCAACTCGCGAGTCATCAAGACCTTCTTGCAATGGTCTCCTGATGCGGTGGACGTTCCTCTCCTGAACGGTCTCAGAATACAGATCCTCCCCACAATTGAAGATCTCCCTCGGGCGCGGAAACATCAGTTTGCTGCATTTGTGGCGTCTGAGGCTCTCTTGGTTGTTTGGGATGACGATGCATTGCACTTGGTGCAGCGAGCCAAGGCGATTGAGTCGGAGTTGATGGAATTGGTCTGGAAGGCTGGAGAAGCAAAAGATGATGAGAAGGCTGACCCCAACACCATCGTTTATGAAGTTGATGAAGAGAGTGGAGAGCTCATCCCCGAGAAACGTGGTATACACTTACAGAACTCTACATTGGTCGCTCTAACGATCATGTTGGTCATGACATCCCTGGGCGCAGGATTCCGAGAGATCGCTGTTGAAGTAGAAGTGGACGGCGCTTACACGCGCCTTGCGCTACTGGTCCTGATTCCGGTTAATGTCTTCTTCACCCTTTTCTTCGGACAGGTCATCATCGGTTGTCTGGCTCAAATGTTCGGTCCGGTCCGACAAATGACTATCAACTCCAAGTTCTACTCGGCGCGTGCTCCCCCACGGATCCAGAGCAAAACACTGCCTCATATCACCATCCAGTGCCCCGTGTACAAGGAAGGATTAAGCTCTGTCATTGCACCGACAGTCAAATCCATCAAACAGGCCATCTCTACCTATGAATTGCAGGGTGGGTCTGCGAATATGTTCGTCAATGACGATGGTCTTCAACTCCTCGATGAGGATGAGCGACGTGCCAGAATCGAATTCTATGCCGATCACAGTATTGGATGGGTAGCAAGACCAAAGCACGGCGACAATTTTATCAGGAGGGGAAAATGTGAGTATTTATCCATCTCGCGTAGCATTCTCAGCTGACCATCTTTATAGTCAAGAAAGTAGGTCTCAGATTAAGTTTCTGCCAATCATGTCCCTGCGCGACAGAGTTGTCGTTGCGCCAAACTCAAAGTTCAAAAGGCAAATGAGTATCCACCGGGAACCCGACGCTCCGACGATCTATTCGTCAATAGCGTTGAACTCACCTCAGCCCTACGGGGCGACCCTCCTCCACATCCACCCCGCTCCGAGCTGAACGCTGACGATCATTTCTTAACCAGGCCTCAAACATGAATTTCGCGCTTCACATTTCTTGCATGGTCGAAGACAAGCTGGCTTTAATCCAACGTCCACTCGACTGGACTCAAGCCGATGAGGCGCAAGCTTACGAACGATGCTTGAAGGAAGTCCTCGAGGAGAACGGTCGTGCTTGGGCCGACGGGAACATTCGCGTTGGCGATTATATTCTGCTGAGTAAGTCGATAATACATTACCGGATGACCTGGAGGAGTCACGTGGATTCCGTCTTGAAACTCCCTTCTATCCCGGCAGTGCTAATCAAGTCGCAGTTGATTCCGATACCCGTGTTCCTGCGGATTGTCTCCTGGATGCTTGCTCCGAGATGGAGCAGTCTCCTGAGGTTGCTATCTTGCAATTCTCTTCCGGTGTCATGCAGGTCGTTAACACCTACTTCGAGAACGGCATCACTTTCTTCACCAACCTCATCTATAGCGCCATCCGCTATACCGTCTCCAACGGTGATGTCGCTCCTTTCGTCGGTCACAATGCTATCCTGCGCTGGTCTGCCATCCAACAAGTATCCTACGAAGATGAGGACGGCTACGAGAAGTTCTGGTCCGAATCGCACGTGTCTGAGGATTTCGACATGTCTCTCCGTCTGCAATGTGATGGCTACACTATCCGCCTCGCAGCCTGGGCCGGGGACGGATTCAAGGAGGGCGTATCGCTTACCGTGTATGACGAGCTTGCGCGTTGGGAGAAGTACGCATACGGATGTAACGAACTGCTCTTCTACCCTATCCGCAAGTGGATCTACAAGGGCCCCTTTACCCCTCTCTTCCGTCGCTTCCTCTTCTCCAACATCCGTCTCACATCCAAGATCACTATTATCTCGTACATCGGCACCTACTATGCTATCGGGGCCGCCTGGATCATGACAACGGTCAACTACTTCGCTATGGGTTGGTGGAACGGCTACCTCGACAAGTACTACGTCGACTCGTGGAAGGTGTGGTTCTCGATCATCATCGTCTTCAACGGGCTGGGCAACGTAGCGCTCGCAGTACTACGGTACCGAATCGGGGAGCGTAGCCTGCTGTATTCGCTATTCGAGAACTTCAAATGGACGATCATGTTCGCCATCTTCCTCGGTGGGCTATCGCTGCACGTATCGCAGGCTCTGCTAGCGCACATGTTCGAGATCGACATGACGTGGGGTGCGACGGCCAAGGAAGCCGAGTTCTCCAACTTTTTCATCGAGGTCCCCAAGGTGCTCAAGAAGTTCAAGTTCTCCATGGCCTTCTCCATCATCGGCATCGTGGGCATGATCATCATCGCCGTCGCGCCCTTCGTCCCCTACGACTGGCAGATCAAGGACTTCGTCGCTATCCTCCCCATGGCCACCGTCACGGTCAGCCATCTGCTACTCCCACTCGCGCTCAACCCGGCACTCATGACCTTTTCGTGGTAGAGGCTTCATACCCATATCTGTCTTTCTCATCTGTCTATTTTTGCAGAGCGCGCCCGCGGTGGGTTTGTACACAACCCGAGACTATTCTAGGATAGTTCTCTAATCTATAATTCATAAAATCTGTCACGAACCTTCTTTTTTGGTTTCTTTTTGCAGCATGCATACATTCGCTGCCTTGCATACACGCACGTGTCTTCCGCACTGCGCACATACCCACACTCCCTTCCTAACCCCCCCAACCAAAGAAATAGGATGTTCCCCCTCCGTGCGTGCGAATAACACAAGTTACACAACATGAATGGGTTCCGGAAATGCGAAGCGAAGCGATGCAAATTGCAATACGAAATAGAGAATTCAGGGTTTGGGGACGTGGCAACATAGAATGGAGTTCAAGTTCTGTTTTTTTTGTATATACGTGGGTTATGATGGATACTTTTTTCTCTTCTTGGTTCTGTAGAGGAGGGTTCATGAAGTGAACGAAATCGGATTGAATGAATGAATGCATGAATGAGAATGAGAAGAGAATGAGAAATTAATGAATATACTCACTTACTCACTTACTCTACTGCAATAGCATTATTTGTGGATTTAAATATATGGTGGGTGGGAAATTTATCATGGATATCAAACTGAAAGGGGAGCTGGTGCTTTGATTCTAGTAACATACACACAAACAAATTTATACTGTATTGAGAAGCTATCTAGTTTACTCTTACTGCGTTCACATATTATCCCATGGACCATCAAGGACGAGGACTGCCTTATTAAAAGAAAGAAAGAGAAAATTCCATACATATATAGGTATGTATATATATATATTCTCCAACTGCCACGCCCATCCCCCTGACACACGTGTGCTTTTCCTCCCAATCCGGCTTCCTCACCCCAATAAACGCGACTTCCAGACCCGAACAGAAGAGAGAAGAGCTGACATTTTTTGGCACCGCGGCACTGGCTTGAGACGTGTGTTGTGTTTGCGTTTATGCGAGCGGGGGGAGGGGGGGAAGAAGCAGAAGAAGAAGATAATAATAGATAGAGAGGTAGGAAGGAAGGAAGGAAGGAAATAGGCAATAAACGCAACGCACTTGCGTGTAGATTGTAGTAGTAACATGGAGATTGGATCTTGGGGAGGGGGGAAAGGGGGATTGGGGTATGGATTGATTTGAACATTAAAATTTAAATCTAATTCTCGGCGTTCGAGGATTGAAAGGCTGAGTGAGTAAGTGACTGAGGATGGGGCTCTAGCTAGTCACAACATGAAGATCGCGATGTATGTAGTGCGGACTTTGCCATGAGGAACAGGGAGGCGGGGAATAATACTCGGGATTCGGGTGCGTGCATTTCGGTACGGGACTCTGGAAGCGAAGAAGGGAGCTGATAAGGAGAGGAGAGGAGAGGGAAGGGAAAGAAAAGAAAAGGGGAGAGGGGTTGAAGATGGGACGGAAATAGAAATAGAAATGCGTATGTCAAAAACCAACCACGGCCCAATAATAGGGGGGGTATGTAGACGCCCTCCTCGAGGCTGCTGCAGCCTCCGACACTTGGATATTTGAGTCGAAAGGCCCTGGCTCGGACACGACGGAGGGTCTGAGAACTGGAATCCTCGGGCCTTGTTCTTGCGTTGGGCTGAGAATTCAGGTACGGGTACGAGGGATTGAGTAAGGTAATGAAGCGATCGATGGACGCGCAGAGGGAAAATGATGATGACTCGAGCGAGACTTAAGCATGGCTGGCCGTGCTGCGCTGTTTCGATGCTTGCTTGGCTGCTTCGTGAAATCAGAAATGGGAAACCCCACCACCACCGAGTACAGTAGATATGGAGGAGATTGCTTCGTATGTACAGAGTACCGTGTCGACAAGGACCCTTGGCGGAAGGCTGGGGAGGGAGCAGTGAGCACTACACCTGCAGGGCTGCCGGGGAGGAACAAAGAAGAAGACCCCTCACTAGGTATCTGATAGACTGATAGTCCGGAGTAGTTAATTGAGTCTCGGAGGGGGGAAAAGGCGGCGAGAACCTTTTTACGGGCCAGCAATATTGACGCTGCACATATGCGATGCGATGCGCAGCAGGCATTCCTTGGACAAGGGAGCGGTCTGAAGGACGCAACAGGTCAGGATATGCGAAGAAGAGCCGTTGTCCATGTATGATCTGGGGGCTAGAATGGGGTCCCCCCTGGGGGATACACACAGTCGGCGCCCTGTCCTGTTGTTCAGCTGGAAAGGCGGGAAGCGTGGGCGGGTTGATGCTATCGTGGGATGAGCCAGAGGGGCATCGTAGAAGCTTCCAAAATGCCCTGAACCCCCCGTACCCCGTGCTTCCCCCCGTACCCGCGCGCCCAAAGAGGCTAAGTCAGGGCCGCTTCTAGCCTCCTTCGTATTCTCCGGCTGCGCTAGCCTCTTCTGTCTGCCCTCGTTTGCGTCCCTGCGGCTGCGTGAACCTGGACGACTCTCGCGCCTCTTTCACATCTTTCACATACCCCTCCCGCACACCAAGGAGCAAGTCCCAGCTGGCTAATTATTGTAATAAGTATTATAATAATCATTTATATGAGCTCTGTATTACGGTAATCATGTTATGCGCCCATGATCGTCAGTACAGCGCGCCGGAATACAAGGTAGCCATGCGTGTTGAGCCCAGCTACCTATCCAGGGTCCATGCATGTGCCTTTCTTGAATCTGCGCTGGTCAGAGGAGGAGTTGGGGACTTTTGAAGCTTTTGATACTTGCTTGCTTGCCCATCTTTCTCATCGTTTTCGAATTTCTCTTCTGCGAGTCACTGTCGCTGGATCCTTCTCTTTCTGCTGCTTATAATCTCTCGTTAATCAACCCAGGTTGAACTTCCAATCGTCCATTTGCTCGTTGCTTGCCATAAGAGAGGATTGTTTATCCACCGTTATCATGCGCCAGAATTGGAGGAGTCTCGTCGCGGCGACAGTTGGTCTATTCTTAGCTGGCACGAGAGCTCAGACTGAGCCTGTGCAAGATTTGGGAAGTTTGCTGGCGAACCAGTCGTCTTTATCAACCTTTTATGGATTGATCCAGGTATGTTGCGGCGTTGTGTGCTGCATTTTTTGGCTGCCCTCACCCAAGGCCATGGAATGTTCAGAGTTGTGGAAGTGCTGCTATTGACTAACGTGTGATGAAATAGAAATACCCTCAAATATTGTTGCAACTACCTTCCTATCAAGGAGTCACAGTGCGCTATCCTCCACTCTTTAGTTCAAGTTTTCAATTGCATGGACGTGGACTGACATGATGTCCAGATTCTCGCACCCAACAACAATGCCTTCGACAAGATCCCATACTCATCACTCAGCGACGCATTCAAGAACAACAATGAGGATGTCATCACCAACGTCCTCCAGTACCACATTCTACAGGGCACTCGTATTGCTGCCCAATTGGTTCCAGGATCGCCAGTTTTCATACCTACACTCTTGACGAGCACAGAGTACACAAATGTGACGGGAGGTCAAGTGGTAGAGAACGTAAAACAAGCCGGGAATGTGGTGGTCTTTGTCAGTGGGCAAGGTAGCAGAAGCACCTTGGTGAAATCGGTACTTGATTACTTCTCTTAGATTTCACAGCCGCATCAGAATTGAGAGCTAACCTTCTCCCAATAGGACCTGAGCTTCACCGGCGGCGTGGTTCAAATCATCGACTCCCTCTTGATCCCACCCTCCAACCTTACTGACACGCTCAACGCCTTTAACATCACCTCCTTCGAAGGTGCTCTATATGCAACAGACGACGTCTATTCTTTCAGCAACACCCCCAATGTAACAATCTTTGCATCTGCAGACTCGGGCTTTGAAGCCCTCGGCCCCGCCATTACTTCCATGACATCGGAAGAACTCGCACAAGTCATGAACTACACAATCCTCCCCCAAGTCGTCTACTCCCCCGGCCTGACCAACGGCACCAAATTCGTCGCCCGCAACGGTGAGAATGTGTCCGTCCTCCACTCCGGAAATAACGTCTACATCAACTCCGCCCAGCTGCTCACCTCCGACATCCTAATTGCCAACGGCGTACTCCACGTGATCGACAACGTGCTCAACCCCCAAGGACCGTATGCACAGCCCAACCCTCAAATCGGCTCCCAAGCGCCAGTTTTCGCCTCCGCGAGCAACGTCGATGAGCTCCCTTTCACCGCGTCTATCCCCTGTACCGTCTCCTGCCCCGTAAGCACGACCTCTACCCCGACGCCATCCACGACTAGTTCCGTAGTCACGCCCACCAGCCTTGTGGCCGCCGCAACCTCATCCTCCACGCGTGTCTCCACCAGCTCGAGTAAAGGACAGGCGGCGGCCCTGGCGAAGGAGACGGGATTCGGCGCTGCGGGCCTGATGGTTGCGCTTGGCGGGGCGGTATTGATGATTTAAGCTCGGTCTTAGTCTCATAATTGGAAGCTGGACTTGGAGCTAGAAAGAAAAGAAGAACAGAATGATGTTCGGATGAAAACATACCTTTGGGTTAGATGAATGCATGCTCGAAAACTAATATCGGTTGCATCTGATTTATATATTCCCTTCGGTTGGACATGGAGTATAGTATACGCTCGTCTTTGTTCTTCAACATGTCCTAAGCTGGAGTTGCGGATATTCGGATAGATGTTTTGTGACGGGTTCAAGATAGAGCAGGTTCGTGGGTGCAATAAGTAATGAATGAAAGTTAATGAAATGAATCCTTATTCTTGAATCGTTCTATTCCTTCATGCGCTTTTATGTTTCTTACTCGTCCTAGGCGTAATGGGAGATTAGAGCAAGCTTAAGTCCCAAGATCTGTAGACAGAGGAAACGGATGGATAGGTATCTTGAATTGAATCGTGATGAGACATGCGTACAGCGAGATCTACAATTTCTGGCTCTCATAGCTGGGCTATCTTAGATAGAGTGATGATAATTAACTACCTACCTATCTCTGAGAAGCAAAATAGCGAGTAATAGTCATCTTACATCTTCCCCTCCCCCCCCCCCCCCTCTCTTTATCCTTCAAAACCTCACTAAAAACAATCCATCACAACACCAAGATTTCTATAAAAAGCCCTCCATTCACGCAAGCCAAGCAGAGAATCAGCATTCTGCTACTTTCAAGCAGAGACAACTAGCCAGCCAGCAAAAATAGGAAAGCTTTTTTTTTAGCCTGGACTGGTCTCCGCCTGTCCAAGTTGAACTTTGGGGTGTACGACCGTTTGTATGTTGACGCGTACCCGCTACCGAAACAGGATGACATTCTGACAGCTATGGGCGGCTGTACCGTCTTCTCGGTGCTGGATTTGACCAAGGGATTCTTTCAGCAGAAACTCCGACCAGAAGACAAATGGAAGACCGCGTTTGTAAGCCCGCACCGTGGGCACGAGCAGTTGACTGCGAGCACTACGGAAAGTAGATAGATAGATATTTCTTGGGATGGGGGATTATTTGATGATAAGATGAGAGGAGAGAGGGATTTGTCGTTGTGGATTTTATGAGTGAGTGAGTGAGCGTTGTGAAAGATGTTGAGTATTGAATGGGGTTTGTTTGTTGTTGTGAATGTTGATTTCGACGATGGAAGGATGATGATGAAAGGATGATGATGGAAGGATGATGATGATGGGACGATTAGGGCGTTTTATGTGCATGAAAGTCTGTACAGTAGAATTCAGAGTTCTGTCACTATAAACTATATGTATACATGAAGCGAAATTACATGCTAGGGCCCTAACATAGCCTCTGGGAATATCGTGGATTGGAGAGGGTTCCCTTTTATAGTGCCAGGACGTAAAGATTGTAGGGTTGGGGATTCTTTAGGCGGTGTCTTTGGCGAGAGAGATCGGGGAGGGAGATGGAGACCTAGGAATTCATTCAATAAGAAAGAGGTATTGAGAGGAATCTTGTTATGACTACTCGGACATCATGCCCATCTAACACTATGCAATCCCACACTCGCTATGCATCCTGAATAGAAAGCATTCAAACACTAATAAGAAGAGCATCGCGGCAATAAAACAGAATGAAAAGGTATCACCAGAGTGGATATCGAGGCTTGATTGAGAACTTCAATAGCCTGTGGTGGTGGGGGGTGTCTCCCAGTGTCTCAGCATCCGCTCCAAGGCTGCGTTCCACTCACTCACGAAGCAGGCTGTAAGTTGCTCGGCCTCATCTTCTTCCGGGTCCCTTCCTCCCCACATCTCAGGTTTCGCAGCTTCGCTCACCGCGTAAGATTCGATCATCTGACTATGACTGGGTATAAGTAGGTGTGCCGGTACGGAATTGACGGGAGGACTCACTCGTCACGGATCTTGACCAGGACTAGCCAAGCATAGTTCCAGCTGCGGTTGCTCGCCGGGTCGTTGCTGACTCGCCACTTTGCGTCGTCTAGGAGAGCGTTGCTGAAGGGGTAGTTTCGGGTGAGACCTCGCAGCTCGTTAAGAAGGTTGTGGGAGTTGACATAGTATGTCCAGGCTTGGGTCATGGGCACTTGGAAGGCGAGTTGGTCCTCGGCGGATGCGGTGGCGGCTGCGCTCTCGATGCGGCAGAGCTCTGTAAGTGTGTTGACTCGATGGGTGTTGAGGGTTTCAATCAGCTGGGCCGTGCTCTGTATGGATGTCAGTAAAGGAGTGGATTAAAATGTCATACTGCGAGGAGATAGACACGAAATGTATGGAACTGGATGGATTTCTCCTGATGAATTATATATGTAGGGGAATCGCAAAATTAGTGCGAGGAAAGAAGGAAGGGCTACAAATATGAAGCCCCGACTCACTTGTATTCGACGAGAACCACTTGAACTAGAACTTTGCCCACCATGTGAGCGTCGGGAGTGTCGTGAGGACATGTTAGGTGAATCGGCAAAGCTACTTGGCTTAGTTCCTGACTCTCTGAATCGGGAGATCGAATCAAATCTCCTCACAGCTAATATTGAGAAAACCGTGTGTCCAGAGGCGATGCAAATTTAACACAAAGATATTGCCTTAATAGGTGACAAGATATTGTCTGATAGTGTTTAGGAAGTAAGTTGAGCACGGGAATAACCTTCAGTACAGTTCTGATGAAGCATTCTAACATAGGGGATAACCCAGATATATAGAAAAGGGAATCTCGTATCCTTCACAAATAAAGGCTTATCAAGAGCATGAGATGGTCTGAAAGACGAGAATAGTGGAAAGCAGACAAGAGCCAATAACCATCGTAAAGTAGCTCGTAACTTCGGCATTGTCAAGGATGAATACGCTATAGCAGTAATAAGACTCAGAGCTGTGCTCGTGGACGAGAAACAATGCAGTCAGGAAACATGCAAAGGACCTGAATTGCAAGGGTTACTGGGCCTCAGGAACGAGGTCTTAATAAGGCAAAAGTTATTATCAGCCCTACGTGCCTGGTCAGACTCTAAGGCATTAGGTTATTTAGAGACCCGTGCTAGTAGCTCACGGAGATGTTAAGCCCTCGGATCTTGTTTCCAATGGTCAGAGTAGCAACTGGCGCTATAACATCACACCCTTGGTAAGCCACTAACTATCTGCAGGACATTTTGGGACTTCGGTGTTTAACTTTGAAACCCCACGGCCGTCATATACATCTTATGCTAGGAAAGTAGGACTTCTGTTTTCTGAGTGGTGACGATGACTATAGCAAATCAACATTGATGCTGATAGCATTTCTAGCAGTCAGAATTACTTCATCATGGCCGATATAACGAAAAAAGAAAAGAGAGAATTTAGAGATTACAATCTGTCCACAAAGAATTGCAATCTAAATTGATATTTTGCAGTCCAAAAAGAAGATAAGGTCGCGAACGAGGCTCTGGAAGGAAAACTCCTAGATCACCTCGTGCAAGTTATTCAACAGCTTTGCAGCGAATAGGATTTTCAGAAACTCCCACAATCTCACAACTTGTAGAGTTCTCTACCTGCTAGGGAGGATTTGATTGGGGGTGACGATATCTCATGTGGCAAAGTACTCAAGTGCTGATCGCACCGAGCCACCTCTCTGATCTTTCTGCCTTATTAAGGAACCCACATGATCACATCCCATGAGTTGGGACGGAGGAACGAAGCTCTTGAGGATGCCGCTGTCAACATCGAGGTTCGGTATCTTGGTCAATTGAAGCAGCGTCATCGAGTGACACTACCTGATGCGAGCTATATCATATGACTCTTGATCTCCGAACCTCCTTTAGCTTCTATCTCATGCTTCCATGAGTGGAGTCGGTTCTCTGACATGGGAAACAAATCGCCGAATGTGACACTTGTCCACACACTGAAGGCCAGATAGGATAAGAAACCCATCACAAAGAGATGGTTATTCCAAACGTACGCGCGTATGAGGCGGGCTTTCTCGTAAGCAAGTACGATGATTCTCATGATGATCTCAGCTGCAGGCTCCAGATTCTGAGGTGAGACGTATCCGGACACGCCGACCGACCGAAGAGAATTGGGGCCCAGTTGTCGTAACCTTTCCCTAGTATTGCCTCGGATCCAAATTGGCTTCTGATCTGTTATTTTTGAAAGACTGGTTGGTATAGCCATAGCTCGGAATTGCAGACTTGAAAGCGTTGAAGAGAGATGGGCCTCGAATTTGCAGCGTTCCTGGATTCTTCCGATCCTCGCTTAAGTCGTGCCTCATTTACCCCCTCTTCAAATGTCCATACTATTTGTACACCAATGAGCATTTCTAGCACCATTTATTGTGGAGAAAACGCATGGCTCCTCGATCTCTTCAGGGCTCGGGCCGTACCTTGTAAGTGCACCAACGATATGAGGAGAGCACGCCTCTCCCTCTATTGAAGACTTGACAGCGGAGGCGTTTGGGGAGAAAGTCAACTTCAAAGATACTGACCCTATATTCCAGAGCGAAACGAAACATGCGTTGGGAGTAACTGGAAAATAACGAAAGGAGAGGATCGTAGAGAGTCCTCGTGATGTCCTAGCTCAGGGTTTTTCTCTCGCATTTCGGTGGTGCTTATGAAAGCGGTTTGTCTGAGTAGAATTTTCGCTGTAAACATACACTACTTAGGAAGCGAAAGGGGAAAATGGTGCTGCTGTAATAAATGCTGTTGATATATGGCAGGGTGGTCACTGTACAATAATTGTCAGTTATGCTTCCGATACATGATGGCATCAGCTAACTGGTTTGTATCATTCGTTCCTGGGAAGTGTGACTTACGAGCTGTATCCATTTACTCTCCCATCACTGAATTTCGCATGACCTACTCCTGCGACTTGATAAATAACTCCATTGTCTCTAATAATCCTATATTGGGGCATGCACCTCCCAGCTTGATAACAGCAAGCTATATCTCTATGCCATATGGGAATTTTGAACTCCACACGCCATCCCAGTCATATGTATATACCGTTGCCTATCACCGCTCCGCACTATCATCATTGTCACTGTTCTCTTCATCTTCATCTTCATCATCGTAACTTCCATTCTCCTCGTCCCAGCCGGCACTCTCGAGTTCTTCTCCCCGAATGCCAAAACTCACTATCCATCCCAAAAATGCAACTCCTCCAAATACGCCCCATGCTAATGCTTCCCCTTTCGGATGTACACGCGTTGCAATGCTGAAAAGGCCGCCTGAGAGAAAGGGGCCGGCTGCTCTGCCTGCAGCTGAGAGAGTTTGGGCTAGGCCGTTGAGTGTCCCGAGGACAGAATGGTTGGGTGCTGAGTTCGTGATCTACATTGGTTAGCATTCGTCTGAATGATGGACAGGAAGAGGGGAACACACAAGTAAAAGGACACTTGTCAATCCTCCCACAGCTGCAACGGTTTTGACAAGCAACACAAACCCTAGCTCGATCCATAGCCACACCATTCCATTACCAAATCCAAATGGAGGCTTCTCTTTGTAACCAACCCATGGCATCATCATCATTGCGATGAAAAACAGGAATAGGCCAGCACGATATGACTTCTTGTTTCCCATTTTCTCCTTCATTTTACCGAATATGCCGACCTGAAAGACTATCGCTACCATTCCCGCGAAAGACAACGAGAGGCCAATTGCCCCATTAGAGAGTTCACGTCCTGCTGGCTCGGGAGCGAAAGCAAAGACGGGATAAAGAGTGTTGAACGATATATTAGAAAGTTGGAACACAAGATAAGTGCCTAACAAGAGGATAGTGTTCCGATTGAATATTTCTTTGCGGGTCAGATGTTGACCATTGCTGGAGAAGAACTCGGGTATCGAGAGTAGAGATTGAGACTCGCTTTCGTTGTCTGTCGTTGAGCTGATGCTATCCTCATCCAGGGCTCCATCGACTCGATACCGAGAGTTGCGATGGGTGAAGTGACGGAGATATGTGGGGTGATGAGCTCCACCTATAAACTGCCAGAGCCAGACAAAGAGATTATCTACTCTCTCTCTCAGGGGCGGAAGCTCTTTTGCCTCCTCTAGACTCTCCTCGAGAAAGAACGCCGTGAGAACGAGGTCCGTTATCAAGATCGTTGCTGAGAAGAGATTCGGCAGCAAGTATGGATAAGGGTTCTTCTGCCCTTTCCTGAACGGAAGATCCTGGAACACCAAGAGCCCTCCCAATGCTGGACCTGTAATCCCGCCAATGCCGTATATAACTGGAAGATATACGAAAACTTTGCTCTGGTTACTCCTGTCCGTGATCTCTCCTAAACACGTACTGATCACGCCTTGGTTGCCATTGACCAATCCCATCAGCGCTTGTACAACTATAGCTTGGGTGAGCGTCCGGCAAAACCCAAAAGCAAGAAAACATCCAGCAGTCAGCAATGTCCCAAGCATAACTACTGGTTTCCGGCCAACCCTGTCAGACAGCCATCCCCAGAAAAAGTTCGTAGTAAACTGCGCAAGCGCAAATGACGATGCTATTGTCCCAACATATAGCCCTATCTGTGAAGCATCGACTTCTGGGAAGGTCGAGGTCATCTCTGGGAGGTAGGGGCCTATCGAATTGAGGGCAGTTTGTTCACAGAGAGCAATGACCGCCAGCATCGCAAGTTGTTTCGTTGGTAGTTTTTGCTGCTCATTATCTGCGTCTGGTGAGCCACCAGGTTGATGGGAATCTGTCAAGCCATCTCGCCCGGTGATTGAGCTCGTCGGAGAGGTAGGCGGTCGGCCGCGCGTCTTTGGGGGTGGAGTTGGGAAGGTTTGGTAGTGGGGTGTGGATGACTTCCGACGCTCCATTGCTTCGGAGATCTTTGCACCACTGATGCCTCGGTGTAGACAACTATACTGTCTTCGAAAACACGGCTAATATGCACAATACTGCGTTGCTTGGAGCTGGTCGGGTTTCGTGATAGGTCGTGTGCCGCGTCGAATCGGGCGTGAGCCACAGACAAGGCGTGAAGACAGCGCGCGAAGGGGATCAGAATGCCAAAACGATTGATTGGAAGAGAAGAATCTCGAGGTCTTCCCTTGGTTGACACTCAGTCCATTGCCGTCGCACTCGTGTGCTCGGCCTTGCAAAAGAGAGTGAAGAAGGTTGGCAGAGGAAGATGGCTGCGAAAAGCCAGACCCGTCAGGGCGATGACATAGTTAGGTACCTACTAGGTATCCTCCCTAAGGTAAGTCTTCCGGCCCATTCTCGCTTCAGTCAGATAAGATAAGGAAGGCTGGGGGAAGAGAACACATGTAGAGAATAGATAGAATATACTGTTAACATTCTCAAAGAGTGGTTCATCTGCTTATCTGCGTCCTTCCTCTAATATCATCATGCCTTTCAGCAACATTGGCATTCGCATCAAACCAGGCACCCTAGTAGATCATCGCTAATCCGAATTCCAATCGCAACCATTCGCCACTTGCCACTCACTCAGTTTCTGCTTCGCTCCGCCAGTTCCCGCTTCAGCTTCATCCTCGAGGAATACATCGGTATGAACTGTTTGTTCTGGACCCCTTTGCCCTGGTAGTCTCGATGGTAGAAAGTTGAATGTCCCGTCACGAGTGATTGGAAGTGAAGGACTGGTGCGAATACCGTGGAGAAGACAATTTGCCGCCCGACCCTCGAAGTCAATGTCTGTATTCAGCCAGCATGAAGTATCAAGCCGAGTACTTACTTCTCTGCCTCCCAACCTCCTAAATCCGAGAGACAGCCGAGTGCATTGCGCGCCCAAGTTGCCCCCAACGAGTATCATAAAAGTATGGGAAATCTCGCCACTGTTCTCTGGGCTGAGTAGCTCCGACAGTGTCAACAAGCCTTGGTAGAAATATCAGGTATGCCACTATTCTGATTGCCTTATTATCGTGCTCAGTTTCTGGGTTGTCTTGTGATATTCCTCTGTATGCATCGAGAAATCTCAAGAAGAGTTGCCTGTGTTAAGTACCTACAGTCCCTCTTTCCGTCAGATTTAGTCTTCTACATCTCTATCCGAAGAATAAGAACCATGAATTTTGGAATATATGTTTGGAAAATCCGTAGCCGGGAGTGTTTCTGGTTCCAAATTTGGTACACCAGGTCTTGATGAGCCAAGGACCCCCAGAGCACTGTCAGATTGTGAGAATTCAAATTTGACCGATATGCCATCTGCATGTCGGATGGGTCTGATGAGATCTTGGGGTGAGAAGGGCCTGTCATCAACGACATGGATCAGGGCACCACAATTCTACTGCGATATGAGAGTTCTTGGTTAAGTTTTAGCCAGCGATCTGGAGTGGAGAAGAAAAGATGCATCGTTTTGAGGCCAGATATATCACGTGGTTCAGCTCCATGTTCGAGGACGTGGAAATACATCAGAAATACAAGAACCCAATCTGATTTACTATCGATATACTGGGAAATCAAGTGATTCTCTTTGATTTGCATAGATATCTGCCCACAATTTCGACCATCCAAACCCAGCATGCTCCCACAACCAGCCTGCACGTCCCCAAAACGCCCCAGTGCATCAGCAAAATGCAACGTACTAGCCATGATTCCGAGAAAGGATAATCAAATTGAGAGCGCCTCGTCTTTTTGTATTACAGCTGCAGCACTTCTAATAACGTCTTTAAGTCCTTCGAGGCAAGGAACGTTTTCATCTGTGTAGCCGCTCTTCCGAACAATACGGAAACGAGCGAGTCCTTGCTTCAAAACAGCTTCCCACCTACAAGCTTCACTTGATATAAACGAATTGATATGACCGATTCACTTAAGAAATGTTGCAGTTTCTCTGCTTAGAACAAAATGGCTTTTTCAATTGCTACAAATGCCTTTTTCGATTTCGATTCCCATCTCAAACCAACACAACTCCTGCATTTTACACTCAGAAGAAACAGCTCCTCAAAACAGATCAATTGATTCACAGCATCATTCAGAGCAGTCACAATCACGTCCCCCTTTTCTCAAACAGCCAAATTCAGGACCGAGTCTCGAGCAATCAACCATGACTGAGGCCAACCTGCAAATGAAATGTTGCAAATGCTGCAAGACTACCAAGGATAATGGGCCTCCAGGCACGTGTATGTGCAGCACTTGCGGGCACTGGGAATGCAATGACTGCAGCTTCACTCCGGTGAAGAAAGTCGTGGTTAAGAAGCAGAACGGCAAGGATAGCAAGAAAGGCAAATAGGGGATGCCCGGGAGGGATTTAGAACCGCGCATGGCAATTCAAAAGAGAGGCTTGACTGTCTTCTGAATTATGGGGTTCGTGGCGCTACAGTTTTGGGAGATTGGAGATTGGAGATTGGGAATAATCATATGATGAGGCGTTACGGGTGGGGAGTTGGATTGCTGGATTAGAACTGGATCTGACTTCATAGAGACCAAGCAATTGGAAGCTAGTCAAAGCACTGAAAGCAAATGACCTAACACATCCACATTACCAATCCCCTTTCTGCAATAAGTCTATTGCCCTGTAAAATAAAATCTCAAAACCAGCCACCAGTCGCGATAGGAATATTTTATTCCATCAAAACTTTTGCATACGATCAACGATCAAGGGGAGCTCGATCCCAGCAAAGAAGAAGCCAAAAGTACAATGATGTGAAGGGAAGCAGACGGAGCTTCATAGGAGCATCTATTCAACGCAATACCCAGTACCTACTTACTTAGAGGTGGGTGTACTCTGTAAACAAGGGACAAACGGCCCTGAATGGGATGTCTTGCTTCCCATCGAGTCAGTTGACCTTGCCGTATACCCATGGCACTTATCCATTGGCGGGTCACAAATTGCGAGTCAGCTTTGTCCAATGACAGTTACAAGACAGTGTTTAGTCAACAAATCCCAACCGCTTGGAGAGAATTTTATATTTTCGAACCTGATGGTCTCAGTTTGGAGAGAGAGCCAAGTTGTACTGCACAGTAGGAGGACGTTATCGCGGCAGAACGGCGGGGTAATAAATACGGGGCATTCGTTATCTGCCGGACGGTCGCTTGGCTGGATGCTACAGTAGCCCCTGGCTTAGACCGGTTCACCCGGTAACTGAATATCGACCGGCATTGGATTGGCCCTTGGTTACTCTCCCCGGTCGTCGTGGTGCAGGTACATCGACGGCGAGATCATCTGAGCTACGTTCTATCATTGCGGTATGCTGTGCATTTCTGTTCCCTCCTGCCCGAACGAGGTCATGTACTCCGTATTGTATGTAACGTATCCCCTGCTATCAAGATAGACACTACTAACTTATGCCCAGGGCTCTTGTACAGTACTTGTGAAGTTACGAGGACGGTACATACAGTAACCAACTACATGGAGTAGTACGGCCGATCACAATAGAGCAAGCCTGGTTGGCGCTTGCCATTCCTACTTCGTACGATGGACTACCTGGTACTTCTAGGTACGGGGTATAAGTCTCCTGCCCCTCCCCCGCGAACGCCATGAACGCCCTGTGGCGTCCTCTATCAGCGGCCCCACAGGAATATACTTTGTAGCAACGATGTTGCTTGACCCTCTCTCGACTGTCTTGCTCCCTGCATTGTTCGGTATTGCTGCAGCTCAAAATGGAAAGACTGATTCAACATACGATGTGCTCCAATATGTCGACCAGTTGATTGGTAGCAGCAATGGAGGTGCGCAGCTGAAAACTACCACGATATGTCCAGTCAGCTGAGGAATCTCTAGGAAATGTCTTTCCCGGTGCCACCCTCCCTTATGGTAAGTTATTTACGGAGGATTGTCAGCACAAAAGCTCACCAGTGATAGGGATGGCCAAGGCCGTCGCAGACACGAATTCCGGCTCCAATCAAGGGGTAAGTTTGCTCTTCTTCATGGTTTGGTGCAAATAAATATCAGGAAGATATCCATGTTTCAAGAACACTTTTTGAAAATGAATTCAATAGGGCTTCACCACGGACGGCTCTAGCATCACTGGCTTCTCAAATATGCATGACAGTGGAACAGGTACAATATTTTATCTGGATCTGGACTTAAGCTTATTTTGACTAGGTGGATCGCCATCCCTTGGGTTATTCGCTCTCTTCCCATATGCTGGATGCGCAGGGGATGATGTCGATGGATGTGATTACCCAAAAAAAACTCGGGCTACATCATATGACAATAGCTCTGTGGTAGCAACCCCAGGTTACTTTGCAGTCACTCTAGCCAGTGGAATCGAAGCAGATATGACAGTTGCCCAACACACATCGTTGTTCCGGTTCAAGTTTTCGGTCACAGATGCCGCTGGCAATGCCTCCAGCCCGTTGATTCTTATGGACTTAACTGACCTTTCGGATTCACGTCAAGACAACGCGACCGTGTCGGTTGACGCCGGTACGGGAAGAATCACAGGAAATGCACGATTCTTGCCCAGTTTTGGCAGTGGCACATATGTTGGATATTTCTGTGCTGATTTTTCAGGTGCTCCTCTTCGAGATAACGGCATTTTTGTCAACAGTCGCGCGAGCACTGATATCAAAACTTTGACTATCTCCCGCTCTATCAATGGCTACCCACTTCCAGGTGGTGCCTTTGTTCGATTTCAGAATCCCGGGGAGGATGGCATATTGGCAAGAGTTGGCGTGAGTTTCATCAGCAGTGATCAAGCCTGCTCAAACGCCGAATCAGAGATCCCTTCATTTGACTTCGATGCGACGCATACCGCCGCAGAGACAGCTTGGAGAGATAAAATTAGTCCCATCGTTGTGGAAACAACTGGTGTGGACGTGTCGATCTTGAAGAACTTCTACAGTGGGATTTATAGAACCATGGTAAACCCGCAGGATTACTCTGGAGAAAATCCACTTTGGCAGAGTGACGAGCCATACTTCGACTCATTTTACTGGTAGGTGTATTTGTCCGGATCCCAAGCAGGCACTAATGCAAGTAGTATATGGGACCTTTTCCGATCTCAAATGCCATTCCTGACTATTTTGGATCCGGCCACTGTTGCGCGGGTAGTACGTTCCCTCATAGATACTTATTCTCATGAAGGTTGGCTGCCTGATTGCCGGATGAGTCTCTGCAAGGGATACACGCAAGGTGGTTCAAATGCGGATAATATACTCGCAGACGCCTATCTCAAAGGCATCTCAGACGGTATTGATTGGAAGCTGGGATATGAGGCAGTCGTCAACGATGCTGAAAACGAACCATACGACTGGTCTAGCGAAGGAAGAGGCGGTCTCGATTCATGGAAGGCTCTTGGATATATTCCAGTCCAGGACTTTGACTATAAAGGTTTTGGTACAATGACGAGAAGCGTTTCACGGACTCTCGAGTACAACTACAATGACTTTGTCATCGCCCAAATTGGAGCTGGTCTTGGTGGACTTGAGGGCGACGTCGAGAAGTACACAGCCCGCAGTGGAAACTGGGCAAATCTCTTCAATCCCGACCAGACCTCATACTTCGCGAACGGAAGCAACACGGGATTTGAAGGTTTCTTCCAACCCAAATACTTGAATCGCACTTGGGGTTTTCAAGATCCTCTAAAATGTAGCAATGTGGACGAAAACCCAAATAGTGTGTGTTCGTTGCAGAACAGCGGAGCCGAAACATTCGAGAGCTCGATTTGGGAATACTCGTTGTAAGTTCATATATGTTGAAGGGATGCTATGTGTTAATTTTGACTAATATCTGTCTTAGCTTCGTCCCTCACGACCAGGCGTCTTTGATCACGTATTTTGGAGGGCCAGCAGCGTTTGTGGAACGTCTCAACTTCCTTCACGACCAGCAGATTACCTACATTGGAAACGAGCCAGCATTCCTTACCGTTTTCCAGTATCACTATGCCGGCAGACCTGCTCTCTCAGCTCTAAGGTCCCACTACTACATCCCCGCCTATTTCGCTCCTACCGATGCAGGTCTCCCAGGGAACGACGACAGCGGCGCCATGGGCTCATTCCTAGCCTTTGCAATGATGGGGCTGTTCCCTAACCCGGGCCAAAATGTCTACCTGATCACGCCCCCATATTTCGAGAACGTCTCTATCACCTCTCCTCTGACAAACAAGACAGCAACCGTCCGAAATGTGAACTTCGACCCCACGTACAAGAACATCTACATCCAGTCCGCGACGCTAGACGGCGTGCCCTACACCAAAAATTGGATCGACCACTCCTTCTTCACCGAGGGGAAAGAGCTCATTCTTACTTTAGGGTCCACAGAAAGCACCTGGGGCACGGCGGTTGCGGACTTGCCGCCGAGCTTGGGTAAGTATGAGGGATTTGGAAACTCAACGACGAATTCGACGAGTGCGTATCGGAAGAGAGCTGTGAGGTTTACAGAACACCATGATTCGATTTTCCCTAATGCTATCCCGCACCTGGGGGCGGATGAGAAAACGGGAGCCAACTATTGGGCTCATGCTCAAGGGAGATGATTCACGCCTCGACTCGGCGTGGAAGTAATTATCGTAATGTCTTGTTGAACACATAGCATTGATTGCTAGAAAGAAGGTAGAGCTAAGACCAGATAATAATCATGCTATCTTCATTGACCATTGACTGGAGAATATTCTCCAGCATCAAAAGAAAGTCCGCCTTCTTGAGGTACTCCTGATCCAGGCTGTTCCCGACGGAGCGTTTAGGTATCACGTGCTCGTGAACGCTTTCGCTGGCCCGGACCAGCTGCCTCACCTCAAAAAATCATCTCGACAAGACAAAACCACAAGAAAAATTCAAGATATCAAAAAATAAAAAAGGAACGAACACTAGAAAGCAATGCGCCCGACGAGAGGCTCGAACTCTCAACCTTGGGCTTAAAAGGCCCACGCGCTAACCAATTGTGCCAGCCGGGCTGAATGCTTTCCTTTGTTTGTTATTTCCTCGCTCCTAGCCATCCCAAAATATCTCTCAGAAAAACCAGAATCCCAAAAATGCAATGAAGTGTTTTCAAAAGCACAGACAAAAAAAGTTGTCAAAAAGGGGAAGCATGAAAGCAAATGGCGCCCGACGAGAGGCTCGAACTCTCAACCTTGGGCTTAAAAGGCCCACGCGCTAACCAATTGTGCCAGCCGGGCTTAGATGCTTTCTTATTCATGTTTGACCATGTTTGGCAAAGGTTTTTCTTATTGTGTTTCTTAAAAGCCAATAGGATTGGTTTATGCGCGAGCGTTTAGCCGGTATCCAAGTAGCAGGAATACATTTGTCAACGTCTCTTAGGGGAAAGAAATAGGTATGGAGCACAGAATATTCATGTTATACTTAAATGTCAAGGGAATATTTTCGTGGTATTTGTTTCGAAGGGGTTAATCGTGATTTGAGCGTTTTCATGTTCTGCGCTCGCTGTCTGACAGTTCTCGCTACATATCAGAGCGAACCCCCCCCCCTTTTTTCCCGAAAAAAAGATCTCTCTCACAGCCATAGGAGAAAACAAAAGAGTAGAAGATTTAAACAATCTCACAAAAGGTCGAGAGGAACAAGATTTCTCCTGGTATCCCCTATAGTATTCCACAAAAGTGCAAGCTGTTCCTCAAACTGAACCCTGCTATATAAATACCGATCCATGAATACCGGGATCCTCCCTCCCCTAAACGGTAAACCCTCCTCGACTACCGTGACACGACTTGTTTGCCTCCATCTGTGTTTCATTACAAGTTCAGCCCCTTCTATCATCTTGATTGGCAAAATTAGTCGGGGAGAATCCCTTTGAAAGTGATGGAGTTCCCCACAGAGCCTAGGAGATCCTTGGTGGGTGAGAGGTATCTGGCTGGTACTTGGCGATCAATCTGTATAGATCTAAATTTGCCTTCGATGGATTTTAGGTTGTTGAGTTTATCTTCACCAATTGTTTTGATCATTGCGCAGCAGGCAAAGGTACCTACTCGAAACAGTTGGAGAATTTATATTTGCGTCCAGTCTCAGGCAACATCAAAAGTCTACTTGCATGTTACCTACCATTGTCCCTCAAGCTCCCGAACAGCAAGTCGAAGAGGTTGAATTAATGCTGTCCGGCCTGGAAACTATTTTTCTCCAGGTAATTCTAAGTCAACAGAATTGGCGTGGGAAGACACTGGTAGAATTATTTGATTGCGAATATTAAGCAGGCAGTTGGACACCTCCCGCCTTTATTTTACTCCAATCCTTTTCAACTCCACTTTCAATATCTGGAATTGGGCCCATGGGCGTGATCGCCTTTGGATTGATGTCCCAATGACTCTTTGTATACTAATAATCAACGTTAGCAGCATACTCTGTAGAGACATGTAATGGCCACCCACATTTTCCTTAATATGCCTGAAATCCGTCGTCTCCTTGAAAGCTGGTACATTCCAATATAAGTTCTTCATCCAGTTATTCAGCAATGGGTAGTCGTGTCGAATAGTTCCTAAGTTGCACTTGAAGTGCTGCACATAAACCGGATCGAATCTGATCAGCGTGGGAAACAGACGTAAATCGAGCTCGGTCAACTCAGAACCGAGGATATATGGCCCGCCAGTCTTTGCGAGCAGCTCCTCCATCCGATTCAGAGCCTTGAATACGGGCACAACATTCTTGTCATACGTTGCCTGATCCGGAGCGAAACCCGCCTTGTAAACCCCGGTATTAATATCGTCCTGCATCCACTTCCCTATCTCGTCAATCTCCTTCCTCAAGTGTTCTGGATAAAAATCTATTTTCTTGTATTCGTCTGGTAAGATCGAATTCCAGCCAGTATTGAAGTTCCGCAGGAGCTCTAAGCTCTCGTTGTTGACCATTTGGTTCGTCTTCTTGTCCCAGAGGGCGGGAACACTATATCTCCCTTCATAATCTTTCTTTTCCCTAAAGTAGACCTCGTTCAGGTACTTGCTGCCAAATAAATGGTCTTCAGTAGCGCCCTCGTATGGGTCGTCCGCGGTAGGGAACTTCCATCCTGGCTTCCCAGTCAAGTCGCCCTTCGGATACGGTTTTACGATGGAGATGTCGATGATATCTGTGAGGCCTTTCAGGTGGCGGATTAGGTTTACGCGGTGTGCGAAGGGGCAGAAGAGACCTATGGGGTAGATCAGCATTATTAGCAATTCTGAGGGGACAAGTGTAAGTATACCGATATACATGTGGTATCTGCCTTTCTCTGGCGGAAACTGCCCCTCAGGCTCGATGACGCCGTGCCAGGCGCCATCTTTGAAAGTTGAAGTTGTTTGTGCTGCAGAAGCCATGTGCGTCCTTATTTGCGATGCTCTTCGTAGCAATTGATTCATTAATTTCGTCGTGAACCTCGTCGAGAAGCTCGATTTTGTCAGTGGGATGTGCTTATGAACGCTTATGAATACAGGGAGAGCGGGGGCGGGATGCGGGATGTGCGGAACATGTACCGCGTCACTAGCCAGCCTCGCAGACGAGGCTGACAGTACAGTGCCCGTTTCATTTAAAAGGCACCGAATAGAACGGAGCTGAATGGCGCAAATCCACAAATAATCCATGAGATGAGCCCAATAAATCCTCCTAACTACAGTGAGGACAAGAAACTAAATGTGGGAGACAGAGGAGGCGAGTTACACCGTACCTTGCCTACACCGTAGGGCGGAGATCGGATAGAGCACCGTCTAGTAGAGGAACTTTGGGTGAAGAAGCTATCAACGAAGGTAGAGCATTTATCCAAGTATTCTGTACTACAGTTTAAAACATGTTGTTTGATGGTAATGAACTAATACTCTTCTAGAATATTGAAGTGTTTTGCCATTCTGGATGTTCCAGAGGATACTGGCTTCAAATAGAGGAAGGCGAGGCAGAAGTGTGAAGGGCTGCTTGTATAGCCAGGCCTGCCCTAGCAGAATGGAAGCCGAGACATTAGGTAGGCAAGTACCTTGATCATACAATTGTCTTTGTATGCTGGAACAGTCAAAATCTCTAAAGTTAGGCAACTCTCCGGTCATAGTTTCTCTCTCATTGTAGACATGACCAAGTAGTTTCCAGCTTGTTCCGAGCTCTATGCTGAAACTACTTAACACCAACCAATTCCATTTAATTGCTTTCAGTCTCAGCACGAGTTCATCAAGAAAGCATTCCTTTTCCCGCAGTCTACTTACATCATACATCATGGACCCAGGCATTGATCCTGGAGACAACACGTGTAAGTGAAGCTCTTCCCAGCAAGCTCGTTGGCATCCTTTTGAACTCATCTACCAGACACCGCACCGCACCAGGTTGGAAAAGCCTACATGTGGAGAATAAGACACATCGCTATTCGGTTAGACCTAGTCGACGAAATCGACGTTCTCAGGATCTTTCAAAAAGCAGCGAAGGAGAAGCACGATATTGCCGACAAGAAATTGGAGGAGGGCGTGGAGGATCCCAAACCCTACGTACGTTGTATTGCTTTGTATTGCTCATACAATTTATGAGATTATTTAGGCAATTTACTAATATTTTGGGTAGGACGAAGTGAACCAGTTCTGGACGAAGATCAATAAGATCCTTGAAAAGAGTCTGGAGTACATAAAAGTGTGTAGCGATGCAGACAATACTATAACAGAGGAGAAGCACCGGATTCATCTTGCCTCGCAGATCCAGCCTGAAGATAATGACGAGGGCGTGGTGGCAGGTAGTGCTGAAATGCGGTTGGGACTTTACAGGCAGTGGTTTGACGTTTCGAAACAAAGGGTAAAGGGATACCTACCCACGGAAATGATTATAGAATGCTAATTAGCTACCAGTTTCTAGACTCCCTTGATCCGACAAAGAATCCAGAACTAGAGGAATTGTTGAAGGAAATCCAGTGTTCGGACACCATGTGACTTGGCCGATAATTCATACCACTTGTCTTTATGGGCTGGCTTGAGGAGAGATGAGGTGAAATGAGAAATGAGAAATGAGGATAGTTGAGTATTCAAAACAGGGAGAAAGAGGCTCTTCAAATACACTTGTTTTATTCCTATTGAAAGGGCATGTACAAATTACTGCACATGACGACTGCAAAAGTACAAGTACTTTACAGATTGACCTACCATCCACACCAATGGATCCATAACGTGTGACTTATGGAACCTTGACTATTCGAAATATTGTTTGCTCCTCTCTCAAACTCGTGTTGATTAGAGTGAAATTTTGGTCGTCAAACACGTGGGACTGTATGGCAGAGAGCTCTCAATTTTAGAGACTGGAATCAAAAAGAAGACTTTGTTGTGGCGGAAGTTATTGGACAGCTCGCGAGTGGGAAAAAAAAATTGTGATCTGTGATAGCTAAAATTAAAGGAACAAGATCAAGGCATTCACAGATCGAGGGAGAAGCATTATTTCAGAAAGGGACTTGTGCTAGATTTAGAGGAAAGCCGAAGGAATACCTAACTGCCCTTTGAATTTTAACACTCAATTTAGCATCGTGAAAGGCATCCATCCATACTCGACTAACAGATCAATCATGTCAAAGCCCACCAATCAAGAGACACAGCAACCTAGATCTCATCAGCATTATTCTAAACCCCCAAAGCTTTAAGGACATACCATTCATGATGCCTCTCTGCACGAGAATGATCTTAGGTTTTCCTACTGTCAAGAACTGATCAGATACAATCACCACGCCATTATACAGCAAAAGTTTTGCTGAGTCTGCTGAGTCTGCTCAGAGGTAGACAAACCTTTCTCACCAGACCTGAGGCCCACCTCAACGGAATTCTCGAGGAGAATACCATGATCCTGCATCTTCATGTTCTCCTTGTTAATCTTATCGGCCTCGAGGGTCTTGACGAGTTCCTTCTTGGCGGCGCTGTAGGCATCCTATATGTATGTTTGAGCAAATATGTTATTGTAGTTGTATAGATCGATGTCGTACCTTGTCCTTGCCTACGATGGTTCTGAGAAGCGCGACGATGCGCTCACCAGGGGTTTGAGATTTGGGAGTGGCAGATGGGGTATCGGCTTGTTGTTGACCAACGCCCGCTTGTTGCCCGTCGGAGGAAGCTGTAGATAGGTAAGCAGGGTTCCTTTAATATGATTCGGTGACTTACGCATTTTGGTAATGTTCAACGGTTGGTTCTATGAGAGATGTTTGTTCTTGCTCACGTTGGTGGTCTGTCGATGGTGTGTTGTTGATGTTTACTTGTAGGATTTGAGATGATAGATAAGTACCCTTCTCAAAAAACAACAACACGAAGCAACAATAATAAGGCAACAATAGTAATTAAAACCCAATTCACTAAGCAGACCTTTATAATTGCTGAACCAACTCACGCTCTCAAGACCGGGAGAGGTTCTCTGATCCTGTCAAGATTCACTTTACAGCTGTATATCTCAAAATAAGAGGAGTGCTTTCAAAATCAAAGCATACACCAAACATACAAGTTTGGTGTAATAAACTCAGATAATCCTCTGTAGGACACCTAGTGACCAGACACAATATCTGTATCCCACCACGATGGAAGCCTAGGGGGAAGGTCTCTTTTCTGAGAATAAAGCCCTACACCCGCGGGTATTTGGAAGGTAATGTGCAATTTCTTTCGTATCCCCTTTTTTCCTGCCCTCTTGTATTTCTTTTTATTTTTTTCCGTTCTTTTGGTTTTCGGCCGGGTGAATGGCTCCCCTCGTCTCAAGTATCTCGAGTTTGCGTTGGTTCCCAGACGCGCCTACGCGCCTCCTGACTTAAGCGAGCCCCCTGTATAGGCCAGACCTGTTTGCTCATCTCCAGAACTCTGAACTCTAACATATTGTTTCAATGGAAGTGTGAAACGAACTGATTGTCCTCAAGATCAAAATGAGATTAAATGAATCCCCTTGTGACTGGCCCCTTGGACCGTCAGAGTAAAATAGGATATTCTCCTGCTTCCTTATGGATAGTCAATCGCACCCAAGGATTCATCGGAGTTTCCATTCCTCTTCGCACTTTTGGTGCATATCACATGGATCAAATAGAGGTGGGATGCTTTTCTTTCAGCTCCGGCGAGAGGACCTTTCGGTTGACTCCTGGATTCAACAGCTCCCAGTGACCCAGGCATCATACACTTCACAAACCATTTCAGATCCACTGGAACCCGCTGAATAAACAATATAATTTTATCTAAGGCATTCTATACCCTTCTTATACAAACTTGCTGTCCTTGTTGACATACAGGTCAACGTACTCATCAACAGCCATGCTCTCCAATCTCTTCGCGTCATTGCCCAACTCCACCAATTCCTTAACCTTGGCCTCACTGAAGTGAGGGCCGAGGTGTCTCTTGTACTTGGCCAGAATCTCTGGCTTGGCCTCCTCTCTTCTCAGTCTGTGGCCAAGAGGAGCCTCAACGACAACTTCCTCCAAGACAGTTCCATCGTTCAAGGTAACAGTCAAAGCGTTTGGAATAGTGCGCTTGTTCTCATCGTGGTAATCCAGGGTGAATTGAGGGTCCTCAACACACTTAATCTTCTTGCGGAGAGACTCGACAAGAGGAGAAGTAGCAGCCTCGCCACCATCGGTGTAATCAGTGGCCTCAAGACGGCCGAAGACGAGCATGACGGCGCACATGTATTGGACGCAGTGGTCACGGTCAGCGAAGTTGTCCATAGGCTTGAACTGCTTGTCGATGATGCGGATGCAAGCTTCGTGGGTACGGCAGGTGACTTCCTTGATATCCTCAGCGGTCTTGCCCATGGCAACGAGACGCTCACGGATCTTCTTTGAGGCTTCGATGGCGGTTTGGGAGTGGAATTCAGCTGCTCGAGTTAGCCAGGTCTCAAAGAAGATAGAGAATCATGCTTACCTGGGTATGAGACCTTGAACAGAACGTTCTCCATAACGTAGCTTCCATATGGTCGCTGGAACTCAAAAGGCTTGCCCTTGAAGAGAACGTCGTAGAAACCCCAGACTGGAGCAGACAAAACAGTAGGGATACCAGGCTCGCCCTTCATGACCTTGAGGACGAGGTTGACAGCGCGCTGACAAGCATCACCAGCAGCCCATGACTTTCTTGACATGGTGTTTGGAGAGTGTCGGTAGGTTCTCAAGCTTTGCCCATCAACCCAAGCTTGTGTGACAGCATCGGCGGTCTGCTTCTCGGTGAGGCCGAGCATCTTGGAAACCACAGCAGCGCTAGCAACCTTGACAAGCACAACATGGTCCAAACCGACCTTGTTGTACGAGTTCAGAAGTGCCAGACAACCCTGGATCTCGTGTGCCCGGATCATAGCCTCCAAAACCTCCCTGACGGTGATGATCTTTCCATTTCCAAGCTTTCCACCTGCACGGTTGGTTCGAGAGACCCAGTCAGCGACAGCCAAGATCGCACCTAAGTTATCAGAAGGGTGACCCCATTCAGCGGCGAGCCAGCAGTCGTTGTAGTCGAGCCATCTAATCATAGCACCGATGTTGAAAGCGCCATTGACGGGGTCGAGTTGGAAAGGTGTGCCGGGGACCTTTGTGCCGTTGGGGACGACAGTTCCCTCAACAATGGGGCCGAGGAGCTTTGTGCATTCCTTGAATCGCAGACCTTCGAGACCGCAGCCAAGGGTGTCGAGGAAAACGAATCGAGCAGTGTCGAACTGGAGACTCAATTAGCGGGGTCTTTTACCAGACTTAAGGGAAGCATACGGCAAGCTCAGAAGTGATGGGTGTGTTGTGAACGTAGCTCGCAATGTCCTTGATTTCAGGATCATACTCTCGAGCTTGAGGTGGCGGGGGAGCACCGGATTGTAGGGGCGACATGGTGGAAAATTGTTTGAAGGAGGGAGTTCTGGTTGAAGCTCCGAAGCTTGCTCGGGATGCAGATATGAGAGGGGCTCGAAGGGCGCGGGCCTGGAGAGCGGGCAAACGCAGGTTTCTGGTAGCTGAGCGAACACCGCGATTGATGGTCGACATGGTCAATCAACTGGATTAGAGGTGGGGGTTTCCTGAGCTCAAGAACAACAACAAGCCACTCAAGAGACAATTGGGGCTCGCAATTGGCTTTTAATTGCTAGATATTACCGGCTCTCTGTCCCTTGGACCGACTTAGACCTCGGTTTACGAAGGTATAAATACTCGGGATGGAATTCAACGCCAGCTTTCGCTCTCACCGCCGAAATGCGCCGAGGGTGCGGAGTACACTGAGACACGTGAGGGAGTATGGGGATATATAAGGATGTTTTCGCCTCTCCACGTTATTCTCGGAGAAGGGGGAAGAAAGTTCTTTTTTCCTTTAGATGGTTTTCGGAATTACAGATGTGGAGACGTCATTGCAAGTGCTCTGAAGGCTGGTCGATATAGTACAGTAATAATGACGATATAACGATTGGATTCAATTGGCTCAACTTCTGTCGCACCGAGAAGACTACTCCATGTCAGATTGGCCCTTCAAAGCCCAACTGTGGCATTTTGTCCTCATAGACATATATATACACATGTATATTTACATCTTAACTGGGCCTTCTGTCAAGTCAGATAGTCAGCTCCCTTTACTGCAAAGTCACACTGTAGGTTCAACTTGGGAATTACCTATATACAAATCAATTACTAGCTTCCATTGAATAATTGATGCATGCAGTTGTCACGAGATAGCAAGGCCTCACTTCTTTCTTCGCCCTGTTTTGAAATGATGTCTGACTGAGTAGCTTGATTTTGAACTATGTGTAGCAGATCTTCCACTTCAGGGTATAGCGAACGAGCGGTTAATAGCAATTTCAATATCAATATCTTATATATAAAAAGTCTCTCTCAAAGCCCTCCCCTCCTCTCCAGCACTCTTTCATACTCATATGTCAGGTATAACATGTCCACGAAGCATTTGGTTGTGACAGTCCTCGTCCGCTTTCCTTCAGTCCTCTTAGTAACTCTAGTCAAATCCAATGCCAAATGAGGTACCGTAAATCGCTATCTTCAATATCTGGTTCTTCGACGTTTTGGTTTCCGAGAATATACTGTACGGGTTTGCCTTTTGAGCTTTTGGATGCGTGATGAACGACGAGTGAAATGAAGATCACCGTAGGTGGACTTCAGCTCTTCCCCCGCAGCAATATCTCTTATAGCTTGGACCACGAGTCTCATCTTGCCCCCAATGGCCAACGATCTGAACTCCACATTATGCCTTCCTTCCTCCGTGTGGTTGATAAACTTCGCCCAGTTTCCATTCCTGCCCCCGATCAGCGTCGCAGTCGGTTCGTCGTCCTCTGTTTCGTCTTCCTTTTCCACCTCAAGGCCAGTTCGGCGATCAAATTTCGGGGTTGGTTCCCACTCAAAGGCATACGTCGAATCGCCAAAACGTGGGAGATCGTTGTGGTCGTACGGGATGTACTCTCCGCAATATTCACCTATATAATCATCTTTATTGATCCGTGCCAGTGCTCGAACCCCTCGGTTGAGCTCGCCCGGCCTCCAGGACACCATTTGTATAACTTCCACAAGGGCGTGCTTGTATGTCTTGTCCGCTATGCAGGCGCATCTTGAGTTTTTGGTGCCAGTCCGCTGTTTGCAACCTCCGTGACACCGCGCATATGGCCCATATCCGTCGGGTGGACAAGTAGATGGATCTCCTGGGAACGGTTGCCACCGTGGCCAGTTTTTTGGCTTCTCAACATGACGGCTCCAGTGTTCTGGATTGTAGATGTTTTCGGTGATGTTGTTCATCGGATGATATGAATTGAAGTCCGACTGGAAGACAGAGCGTTTTATGGTCCCATCCTCAGCCCGGTACACTTCGTGAGGGTGGTTTATGGGTGGGCAAGTCCAGTTCTCTGGAATTTGTGGTGGATCTTTATCCATGGGGTAGTTATCAAACCACGTGCTGCTCCGTGTGACTGCAAAATGCCCAAGACTGAGCTCATTTTCCTTCACCCTCCTCAGAATCTGCACCCAAAGATGCTCACTGTAGGGTTGTTCCGACGCGACTACCTCCGAAAACGTCTGTGAATACAACAAGATATGAAGTAGGGCTATACCTAGCATCGATTCAGCCTCTGTACAGCGTCTCCGTGCATCTTCGACAAATAGTTCAGTGTCGTTGAATGAACTTGGAAGAAAAAAGGTGCCTGGAAATTCACATTTGTGCTTCCATATACTATTGATATCAGAATATATTCTTTCCAGATACCATTGAGCAGTGGCATCCAATGCCTCTTGTTCACCTGCTAGCAGTGGCGCTGTAGGGTTCATAATTGACAGTTAAAGGAGCAGTTAGTAATATGTTCTTGGACTAGGCAAAACTTCCCGAAGATCTCTATTATATCGGCATCGAGCTTAACAAAGGGAGAATGCTTCGAGGCTTGTTGGGCACCGCACGCTCTTAGCAACCCGATTGCAAAATGATTGTACAATAATATTGAAGAAACTTTAGTGGACAAAGAATATAGAAGAAAGGATTATCAGCACGCAGTATATAGCACATCGCGAACCACCCATGCCGGCTGATCGACCAAAGGAAGGTACTCAAATTCTCTGCTTAGAGATGAAACAGAGACTCTGGAATGCAAAGTCCGTTCGAGGACCATTCGTCCAGCTTGTACTATGGATCATGGTACTTGCCATTTCCCTGTTTGCGTAAATTCTGTATTTAACCAGCCTTGAAATCAAAGAAGAAACATGCCCAGGGCTTTGTTTCCCATTCTATTTTGTATCTTAGTAAGCCTCTAAAATTGACGCTTTAGTCTGAGGTCTTGTGACTCTCCAAATCCGGGCAGTGACCATAAGTGGATATATCCCTAAGCCAGAGGACAATTTTGGAAATAAACATATGAGGAATTTTGTTTCTAACGACTTATAGGCTAATCTTGCAGTAAGTAAAAGGTTTGAAGGATCACGAAACAAATCATTTACATTGAAATATATCGAATACTATGGAGTTTCAAAATTCCGAGTAGGAAGGCTGGCTGATTGTTATATGAAGAAACCCGGGGGCAGAGAAAAGGAGGGGGCGTCGGTTCCGGAAACAGAACCTATTTCAAAAAAAATCGACAAACCAACACAAGAACAATGATAAGCCAACTTGGCTAGTTAACTCGACACTTGAGGTATACTCTGGTGATTTTAACAGTTGCCGAAATATTTCAGAAAAGGTTAGTATGCCGGTAATTCGGCTTAGAATCAGATTCTTGAATTCATGACAGTAAAGTACGACAGAATGATTTCTATGGGCGCTCCCCAACGACCAACTCCAAAGCTCCTGATAATTTCTTAACCAATCTTCAAAACAGATTAATCGTGGTATATGCACCTTATTCCTCCTCACTCTCGTCACTCTCATCCTCGCCAGCTCCCTCGGTCGTTTCTTTCAAAGCCTGTTCCAACTCGGCTTCAAGATCAAGCTCTATATCCTCATCACTCATTCCCCCGGAATTATTGTTGGCCGGACTTGGTAATTTTAAGTGATCCACATCTTGATTACCCTCCTCCTCCTCGTATTCTTCGCCTTCCGCATCCTCGTCCTCGTCGCTGACTTCCTCATCAACATTTTGCTGGAATACAGGAGGGGGTTGGTATTTATTTTGTTTCGAGGGCGGTGCATCAGGATATTCAATTGTGAGACCATCATCTGAATCTTCATCCTCCTCTGGTGTTGGCTCGCGGACGGGGGGCTTCTTCTTGACTGGCGCCGCCTTCCGACGCTTGGGTTCGGGCTTGACCACTGGTGTATTCTTTGGAGGCTTCGTAGTTTTTCTTTGTGGTGCTTCTGGCTGACGTCTTACTGTTGATTCTAATTGGGGGTATTGCGATCGTAGAGTCGATTCGTCCTCCTCCCAGGGAGCGCTGACCAGGTTCATATCAAATGTAGAATCTATGCGATGTAGCACAAAATGTTGCTTCTCCGGATCAAAAATGAGCACGTATTTCCCATCACCAGTTGTTCGCACGCCATTGTATTTGTATTTTTCGGAGTTGTCTGAAAACGAGAGGTCGTAGCCCGTTGGGTCGGAATCTGAGGGTTGAAGCTGTAAGGGGCTCAAGGATGAATGCGAGGCAGGATCTGGCTTGTGGTTATCTGAGACGCCGTTAGCTATGTTGGCAGAGTGGAAAACGAGATCCTGTACATCGAATGCCAGTATAAGTCTCGCCGGCAGCTTTGCCGAGCAGCGCATCACTCAAAACAATGGGGTAACTGGCGGGTTTGTCAATATCTATTGATGCTGCTGCCATGGCTGCCATGTATAAGTCGGGCGGGAGGCAGAGCCTGTTCAAGCAGGTAGGTCGTGAGAAGGTGAGGTTTCAGACAGAACAGGTGAGGCTGAGTGATTAAACAGATGATGGAACAGATGAGGTACCAAGAGCTTACGGGATACGATACCCGCTGTCTTTATCTAGAACCCCCGGATTTCGGGTACTATACCTGTCTAGGACTAGGCTCACGTAGTAGTGGCGTCAAGCTCCTAAATTTAGTGGCTGGATCGTCGTGTAGATAACATCGCCCGAGGCTGTCAGACCTGATGGTCATCTCTGAGTAGCCTCTGAGTCTCTGACGAGGCAAGCGCATCATACCGCCCCTGTTAATGGTTCCAGTAACATCAGGCTATTAGATATTATCATTCTAAATTTCTCAAAATGTTATTACTGCAGACATAAGAAATGTCGGGTAAACAATTCCAGGTGGGTTCCTGCATTACGCGCGCGGACCAATGATTGAAAACCCAAAGTTTACTAAAATTACATTATCATTCAACAGAATCAGCACTATCAGTAAATTAGGACACCTTCTTAACATAACATATACCAAGATATCCTTACGGTGGGCATGCTTGGGTCTTAGATATGCCATTGAAGGCCATGCCGAAGGAGGAGATCCATCCCTAGATGTCAGAAGAAGCCATTAATCCTAAGCGGCTGGGGTTCATCGATGACAGAGATCGTGTTGTAGATTGAGAGATGTGGCATTCAAGCTTAGCACGTAGTAAATATTCGCATGCGCTTTTATGTCTTTTGTAGATGCCACCGTTTTTGCAAGAGTCTTCAATATGCTACCTTTGCTTTGTTTTCTGGCAAGATCCCCATGAACCGGTATTTCTCTTATCAGATATTGCCAGAGCAGTGAAGAAAGTTAAATTGCTATAGAAGGAGGCATAACACGTAGGAAGGAACTCTCGACCAACTATATCAGAGCATAGTAATATCGGATTAAAGCCTCTATAACATAGGTAACAGTCAGCTCTTCTACCCTTCTCTCCCTCCCTTTCACTATTATAACCGGTCTGAATGACAGGTATATTGGGGATCAGAAGCAACTTGAAGAGGCCTTCGGTTCCAATTCACTTATCGCAACAGTCTGAGTAGTGAATGATATGCCTACTGCTGCGCACTTACTGAAAAGAAAAGACAACTGAATTCACTAAGGTTGAACATCTGGTTTTGTCTTCAAGACTAGTTTTCCTCCAACAAATACCATCTTTCACCACACCGGGAAATTCAATCCAAACTTGACAATAACGCTCTCTAGGCTGATTTGCTGCTGCCGGCGAAGCGAGAATGATAATAATGAGCCGAGTAGTCAGAACTACAGAGTCCCATACTTCCCAGCACCAAAATCAGGACTTCCTCTCCTCCCAGCTCATCCAGCGCTTCTTGCTGCACGTCAAGACCCTCGAACAGACTCAATTCCACGACCACCAGAGAAACAGCTTGCATCTGATCTTACAGAGAGTCCAGAGCTTCGTCTTGCATTCGAATTTTACTCAGGATATCTTTCATATCTTCGACAAGAACAACAACCACCATCTCTTCTCGGTAGAATGAAGACCAATACCAAAGTTGAAAAACTATCAACGTTTTTTGAAACCCTATCAACGTCGCCCAAGACAACCCAGGACCAAGTGCAATCCATATCACAGACCATTGAACCCGACCCGCCATCACCTTCTCCGAAGGAAGCTCATGGCCTTCCAATATCGCGGGGGAGGGTAGATCGAGACTTCTCGGCTACCGGTGAAAATATCGCAACAGAACTTGGGGCGGAGGTGGAAATTCACTCGAATTCTGGGAAAGACGCGCAGGAATTTGTGAAATCGGTCTCCCAACATGAGGATATCTCAACGCCAACTGCAGCAGAGGAGAAAGTGCTCTCGACATCGCCGACTACGCCTGTGCCTCCAATTACCCCTCGAAACCCGGCACGTCTCTTAAGACACAAGCCCCCGGGGAAGGCGGGCATGGCACACTCCAGAGAACGGCCGCAGCAACAACCACAGCTAAACGATGAGTCTGGTTTTGCTACCCCCAACAATTCCGAAGATGATGCACCGATAGTTGTTGGCACAGAATGCACACACGTGGATCTTACTGATACTACAGCAGAAGGCCACAACCTAGTAGAGAAGAAGGAATCTGGGATCACGGACGAAGGCAGTGAGTGTATTGAAGAGGACAAATGTGGAGCTACTCATGAAGGCCGCAACAGTACAGAGGAGGATCAATTTGGTCTTGGTATTATGTTCGAGAATACAGGCAAGCTCAATGATGGCGGCAATAGCATAGTCGAGACAATATTTAATCTCGGTGAGGGCCACAACAGCAGCAAAGGGAAGTACGGATTTGATGCCGACGGAGACGATGACGATGCAGGGAACGAGTTTGGATCTGCTGATGAAGACCAAGATAATGCGGAGGACGAAGAGGGCGCGGATGTGGACGATGTTGGGGTCAATATCTATCCTCAGCATGCTGAGCAAGAGACATCTGGTCACGCTCAACACATTCAGGACGAGAAGCCGGATGAAGCGGCCGACAATGATGACTACTCTAGTCCCAAAGCAGCAACCGAAGCGAGGTCGGAGCATATTGCGCGTAGCCCCGCTGTTGTGGCTGAGCACGAGCCAGTGGCGGCACCTGAGGCTGGAGCAGTATCATCCACCTCCTCGCCGGCATTCAACTACCAGCCCTTCGTCACTGGTGAACCTCCCCACCAAGTGATTGATCGTCTTCTCGAGCAGAACTATCGTGGTCAGGCCGAGACATTCACTAGCAACAACAGCCGTGCCTCGATCCGATCCCTCTCTTTATCCAGCCGTCCCAGCGAACCTGCGTCAACCCGATCTGTATCTGAATCTTCCCTGATTGGCACATTTTACACGCCTACTAGACGATCCGGCAAAGGTGAGGATCTCCTTCAGCGAACTCGAAGTCTACGTACTCCAAGCGGAGCTACTAGAGCCATCATCGAGCCCTCTCCAGTCGTGAGCAACAGTGGCAGCAGAAACCGAAGCGGTCTCAGTCCTTCGTCTTCTCCTCACGTCCCCTCCGGCCATCCGGTTTATACAGTCCCAAAAAAGAGACAGACATTGTCCGTTTCTAACAGACCATCCCAGTCTTCGCAGAGCAGTGATACATTGAGCCGAGGAGCTTTTCACTTTACAAGCAAGGAACGCCAAGCCATCGACGACTTAGTCAACTCCACCCTTCGGGAGTGTGAAAAGCATAAAAATTGTATCGAGTGCCTCCATACAGAGTACGCCTATCACGAAAACAAAGCCCTGCCTACCACAATGTCTCCCGAGGAGCGTAACAAGATTATCAGTAACAACCGCTCGCTTCGAAACATCAAGAATGTGCGTAAAGACCCTAGGATATTCTCACCTTGGCCCTGCTAATAAGATACAGGAACTCGAAGCACTTGCTGAGACTGGCGCAATCACCGATGAACAGTATGATACGATTATGAATGCCCTCCCCGCCGAATCGCCTCTCAGCGGTGCAGCCCGTAAGGTAGCGTCACCTTCTCCCGCACATTCTCCCGCACCCACAGCCGCGCCTACATCCCCTCCTCCAGCCGAACCTACAGCCGCTTTCAGCAACTTAAATCTCAACAATGATCCCGCTCCTCCCGCATACAGCAGTCCCACCCCGCCAGCCGCGCCACCCCGTGAGGCTCCTCAAAAACTCGAGCTTACACGTGCTACTGCCCTCTACCGATACTTCGAAGCCGGCGACTGCAATTTCGAGGTTGGCGACCAGATTGCTGTTTACGAATACATGAACGCAGATTGGTGGCTGGGCAAGAATCTGCGAACCGGCCAAGAAGGTGTTTTCCCCGTCAATTATGTCCAAGTCCAAGCCGTACCACCTCCAGGTCCTCCGCCCCAGGGCGGTTATTACGGCAATGATAATAAGGCGGGTGGCTTTGCTGGCGGATATCCTCAACCACAACAATACCAAAGTCCTCCTCCTCCTGGTCCTGGTCCAAGCAACCCATACAATAGCCCAGTCCCTCCGATGGCGGTCGCAGAGCAGTCTGTTGATGGCAACAAGCCTCCTAACAAGGGAGCAGAGATGGGCAAGAAGTTCGGTAAGAAGCTGGGTAACGCAGCCATTTTTGGTGCGGGTGCCACGCTTGGTGCTGATCTTGTGAACTCCATCTTCTAAGGCGGATAGTTTGATTTGTCTCCCTTATCTTGAGAGATTTCCTCTGGTATCTTCAGAGATTGCCATCCCTTCTTTACTAGCGTATTCATGTATAGGAGTTTGTCTTGATGGGTTCTAGTACAGGCCAATAATTTACGAAGGGAGGACGAATTCGTCAAGTCACCCTTCATGAGGCTGGTGATTTATGAATGAAATGAACTCCTATTATAGAACACTTACCGTCAATCAAGTGTTTTGTCTCCTTGATACAGTAAGTATATGTGCATTTCTCATTGGCAACGGTAGGTAGTGAGAGCAGATGAGTTGTGAAGGGGAGAAGGGCTAGGAGTTGAACAAACCACTCCTGAGAATCAAAATAAGGATGAAATAGAACCGTTTGATATTTTTTTTTTTAAAGACTCTTTGATTCATATCTAGCTACAGGAGCCCAATCAATTTGGTAGAAGATAGATACCAATCTTCAAATCTTCGGCCTATTTGAAGTCCTACGATGGTAAGTTCCGCTTCAGCCCTCAGAGCCCGCTCACTCACAGATGCTTAGCAAAGAATCCCAAGAGTGTCTTGTAGCCACGCTCGTACTCCTGCTTCACGCGTGGGTCCTCGAGGTTCGAGCGCGCTGCCATCCAGCCGTGGATCTGGTCGCCGAAGGTCTCGACGTGCTTGGGGCCCTTCAGGTTCGCCTCGAACTTCTTGACGTCGTCGGGAGACTCGTCCTTGGAGGCGAGCAGGCAGAGAGGGATCTTGATCTTCTCGGCGTCGGCCGGGTCGACCATGGCCGGGTGGCACTCGGCGGCGGCGGTGAAGGGCGTGTCGGTGGTCGAGGTCGTGATGGAGACGATCTTGCCGCCCCAGCAGAACCCGACGACGCCCCAGGTCTTGATGTTGGGGTGCGCCTTTTCGATCTCCTTTAAGAGGCCCGGCACCTTAGCGGCGGATCTCGGGGGGGCGCCGGTGCTAGAGAAGAATTTCCCGAGCTCCTCCTGCTTCTCCTTGGTGTCTGGTGGGTACCTTTGCAGGGATTGTTAGCTCTGATTGTCGAGCGATTCCGGAGGGAATAATGGACGGCAGCTGGTAAAGGAAAGAAAGACAAACCAGGAGATATCAGCAGGCTTGCCCTCGAAGAAGTCGGGCATGAAGACTTGGTATTTGTGGTCCTTGTCGGACGTGGAGAGGATGTCGGCTCCTTGGAGCGATTGGGGGAAGTATCCGAAGATATCATAGATGTAGAGGAGCGCTTTGGAGGCATCGGCTGGGCCGGTGACATCTTTGAATCTCTTGTCAGCAAAACAGCTGGTTCAAAAGCAATGTGCAAGTATATATATATGGTGGGATATATGGTGGGGGGAGAGCTGACAAGTCTTCAAGCCGCCAATAGTCTCGTACTTTCCCTTGGCTTCATAACCCTTGGAGACAATAGGAGGAATGCTGCAGCAAGCAGCACTGTGACCGTGTTGTGCCATATTGTATGCGTAGAAGCGTCTGTTTGGTAGAGGCTTGAACTGAACTGAGGAGAGAAGTTGCCAACGTGGTCTGAGGAAAGTTGCAGTTGATATTGATGGTTGAAGACGGCAGGAGATGCGAAGGAACGCCATTAAATTAATCACATGCACATTGACCGCGAAGCCAATTAAAAATGTGGATTTTACATGTCTTTTTACTCAATGGAATGGATGGAATCAAAGCAACGCGGGCATATTGGATGCTGGTGACGTCGTGGATGGCCTCCGACCGAGTTCATTCGGAGATAGGCATTCCCCACCGCTTTTGCTTCGGGGCATCTTATCGGCAGTGAGGGGCAGATCATTATCGCACGTGACGGAGGACGTGGTCAAGGGGACGGGAGGGGAGGAGAAGAATTGAGGAGTCTGCTACCCGATTTATCCGTTCGGTTTTTATAACACTGCGAATTGCCCGATTAGAAAAACACAAGTCAAAGATCAAAAGAAGCTAGAGTTCCTTGTAGTTCCTGGTGCCAATTGCAGGATCAATTATAGAAAGCCAAGACACGCCAGTCTTCACGCTCCGAAGTGCGGGGTATGCATATCTGGACATCCCAGGAGAATCTTGGCAGAGCGAGAGAATATTGCGTGTATTGGCCTTGTTATCTTGCATCAACATCGTCGTTCAATTTGTGGTTCATGGTTAATAGAGTTCTAAGATGCAGTAGATGGTAACTGCGCTTCGCTGACATGCTTGGCCCCGTCTCTTTTTTCCCTTCTCCTGAGTCCTACCTCCACTCAAATAGCAGCTGTAACAGCTGGTGTATAATACATCATCATCGTCCCCTCGTTTCCGAGTTCCTTTACCCCAGCCTTTAGCGTCTTGTGTGCCTCGCATTCCGTGTCGTAGTACATCATATCCTCCTTGCTGGCAAACTCGGACTTAGAGACGAACGTGTAGCCTTGACTGCGAGCGTCTTCGTAGGCCGGCCCGGCCTCGAGCGAGAGGATGTATGGTTTGCCGTCCTAATAAGCGTTCCAAAAGAATTAGCGGGTGCGTAGGATATTGAGGCTCAATTGGAGCGCAGAGGAAAGATAGGATGTAGGTTGATTGGAGACATGCCTTGCGCGCTGTTGCGGACAGGGTTTTGTACAGCTCCGCAAACTTGGCATGGTTCTCCCTCGGCATCTTGAACATAGTAACGCGAATTATTTTTCCGGCCATGGTTGCTGCAATTTCTTGAATTGGTGACTTCGAATTGTTGCAATGATTCGACGAAGGCGGAGTTGGAGGAAGCGGGGTCGGTAATTTGCTGTTTGAAGATATAACCCGAGGATCGAACGGACGGACCAAGGCGTATATAGCGAATGAATGGATTTATACGAAGAATAAGACAATACAGCTTCTTCCAGATCAGGGGATGGATACGTTTGAGTGATATGAGTGATGCACACCAGAGAGGCCATCCCGAGATATTTATATACCCAATCAGCTAATGGTGGGGCCGCGGCCAGTTTCCGCACTTTGAGGAGACTTTACTTCCCTTCAGCGGGGGATGGAGCTCCGTACGGACACAGGGAAACATTGATCTCAACACATCATTCCAATACAGAAAGCAGGCTTTTCCGTGTGAAATATTTATCGCAGTAAGATATGATCATCTTGGATCCAAGGTCACGTGCTGACATCGTCGGGATGATCCCTTGTACCTGATATATGTGAATGAGACCGTCTCAAGAGCTCAAAAGAGTCCGGCTGTGGACATCTTGACATAGCTGCAGCCTACCATGGCTCTAGGATTCAGACCTTAACCAAGTACTTCTGGTAACCACCATTTTGCTCTTCCTGTTCAATCAACAAACCACACTTGCCCTTCCCCTATCTTCTCTCCCACATAATCGTGATGGAAGAAATCACGGATCCAAACCCATGCGCTCTCAAGAGGGACTTCCTCGAAGCTTTTCATACCTGCCATGAACTTCTTGTCCCCAGCAGCCACCTCTTGAACCATATGCTGCATCTTCCTCTTGAGTTCCGCGAGGGAGCTCTTGATCTCCTCGCTGTTCTCCATGACTGTCTCCAAAAGGTCGGGAGAATCCCGATATTCTTTAACCAACCGATTATAAACTTCCAAGTGTCTGTCCGTCACCTCGTCAGCTCTGAGGTGAATGGCAAGCTCGCGGATTGTATCGTGTACGTATCCATTATCTGGACGAATGGCAGTGATCATAACGATGTGCTCAGTCTTCACTGCAATACCTTCTTCAATAGAATCCGAACTTCCATCCCCTACAACAGTAGCAAAGACACCTTCCAACATTTCTCCCACGGGATTGAATAAAAGGACAGAGTTATCAGTATTTGCTACATTGTGTAGCGGAAACAGCTTCTGGTACGCGATTCTCTCCTCCTTAGTCGACGTAGCATGTATGTGCGCATATTCCTTATCGATGATACGATACCACTCTCCTGAACCCTTATCTCGAAAAGTTATATCGGATTCTGGAACTCGTGAAAACCCCGGCCATGGATTTTGCGGCTTCACATCGCCATATTCTTTGACGGTCTTAATCCTAAATCCAGGATATTGGACGCGGAGACCTCGAGTCGTTATGGTCCCCAGTGGCGAATTCCACTTCAGTATGCGAGTATTCAGTTGGACTTGCGCACCAGTTCTCCATGCCAGTAAACTCCTAGGGGCCCATCTCCAGCCTGGTGTATCAATCTTTGGCTCCTCGAAGAAGACGACCGCCATCGGTATACCGCCCTCCTTAGAAGAGATTAGCTCCCATACCTTCCGCATACGGTCACTCTTTGGCTTAACAGTAACAATTTGATGTAGATCGAGAGACATAAGTGTCCCAATGCAGAGGGGTTCGTCTGATGGAACGCTCACACTACGAAAGAGTAGTGATTGGTCAAGGGTTGCAAAACTTTGCCAACTGTACGGCATAGAGCCCGACGCACCGTGGAAAAATGTCCTTAGACCTTGGAACTCGTTCCAAAGATCCATAAAAATAGCACGGTATGTCATGTGGTTCAGCCTCTTACCAAAAGTTTCCATCAGCTCCGAGAGGTATACGGCAATATCGGCAAATTGGAAACAAAGGGATTTGGCAAGAGCACCCTCCTGCAGCGTCCAAAGTCTCCGCATCCAGCCTGACATAAATATCCGCGCAAGCTGCTCGGCTACGTCTTGAGTTCTCGCATTGTATGACATGAGACCCGCGTCAAGGACAAGCACATGTTTTGCTTGTTGATAGACTAGGCGGATCTTCTCGATAGCAAGTTGTTTCCCCTCTCCATCTTGCGCAGGACAACAAAGAGTGTCGAGCCATATCAACGGATTGACCGGCCTGGGTGTATCTTCCCCGGTTTCTTGTTGATCGACAGCGGCGACTAATGTTCGCAGATGATGCAGTTTGCACCGATGAAGAGAGTTGGATTTGGGATTACCCAGTCCATCAGCCCATACGTGGGAAATTGCAATATATGGAAGACCTGGTGTGTACTCCACAAGTTCGATATTCAAGTTGTGGGAATCCCCCGTGAGACGAAGCAGAGGAAATCGGTCGTCCTTGCGTAGTATCTCCGTGAGATTCTCACTGTTAACTTCAAGCGGAATACAGGAACAGTCCTCATTTTGATGACGGATCTGGAAGTCTTCCATCTTTATTTGATAAAATTTGCAAACCTGCTCCGAACACTGACTATGGTCCCTGCTAGGCAACGATCTATCCATCATCTGTGCCATATATAAGGCTTGGATTGACTTATACTTGGCTTCAACTCTCGCAATGTCACTGACACACCATCCATGATTTCTCATAGAAGTTTTGGCCTCATCGTTGAGAAACGCGTTCCCCCAATATCTGCCAAATTTTGGTTGGATTTGAAGGAATTGGAAACCTGCATTGACCGTGTGCATAAGTAGCTCTCCAAGAGCGGCAATCGAGTATTTGACAGCATGGTTAAAATCTTTAGGCATTGTTGATAACAGCGAGTGGGCACAAGAGAGGCAGAGAGTGAGATGATGGTAGTACTTCTTCCGAATCTCAGGATCTTTAGGCAATCGTGGCCTGGTACTTTCCACGTATGAGCGGAGGCAATCCGAATCGAGACTAACGTATGTTTTGTCGCCTTCATGGACTAACATGGTATCGTAAATGCGATCAACAACGTCCTTGGAAGTTGAATCAGTGAGTACAGATGAATCCTCTTCCAAGCTAGACAAATTGATGCCTGAGAACTCAACCAGAAGGCCAAAGTATAGCCATGTCTGAATGAACGGCTCGAGGTCCTTGAGGGGCGTCGGATTTGCTCTTTCAGAACGATAGTGTTCAATCAGATCAAAAGACGTCCCATTCCAAGCTGTGAGAGTCCTGCCTTTCCGAGCCGGGTAAGACATCCATGGACCGCCATCGTAACGCTCAGAAGAAACGTATGGAGTCCTAGGAACGGGGATTGGTGGCTCGCCGCGATGGATAGGAAGAAGGGAGAATTCCATAACTAAGCTTGATCTTCACCAAGCAAAGACGAAGACCAGTAGGATTTTTGAGGATACTAAAGCGCTTCCTTATCTTTCGGCAAAGTGAGAGAAATGACAAGTTGCATGGTACGCCGTGCAACATCACCACCACTGCGGGGGGTGGCCAGGGTACTGAGGTTCGGAATTTGGTAGGAAACCGGCCAAATACCTACGAGCAGTGGCATCTGCCTTCTGGAAGAACCACCCGCACTTGGACGGTGGCAGTGTTCTGGTAGTAAAATGAAGGGGACGTCCATCCATTGTGTATCTTTATACGGTATACGTACAGAATATATGGAGTAAAAGGAAGAAAGGCGAAAGGCGTTGTATAAGGTACCTATCCTTGTACTTGTACAGTAAGGTAGCTTCCATTGGGAGCTAACCTATTATGGGCATGGGTACGGAGTATTGTTTATCGGAAAGCCTTCCTTATCCACGCAACCTCTGCCTCTTCATCTCCATCAGATACAGTAGCAAACACCTCAAGGCAGGGCAACACAGCTGGCTTCTAGAGTCTCACGATGTGAACGCTTTCGATACTCGTCTTTTACGTTTTCAGCTGACTGATTCATGTGCCAAACAGGAAAAGGGGAATGATATGAAGCTTCCAGTGTCTCCTTCCAGACCCCCTTTCAGACTGTTGTTTGTATACCTTCGATACCTTCAATTTCCAACGGCATTATGGTCGAAATTATCGTGCTATAAACCTATCTATGTCGAAACTTGGCCCAAGGACCTCGAAGTGGGGTTGAGTTCGCAGATAGTTGTCTTGCGAATCACAGTATAACTCTGAAATTAGACAATTATTCACTATAGTTCTCCTCTTGTACGGGACGAGTTAGAGAGATCAAGAAGTACGATACGGCAGAATGGTACAGTAAGAGCATCGTAAGGCGTGGATGATTTGGAGTGAAAAGAGACGGCGGTTGAAGAGCTTTCTCTGTCGCTGCGATTATTGCTACCGTCTTCTATTTGGAACTAGTTAGATCCGCTAGGTCTACCTTATGCTCCTGTGTGCCCCAGTGGGCGACAGCGCCCCAGTCCCGCTCTTGGTTCCTTGCACTGCTGGAGAACATTAATGCAGTTGTCTAGACGAATTCGTTTTCTTTTTGAAGTCTATTTCTTCGGTTCAACTGAAAGACTCGCCAAATAAACTATATTCGCTGAATATATATATGTCTTCGAGCCATAAGTTGCTGTACAAAATCTATTACTTTTTTCTTTAGCAGCGGTTAAGACCCTTCATTCTCAACTGTCACTTGTCCCGAGATAGTCAAACGTCTCGCCTTTCCCTTGTCATGGCGTAATCCACGTAGGAGCACGGAACACGCCATTCCTTATTCTTATGCGTTCGTGTATTTTGTTTGTAGTCATCAGCATCACGATTTGGTTTGACAAAGTATGGTTCGTTTCATTAGTCCCCAAAGACGGCGCCGTTTCCTCCATCGTCACCCTTCTTATCGGGCTTTCCTCCCATTATAACCGACCAGAAAGGCCCCTCTTTCCTATGCAAGCTGATAAATGATGTCGAATATTTCCTGGGATCCTTTTGCATGGCACAGATTTCACTCCCATTTTTAGAGATATTTGCTCGAGACGTCAGTCAGCGTTCATTCTTGACAATATCAATCGAGTTAATTGTATCCCTTTTTAGCTCCTAACCAACGCCGGCTTGGAAAAGTCTCAGGGATCATTTGAAGAAGGGACTTGGTATCCACTCAGAGAACTGAACTCAGTCTGACTCTTGGAAATCTTATATGAGCGAGCTGTCCACATAGACTTCATCGACCCAGAAGTTTCTCCCAGCATCCATGGTGGACACGAGTTGAACAGAATATACCCTTGAGATGAAGTTTGACAACTCTCTGGCTTACGCGGCCGTGGCCCTCCTGGCTGGTGGTCAAGTCGCATATACCATCTCTCTAGATTTGACATCTCCGGGTTGGGTCTCTCTCAAGGACATCTTAGTATACTTGCTAATTAACTTGATAGATTCGATCAAGGAAGCGGCGAGCACGATTGCATACGACCTGATGAGCTATTATACGGGAAATAATACTGGAGATGTGCCGGGGTGCCTTCCAGAGCCGTATTACTGGTGGGAGGCAGGGGCTCTGTTTGGGGCCATGATTGACTATTGGCATTACACAGGAGATACAACATACAACGATGTGACATCTGAAGCTCTCCTCTTCCAAGTGGGCCCGTACCAAGATTATATGCCACCGAATCAGACAAAAACCGAAGGAAACGATGACCAAAGCTTCTGGGCGTTGGCGGTTATGTCTGCCGCCGAGACTAACTTTCAGGACCCTCCAGAGTCGCAACCACAATGGCTTGCTCTTGCACAAGCTGTTTTCAACATGCAAGCTGCCCGCTGGGACCACACCAGCTGCGGAGGGGGCCTCCGATGGCAAATATTCCCGTTCAACACTGGTTACGATTATAAGAATTCTGTTACTAATGGATGTTTCTTTAACCTCGGCGCTAGGCTTGCAAAATACACAGGCAACGATACCTACGCCCGATGGGCGGAAAGAACCTGGGACTGGATGACCGCTATCGGGCTTCTGGACCATAACTACTATGTGTATGATGGATCCAACGATGACACAAATTGTACGCAAATCAACCGTATCCCATGGACATACAACGCGGGAGCCCTCCTTCTAGGTGCTGCAAACATGTACAATTATACAAATGGTTCTGATATCTGGGGTGGACGAGTATGGGGACTCCTGAAAAGTACTGAAATATTCTTCTCAGACGGAATCATGCAAGAAGTATCATGCGAACCGAGCGACCTGTGCAACGTGGATCAACTATCATTCAAAGCATATCTCTCCCGTTGGATGGCTGCTACGATTAAAATGGCCCCCTTTACATATGAGACCGTGATGGCATATCTTAGACCCAGCGCAGCAGCGGCCGCGCAGCAATGCTCTGGGGGCAAAAACGGTAGAATGTGTGGTCTCAAGTGGACAGATGGGTCTACATGGGATGGCAGTTCTGGTGTTGGCCAGCAAATGGCAGCGTTGGAGATCATTCAGAGTAATCTAGTTGAGCGGGTTGCAGGCCCAGTCACCAACACAACAGGTGGAACGAGTGCGGGGAATGCCTCTGCAGGCACTAAACCGGACGACACGAATATTATTACACCAGCAACGACTGGAGATAAATTCGGAGCTGCGTGTGTGACGACTCTGGTAGTAGTAATGTTTGTTGGATCTTTGTACTGGATTATTGTATAGCTGATTGGGATCTCATCTAATGAGACTGTTACGTTGGGATGACAGTTATGATTTAACGGAGGCTTGGAAAGGAGAGATATCTTCGATCTAATGGACTGATATAACGATTGATAGAAATTGGAATATAACGTGTTAATTGATAGTTCTGTTTGATAGATAAAGTACGGTACTTTACAGTCTTGAGTCTTACCTTCGGTACCTCGTCGCATTCGACGATCGTGGATTACAGTATTTTGAGCGAAGAGTCGAGCCTCGGCAAGTGTCTTCTCTGTATAACAATTCCGCAAATTCCTCCATCATTCACAGAGGATACAGTGTCACACCAAAAGGTGGGATTTTGCTAGGCAATTGGATAATGTCTAGATTTTCATTTGGTCCTCCACGTCTCTGTCGAAATTTAAAGCCCGCACTCGTCCCTCCGTCCCTCCCCCGATATCGAACTGCAATTGTTCCACACAGACCTACGTCTACGTCTGCTAAGAAGCAGAATCGACTCCCGGCAGCATACTATCGGGGTGGCACATCAAGAGCCATCATCTTTCGGCAAGATGATCTGCCAGCAGACCGAAAAGAATGGGAACCAATCTTCTGCGGTGCCATAGGTTCTCCAGATCCTAATGGCAGACAGTTGGATGGATTGGGAGGGGGTATATCGAGTCTCTCAAAGATATGCGTGGTTGGGCCTTCGAAGCACCCCGAGGCCGACGTCGATTACACATTCGCAGCCATTGGGGTAAAGAATCTAGATGTCGATTATTCAAGCAATTGTGGGAATATGACGAGTGCAATTGGGCCTTTCGCAGTGGATACTGGGATGGTTAAAGGGAATGCTGATGGGGATATGACCGTCCGGATACACAACACGAATACTGGGAAGATAATCCATTCCACATTCCCTGTGGTGGAAGGCGAGGCTGTGGCAGATGGACCCTTCGCTATTGATGGCGTGGCTGGAACTGCTGCAAAGATTGAACTTGCCTTCATCAATCCAGGGTCCGTCCCTCCCCGGACCACCCTCTTCTACCAAATTTCTCTACAAGACTAACATCATGCTGCAGTGGCTCTAAGACTGGAAAACTGCTACCAACGGGGAATATCACGGACACATTAGATGGTGTTGAGGCCACTTGCATTGATGCTGGGAACCCTTGCGTATTCATTCAGGCAAAAGATGTCAATGTAGATGGTACAATTCTTCCAGATGCTATTGACGCCCATCCTACTCTCCTACCGAAGCTCGAGTCTATCCGTCGGAAAGCATCAGTGGCAATGGGTCTCAGCAAAGACGAAGCTTCTACTCCGGGTTCTATCCCCAAAATTGCCATGGTATCTCGATCCAAAGCCCATAAGCTGCTATCCGGCGAGAGTATTGACGGGAGCACAATGGACCTTGTGGTTAGAGCTCTGTCTGTGGGCCAACCTCATCGTGCTATTCCAATCACCGTAGCCATGGCGATTGCGGCTGCTGCGAACATTGAGGGCTCGACTGTACATGCCAACGTCTCAAGCAAGCGTGTTGATCCAGATGGTATTACAGTAGGCCATTCAAGTGGGAAAATTGTGGTCGGTGCAAAGTATGGCAACGATGGGTCCTTGACTCAAGCCACTGTTTTCCGCACAGCGAGAAGACTGATGGATGGTTTTGTGTACTGGAAATGATCTTGACGATCATCTTGCCTCACATGCAAGTGGATAGATTCTTATCCCAAGCTCAAGGCCGAAAGTGCTGCCATACAGTCAGATAACATGGCGAGCCAACCATTTACTACCTACCTGGTGCTGCTCGATTTCCGCAGTCTCAAAGTATGGCGTTAATCAATGGCGGCGGCTTCCTGGTCACGGCCCGCACAACAGATCAGAATGGCTTTCCGGTCGGTTTGCATACAGATGATCATTGGCCGTCATCTGAAGACGGTGCCCCATGCCCGTTGGACTCGACAGTACTTTGGGTGTGTTACGGTCCCTACTTCTACATCGGACGACCCTGATTATTACAGACTCTGGAAAGCAAGTTTGGCATGGAGAGGATCCTCGCGGCAGCTCGTAGTCGAAGCAATATGTAAGAAGTGCTACTAGGCCTAGTTCCAATGTGCATCGATCGGCACGAGAAGCAGCCTTCCATAAATAACGTTCCCATGCTGCGTGAATCGTGAGTGGTTGGTTGGCAAAGTGTCCCACGGCAAGCGATGAGTGGAGGAAAAGCGACTGCTCCCCAGAAGCCCCAATGTCTGGCTGGCACGGACCTTCAGTCCCCAACTTCGTTTTCCAATAAATCCTGCGTCTTCCTTCAGCATCAATACTCTCGACCTTTTTGTTTTCTTGCTCATCCAGTCTCTCGAGAATCGAGGACGGTGACGAAAATCTTACTGTTGCAAGTATGGCGACTGCAAAAACTATGTTAGAGGCATTGAAGTCGTCGGGAACAATGGTAGATTATGACACGATGGACGTGGAAGGTAAGAGCCATTGCCGCAATTTCTTGTTGAGCGTTGTTTTCTGTCCGCCGTGAGCCCTAAATAAACCTTGAAATCTAAGAATTTATCCTGAAAAGTTAAATCACGAGTGTTCTTCTCACGGCTGTTCTAATTGTCGACTCTACTTGAATCCAGTGATTGATTGACGGCCAGTGCCATGTCTACCGAGTAACGTCACCAGCTCTCAACATTTTAGTGACAGAAACAACTGTATCTAACAGAGCATAGTTGTGAAAAACCTTGGTCCATTTGTTGGCCCATCCGCAGACTGCACCTCTAACCAAGTATTACCAGACCCCTAACAAAGCAAAGCCTTTTGTCCTCCATCCAATTGCTGATCGGACTCTCAACTCAGGCCATTGCCTATTCAGAGCTTCAAAAGCCAGAGCATGAATCTCTTATTCAAGAGTCGATAACGGAGGCTGAGGTGCTTGCGAAACAGCTTTCAGATGTCTCAACTACAGAACTGGCCGTAGAGATCGCGGTATGATGAGAATCCGAAACACTTTTCTGAGGGTCGAAGCTCATACTTTTGTTTCCAAGATGGTCAAGCTACAAGTCCAGATCTCGCAACAAATTGCAGGATTTGTTCATGTCCAGACCAATCCGTATCATTCGTACGATACTGGAAAGATGGTCGAAGATGCAACAAGTAAGTGGATTATCTCCCAGCTATTTTTGAAGCAGGGAAATTATGAACACCTACTACCCTGGATCTAAATGTCTTGACATGCTTCATAGATTCAGAATTGTTAATTTTGTAGCTATGGCTGACAAGCTACTGTGTGAACGCAATCCGGGGGGGTATCGATGATGCTTACATAAATGGCATACTAACTTCTTCTAAAGGAATTGTGGGATTGTTTAAGAGTTATGGAGTCAAATCGAACCGACTGTGCATCAAGATACCTAGCACATGGGAAGGTCTTCAAGCTTGTCGTATACTCCAGGCCGCTGGCATAACAACGCTTGCCACCACTTTGTTCGCCATCGAGCAAGCTGCGCTGGCCGGCGAGGTTGGATGCCACTACGTTGCCCCATATGTGAATGAGCTTAAGGTACACTTCGACAAAGAGTGGGTGCTTCACATTTTGTCGGCGTTGATTTATAAGATAGCATTTCTTGAATCAATATGGGAACCGGCAGTTCAATCGGTTCCCGGACAGTCATCGATATTCTTCAATTTTTCAAGTGGAATTGAGAGAATCGGTCAACAAAAATGACGGTTGGTCTGGCTTGGATATTATTGCTTCTCTCAATCTTTGACCAGTGTTCCGAGATTGATATGTTAGAATGAAAACTACAACGGTTGAGAAGAAAGCTAATCGCCTAAAGCTTTGTGGACCAGAACAAAGCTATAGAGCTCTGCTTAGAGATCCAGCGATACTATTCAAGGCACAAGATTTCAACATTGGTGCTTCCGGCTAGCCTAACGTCCACATCTGAGATTATGGCTTTGGCAGGAGTCAACCATATTACTATTGCGCCGCTACTCCTCGAGGAAATTGCAAGGACACCGGTATCTACTGATATTTCTACCTCTATTCTCGATCAGAGGCCTGGCCCAGAGGATCAGGCACTGCCCAGTTTTAAAGATGACGAATTGGAATTCCGTCAGGCCTTCGCTGAACGGAATAATGGCGAGGGCGAGCGCAAACTAAATCAAGTAAGAAAGCATGGGGGAATACAACCCGAAAATCGCGAGATGGACTAATGAAGTACCAGGCAATTGAGATATTCTGTGAGATGCAAACGGCTCTGGAGCAGTTGATGATAGGACGCGACGAAAGAGCGGTCGCCATGAAAGAGCGCAGGTGCAGGTAAAAAGGACATTTGGATTCGTCCTTCAGATGCTCTGCCGCGAAGCCATACCGACGTGGACGGAGTTGCGTCATGCGGATGGGGGAGGAAGAATGCTTCCGTCTCCTAGCGGGCGAGGGCGGTGAAAACTGGCAGAAACCGTAACAGGATATCACTCGTTATTTCGAAGGGCGTCCGGAAACAGATCTTTCATTTGATTGCTCCTACAGTATGGAGCGGCGTCTGATTCGGCACGTATATGGCCATTTATCTGCTTTCCCCATACTGTCCTGTATATACAGCGCAGTACACATGCTTTCATCCAGTGTCCTCGTATATCCCCACATCTCATATCGCCCCCGTCGGCCTCGGAGACGGAATCCTTGAAGTCGCGAGGTCAGGTGCCGTTTGAGCCGCCCGGCCCGACCCTCTTTACTGTCGCTCTTTTTTCTGCCCTGCAGGGCTCTCTGCCTCCGGTGCGCGCGTCCCCATCGCAGATTCTTCTTAAAATGTCTGCCCAACCCGGCGGGTCTCTGGGGCAACTCCAACTCCTCCAGAGCCTCCTCCAGTCCTGCCGAGCCGCCTCCTCTATTACTATGTCCTGCGCGGGTCTTGGAGTCAAGCAAACGTCCCTGAAGCAGAACAGCCATGGCTTCCCCTTCGCCCTCGAACACCGATGTCGAGAATGTGCCGCCCTCGAAGGAAGAAATGGTCAAGGACGGCGCGGATCCATATCTGGTTCACTGGGAGGAGAATGAACAGGCCAATCCGAAGAACTGGTCGACCCTATATAAATGTTTCATAACCTTCCAGCTGGGAATGGTGGCATTGGCTGCCAGTTTGGGCTCTAGCATTATCTCGCCGGCCGAGGCTGCCATTGGGAAATATACTGGCGTTGGGAGAGAGGTTTCTGTGTTGTGTGTGTCGCTATACATGTAAGTACTGAACCCAAGATATACACCCTAGCTTCTGGGTAAATTTCAGTCTCCCCTCCGTGCAGATAGCTAACCTTCTCGTACCAGTATTGGATTTGCAGTTGGACCCCTCTGCTGGGCACCTATGTCAGAGTTATTAGGCCGCCGGATATCTATAATCCCCGCCATGGTCTGCCTGTCGCTTTTCTCAATAGGAACTGCTACCAGCAAGAACATTCAGTCTGTTCTTTTAACTCGATTTTTTGGGGGAATCTTTGGTTCGGCTCCAGTGAGTAATGTCTCAGCGGCCCTTGGTGACATCTGGGACCCCAAGGTTCGAGGAACAGCTGTCACATTTTACGCGGTGGCAGTCGTCGGCGGCCCCACTCTGGTGAGTATATTCTGCCCGTTCAAAGAATCGTTATTGATTATATACAGGGCCCACTCATTGGATCTGCCTTGCTTGTTAACCCCCATCTTGGCTGGCGCTGGACCGAATACATTGAGGCAATATGGGCTTTTACGATCACAACGCTCCTTCTTTTCTTCCTGCCTGAGACGTACGGACCGGTATTGCTGAAGAAAAAGGCGCAGCGTCTCCGAAAGGAGACCGGAGACCAGGCGTATTGGCATCCCCAGGAAAACATTGAGGTTTCCCCAAAAACGATTATTACGAAGCAGCTCTCGCGCCCAATCATAATGTTAACCACCGAGCCAATGGTTACATGTATCGCATTATACGCAAGTTTCGTCTATGGTCTTTTGTAAGATTGAGCGGCCCACCATAAATAAAGGTCGAGCTAACAAAACTAGGTATCTTACACTCGAGGTCTTTCCCATTGTCTTCGAGGAGCAGCGTGGATGGAGTCCTGTTGTCGGCTCGTTACCGTTCCTCGGCTTGTTCGTGGGTGTCTGCGCTGCTGTCTTCATCAACCTGGCAAACCAGAAACGCTATGCCAGATTGTTAGACGAGGCCCATGGCAAGCCGGTGCCCGAGGGACGGTGTCCACCCATGGCAATCGGAGGGGTTCTTTTCGCAATTGGATTATTCTGGTTCGGCTGGACAGCAAACAAACACATTCATTGTAAGTGCTCCCGATTCCGCAAGGCCAACCCCCCGGGAGACACGACATGATACTAATAACCCCCATAGGGATCTCACCCGTCCTAGCAGCCGTCTTCATCGGCGCTGGTTTCAACGTCATCTTTCAGCAATGTATAAATTTCCTCGTCGACACCTATCAGCTATACGCCGCGAGTGCCGTATCAGCAAACACCTTCCTGCGCAGCTTCTTAGCGGCTGCTTTTCCGCTCGTAGCCTCGCCCATGTTCCACAATCTGGGCGTGGGCCCCGCCATGTCTATCCTGGGTGGCATTGCGACGGCGGCGATCCCGGTCCCGTTTATCTTCATGAAATATGGGTTGGCGTTACGGAAGAAATCAAAATTCGCACCGGTGGATGATGATTGAAATAATCGATGATGATGATGATGGTTAAGATAAAAATATAGATCAATAGACGGTTTGGCGAACTGGGGGTTTTGTTAATGATATGATACCATAGAATCAAAAGTTATTTGTTGCAGATATGATATGATAGTAGTATTCAAACGTGTGAAGATAAATGCTGGCTGGGGAGGAAGGAATTTAATTAATTGACTGGTTCCAGTTCCCAGGAATAAATAAATAACAACCCCAATCCCTCCGCCTCATTCCTCATATCCCACAATGAAAAAATCACAAAAAGAAGAGAGAGACATATCAATACCAATAAACGACTTCCTTCCTTCCTTCCTCATCCCTATATTACCTCCTAACCATCTCCATAAATAAATAAGTCCCCACCATGTCTCCCTTCCTATCTATCTATCATGCAACATCCAAACATCTTATTTATATATAAACTCTGCATGCCCGACAATGCATCACATAGAAATGAATTTATGATTGGTTCATACAGATACAAAGCAGCCGAAACCATCCAGGTCAGGAAATAGGGTTTCAGACAGATATAAATGTATATATATTTGAACATAAGGTAAGGTATGTATGTAACGGTACTTAGAAGACTACCGGGCCTGGTATGTAAAGACTTAGAAAGGGGCACGGAGGAAGGGCACGGAGGTTGAAGAATGGGAGAGGTGTTGTTGGGGTATATAGAATGTTTTGTTTTCGTTTTGTTTTGTGTGTAGAGAAGAAGGTATTGGAGGTGGCTGGAGTATAGGAAGGGATATATATGGAAAGTGAGAGAGCTTCGAGTGTTTGTTGCAGCGCTGGAGAGACTGTCTCTTGCCTGCTGAGTGAGATTGGGATTCGTGGATGGTAGATATTGCTCTGTTCCCTCCTAAACACGTTGCTCTGAGTTTCTGCTGGGTAATCCATTCATCGTCTCAGTCTTCTGCGGATTATCGCGTTTTCCGTGAAAATGTATGGGAGTGCTGGATCTAGAGTCACGTAGAATAAGATGCCAACACCAACTGTTCTGTTTCTGCTATCGATCCACTATTTACACTAGTACAGAGAATATAGGAAAGGCTACAAGATGGTCGTCTATAGCAGGGAAAGGTCGCCGAATTTTTCCTGTACGGCTGTTAGACGTGTTCCCAACTGCACACGCTGGAGAGAAAACATACCTTGTAGCCTGGTACGGCCCAGCGTCCCTTGGAGACGAGTTGGGAGGTCTTCTCATCAATATCCGGACGGGCAGCAGCAACCTCATCCTGTAACGCAGGGAACAAACATTAGCCCCGGTCTTGAGTCCAGCACCCATCAGCCGCGCAATACATACCACAGTGAGGTCCTCGAAAGGTCTAGCCTCCTCGATGTTCTTCAGCGTCTTCTCCAGATCCTTCAGCTCGATATCAACACGGCCCTTGGTCTCCTCGGCGCTCTTGACAGCCTGCACCTCGAAGGCCTCAATCGCCTTGATCTGTCTGGCGAGGTCGTACGTCGCGGGCTTGAAGGCCTTGAAGTGCTTCTCGATCTCGTCGATGACGGCTTGGTTCTTCAGGATCGAGCGGTAGTGCGCGAAGTCGACGGTCGTCGGCTGCTGCGACAGCGCCTGCACCCGGCGGCGGGCATCTTCGTTGCGCTTCTTGAACGCTTGGAGGGAGGCGACGGTTTGCCCGCGGAGACCGAGCGAGCTGGTCACCTTGTTCCAGTCGAGCTTGAGGGCTGCACTACGCTACAGGAGACGTGACATGTTAGCTGTTGATCCTGAGAAAATCGAGGGAGGCTGCTTCGGAACAGCTTCGCGCAGGGCCCAACGGGGTCCCCTCCTGAGACTGCCGAAAGCAGCTCGGAGGAAGTTAACGGACGTGATTGAGCGATTGAACTTACTCCGGTTGCCGTTGCCATTGTGATGGTTATGAGACTATTAAAGAGAGGGGAGTTGATCTTGTCGAATTGGTCGTCAAAAGCTGCTGGACGGAAGAGCTCGGCAAAGGTCGACAGTCACGTGATATCCAAATGCGGTGCCTGAAAAGCCTCCGGGGCTCTGAAACGATGGATCAGGTCGATATCTGATGCATATTTAGGATAGAAGGTTCGTTGTAAAAACATTCAGCGAGTTTGTTGGTAAAGGCGTAGCTTTCCATAGCACGAGTACTTCCTAAGGGATGAGAGTCACGGTTCAATTGTGGATTGCAATGCCGCAATTCAATTTTCAGAATACAATGATTTTTGCTGTACTATGCCGACCCAGCATATACAGCTTCCATCGCTGACTAGCTTTGCCCAACTACAAAACCAGGCATAGCTAGGTAGGTAAGCAACTCCAGCATATCAAGCTACCCCTATATGCTTAGAGCCATAATAGAGTTGACTATATCATTGTCGTTCTCCTTCAGTGCCTTGATAGCCTTGTTCCGCGAGACGCTTGCTTGGGTCATGACCAACTCGATATCCTTGTCCTCCAGACCAGTAGCATCAACCTCCTCTCCCTCATCCTCGTCTTCATCCTTCTTGTCACCGGTGTCGACGGCCTTGCCCTTGCCGTGGTCGTGGGCGTGGTCGTGGCCAGCGTGGTCATGTCCAGCGTGGTCGTGGGACTCTTGGGCAGCCAGCTGCTGAGCGGCAGAGGCCTGGGCTTGGGAGTTGAGATCCTCGATCTTGGCCTCACCGAAGACGCTGTATAAAATATATTAGCGTGTTCGTCTTATAACTGGAAACAAGACTGCCTTACATGTAGGTGTTGCTGTTTGGCGACTTGTAGACTTCGGGGTTGTTGATGACGAAGAGGATCTAGGTAGAGAAGACAGATTAGCAAAATACTCGTAAATCTAATATAAAGAATCTCGTGAACAATCCTTCCGCCACCCTTTCTGCCTCTTGATGTTGAGGCTCGCAGGACACCATTGAGTCGCAAAAAGAAAACACCCAAATACTCACGTTCTTTGGTCTGCGGAGAGTGACTCTGGTAATGCCAGGAACCTTGGTCAATCCAAGCTTGGCAATTGACTTGCGGGCCTTCTTCTCGTTGCGGGAGTGGACAACGGCGCCAGCTCCAGCAGGCAGGCCTTCACCCGTCTCAACCTCAGAGTCAGAGCTGTCGGATCCCTCCTCCTCAGCGGCGACTTGCTTCGTAGGCTCCTCATCTGGGAGCTCTTCAACGCGTGGGTTCGACATGTTGGATGGTATGTAGGTCTGAAATTGAGAGGTTAGCAAACTGACGTTGTCGGTCAAAGATTTTTGAATAATTCGCGTGTGCGCCAATGCCCCGGCGAAACCCCGGGGAACTTAAACATCCGCGACGCGGATATAGCAACAACTTGTACAAAAGAATGCGAAACTGACCTGGACGTACGGGTGTTGATATCGTTGTAGAGTGTCACGGCGTGGAAGATCCAAGATGGGACGAAGCTTTTAGGGTTCGATATTCGCTAAGATCTAGATTGCCGAACTCAAGAGGTTGATAGAACAGCAGAATCCCAAGTGAGCAACTCTGGCAGGAATTAAACTGGCATTATCAGGACAACTAAATTAATGTCTTATATCATGTATGTTTCAATTTTCATGGCGTCTTGAAAGGTTTAAAGCATACGGGCTATGTATCTCACGCGGCACGTAAATTATCAGGGTGGTTATTCCTCTCACTCCCATGGAAGCAGTTTGATGTCTTTTGAAGTCCATATGCTCTTGACGCCTGTCAAAACTGACGTAGGATACAAAGCTCCCTGCGAAGCAAAGGATTCCAGCAACCCATTGCATTCATGCTCTCATGCTCACAATCCCAAATACATCTGAACCTCTACGCAGAAGCCCTGATCTTGGCCAAAGACTTCCGGACCTCAAAACGTGCCTGCTTCCTCAATCTCATAACCTTGAATCGCTCGAAATCTGTCAGGGCTCGTCTCCGCTCCTTCTGGGCGCGCTTCTTGGCCCAGGAGCTCTCCTGCCACTTCGCCTCAATGCCGGCCTTCTCCCACGCTGCCTTGACGGCGCCGGTTCGTGCGCCTCGGGGAAGCTTTGAGAGGACAAGAGGTGTGAGGACGAGTTGTGCAAGGGCGATCGCTTGACGGGGAACGGCGCTCTTGCTCTCTGTGGCTGGGCCATCAACGAGAACCTGTGTCGGAGTCAGCACTTGCTCCTTATATTCCAAATTCCCATGCTGAGAGCAGTGCTACATACGCGCTTGTGGTCGATGATCTCAACGATAGCAGCCAGCTTGCCGTCTGAGGGGCCGCCCTGGATGAGGACAACGCGGCCGACCTCCACCAGTCTCCATGTCGATGCCTTGATGTCTGCGTCACCCATTGTGATTGATTCTGAAAGACCTGAATTAGCTGATGAATTCGACTGTCGCGATGAGGTCCAGGGCACGTACTGGGCGAGTTTGTCGAGGGTGTTGTCGGATTGGTATTGAGTTGCTGTTGACTTCGAAAATCGAGATGGATTATCGTGTGTGCTTTAGCGAGAAAGGGAACCCTAAAATTTTATTGGCGCCTGAGGCATCAATGCGCTAGTCTAGCTCCAAAATATTTCCTCGAGCTCTGGGAACTACAAAAGCTCGAACTTAAACTCGAACTGAAGATTTTCACAACAGTCAACATACCACCTCATTCCACTCATCAACATATGGAACTAACTTGTAAGTCCTACAGCTCTCTCTCCCCCTCTCTTTCTTCCAATGATGAAATAATTTGCGATTGACCTCACTACGATGGCGCCCTCGCCGGGGTTAGCTATATCGTGCGAGTGGATGACATTCAATCTTACATATTCTGAGTCCCTTCAGATCAGCGAGCTTTTTTCTTTTCAGCAAAATGAAGAGACTTCTTGCTGACCTTCCGAAGAATGATCTAGCATCGACCTCAAACATATTCGGTCTTACCCGCCAGAGCACAATTCTGCTATCCGATTATCTTTCATACTTCTCATCATTGTTGCTATACAAATCCAAACACGAAAACTAAAACATTAAACCGACCATACGATCAGAGGATCGCTTCAATATTGTAAGCCACCGCTCTCTTCATCTCGCACTTCTCGCGTCGAGCTGTTTATCGACCTGTCTATGATTATAACCAATGCACTGAAAATAGTGAACTCTTCGGAGCCATGAACATTTCTACCAAGATCACTGAGCTGGACAATATCTCAATCTTCTTTATAAACCAAATCATGCCAAGTTCTCTTGCTGACTGGTACATTATAGGAACAATATCTCCCTTGAACTAACAAAACAGGTTAAGCACGAATTGGATGTTGCAATGGTTTCTTGGGGTGTTGTAAAAAGTAATATGTTATTGTTATAAAAATAACGTATTATTGTCAAATTATTAACAAAAAAAAAAGAGAAGATGACACAATTAACTAGTTTTCACATCCCAGTGTAGAATTCTATACTTATTTCGGAGACTTTGATACACGCAAAGCTAGCCTAGCAGAATACAGTGTAATAGAATTCAAGTCATGGTCCTCGATGTGAATGGTCCTCACCACGACAGTGCTCCGTATAAGTTTCTCAAATTGTGCTTCCTTGTTTTGTACACCGACGAGCCCGTAGACGGCTCGATCAAGACCGGAAACTACAGAAGCCTGTCAGATGCTGACCATGAAGCTTAAGAGCCGGGGTGCATCATGTACATCATACACCCCAGCAGCTCCTCGAGCCACTCAGTCAATCAATATGCTTTCATGATCCTCCACAATTCCGTCCGCTTCATCCAAATCCCTCTTAATCGACCCGAATAATACCTTAGCGACACAAGGTGGTACCGCATTTCCGATCTGTTTCTTGACACCACATCCCAGGAACACATGATTTGGAGGGAATCCCTGTAAGCATGCGTACTCTCTCAGCGTGAAATCTCGAGTACCAGAAGGATGGTAGTTCTGGCCTCCGCTCGTGGTCATCGTTCGTGGGAGGATCTTGTCGCCATTCCAGGGTCTCATGGAGCGGCCGTCAGCGAAGCGGAATCGTTCAGGGTCGTGGTCAGGTGCATTATGGGGAATCTTTGACAGTGTCTGGTTGACTGTGACAAAGGGCTTCAGTCCGTCTTCTTCATTATCGGAATGGGTTGGTATGGGCATCTTGGGGAGGATCTCGCCTGGACTTGGATATGTTAGTACCTTGTCCTACATGGGATGAAGGTGTTTGAGTTACCAAGCCGCAATGATTATCAGACGATATCTTCTTTGTGGTAGACCCTATAGTAAATAGGTCAGCATTAGCCTCAAAATCGCGTCACAATAGCTGATGCTTACCCATTTGGCCAAGGGCACAACAGCCCACCGCACAGAGAATTGAAGAGCTGTGAACATATGGATGAGAGAAGCAAAGTACCATCGAAATCTCGCCGCGAGTAGCCCAAAGGTCTGCTCTAGTGTGACCACCCTCGGCTTTGCTACCTTGACGACTTCAAGGACTGCGTAGAGACTGGCAGTATTCATCTCATCATCGGCACCGTTGACGGTATGAGCAGGAGAGAAATATTGACAGGGTGGTGAAAGATGCAGCACATCAACTTTTACATCAACTGACGCACAGTCCTTGGAACCGTGAGCCATACTAACAAACTTTTCAGATGCCATGTGATAGCATGCTGCATTGCGGAAGTTTGTCTTCCATGTTGTACATGCGTGCTCCCAAAAGTCAAAACCCCACTTGACTTTAAAACCCGCCATAACTGCTCCTCTAGTTGCTCCGCCAGCACCGCAGAATGCGTCACCAAAAGTGAGCATTTGACCGACAGATCTGGTTGCAGAGCCATGACTTGATCGATAATCAGGCTGGACAGCTCCAGTTGGAGGTGGAGCCGCGAGCTCTGAGGACCGGATATCTATAGCAGGGGGGATGGTTGCCGTGGATGTGGCAGATGAAGGGTTGCGAGAGAAAACGATCTCCGTGCCCACTTTAGGTAAAGGTGGGGTCGTGATGTTTGAGCTCAGTGTTACTACATCGATGGAAGATGGCTCCGATGTCAGATCTATCACAGTTGATGAAGTCCGGGAATTCACCTTATCAATCCGAAGCTCATCTATTCCTCGCCTGGTCGTCTCAACACCATCCCTATCCTCATAGCGCGCTTTCTTGAAGACCTGTCTAGCGTCGGGGGAATCCTCCAGGACTATTACCTCTGCGGACCTCCTTCGCTTTTGCCGTCTTGCGGAGGCAGGAAGTGTATTTGGGGTACCATGAGAAAGTGCCAGGTCTGGTTCGGTGGTTCCACTTCCGGTGCTGATGGTGCTCTCTGTTCGTGTGACGGATGAGAAGTTCTGCTCTGTAACAGCAGGCTGATATGATCCTCCCATAATTGTTTCTCCCCTCCATTGAAAACGTCTCAGATCATCCGAAACTCCATATCCACTAGTGGTTTCATCTTCTTTGAAGATCTCCAAGGTCCTTTCTTTCCAGCGATTGTTCCATCTATCGTCACTCGAGGAATATTTGCAGGTATATTTCCACCGTGCTGTCAAGCCACCTGCAGATGCTACCTCAGAAGGCGTTTGGAATTCATCTGAAGCAAAATTCCTACAAAGTGGAAAACTCTGGTTTGTTCGGCGGATGTTGCGTAAGGCCTTTACTTTATCGATGGAGACCTCCACAGCGCCCTGCTCAGGCGGCTTGCGTGGATCATCGAGATCAATCTCATAAAACAAACACAGCTCGTTTAGCTTCTTTTCGAGCATGGCATTCATAGAATGGCATCTCTGGTATCGAAGACCTCGCAATTTGACTTGATCGGTTTTGGAGTTGCGAATAATGTCGGTGATATGAAGAAAGTCGCCGTCAGACAGTTCCACATTTTTTCTAGGGCGTAGACATATCTGCATGTGCTGAAATTTGTCCACTTTGATGAAGGGTTCGACTATAGGTGGATTGCGTTGCGGGTATGCGATCCTGGACAACTTTCGTCCAGTTCGTGGAATCACATCTTTAGAGATATCATCCACACGAAGGATTTGTAGCTCTTCCTCATCGTCCCAAAGGAATTCCTCGTTTTCCAGCTCATCCAGATCAATCAGCACCTCATCTTCGACTGCAATCCTTCCCATTCTAGGAATCATAGTTAGCTGCTCTCTCAAACTCCCTTCTGATGATGTACCATCCCACAAGGAGCCATTAGAACTTCTGTTCAAGTCATGATGGCGTTGTGGGATTAAGGAACATGACCCGTCACTGTTGAAGTGTCCATTTTGATTATTCATTTTTGGATCTTCCCCCATATCCGATCTATCGGAATCACCATCTTCCAATTCTATAGGACGGTGGGCACTACCGACGTTCGAACCCGATATGGAGAGTCTTGGCATTGGGGAAGATGACGGTGAAGACGATCCAGGGAGTCCAAAAGCTGATGATTTTGATATCGAGCGTACTTTGCTCAACAAAGAGCCCGCAGTCGGATTGATGTTGGCAAATTCTCTGGTGGGCGTCGTTTTGGATTTCTCCCACTCTGGCGATTCAAAAGGGAAGACCGCAGTACGGCTAGGCGTCTTATCTCTCGAGTTTAGGATGCTATCCTCTAGCCTCGAGATATGGCTATGGCTGCTAGTTGTTGTAGAGGAAGAATGAAGACTTGTGTTGGCAGGGTTGACCGCTGCGCTCCTTGTGTTATCTTGTGGTGCTGTTTTTGAGTTTCTTTGGTCAGCGGCGCCTTCATCAATGTCAAGTGAACCCACCCAACAAGAACCTCTCTCCTTATGATATATTCACTATAAGAGAGTACATCACCAAGAATCTCTTCTTCATCTAAGAAGTTGCACTGAACGGCAGGCTGACAGATACATCTTGAGTAATCGGTTGGATTCCAAGGAAAAACATCAAGAACGATGGGGCGCGGAAAGAAGATCGTGGAAAATCATTGCTTACCTTCACTAAGCAGCTCCAACTCTGAGTTATTATCATCATTGGTTGTGGCCAGATCTTCGTCATCATCAATGACAATGACTGATCGTCTTTGAGAAGATGCCATTGCCATGGTCGATAGGACCTATACTAACAGCTGATTTCCTGGCACCAGTAGGTAGGTAGCTAAGCTTGATCTTTATCTTTGTTTTTGTCGATCAGACTCAAACTGCGCTCAGCAGCTTGAGAGAAAATAAGCTGAGGCAGATATGAGTTTGAGAAATCCCGTTACAGAAAGGCGAGGAAAATACCTAGATTCCCCGGACCAGAGGTAACAAAAGAGCCGGGATTTCTTTGGCCTAAGATTTGCTGGTATGGTGTTCCAGATTTGAGTTGAAAAGGCATTAGAGGGTGTCTCTGCCCCAAACGCATGGGAGCGGGCCTCCAATATAGCCTGAAGAGGCTTTGTTTGGGCCAATTCCGACGATAATTTTTGGACCAAGAACTTCGAAAGCTAACATCCTATTGCCTTCTATTCAATGCCTCCGACTGAGTCAGGCTATTCTTTGATGACAAGAGATGAAAGTGAAGGTTGTATTCCGGTGTTGAAGAACTTATCTTGTCCTCTACCAAGATTCTGGGTGTCCACAGAGGTTCTCAGCGGGGTGAAGAGAGGCCAGCTGCGACTTTGTTGGTCTACCTTTGTACTGCCCACAAAAGAAATGGTTATCAGTAGAAACCCTTCAGTGACTGCATCTTTGGCGGGACTCTTAAAGATGACCTCTTTTGGGGTTGGTAGAGATGTAGGAGAACGGATCAACGAGAATATCTGAAGATATTTTGGTGAAGGGCCACAGGTGCGGTATTCCAATAGGTTTAAAGCACAAATCATGACATATGGAGAAGATTTGTTTTCACGGCATAGCAGTGGCAGCATGAAACAAAGATGCAAACAAGCACGGAGAAGCATGGCCCAGGAAAATCCACAGCATGGACATGGCATGGTGTAGGTATGTATCTGGAATTGCACTGGCAAATGACACGCTATAGTTTATGCTCTCAATCTGGAGAGCCAGAACAATGCTTCGTGGAATTCAATAATCGACAGATAAAGCTGTTCATGAGGTTCACAGAGACATATCAAGAAGCGGTTAGCGGCTTCTGGAGAATACTTAGTCCGTCCGGCAAGATGCCTCGGTACCGTACAGTCAGCCGAGCCAGCCAATCAGCACAGTAGTGGGGGAATTATGCTGCAATCAGTTTTCCACCGTAGAGATGGACATGAACTTGTTCGGTCTGATCCAGAACAAGGACATCTGTATTTCTCCATCTCCGCGCAGAGTAAGCACAGAGAGGAGAACAGAAGTGGAGGAACGGAGTACGGGTTCCCTCCTCAACCGATAACCGCCGGTGAAGCGAGAACCGATCGCCCGGGTCAGGCGATAACGTTTTTCCAGCCCTTCCATCCAAGTCCTGCTGTGAGAAGAGTGGGAAAATTTATATCGGTAGTCTTATGTAAGGACAGTAACATAGGTATTCATTGAGCACCTGTGTATTGGATTCAACCCTCAGTAGTTTGGCTCTCTTTAAAAACAGATTCCTATAGACAAGAAAATGATAGATATCGCTTGCCTGCACTGCGCCATACATATATGCCTTATATTACATACAGGACGCCCTGGTTAAAAGCCCGGGTGGCCGTGCAGCAAAGGCGCAAGTCCGAGCTCGCCTCCATAAAATTCTAAAAAAGCGTCGAACCAAACAAACTCTTCTGAAGTGGGGAGGCCCTCTTCCTCTCTCCCTCAAAATGTCTCCAGCAACGACTTCAGCATCTGGCTGCGCTCCGTCCGCTCTGCTTCTGCGACCCAGCGTCGCATTGCATCCATCTCATCTTTCATCTGAACATTCACTCGACACTTGAGAATGCGTCCCGCCATTGCATAGCTCTACCAAGTGCCGCTTCTTCCCTCCCAATTCTCCGTCTCTTCATCCTCCCGCACCTTGCTGCGCAACCACCCCGGACGCAGAGTTCTGGGCTTTCTTGCAGACTTGAATAGGTGAGTAGCGCGTTCATCTTGTGTTTCTCTGCTTTACATCCTCCCCAATGGTTATGATGATGAAAACAATAAAAAAGATGTTAGACTTCCGAGAAAATTCTGCGGATAAAAAGTTTCACTGAACCTCATCCTCCCCAATCATCTGCTTTCTTGGCGCAAGACTCCCATTACTTTGCTAATGAAGCTACTATAGTACACGGATTAAGTTCTTTGTACGAATCCTTCAGGATGTGTGGTATTCTGGGTCTCATCCTGGGCGACCATACCTCGGACCCCTACACCACCAATGCGGCTGCAGATCTCCACGATGCCCTCTACTACCTTCAGCATCGCGGACAAGATGCATGCGGCATAGCCACTTGTGGTTCGGGTGGACGGATCTACCAATGCAAAGGCAATGGAATGGCTGCCAAAGTCTTCCAGGATGGCTCCAGAGTCCAGGATCTCCCCGGCTTCATGGGCTTGGGACACTTGAGATATCCCACCGCCGGTAGCAGTGCCAGCGCCGAAGCTCAGCCCTTCTACGTCAACAGCCCATACGGCATCACCTTTGCACACAATGGGAACTTGATCAATGCCGAAGAGCTCCGATCCTACCTCGACATTGAGGCGCACAGACACATCAACACCGATAGCGACAGTGAGCTGATGTTGAACGTCTTCGCCAGTGAGCTCAATGAGACTGGAAAGGCTCGAGTTAACGAAGAAGACCTGTTCAAGGCTTTGGAGCGGATGTATACCAAGTGTGTCGGAGGTTGGGCGTGTACAGCAATGCTCGCTGGTTTTGGAATCCTTGGCTTCCGTGATCCTAACGGTATCCGTCCCATGGTTCTTGGATCTCGGCCATCTGGAACACTTGAAGGCGCTGTAGATTACATGATTGCGTCTGAATCGGTTGCTTTGCGTCAGCTCGGGTTCAGCGATATCGTTGATATCCTTCCCGGACAGGCAGTGTTCATCCGCAAGGGATGCAAACCAACGTTCCGCCAGGTTGTACCACAAGCGTCCTACTCTCCTGATATCTTTGAGTACGTTTATTTTGCTCGCCCAGACACTATTATCGATGGTATTAGTGTCCACCGGAGTCGACAGAACATGGGTTACAAGCTTGCCGATACTATCGTCAAGACCTTGGGCGAGGAAGCTGTCAAAGAAATCGACGTCGTTATCCCAATCCCCGAGACCTCCAACACATCGGCAGCCAGTGTCTCCGAGCGTCTCAAGATTCCCTACTGTCAAGGCTTTGTCAAGAATCGCTATGTATTCCGAACATTCATCATGCCCGGTCAGGGTGCTCGCCAAAAGTCTGTCCGCAGAAAGCTCAGCGCTATACCATCAGAATTTGCAGGTCGAACAGTCCTACTTGTCGATGACAGTATAGTGCGTGGTACCACGAGTCGGGAGATTGTTAGCATGGCTCGAGAAGCTGGTGCGAAGAAAGTCATCTTTGCCTCCTCTTCTCCGCCCATCACGCACGCACACATCTATGGTATCGACCTTGCCTCACCTCTAGAGCTGGTAGCGCATAACCGAGACCGAGCCGAAATCGCAAAGCACATTGGCGCCGAGGAAGTCATCTACCAATCCCTCAGCGACCTCAAAGCCGCCTGCGCGGAGCTCTCCCCGCGAGACCCCAAGACCCAAGAATTCGAGGTCGGCGTCTTCTGCGGGAAATACGTGACGCCCGTCTCTCCCGGCTACTTCGAGCATCTGGAGCGGGTCCGCGGCGAGAGCAAGAAGATGAAGGTCCTGGAGAGTGCCAAGGAGGCCGTCCTGCACGGCGTTGCTGGAGAGAAGGAGTTGGATCTGATCATCGGCGGCGCCGTCGTCAACGCCAATGGCCAAATCGTTCCGCATCATGGCGTCAATAGCGACGTGAACGGACACGCTCGGCGCAAGAGAGAAAGAGAGGAGTCCGGTACACCACCAGTCCGGGACCGTCAAGATATCAGGTACGCACCACATCCCTCCCCTTTTTATCTCTAAACACCCCCCTCTCTAACATAAATGGAACCATAGTCTGCATAATTTCGCGAACGAGCCGCCGAACGGCTATTAATAGGGAAACGTCATGTTCAAGGTTACTTTTCTCGGAAGGTGAATGAATGGGTAAAACTTCTGCATAAGGCTGGCTGGCTGTATCATGATCTGCATTTTTGTTCTTTTTCTCAAATGACAAGAACGTTAAAGACGAAACCTTGCATTTTCCCACCTTGTGATAAATTTGCCCCTCCAAACCCAACCCACCCCCCCCCCCCCCTTTTTTTCCAGTCTCTTCTTTTTTTACTGCCCTGCATCCCAACGTAAACCCAGAGCTCTTAATAGCCCAGAACTCGTTCCGTGATTGAGAGCTGGTTGGAAATTAAGGTGTAGCTACTTTCGTACTCTTGCTGGGTATGATTGATTAATCACATAGTAAGATCCGTGTGCACTGATCTCATCTACCTTATCTACCTCCTGCGAATAACCATCAAATTAAAGAACAATCATCCCATCAAACCGAAGCCCCTGCCTCCTATAATCCTCAACCTCACCATCCATAAATGACCCCCCCCCCACCCCCCCTTAAAGTTCCCAAGCAGCCACTCACTCAACCACTCTACAACTTCGCTCTTCCCCGCGTCAGATCCTCCCAGTGCCGCTCCAGGAACTCTGAATATGTGTCCCCCTTTCCATGCTCGATCCAGAGCAACTTATCCTCGGGCTTGACTTTCGCGGGATCGACGCCTTCTGCGCGGAGAGGCACCTTGTTCTGCTTGTTGTTATGGATCGGTGTCATTTCCTGCACGATGCGTAGGAAGATGGGGACGGCGTAGCGGGGGAGGTGGGTACGTGCGTGCCTGTCGTCGTCTTCTTAGTTTTTGGAAGAGAAAGGAGAAGGGGGGAAAAGGGGGGATAAGAAAATACGTACTTCAAGAGGCCGGCGTAATCGAAGTCCCTTCTAAAATTAGGATCGATATAAACGGCTGCGCAGCCCGCACGGCCATCGTGTGCGGGCAGCTCAACCCCATACACATTGGCTTCCACAACGCCGGGGAATCTGCCCAGGACTTCGGCCACCTCGGCGGTGCTGACGTTCTCGCCCTTCCAGCGGAAGGTATCACCTAAGCGGTCCAGGAAGAACCAGCGGCCGTCGTCAGTCCTGCGCAAGGCGTCACCGGATCGATACCACAGATCGCCCTTCTGGAAGACGTCTCTCTCAAACTTCTTCATCGTCGCTTCCGGGTTCTTGTAGTAGCCGGCGAACACGCTGACGTCCGGGACAGCGACGATGATCTCGCCGCCCCTTTCGTATGGCTGGCGGAGTGCAAATCCCGTCTTGGGATCTCGCACAATGGCACCGGTGGCCTGGTCAACGAGCACAGGAACCATGGTATTCCTGTTTAGGAATCTACTGATGGCCCCATGATGGCCCACACATCCCGCGAGGTAATCGCCATTGCAGTAATTGATAAGGCCGAAGACGCCCTCCGAGGAGTTAAAGAACTCCCCAACCTCGGGGACTCCAAAGCGCTCGCGGAATCTGATCCATACGTCTGGACGGAGACCATTTCCGTACATGCCTCGGACGTGGTGGTCCTTATCGAGCGGCGACGGCGGCGCTGCGAGCAGGTATCGGGCAGTTTCTCCAACGTACGTTATCCATGTAGCGCGGGAGTCGTGCACCTCACCCCAAAATTTCGAGGTGCTGAACCGCTTTCCGAGGCAGAGGGTTGTTCCATTCATCATCAGGGAGGCCGCCAAAGCGCCTCCAGTGCCGTGATACATGGGCATGCAGTTATACCATCGGTCATCGTCTCGAAGTCGACTTCCGCCTGCTGCTCTCTGAGAAAGATATCAGTTGGTGCTGGTGGAAAGGTGGAAGTCGGGGCTCAAGGAGAACATACTGTAACACCTACTTGATATCCTCTGTCGACATTGAAGGGAACACCCTTCGCCATGCCCGTCGTGCCACTACTCTCATTAGCACCCAGACGTAACGGAATGTGAAGTCACCTACCTTGTATAGAATATGCACATAGGCCAATTCCCCTTTACCCCATCTCTGTAGGAATCATCCGGCCTCTCTGCCTTCATCGCACGAATCCCCTCCTTGAACTCCCGATCCAAAACAAAAATCTTCATCGTCAACCCCCTCTCAATCTCCCCCCTCGCATCCTCAACCCTATTCACCAGCTCCTCTTCCCCATCCACCAACAGAATCTGCGACCCCGCCACCCCCAGAGAATGGAGCAGCGCCTTCCCTGCAAGGTTATAGTTGATCATTGCGGGCGCGGCGCCAATCGCCCAGAGTCCCATCCAGGCGAAGATAAAATCTGGCGAGTTCATCAGGTAGAAGCTGATGATGTCACCTGGCTTTACGCCTTGAGAGAGGTACCATTGCGCCCATTGATTGGCGCGCTCGTAGGTCTGCGCCCAGGTGTAGCAGCCTTCCCGAGACCATAGACACTCGTCGTTGAGTCGTCTCTTTACGGACTCTTCGAAGAGGTAATATAGCGCTTGGCGGTTGCTTTCAACTGGTTCGAAAGCTGTTAGAAGAGACCGTTTCTGGGTTGGGAGAGAGGGGAGAATTGCTTACTGGCTCCGGCGTACATTTTCATGGCCCTCTGCTGGCTTCGTAGTTCGGTGAGGTCTTTCCGTATAGCGTGCTTTGCATCAAGATACATGGCTGTAGCAGCTGTGGCCGCCACGGTGGCAGCGGTGACTGTTCAAGATCAACATATTAACCATTGAATGGCAATTGATTGATTTAAGGAAGGGAGATCAAGCTCCAAAACTCTAAGGTAGAACATCTTCACGTAGCAATCTGGAGATGATGTTGTCATCCAAAGTTAGGAAATGAGGGGTAGCTTGTTTCCCACGTACCCAGTGCCATCTTCTCTCTCTTCTTTTCTATGTCAAACGAAAGCTGTGCTGGACCGCAAGGAATCAGATAAAAAGAATGTACGAGTTGTCCAGTAGAATTGCATAAAATGAGTGGGAAAGAAAGAGAGATCAAGGAGGACTAAATATCTGGGGAAGTGATGATTAACAATTCTACAGATCGCCGAGGCTGTTCTGCTACACCCGAGCTCCTACCCCACAACCCCGCATTCTATGATACCTAAGGATACTCGGATACTGGTACATCATGATACTGATACTGATACTGATACTGATACTGATACTTACATAGTAGACACTACTTACCCCTTACTGGCCCTTTTCGCGAGATCGGGGCAATTACCAACGAGGTCATCCGGTGTACAATCTCGACCGGCTTCCCCAATTCCAAATAGAATAAACTCCAGGAATAGGAGCTCCTCATCGGCAGTCTGTTCAAGTTGCCTCGATTAAGGCTGTGAAGAGAGCTCGAATTCAAAGATCCCATCTATTGCATGCAATTTTCAACTGGATGATAAAAGTGACATCGATTTGGGAAATTTTATTTAAGTCGAAAGATCAGTGATTGAAATTTCAAGCATCACCATTATCCTGGTTGATTCAAATTTCCGCTTTTGGCACAGATCTCTCGAAATGTGAACAGCTCCTATCACTGTCCTCGGTCCTTCGAGACTCACTCGAATACGGCGCGGCCTCAATAAGACCAACGCTAAAGGTCATGTCCTCATTGACCCTAAGGTCGTCATTATTGCCTTGGTCTCATAGACTGACCTGAAGTAGGTGTTGAAACAAGAGAATCACAGAATCACCAGATCTTAGATGAAGCGTTGAGGCCCTTTGAAAAGAGGGTTCTCCTTTTCAATGAATGGAAGAGATAGGTGACGCTCGGGTGGTTTGGAAGTATCGTAAATCTCACAGTCGCGGCATTCCTCATCTAAATATCAACCAAATCAATGGATGGGCATCCTCCTTTTGTCGGGTTACATGTGACTAGGCTTAACTTTGGCCTTTTGCGGTATCAGGCCTTGGTTAGATGTATGGTATTCAGACAATTTCGTATCACCCGCAGTGTCATGCATCGAGGAGATTCAGCTCTCGTGATTCAGATGAGGAAATAGAGAAATTCAACCAGCACCACTTGGGCTGGATGGCATCAATTTGCAACGCTGAAAACGTCAGTTCTTTTGCTTCGCTTGCCGGCGTTGCAGGTAGAAGTCGTGGCTTGCAGCGATTTGTATACCCCCAAGGAGTATATTTATGGTATGTGTAGGGGGCCTACTTGTACTGAGGTAATAATTTCAGCATTTATTCTCGACATGCAGCTTACAAGAGTGGTATCTTTTTGAGGAAATAGGACAAGAGTGCAGGTGCACAGCATTCCACGATATTGTAAAAGTGTCGTTTCATACGGTCTCGATATATCTTCGGACCTCCCTATGATCGGTCAGTAATGTATCCAGGTCAGAAAGGAAGAAGACAAACCAATCTGTGACCGCTTCATCCCACAGTCGGATTTCATGTTCTCTCGTCCCACCATAATGATCCACAAACTCATCCCCGAAGACCTCCCTCGCCACACTTTCGGGTCTCATAAACCGCTCAGTGGCTTCCCTGAGACTCTTTGCCAATCTGACGCCCGGGTCGGCCTTTCCGCCAACATCTTGCCCCTTGCCAAGAGGCGGTTGCTTGATTTCAAGCTTTTTCTCAATGCCCCTCCAGCCCAAGGCTAGTATGGCAGCCAAAACGTAGAATGGGTTTGCGTCTGCACCTGGCACACGAACTTCAAATCTCGTAGCTCCCGGTTTTGATGTAGGCGGCGCAATTAATCGAATTGATGCAGCACGATGTTCAAGGCCCCAGGATACTGTTACCGGCGCCCAGAAATTCTCCACCAGGCGCTTGTATGAATTGACATTGGGTGCGACGAGCGGCATTATGTCTGGAAGTCCTTCCAGTAGCCCAGCCAGGAAATGTCGTCCCATATCTGACAGATTGGCAAGATCCTCATATTCTGCCTCTGTATCCTTCTCCTCGCGGAAGAAGAGGTTCTTTCCATTCTTATCAACTATCGAAACATGCATGTGCCCACTATTCCCCGGGAGGCCTTGTCGTGGTTTAGCCATGAAGGAAGGAGTTATTCCATATTTTGATGCGACCGATTTCACAACGTATCTGCAAACATGTTAGACAGGCACCGATACTCTTCCAGAATGTAAACTGACTTGAACAAACCGGCCTTATCTGCCATTTCCTGGATTTCTCCAAAAGACAATGCAGCCTCATAAACTCCGGGCCCGCTCTCAGTATGCCATCCCTCTATTCCACAGTTGAATTTCTCGCATGCATCAAAGATCCCATAATAGTAATCTTGATTATGCACAGGTCGTGTTAAGCTGTATCCGAACATGCCTTCGGTCAGGGGCGGGAGGGAGTTGACAGGATTATCTCGGAGGAAGGTGGCAACGGGGGTGCCATTTCGTTGGTCTGCGGGAGCATTTGGGTTGCTCGCAGGTGTCTTGAATTGGAAGAATTCGTATTCAGCTAAGAGGATTTCAATATCAGCATACTTAAATATGTCCTCGAGAGCTAACCTCCAGCCATAGCACCAAGCCCTTTAGCCTTCAACTTCTCCACAGCAGTCTTCAAGAGACCCCTGGGACATGCGCTGACAGGCTTTCCGGAATCGGGGTCAAAGAAGCTGACCAAGAAGAAAGGGACGTTATCCTCCCAAGGTATCCGTCGATAGCTGCTGAGATCCGGGATGGCAATAATATCATGGTAACCATTTTCGGCATTGCTGACTTTCAACTCTTTAAAGTATGTCTGGTCATGCATATCCCAGCCAAATATGACGGAGCAGAAACCAAAGCCTTCCTTGGCGATGCCTAGGAACTTTTTCTTGGAGACCAACTTGCCGCGCAAGATTCCATCGACATCGACACCTGCAAGCTTGACTTTGGTATCATCTGCGAGAAGGTTGGGTAAGGACTCGAGGGTCACTTTGGGTCGTTCGCTGCTCGCCATTCTGTTGTTCTGCGGTGCGATAACGAATTCGCGGGCGGGGTGGCTACTTGGATGTTGAAGCTCCAATTGACGTCGTCGAAGGAGGGGATTCTGCAGTGCCTCTCAGAGAATTGATCTGTTGAACATCCACTCTCGAGAATACTTTCCCGTGGCAGTAGCAGAGGCTTTGTGAAGAGGGGAGGGGAGAGGAGGGGAGGAGAGATGGTATTGTACTCAAGCTCCCCTGTCTGCGCAGTACCTACCTCCGTACGTATCAGACTATCAGACACCGTTCGACCCAATCAACGTCCTTAATTTGGACCCGAATGGGGAATCTGGGAATTGGGAAGCTCTGGTCGGGCTGACCGTCACAGTTCAGCTTGAGGGAACAAAAAGAGCGAAAGCCTTCAAACTTGTCTGCGCTTTTGTCGGGGCGCATTGGTTGTTGGGTTTGGAAGTATCTTTTCTGCTTTGTTAGTTCGACATCCAAAGTATCATGTTTGATCTGCGTTGATCCCCCCTCTCAGTCTAGACTCTAGTGATGGACGAGGATGAGCGGTCAGGCCCTAGTTCCAAAGCTTCGATAAGAACACAGGAACACCAGGAACAGAACAGGCCACATCCACAACAAACTGCTGAGCAACGCATAGCAAGTCAAGAATACTTGATACTACTTCGTACCTACAGCACTTCCTTTCCCTTTCCACGTTGCTGTCATCACCTGAGTCTTCCTGTTTTCATTGTCCCAAGACCCCACCATCAAGTACCCATCGGATCGTGTTCCCGCATCATTGAACATTCAACATGTCGGCCCCCACCATCAATAGCATCCAGATAGGAAGACTTCACAACAAGAATGCGATCGTCACCGGAGCAGCTGGGTAAGTGTCGACCATCCAGCTCTAAGCTTGCGGCTTTTCTCTCTGCCCCTCTGTCCCTCGTTCAACGCCCCAGCAGGAGATCTCCACGGTTTCCATTTGCTAGTGCCTTCACATGACTTGTGGCTTTCAGGGGCCGTATCTGCTTCCTGTTGGGACTTTGTACATTCTACCAGATGATCAAGTGTCACAAATTATTGCTTTTGAATATGCGTGGAGAGTCTCTCCTCTCGCCTTCCCTTCATGCATCTTTCTTAGGTACATATATTCCCAACTTCTTGCTCACAACCTTACCAGAGGCATCGGTCTTGAAACATCTATCCTCTTCGCCAAAGAAGGTGCCAATGTCCTCATGGCCGACATATCAGGTCCCGCTCTTGAGAAAGCGTTGGCCAAGCTCAAGCAAGTCGTTCCCTCGCATCACAAAGTTGAGACTCAGGCACGTATCCTCTGTCCCTTGTCTATATGTAAGACTAACCAATAAATAACAGGTCAGCGACGTGTCTAAAGAGGCCGATGTAAAGGCTCTTGTCGACCACCTCGACGCCTGGGGCGGTGTAGACATTATGTTCAACAATGCAGGCATAATGCACGCTGATGATGCTGACGCAGTCGACACCCCCGAGAAGATCTGGGATCTAACCCAAGCCATCAACGTCAAGGGCGTCTGGTTCGGTTCCAAACACGCCGTCCTGTCTCTGCGCAAGCACAAGAAGACCAAAGGTTCCATCATCAACACTGCGTCCGTTGTTGCCCTCGTCGGCTCCGCTACCCCTCAACTGGCATACACGGCCAGCAAGGGTGCGGTGTTGGCTATGACCAGAGAATTGGCAATTGTGCATGCCCGAGAGGGATTCCGCTTCAATGCTCTATGCCCTGCTCCGCTCAACACTCCACTGTTGCAAGATTGGCTAGGTGACGACCAGCCCAAGAGGCACAGACGTGAGGTTCACTTCCCGAGTGGTAGATTCGGCGAGGCTATTGAGCAGGCACGCGCCGTGTTGTTCTTGGCTAGCGACGATGCTAGCTACATCAACGGACAGGTATACCATCTCCCAAATCAGAGATCTTTGGTAAAGAAGAGGTGCTAATTAGGAGACAGGACTTCGTCGTCGATGGCGGAATGACAAAAGCCTATGTTACCCCTGAAGGCCCACCTCTTGCGGCCCCAACGAACAACGCTCTTTTATCCGAGCGGATTGATACCATTCCTAGCACTGGTCACTAAGCTCTGCGCTCAACGGGCAAGGCCCCAAACGCTTCTAGAGTGATTGATCAATCCATAGGAAGTTTGTCTTAGCTAGACAGGTAGGCGTGCTCGCTTGCTTGCTTGCATTTCAATCTTGCCATCCACAATGTCTCTTCTATAGGTATCCTGGAAGCATCGTAGATAGTGTAGATAGATTTGCTGAGGAGATAATGGACAACATTCCTAGAATCCGAGTTTCCATATATCATGCATGTTCTTTGGATAGGGAACTTATCTGCTTGTGAAGAACAAGTCTCACCTCGTCTTTTTGAATCCGACATAACCGTGAATGTTGACGACTCACCGATGAGTATGCTCATATGGGCACAATATATGAGATTGATGTCCAAAGTACCACTCCCGGGGAACTACTCTCCGGTTGTGCAAAGCTGGGTGAAGAGTATTCAGAGTCGAGTTATGCATTTGCGTCAAGGCACCTAAAAGTCACATGAAAAGAACGAAAGAATTTGGAAATGGATCAAAACTCAAAATTCTATTCCCTGAAATGACACGAAATCGTTTCAAATGCCCCTAAAAAAAGATGAGAGACAACGCAGTATGCCACGTACCCAAGTGTTGTACAACAAGGAAGAAAGAACTTTTTTCTAGGCTGCCAATTGCAAGCCCACCCACCGAAGTGGTACCCAAGAACGCCCAAAAGATGAACAATGCAAACCTCCAAACGCTAAGATGACCCTCCTAGACCATAGACTGTACAGAAAAATGAAAACAGGACTTTTCACACAATGATGCCCGCAAAGTCGAGGGCGTCTAGTTCCCGTTTCCGGCTGGGGCAGCTGGGGCAGCATTTGGCTTGCCCAAGACGCCCTCCAGCATCTGGTGCAGCTCGCTTGGTAGCTTGTCCAGGTGGATGGCCGTGCTGTTGATGACGGTAGTGACTCCCTCCATGGCCTCCATCTGGGCGATGTTGGATTGGTTGTTCCAGGCGTAGACCTCGTTGATACAGACGGGGGGAAGGTTGCCCATAACGACCGACTGGTCGGGGTTGTAGACCATAGTAGGTGGGACCTGGTGGAGTTGGTTGACGCAGTCCGAAAAGCCGGATTGAATCTGCTGGTTGGGGATCTGGTCTCGGGCTTTATGGTTGCCGCTTGAAGCAACTGCACTGCCGACGAGTGAAGCTCCTGCTCTGGCAGCGACGGCGGCACCGAAGGTGGGTTCGATCAGGGCCACGAAGGCGGCGACGGTGACTGCGGAGACGGTAGTGAAGGAAACCATTTTTGCTGATTTGAGTGTTGGGATTGAGCTGAAGAAAGCTGGAAATTGCTGGAGTGGTGGTAGAAAGAAGTATTGGAAGATTGCTGTTGCTGTTGTGATGATGATGCTGATGTTGATGCTGATGATGGAGAGGTTTGATGGGACACTCGCCCCTTCTTATATACCTCATTTCATGTCTCTTGTCTCGAGATCTGACAACTGAACACATGAAAACGCACGCGGCTTCCTGAAGGACAACTCGAGGCTGAGTCGATAGGCTTAGAGACGAGAAAGCCCTCTCCAGATCCTCTGTAAGATACCTACCGTGAACCTCAAACGGCGATGGGGGCCGGGCAAGGAACAAAGGAATGGAGTAGACTGCGAATAAACCGTCTCTCCGCGATAACATAAAGTTAAACTCTGAAACGATGCTCGTATCGCCGCTGTGCAAAAGGAATGGTTAAGACAGAGGGCATTCCGACCCCATGCTTATCGTAAGCGAAGAGGCTGAGCGCAGGTACAGCCGCACCCGCACTGCGAATTCCTCCGCACTCCATCTCACTGCTGATTTGACTATCAGGCTGAAAGGAACAGAAGAGTTAGAATTCAGGATCAGGATCAGGATTGGGGGAGTTTTAATTGATGGCTGTTACAAGCCAGCCTCAGCTAACCAACAGCCCCCCTGCTTGGAGCGGATGGGAGCACGCGACAGCATTGCTCTAATGACAGTCAAATCAAACTCCAGAGACGTAATCTATTTCACAGCTGTAGCACGAAAGGATCATCAGCAAGTTCCTTTGCATCCACGACAAGGCGCATCATATGATAAGCCATCCGAGTCGAGACGCCTGATCCTCATCGCAATTCCGGTTCAGAATTTGAAGCAGACTATCAATAGCAATCACATCTCCACCTACCTTTGAGAGGCACATGGATAAACATAAATTCAATATTGGTCCACTATTTTCACTTTGTAGCGCCCCTGGTAACCCTATATACAAGACCATATTCGCGGCTCTGGTTGCTCTCGTCGCTTGACCGAAAACTGAACGACTTTTCAAACTCCCGCAATCGTCATCCATCTAATCGAGAGGAATACCTTCATATTCTGCAAATCCTAGAGCGAGATTCATGTTTTCTAGAACCAAGATATTAGTCAAAGTCCAACTCAAGGTCTGGGAGAGGGAGATATTTGGAACTTACGTAAACATTGTGTAGCAGCCCCCTTCAATAAATTATCAATTGTAGCACAAACCACTACCCTCTTTCCTGAGCTGTGAACTCCAAACCCACCGATCTGGACTCCGTGCTTGCCACTAATAGCCTTCACGCTTGGTGGCTCCCCGATAACCTTCACCAACCGCTCACCTGCATATCGCTCCTGGTATAGCTGTCTAATGTCCCTGCTTGTCATTTTTTCCTTCAATGGGATATTGATAGTGTGGTGAATGCCTTGGAACCAGACCGCGACGTGGGGAATGAAAGCTACCTCTACACCAAGCTGCGAACTGATTTCTCGCTCGTGGATGTGGTCAGTGAGACTGTAGGGGATAATGTTGTCTGTCAGGTTTTTGACGTCGTTCTTTGGGCTGGGCTTTGTTCCAGCGCCGGAGTAACCTGAAACACCGAAGATGGTAGGAGATCCAGAGAGGAAAGGCACCAAGGGTGATATGCCGAGCTGTGCAGCGGTAGCATAACAGCCCGGGTTGGAAATCCGAGTCGCTTTCGCGATATCAGATCGGTTCACAAGCTCGGGAAGACCGTAGGTCCACTTGCTGTCAAATCGGTAATCGGCAGAGAGATCAACGATAACGCTGTTTTGAGGCCCCTTGCCTTCTTCAACTGCATCCACAAAAGGTTTGCAGACACCGTTTGGAAGAGCCATAACCCAACAATCAATTTCGCCATTTGCTTCCATACGGCGGACATCCTCAGGGCTCAAGTTCTCATAGGTAATCTCGCGCTTATCGTATCCCTTCAACTTCTGGCCAGCAAGTTCACGTGATGAAACATGACGGAGATCCATGTTCGGGTGTGCGTTGAGAAGGTTAATGAGTGCTTGCCCGGTGTATCCTCGGGCACCAATCAGCGCAACCTTAGCTGGCTGGTTGTTTGAAGAGTTCTTGGTGCCAAAGGGAGGGTTGGGGTTGGTGGTGGTAGCATAGCCACGCGATGAAGCAGCGAAGGCGCGGGATGTCTTCGACACAGGCCTACGTGCACTGGTCGAGAAGGCACGCGCTTGCGAACTGTTCTTGATCGAAGCACTCATTCCGGATGCTGCCTTGGCTGCGCGTTGGAGTCGGGCTTCCAGGTTGGCATCACCCAGCATAGAGCGACCGTATTTGGTGAACTCAGTCATGAGCTCCTTAACCTCATCGCTGTTGTCGATTCCATACCAGAACATAACCTCTCCATCCTTGGACAGACTTCCTTCAGCCTTGTCGAAAAACCAGGTTAGATTCTCATCATCTCCCTTCACAGTCCACACTAGCTTTGGGTGATCCTTCTTAATGGCCGCAAAAACGTTATCCGCAACGTTAGTCAGCCATCCAGCTTTGGTGATTGTGAAAGTAGCAAGATTGGCAAGGGAGCTCGAGGAGTTCGGTGGTAGGACGACCGCCAGGGCGTCCATTGGGTCGTCGAAGTAAGCCTTGAAAGGTCGGTTTTCGAGACCCTCAACATATCGGTCAACCGTAGCTCTGGCGTCAAGGCCTTCGCGATCTCTAACAAGGACTTCCTTGAGCTTATCCAAATTTTCGAAATCAGAGAGCTTCGTAGCAGTCGCCAACTTGTTTCCTCGTCGAATCAGTGTCCCGGCTCCGGTATCGGTGAACAATTCCTTCTGCAGATCTGCTGGATGGATAATTGCGACGCTGGAGGTTCTTGGCAGCGCATCAAGCAGTTCCTTGATCTCCTTGATCTTTAACCTCGTGCCATATCGACACCACCACTGTGACATCAAGTAATCGTATTCCTCATCCAGGTTGATAGCAGAGATCTTTTCGTTCGTGTCGGCATTGAAAAGCCCGCCCTTTTCAGAAAGATAGACAATCTTCAACGGTTCGAGTGCTCGGGCAAGCTCTCCAGCGGCAACATCGGCATTGACGTTGAGCACTTGACCCTCTGGCGTCTCTGCCATTGAAGTCAAGATTGGCAGACATCCGGCATTAATCGAGGCTTCAATGGGACCCTTGTTGACCTTGTTTATCCTGCCCACCAGATCGTATTTCTCCTTGTCTAGGTAATCGGCACCGAATACACCTGATGTAATCGGCCGCGCACGAACACCCATCTCTTCCAGCTTCTCCACCAGTTTCAAGTTCTCCTCCAAAAAGAGCTTTCGGGCTACTGCCAGTGTCTTGCCATCTGTGACCCGAATTCCCTCCTCGAAATGAGGCTCAACGCCGGCATCCTCTAGCAGCTTGTTCAGTTGCGGCCCGGCTCCGTGTACAACGACAGGGTAAAGCCCGACATGGTTGAGGAATGCGAGGGCAGATGTTAGAGATTCGAGGTGTTCGGTGATAATTGCGCCTCCGACCTTAATAACGGCGAACTGCTGAGAAGAAACAGAGCTGAAATGAGATAGGTATTGCTGGACCTCTCTCTTTGAACCAATGTTGCTAAGCAATTGCACGACAGTCGATCGAGTGGAAAAGCTGTCGGAAGAGGAAGATGCGTAGTCCCTTCGAGATGAGAGAGTTACAGCTGTGGTGACCTTTGGCAGAGTGCAGGCACAGGTCGCAGGAAGTCGTCGGGCAGCTGTTCGCGCCCTTCTGGCCACAGCTCCGGCTGTGGAGCGTAGAGCCAGCATCTCGTGGCCGGCGTATGAGCGGAATAGGAATATATGGGACAGGAAAGCTCTTCGTCCAGCTCCTGAGAACGACTAGGTGCGAGTCGAGTTCCCAGGCAGGAATCTCTCTGTATTTATCTCATCAAAGGCGGGGATAAAAAGAGTAGAAAATGACGCAGACTAGACTCTGAGCGCGATTAGTGACTGGCAGTATCAGGATCTGCGAACTGATGGGCTGTAAAAGGAGGCGCACAGGAGGGGGCGTATCGTACTGTAATTCAGAAATCACTGGAACGTGGTGAGGAATTGTTCAAGACATCTTTTTTCGACAGTTCTTGGAGGAGCGGTCCGATGTTCGCTTCGATTGGCGGCAGGATGTTGAGCGATCCCTGCAAGGAAAGGAAGAGCTTCTTGGACCGCCTCTTACAAAGTTTGCGCTGCACATGACAAAAATTTCTATCATCCTCTTTGAGTCAACCATTAATGTAGAAAACCATTAATGTAGAGAGAGCCCTATTGGTTATACAGCCAAGGTACTTTAGCTAGCAAGGCACAATCACGTTGGGAAAAAGCCTTTCAGAGATTTCATCTGGGCTCGTGGTCCTGTAAACCTGCTCACCTTAGGTAGGCCTCGATTGCCAAGCCCGCACGCAACTTGGCTCCTAGTTCTGTAACTCTCGGTCGCCCTGGGCTTCTGCTTGCTGGCTAGCAATAATCTATCCTGGATATGAGTTGTAGTACATGCAATTGAGTTGTAGTATATACAATTGTGTATGTGTATGTGTGTTTACTTCAACCGAATCGGGATATACGAAATCGATCCGGGAACCCTTTCAAGAAATCAAGACAGTGTAATAAGAGCTACAGGAAATCCGTAGTTGAGCTAAGATCTTGGTCAAGTGGTCCTTCAGGTGGAGCGAAACAGTTTCAGTAATTGCCAGTTTATCGTATATTTCAAGGTTCACAGTATGTTGCTCAGTATTTGCCTTTCGTAGAAGAGAACACCAGATTCTTCGTCAGTTATAACCAAAACACAAAGTCGTCATCGTAGCTTAATTATCTCCTCCAATTCTTACATGATACAGATCCGTTGATTTGAGTGCAATGACCCTGGCCGTCCGCTGAAATGTCACTCGAGACAGACCAAAACCTTCCTCAATAACGGTATGCAACGCCCTTCGTGAAAAAAAAGAACCAACGTGAAATTCAAATTGACAACTCCTGATCATTAAACCCTCAATGATCCAGCTTGCTTATACCCGACGAGTGTCCCATGCAAATTGGATTGGAGTTTGCAGTGCTTCTGCAACACGTATTGACGTGCCGACATGCACATTGCCCTTCTCCCTATGCCCAGCACATCATTTCCCTAGTGATGGGTTGCCACAACTACAAGAGTATTAGCCAAGTTTATACGCCCGGTCTAGGATACATACCAGACGGAACGATAATGACAATCAGGAGTATGATTATACCGCCGATCAGACATATTCTCATCCTAGAGATGGTCAGTGAAGCCCAGAGTCTTGACAAGAATGGTGGTGGCTTACTTGAGGTCTTTGTAAAACATGGCCTTTCTGACTCTGTTGGCTCCACGGCGGAAACCTTGAGCTGATACGGCCAGGTTGTCTGTCTTATCTTGCAGGGAGTCGAGACGTTCACCACGCTGGGAGACCTTATTAATGTTCTCGCGCATCACACCAACAGTGTCATCGATTTGCTAAAATGAGCGTATGTTAGCAAACCCTCTAATGTGCACTGAACTGAATGATGATGCGAGAAATCCCCCAAGCCGGACACTTGATGCCATCAGGTGCGCTCGAGCGCCTCCCACAGCGGATTCGGGTCGCCAGTTGCACCACTATTCCATTTCGATAGCAATCTCGTTCTTCGTAGCCATCTCTAGACATCAGAGTAGAGGGATAGGTTGTCTGGTTTCGAATTTCGCTCGTCGGGAAAGGGAGGCTGAAACAAATGCGCGGCATCCGCAGGAGCTGAGAATCATCGACGCTGCCTCCCAAATACCATCATGCCCCATATTCTCCAGTATCAAGTCCATTAAAATGGATACCGACGGTCCCGCATCCATATTAGAGCCTCGTGAAGGATTCTCCTCGCTGAGCGATCGCTGGAGGGGGGCTGGGTCCGTGGTTCTGTATCCAATCCCGGGAGGCACATCGTCGACAACATCTTATCAGTAAAAGAAAGAATAACTTACTGCTTGAAGCGCTGCCGTTCTTTGATTGCCTGGTTGAGGTGCTGCACCTGCACCGCCCGGAGTGCCCTGGGGTGGAATGTAGGGATCATATTGATCTGTGTTGCTTGCCATGTTGAGAGAAGGGATGGATCGGAATAAATTGCTCTGAGGAATTCGGTGTCGCTCGTCAAGAGGCTGGCGGACTTTGGGTCCGTGGAGGGTATCTTTGTGTTGTTGTAGGTGGAGGATTGAATGAGGTGGTGTCGTAGTTCGATGTGAAGGCGAGCAGGAACCCGAGACGCTTCTGAAGTTGATGATTACTTAATCCAGAGATGTTGTATCTGTTCAGAGCAGAGCTTTCGAAGCTCGGTAACCAATTCAATTCTAGAGGTTGGTCAATATCGGGTGATCAGAGATATTCTATGAATTATGCTGATAGTTCTTTGTGCTCCTTTTTCAGACACTGTTTTCTTTCTTGGTATTGTTTCTTTCTTTTTCCCTTTCGGTCCTCTGTCTTGTTGATGTCTCTCCGCCGCGTAGGCACTATGGGGTATCACGTGATAAGAGCTACTTATTGACAGCTGTGGCTGTGCTCGTACCTGTATCCGAGAGTCGCCACTTTTGCAAGGCCCAGACCCGGGTCATTAGTACACTAAGATATCTGAAGTTTTACGATACTGTAGATTTCGTACCCCTACCTTGCTAATTGTCCCAGGCTTCTTCTGTAAACACCTAGGCATCAGTATATGGGGTGCACCAGCTCTCATTTACCGGATTAGGATCAGATATTCCGATCCAATTCGCTTGTACCCGTTTCTGACAATCCTCACAAGAGGGAGATAGATTCTTGGTTTTCCCCAGTTGTTTCAATTTTGTCTCCGGCTTCTATTACAAAGTGATATAGAACTACGTATCCTCTACAAACGATTTCACTCGTCGTCCCTCGCTCCCTGATATCGCCACATCCTGATGCTCTCTATTGACGTGAAGCGTTGCGGGAAAGCTCATCCCAATTCTCAGGTTCCGCAAAGGTCATCTATAGCCTTTGAGGTTCGAGATCTGAAGTGGGCGCTGAACCACCCTTCCCGAACTGGCGGAAGACAAGCAAGGCGTTTGCCCATTAAGATGCCCAGGACTCAGTCATGTGATGTAGCATCCTTGCAAGATGATTGTCCTTCTCGAGTAATATATCCCGGCAATCGAATCTACTTGGCAGCTGGTCCAGTAGGTGCGGAAGCTGGAGCCTTTGCGGCATCCGAAGAACCTCCTTGCGGGCCACCTCTCGCACCACCCCTCCCACCCCGTCTTCCCGAAGATCCACCTCTACCGCCTCGTCCTCCACGAGAAGGTGCATGTGGAGCTTGATGCTGTAGCTTTTTCTCGGGGGGAAGTGCGGTTCCCTTACGCTGCATGACTTGAACCGTGCCTTGAGCAACCGAAATAGGGTTTGCTGCCATGGCCTTCTTCAGTCCTTCCGGCTCAACAAAATCAACGTAAGCAAAGCCCTTTCTCTTATCAATCTCCACCATTGACACTGCACCGAACTGTTCCATGGCTTCTTTCAGAAGAGGTTCTGTCACACCCTGGGAAGGATTCGCATGCTTAACGAAAGCTTGCTTGGCACCTTCAGAAGGGACGGCGATAGGTGCTGGCTTCCGAGCAGTAGCAGCTGGCGCAGGCTTGGCTGCCTGAGCAGCCGGGGCAGAAGCGGGTGGTGCTACCTGTGACTGAGGCGCTTTAGGTTTCTTGAGTAAGACCATGGGGGTCGAAGGACCGGCAGATGCAGGAGTTGAAGTCGATGGGGGTGCAGCCTTGCTCGTTTCCACCTCTGGCGCTTTACCCCGAGATGCTCTGTTATTTGCTTGTGCCGAGTTGCTTTTTGGAGCTACTGGAACTGCCGAGGACTGCGGTGTTTGAGGTGAAATTGTTTCTTTTGGCTCAGCAGCGGCTTTCTCAGCAGCAGCGGCTCTCTCAGCCTTTTGAGCATCAGCTGTATCACGTCTGACTTGGCGATGGGCTTGTGCTGGACTAAGTCCAAGGTCACGTTGCAGCATGCGGATATGAGCTGCAATCACAGCGCCTCTTTGTCGACCAGGAACCTTTGCAATGTCAAGCTTAGGGCTTGCAGTGCTCTCTCCTGATCCCTGCTGCGCAGCTGGAGATGCTGGTGTTGTTGAGTTTTCAGCAGCCTGTCTATTGAGAATCTTGACCGCTTCTTTAGCAGCCTTCTCAACCGACTTATCTGCTTTGGCATCCCTGCCTTTCTTTTTTACATCTTCAGATAGGATTGGCGACTCCTTTGTAGACTTGCTCTTAGCAAGCTGTAATTCCTGCTTCTTTGCCGCTTTGGCCGCCGCATCCTTGTTCTTATTGGCCTTCTTGTCCTTGAGGTATTGCACCAAAGGTGTTGTTGTAAGCTTTTCGGGCTTTGCTGGTGTTCCATCTACGAGTGAATCGGCATTAACTTCCTTTGTAGTGGTTGGATTCGCTAGGCCCTCCAAGAATGCCATAAATTCTGGATCCTGGTCGATGGTTCCTGAGCGAGCATCCGTACGACGTCTACCACCGGGGATTCGGCCATATAAGGCGAATTCCACGGTGGGAGGTCCAACAAGTGCTGGGCTTGTAAAAGTATTCTGGGCATCTTCGAAAGTCAATTGACGTACAGTTTCCGACAGACTTAAAAGGTGGGCTTCGCTTGTAAGGTGAAGGTATGCGCGAGAAGGTCGAGATGGCTTGGAAGGACTACGTATGCAAATCAGCAAGTGACTTCTGGAAGAGGGTGAGAAGGTAGCTCACTCTTTGGAGTCTTTTCCCGGCTTGTAGAGAAACCAGTCAACCTTTCCTTGGTCCAACTTCCACTCATCGCCAAGAATTGTTGTAAACTCCTCCTCTGTAAGGCCCGGCGCGAGTCTTCTGATAATAACCTTCAGTTTAGGAGCTGGAGGCTTTGCTGCGGCCTGTCTGGATGTATTGCCTGAGGTCTGTGATGCTGTGATAGGGAGGACTCCATTAGCTTGCGTGCGATTGCTCTGATGAGCAGCCATATCTGCAGGAGAGGCAAGGAGGCGGCGCCTCAGCTCAGCGGCCCGATAGAAAACCCGGTACTGTAGCGAGGGCGCGCAGAATACCGTCGCGACTTGTGGTCTTCTTATTTTCGCGCTCCCAAGGTTGCGGGGGTTACCATCAACTCCAACATCGACGAAAGGAAGTCAATCCAACAACCCTCATTGTCCCTTGCTGTTTTGTCGCTCTGCAAGAATTAGCGTCCTTTAAGCGTCATCAACGATAAGCGATAACGAAGCGACCCAATAGCATACACAATGCCGGCACCGGATTTACCTTACTCCGACCCTTCACATTCTACTCCGCGCCTCGACAATGATGGATCGGCCTCTCGTGCTCTCTATCCCATCATCGAAGAGGACGAAGACCAGGAGAACACTCAAGGTATCTCTCTGGGTATTTACGAGGATATCCGCAACTACGAGAGTCTCGAAGACGGCGATAACTACGACGATAGCTTCGACTTTGGAGGCGACCAAGGTAGATAGATCCTCCTCATCAAATGATCTTCCGCGCCATATTAACTTGATTACAGGCTGGGGCAGCGGTGACAGCGACGAAGACGACGGCGGCGCGAAATTAGCTGGTCTTGATATTCTCTCATCGATCTCTGACGCACCGGCAACTACTGCACCACGTCCTCTTCCTGAGATCCCGCATCCTCTCCCTGAGATCCCACGCCCTCTCCCTCCTATCCCCAAGACCTCGCGACCTCTCCCACCCCTCCCCACATCTAAAATGAGCAGCAACGTCCCGAAGCCTGGTCCGGCAAAGCTTGGTCCTCGCGCTGGCCTTGAAGAATGGCTTGCGGAGGCAAAGCAATGTCACTATCTCCCTGAGCATGCCATGAAGCAGCTTTGTGAAATTGTCAAGGAATGCTTGATGGAAGGTATGTGTGTAGGTCCCGAGTTGCTGAGCATGATACTGATCTCACTTTCAAAGAATCCAACATCCAGCCAGTTCGTACTCCGGTCACGATCTGCGGTGATATCCACGGTCAATTCTATGATCTCCTCGAGCTATTCCGCGTCGCGGGCGGCATGCCTGGAGAGACCAACGTAGCGGCCCCGACTACTATGACTAATGTCATCAAATCGGACGATATTGAACCCCCAACTGAGATCACTGACCCCAAGCTCAAGAAGAAGATTAGAGGTTCTGATAGCGGCATTGAGAGTATTAGCGGTGAAGATGACGACGATGATGAGCCTAGAGGCCGCCCTCGTACTGCGGGTCATTCAAGCCGTGGTGGCAGCACCGGTGGTGATTCTGGCATCGGCGTAAACACCGTTTCTGGAACCGGTGATCAAAACTTCATTTTCCTTGGTGACTTTGTCGATCGCGGCTACTTCAGTTTGGAGACGTTTACGTTGTTGATGTGCTTGAAGGCTATGTAAGTGCAACTGCAGATCTGCAAAGAGTTCAAGCTGACAGAGCCAAGGTACCCAGACAAGATCACCCTCGTTCGCGGTAACCATGAGTCCCGCCAAATTACTCAGGTCTACGGCTTCTACGAGGAGTGCCAGCAGAAGTACGGCAACGCGTCGGTCTGGAAGTCTTGCTGCCAAGTCTTTGATTTCCTTGTCCTCGCCGCCATTGTTGATGGTGAGGTTCTCTGTGTTCACGGTGGTCTGAGCCCCGAGATCCGTACGGTGGATCAGATCCGTGTTGTAGCCCGCGCGCAGGAGATCCCTCACGAGGGAGCCTTCTGTGACCTGGTCTGGAGTGATCCCGAGGATGTTGAGACCTGGGCTGTTTCTCCCCGTGGTGCAGGCTGGCTCTTCGGAGACAAGGTCGCCATGGAGTTCAATCATGTCAATGGCCTCAAGCTCATTGCTCGCGCCCATCAGCTAGTCAATGAGGGTTACAAGGTAACAACTAACTATCCTCTCCTTACTCTTATCTGTCATCATGCTCTAAGCTAACAACCCCCTTCCCAGTACCACTTCGCCCAGAAGTCCGTCGTGACCGTCTGGTCCGCTCCCAACTACTGCTACCGCTGCGGCAACGTAGCCTCCATCATGAACGTCGGCGAAGACCTCAACCCCAAATTCAGCATCTTCAGCGCCGTCCCCGAGGACCAGCGCGCGGTCCCCGCCGGCCGTCGCGGTGCCAGCGATTACTTTTTGTAGATTTGATTGATTGGTTGATTGACGATTGACAGACGGCAGGATATCACAAAGATGGCGTTCAAGGGGAGTCGGGTTTGCATAAAGGGAGGCAGGCGTTCTGGCCAGACTACCATTGATTGTACTGTACATTAAACTAACCATCGCCGACTTGGCTCGGATTAGACTCTTCGCATCTCCGGTTTTTTGCCTTTAAAAGCATACCGGTTTGTTGTCCCCGGTTCCGCTGTTTATTTACGAGCGCCCGGTTTTTTCTTTTTCTTTTCTCCCTGTCTGGTTACCTTACCTTACGTTACTGGTTTGCGCTTGCGCTTTTTAAGTAAGAATCAATGAATGAATCGATGATAATTTCTTCTTCTTATCTTGTTTATTGAAAATGAAGTCCCCTGTCCCTGTCTCTCAGCTCAGGTATGTAAAAAGTTCCTTATTCCTACTAGCTAGGTAGGTAGCTAATCGAGACAAAAAAGAATAACAGTCTTCATATAAAAAGGGCAAAATGAGAGGTGTGTGAGTCTCGTCTCGCAAGGATCGAAATTCAGCTCAATTATTATAACACCAATAATTAATATTCCAAGACGCCAGCCAGCCTCAGCCTTCTAAACTTCGAATAAGAAGGTATGCTAAAGGGGTATAGAGTGAGAGAAAGAAGGGTATCATCAAGTATAAAAAAAAGGCGCCTGGAATTCCAAAAATTTGTATGTTGACAACCCTCCCCTCTGAATGATTACCGATTATGGATTATGGATTATCGCACTTCGATCCTATCTACTGCACTCCATGTATCCAGAGAAAAGGAGAGAAATGACAAAAAAAAATAAGAGGTAGAGTCCAGACATTAGCAGAAGACGCCAGGTCTTCACAAAACATGCATGCATCTGCACGCAACCCCTTTCGCGCTCCCTACACTTGATCCAAGGGCTTCACCGGATCACCAAACGGATTCACATTCCCGAGACCATCCTCGCTGCGCCTCGCATAGTTCGCCGAACTGACAGCCTTGCCGCTCTCGACATCCCTCTCCAGGCCTGCCCTGGTGGGGTTCTGCGTCATCTCCCAGCTGCCCGTTCGTTCGTGGCGGGTGACGCTCGCGCCGGCACCGTCCTTGAGCGCTAGGTCCGTGTCGCTGGCTAGTTTCTCGGCGCCCTTGAAGCCGCCCCCGCTGTTGCTTTGGCGGAGTCCCGCAATGCCAGCTGGGCCGTCTGCGGCGGCTGCGCTTCCTGAGCGCTTCTTCCCGTGGCGGTCGATTCTGTAGCCGAGGAAGGCGAGCAGGGCGGCGAGGATGGCACATACGGCGAGTGTGACGACGGCGCCTATGACGCCGCCGACTGCTGGGGAGACGGCGTCCTTCTTGCGATTCCCCGGGGTAGAGGGGGAGCCGTTCGAGTTCGAGGACGATTGGGTATCGTACAGGATGGCCTGGCAGAAGAGGGTGGCTGACTGACAGGCATTACACCAGTCTGAAACCTCGTTCATGGAGAAGGCGCCCATGCCTGCGACGAAATCAGTCCAGGACATATCGACCTCCTCGTTCCCGCGATCGAATAGCGGGTACGAGACCAAGTTGTTGGCATCATCCGTCCCGTTCCTGAAGAGGAAGCGGACCCAGAGTTCGTCGACGGCGGGGAAGGTGTCACTAGAGTTTTCGGCGGGGTAGGAGAAGAGCTCGAATGCCATGAGGGAGCCGTGTTGCGGGAGGCTGGTGAACATCGATGCTGCGGGCCCGCTGCTGAGACTAGAGAGCGAGAAAAAGGAGAGCATGGGCTCGAAGGAGCCGAAGAGGAGGGTGAGCTTGTCGGATACGCCTTGGGATGAAATCACGTGGCTAAATTGCTGGATGATGACAGATGCCAGTGTTGCGCCGGCGATGGCAGGTACATTGCCATCTGAATTAGGTGTGTTGAGCCCGAACTCTGATTGAGAAGCCAGGAAGGAGAGCTGGTCTATGATAGCACTGGACGACGGATCGTTGTAAAAGGATGAGTTGTGGTTGTATTGGTACAAGGCGTATTCGTATAGTAAGTAGGCATTATCATAACTGATATCGGCAGGGTCTAATTGTGAGAACAGACCCTGATTGAGCGATTGGTAAAAGCCAGAGTACTCAGTGGCCTCTTGGCTGTACACTTGCGAGGACATGGTCTTGAGTTGCGAGAGGTCATAGTTGGTGCATTCCTGGTTTCCGGCAATCCTATTTTCACAAGTTGTCAGTCATTCCTTCTCCCAACTGAGAAGCGTGCCGGAAACTTACCAGATATAGTTGAAATCAAGAGGGCTCACTGTATTAATACTTGGATATTGATATCCATTCAGAGGATACATCTGTAGGGTCTGGTTGCTCAGGATCGTCTCTTCTTGACTCATGACTGCATTCCTTGGCGGATATAGACCTTGTAAGAAAGCCAATGCACTGCCGCTGATGAACTCATCCTCTGTACTCAGAACGTACATCTGAGAGTTATCAATGGCACCGGTACTCAATCCATTGATTGGCGCAGCCGTGATTAACGCAGATGCGTTGCTGGAAGGATCAATGTAGCGGCTTCTAAGCATACTCCCTGCATCATGAAGCTGGTTGGCCCCTACGGGGGAGAGATTGTAAGGTCCGTTGCTTAAGGCGGGGACCTTCTCGCCGTGGTAGGTAAAGACTACTGCACCCCAGGTTATCTCGCTATTGGCCGCAGCAGCCGCAGTTGCTGAGAGCGCGAGTAAAGTTGTAAGCGTGAGGGGAGCCATGGTATAGACGGAGGTTGATATCCCTGTCCCGTAGCCAGCAGAAGTACGATGCAAGAGAACAAGAGAAGGACGAGGAGCGAATGCAGCCGGGAAAAAGAGCTGACGGAGGAGAAGAGAAGAAAAAAAGAGAGAGAAGGCTATGAGCTTGCGATAGAGATGTACCTCATAGGACTGACTAGCTATCTTAGCTTAGCTTCAAGGCATTGCGTAAGGTTACCTTTCGAGGTCACGAGCACGAGAGCTTGCCGTCTGCTGCTGCCCGGCCATGTCGTCAAGGGTTTTGTGATGGAGCTAGGCCTCCTTAGGTCCTGTTGTCTGCAATGAAGTCACACGATCGTCACAAGAAGCTCGGCCAAGGACGACGTGCCAGTGGTGAGGTGGTGTGCAATGGAAAAGAAGATTCGCTGCGGATTTGTCGATTCGTCCTGGTCCCGCTCTCCCGCGCTCGCGTGCTTATCGCCTATCCTTATCGATGAGCTTAAAAGAAGGGTCCGGGGGGAGGTGATATCATCTTTAACCCCGCATATAGCCTTGTGTCGGAGTCCTTGGATGGAGAGAAAAGATAAGATAAAATAAATATTGGAACGCGTAGAGGATCTTGCTATTTATCGAACTTTAACTTTCAAGCTTATCTCGACGGTTATGTCCAGTACCTGGGAAGGTAGGTATATTGTGTGGTTTGTTCGGAGCCGAGGTCACACGCAAGGTTCCTTTGCTGGGAATGGAAGGCTGCGGATCTGCAACTCGAATCAACATCTCTTGCCGAGGTATCTTAGTATCTAAGCGTGCGACAGCAGAAACATGGGCATCAGATCATTCCATTTCATGGCATAGCTAGCTACAAACTCATCAAATACCTATTTCCGAGGCCAACCCCGCATTCCCAAATTCAGATTCATTACACCTAGAAGAGAGCATTACCCAAGCGCATAGAGACCGATTTAACTTGCGTGTAGTTCGCCAGCGCAGCCTCACCAAGTTCTCGTCCCATACCCGATTCCTTGTACCCACCGAATGGGATCTGGTGGTGGAGCATGTTATATTGGTTGATCCAGACGGTACCAGCACGGAGGCCATTTGCGACACGGATGGCGGTGTTGAGGTCCTTGGTGTGGATACCAGATGCGAGGCCGTAGATGGAGTTGTTGGCGGTCTTGATGATCTCTTCTTCAGTGTCGAACTTGGCGATTGAGCAGACGGGGCCGAAGATCTCTTCTTGCATAATCTTCATATCCTCGGTGACGTTGGAGAAGATGGTCGGTTGGATGAAGTATCCCTTGTCACCGTGACGCTCGCCACCCGTCACGACGGTGGCACCAGCCTTCTTTCCTTCTTGGATATAACCCATGATACGGTCGTATTGGAGTTGGGAGACCTGTGGGCCTTGGAAGGTATCGGGGAGGAATGGGTCGCCGACCTTGTTGGCAAGGGCGCGAGCCTTGAATCGCTCAACAAACTTGTCGTAGATACCGGACTGGACATAGACGCGGGAACCAGCACAGCAGCATTGTCCGTGGTTGAAGAAAATACCAAAGTTCACCCATGAAATGGCGTTCTCGATATCAGCGTCGTTGAAAATAATGTTTGGAGACTTGCCACCGAGTTCGAGGGTGACCTTCTTCAGGTTGGATGAGGCAGCGGCCTTCATGATTTGACGGCCAACAACCGTAGAACCGGTGAACGCAACCTTGTCAACATCCATGTGGGCTGAGAGGGCTGCACCGGCAATCTTTCCAAAGCCAGTGATGACGTTGATGACTCCTGGTGGGAAGCCAGCTTCCTTGATCAGCCTTGCGGCAATCAGGGCAGAGAGAGGAGTCTGTTCGGCGGTTTTGATGACAACGGTGTTACCAGTAGCGATCGCGGGACCAATCTTCCATGAGAACATGAGCAGAGGGAAGTTCCATGGGATGATTTGACCGCAGACACCAATCTGATTAGTCTGTTAGTGGAGTAATAGAGAGATATAGGGAGCAAAACATACGGGTTCTTGTTTTGTGTAGGTGAAGGTGTCTGGGTTTGTGTCGATCACCTTGCCTTCAATCTTGTCGGCCCAACCACCATAATATCTAATGACACCAGCGACCGCTCCGACATCAGCTCTCGCCATTGTGATGGACTTTCCATTGTCGAGCGATTCAACGGCGGCCAAGAGATCCTTGTTCTCCTCAATCAAGTCGGCCAACTTGACGAGGTACTTGCCTCTCTGCTCTGGTGTCGTCTGCTTCCATGTGCCCTCGAAAGCCTTGCGCGCCGCTGCTACAGCAATGTCGACATCCTTCTCTGTGGCCTCGTGGACGGAGGTGATGACTTCTTCTGTGGAAGGGTTGATGACCTCGAAGGTCCTGCCATCGACACCCGGGACGAATTCATTGTTGATGAACCTGCACAACAACCAAGTGTCAGTGCTGGATCGACAGGGCGACGACAGATTGGAGAAAGACGCTCATCACACACTTACAGTCCTGTAGGTTGGGTGAATTTACCCGTGATGGGCGTATGGAGCTCAACGGAAACCGAAGCCATAATGGAGACTGAAGTGGCTCTGAGTGGGCAATAGGAATCTCTTGGGATTAGACTGTTTGCTCTGCGCACGAAGGTGGATGGGAAAGAAGAGGAATTGGATGGATGGATGGATGGAGGAAGATAGAGAAAGGGGATGGAGGATGGGAGAGCGGGGTATATAACTTCTGAAGATACACGGTAGGGAGGCACAGCAGGGACTCGGGGGTATTAAATAAGAAAATAATAATTAGTTAGATCATCACAGACGAACGGGAAAACACGACAAAGGGCCCCCTCGCCGGCGCCGTATTGCTTGGCTTGTCCTTTCGCCGTTGACCTGTGCTCTCTCTGCCGCGTCTCTTACCCCGCCTAAGGTACCTTACCAATGACGTTAGGCTGGTTCGCCCCTCACGCCCGTTTGCGCTCCCTGTTCCCGGGTTATGCCCACGTCCAACATCTTCTTCCTCGGGCTACAGCCAGCGATCGCATTGTTTGGATGGTGGTGTTTCTGCTGCTCCAGGACGAAGAGCACCTTAGACCGCACCAATAACAACCGCGGGAAGCCGTTCGAGGAGCCCCGCGGGGAAGGCAAAAGGTCTCTCGGTTGAAAGCGGGAATCCGGGGTTTATCTCCAGCCGGTAATAAGTACAGCGAGTACTTCTTTTCGGCGATAGCACGTCTCACTGCTCCAGCTTCTTCGGCGTTAAGCAACTCGTTCTCTCTTGACGCTCTTTTCTTCTTCCTCCCCGTTCCAAAACGAGTAAAGAAGGAGACTTCGAGATGCGGTTCCGATCTGAGGGTGAGCGGAACATTGCCACGGAATTTCAAATCAAGCTGCGATTATTGTAATAGTAATCACAATCCCGTGTCCTTCGCCTTCGTTGCCATGCTTCCCCTCCCTCTCTCGACGCGTCTACTGTCAACCAAGATCACAACACGCTTCCGTTCCCCCAGGATCCCCAAAAAGGGGGGGCCCGTGCTCCGGAGCTCTGATCCCCGGATTCCGGACCTAGACCCAACTGGTTAGTTTCCGGATCACCGAAGGCCTCGAGCCTGGAGCAGTGGAGGAGGCTGGAGGGGTCGTCTGCCCCTTCGGGTGTGGGCATTATTGCTCTCTCCTGTTGCATTGTCGTGTGGCTTATCAGCTAGCGCTAGGTTGAGGGGAACAGGATGATGATCTTCGAGAGCGCGAAAAGCTGCGACAAGTTCGAGATGCAGTCTTTGTCTGGCCTGGCTTGTTTGAGCAGATACCTACATATTCTGTATACGTGACCGCATCTATGGGAGCAGGCTCCTTGAGGCTCTCGCAGACCTACCTGGATGGTTCCATAGCATGTCAATTAGTCAGGTTTGCCTCCCCCTGTTGTCATGATTACAGCTGAAGTTGTGGAGAAAGTGGAGCTAAAATACTGATGTTTAGTATTGTACTGTACTTCTACAGCCTTATGCTGTGAATGGGTCTAGGGGGCATTCTGATCATCTGCCACCCTTTCTTTCCCGGACGGCATCTGCAATAGCAGTACCTCGAATTTCCAATCCCCAAGACTCGATGTTCGGATAATACCCCCCGTACTCCACCATATACGCCACAGAGAAGTAGCCAAGCCCTGACCTAGTGAACTCGGAGCACTCAGGGTTGGTATACCTATCATCAGTTGCAGCTTAGAGAAGTAGGCTGCCAAGATGCTTGCCAAGTTCCAACGCCTGGGATATACCCAAAGGGGCCTCAGTCAGGATCTACCGCAGTGCCGGCAATGACAAGAGTAGACAGACTCTCAGCATATCACGGCCTAGTGCGAGCCATCGATAGCCATCGATAGCCATCATATAAGAGGTTTGTGTCCGACTTCGTAAAGCACTGGTCACTTCAAGAATCAAGATATCGTTGGCCAGTATGACAGCTTTATCCCAGTCGAAATGTGGAAGGTCGAGGAGAAATTTTGACTATCTCTTGCACGTAAATAATAGTATGATGTCTCTCGAGAGGTACATTTTGTGAATTCTCGGAATGCGCAGAAGAACCTTGACGGGTAAGGTAGGATAGGTAGCTGGCAAACACGTAGATGGATATAATAAAAGATCTCCCCTGAGCTTCATGTAGGTTCTCTCGCATGCCTACTTCCAATACGCATTTCCAGGGAGATACTTCCACCTTGTCGGGTAGCTTTCTCAGCCATTCAAACAAATCAAATCAAAAATAACCTGGCCCCCCAAAAAGGAGGGGAAAAAAGGGGAGAAGGGCAAAAGGAAACCCGGAAAAATTGGAAAAGAGAATACTTATACTTTCTAGGATGAATGTCGAGTAGGATCGACCCTTTTCAAGGGGGGAAAGGGGAGAAGAATTTTGAGTGTTTTTTAAAATGAGCCGTTGTTTTTGCGACGGTGAGGCCTTGAAATTTTTGAATAGATAGCCATTAGCCATTACCATCAAAAAAGCCATAGGTGTCTCTTGAATAATCTTATTACATTCTTGCCGATCTGATATAAATATAAATGGAAGGATTCTGGAATTATTTTCTCAAGTTTGTGCGTGGTCGACGGCTCCCAAAGAGATGAGGGCTTGGGCTTCTGATTAGGTTAAGCAGTTTAGGTTTTACGTGGTCCGTGCACGGATATATCGTGCTAGATTTCTGGCATCCGCCGGCCTCATTGAAAGTGGACTAAAAGCGTAAATTTTGCCAGTTCGACCTGTTTTGAGCCCAAACCTCCCGACAGACCGAGTTTTGAAACAATAAGAGAAAGAGAGAGAGAGCAAGGACAGGAGGAGTAGCCAACATGGCGTTCTCGGACGACGGTAGTAAGTTCAGAATCGTTCTTGACAGAGAAGGGGAAATCGGACCCCTCGACCGACGCCATTGCTACTCACAGAGGTGCTAACTGGCAGGTATTTTCAGACGTCGTAATCAAGAGCGAACCATTATATCCACCGGAGTCGTTTTCTCAGCCCTCGCCCGAACCTCCTTTGAAACGACGCCGCTCGGAAGAGCCCGAGGATGCTGGAGAGAAGCGGCAGAGAATAGAGGTCGGCTCGGAAGCACCGACGACTACTGATGAAGATATGAGCTACATTTTCGCACGGGCTGCTGCTGCGGCAGCAAAGGAGATTGAGGAATCAACGAGTGATATCTCTCGGATCGATGCTGAAGTGAGCCAAGCGGGGTACAATGGATCTGCAGGATACAGTGATGGTTCTACATCGGACCATTATCTCTTCACCCAAATACTCAGTCTCCCGATGCTGGATAGCTTGGTGAGTTTTCGAACTACACCCTCGGATAACGCTCCAGTTCCATGCTGATCTTTCTGCAGTCTACCCAGATCCTCGCTACCTTGGGACGAGGGCCTTATACGGAAACTATCAGAATCATCCAAGAACCCGAGTCCGAGCTGGGACGGTCATATGCTACTATCAAAGCCCTTTTCGACCAGACCAAGAAGATCTACTCTCAACACACGCCATTTCTCTCTGCTGATGAGCTTAACATCCAAGAACCAACTCATCGAGCAACGATCCGTACCGCAAATCTTGCAACCTTTGTGTCAAGTGTCTTTGGCGGACAAGATGTGGGATTCTATGAACTCAATGATCACTTTATCGAAATATTTACTCCTGATGGCGGGGCGCTGGAGAAGGAACCTGGCCAGATATACATTGATCTCAAGACACAGATGTTCCTTTCTGCGGTATTACAAGAGGAGCAGGAGAAAACTAAAGAGGACCTCCTGGATGACTTCTTTCCCTCCAATCTCGATGAGATATTATCTAATCGACATTTTGGCGCAATGCTATCACAGAGTGAACTAGAATTCCTCGATGCAGCCAAGGCGCGACGGGAATCTCTCATGAATGAGACAAGTGATGTGGAATCAATTCTTAAGTCTCACCTGTCCGGTGGCTAGCTCTTCGCTAATAGTGTTACAGAACTCTTATCAGAGAGGTATGACTGGGAGGACTTCCTCCGAAGTCTCAGCGCCTATCTCAACGCAGCCTATGAGCCATTGATCACACCTTATTTGAAACGCCACGCCCTTCCACCACCGCCTTCTCCCTCTCAGCACCAGAATAGCAACTATAGCCACAATACCGAGCAAGATGTGCAGAAGCCAAGCGAGGATGATATCGCCATACAGGCAGAACTCGCCGCTCAAGAGGCACTTCGAAGCGTTTATGGCCATACTCAGTATGAAAGCCAACCACATGAGGATACAGGTATGTAATTGGGCGGATGTTGCAAGTTACCTGCTAACCAAAGAACAGATCTACAACAACAGCTCCAGCAGCAGCTTCAGCAGCACCAACAGCAAGATGCACAGCAATCTCAGCAGCAACAGCAGCAACCGCAGCAGCAACCTCAGCAGCACCAACAGCAAGATGCACAGCAATCTCAGCAGCAACAGCAGCAACCGCAGCAACAACCTCAACAGCAGCCACAGCAACTACAACAACTACAGCAGCAGCAGCAGCAACAACAGCCACTCCAGCAACAACACCAACAGCACCAACAGCACCAACAGCCACCACAGCAACCACAGCAACCACAGCAACCACAGCAGCCACAGAGTCAGAACCTCTCTTATCAATTACAGTATATGGGAGATCACTCTCCTTATCCCACACAGAGCGCACCTACACAGGTCTTGTATGAGCGAGCTCGACAAGCTGCTGTTGCCAAGGCAAATCCAGGAAATAATAGACGACCGGGATTACCCAGCCAGAGGCGGCCCTGGAGCACAGAAGAGGAACATGCCCTGATGGCTGGTCTAGATCAAGTTAAGGGCCCTCACTGGAGTCAGATTCTCGCACTCTATGGTCCGGATGGTACAGTAAACAATATCCTCAAGGACCGAAATCAAGTACAGTTAAAGGATAAGGCCAGGAACCTCAAGCTCTTCTTCCTCAAGAGCAATATTGAAGTCCCATATTACCTACAGTGTGTGACGGGCGAACTCAAAACACGCGCGCCAAGCCAAGCGGCACGGAAAGAAGCTGAAGAACGGGCACGACTTGCTAGTGATGAGGAACAGGCCCGGTTCAATGGCATCATGGCCCTAGCTGGTGGGATGCAAGATCAAAATCAAATCAATGGGCAGCAGCAGCATCACGATATGCGGATGCAAACTCCAGACGTTCCCCGCGATCATTCTCAAGATCATCTGAACAGTCCCGAGCAATTCCACGTCGTTGAGCCGGAGAATCAAGAACAAAGTCTTCCACCCCCTCAGCTGAGCGAAGAAGAGACACTGCGACAGCAACTTATGGCTGCCACTGCCGAAAGCCTGCAGAGCATTGGGGTAATGCCATCCAGCGTTGGGCCAACGGCATTTTGATCTGCTCTACTACATTCTTTCCATCGTAGGATGATGATGTTTCGGAACGATTCCGTCTGGTGGTTTAACGGTGAGACGGAAGGATTCATTAATACCCAGTATCAACCAAATACCCCGGAACCTTACATAGCTAGCTGTCTATGTTAATTAGTAAGGATTTATACCCAGAAGATTCAAACTCAAGAGTGATCCCCTTTATATACGCACGCTTCAAAGATTCAGGGGTTCCACCTGACCTTACCGAAGACGACCTCATCACGTGATCAGTACATGTAAGGTAGGTACCTTACCTTACCTTTAATTAAGGTACCTTAGGTAGGTGGATCCAAGTTACAATTTTGGATGCATACAGTTCTGCTCTGTCTTGGAGTGAGATTTGCATTCCCACCCCTTTTATTAAGCGAGCATGAAGTCCCCAAAAGCAAAACAATTTCAAATCAAGTAAACGTAGAAAGAGGTGTTGTCTTGCTAAGGTACCTTATCTACCAAAAGGCCTTTCAAACCGGTACTATCTTTAAGAGAGCCGCATAGCTATTTTATTTTGCATGCAATTGAGATCAAATTCCTTGGCGGAAGGGCTTTGATACCTGTATATGAGCTAAGCGCTCAAGCACTTGGCTTGTATTTGTTTCATACGTTTATGCCATGCTAAATCCCGAGCGGCTTGGTCTGGTCAAGCCTCTTCTATAGCCTCCAATGTTCCATATCATACCTCGGATGACATTTGCTAGGCTCAGCTCCACTGGCATTATATGGCTAAGTGCCCAAGCGTTTGTCTTCATGCAACTCATGTATTCATTCCCATTTGGTAGCCATTTCACTCATCTCCTCCTTGAAGACGAAGCCATCGGCTCAAACGCATCATCGTCGGATATCTCATCATCACTCAACTCCATGGCAGTCTGACTCTTAGTTGGCTGCGAGAAGTTTAGCTGGGTCTGACGCGTTCTGGTTGCTCTTTTTGGTTGTGATTTCGCTGGCGGTGGCTCGTCGTCCAGCATAACAACATCGGCTTCATCATCACTGGGATCTAAGACCTTCTTTCGTCCTCTTGCTGGAGCTTTTGCAGGTGCTTTGGCCGGTGCCTTGGGCTTTGCCGGAGCTCGAGGTTTGGCCGGCGCTCTCTTCGCAGGGGCTCTCTTAGCGGGGGCCTTCCTGCCTGCGGGTACAGCAGATATCACAGAGGCGTCATCGTCGCTTCCTACAACTGCGGTTCTATCTTCCCCTTCGCTCAGCTCATACGCTCCTGGAGCATCTTCCCACTCGCCTTCAATATCTGTATCCCAATTGGCAGGGCGTGGCTTTAGCTTCCCTTTTCTCTTTGGTCTCCTGCGAATACCAGCCGCGAATTGTTCTTCTTGTTTTTGACGCAAACGTTCCATGACAGGGTCAAGATCTTCATCACTATCACCACCATCCATAGCAAGCATTTCCTTAACTTGTACTGTGAGACTCTCTTCCACAAATAACTCCATGGCATGTTTGTCATCTTTATCGACAAACTGAGTAACGGCATCACCGAAAGGAGCTTTCGGAAGGATCTTAAGAGATTGAGCTGTCAGATACTCTTGGACAAGCTTGTCGACTTTGATGTTGTCAATCCTCAAGGATGCTAGCACATCCTCTTCAGGCATATCCTTCGCAATTTTATCTCGTTCTGTTTCGGTTAATATATTAATTTTAGGGAGCGGGATGGTGCGAACTTACTGACTGCAGTTTTCTTTCTGTGAAACTGTACCACATCATTCACATTAGCAACCCTACCGACGAATCTGTTGGAAAAGCGTTGCGGATTTTCGCAGTCAAACTTGCCACCCTCTGGAGCGGAATATTCGACTCGTAGCCTGACAAGAGGGAGTGGCGTCTCGTCTGGACGGTCGTCTGGATCTTGAATGTCCTCCCATTCCTTCGTGGCCTCCAGAATGAGTTCATCGACTACTTTAATCAGCTCTATGGTAATCTGCTGCCTGTTGTCTTTGACCTTCGCAAGTCTCTTAAATCTCGGCTCTTCTGCCAGAACTATATCCCTGGTGACAAATGGTCTAACGCTCTTGATTCGATGGAGTTCAGTCTTAAATTCCTTGCCAGTAACACTGACAATAGCAACATGCTTGGGAACAGCTTCTCCAGGAACTAAGGACGTTGCGACAGAAGAACCAGGTTGCATAACATGGAACTGCATCTCGGGGTTGAAGCGCGGGTTAATCAAACACTCATGCTCGTGGCCCCAGACTATAAGATCCATGAACTCTGGAAGGAAGTTTTCGGGAAGATATCCAGTCTCAGTATAGGCGTGATGATTCTGATGAACAGCCATCAAGTTGAACCAGTCTTTCTGCTGTACGCCAGGCTTGTAAAATTTGACATTACCATCTCTGAATGTTCTGAAGAGACGTTCATCCCTGACATTGCTCATGCCATATAGAGCTAGCTTCGTCTGACCCTTCTGCAAAAGAACCGGCTTGATCTCAAGTTTATCTGACTCCGGAATTCGTCCGATGTAGTTCAGCAGCCCTGAGACTTGAAGAAGGTCGAGCGAGCAATAGTGGCCATCGCCAGTTGGGTCGTCGTGGTTTCCGTGAATAGAAAATACCGGTATAGCCACATTGATATCCGGATCTTCATAGTTGACGTGAGTACCGTTCAAAACCTCGCTGGCATCGCTGAGCATTTCGAGTTCGCAAGGTTTATCTCCGAGGCAGTTCATTCGCAGTGACCGCATAACTTGATACAAAGCCTTTCGGGAGGGTTTGTTGTCATGGAAGAGGTCGCCAGCAAGAAGTACCATATCGACCTGCCTGTTAGAAAGATTCTCATTGGAGGGTACTACTATATACTTACATCCTGTGTCTTTGCTAGCTTCATGATTTCGTCGAAGCTGCGCCAACTATCATCCTTGCGTATTGGATCTCTCTCCTCATATCCCACATGGCTATCGGTCGCAATAAGGATACGGATCGTATCCGCAGCTGCGAATATATCAGCTTGAGTCTAGAGTTCAAGGTGTCGAGCAAAGGTACCCGTAAAGGGAGGCATCTTGATATCTGCGAACCCTGACTAACCCCTCAGCATCCCCAGGCGAACAGAACTTATACCGAGGGCATTCGCAAGTATGTTTAGACTTAAAAACGCGTAGAAGTCGATTCTTTCGAGGTTTTTGGTTCGATATCGCGCTGGTTATGGCGAAATACTGCTCGTCTGAGGCAGAAATAGTTGGGGAGACGCGAAGCGCATCCAGCCGTGCTAGCCTACGGATGCCGGGGACAAACCTTAAAAGTGATCCCTGTCAGTTAAGTTCTCTTCCAGAACCTCTGCGACCGACTTCGAAGAAGGACGCTGCCTCTCAGTCCCAGATATCCAAGATGTTTCCCTCTCGGGCACTTCTTGCGCGCTCAGTCTGGAAAGGTAAGATCAAGCTCATTCTTCGCCATTGCTATATACTAATACTTCGCAGGGCCTAATATCGTTCCGTAAGCTAAAAAGAAGCCTCGACCTATCCCTTCAATTTCTAAGCAAAGAAACAGTCTGCCTATTGTTCGTCCAGCTCCAGGACAGAAGGTTCCTCCGATTAAGACACAAGCACGATCCGCAACGATACTGCCGAACTTTGTCGGCTTGAAGTTCCAGGTGCACAATGGCAAAATTTACCACGATGTGACGATAACCGAGGACATGGTCGGGCACAAGCTGGGAGAATTTTCGCCGTAAGATTACCTATCCACAGGGTATCCATGAAATCAATGGGTCTAATGAACGTTTAGGACAAGAAAGCGGTTTACATACAAGCAAAGCAAGAACAAATAGAGGGGGAGGATGTCAAAGGGACCGGCGTTTATTGGAGCGAGCATACTTCTGAAGTTGACCGGTATTGGGATGTACGACTATATGTATGGGAAGGCCGGCCGACTCTATTGTATTCTACGCTTCTCCGCTATCGATTACTCAGTTATGTACTTGTACTCAATACTTCGCGTTGTGAACTGAAGCAATCTCGTGCATATCGACCAGAAACTGACAGAGGTGTGTAATGTACTTCGCTTTCAATGCCAAGCAGTTGTCAATTATACATGAGCCCGTGAATGGGTGGCTGTTTCTGAAGTACCTCTACATAAAACGTTTCTCCGTTGATTGGTCCTATTCTGTTCATGTGCATAAGTTGTGGATTGTTGCGTTACCATCCATACACATTACACTAATTCCTTCGATGTTTTGAAAAATGTTGCATACTGAGCCATAAAATGATCGATAACGCCTATGTAGTCAAAACGCCATTTCCGTGGCTGATAGCCATTCCCATATAGCCCAGACCTGTCTCAACGATAGAACTCCCCCCGTTTAACATTGACGCCGTATTCCCCAACCGCCATTCCCAGATCTTCCATGGTTAAGACAGTCCTGTTTTGACTGCCTCCCTGTCCACCGCCACCATAACCAGGTCGCTGAATACCAAGTGGCCCCCCCTTCCCTTGCTGTTCCTTACTTCCAGGTGCCGTAGCTGGCTGGCCTGGGACGGGAAATCCAGCAGCGGCTCCTAAGTTGCCCATCGGATTATTTGCATTGGAAGAGTTGGAAGATCTGATGCGAGAGTATTGGTAGGCATCTGCTGCAATGTCTGCTATGAACTTCTGCGTGGCGAGCGCAAGGAGACGGGCAAGGCGGGCATCTGTCTGGGGTGGCGGAGGCAAACCAGCTTTGGTGAGGTAGTAGTTGGTTACAGCATCAGGAATCTAGAGATACTGTTAGATAGGCAAGATGAGAAGGTTATGACTTCTTACAATTGGCGCATAGTCGTCCATCTTGGAAAGGAACTCTTTGAGAGAGGCATCTTTGCGGGTCGGAAGTTTTGGCTCTGGAGCTGGCGCAACGGGATCAACTTCCTCCTCCTTATTGTTGATAGGGAGGAGGTCTGTCGATGGATCTGGGGAGTCTGCATTGGCCATGATTGTTGTTCTGAATCTGGAGAATGAGATGGTGTTCCAATCGCATTGAACTGTGTAAAGGTTAGCCGATAAGCTGGATTGGGACTAGCGTATTTCACTATCGCATCTGAAGCTTTTCTGCAGACAATCGACCATAATTTTCAAATTTCTTCAGCCTTGCGCGAATTCTGTGAAGTAAATACTACGAACACCCCTCGTCAGCAACCATGGCTGACCGTCGTCCAGAAGAATCAGAGATGTCGCGAGCAAAGAGACCCAGGACCGATGATCTAGACCCATCTCAAAACCCGTACCTTGCGCACATGTACGAAGACCAACAGGACGGCTCCTACAGCAATGGCAATGGCGCGGCATCTACTCCGTTGTCCAACTTCAAACGCCATGAGACAACTGCACTCCAGGCTCACGCCGCCGAAGATGGTCCTAATAACCCCTTCAACAATACGCCGTTGTCCAGTAGATACTTCAACATCTTGAAGACGAGAAGGGATCTACCAGTTCATAAGCAAAGGTGACTTCCTCCGCATTCCCTTCGTGGCTTTTCCTCTTCAACTAACGGCAAATAGACAGGAATTCCTTGATATGTTTCACAGCACTCAAATCCTAGTCTTTGTTGGTGAGACTGGTTCTGGTAAAACTACGCAAATACCCCAATTCGTTCTATTCGATGACTTGCCCCATTTCAACGGGAAGTTAGTCGCATGTACACAACCACGTCGAGTAGCTGCCATGTCAGTGGCTCAGCGTGTGGCAAATGAGATGGATGTCAAGCTTGGAGAGGAGGTTGGATACAGTATACGATTCGAAGATGTCACCGGTCCAAAGACGATTCTTAAGTACATGACAGATGGTATGCTGTTACGAGAGGCTATGCATGACCACAACTTGACCAGATATAGCTGCATCATTCTCGATGAAGCCCACGAACGTACTCTAGCGACAGATATCTTGATGGGACTACTTAAGGAGGTGGCAATCAGACGCCCAGATCTTAAGATCGTCATCATGTCTGCCACTCTCGATGCACAGAAATTCCAGCGTTACTTCAACGATGCACCACTTCTCGCCGTCCCTGGAAGAACCCACCCTGTCGAGATCTTCTATACGCCCGAACCAGAGCGCGACTATGTTGAAGCTGCGCTCCGGACGGTCCTCCAGATCCACGCCACGGAGCCCGAAGGAGACATCTTACTGTTCTTGACTGGAGAGGAAGAGATTGAGGATGCATGCAGAAAAATAGCTTTAGAAGCCGACGAGATGATCCGGGAAGCCGACGCTGGACCATTGAAAGTATATCCGCTTTATGGCACACTTCCTCCAGCGCAACAACAGCGGATCTTTGAGCCGGCACCGCCGCCATCCAGGCCGGGAGGTCGTCCAGGCCGCAAAGTCATCGTTGGAACTAACATTGCCGAAACCAGTTTGACCATTGACGGTATCGTGTACGTGGTTGATCCAGGTTTCAGTAAACAGAAAGTCTACAACCCCCGTATTCGAGTCGAGTCACTGCTCGTTTCACCCATCTCTAAGGCATCCGCACAGCAGCGAGCTGGTCGTGCTGGTCGTACACGTCCTGGAAAGTGTTTCCGATTGTACACCGAGGCTGCCTTCAAGAAAGAGTTGATCGAGCAAACATATCCCGAGATCCTTCGATCGAATCTTTCGAGCACCGTCCTGGAGCTCAAGAAGCTAGGAATAGACGATCTCGTTCATTTTGACCTTATGGACCCTCCAGCCCCCGAAACACTCATGCGCGCATTGGAAGAACTTAACTATCTTGCCTGTCTCGATGACGATGGCAACCTTACTGCTCTTGGCAAGCTGGCATCAGAGTTCCCGCTTGACCCCGCCCTTGCAGTTATGCTCATTTCCTCACCCGAGTTCTATTGTTCGAATGAGATCCTTTCACTCACTGCGCTTCTTTCCGTACCTCAAATCTTTGTCCGCCCAGCAAACGCCAAGAAGCGAGCCGACGAGATGAAGGCTCTATTTGCTCACCAGGATGGCGACCATTTGACCATGCTTAACGTTTATCATGCATTCAAAGGTGCCGCCGCGCAAAGTGATCCGAAGAGATGGTGCCACGAACACTTCCTCAGCCTTCGTGCTCTGCAATCTGCAGACAATGTGCGCCAGCAGTTGAAGCGAATTATGGAGAAGTCAGAACTGGAGCTGATAAGCACGGACTTCAATGATAAGAACTACTACACCAACATTCGACGCGCTCTCGTTGCAGGTTTCTTTATGCAGGTCGCGAAGAAAGAGGGTACGGGTAAGACGTACAAGACCGTCAAGGATGACCAAAGCGTTCTGCTTCACCCCAGTACCGTCCTCGGCGTTGATAGCGAGTGGGTAGTGTACAACGAGTTTGTGCTTACCACGAAGAACTATGTGAGGACTGTAACTTCTGTCAAGCCTGAATGGTTACTGGTATGTACCTCTCTTCTCATCAGCTGGATGCTATATCGTCAAATACCTGGCAGATTACTGATCGTTTCTTGATAGGACATCGCACCCACCTACTACGATCTATCCACATTCCCCAAAGGCGAAATCAAGACGGCACTGCAAAGGACACTGGACAAGATCAAACGAAGGCAAGCCATGAAAGGCGGACGATAGTGGACTCGGTGTCTCGTTTTCCTACACAAAACCCCATGTTCCTGGGGATGCATTGTCTTGGGAGGTCATCTTCTGGGAGGGCCTTTCTCTGGCGTTCTGTTACTTGGAAGCACAAAAATATTAAACCTGGCGGTGTATAAATCGGGCCTGTTGCATATCTCGGAGTGTCTGGTAATGAGTGGTAGGCGGTTACTCGTCTGCTCCTATTCGCAGAATATTGTTTTCTGGCAGCAGGAGATAGAAGTCAATAGAATAAGAAGCCAATACTCTTAGACCTCGAAAACCTGATTATAAGACTACACATTGTACGTGATATAATGTGATATGCAAATCCTTTTAAGGAAATACGCACAATAGCTCAAGGGTGGCTACCAAATAGGAAGCGATCCGGTGAACAGGATATATTGTGGGTTACCAGTTGCGGTTTATCGCCGCCGGTCTTCGACGTTTTCAACCTCCACATCCCACAATTCGGGATATTTGCTTAAAAGGGTAGAAGGATTCAAGTTGGGGATTGAAAAGACTGGTCGAGATTCTGCGCGGTACAGTGGAATGGTCCTTTTGTCGACTCTCAATCAGACGACCAGCATTTGGATGGGGTAATAATCACCGACGGGAAAACACTTGCTACCCAATGGATCGTGTGTCTTTCTCTGGATTGGCTTGGTGTTCTAATGCTCTTCGTATTTGAAGGCCGAGGGCTGACGAGCCTCCGAGAGATCAGATAGCTGAAGGAGAGAGGCAGCTCCCGCCGCGCCGGCCCTCCCGATCCCTTCGCACACCATATCATGCCTGATGTATGCAAGTATACGGATTATGGGGGCTAGTGGGAAGGAAAGAACACCGACTGCGCCTTATGTTCAGCAGGGTGGTGCTCTATGGCGCTGACCGGGTACTCGGTTGCGGGGAATCTCATTTGACCTTGGCCTTGTACAGCACACGCCTGATGGTTTCTTTGGTTGGTGGCGTCGTACGTGGCTGGAAGATCTGTGTAGCGGTGTGGGTACTACGGAGTATGGAAGACCTGGTCTTACATCGTTCTCAGGTGGGTTGCGTGCGTAAGGTACATACTGCGCTACACAGCACAGTTGGCGTTGCGATGAGGCTCTTCCGTCAACAGTACTTCCGACCAACCCGGCAACTGGACATCGTCGCTGTTGACAGATACGCGCAAGTGTGAGGGAATCCTGCCACAAGGGCAAAGCATCGACGTTCAGACACGGCTTGGGATCAATGCAAGGAGTTGAGATATATCTTGTCCGCCCACCAATTCAATTTGATATGGCCAAAAACACTGAACACCCTACGAGAGACAAGCATTGACTAAGGTAGTCTCTGCCTAGGGGCGGCGGGCCGTGGCGCGCAACGATTGACAACTTGACGGCCACTATAGCCTCCTTGCACTTTCCTAGGTCCAGGTCTCTAAAGGACTTTTGTCACACCTGATCTATCGGTTCCTCGGTCATCAACGGAGCGGTTTCGACCCTTCTTGCAGGAGAGTAGGCGGGGCCAGGGAAGAGCACATGTAAAGGGTAACTGCCTTGCGCATGGCAACATTGGGGCTTTCTCCGCACGTGGGAGTGAGCACATCGCTCCCACTTGGGACTATGGGTTCTAGAAACCTTCACGCGATCCACGTCGAGAGCACAAGCCCTGCAGATTGGTGGCGCGTGCAGCTTCGTTACTGTATGTATGATACGATTATTGCAAGCCCAAAATTTCTCCGTTCTCATTGACAAGTAGGACTTTTGCCCACTGCAAGCCAGAGCATGTATGCGGGCACATAATCAGTGCAGATGTATGCATGTCATGCGTCTAGAACCTTGGGTTGATATTCATTGATAACAATGGGATCAGACCCCAGCTCCTTAGAGTCTGTCAAGAGACGCCCCTTCTCGGATGCTGAGAGAAGAGTACTGCTAAAAGGGTGATGGGGAAGTAATGATTGCCTCAGTCGAAGATGAACTGGGGCACTCGCGCCACAGAATGGACGGGGGCTTCTCGATCCTGGAATATCATAGCAGGTATGTATATATATCGACATTCAATCTCCCTCGCTTTTCGAAAGTTCGAGGTCCGAGCTTCCTTCTGCCTCTTGAGCTACCTCCCTGGCATCCTTATACTGCCCGAGAGCTCGTATAAAACTCTGAAGCCCTCAGTTCTACATTCTAGCGCCTCACGCGCATCAAAACGCTTCACTGCCAGCGGGTAGTGGCCCCCCAAAATGAGCGGTACTGGAGGTTATTACAAGTACCGGTGTAAATACTGGTTGACTTATAATTGCCCGAATTGGGTGTGGGTTAATAATGCATCTTGTGCACATTGCTTGGTGAGCTCTCAACTTGACATTGCCATTCACATGAATATGTGAGTTAACTCTGATTAGGCAGAGGGCCGCGACTCCGAGACCGCGGTGCTGTCTGGCGCATTCAGCAGAGTGCCAGAGACGTACGTAGTACATCTTGAAACTTGTTCCCTGCACTGCAATAACAGGGAGACCATCGAAGCCAGCGGCGGGAAGGGTGAATGGGGCTTGGAGGACGGCCCTTCACAGCTATTCCCAACAACTTCAGAACATTTTGGGCTCGACGCCCATGAATTATGGTCTTGATCTTCATCAACTTCTGAACACAGAATTCTAGCATAAACGGCAGAAAGGAACTGGTTGGACGGCGGGAAGGTCGAGCGAGTCCAGAGAGGGGAGAAAGTGGTAAATTCAGTGTTATTTTTGCAGTTACTGGCAGGTTCAACTTTTTGGAAGTATTTATTGGGAGGAAACAGAGCTCAAATTTGATCAAATGGTACCACCAGGTTCAATATCTCTTAGGTCTGACGAAACTTGTCTTCATGAATCATGCTTCTCAATAAAGTGTGTTATAAAAGTTTATGGAGGGTCTACTTGGAAAACATGATCTGCTGATGTAGTGGAGAGGGCTATAGATTGATCTAATTGGAAGAGACAAAAATGTTGGGTTGTCTTCTGAACTGGTAGCTCGAGCTGTGCAATCACTTGATTTCCTTTGGCATTGCAATCCAAGCTACCAAGCTGTGTCAATACGTCCAAAGTAACTCACCAGGACAGTCTGTCCAGATCAGCAACGTCGATCAGGATTATCTTGATATAGAGCGACTGCTTCTGACCAATAAGGGGGCCACGTCTGTGGATTAAGAGCATGGTCTCTCGTGACACGCCAACTTGGCAGACTCCGCGATCGAGATATGCTAGACATCGAAGCCTCTCTGTATGCATGTTCAAAATCGAGATCTGCTTTGTAATGACCGCTGAGTTGTACCGAGGAAATCGAGTCGCAAAGGATCGCTGTCAAGGGGCATGAGAAGGGCCACCTACCTGGAAACGACGGGTATACAGGTTCCAATCATATGGTAATTACCTAATGGATTATAGCCATAATGTCAAACTGAGGACGAGCAGCTGCGATGGGAGCCTGTAATAGGTTAAATAGTTATATATCGTTGCATTGCCTGAGCCATGAAGCGCTGAGCTGTGCAGGAACCAAAAGGTATGAGATACAATAGAATTCTGTTCGATGCTGTCAGTAGACCCTTGTAATGTAGATATGTAGCCTACAGTACCAGCGAGACGCTTCTGATGGCGTGGCAGGGCAAGGTTTCCTCTTATGACGATCGATTCAGAGGTTAGAGTCGGACATCAACAGTGAGGAGAAACCCGATTGATCACCAAGGTACGGGATCGGGAAGATTACTGGCCGATCACGTGGACAATAAATGCCTAAGGTATCAACCTCAAAGCAGTTTGGTCTAACATCTCGCTTCGACGACACTTCAGCCTCCAGGACGACACTCAAGATTTGCCAAGGTCAGCATGCAACAGCAGCATTAGAAGATTCTTATGCCAAACAAGGGAATCAACCGTCGACATATGAATATTCCAGCCAGCAAGATTGCCGACAAGGACCAGCCTATCCAAGTGATGGGATGCGTCCGCCTTTGTTTCTTCCTTCGTCCAGCAGATAGATGGCTGTAGCCATCCTAGTCTATTGCCATTCCACGTGCGAATGGCATTCTCAAGCAAAGTAACGCATATTTGATAATTGTGGAAGGAGTGCTAGACTACCAATCGTCTAGGGGCTACCCATGACTTTTCCTTTATATTCTCCTATCATATCTTTCTCTATCCTGTCGTCACAGCACTCGTATTGTCACCCCTATATTGCATCCGCTAGTAGATAAGGTACTGTAGCTGATCTCCGCAATCATGAGGAGGCGTCAAACTGTGCATGGCTTTAGGGTACCCTATAGGTACTGAATAGGGTCTGCCGAAGACTAGATGGACCATCATGCAAGAGCCCACATTAACATGAATTCAAGAGTCAAATGATAGTTTCGTTTTTTGTCTTGGAAAAAACCACAGTAGGAACACCATCTCTGAATACCTATACGTTCCTTATGAACATACGTGCTTTCCTTGAGCAAGTCTGTAAAGTTGGCACGCTTGTTCGCTCTTGCCCAAAGCGAGGTGCTCAGGTAGTCAATTATCCTGCAACAAGACCTCGCCAGCTCTCTCCTAGACAACTGCAACTCCATCTATCAACAACCTCAGAATTCTGTAGCCACACTCCCTTCATTGCCTCGACTTGGTATCTGATCGTGTCAGCTAGCACTGCACTCGGTCAGACACCCTCGTCTACCAAGCCTGATCGGTTGATCTCCTCTTCAGCAGTAAGCACCTATTCCCAAAGCCTTCCTCATTCAACCACCCTTTATTCCATGTCAGTTGGCACCAATGGGCTTGTCTTTGTAACTGCTATGACTGTGATAGGCGTTGAGGAAGAAGGGAGCGGCCTGCCTCTACAGCAAGAATCCGAAAAGGGATTCAGCCCTACGCTCAATATCACACAATGTCTTTTAGAGGGAACCAATTCATTGATTTACAGAGGCTAATTGATTGTAGCATCATCTGCATGTCACTGATCAGTTTCAGATTCTCCGACTCGCGCTCGAATTCCTCAGCTCAAGTTATCTTAGTACCAAACAAGCAGCCCCCTCTTCGATTTCTTGCCTCCTAGTTGTCATTCCAACATTTGCCTGTTCAGCGAGACGAAATACCTTGAAACGAGTACTTTCATTCCTTCAAGTTGCGACACAGCCCGGGATCCTATAGTGCTCACAGTTTGCTACGACCACCGCTTTCGTAGCGAAACACTGTCTGGCCCAGGAGAGATTACAACGCGTTCACAATGGCTTCGTCAATGTCTGACTTTAACGCACGTCGCTATTCCGCTGACGAACTGCTTCGCATGAAAAGTGAGCTTCCTGTTGTTAGCTGCGTCGTAGCAAAACTGAACAAACATCCTGATATTGGTACGTGATGATAGACCTATTTACTCACTTTGAGCTTAGCATTAACAACACTATTGTAGCTGCAATCCTGAGAATCCCTGAAGAAGCCTTTAACGATCCAGAGCGTTATTTCTGCAAATCCGAGAGCCTTATCGACGTGACGAACCGACGTAAAGTTGCACATCCAAACAAAAGTCACGGCAGTGGAGGTTTGTCTGAAGAAACTGAAGACCAAGCCATCTCGGCAGCCGATCTGAATCGCGATTCTCTACACATTCAGTGGAATCTGCGTCCACGAGATCGCTCTGATCGCTCTTCCCAACCACATCCGGCACCCTCTGGTACCACAGCTCAGCAATCAGAGAATTTCCAGAGATTCTACAGAGCAGTTGTCTCACCTACTCACGTTCGTGTCACAGCTGGTGGCCGAATCGTCCCAAATACTCGGGCTACGGCACCGCCTCAATTTGAGTGGAACGGAGAGAAGCTCATGTTTGAGCCCCGCAAGATTTTTCCTGAGATCGAATTGACAGGCCTTCAACCGCCTCCCTCACTCCACAGCACAAGTTTCCCAACAGGATTTCCTCAGCTGTTCCCAGCTGGTTTCATGCCATCCTACAACTACAATCCGCAAATCAGTTCTGCTCTAGCAGCCATGGCGGCTCAAAACCTCGGAGTCCTCAGTGGCAACGATCAGAATTCCTCTCAAAATAGCCACCCCCCTGCGCTTAACGGGGAATCTGGTGCCGGCCCATCAAGTCCTGCACAGCCTATCAAGATCTCGCCCCCAAGCCAATTCGATCATTCGAAGCCGTTCATGTTCAATGGCCATGTGGTCTATCCTGTGCCGCCTGGACATCAGCCGCCTCCACATGCTCTTCCTTTCCCGTTCGGCATGATTGGAAATCCCAACTTGGCGCATGGCACTCTTGCTCCACCGCCAGGAGGTCTCTATCTACCTCAGCTTCCAATGCCAATGGGTCATCCACCTAGTTCTCTGATGGTTCCTCCCCTAGGTCAACCACCAGCACTGCCAATTCCGAATAGCACCCAGTCTCCTCTTCTAGAAAATGCCCCATTACCTGCTCCATACCTTCCAATCCCTGGCATCGTTTCGGTTTCTGAACTCACCAAGCTTCAGATTCAAGGCTTTCGCAACCATCTCAAATTCCTCGATAATCAAATTGCGAATAACAAGCACCAAATTGATGAAAACTATATGGAAAATCAGCGCAGCGAAGTTACGGCTACCATTGCCAAGATGGAGGCTATGCTGGAGATCCAATTGGCACATGAACGCAAGCAAAACATCGGCCCATTCTTCAATAGTACCATGGAACCTGCTTTTGATTCTCAACCAGCCAAGAATTCGGCGAGTGGAGATATCCGCCAAATGGGAGAGAAGTCCAGCGGGGTAACTTCATCGGTTTTGGCCAAAGATGGAAGCGTAGTTGGAAAAACGTCACCACTCCCCCTGGATAAAACTGTAGCCCAATCATCAACAGTACAGACAACAAAGGCTGAGGGGGTCCCGGATATTGATGGAACCAGTGAATCAAAGCCGTCCAATCGTCCGGGACCGGTCACCAAATCACGGTTGACAGCTGCGGCAGCAATGGCACCACCCTTCCAACCACGAACACAAGCCATGGTAGCAGCAAATTCTTTCGCTAGACCTGCTCCTAACTCTGCCGCGAATCGCGCTCCGTTGGATAGCCAAACATATACAGAGGGTCGAATCACTGACTGGAGTCATCCCACCTATCCGACAACGACCACTGGGACTGGCCATGCAACCCTCTCAAGGGCACATACTATCCACGATCCATCCATCTACACTCAGCATGATGGCTTGCCAGTTAGCTTTCAGCGATTTCATACCATACATGGGCAGCATGCAGCATTCAACTCTTCAATCGTACCAGGGACCTCCCCCGTGCCTTATCTAGTTGGCACTCTGCCGCAAGGAGTGCAAGCCAGCGAGGCTCGAGCATCTGATCTTCTTTATCCTCGACCACTAACCGATGAGGAAATCCGCGCGAGGTATCTGTATTGGGGTAAGGCTCCCCGCTCGGCCTATGGAAGTCTGCCAAAGTTTGATGGAAAGGATTTCTACCCTCCTTCTCCTGTAAAGGAAACAATTCGTCCAGCTTCTGACTCTCCAGCCAACAAATCTGATGCTAATCGTCACTCTACTCCTGCCCCGCTTGATTTCGAGAAGCTCTTCACGGTTCCAGAACAATCTGGGTACAAGACACCTCCAAGTCGCCCAAAGCACGGTGCCCCGACTGTAACCGCGACTCCAACTCGGGCACCCTTGGAGAATATTAACATCGACTTCCGACCTCCTTCACGGAGACCATCTGGGCATAAGTATGAAGCTTCCACCGTTCCTGGATCGTCAGCAGACCACCATGACTCCCAAGATGCTGCACTCAAGCTGGCGATGCAGGCGGCTATGGATCAAAAGGCCAATGTTACTCAGGCCGATGACTTCTCCAACTTGTTTCTTGAGCCCGGTGTTCCCGGTTACAAATCTCCAACGCCACCACGCCCAGCTGCAAGCCAATTTGGGTTGAACTCCAGCAAAGAGGACGCGATGCATGCCACCCCGAAGGAAGATTCTGCGTTTCAGCTAGTAATGCAGCCGGCTGGGGATAAGAAGACCAACGTTACCCAGGACGATGACTTCTCCAACCTGTTTCTTGAGCCCGGTGTTCCCGGCTACAAGTCTCCAACTCCACCACGCCTAGGTGCCAGCCAATTTAGGTTGGGTTCCAGCAAGGGAGAGGAGATGCCTATCACTCCCGAGGACACCAGATCGAATGTAGACAAGGAAGATGAAGATGATGAAACTGGAACCTTGGATTCGTGGGGAGCCCCTACTCATTATGCTCAATGGCGCTCAACTGAGCTCGTCACTCCTGTTCAACTGAAGAAAGGAGCAGATAGTAAAGAATCGACCATCGAGATCCGTCCAACTCAGACGGCCAAAAATGAGTCGCCAAAGCATGCGGATAAGACTGGCTTTATTGACTATACAGCAAGTTCAAGCAGGTGAGACTATTTACCATCCCTTGCCTCCTGTCTGTAGTCCGGACTAACAATATATTCAGCTCGGAGCAACACAACCTCTTCTTGCACAATATGTTGAGAAATACTGCTCAGATAGCCATGGCAGCCCCGGCTTTAGGAACGGTCTCCTCTGCAACTGCTCAGGGTTACCTGCCCCAATATCGCGGCTCGGCAGCTGCTTCTCTGGCTCCAGCTATGTTCCATAGTCCAGGGCGTGATGGTGAGCATCAGACGTCGAAGGTAGAGCAGCCAACGTCCTCTATTGATGGCATTGTCCCGCTCATTGCCTCCAACTTCTTGCCCGAGAATCGCCCTCTCAATCGTGACCGATCTCCCGTTCGACCGTCGACGGACACATTGGGCACTGAAGTATACAAGCGTTATCTTTCTCGAAAGGTGGACGGGGACAAGAAGGTCATTGAGCAGGGATGGAATGCCAACACCACTGCCACTGGTCCTGTCATGGGCTCCGACTGGTAGATTGCCTCTTATCAAGTCGGCCTTTTATCTAGGAAGCTTTGCGTAGGGCTTGTCAACCTCTTACTAGCCGATCGAAAGCTATTCGAAAATATCCATCGGACCTTTATGCTTTACTTTTGCTGCTCTATTCCTCCTTCCACAACTGAAATTTGCAGAGTACTACCATGGGTGGGCCGGCACGGTTGTTGGCATTGGTCGCACGTGCTTCCTCTTCTTCCTCTTTATCTGGCTCGTCCAAACCTTATCTCTCCGGATTGCGAAGCGCGGAATGCTGGAAGCTGTTGTATTGTTGGTACCGCGTGTATGATTATATTGGCCTTATCTCCTCTCGCTTTCTTTTCCTCTCCGCAATGGGGGGCTGCTATGGGGATATTTGAGGGTTGATGGGTGGCTTCTGGGCCTTCATGATGATCTGGGCATGCATCTCCCGAGGGAAAGTAGGGGCGCAGAAACGAGGGTATGTTCGCGGAGGGAGGAATGCTCGGTATACTCTCTAAAGACAATAGTGATAATAAAAAAGAAGTTTTCTCTACATAGATGGTCTGCGGTGAAGGGTGGTGAAGTGGGCACACGATGGAGGTTACGGTAACGGTAAGTGGTACTATGATGCAATGCAGAGGGATTCCGTACTACTGCGCAGGGCCGGGACGATAGTGACGATAGACGATCCAAAACGAATCAAGGAATTCAAGGCATGGCGGCAGGGATACATGGCGACCAGGGCCGCTGCACAGTCAGCACGCGGCATAGTGTGTAGTATGTACGGAGTACGGAAGATGCGAGGGATTCTCTTTATTATCTTGGGGCGTTGTGTGTGTTGCGTTGCAGTGCAGGGGCGAGAGGAATTAATACTATTCTAAGAGAGGGACTGTAGATAGTATACGTTGCCACGTTGAATGGACCGGAGAGCAGCGGGAATAATGCGATGGGCACACAGTAAGGTAGAAGGAGGATTGGTGGTGGCTCATCACTGCATCAGGCCAAAGCCGCAAAGACTACTCCGTACGGAGTGGACAGGACAGGATCGGGACGAGGGAAAGGAAGCGCGTGGCACGTCGCATCTAGAATAATATGGATAATATGGCCCGTGGTGTGGCTCTGGCAGTCTGGACTCTGGCGGCCGTCCCTCTCTGATGAAACCATACTCCGTAGAGACCCGCCGCGTAGGTATGAGATGTGGCAGGGGGAGCCAGCCGCATATGCGCAGTGGGAAAGGGGGATTGGCGAATGGCCGTCGTGAAGATAGATTATGTATATTTTGGGAACAACTGTTTTGAATTATCTTTCAGGAGGATGAAGAGGCTTGGTGGAAGGAAGAAGAAGAAAAGAAGAAGAAGAATGATGGAAGAAGAATGGAAGAAGATGGTATCATACACAGCCAAGGAGGGAAGAGGCAAAAGGAGAGTTGGGACAGGCGGAGCTAAAGACGAAGACGGGTGGGGGCCGTTGATGGCGAAGTTGATTGCGAAGGGCCAAGGCCAAGGACATACACGATGATACGATACGATAATGATTGATACACAGGTCGGGTATTAGTATTACCAAGCATCGCAAGAAGGAGAAGGAGAAAGGACAAAAGAGAGATAACAACAATGTACCTTTAATATCATATATCATATATCTGTAGCAGTCCAATATTTCCTGTCGCTCTGCCGCGTCCAGGCGAGTCGAGTCGAGTCGAGTCGTTCCTCTCAGAGCGCGCGCCCCTTTTTGACGACGGAGAACCTCCATCAGGCCCTTACTCGTCCTTTGTTGAGGCTCACGAGAGGATCCTCTCTGCATTGATTACATTGATTAATCCTGGCTGTCATCCACCATCCACCATCCACCATCCACCATCCATCATCCATCGCCATCAACTCTCCCTTCGACGTACTCAGCTTACGACCATTGCACGACTGCGGGACTCCGTACCGCCAACGCCAGCCGCCCAGTGACCATCCAGTAGTGGGGACTCTTCCTCTCTCCCTCTGTCCTCTCTCCGTCTATCTATCCAACGAACTCTCTCTCGGATCTCTCCCTTTTCCAAGGTTTCCCCCCTTCTCAGGACGACTACAACTACAACTACTACAACTACTACTGTACTTATTACTACTGTACACTACTACTACTCTTTTCCCCTCTCTTTGCTTCCTCCTCTCTCCTCCTCTCCTGCTTCCCCCTCTTCCTGCCTCCGTTTTAGCAGCGGATTAGCGGCGGATTAGCGGTGGAACAGCAGTGATTAGCAACGCTCGCGAGCACGGCCCAACGTCAACGGACTAATTGAGGTCAAGTCGAGTCGACACGACACGACACGACACGATCACTACTGCTCTTGCTCTGCGCTGCGCTACTCTGCTCTGCTCTGCTCTTGCTCTGCTCCAGTAGTGACACCGCCCGGCCACAGACCAACAGACTACATCTCTCGCGTCAACCCCCCCCAGCCAGCTAAACTTCCAAACCAGTCCCGAACTAGATCAACAACACCGTCCTTTCCTCATCCTCACTCTCTCTCTCTCCTCCCTCCCCCCACCCTCCTTTCCCACTCATCTTCCGTCTCCCCCCGTCATCATCACCCCTTCACCCCATCGTCGTCGTCGTCGGCTCCCCAAAGGCAGAGAGGCAGCTCCATGCCAGCTGCTCATCATCCTCGATGACGGCTCTCTTCCACTCCTCGCCACAAAGCTCTCTTCCCAGCGAGAAGAGGAACGCTGGCCTCTCCATGTCCCCCAACAAGCACCCCAATGGCACCAGCCACTTCCCCCAGAAGCTCAAGAACTTCTTCCGCATCAACAGCAATCCCACCAATGGCGAGAAGAACGACGGCGCCGTCAAGGCCGAGAACAAGAGCTCCTTCCGACAATCCAAGTTCTTCTCAGGGGGCGGACGGAATCGCTCCACCACCGTGGCCAGCGAGGGCAATGCCTTGGATGATGCCGTCAGTCCCACCGCCCATGCGAACCCCTACTTCGTACACCAGGGCCCCCCCGCGTTACGGCATCACAATGACGGCTCCGTCCCCCCCAGTCCGCCAGACACGCCGACGCTGAAGGTCAATGGCGTGTCGGGTGCCAACGACCAGGCGACCATAGCTCGCAAGGAGGAACTGGCTCGGAAACTGAGGAGGGTCGCCAGTGCGCCGAATGCACAAGGCCTCTTCGCCAGCGGCAACGGCAAAGGTGGTGAGGATAGACCGGGCACGGCTGAGCTGGGCAAGGAGCCATTGGCGATGACCCAGACTGCCAGCACGAGCATGCTATCTCTGGTTGATAAGCAAGTGTCCAACGGCAGCACCCTCACAATCCCCACGCAAGATGGACTCGGAGCCCTGCAGCCACCCAATCTGCGGAATACTATCGCATTTAGGAGGACGTACAGCTCGAATTCCATCAAGGTGCGGAATGTTGAGGTCGGGCCATCAAGCTTCGACAAGATCAAGTTGATCGGCAAGGGAGATGTCGGGAAGGTCTACTTGGTGCGGGAAAAGAAGAGCAGTCGGCTTTATGCCATGAAAGGTATGTATCTGGTCTCACCCGCTTGAGGAGGCGCCTGCCAACTAACCCTTTCCCAGTCCTGAGCAAGAAGGAGATGATCAAGCGGAACAAGATCAAGAGAGCCTTGGCCGAGCAGGAGATCTTGGCCACGAGCAACCACCCGTTCATTGTTACGCTTTACCACTCGTTCCAGTCGGAGGACCATCTATACCTGTGCATGGAATACTGCAGCGGTGGAGAGTTCTTTAGGGCGCTACAGACCCGGCCGGGGAAATGCATACCGGAAGACGATGCACGCTTCTACGCAGCGGAGGTTACTGCTGCGCTAGAATATCTGCATCTGATGGGATTCATCTACAGAGATCTCAAACCAGAGAGCAAGTCTCTTCCTCCCCAAACTGTCATGGGGGAATGCTAACAGGCGCAGATATTCTGCTCCACCAATCTGGTCATATCATGCTATCAGACTTTGATCTGTCCAAGCAGTCGGACCCCGGTGGAAAACCAACGATGATCCCTGGTCGAAACGGTACGAACTCGAACTCGCTCCCCACAATCGACACAAAGTCCTGTATAGCGAACTTCCGAACGAATTCCTTCGTTGGGACAGAGGAGTATATTGCACCGGAGGTCATCAAGGGATGTGGACATACAAGCGCGGTGGATTGGTGGACTCTCGGGATCCTCGTCTACGAGATGCTGTTCGGTACTACACCCTTCAAGGGCAAGAACCGCAATGCTACGTTCGCCAACATCCTGCGAGATGATGTGCCATTCCCAGAGCACTCTGCATCTCCTCAAATCTCAAAGTCAGTCCATATATATATACGTACGAGTAGTATCGACGCTAATCTCTTTCTCTAGTCTCTGCAAATCCCTTATCCGAAAACTCCTAATCAAAGATGAGAACCGTCGTCTCGGTGCCCGTGCCGGTGCTTCAGATGTGAAAGGGCATCCCTTCTTCCGAACCACGCAATGGGCTTTGATCCGCCACATGAAACCACCTATGATACCCCACCAAGGACGAGGAATCGATACGGTTAACTTCCGAAATGTGAAGGAGAGCGAGAGTGTCGATATCTCTGGAGGGAGAGCGATTTCGACGATGCCCAAGGGCGTGCCTCTTGATTCAGGTCTGGCGACCCCCTCTGGGGAGGTGGTTGTTGATCCATTCGAGGAGTTCAACTCGGTGACTCTCCACCATGATGGAGACGAGCCTCAGCACGAGGATCTCCATAACGGACGGTACGATGATTAAACCGCTTCGTCGACGTCCCTTCCGAGCTCGGCTGCCAGTGATATGGAGACGCGAGGTCTGTGTGTTGTGTACGTTTACTATGAGGAGGCTCTCCTCAGATGCGGTTTTATGAATTGTTGCTCGTCTCGATGTCCCTCCTGCATGAGACGAGCAGGCGGGGGCGTTTGCCGCGGCGCGCCCCATCTTCCCCTGTATGCGCATCCGGGAGAAAAAAAAGCAGCTGGACATGTTCTCTTTTTTCCTGCATTGTAAATATGGGCCCTACATGAGAATTTGTGCAAAGCAAGATTGGGAAATTGGTCGGGTGGGAAAGAGGCGTTCTACAGGGTTGTGTTTGTTGGTTCTTTTTCTCTTTTTTTACAGCAGCAGCAGCAAGCAGCAAGCAGCAAGCATCCGGGTCTATGAAATCTTGTCTTGTTTGATTGATTTGATTCTCCTCCCAAGAGAGAGAGAGAGAGAGAGAGAGAGAGACGCGACGAATGAACGATCTGTCCCGTCTCATTAAAACCACGCAGACAGAAATTATAGTTTTCTCGAGATCCCCCCCCTTTGGGAGGTTCTTTAGTACTAATACATTAAATGAAATGAGAAAGCTGGTGAGGGGGAGGGAAGGAATGATGCGGGAAGTAGTGGATAGTTGAGAGGGTGGGAAACAAAAGGAGAGGAGAGGAGAGGAGAGGAAATGGAAGGAAGGAGAGAGGGAAAAGGGGAAGGGGAAGGGGGAGATGAGATACAGGATAGGTCTAGGTACCTAGGTACCTTAGGTTAGCATGAAATGGAATGGGAACGAAAAAAACCCATGAAATCAGAGAAAGAGAGTTGAAATAAATGGAATCCGTAAATGAGAAAGGTGCATAATCCCTATGTTTCTTCAAGTGCTTTTATCGTCTATCTATATCTATTTTTAGGGAGGAGGTAGGTATGATGTATGATTCATGGTGGGTGGTGCATGGTGCGTGCATGTGCTGCTTGCTGGTTATTGAGTAAGGTATCGTATGTAGTATATCTTTATATATACACGAACTACCACCATCATCATCATCATCTTCTTCTTTTCACATTCCAAAAGAGCTATACATATAACGCTCGTTCACTCGCTATCAAACATTCCAAGCCAACCACCCATCTACTCTGTCCCACCGCCACCACCACCACCCTCAGGAATCAATTTCTGCAACGCCAACACCGTAATCTCCAAGACCTCCTGACTCCTACTCATCTTCAGACACTCCTTCAAGGCCTCGACGCCCCCGGCCTCTCTCACCTTCCGCACGCCCCACTCGCCGACCTTGGCCGGCGCCGACACGACGTTCAGGACGCACACGACGCCGCGATGGCGCAGCTCCTCCGAGTCCTCGCGGCAGAGCGCGAGCAGGATGGCCACGCCGCGGTCGCGCTCCAGCATGGCGTTCACGGCCGTGTCCCACTCGGAGAGGGAGGCGAGGGCGCCGCCGGCCGCGCGCCGCGTCGCGAGGTCCTCGGCGTCCGCCAGCGCCAGGAGGATGTGCAGACGGTGGCTGGCCGGCTTGCTGCCGTCGGCGAACTTGGCCACGCATTCCGGCGAGAGCATGAGGTTGCAGAGGAGCTCGACCGTGGCGCGCGTGACGAGCTTGTTGCGGGAGAGGAGCAGCTCCTCGAGCTGCGGGAAGGCGAGCCGGATGATGGGGTTGCGGGCGCTGTCCGACGTGGATGCGAGGTTGGTGAGGGCGAGGAGGGATTCGAAGACCGGGAGGAGGTCGCGCTGCTCGACGGTGGGGTCGTCGGTGAGGAGGAGGAGGAGCGGGCGGATGGCCGAGGTGAGGGGGAGCGCCGTGGAGCCGCCGAAGACGTGCGTGGGGTTCGTGCTGATCAGGATGCGGGCGAGGGCATGAGCGGTGGTGCGCTGAGCGCTGGTGTTGGAGGAGGGGAAGGTGGAGAAGGCATGTAATAGGAGTTTGACCCCGCCTTGCTGGGCGATCTGACCGCGGATCTGGGGGGTTTTGGAAAGGGAGAAGACGATTGAAACGACCAAGGTCAAGGATGCCGTTGAGCCGTACTGGCTATGTGTTACGAGGACCGGGATCACTCCTGCTTCGAACACGGCCTGGCATCTTCTTGCAACATGTTCGTCGTCATTAAGAGGGTCCGGCTTCGCGGTGGATTTGGATGCGTTCGCGTATGCCTTAAGCTGGGTCATACGCTTCTGCTCTTCTGATAGCGCTGGCATATAAGTAGTGAGATTGACCAAGATGCTGAGCGCTCCATATGTTGCAGGAGATTTTGCAGGCGCTTCTTTCAGCGCCGCAACCAGATTCTTCAAAAATGATTTATCGGATGCTAGATCCTCTTTGACCTTGGGCTGCAGGGAAGCGTATGCTAAGCCCTCTATTGAGCTCTGCTGAGAAGAGTCTGCAGTGAGCATATTCTTGAACATGAATGAGAGGTCCTCCATGCTTGTCGTAGCCGGCTGGATCCTTTCCTCTGTTCCGTCACTGGGGGTGGAAGGGACAGCCTTCATTCCTGAAGTCAGTCAGAATCCTTAAGCATATCAGACTCACAACAGTTCATAGACCGGGAAGATTGAGAACTAGGCTGATGCCACCTACCTGGAGCTTTGCCAAGACAACCGCGGCTAGATTTCTAACCTTCTCAGAATGAATCCGCTGTTGAATGGGCCCATCTTCGGCAACAAGATGTCTCTCGGGCGATGGTACATTGACAGGCGCTGCAGGGACATCACTGACGATTTTCTCCAGCCACTCTGTACAGTACTTCCGGATCGCCTCACGGCAAGGGGTGTTCATACATGCTGCATTCAACATCTCCAAGGCAGCCTGTTCAACCTTCTTGCTCTTCCATTTTCTCTCCATTAAAGGCCCAAGGCTAGAAACGAATCCCTCACTCAAGAAAAGCGTGGCTATGACATCTGGAACCACTGGGAATATGCATGCCGCAACGGAGAAGGCAAATATGAAATCATCATAGGTGGCCTTGCCCACTCGTGAATAGAAGAAGTTTGACAGATACTCGACGCCCTGCTCGCCGGACGCCTTCAAGTATGCTGATGTAGCCAAAGTCGCGTGACCCCGAACAGTTGGCGATTGCCTCATGTCAAGATAGCCTAGGAGAGTCTCCACGCAGTCGGCATCCATCAACTCGTGAAGTGGTTTGTGTGGTTGTGGGGATCTGGTTTCCTCTTCAGAATCATCACTTAGTAGCTTTGTGAGGGTATTCAGTTCTCTGCAAGTCTCCTCGTCCTCTTGCCCTCCCTCCATCAAGCGGGCGAGGAGCAACAATGTCTGATCTTCCAGAGAGGCATTCTTGTGTACTCCAGCACCAAGAGATGCCGGGACGCTGGCATCTACCCCGTCATTGGTGGTCTTCTGGGAAGACATCTCGGTACACTCAATAAAGTGCAATCGTGGCGATATGATGTTGCTGGAGAGTTGTCGATGTAATCGCGATTAGAGTGGTTTATTGGATCACGTGAACAGGCGTCAACCAGCTTGGGCCTAACTCGCATTTCTCGAAAACGGGAAGCGTTCTGATTGACGATTCGAATGCTCAAGATGCCTACCACGGCAACAACAAATGTACCACCAATCTTCTGAAATAAGCTGAAGACGTTAAGACGGCTGATCCCAGTCAATGCTGCTGGTTCGTCTGATGACTTCGCCAGTCAAGCCTGATATGCCTCCAATATGAACGCGGTAGATGGCTCAGATCATTATGAGCGTGCAATCGAAGGTTAGTTGCTGGCTCCAAGTCCCAAGTTTTCGATCTGACAAATTCTAGGACCTACGCCGTCCCTGCTGGTTATAGTCCTCGATACAAATCCCCATGCCTGGGCCCTCCTCTCCTCAACTCTCCCCCTCTCGAAGGCTATAGCAAACCTCCTCGTTTTCATAAATGCGCATCTGGCAGTAAACAATGCAAATCAGGTCGCTGTTATAGCCAGCCATAGCCACCGAGCAGTATGGCTCTACCCACGTCCTCCTTCGGTTTCCGAAGACGTCGATATGGGGGAGAGCGGTCCAACCAACCTCGACGATGCAAATAAATATCGACCCTTTGCCCTTATCGAAAACAGTCTTCTTGCCTCTCTTCGTAATCTCATACAGACCACCACCGAAAACGATATCTCTACAACCAGCACCACTCAGATGGCTGGAGCTCTTACCCTCGCGCTCTCCTACATAAACAAAGCCACCGTAAAATTCTCCGACCCAGATACATCCTCAAGGCCTGCCCCAACAGCCCTTGAAAATACAGAAACACTACCAATAGGTCTCCAAAGCCGCATCCTGGTCGTCTCTGTCTCGGGAGATCTGGCACACCAGTACATTCCAATCATGAACACCACGTTCGCTGCTCAACGTCTGCAGATACCTATTGACATATTGAAGCTGGCTGGAGACACGGTCTTTCTGCAGCAGGCTTCGGATGCTACAAAGGGGATCTACATGCATTTGCGAAATCCTCAGGGTTTATTACAGTATCTCATGATGGCGTTCCTGCCGGACCAGATGAGCAGGAAACATCTGGTTTCTCCAACGCAGGAGGTGGTTGATTTCAGGGCAGCTTGCTTCTGCCACAGAAGAGTCGTAGATGTGGGGTTTGTCTGCAGCATCTGTTTGAGCAGTATGTTGTCCTCTCTCTCGCTTCTTGGTCAAATACTGATTGTCGGACACAGTTTTCTGCTCTCCCCCGGAAGGGGCTATATGCCTAACCTGCTCCACGCACTTGGCGCTAGGAGACTACGGCGCAAAACCTGCTACTGTCCCCAGGAAGAAGAAGAAAAGAAGAAAGTTAAATGGAGGAGCGGAGACTGGAAGCGCGAGAGGTACACCAGCTCCTGGCGAATAGCCTGTCAATACATTGGATTATCTGCACCCAAAATTATAGACTCTGGCCGTGGTTTACTTAGCCAGGCTCTCAATCTTGTGCAACAAGTACAATTGCGCTAGATCTTGTATGCTGGTGCCTTGATACAGGTGAAAGGGGATTCGGCCTCAATATAACAAAGTAATGACTAATTGCAAGGGCATCTTTCCTGCAGCAAAAATTGCAATACTTCTGTCCAAGCAAGTTCAATTGTCACAACGGAGCTCACTCATCAATCAAGTTTCGAGAATCGGGTATTAGGTTTCTACGTAGGATTACCTCCCAGTACACACCCGGATGCAATGGCTGTGCCACACACGCTATGCAATCTATCCATCCTTGTCTCTCATGCAAAGTTACTTGGGATTTCCAAGCACAGTGGGAATTCGCTCTCTCGTCGAGCCACGCTCCAGGACCAAATGGCCAACACCATTCCCATGCAGCAGCAGCCTTGGTATCCATATGAATTCGTAAATCATGAGCGCATTTCGCAAAGCGGCATGCTCTGTGGGACACGAAGCCACAGAAAAGGAATCAGAAAATCGGCCGTGCAAAGAAATCTCAATCTTTTCAGTCGGCAAAAGATGCCATCAAGTAACTTGATAGACCAAATACACGCCCTCAATCAAGACGTATCTTTCGACCACCCTGGACAACTCGGCCCTGCTCTCCGATCCGTGACATGACCAGTTTTGCATCTTTCTCGTTCGAGTGCATAGAAGCAAGAGCAAAAGAATCGGTGTTGTGGGCAAAGTGAAGGAAGTAACCGTAAGATGTCTTCTTGACGGCCATGATACCGATTGCGCCTGCTGAGTTGCTCTCTCTGACTCCCGGGTGGCCCATGAAATCGGCCTGTACGAATGATTCCATGGCTTCTTCCTCAGTGGCTTGAATATCAGTGCCACCCACAGCTCGCCTAGTGTTGTGATATAATCTTTCTGCGCACTTCTGAGAGGCCATAGTCGTAGCCATGTGCTCACCCGTGCCACTTGTAACTGCAGCAACACTGATCTGATCTTCATCATCCACGTCGGCAGGAATTACAGCAGTGCCGATTCCGACAAGAGCAGCTGGTCCAACTCTGCCACGATGTTTCATACCAATTCCACCAGAAGACGAACCTGCGGCAATATGACCAAACATATCTATTGCAATAGCACCAACAGTGTCTGTAATCAAATCCTCATCACTCTCTCTTGCGAAGATTTTTGAGGGCGATTCTGCCGTCCCCTCTTGAGAGAATGCAAGGGGTGGGTAGAGAATACTCGATTCGATGCCTGGTGAAACAGGCCCATCACTGCTACCAGGTCTGTTCTGCGTAGACTTTGTGACCTCTCCCGTCGTCATGCCAGCATCTGGAGAACCTTTATAAACATTGTGACCACTAGAACTCGGACCGAGTAACGAGTGTGTACGCGCCTGCCCATCCTTCGCTTGACTTGCATAACGTGTGCGCTTGGGGGGAGGGCTAGGGGTAGATTGAGGGAAGCCTCGTGTCGGTGAATTGGCGTTGATGTATGTTCGATCACCGTATTGCGAGGGACTTGGAGAGCGGCGAACGGCTGGATACCGGAGGTCTTGGGAGCTCACATCTCGGGCGGGTGACGACGGCTGAGGAGAGTCAGGCTGTCCTTCATTCCAAGTACCATTCATGATAGCATTGGTGTGGTCTCGGCGTTGTTTGTTCCGTACACGTTCTTCATACTCCATATCCAAGGCTTCATCGGGTCCACCCTGGCTACTGGAGTTGCCTGGTGTCATCCCACCTCCTTCCGCACGGCGTAAATCATCCTTCCATCGCACATACCGGTCTCTAGCATTCCTCGAGACTACCATGTCATGGGGAACCACCGGGATGCCCTGCTCCCATGCGAAATCAGTAGCTCCTTGGCCTACTAGAAGATTTGGTGGAACTCTTCGTAGAGATAGCGGTTTGCTTGACATTTCGAGGATCGCTCGAGCCAGATTGATTGGGTTCCTGATTTCTATAATTATAGGCATTAGAGAGTTCATGACAAGAATAGGGCACGAAACATACGAGCCGTTGCTCCACAAGCTCCACTCCTTCCCAAGTGGTCGACAATGGTCGCATCGCATTCAACAACCCCGTCAATGGACAAGTTGCTTCCATATCCTGCGTTTGTAATTTCCTTATCTTCGAGGACCTTGATCGCAGCTTCAACAGCATCAACAGCGGTGCCGCCAGCTTTGAGAATTCGCATTGCCATGCGGGCAGCACTAAACGCAACTTAGTAAGAAATACAAGCTAGAATGTAGCTTGTGTAGCATGATTAACGTACTCATTGCAAGCACCAAGGTGAATATGTTCATTAGCAGTGCTATGATAGCCTGCACCAGCATGAACAAAGATTGCTGAGACATTAGTGGGACTTCTGGTCTTTGGAGTCCATCCAAACATCCTATCTGCAGATCCATCCATGGCTGCACGAGATGTGGTGCTTATGCTTGGTTGAGAGGAGAAGGAGATCTGTGGTGGGATTGAATTATTGTGAGAAAAACATTGGTCTGGTTGGTCAATGGACGGTGAAGTGGTAGCCTCAGAATCGTATTTCCGAGACCTTCGAAACTTAGTAGAGAGACGATGATGGGCCTGTCGAAACTTGTCTCGTACACTGCTAAGTTTGACCTGTAAATGGGACGGCTGTTGTTCCAGAACATGCTCTTGCATGGAACAACTTGGACCGGAAGTGACCCCCTCAGCATTCAAAAGAGAGCAAGAGTTCAAGTCTCAAAGATCATTCCGTTCATGTCAACTTCTTGTGTCTGCCTGAAGAACGAATAGGCAAAGAATGTCGACAGGTACCGTTCACTTTTAAGGTCCTGGAGGAGAGATCCAGATAACGAGCCCAAATCAGATTGTTGCTGTGCGGAAGCTGATGACTGAGAATGTGCCACAGTTTGCACAGTTTGAATTGAAGGAGAAATGGAGGCAGTGTGGACAAGGAGGAAAGAATGGATGGTGTTGAGGCTTGTGTGGATGTGTATGGCCGTGGGTTTCGAGATTTGCAGGGTACTATAGATTTGTTCAGTAAATCAGCTTAGTTCTCCTCGAAGAGGTTCTAACAGCGAAAGAGTCTATAGCTGCCATCCAATCCCGGCAATCCTTACTGCAGGATGATATCTCTCTGCCAGCTACATCGGTCCCCGGTCAGGTATCGAAAGAAGGAATCAGGGCGTCAAAAGCGTACTTTGATTGTGCCCAGAGAACAGTGTGAGGCAGTAAACGAGTGTCGTTGCGGAGTTCAGAGAGTATAGGAGGGATACGGACGTGATGATGCAGATATGAATGTTTGAGTGATGGTTCGCCCTATGGAGCTGTTCTGCCCCGAACAGATGCAACACTTTTGCTCTGGATCGTGATATTTAGGTTGGGGCACTTGCAATTAACTCTATTCTGAAGCTTCCTTCCCCGTAGATAGATACCAACAAGCATACCTAGGAACTTTATTTGGTCCTTGATGCTTCTTCCTCCACCGTCTACAGCTACTTTCGCCCTGGATCCTTGTCTGATACATCGATCAAGCCTAGATTGTGGACCGTTGGATTATGTCACGTGCTCGCTTCCCAACCCCGCCGTCGTCGCCGCACTGCCTCTTCGGACCTCTGTTATCTCGAAGCGGGAGACGACGACAATCTCCAGAAACGGCAGTCAATTGTTTGAATTCCCTGGAATCTCCTCTTAAAGCTGTCGCATAGTATCCCCACAGAGGTGGGACGGTATCGCGCAGCTTTATCGTCAAGATGGCTTCTCATACCCCGGCCGTTGTCATGGACAAGTACGTATCCACCCCTTAAAGGCAACCCTCAGTCAACGAGGGAGCATCTAAGAACCTAGGGATCCAGAGAACTAACTCTACATTTGCAGCGGTACCGGTTTTTCAAAGCTCGGTGGGTCATTCGCTACAATCTCATGCTCGAGGAGCTTGCTGACGAAATGTGATCGCAGGCTTCGCAGGCAATGATTCTCCCTCCTTCGTTTTCCCTACGGCAATAGCTACAAAAGGCCCTGCTGGAGGTGGTGGAGGATCCGGATCTGGAAGGCCGGCTGTAGCGAACAAGCCGTCATATCTTACTGGAGGTGCGGGGCAAGGTGGACATCTCTCCATGAAGAGAGGAACTGAAGACCTGGACTTCTTCATTGGGGATGAAGCTCTTGCTGCAGTGAATGGGCCAGGTACGTCGGCACGAAGAGTATCTCTAGAATTGTGCTGAATATCCAGGTTACGGGCTACATTACCCCATCCGTCATGGACAAGTTGAGAATTGGGTGAGCACATTCGGAATCAACCTCGAAACCTTGGATTAACCCAAGTAGGATCATATGGAAAGGTTTTGGTCGAATTCTATATTCAAATATCTCCGAGTCGAACCAGAAGACCATTATTTCCTGCTTACAGAGCCTGTAAGTCTATGTTCAGCATAACTAGTTGGAGCCTTACCTTACCTTTATTCTTGTAGCCTCTCAATCCTCCCGAGAACCGCGAGAACACTGCCGAAATCATGTTCGAGTCTTTCAACTGCGCAGGCCTTTATATTGCGGTGCAAGCAGTACTCGCTCTTGCCGCCTCATGGACATCATCCAAAGTCACTGATAGATCATTGACGGGAACCGTTATTGATTCCGGCGACGGTGTTACCCACGTCATCCCTGTCGCAGAAGGATATGTTATCGGGTCTTCCATAAAGTCTATTCCTATTGCTGGGCGAGATATTACATACTTCGTGCAATCACTCCTCCGAGACCGAGGCGAACCGGATTCTTCTCTGAAGACCGCCAGTGAAATCAAAGAAGAATACTGCTATGTCTGCCCAGACATCGTTAAGGAATTCTCCCGTTTTGATAGGGACCGCTCACGCTTTGCCAAACATGTGGTTACTCAGCCCAGTGGTCGCCAGGTTACTGTTGATGTTGGTTATGAGCGTTTCCTTGCACCAGAAATCTTCTTCAACCCCGAGATTTACTCTTCCGATTTCCTGACTCCTCTACCTAACGTTGTCGATGGTGTCATTCAATCCTCCCCTATTGATGTTCGTCGGGGCCTGTACAAGAACATTGTACTTTCCGGAGGAAGTACATTATACAAAGACTTCGGCCGCAGATTACAAAGAGACATCAAGCACCTTGTCGACGATAGGATCAGAGCTAGTGAGGCCAGAAGCGGTGGGGCACGGAGCGGTGGCTTGGAGGTACAAGTCATTTCGCACAAGAGACAAAGGCATGGACCATGGTTTGGGGGTAGTCTTCTCGGTCAGACACCAGAATTCAGATCTTATTGTCATACGAAGGCCGATTACGATGAGTACGGAGCATCAGCATTCAGACGCTTTGCACCTCTCGGTGCTCCTTCTGGTGTATAGTGACAGTGGCCAAGAGGAAACCGTGGAAATCACTTCCCCCTATTTGATGGTACTAAAAATCATTATTTGATAGCGGGCAATAAAAAGGATATATTATGCTAGTCTGCTGGCTTCCCCCTCATTGATATAAAAAGGCACTGGCTGTAATAGCAAGAGTGTGCGCTATAGAGAGTACCTGTAAAAATGCACACAGCTAAAGTAGGTGACTATTCTGTAATAGCAACACGCCCAGTAATGAGATCCGCGGCCGAAAGTTTAACATACCCTGCACTGGTATCTGATAGTTTTGCGTACCCTACCTACGCACCGCTGTTTTAATTCAGCTAATAAGAGCGTCAGGATTTAGGGACTTTAGCCAGTGCCTTTTTATATCAATGAGGAAGCCAGCAGACTAGCATAATGTACTGTCGCTGTCACTGTCGCTGTCACTGTCGCTGTCACTGTCACTGTCACTGTCGCTGTCACTGTCACTGTCGCTGTCACTGTCGCTGTCGCTGTCACTATTACTATTACTGTCGCTGTTGTCCTTCTTGTCGTTAACTAACCTCGTTATCACTTTGCAAGCCTTTAACTAATATAATTCTCTTTTTCTTTACGTAAATAGTCAATCGCGACAATACTCGTGACAATAGGTACTCGCGACAACATTCGTAATCGCGACAGTAAGTAGGTAATATCTAAGCCTTTCGGATCCGTGTTGAGATCGCTGACGTCCGGCATGCCATCGCCGAGGAAGCGCGCAACTTGGCCAACACCCTACGAAGAAACTTCCTGCCGGCTGCTTCGCGCTGCTAAGGCAGATCGCAGTTTGCCTCCATACACTAGCCTAGTATAAACCCAGAGATGGTCTCATTGAAACGTATAATTGATCTGCAATTATTATCATAATAGTAATAATTAATCTGCAATACTTGACGTCTTCGAAGGAATTTCGGACTTGTTTGTCACTTGTACGGTGGCTTTCTTTGATCCCGTTTGCGGGTTTTTATAATCATGTCAATTCAATGGCACTCGGTACATGCCTTACAATGTTCCTCTCTATTTCTTTGGTAGCACAGTTGGCTTACGAGGAAGCTGACGATGCAGGAGTAAATCTCAATATGGGCAAAGAGGTCTTCTTCTGTTTCACGGTTACTGGCTCCGTCCCAGCAACTCTGGATACGGTATAGTATTTTGCGAAAAGGATAAGCTGGACTCAGCTACTTGGTTTGTTTTTGAATTCGGCAATTTTAAAGAAGCTATGCTTATGCCCTCTCCTTGAGATCATACGGCGGAGAAGTGACCCATGATGTATGCAGTGATGTATGCCTCTATTGAATGCTGTGAAGTCCCCCAATAATATTTCTTTCTAAGACGTGAGTGCGGGGAGTATCCAACAGATCCACTACCCCAGGAAGGCTTCACACTAAGAAGGGAAGGTTTATGAGTTCGAAGCTTTCTTAGTGGGCCCTAGTCTACGGGTTTAACAATCAAAGCCACGGTTATAACACCAGCGGGCGCCACTCCGAAATGCAAGTAACCCGTGGTACAGTACATGACAAGCAGTTGCGCTTGGAGATCCGGTAGAGCGAGCCTCTCATATCCCTCGGGACATTGCGGTTCCGCAAGTTGTCAAATTAGCCCCTCCCCCGGATTGCCATTTTGATACGTCTTTAATCTTCTAGTAGCCCCTTATCGTACGCTGCAGTATGCATCTGCAGCTACGAGGTCGTATTGTTGGGCTTATCAACCCCGCAGTATTTCCCCGCAACGACTCAGTGGGCAGCCGTGTGGCCAGCCTGAGAAAATAAGTGGTCTGGATCGTCTGATAAGCGCGATGCTGCGGATCGAACCTCTCTCAACACAACACCAATCCAATTATCCAAAAGGAACAAATGAGTAGCGTATACCTACCTAGCCAAGGAAAACTTCTTGCGTCCGACTAGGCGGGGAAGCTTCGGAATCAATGCCGAGATCACGCAGGTTTCTCGAATGATCGTCCCTTGTCCTCGTCAGCAACGTAAGAGCAAGCAAGAAAGAGGAGACAGCCCACAAAGCAGATGTCTTTTGCTGCAGTGTACCACTAATTGCGTTGGAACCTTTTCTCAAACCTGCTTCTTTGGCAGTGAGGGAATGCTCAAGCCTGCCATTTGCCCGAAGCCTTTCGGACAGCCGGTAATAACTTCCTCATGTAGCTGTTGGATTGAGGATGCAACGAGCTGAGAACCAAAGGCCACCAAGGATACTAGTTACGAGTCTCTAGTTTCGGTTCCGCGTGACGGAACCCCTGATCAGTGACGGAGGGCAGCGGGGCTAGAGATCTAGTATTTTCAAGAAGTTGTACATCATGTGTCAAATGGATATAAGGAGCGGGAATACCCTGATGCTCCTCCATTTCATCAACATCCAATTTCTTTCATAAATACTAAGTTCCTCATTCTTGCCTCATTCTTAATACTCCAAGTTTAGTTGAAAAAGTGAGCTCAACGTACAAAGCATAACTCACTAGTATAATGGCTTCAAATATCCCGTCCGAGCAATGGGCACAGGTGGTTGAAAAGACAGGCGGGCGTGAGTCCACCATGAATCTCCCCCTCAACCTATCAATGGCCTCCTGACATTCTTTAGCCATCGTGTACAAGAAGATTCCAGTCCAAAAGCCCGGTCCAGATGAGGTTCTCATCAACATCAAGTACTCTGGTGTCTGCCACACCGATCTCCACGCCATGATGGGTGACTGGCCGTTGGACACCAAGCTCCCTCTCGTCGGTGGGCATGAAGGTGCTGGTGTCGTCGTGGCTCTCGGATCTCTTGTTGAGGATATCCAAATTGGTGATTATGCTGGTGTAAAGGTATGCATGACTCTCCATCCTTCGAATACCCCAACACAGCAATGAGCATGAAGCAAACATCTGGGATAGTGGATCAACGGTACCTGCCTGCAATGCAGTTTCTGCCAACAAGCGGACGAGCCCCTCTGTGCCAAGGCACTCATGTCTGGTTATACAGTCGACGGAACATTCCAACAATACTGCATCGCCAAAGCTGCACACGTCGCCCGGATCCCCAAGGACTGCGATCTCGAGGCAATCGCACCCATCCTTTGCGCAGGTATCACCGTCTACAAGGGACTGAAGGAGTCGGGAGCGCGTCCAGGCCAGACTGTAGCAATTGTCGGTGCGGGAGGAGGTCTCGGATCCTTGGCTTGCCAGTACGCTAAGGCCATGGGCATTGAGGTCATCGCTATTGACAGCGGTGAAGAGAAGAAGGCCATGACTGCAAAGCTTGGAGCCAGACACTTCGTTGACTTCTCGACCACTAAGGATCTGGTAGGCGATGTGAAGGCTCTGACTGAGGATGGTCTTGGACCACATGCTGCCATCCTAGTTGCCGTGAACGAGAAGCCATTTCAGCAGGCGACGGAGTGTAAGTTTCCTTCAGAATCCAGGTTGCCGGAATAACATCGAATGTCCTTCTAACGAAATAAACAGACCTCCGACCCCGTGGAGTCGTCGTTGCTATCGGGTTACCAGCTGGTGCCTACCTTCGCGCTCCAGTCTTCGAGTCCGTCATCAGGATGATCAGCATCAAGGGCTCATATGTCGGCAACAGACGTGACACCGCTGAGGCTATTGAGTTCTTCAGACGTGGTCTGATCAATGCGCCATACAAGCGCTGTGGTCTGAGTGAATTGCAAAAGGTGTACGATCTCATGCTGGAAGGGAAGCTTGCCGGGCGTTATGTTGTCGATACATCGAAATGAAGTGGAGTGAAGTGAAGTGAAGTGAAGGGGAAATTGTGGTCTTGGCGATAATATGGAAGAGGTCGAACTTGGACTATACAAACCTGACAGCATTACTAAGAATCAAGTTCAATACCTTCACAACTCTGTTGTTACTGTACAATCCGCAAGTGAGGAGAGCAGGAGAGCAAGACAGAGAGGTATTGTATTGTTTTAGGTTCGGCCATCGTCGGCTCGCTTATATCCATGTTGAACCGGAACCGGCTGAAGGTCCGCTATAAGCGAGCCGACGAATGCTCCAAGTACCGTCCCGGGTATCGTATAGCCTTAGGTACCTAGTTTAAGTGGGTAATCTGGTCATTGTACATCACGGAGTACGTACTTGTGTACCTATGTTAGGTAGAGATCATATATCCACTTCAGTAACACAATATTCCGAAACCAAGACCCTCCATCCAGCAAACGCAACAATAGTGACGACTTACATCTCAGCCGCTCCGTGTACAAGGATGGCACCAACTCCCAAGCTCCAAGATTCAAGATTCTAGACCTGGTCCTCGACCATGATCCCAGCTGCCTCGAAACCTGGTAGGAACTTCCGTAAAACTGGGCATGTGAAAGTCTTTAACTGCTTGCATCTGTCATCTGGTCTAGACTCTCTCCACTATTCCTTGCTTACCCCTTCCGGTCTGACAGGTCCCCAAAAACCTGTATTTTCCACGATGCGATGTGCAACAAAGAGCTCTCTTCCCACTCATACCAGGTCTATATGGAGGGACCTGCTGGGGCACCTACTTACCTTAACTTGGTATGGGAGATTGATTGAATCACGTGGTGTGAGGTTGACGGGTTAGAATATGGACTCCCAATCAAGTGAGGAACAAGGCACAGGGTCCACAGGAGACGAAATCGAGCAATCGTATGTCTTCATATTCGCATACCTCAAGAAACTACCCCCATCAAGTCTTGGGAGATATCTCCAACGCCGTTATGCTCCAAAGATATATACCTAGGCGCCATTCAACCCACGCTCTATATGTACAAACAAGTACCTTTTTTTTCATGGAACCATTCAACCATTAAATAGTACATCACTCTCTTGCTACTATTGCCTCATCCTGCAGCCTTGGGTCCAGCAAAACCGTGCGAAAGCCGGAAAAGGGTACTCCCGTAGGAGGTGTAGGTGGGCGAATAGGCTGTGGGAAATTCCGTGTTTGTATTTCCAATCGAGGTGCTGGTTGCTCTACGCACTGCATTTCGAGAACTTGGCTCCCAACAACTGACTTCTCCTGGTTCGCCTCTCGATGGAGGCGGAAAAGAAGGTCCAGCCTTTCGGATATAGGAATATCCTCGCGCTCTCTTGTCGCAGCATCGTACTTCAGTTTTGATTGAGGTGAAAGATGATTGTACGAAATAGGTAGTAACTCCTGCTGCATGAAGATGATGTCTTTCGACTTGGCGAAGAGTATAGACTTAAATACCTGCAAGGTCCTTAAACGAGCTCGTGCGCTATTCCCTTTGATCCTATCCTCATGAAGTTGTTCCCTGAGCGGAGCGTCGTTGAGAATTCGTACTGCAAGATTGAGGCGTTGGTATGAGTTCTCTGGGCCTTCTACCGGAATTTCTGAGCCCATCAGCTGGACTGTCTCGCCACTCGTTGTAATCCCATCATCCTTGGGATGCTGGGTGTGTAGTAAAATGAGGTTCTCCACGAACGAAATACGCTCTGCAAATCGATCGCTAGCATCCGCAATGGCCTCAATTTTCATATGACGTAGCATTCTCTGCAAAGAATCTCGAGAAGCTTTGACCGGTAGTTTTCGTGTCGAATCTATGCTAACGCGGCAGAGGCCCAGAAGCTGGTATATAGCATGTCGTACAAGGCTATTATATCGGATTCCATGACCCGGTAATGACCCCCTTTCCCATTGTAACAGAATAGCATACAGGAGGGAATGCCCAGCAATGTAGTCTAGTTGCTGAAGACATGCTTCTACAATCTGAAACAGTGTCCTTGACTTCACTTCGTAGCCCTCGCGAAGAGCTGCGCGGAAATAACGAATAGCTGAACGAACATCCGTTAAGGTCAGGCAACCCTGGATGAGAGAATCAAAGATTGTGGCATTTCGAGGCATTTTCTGGACCAGCTGGCCATTTCTATGAACGACCTTATTCTTCAGTGCCCAACTCTGTACTTCCGAGAGCTGAAGGTTCGAAAGTGCTCGTCTTTTGACCCGCATATCCTGATCAACGCCTCTCATTCGTCTAACAATTCTTCGGAAGCCAATTGAATCACCCTTTTCAGCGAAGTGGTGGAGAATGAGCCGAATGGTCGCAGGGTTTGGTTTGTAGCGGCTCTCTAAAAGAAAAGACTCCACGACGAGATCTCCAAGTTCATACTCTTTCAGTCGGGTGAAGCAGTCAATCAAGATGTTGTAAGTGGTGATATTAGGCGGGGCAGTAGAAACCAAGAGATTGTAACAGATCTTCGCTATCATGACGTCGATGTTGGAACCATTGACTGAGGTTCTCGAATAAAGAGCCACTAGAGAGTTATGTAACTCCGCTCGTTCCTTCCTGACAGATGCCGGATCATGAAATGAGTACAATGGTAGCCTGGTATCTCCTCGTTGCAATGCCTCAATTCGCCTTGTCATCTCTTCCATCTGTGCAGAAAAATGAAGACTGTCAGCTGTGGCCGTAGAGCTTCGTGTTGCCGATTTGACTTTTGAATGCAGAAGCAGACGAGCAACAAGCTTTGCAATGTTGTGCTCCATCATATACACTTGTAACTGGTTTTTTGGCTCCCGGGGAAGTAGAATGCCTTCCGGATCGTCGTCATCGTCCCAGTCTTCTTCCACAGCGGCCGATTGTTTCCAAAGTCTCTTGGCGGGTTCTGCGAGAGACTGCTTTAAGTGCGAGTCCAGTATCTTCAGCTGTTTTGTCCAACGAGCATCTTTGACCGGCGCCGCTGTTGTCCAGCAGGTACCATCCCAGACAGCAGGAGTCGGGTTCCTCGTTCTCTCCTTAGCATTTTCCGGTTCATGCGCTTCTTCCTTTTTCTCAATTGGCAAGCCCTTGGCCTCGGCGATGAGTCGATCCCATTCCCTCCTCCTCTCTTCCTTGACCTTTGCATCTGCAACGGCAGCAGTAGCTAGTATGGTTGAGTAGCATGCTGTAAATAGGTCTCCAAATTTCAATTGGCGTCTGCTGGCGGCAGTAGTGGTTCGACGAGCTATAGTCGTTGCAGCTTGTAGACAGCTGCTACAGTGACAAGACCTGGTTGGCGCCGCGCGAGACCAAAGAACTTGCATTATCGTGTCATACTGGATATATATTCGGAAGACCTTCGGACTTTGATCGCGCAAGCGGCTTCGCGCAGAAAGGTACAATTCGCAGTTATCGTGGTAGTTTTGAAGGTAAAATATGAGGCAACTATTCGATCATGTAATTTGTTCCGGTGGAGCGCTGCTTTAAGCGACGGCGTGTGTAAGCAAGCGAAGACGATGTGCATCGACCCCGCCATCATCTCACTACAGTACCTATTATTGACTGAGCATCAAACACCAAACGCAGGGATGCTGTCTCTTACGCTAACCGCTGACTTGGTCGGGTCTGCAAAAGTCTTCTCGATATCTTTGTAATATGCTAATATATGGAATAGCGTGAATGAGCTTCAACCAAACGATACGCCTGAGAATCCCTTCTGGTATACCTTCAAAGTCCAGTGCACATCTTGCCGCGAGATACATCCAAATCCCGTGAGCGTCAGCCGCTTTGTATGTAGAATTATATCGCGTCAAAAAATTGAACAGTTATATGAGCTAACTCTCAGGAGGAAGCCAATGACATGAGCGGCAGCAGAGGAGAAGCCAATTTTGTATGGAAGTGCAAGTCCTGCAAGGTGAGTATCAGTGTTTTGTGAGTAAAAGTGACAGTACTAACTTGGCAATACCAGAGGGAATCGTCCGCAACTATCAAATCACCGCCTGTTCCATACCAACAGTCTTCCCCGCCAACCCGTCAAAAGATTCTCGAATTTGACTGCCGTGGCCTGGAGTTTACTGAATTTAGCCCAGAGGTAAGCATGTACTTTATTCTTGAGACGAACTGTGAGAGCTGATGGCTGCCTTATAGGGGGAGTGGCTTGCGACTGGTACCGAGTCCGGCAGTAAATTTGCAGGAATTGACCTGACTGAGGGTGAGTGGTTTGACTACGACGAAAAGGCAGGCGAGGAGGTCAGTATCAAGGATTTGAAATGGGAGATCAGACGAAATTGAGGCTCCTTTCACGGCATCTTCTTTCACCTCTAAATTTGAGCGCATTATGATGATGAAAAATTTGACCCTTCAATTGACCAATAACCTCTCGAGGATGAGTGGTGACATCTTGCCTTTTATCCTACTGAATCGTCTTTACTATTACCGTTTGAATATCAAGTATAAAACAATTGGTACTGCTCCATACTGGTGCCATTTGTTTCACAGCCTCACTACCAAAACGTCGCAGCCTTGCCGTTTCGCTAAGGTCAAAAGTACAGTAGCCGAAAAAGCAACACCGAACAATTCCTCCACGCAGCAGCCTCAAGATTTCGAGCTCGCGAACGCGCATAAAGCACACCTCCAGGCGCCTCCACCCAGAAATACTCTAAGCCGCAACGATGAGTGTAAGTCGCGCTCTCCAAACCCAAAGCTAAAAGATGACGCTTTCTAATACTTTCTCCGACAGTTCGTCCCCATCAACCCGCGGCCCATGCTGCAAAGTCTGTACGTTCTCACTCACTACCGACGACTCCACGCTATTACCCATGACGAGCGCGAACTTTTGCTGATACTTGAGTTATGTAGAGTTAACGAGGAAGTCATAATACGCCTGAAATGGGGCCAGACAGAGTACAAGGGCCGTCTAGTCAGCATAGACAGCTATATGAATATCCAACTGTCGGGTGCGGAGGAGTACATTGATCAACAAATGACCAGTGCTTTGGGTCAAGTTCTCATCAGGTATGTTTGGGTTTTTCAGCGAAGTGGAGGTGGAAGAGACGAGCTGGCGGCGGCAAGAAGCTTAAGAATGGCTGGGAGAATCATGCTGAAATTCGGTACAGGTGTAATAATGTCCTATGGATCCAAGCCGCAAATCAAAACAACGGAAACGCGGACACGAAGATGGAAGGATGAACGGATGAGGGAAGGCTTGGTTAAAGATACCATTGAGATATTGATAGGGGTTGGTTTGGGTGCTTGCGAATAAAATTGATGATGGACAGGGTTTCTCTGATAAAGACAGTTCACTGTCATACTAAAGGGCAAGGCGTTCTAGAAGCAAGCTCCGTCTTGCTCAGGTATCAATGCAAATGATTTTCCAGAAACAAGCATACCATTCAACTTCCAAAATTTTGTGAAGTCATCAGAGCTGGCCAACTACAAGCAACATGAACCATAAGGCTGCTCCCTCTACTCCTCACAGAGCCAATGGCTTTTACATGAGGCAGCCTACTTTTCGACTACTCCCCACCTCACTTGCGCCCAGCCTCAACCTTTTGTTGGGCCCAACCATAACAAACGCCTCTACCATCCACTCATACCAGACCTTCCTATCATCAGTCTGTCTCCAAATGCTAACCTCTAGCTCCGTGTCGTCAGGGAAATAAAGAGGATTCTAATAAAGACCCGATTAGCCTCATGCTCCGCGCAAAATGGGTACCTCAAAATGATCAGACATACCTTTAAAGGAAAGAATATCGGAAACCAAGAGATCATGTCCTTGCTCTTGGCATCAATGGTATCAGGTCTCGTGCTCAACTCAACCTTTCCCGCTTCCCCGCCATCATAAAGAACCGCTTCAAAATAGCCGGCAAGCCCATTGACAACACCTCGATCTTTACAGACGAACGTCAGGTGAGCATAACGTGTATTATGTTCATTTGCGCCATCGCCGCCAGACATACTTCCTCCACCACCCCCACTAACGCCCCCTCCCCTTCTTGCCTCTGCAACGGCAAGCGTAGTGGCAGGTAATGGATGAGAAAACTCCCACGCTTGCTGGATTCGTGGATGGTCCGGAACGGACGTCGCCAAAAAATCAATTGCGTGGAGCAGGACTACGTATGGCGTTTCCGTGGCCGTATCATCGGTAATCGCTCGATGAGAAATATCCGCGTGCAATCTCGGAGTGAGAATAGGTGTCAAGTGCGCGGTGTACGAGCTCGGTATAGAAATACCGTACTGTGGAGCTAGAACGTGCTGTACGCCATCCAAACATTCGGGTGAGAGCTCGTTGTCTGCAAATGAACCAAGAAGTTCAGAGACTAGAATATCGACCTTGCCATAAGATAACTCAGGCGCACTTGCTGAGGTAGGCCCGGTTGTAATCCTCTGCGGCCCCTTCCAGGCTCGCATGTCGCTCTTAACAACGTTTACTGCGCCGCCCCAGTCCTCCTTGTTGTGTCTTTGCAATAGCACATATGCATTTGGGTTTTTCTCAACGGCCCAGACTTCAACTGGAACGCCTGTCATTTGACTTGCTCTGAGAGAGCGAGTCACCAAAGGGCCTCGACCAGAACCTGCGACTGCAATGACTACAGCACCGGTAGGACTGGAAGTAGGCTTACGCTTCTCAGACCAATCAGACAGGGCCCGTGCAATAGCTCGTTCATACCAATCATATTTGACAGGATCTTTTTCGAAGACCTCGTAAGTCACAGACTCCAGATTATCCGCCAGAGGTTGGAGGGGGGCTTGTAGATAATCCTGGTAGCCAGATCCGAACCTCTCAATGATTGACCTAGGTGGTTGGTTCCTTTGAAGATATCTCATGTACACGAGATGTGCTGCAGAATCTTTGGGCCTTGGTTGCGGCTTTTGAGACTCCTTTGAACGACCAGCAGCTTCTGCTGGGGTAGGAGATGCTGATCTCGATGCATCTGCGACGGTACTTGGTGATGGAAACCCATCCGCGGTCATGGTGAGCTGCAAGGGGTCATCCAGACCGGGAATAGGTCCAACATCAGATAGCAAGATCCAAGGCGGCTGCTTGAGGCGCATATATCTCGATATCAGGCCCTGATGACTTTTACTTAGGACAGGATGGCCACCTTTATTCTTGAGAAACGTCGAGGGCGTCAATGATAACAATTTCAGAGGTTCAGCAAACCAGCGCGACTGCAAAGATTCAACCGGAAGTTGGCGGGGAAGTCCAAGAGCTGCATATAAAGGGTCAGCTTTCTTATCAGACAATAACGACCATGAAAGAGCGGGAATAGTACCTTCAGAGGTAAAAGTAGTGCTCCGAAGGGTCTCAGCTCTCGTGGTAGGGAACCGTCATGTCTCACGTATCTGCAAATTGTGGAAACTGGGTGATTGTATATGGCTTCTTACCTACGAATAGTCTTGAATTGTATTTACATACACTCCGAATCATATTCCACGCATCCCAAGTTTCAAATAAATCAATCTCTTTGATTGCCTTGGCCTTTCCGGATGATCGTCCATTTCTAGCATATGTCATCAAGTCGCCTGTCATCTCCTTCACTTCTTCGTTCCCATACATAGGGATATGAATTGATATTTGAATATAGCTGGCAATGGTGAGAGCTTCTTGAATCGCACGAGCGTATTGTATGAGTCCATCACTGTCTGTCGGTCCACTGCTGTACGTCCTTGGCCCAGGTATAATGATATTGCCAACGCCGCAGAATGAAGCATATGCTATTTCGATATTCAGAACCTGTCTTGATATGTTGCTGATCAGGGGATCCGGGGAGCATAGATCTATCCACGGACTAGAATATGCGATGAGTTGAGAGACAGTATCTCCGGGTGTCAAGGGGGTATCGATTGGAGTCAGCGGAGGTATGATAGGGGCGGGTGGGATATTCCTGGTAGAAGCAACGTCCGCAGATTCGCGGTGTGAAAGTTCGGAGAGATGAGAAGAAATAAGAGCTAGAACTCTAGAGTGAAATTGTGGAGTTGTTATTGGACTGGTCAGCATGTCATACTAGAACCGTTAGCAGATATTCTCCAAACGGGAAGGAGGGCATACTCCGACATCTTGGGCCTGTCGCAGGGCAAAATCTGTGACAGGCAAAGGCCGGTTTGACTCGTGATGGCCCACGTAGAAGGTGGGCATAAAGTCATCTACCGGAGAGGGAAGTCCACCATCTGCGACAAGAGGTTGCTGTGGAGAAGCCATGGTTGAAAAGTCAACTAGAAGCACAAGAAATCCTTAGAAAAGGTAATGCCGCGGTCATATAATGTTTATACCGAGCCGGATAGATGGAGAGGAGTGAAGTCTCTTAGGAAGATGAGCCTGAGGAGTAGTAAATCGAGTCAATACCCATGATGCTGCTCTCATGTAAATAGATGAGGGAAAGCAGCTTTGGCCCTGGAGTGCACAATCCTTTTTTTCCCCGCATGTTTTACCTTAGACCCTTATTTTGCCGGGAGCACGTGATGATATGAGGTACTATAAATCCGGACGGGATCTTTCTTGGCCTCGAACAAGCTAAGACTAAGACCTTTTCTCAAATCCAGCCCCAAAATTGATGTCCTATTCTGGGAGACAGGTAGACAGTGGGAAGACATACCTCAATTCCTTGGGGCATGGCAACGAGCTCGGAACGCTAGGATTACCATTGGGCGTCCACCCACTGTCTGGCGTCCGGCCTGTCAGTACAGGGCATAGCAGAACCTATACGCGCAGCTTTCAGCACTCTATTTCATCTATTACTCCCCAGAGATTTACTAAATGCATTTGATTTCGTCTAGCGTTTATCCTGCGCAAAGCTGCGTACAACCACACTTGGATCAAACCTTCCATTTATCCTTCTCATCAAAGCACTGATTTAAAGTCATCTCATCAACTTCACACTGGATAGAGCACCACCTTATCAATTCCATAAGTCTCCTCGCTACTCTTGTTCACTTTTCAATCCCTCCCTCCTCCAGTGTGCCAACTTTCGTAAGATGGCGCACGAGTCCTTCCTCCCCGTCCTCGTGCACGTTATGTCCCTTTGCTATGATAGCAAAGCTATCTCGCAGAATAATTTCATACACTACGGTAGCAAAGATTGTTGCAGGTACATTGACTAAAATTGCTATAGGGGCATAATGAGTGAACGCGTCTGTTCAATAAGTTAGGCTCGAGTCTTAGTGAGAGAGGGCATTTAAATATGTCCCCAAAATGCATGCCAAGTGTTTTTTCGGGGAGATTACTAACCTCCGCCATAGAAGATCGCTGCCACTATGCGAGTTCCAAGATCACGCGCTAAGTTGGTCGAGATTGTTACGTCCGCAAATCCCCATACCATAATGGCGTATGCGATGCCGATGACAAACGGCGCAGTTTGAGGGGAAATGAACGGGTTTGCTGGATCGAGAACAGCCCAGATGAGGAGGCCCTAGTAGGCGTTAGCATACTCAGATTGCATCCATTAATACATTATATCCTTGTCGCTACTCACGATGAAACTGTCGACGAAGAACTCGATGAAGAAGATATATCCATAGTTAGTCTGAGTAGCTGCGGGAAAAGCACACAGCACCGATCCTGGTCCACCCAAGGAGTTTGGGCTCATTCCCTTCGACCTGAACTCCGCTGCAAGTGCGGTCAACTGTGGATGATACTGGCCAACAAGGAACAAGCCAGCCAGGAAAGATCCAAAAATTTGAGCGAATATGTATCTCGGAACTTTCGACCAAGGGAACTATAAGACCTTACAGTCAGAGTTGATTGTCCCAGGTACTAAACATCTTGTGGAACCAGAGTGAACAGAATTGCTCAAGGACAATACACACCCCTTGCCATATGGCAAAACATATAGTTATGGCCGGGTTGAAGTGACCACCTGATGTAGAACCGCAGACTATAATTGCAAAAGCAATCCCAATTGCGTAAGCCCAGCCTATTTGGAATATAGAACTGAAAGCTGGCTCCGTGCCATTCAGGAAAAATGATGCTTGTGAGGCAATGCCGGGATAACTGAAAGGCTGTCAATTCGTTGCGTCTGATGGAACATTTGGATCACTAACACATAGAAGAAGACACCCATTGCCTCTGCAGCCATTTCTCTCAGCCAGCGCCATCTTGCATGCTCGAAATCGAGTCTCCGTTGGGAAACGGGCCTAGGAGTGATAACATGTCTTTTCACATGTCTCTGGACAGCATCCGTGACTCCCATTTCCATATCATGTGTGCGCAGACGACGCACATCATGGTTTGGAGAATACTCGCTCTCCTCAATGTGAGCTGACGACATTCTGGAGGTGTGTACTGGTCCCTTGAGAATAGACGGTAATCACAAGGTAGAAAAGGCCCGGCGCCTTGGAGCTGGAATTTGGTATTGACTACTGAACGCGCGCAGTAACGGATCTGGGAATGATCATTGAGAATCTGGGGTGCCCTCCATTATTTATATCATCCGGTATAGCTATCCGGGAATGCATAGCCCGGGAATACTCCGCAGGCTTCCCAAACTGAGGGTCGGTGTTAAGTGATGCGGGGGATATCCAGTCGGTAACGGCTCTGGGAAAAGACAGCCACCGGGGGTTACATCAGGGGTGATGCCAGGGGTATGATCAAGGGTGAGTGAAGCCATGCCGCCACGCAGACAAGCAAGTCGTACTGAATCTCCCGTAGACCGTGGCAATGCTGTATCACTGGGGATTCTTGCCTCCAAAATCAACCGAGGCGGTTCTAAGACTCAATAGTTACTTATAGCCATACTACCAGACATAAGCTTTCGGAAGTTTAAAACTGCCACAGAGGATTCGAGATGTCATTGAACATGTTCCAGTGGCGATTCAATCGAATCGATTTCAAATCTGTCATCAACCCAGCGATGGCCAAACCCGTTGCTCGCAGCTGTCTGCGATCTAGGTGTCCCGCATGCAGTCACTTCGTCCGGACATATCCAGTCCCCGCCAATCAAGTAATCAACCTCTCAAGACCCACGATCGTTGTTGCTTGGGGAGTCTCGTGGCTTTTCGAGAAAATGAGGGGAGCCGGCGTCTGCTATATTAGACAGCCAAAACCGGCCAATAGCCGCGGAGGGACCCTGCGAAGCCGAAGCACGTCGACGGAGTTTGCGGCCCAAAGGGAATAAGCCTCCTGTATTCTTGGGAATCTTCGAGTTGGTACTGTAGTATGGTCTGATTCTATCCCTTTCTGCGAATTCCTCTTGCTATGAAGACTCAAGTGTCGAAGACTCAATGACTAGATCCTATTCCACAGCGTCGTTGCTGTCAGGAGACTCCCAAAACACCAAATGCCCATCAAATCGTAGACTTGGGTTTCACATCACAAAAGGCAAAGGAAATAGCAGTTAACAGCTTACCACCCTCAACCGCCCCCAGATATCAAATTTCAAGTGGGGGTTGATGATCCGATGATCCCGCTGTTACTGGCGTTTGTTCTCCCTGCTTCTTAGATGGTTCTAGGCTCTCCCAACTTCCTTGCCGTTTCAATGGGCCGTTGTTATTTACGGAATGCGGAATGCGGAATGCGTGGAGATGCGGGGTAGCGGAGCCCCGGATCTTTGTTTTCGCTGGTCGCTTAAACTTGATCGTCCCCCCGTCTCTCAGGTACTATACCCTGTACTACTACTGTGCCTCTTACTTATTTATTTATCATGTTTAACAGAAGAGTCAAGGGTTTAAAGGTTGGAGGAAAATCATGACAATCGCCTGCGGCTTTCGAGCTACCTTAAGATGAAACTTTCGATATTCTATTCTGCGGTTGGCATTTTTGAGCTTCAACCCAAGGGATAATCGTAGACAGGGAAGGCTTGCGGTACCTTAGGTACCTACTTCGATCATCACCAATAGAGCACAGGGTACTTAGTATACATAGATTCCTCCTATTGACTGTTCACAGTAAGGTATATTGGATCTTAGATTTATTATTGGTGGATACATAGAACGATGCAGTTACCCCGGAAAACGAAAGCCTTTGCTAGGTACCTAGCCACCATACAAATTTGCAGCCCCTATTCAAAAAACAAGTGCTCGATTCGAATAAGAGCGAGGAGGGTTATTAGGTTCATATTAAGATAGTAGGCACTGTAAGAGGCGCAAAAATGGAAGTATGGTGATATGATACCCTTCTCCTTTGGGGTTCTGGGTTATGACCTGAGTGACAGAGTGAAATCGTCGGTCATACTTATTAGCACCGACCCCGATTCTACTCAGCATGCTGTGTAATAGGCTCAGGGGCCGTCTCCTTCGCCGCTGCTCCCGTGCTAGCATTCTGCTCGGGGTCGGCGGTCCCGGAAACCTCGCCACGGACGAGTTTCTCGGTTGTGATGAGCTCTTCTGGAGGAGGGGCGATCCATTTGCTGCTTTTTCGGGGATCGATGTGAAGGAGGTACATGGTATCGATCTCTTCCACTGAAATATCGTATCGCAAGGTTAGTAGTAGGCATGGGTAAACTATGCAAGGCGAAATGTGTCAAAGCAAGGGGGTCAATGAGAGATATTCCTTACATGTTCTTCCTTGGCCTTCAATGACGAAGAGGTATACAACGGCCCCTGCGATAAAGAGGCAGCCTGCAAAAACATATCCATAGCGAAAGTCGATGTCCCCGACAATGAAAGGGGTGAAGAATGCAAGGAGGAAGTTCCAACCCCAGTTAGAGGCAGTGGACAATGCCATGGCGTTCGAACGGTAGCGAGAGGGATATAATTCGGCGCAGATCGTCCAGATGATGGGGCCCCAGGTTGATGCAAATCCTAAGATGAACAAGCAGGCGAAAACGATCATCGCCTTACCTGAATGTGGTGTTGATTGAGGCTCATTTCGATCCAGGGAAAAGTGACCCACGGATGCAAATATCATGAAGCTATTGAGCTGATCAGCACTAGGGACAGCTGAAATCAGCGTGTAATACTTACCAAACAAACATCCAGCAGGCGCCAAAAATCAAGGACTTCCGACGACCGAAATGTTCGATTGCATACAGTCCGAGAAAGGTAGTTCCAACATTGACTCCGCCGAGGATCATCTGAGTTACGTAGCTGTTGTTGATGCCCGTACTCTTGAAAATTATCGTCCCGTAATAGAAGAAGTAATTGGCGCCGGTCAGCTGCTGCAACGCTTGCAAGACGACCCCCAGGGTGATACGATATGCCATGCGAGGTGCGGTAAACATCTCCCACCATTTCTGGTCTTTGTGTCGCAGTTCCTCCTCATGCTTCTCCTTGATTTCGGCAAGCTCTTCCACAACCACCCTATGATTCTCTGGGACACCATAGAGTTTGCTCATGGTCTTCGCAGCATTGTCGATTCGCCCGTGACGGTAGTCGTAGCGAGGACTTTCCGGGAAGAAGATAATGCCAATACCCAGGATGAGAACCCAGAGGAACGAAATACCCATTGGGATACGCCACGAGGCTGTGGTTGTGCGCTTTTCCGTCCCAAAATTGATGCAGTTTGCCACAAAGATTCCAAGCGTAATGAAAAGTTGGTAAGTACTATGGCAAGATTAGAATACTCTAATATCAACAGAAGACAATGGTAGGCACCTGATGAGAGCACCCCGAATTTGACGAGGCGCGCTCTCGCCTTGATACATGGGCACTAGGAGGGACAGAGCACCAACGCCTAGACCTGCAATCCATCTTCCGACGACGACTGGAAAGGGGGAGTCAGTACCAGGTGTAATTACACAACAACCAGGAGCATATTTACCTTGATACCACTTGCCCTGTGTTGCTGATATCTGAACTATCAGACCGATATGCAACATGACACACCATGCAGAAATCGACCATTTTCTCCCTATGCGATCGGCAATAGGGCCTGCAATCAAAGCCCCCATGAGGGTACCAACAGAGAGCAAGGCGACTATAAGACCAGAGCGGACATTGCTAAAATGGTAGCCTCCATCGCCATTTGAGTTTTTCTGTCCAAAGCGGCTCAAAAAGTTCGACATCCCCAAGTATCCCGAGACTTGGCCGGTATCATAACCGAATATAAAGCCTCCCATCGAGACGAAAACGCCCATGATAAAGGAGTGAATTGAGAGACGCGGTATTGGGGAGTCATCGTAAGGACCGGTATACTTGTTGGTTTCGGCCGTGACAGCTCCATCTGATGCAGTAGCCTTGCCACGACCAAGCCGGAATATGTTCGCTGGTTTTGATAATTTGACCATTGTGAAGCCTAAGGTAATTCGTACTTGAATTGCAGCTATGAGACCAACAACGTCCTGAGCTTATAAGGACTGCTCAGCCTTGACGGCCGGCCGCAGACCAGTGACAGGGAGGGCTATGACCAACACGAATACGGCTCTTTCCCCTCGATTCCTTGCCATTCCACGTTGGTGATTCGCGATATGCTTTGTCGATGAAAGACACCGCGCATACTATCGCATGGCCTCGTGGACGCATGTTCAGTAAAAACTGGCCGAAGTGCAAGTCCGAAGCATCCGTCGACGATAGATGGAGAGATTAGTGCTATTGTAAGAGAGCATTGACCAATCCCCAGTTACCCCGCGATGGCGCTGCGAAAGCCGTGGCCACGGGGCTGACAAAAGGCCAAGAACGAGCCAAGTAGGAAAAAGCAAAGGAGGCAGCAGATCATACCATAAGAGGAGACCCCTGATCAAAATACACCTGGAAAAGGGCCGAAAAGGAGAGGGAAAAAGGGCAACTCTCTGTTACAGGTTGTCATATACGATGGATGACCCCATACAGGGGTTCTTGGGATGCTACTCCGTACTTCTATCGGACCACACAGCATTCCTTGAATGGGCTGAACGAAACACCCCATTACTCCGCGTTTTCTGCTGAGCACAGGAGATGGGGGAACTCGCCCCATCTCAACATGTCCTCATGGTGCCTCGTCTGGGGTAAGAGGTACTTCTTGGGCCATCGGGGATCTTGCGTAGACGATATAAACAGGTAGAAAACAGCAAACAAGGGGGAAAGCAAGGGATGAAGATATATGACAAGGAGAGAGGAACGATGCCAAGCCGAACTATCAAGCCGAGAAATCAACACAAATACCTAGGTACCGTACGAGGCATGTGTTACTTTACTCATGACCTTGTCCCGATAGTTGAGGGAATCCAAATCCTCGGCTCGGCACAAAACAGACGGGATGGCGAGCGGCACACGTGACTCTAGCTAGCACCTGATTGCCGAATTTTAGCGCACAGCGCTTAGTCATTCGCACACAACACATTTCCCAAATTCTTGCCGGAAATTTCTTGAGAGAATCAACGACACCGACGACAACCAACGTTCACCAGCACCCACCGCCAAGATGACCAAGATCAACTCCTGTATGTCTACCTCACCATCCGATCTACCACAGTCAATGGCATGACCAGCATCTCGAAAGCGCAAAGCTGACATCCATTCTAGCTCTCCACTCCTCGCGGAGAAAGTCCCGCAAGGCTCACTTCAGCGCTCCCTCCAGCGTGAGACGCACTATCATGAGCGCACCCTTGAGCAAGGAGCTCCGTGAGAAATACAACGTTCGTCTTTACCTTGCCTTAAATCTTTACAACGGGGTGGTCGCTCTAACAAAGTTTTTCAGGTCCGCTCCATCCCCATCCGAAAGGACGACGAGGTTACCATCGTCCGGGGCTCCAACAAGGGCCGTGAGGGCAAGGTCACCTCCGTCTACCGTCTCAAGTACGTTATCCACGTTGAGCGTGTCGTCAAGGAGAAGTCATCTGGTCAATCAGTCCCCGTCGGTGTCCACCCCTCCAAGGTCGTCATCACCAAGTTGAAGCTGGACAAGGATCGTGAGAACATTCTGGAGCGCATCAAGGCTGGTCGCGAGATCAAGGCTAAGAAGAACTAAATGGTCTGGGTTGGCGTGTTTGGGCATACCTGAGTTTTTTTTATAACGCCGGCTGGAATGGCTGGCTTTGCTAGGAAGCAAATGGAAATACCAAAACATTATGGCCATTTCACATCCTCCGTGCTTGCACGTCTGGTCTATTGTGAAATGCTCCATGGGAGGTCCTCCCGAAGCAAGGTCGTGTTCGCGACTCGTCGTGGTGTTTGCTACACATTGCTTTGAGGGGGCCGCCCTCTACTAACCTTGTTCTAGGATATCAACTATACTGACATGATCAGTATATTACCCCAACTCGCTTGATTATCTCCGCGTCACCCTCCGTCAGGATATTATAATGGGTTTCGAGGTATACGACAGGCGGAGAGTAATATACGGCTAAGTTCTTCAGAAGAACGCTTCCTCGCCTGCAGACTTTCCTCTAGATTTTGGTCCATGATGAGGAGAGTTTGATGGCGAGGGACACCTCTCCTATTCCCCCGAGAGTTCGTCTCTATTTCCTTCTACTTCTGTTACGTTCCTTGACGGCCTGGATGGTCTCGGGGCTTCAAGTAGTTCATGTGCATGTGATACGACTTTCCTTAGTTATCTTCACCTCGAGAATTGGTCCATGTTGAATTCTTTCATTAATCGTCATTGGATTCTGCCAAAGGTGCAGTATCACATATACGTAGCAACATCTAGAACTTCTCGACGTAAGGTCTGCAATCCAGCTCCTGGGTGAAATGTGATCGTGGCTGTGTGTGCAGATGCCAATATGTGTCTGCAATCTATATAGCAAAAATGTCAGCAGGTCGCACAATTCCGCTTTGTCACTCCAACCGTTCCCCCCAAAACAACTCATAACTTAACGAAAGGATCAGGGGACTCACAGCATCGCTATTAATCTTCCCATCCGGGACACCCCCATTAACCGTCCACTCCCTCGTCCTCGGAATATCAATAACCCCATCCACAATAACATGCGCGACATGAATGCCCTTTGGTCCAAACTCCCTCGCCAGACTCTGTCCCGTAGCTCTAAGTGCAAACTTCCCACTGGCGAACGAGGACATGGTTGCTGAGCCACGTACCGAAGCCGTGGCGCCGGTTATGATCAAGGAGGGTGGGTATGGTGAGGTAGGGACGGATTCAAGAAGGAGAGGAAGCGTGGCTTGGGAGAAGAGGTAAAAGCCTTTTCTGTTGGGGAATATAGAATCAGCATCCTCATGATATATATAGATAGATCAATAAGACGCAGAAAGAATTGGAAAGGTACATACCCATTGGCCGCAAACCCCACCTCATACTCCTCAAGACTCATCTCCAAAAACGGCTTCCTGATAAACGTTCCCCCCACATTGAAAATCGCAGCCGCCAATTTCTTCCCCTTGAACTCCTCCCCTATCTTCGCAAACGCATCTTTGACTGACGTGGGCGACGAAATATCAGTCGAGATCCCGATAGCTTTCCCGCCGGCGTCGTTGATCTCTTTGACGATGGGTTCGTAATTGGAGGCGCTGCGTGCCAGAAGGACCACGGGGTAGGTTTGTGAGAATTTGATGGCTACCTGGAATTACAATCTTGGGATTAGTATTGGTGATTCTATTGAAAAAAGGGAAATAGAGGGTGCGAGTAGAGATGAATGAGCTGGAGACACTATTTGCTTCAAGCATTGTCTCGTAGCTTAGGTAATTTATCAACTCGGAATTGTACATACAGAACGGCCTTGTAAAGTGTAAGCTATATGTCAAGGCGGAAGAGAACCAGGGGAATACATACCAGTACCAGCGCCCACCCCAGCAACTATGCTATAGAAATTATTCGCTGCTGCTGCCATATTGCTAAACTTCAGATGTTTACTTAAACCGAATAGACGTTGAGGAACTGTAGACATGTAATGGAGGAGTGGGGGATGGATGGCGGGGTACGATATGTATATAAGTAATATGTAGGGAAATGTTCAATGGATTGATAGATATGGATTAGAAAGTTGATTGATAATGCTATGGAGGGGTAAGTACAGTAGGCGTGCAACGACGGGGTAATGACGAGATCGCTGACGGATCTGGTTGGCAGAGTAATATGCCGATAGAAGGTTGATTAGTAAACGTTGAGCCGCAAGGTCAACTATCTTGAGAAAGACTGATTCTCTAGAAACACCTTTGTTTGAAGGCTCATTGTATATTGAGTAGCAGGGGATGGTGAGAATTAGAAGAAGAAAATCGAGGTTGAGCTCTTCGGGTGTGACGACATATTGTATGTTCTGGAGGTTCCCGAAAGCCGTTCAGTGATTGGCTTCCAGGCGCTCTAAAGCAGTCATGGAGAGTGAGCTCGGTACAATATGTCTAGAGTAAATTCTCCGATGTATTCTTCTATATATTATTATCAACCTCAACTTAATACCAAATGCTTCTAGTGCGGTGATGGGGTATCTTTTCCTGCCCTGCCAACTCTTGCTCCTTCATCGTATCATATAGGAAGAAATCGATCAGGATCGCGTTTACCTTGGCATCCGGATGATTTCGAAGTATTTCCCTCCGGATCAATTCCACGCACCATATGCTACACCCTGCGGAACTGTCAATGATGCTTCTCGACCCCGGGATGATTGCCATGACTGACCTCTCAGTTGAATTTCCCAAGTGTGACCACTTTCTATAATCCTCTTCTGACGTATGGCATTGGCAAGAGAAGGGTTGTACCATAGACATCCCAAAGTATTTAGCATCTGTGGGACTCTGTAGTCTGCAAACATAGTGATCTTATCAATGTCTTCGAATTCTCCAAAGCCCTCTCCGTTGAACGCCGCCCACAAGTCTGCTACACATATTTGGGCTCGTTTAAGAAACCGTACATTCTTCCGGTTCTCAAATGATACAACATCATTAAAGCAGGGGAAGTCCTCTGCTAAAAGGTTGACCAGGGCGGCAGCAGAGCGATTTGCAACTTCTATGCACTTGGTGAAGCTACTTTCATATTTCTGCAAATAGCCATGGAATTAGACCAACCACCCGACCGCCGCAAGGCAACATACCTCGTATAGGACCTGCCCTGCCTCCCGTAGGCAGGCCATTCTCTCATGAAACATGGGTATCTCTTCTTCAGTTGAGCTCCTGAAGACATGTTTTAGGAGTTCCTCGGTACACTCCTCTTCGTTTTGCCAGAAATCCGAAGATGTGATGGGAATTTCTGCAAACCAAACAAGAAATAAGCCTTTGCGCATCAGCAAGGTGCCGTGAACTGACCCTCATCGAGTGCCCGTTGCAGGGCAGCCACCAGGCTCCAGTAACCCGTCCATCTCTTGCCCTTGTATTCGATTGCAAAGCGTTCCTCGTCATCCTTTTCGGACCAGAAAGAAAAGTTCAGCAAGTCTATGGTAAAAATGAAAGCAACTGTACTTTCATCCTTGGTTTTAGGGTGCAGCTCATGGGACGACCAGGTTTTGGTCGAATACTCCCGCTTCTGCATTTGCTCATAGATCATGGCGGCCGCTGCCCTTGTGGACTGTGAGTCCAGAGCCACATCAGTTGCATTGTCATAGACATATTCAGCCCCCTCCAAAACATGCGTTTCCGGTTTGGCTGGTGGTAGATCTGTCTTTTGAAAGTGCTGACGGAGAAAGTCTAAGAGCTCAGGGTCGGCCTCATCATCAGACATGATGCCTGACTACAGTAGAACAGGGCCACAAATTCCTTGGACCGGCAGGCGTTCTCAAACCGCTGGTAGGCCAGCAGGAAAAGTCAATTAGTGCAGCCTTCTCCTGCAGCCTTTGTGATGATTGGCGGGGGCAAACAACATCGGGTGGTTGAAACAGAGGCAAGAGTCCGCGAACCCGTGAAGGCTCCCGCGCAAAAAGTCGAACCGTCCGTCCGATAAGGCGATCTTGGCTCGCTTAATTGTATTATCGGGCGCGGGAACGTTTCGCGCGGATTTACCTTATTTACCTCATCGTTCTCTACAATGCCTGCAAACTTGCCTCACGTAAGGTACCAGCAACATTGTCTTCCCCCATACCCCCAGGTCCTTCCCTCTACATAACGTGATTGCGCTATCGCCGAGCACTATCGATGCCGCCGACCATGGGGCGTGATACCTTCAATCAACAATCGCTGGGCTTGCCTTTGAACACGATGGTGAAAGAGGTAGGTTTCTGCGCTCCTGTCGCTTTTCACAGCCTGGGCATTGAGTCGCAAACGCAACTATCTTCAACGGGTCCAATGCGCTCGTCGCCTCTGTGCTGAATTATGCATTTGGTCTTGTACCCAAAGCTGGGAGGGTTCTGAAGCATGCCAAGGACTACTTCATCATATAACATATCGCAAAGATGAAGTTCACTACTAACACCTGTCTAGGCACGTATATTGATGGTCGGCGCGGGAGGAATTGGGTGCGAATTACTCAAGAATCTCGTCCTCACTGGCTTCGGCGAAATCCATATTGTAGATCTCGATACGATAGACCTTAGCAACCTCAATCGACAGTTTCTCTTCAGACACGAGCATATCAAGAAATCGAAAGCTTTGGTGGGTCACGACTGGACGAAAACGGGACAATGGGATGGGAAACAATGCTAACAACGGACCTACAGGTTGCTAAGGATGCGGCGCATAAGTTCAACCCGAAAGTAAAGCTGGAGGCGCATCATGCGAACATCAAGGATGCGCAGTTCAATGTGGACTGGTTCAAGGGCTTCACAATGGTCTTCAACGCTCTGGATAACCTGGATGCGAGAAGGCATGTTAATAAGATGTGTCTGGCTGCCGATGTTCCTCTCATCGAAAGTGGAACGACTGGTTTCAATGGTCAGGTTCAGGTTATCAAGAAGGGGAAGACGGCATGCTACGATTGTACAACTAAGGAAACACCCAAGAGCTACCCCGTATGTACCATCCGAAGTACGCCGAGTCAGCCAATTCATTGTATCGTTTGGGCAAAAAGCTATTTGTTGAGGTATGTTGTGCGCTAGATGGTTGATCGAATGGTGATACTAAATTCCACAGTGAGATATTTGGCGCCAGCGAGGACGAAGCGCCAGAATTGGATCACTCGAAAGATTCAGAGAATGGTATGCGGCCCTGCACTGGCCCCGGTGCATTACTTATTATTCTGCTGACTTTGTTACAGCCCAGGAGATTGAGAAGCTGCGACAAGAGGCGCAAGCACTGAAACAGATTAAGGAAGCTATGGGGACAGAATCATTTCCACAAATGCTTTTTGATAAAGTCTACAAGGATGATGTCGTGCGTTTGAGGTCAATGGAAGAGATGTGGAAAACACGGCGGCCACCGGAGCCTATTGATTATAATACGGTTATCCAAGAAAAAGAAGCAGTCGATGCTGAGGCGAACAAAGCTAAGATACTGAAAGATGGGCAAAGAGTTTGGAGTCTGCATGAGAATGTCGTTGTTTTCAAGGACAGGTAATTAGATCCTTCATGGACACTGGAACAATGAACTGACACAAGACAGCCTCGAACGATTGAGCCAAAGACTCACGGCCATGAAATCAAACTCAAATGGCGATGCTGCTGAACCCGTAATCACATTCGACAAGGACGACGAAGATACTTTAGATTTTGTCGCCGCAAGTGCCAATTTGCGGTCAATAATCTTTGGAATTGAGACCAAGTCGCGATTCGACATAAAGCAAATGGCCGGAAACATCATACCCGCCATTGCAACAACTAACGCTATTGTGGCCGGCCTGTGTGTCCTACAGGCGTTCAAAGTTTTGCGGGGAGACTTCTCAAGCACGAAAGAGGTCTTCCTTTCACCATTCGCGCCAGAACGGCTACTGTCTTCAGATAGATTTCGGGAACCCAATCCCGACTGCCCAGTGTGTAGTGTTGCACAGACTCGCGTCCTTGTTGATATGTCAAGGGCAACTCTCAATGATCTCGTCGAGGACTTCTTGCGACTCGAATTGGGATACGGAGAGGAGTTTGTCGTCAATAGCGACATAGGACCCATTTATGATGTTGAAGAGACGGACAATTTGACCAAGAAGTTGTCGGAGCTTGGTGGGTGCATCAACAAACCTCTTGTTTTCCGTTCTAATATTGTTCTGCAGGCATCAAGGGTGACAGCTTCTTGACCATCATAGATGAGGACGATGAGAATCCACGGGTGAACCTCGTACTGAGTGTACAAGAGTCGTAAGCCTCCTTTGAGCAGCTTGGGTGACTAGCCAGCTAATCCGAGCTTAGAACCACGGCTTTGGACGATAAACCCATCAAAAGCCTCGATATTCCTTCAACTCGCGGAATTGAGCCACCTGCGTCACCCATTCCGAGAAGAAAGAAATCGATCCTGGAGTCGAATGATCAAGGAACCAACGGCGTCGAAGCAACCACTGCAACGACGAATGGCAGTTTAGGCACCAAAAGAACCGCAGCAGAGGCTCTGGGTGACGACTCGCCGGAAACGAAACGATCGAAAACAGAACCCAATGGTTCTAATGGTACTAATAGTGCCTCGGCGAATGATGATCTAATATTGGTTGACGACTCCGCAGATGGAGCCATTGTTATCGACGATGACTGATCTGGTCCCATTCTCCTTTGCCAACTTTCACTTCATGCTTGTCATTTGTTTGTCAGATTCACGGAGAGCCGGTTCCTTCACATGATAGCAATTAGACGGCGCTCAATCCACCATCGAGGTTGAGCACACAGTTGTTTGCGTATCTATTTGTAGCCAAAAACACGGCAGCGTCGGCTACTTCTGAGGCTTGTCCAAACCGTTTTGCGGGTATGGCGTTAAGGGCTTCTGAGCGTGCTTCGGGCGTCATGGCTGGAATTGTATATTAGAAATAAATCGGGCGTAAAGGGCGGCGGTGGAAACAATGCCCAACTAGAACAGAAGTGTATAATGGAGCAAACTTACCAGCAGTCATGTCTGTTTCAATGTAACCCGGTACAATGACATTCACCCGAATCCCTACTCTGCCTATCTCTGCGGCAAGGGCGGTAGTCAGGCCTGCGACCTATAAGCATACTGAAGGAGCACCTGAATGGAGCATCAACTACCTATAACTCCGGCTTTACTTGCAGAATATGCCACACTCCCCCTTCCGCCCCTCAAGCCTAATAATGAAGAGATGTTGATGATGCATCCTGTCTCAAGTTAGCCCGCACCTTCCATTGTAGCTTAGCTTCCAGTAGTATCCTGCTCGGAGGGTTCTAGAGAAAGCGGCCATAAGACGAACCTCTGTCTATGTTACTACTTTGGGCCATCATTTGTCTTGCCACGATCCGGCAGGCCATCATTGTACCTGTTAGATTTGTACGTACTACCTCATCTAGCAAATCCGGATCAGTCCTAACGAACGTAGAAGAAGGTGATATGCCTGCCGCGTTCACAAGGATATCAGTTTGTTTCTATGCATTCATTATATCAGTCAGTATATCAGCTTCCACACATTCTCTAGCCCGCTTGGTATCTCAACGCTGAGGGCCATGTAACCGAATGTGACAATGGAAATAAAGATTAAGAAAGAAGGGGGGTTTGCACTCACATGCTTCTTGCTGAATTCCTTCCACCACTCTACATCCCTAACATCACCAATCGCCAACCCATGAGTGGTCTCGTACTCTGACACCAACCCATCTCGAACTTTCGTCAGTCTGTCCTTGTCCCGGCCCACTAGAATACATCTCGCGCCCTCCTTCGCAAACCGCTCCGCGACAGCTGCACCAATGCCTCGAGAGGCACCTGTGATAATCGCTACCTTGCCTGCAAGAGCTCCCGGAGCAAGCTTCTCTGTCGAAGGTTTGGCCTCGAGCTTTCCGGCACGTGTACTATGCGGGAGATCTTGGAGGAGAGCTTTGGAGGCCGTGAAAGTCCTGGCTCGAGGAATGGACTGTATATGAGGGATGCGGAAGATTCGCATTTTGGGCCATGGAATGGAAGTATTTCACACCAGGAATCGAGGTAGGTAGGTAAGTACCTATATGTAGAGGTACCCAAGTACCAGAAGAACAGGTGTTTCACGTGATATACTCTTCATGTGATGCGCAAGGCAAAAGTCAGGCATCAACTTTGCTCCACACAATTCAGCCTTGCAAGTTGCCATGCAAGTACTTTCTCGGAGAGAAAGTCGCGTCCCACCAAATCGCGTAGGCAACTTGCAAACGATAAGTTGCATCTCACAATGGCGACCTCCAACGAAGGTGGTCTCAGTAAGTACGTTACTCTCGTATCCAGTGATGGGTTTGAGTTTGTTGTTCTGCGAGAAGCCGCTTGCAAGAGTGGCGCTATTAAGAGGATGCTGGATCCCAAGAGTGAGTCTTATTTATCTTGCCAATGTGCTCCTACGCCATAACGGGCCAAACGCTGATGCTATGCGGAATAGGTAGCTTTGCTGAATCGACAACGGGGAGATGTACCTTCGAAGAGATTAAGTACGTGGAATTTGCCTTTTCATAATGATTCCCCCCCAGCTTCCGCCATTATTGCGCGGACAGACACGAAGACGAGAATCGCACAGAGAAGGGGAAGTGGACAAGAAGCACAGCTGTCAGTGATTATATCAAAACATCGCTCACAGACCCTCTTTCTCTTAACGGAGCAAAGTAGTGGAGCTGGATGACGCATATACACTTGATCTGAGACCAGCTTCTTTGCTTTTTTCCCAGCTCACCGCCATACTATGGTGTTATGCCATTTATAAGGATGAGACAGCAAGGCGTTGGAACGATTAACTACCCCTTCGCAACGTCTCTGTCCTTCCATGATGAAAAAGACCCTATGGTCCGGGAGCTCTTCTGCCGTCTCTTCTCGCTGCTATTCTTGAGATGATGTTGCTTCAAAAAGGGCTTCAGTTGACTAACAGCATCGATCATAGTGGTATTGTTCTCGAGAAGGTTGCCGAATATTTCTATTACAGCTACAAGAATAGAAACCAGGAAGATGTTCCAGATATGGACATCCCGCCAGAATTATGCTTAGAGTTGTTAATGGCAGCGGATTTCCTTGATAGTGAGTATTCGATTCTCTCGCTATACTGAAGTCTTTCTTAATAACTTGATGTTGTAGCATGACGAATGATGGACCTTTCGAACACGGCGAATTACGGCGTATAACGGGGCGCTTTGCTTTATGGAATAGCATAGGTATAGGCTGGATGGTTTCTAGGAAAGATGGCCTCGCAATCTGAAAGACATGAATCCAAAACGGCAACCTACATGTGAGATCGCTTTGCACCCAGAGACTTCAATGCCCCATCATAGTATATGCGCTCTTCCTCTCTATAGGTCGGGCGTCTAAAAGTGGTGGTAGATTATTATCCCTCATATTCAGCCTCCCTCTGCTTGATAGAGAACGTGGCCTTATTCCAGGGGAGACATTACATCTCCTCTTTTCAAATCTGTCATCTTGGTGTGTCGAAGGCTGTACCTAAAGGCCCTGATGCTTATGCTTTGATTCCAAGATGTCTCGTAAAACGAGTCGAAGGGTCTAGTGTCCCTGAAAAGCCTCTCATTCCGTCATGATAGCTCATGAAAAAGGCTGGCGCTCAACTTCAACCTCCATACTCTTTGTACTCATTTTCATCTCATTACCATTTCCGCCCAGAATAGCCAATCAACGGACCGCTCTTAACTTGTTCCTCTCGCACAATTATATCGACCGAGCAAAACACCGGGGCTTCAGACTTAGACTTATGCTTCTGGAATAATGCGAGCAGAAGAGATGCAGTGGCAAGTGATATGAACATTTCAGTTTTCAATATCGAGCCGGCTATTGCGTGGATAACGACACAGAGAAGGTTGAGTTTCGGGAATAAGTATCACAGGGCTTTTATCAGGAAAAATGGAGGATATATCACATTTCATAGGATCCTAGGACTAATGGTAATTATGCGATATCCTCTATTTCAGACATAGTTCAGAGCATACCTATTTCAACGTCTCTATACATTGACAAGGGATCCCAAACCTATGGTGAAGCTTTCGAGGAGTTAAAGGGTAAGGAACTCGTTGAGATAAGGTATTCAGTAGTTCGGTCCTTGCCGAGTGGGGAGGAACCCACCCCCACTCCAGATCAATGGCCGATAACGATGTCACGTGGAAGTGTTGCAGTTGCATGCGCCATATCATCGAGTTGCTTTCTCAATTTCTCATACGGCAATCTCTCGTTAAGCATTATTACATGAGAAGAATCAAAAGAAAATGATCATGAGAGTGCAGCATTACAAAGAGATCGCAGCCATTGCGCTCAAGCGTCGAGAAGATGCCATACCGAAAGAACTACTCCTCCCGGAGGGATCCCTCCGGAATCTACCACGAAACCTGACTACCGTCCCCAGAAGCTCCGGGCACTTTACAAACGAGGAGCTGGAGATCATCGAGACGGATGCGGAAGAAATCCTTGTTAAAATCAGGGAGAAGACATGGACATCTGTAGAAGTCACCAAAGCATTCTGCAAAGCAGCCGTAGTAGCACAGCAGCTTGTTTGTTCCTCACGCTGGGCTCTGGAATTTTTGACTGATGGATAGATAGACAAACTGCTTGACCGAGATCCTTATCCCCGAGGCTCTCGAGCGTGCCAAATTCCTCGATGACCATCTCAAGAACACGGGCGAAGTGGTTGGTCCCCTTCATGGTCTCCCGGTCTCCCTGAAAGACTGCATGATTACACCGCCTCACCCGTCGTCCATCGGAATGGCCTGCTACGCAAACGAAGCCACCAACCCGGAGGATGAGACTATTCTTGTCAGTGTTTTGGCGAAGCTGGGGGCGGTGTTCTACGTTAAGACGACGACCCCTACAGCGATGATGATGATGGAAACGATTAGTAACGTGTGGGGGGAAACGACCGGAGCGTACCACAGTGGAACGAGCCCCGGTGGCAGTAGTGGGGGCGAGGGGGCGCTTTTGGCAATGAGGGGGAGTCCCTTAGGTATTGGAACCGATATAGGAGGCAGTATCCGGATTCCGAGCGCGTTCAACTATTTGTTTGGCTTGAAGCCTACGTGAGTCCTTCGGTCACTTGTCAGGGTTATGAACTGACTGTACTATCAGATTTGGACGCTTCCCGGTCTACGGTGCAAAGTCAGGAATCACGGGTCAAGATTTTATCTACTCAAATAATGGGCCAATGTCAAGATCTCTTGAAACTCTCAAACTTTACTGCAAAGCTGTGCTTTCAACAGAGGTTTCACCGTGGAATTTGGACCCCAAATGTCTTCCAGTTCCCTGGAGAGGAGATGTCATCGAGCCCAAGGGGCGAAAGTTGCGGTTCGGCATCATCTCAGACAATGACGGAGAAATCAGCGTCCATCCTCCCATTCTGCGCGGCCTTGCTATGACGAAGAAAGCGCTGGAGGCCGCAGGTCACGAAGTCTTCGAATGGGCACCCATCGACCACCCCGAAATAGTGAAGACTCTGAACTCGTCCTTCCACACTCTTGGAGGAGCTGCCATCATCGAGCTTACGAGGAGGTACGGCGAGCCTGTTTTTGGGTCAATGAAGGAGTACGAGGAATCTTATAATAGAGGTGAAGCTGGCACTCTCGGACCCACGAAGTTAAGGCAGATGATTGCCAAGAGGAACGCCTTCCAGAAAGACTACCTCGATCGCTGGTCTGCCACAGCGAAGGATGGAAAGCCAGTCATGGACGGGATCATCCTCCCTGCTTCCCCCTGGGCTGCCCCCAGACTCGGCATTACACAGGAGGTCTTCTGTGTAAACTACACCGGTGTATTCAACTTACTCGGTAAGGACTTCGATTTCCTGCTAACCACAGAAATAATCTGCTGACCATCCGCAGACTACCCAGTCTGCACTTTCCCCGTCACTTTCGCGGACAAGAATCTCGACCGACCAAGAACTTCCTGGAAGCCCCTGAATGACAAGGATGCTGCGTTGCAGGCGGATTACGACCCTGAGTTCTATGACGGGGCGCCCGTCGCTCTGCAGTGTGTAGGCAGAAGGCTGGAAGATGAGAAGGTCCTTGAGATGGTTGGTATTATTTCGGATGCTCTCAAGAAGACTAACTTATGAGTGAATGCGAGTGGACCGAGTTTTTGGCAGGGACATAGCTAGTTCTGCGCGGCAGAGACAATACTAGAACTACTTCACTTTTCCACCGAGTGAATACAAATAAAAACAACCCAACGAGCTTCCTCCATTTCTCCCATCCTTAAATTCTTTTTCTGGAACTTCAAGACCTATGGATACTCTACGTCTCCATCAAACTGTAACAACTTCAACAGTTACTAAGACAATTAATTCTAGGTACAGATCAAGAATACTAGCCTAAGGAGAGAAGAAGAGGAAAGAAAAATTATTCTGCTATATGCGCAACCCTTATTTATACTGCCCTGCCTAGTCGGCCTAGAATAAATATCCTTCTACGTATATCAGGTAATACGACGTCTTACGTCTGAGGGTAAGTGTAATTTGTGCAAAGAGGAGATGCCCTTCGCGTCTGATAATAGTTCATGCAAGTTTCGTCCCTGCACAGAGGCCTGACGTGGCTTGCTTGCGGGTGAGGGTATGTGTCGGGATCCATGGCGTGGAGCCACTCATGGGTAGGGTTAATCTTGGTACGGTCAGTCGTTTTACAGACTAGAATATCGCACTGGTAGGTAACTATTAGACATGTCGAGTTACTAGATTTACTAATACCCCGAGGGCAATGAATCTCGATGACTGCTTTTTGGCCATTTTGCCCTAACCCATAGCATCTGCTGTAATAACGGCGATTCAATGCGAATCTGAGGGGCGATTGGGAAATTGGGGTTTTAATCGTAGGACTCGGCGGTTTCTTGTTATCTCCCGTCTCGTAATGAACGAAATGCCCGGATCCGTCGACGCGGTAAAAACACATTAGCTCGGGGAAATGACCTGGGCGGTTTGAAGGGAACAGGAAGCCAGCAGGCCCTTGTCGAAACTTCCGGAAAAGCGCTCTTAGGTCTGACGCAGGTAGCCGCGCGTCTGCGGTAGCAGTAAGAGCATCAAGACCGCTATGGGGTGCCCACTCTAGACTAAGAACCACAAGGTCCGGGTTAGAGATAGACACGATCCGCAGACGGGCTCGTGGCCAGGTCGGGGCCTCCTCGGCCGTGCAGCGCATGTCGTGACTTGGATCATGGCACTCGATGCTAAAACTGTCGAGGCAGGCCTGCCAGTCTCCAGGCCTGCGCTGCTGCCAGTCGCTGATATGGCCCCTAATGCTAGCCCAATTGATTTGCACATGCTCGCACAGCTTCACGGATCCTTGGTGACCCAGACACTGTCGCTCCTGTCGTCCATCCTGCCGGTAGAAAGAGGAGAACTGGTGAATACTGTGCAGACTGCCGCAGGCATGGCAGTCAAGGCACTTAGGGCTGTCAAGGCACTTAGGGCTGTCGTATATGCTGCGATACTGATTGAACTCGGGAGGCCTGAACTTGCATTTGTTTCCCAGGCCAGGTTGCATCCAATTTGCTCGAGGATGGGCCTCGCTCCAACGTCTGCAGTTGTCGCACTGCCCGTCTCTTTCTAAGAGCAGTCTAAGCCGACCCGCCATGTCAGAGTGGAGAATAAGTGGCCATGGCGGGTGAAAATCAATCTGGTAAGTATGAACTATGTGCCTCCAAATACGTGGTTGGTAAATAAGACGAAAAAACGTCCTCGAAACGATACGGAGGCAGTGCAGGGTAGGAGCATCATCGCTAAGAGACTCGAGTATAAGAAGTAGAAGCTCTTCTGGCAGCCGGGCAAGGGGACTGTAACGATTGTTATAGACTTGTGCCGCTACTAGCGGATCCATGGTGCGCTGCAGTTCGAGCATTTGAGCCTGTTGCTGCTCCAGGAGTATTTGAGCCTGTTGCTGCTCCAGGAGCATTTCAGCCTGTTGCTGCTCCAGGAGTATTTGAGCCTGTTGCTGCTCCAGGAGTATTTGAGCCTGTTGCTGCTCCAGGAGCATTTCAGCCTGTTGCTGCTCCTGTTTTGCCTGAGTCCGTCGATCGTCTCCTCGTGTCTTTGGGTCCTTAAGAAGACGACAGTATACTTGCAGCTTTCGGATCCATCGCAAGAGGGCAAACATCTTGGTCGTCCACGGGTTACATAGATGATAGAGATAGTGGTCTTCCCTATGTAACTAGACCCTTACTTAACTAGACACTTTCTAGTCCTGGAAGCAGATATGGAACTGTGACAGCACGGATACACACATACGCAAGGGTCAAACAAGTGTTGGTGTTCTCTGGTGTAAGAATACAAGAATATTAAGTAAGTGTTGAGAGGTCTTCAGAGGTAGCCCTACCTTACCTTGAGATGTACCTATTACATCGCCTATTACACGCTTAATTGCTACTAGTCGGCTCGCTTCATTGGCCTTACGGAACGATGGATATTGTTACCTAGATATGTCAGTTGATGTTGTATTGTGTAGACGTGTAAAACTCCTATGCTAAGTGTGGAAGATCGCTACAGCACATATACCTAGACACAAGCCCTCCCAGGAGCGCAAATATCCTTACGATAGAAAGGTCCGATCTCTTCTCTTGTGGACAAGAACCTGTGTTGAAAGAGACAAATCACGTTGAAAGAACCCGTGTTGGGAGATTCCTGCTAGATCCTAGAGTGGTAAATGTAGGGTTCAGCTAAATCAACTTGACTCCCGGCTAAATCAACTTTTGCGAGTACACCTATCACTCGCTTAACTGTGCACGGTCGTAGAATTAACTTCTTACTATCGCGCTCCTCCCCTTCTCCTCCCCTTAGTTTAAACTCCCTTTCTTTTTTGTTCTACATGGTTAGGGGTTAGGGGTTAGTGGTTAGGGTTAGCGGTTAGGGTTAGTGGTTAGGATCTGGGTTAGAGGGGCTCCTGCCAGACCTCCGGAGGATAAGGGATATGTATATAATTTTGGTAAGGGGAGGCTCGGTTAAGGGGAGGCTCGGTTAATAGGTGTACTCCGGAAAACACCCTTGTCAAGTTGATTTAGCCGGGAGTCAAGTTGATTTAGCTGAACCCTAAATGTATCTTGAAGCTCAGATTGCACTGACGGGATCCAGGGGTTGGTGATAGGGGGTGGGCAGACATGGTCTATCGGGTGCAAAGGGAGGTGACTTCGTCTTAGCTACTTCATCAGAATGAAAGCCATCGACCTTAAGACAAGTGCCTAGTTATTAGAGAAAATATCTTGAAAGAAACCGAAGAATTCAAGCCTACAAGTCGAGTCAACCATCCGTAGGCAAGACGTGAGGTCTGATAGTGCACCGCCACATATGTATATCTGCCTAAGGTACCTATCTACTCCGTGCTCTAGAACAAATGCCACCCCCCCTGTTGCTACCTAGCAACGCCTTCAAACACCATCGTCATCAAGCACGACAAAAAAAGCTCAAGCAACTCCACAACTCCAACGCCAAACGACACAATTCCACCTTATCCCCACGGACCCCAAACCGTCTACAAACAACCCTCCCCACATTCAAAATGCCCGCGACCCGCCGCGCCCGCGGCGCCTCCAAAACCGCCCAACGCACACTCGGCTTCACGCACAGCAAATCCACCAAGCCCCTCCCCAGCAGCAAAGACCTCTCGCCGACCACGCCCACGCCCACGCCCTCCCCAGCCGTCGTCGATGTCGGCCACGTCTCCTCGGAAGCGGCCGTCGCGCAACAAGCCGCCGTCGAGGTGACGCGCGTGCGCGAGTCCCGCGATCGCAGCGTCGAGGAATTACAAGCCAAGCAGGTGACGGATGCGCAGATCCGGCGGTATTGGAGGGAGCGAGAGGCCGAGAGGATTGCGCCGAGAGTGCATCAGCAGGATTTGAGTGTGGAGGAGAAGATTTTGAGATTGTTTGATATGAGCTCGCAGTATGGGGTATGTTCTGTCCTGTTGTTGTTTTCCCTCGTCCGCCCTTTTTTTCTTCCTTTTTTTACCAGCTGTTTATGTCTGCGTGTGGAAACTTGAACTGCGCTGATTTGCGGTGTGTTGCTTTAGCCGGCGATTGGAATCGCGAGGATGAAGAGGTGGGTTAGAGCGAATAAGTTGGGGCTGGCGCCGCCCATCGAGGTCTTGGCTGTTCTGCTCAAGGAAGAGGAGAAGGAGAATCATAAGATTGAGAGGGCTTATGTGGATGAGCTCATGAGTTCAAAATTCGTTGTTGGGGAGGCATAGGGATTGAGCAATCCAGGAAGGGAGTGTTGCTTGCTGTGGTGTACAATACATGTTTCTGGGCTTGGGGTGTTCTGGAGTTTACATGAACGGAAAGTAAAGGGCTAGGGGCGTTTGGTGGCTTGGCTTTCACAGCTGCACATTTAGAATTATTGGCAAACAATACTTGCTTGGAGAAAATGAAGTGTCTACACATCACTAGACCACATTGGCAGAAGGTTGTTCTCTAAGCTCATTTGATTGCATTAAAGGTGTACTACAGGAATTTCTCGTCTGCCAATGTTACACGATATTATGAAGCAACTCCGGCAGCTAAAAACCAAATCATAAACCCATTTACATTTGAACCTCAACACGACCCTCCGAGCCTGGAGCGCCTGACGACAAGCTTGGGAGGAGGTAGGTGATATCATCCCAAGGATGTCTGTAAAGGCCAGTGCGCAGTCTCTTCTGGTCAAGGTAATGGGCGATGAGACCGATACTTCGGCCGAGCACGAACAGACCGTTCAAGACACCCATGTTCAGGTAATCCTCCGCCTCCTCGGCACTGAATGCACCGCAGTTGCGCAGCAAATCAACGAAGCAGACAGCGACGGCACCATCGACGTTCAGGATTAGGTTGTCCTTCTTGGACGTGGTGACGGTCTCGACGGCAAGAGCGTAATCGAGCATCTTGCAGCTGGGGAAGCGCTTCTTGACGAACTCCTTCACGAGCTCGACACGGAGATCGGGGTTGTTTCGGGACTTGACCTTGTGGCCAATACCTGGGATGAGCTTGTTCTGCTTGCGCATGGTATCGACGAAATCACGTGGGCTAAGACCCTTGTCGAAGGCCTTGGTAAACTCCTCAGCAGCACCGTCAAGAGCACCACCGAATCTTGATCCAATGGTCAAGAGACCACTGACGAGTGCGCTGATGAGATCCTTTCCTGCTCTTGTGGTGATGATCGTGTTCATGGCACCAGACACAGCTGGACCGTGATCAGCCGTCAACATGAGCACCATCTCGAGGAACTTGCTGGCGTAGTCTGGGAGACGACGACGGAACCAGAGCAATGACATAACACCACCAATACCAATGTCCTCCTTGAAGACATCAGAGATGGGCATACCCGCGTATAGGAGCTCTTGTCCACGGTCGTCAGAGATTGTGGAGATGAATGCAGCAGGCTTTCGGATAAGGCCAAGCTCTTGGGCCCATGAGTAATCGATGGGGATCTTTGGTACAACTGGCTCTGGTTGTGGGACGATCGTTCCGTCCTTGACGAGCTTCTGGTACACCGACGAAAGCACCTGGGGCAGGTCCTCGAAAGTGTCTGGGACGTAGAAGCCAGCCTCTCTCATAGATTTGTTCTTCACGGCGGCCGTCTCGAGCTGAGAGTTGGCGAATGAACCAGCGTGTCCGAACTGAACCTCAGTCTTGAACATGGACGCACAGGTTCCGATAGCCCATGCGACAATTGGCTTTGTGATCTGACCGTTCTTCACAGCCTCGATAACTCGGTACTCCTCAACTCCACCAACTTCTCCCAAGAGGAGCAGGATTTTACACTCAGGGTCCGCTTGGTATCGAAGGAGATGGTCGATGAAGGTTGTGCTGGGATATCTGTCACCGCCAATAGCCACACCCTCGTAGACACCATCGGTTGTGTTGGAAATAATGTTGTTCAGCTCGTTGGACATACCACCGGACTTGGAAACGTATCCAACGGATCCCTTGCGGTAAAGCTTGGAGGCAACGATGTTGTCCATCATACCACCAGTGTTACCAATCTTGAAGGATCCGGGCTTGATTCCACCGACTGTCGCAGGGCCAATGATCGTGATACCCTTCTTCTTTGCGACGTGCAGAATCTCACGAGCACGCTGGGGGAACAGTCAGAACCAGACCTTCGTATTCGAGAATTTTGTTATACTTACTCTCTCGGGGACACCCTCAGCAATGATCGCAATAGACTTGATTTGAGGGTATTCCATGAGCTCCATGGTCGAGCTGTACACACTTCGAGATGAAGCGAAGTTGACGACAGTGTCGACATCGCTGTGCTTCGCCATCGCCTTGCCTACGTCCTGGTAAACAGGAAGCAGCGTCTCGCTGGTTCCCCAGTACATCTTGCTGACGAATTGACCGCCGAATGTGTAGATGATACCTGCAACGGAGGGGGTTTTGCGCTTGCAGATGAAGTCGAAGTCGAGCATGCCCTGCACAGCTCGGGGCTGGAGACCGTAGACGAAGCATCGTGTCTTGTCGTGGAACAGGGTGTGAGCGGCGTGCGGGCTCAGGGGTCGGCTGGGAGCTGTGAATCGACGGATGTTGTCGTTAGCAGAGGGAGCTGCCGCTGGGTGGCTGGCGCCGTTGGCAGAGCCATTGGCAGAGCCGTTGGAAGTAGCAGAAGGCATTATGAGGAGTGCGAGGAACGGATCTTTTCAAGGGGCTGAAAGTAAGCACAGGGTCAGCGATGAGCAATGGCCGTGGAAGTTGGAAGGAGAAGGGGAAGCAGGAGGAGAAATGCAAAAAACAACTGGAGTATATAGTTGTCATACAATTGTTTTTTGCAATTGCAATCGATTTTAGAAATGCAATATTCGATAGATGCAGAGAAAGAACTCACATTGAGGGGAAAACAAGGGATCTGTAAGCACCCGCCCGCGGAACGTAACGAGGACGTGGCTGGACAACAGGAGGAAGGACGACAGAGAACAGGCAGGAGAGACGTTAGATAGATGGAAGATGCTGGATATAATTGAGAGACTGGATGTCTGATGTGTAGATGATGATGATCGAGGGGAAACGGAGATGGCGAGCTGTACGAAGCTGCGGAGATGGTGGATGCCCCAATGGATTGGGCAGCTCTTTCGCGAGCGTCGTATTTTTTTCTGTTTGGGGCCGTGTGTTGAGAGGACTCGTCGCAAAACGGTTGATTCGAAGGGGTCCAGGTGCCAGTGTTGGGACTTTGACGAGCGCTTGGGCGACGCTAACCGGGCCAGTCACCAACCAAAAAAAATACCTTCTCCTTGCGCATCGGGCCTTAACCACTGACAAGCTCCACGACTCACAAAACCCCCGTCAACAACAAACTCCCCAAAAGCCTCAAAGGACCTCCGTCGAAGCAAGGTGAAAGAATCGGCCTTCCCCAAATATCCACCTCCCTTCTCAGCGTACTCCCACTCCCACTCCCACTCCCATCTTCTCTTCCTCTCATATCCCTCCCTCCCTCACGAATCAACGAAGTCTCTCCATCCTTTTCTTGCGACGAACGATAACCCCGGAGAGTTGACGCATCCCCCGAGACAATTAGTTCCATCCCTGGTATGTGCTCGTGTATATTTCGTTGATATCGCACACCGGTCTTGTCCCCCCCCCCTTTGCAGCAGCTGAGCAGAAGGCCTTCACGCTTCTCACACCGGACTTCCCCACCCCAACTTGTCTTGCCCCGTCTCTCCGTGCATCTGCACTCGTACTCGATCAAATTAATCGGGCCTTTATTTATTTTTTTCGTCTTCTTAACGCCGTTGTCAATTGCACCAAATTGATTTCGCTGTCCCTGGTCTTGCTTAGGAGACACACCGCAATTGCATCTTCCCAAACCCTCACGTCAGCAAAAGATACAACTTTTCAAAGGGGACGACACCGATACTGACTGGTAATTGAAACAGTAAACATACCATTCACGACTCACGATGTCTGCCAAATCCATCCTCGAAGCCGACGGCAAGGCCATCCTCAACTACCACCTCACTCGAGCTCCTGTCATCAAGCCCTCGCCTCTGCCAAAACCATCAACACACAACCCTCCTCCAAAGCTCGCCTCGCTCTACTTCCCTGAGGATGCTGAGGTTTCTGCCATTCTCGACCAGGCCGAGGTCACATATCCATGGCTCCTCGCTCCCGGTGCGAAGTTCGTTGCGAAGCCCGATCAACTCATCAAGCGACGAGGCAAGAGCGGTCTCCTTGCCTTGAACAAGACATGGCCAGAGGCGAAGGCCTGGATTGCTGCGCGAGCTGGCAAGCCTCAGAAGGTGGAGACTGTTGTCGGTGTTCTGAGACAATTCTTGGTCGAGCCATTCGTGCCTCACCCAGAGGGAACCGAATATTATATCAACATCAACTCCCAAAGAGAGGTATGATACTCCCTTCCCTTGCATTCAGCCCATATCTTTTCTTTTCGAATAACGAAAGGGGAGAAAAGTTGGGGAATCAACCAGATGGCGACGAGCACAGACATGAACTTTTGTGGTATCCCATTATGTCAAATTCGTGCGATCCAAGCGGATTTTATTCACATGTTGTATGATTTGCGCTTTGAAGAAAACTTCAAAAAAAAATTATACTTCCATGTGGGAGTAGAGCACATTTTGTTGGCTCGCGGGACAATGCCGCTTCGCTACGAATGCTACGCACCGGGCGAACGGAGGCTAGGAAGATGCTTCAGTGGCCCACATATCTTGATAGCACTCCCTCCTTCCCCCAAATCCCCCATTCTGCATTGGCATAGGCCTTGCGCTATCTGCTCTTGTCAAAGCGTTCAGCCTTATGTTGTCTCGGGCCAAAGGAGAGGCCATCCTCCTCGTCCAATCGCCGAACCACCCTTAGTCACCCGCTTGCTAATCATCATTGTCCATATAGGGTGATTGGATTCTCTTTACACATGAGGGAGGTGTCGATGTTGGCGATGTCGATGCGAAAGCCGAAAAGCTTCTGGTCCCAGTCGATCTTGCGGAATACCCATCCAACCAAGAGATCGCCTCAACTCTCCTGAAGAAGGTTCCTAAGGGCGTTCATAATGTCCTCGTGGACTTCATCACGAGACTCTACGCTGTCTACGTTGACTGCCAGTTCACATACCTCGAGATCAACCCCTTAGTGGTTATCCCCAACGCTGACGCTACGTCTGCTGATGTCCACTTCCTGGATCTGGCTGCCAAGCTTGACCAGACGGCTGAGTTCGAGTGTGGTGTTAAGTGGGCAGTCGCACGCTCACCTGCTGCTCTCGGCATGGCCGCTGTCAAGAACAATGATGGCAAGGTCAACATCGATGCTGGCCCACCTATGGAGTTCCCGGCTCCTTTCGGTCGCGAGCTGAGCAAAGAAGAGGCCTACATTGCTGAACTCGATGCCAAGACTGGTGCTTCGCTCAAGCTGACCATCCTGAACCCCAACGGCCGTGTATGGACCTTGGTTGCCGGTGGTGGTGCCTCAGTCGTGTATGCCGATGCCATTGCCAGCAGTGGTTTCGCCGACGAGCTTGCCAACTATGGTGAGTACTCTGGTGCTCCCACGGAGACCCAGACCTTCCACTATGCCCGTACCGTCCTGGACCTCATGCTCCGCTCTCCCATCCGGCCCGAGGGCAAGGTCCTGTTCATCGGTGGTGGTATTGCCAACTTCACCAACGTCGCTTCCACCTTCAAGGGAGTCATTCGAGCTCTGCGTGAGTTCAGCGGTCAATTGATCGAGCACAAGGTCCAGATCTGGGTCCGACGTGCGGGACCTAACTACCAAGAGGGTCTGAAGAACATCAAGTCCGTGGGACAAGAGTTGAAGCTGGACATGCACGTGTATGGTCCCGAGATGCACGTCAGTGGGATTGTTCCTCTGGCCCTCATCCCCGGCCGCTTGGCGGCAAGCAAGGTGGAGGAGTTCAAGGGTTAAAGGGGCAGTGGATATGTGATGATGAATTGTTTGGCCCGGGGCATATGTTTTTTGGGCTCCCGTGGACGTGTAAGTTGCGGCGTACAAATGAGATGTTGCTTAAGACTTTACAAGATAATAATAGATACTTATAAACGCTCCTATGCTGAGATGACGCTAGTGCCAAGCCGTGCCCCTTCCCGTGCAGAGTGTCGGGAGGATAATTGTAATTAGAAGGATGTTTGATGGATGGCATCAGAGCCAAAGTGGCCCGGCAGAAGGGTTTCAACTGCAGTGGCGACGCAGCCAATCAGAGCGAGGGGCGTGCTATCGCTCGTCAAGGTATTGGGCCTGATCACTGATGTCGCTCGCTTTGCACACTCTCAAACTTGGCCAAACTTGACTACAGAGCTTGCATGTTGTAACGTTCTGGAGTTTGCGGCGGAGACGAGACGTTCGGCCGCTCGGCGTCGACCGCCCGCCGCTGCTTGACGGCACGCTTGTCCCGAACAGGCAAAGGGGCCCTTTGCGTTCCTATCGTCGTCTCGTATTCCCCGTATCAGAGGGCAATGCCAATCAAGGATCAGACAAGGCCTGTACGGTATGGTCCTGTCCTGGTGATTTATTCATTTCCTCATTTCCTCATTTGCTCATTGTTGCTTCATTGCGGCCTTGCCTCATTAAAGTGCCAATGCCTTCGTAGAGGGACCACCCCTCTGCTCTCCTCTCTTTCTCGTCCTCTCTTCGTCTGTATGCATCCTCATCCGCTTCTTCTTCCTCTCTAAAGTCTTCTTCATCACACTCGCTGCCTTCCTATTTTCCTTCTACTTCCTGTCTATCGTTTGAGAAAGTCTCCTTCAGTTGGGAGTAAAAGACGCCCGGGTATCCCTTATCGATTGGGTCCGCGGCACAATGATTGCTTCAACGGTATGTGCAATCTCAGTGTCTCTCCGCAAGATTTTCTATGCAATGAGCTCTCTGCACGAGGCCTGTAGAGAATCATTGCATACATATATGTGTATGTATTCTATATTATATGTATATAAACATTATATATCCATACCGTACCGCTCTCTGCTACTTCTGGGCTTCATTCCTGACCAAGCCCCGCTCCCAGATCCAGCTTCTGCTCCTCGCGCTCTGCGCTGGATTCGCGCGCGCTGTCCCGACAATAGAGATTAAGGGCTCCGACTTTATCAACTCGGCCACGGGAGATCGATTCCAACTTCTCGGTGTCGCATACCAACCCGGTGGATCGTCAGGCTTCGACCCCGCCAGCGGGCTGGACCCTTTGAGCGATGGCGATGTGTGTCTTCGAGATGCTGCGTTGATGCAGCGCTTGGGTGCGCATATCGCATTGTTACATGCCCCGCGCGAGGCTGATTGATGATTTTAGGGGTCAATGCTATCCGAGTCTATAATCTCGACCCCGACCTCAACCATGATATGTGCGCCTCTATTTTCAACGCGGTATTTAATCTCCCAGCGCCATAGTATGGAAATTTACTAATGCGCCGGCAGGTGGGAATCTACATGTTGATCGATGTCAATTCGCCTTTGGTGGGTCAGAGTATCGACCGCGGGGCGCCCTGGACCACTTACGATTCTTCGTACCTGAACCGGACTTTCGCTGTTGTCGAGGCATTTAAGAATTATCCAAATACCCTACTATTCTTTGCTGGTAATGAGGTTATCAACGATGACCCCAGCGGTAAAATTGTTCCTCCTTATATGCGAGTAAGTCCACTGGTCTCTCCTGACGTCCCGTCCCGTATTCTGACTCTCCAGGCTGTCACACGCGATCTGAAGAACTACATCAAGAATCATGCAACACGGACAATCCCTGTTGGCTACAGTGCTGCTGATGTCCGTGATATCCTGTTGGATACATGGAACTATCTTCAATGTACCACCACTGGCGACGATTCGGATATGTCCCGCGTAGACCTCTTTGCTCTTAACAGTTATTCATGGTGCGGCGACTCTTCGTTCACGACCTCGGGCTACGATAAGCTCGTGGCGAATTTCAGCAGTACTAGTGTTCCTGTCTTCTTCAGCGAGTACGGCTGCAATGTGCCCGCCCCTCGGGTTTTCACCGAAGTTCCCGTTCTCTACGGTCCGCAGATGACGCCCGTTCTTTCTGGGGGCATGGTCTACGAGTACTCCGAGGAAGCCTCCGACTATGGACTTGTGAATCTAAACAGCAATGGCTCGGCGCAGTGTCTCCCCGATTATGACACTCTTCAGAAGCAGTTCGCCTCGTTGAACGTCACCGCACTGCAAGGCCTCCCCGCACAGAACACTTCCATAAAACCACCCACCTGCTCCGAGTCAATCATCACGGGTTCAAGCTTCAATAGCAACTTCACTATCCCAGATGTCCCCCCCGGAGCGCAGGCCCTCATCGATAAAGGCATCTCTCCTGCTCCGGTTGGCAAGTTGGTCTCCGTGACAAATACTAAGGTCACCCAAGTTGTTCAAGCTAGCAATGGCCAGGTTATCCACGGCCTATCTATCACTCCCTTAGCAAACGACGAGAGTAACACCCCCCGTCCCCAATCCTTAGTCTCCTCCTCATCATCATCATCATCACCAACATCGACCACTAGCTCAGCCACGGCGGCCGCAACGACCAACAGCAAGAAGAGTGCCGCCGCCGGCGTACAGAGAAACTGGGGCAGCTTAGCCATTGCCGGAATCGCCGCCGTGAGCTGGTTTTCTCTGGTGTAAATAATCAATCACTAGCTGGTATAAGAGAGAGAGAGCCTTGTACATACATATCTGATCAATAGCTATGTTGGTGGCGCGGGCGGTGCGCCAAGTCTTCTCGCGCAGCTTCATTTTCCTGGCAGGCCAGGTCTATAACGAGAAGACGAACGGGGTCCGTAATAGATAGACATGAGTAAATACATCGCTTCCAAAGATTTCGCTTCTGTCTCGCAGTGCCGTGATCACATTCTATCGTGCGATCAGTATCTGAATTTTGATCCGAGTGATACTCCCCCCCCCCCCCCTCCCTTAAATTCTCCCTTTTCGAAATCAACTACGATTTATAAACATTCCATATTTGTAATTCCAGGCCCACAATAGGATAGAAAATAAACAAGATGATTAAATCCCTACCTACCCACATGCCTGCCTGCCTGCCTACCTGCCTACCTGCCTACCTAAGTATCATCATTCAGGTTTCCATGATATAAGGCAAGATACCTTACCCGTCAAGGTAAAGTAAAGTGAAATAGGGGACCAGACTTAAGACGAATATATGTAGGTAGGTAAGGTTTAGGGAACGAGCCCTACCGTAGCTAGTAGATGGTGATTCTGATATTTTATCTTTGTGTGTGGTTGGTTCTTTTGAAGAAATACAAGTTATCGTTATTGTTATTATTGTTGGAGTTTTGCTTCCTTATTCACATACTTTACCTACCTATCCTATCCTATCCTATCCTATCCTATCCCACCTCCTCAGCACTCTTTACTTCTCCCCCTCTCAAAAAACCAACAAACAAAAACCATGCAGTCCCCCTTCCACCACCTCCTCCTCCTCTTCTTCCTCCCCCTAATCCCCGCCCTCTCACCCACTCGCACCACCATACTTACTCACCAGCTCAAGACCCGCGCCATCAGCGAATGTCCCACCGACCACTGGCGACCCCTCACGCCCTACCGCTCAACCGCCTTCCCAGAGCCGTGGTGGTTCCTGCCCGAATCCGACGAGGCGAACCAGGATCATTGGGAAGTGACGCATCCCACGCTCCCCGTCGAGGTGCGGATTCCGGACCCGCTGCTGCCCACCAAGAATGAGACTGTGAGGGCCTTGTATCGCAAGGCTTTGTTGCTTTTTGCTTATGATGAGAAGAAGAGTGTATGTATCTCCCCCCTGGCATTCTTTTCGTCATCAGAAGTGGAAGTGGAAAACCTTTGGTGATGCATACATGCATGTATGAGAGATAGGAGCGGGCTTTTATGATTTGCTAAAATGTTCATGTTGGGAAAAATATAGGGAGAGCAAATCGAGAGAGAATGCGAAAAGCGCATACAAGACATGAATAAATTCGATATCATGTGTCGCTGCGTCCATATGTGGTGGTGGCAATGCAGCCAGGTAGGCGCCGATGTCTGGATGCGCACTTTTAATAAAAGGCTTTATCTGCGCCGATATCATAATTTGAAGAATAGGCTGGTGGATGATATGAAGACGGAGGGGTTGATTGATTTGGGGAGGAAGGTGGCGGAGTTTATGGCGGAGACGGGACTGACGATTGAGTCTTGAGAGGAAGGGAGACCTGACAGACTGCTGTCGTGGAGGCCCCATTTCTTGGCTTCTTCCGCACTCACTTCAATATCAGGTGCGTGATCGAGGTGCTATATCGGCGTATGGAGTATGGTTCCGGAAATAGGAGCATGGAAAAGTGAGAAATCATCAGTAATACTAGGTATTTGGAAGAGCAACAGCGAGTGGTGTGTATCTAGGTGTTGATATTAATATTGTCTACTTATACGGTACCTTTATACAAACCAATGCAAGGTTTCCAAGCAGCATCGAGGAAATGAGTAAAACCCACCTTGCCTAGCACGTGCAGACAAGATCCAGGAGGCCCCCAGATCATCCCTGGCCAGGTACAATCTCCTACCCCTCCTCCAAGCCCCGTCTCCCACCATCACGGCGTAGGACCTACGCCAATGTTAGCACAGGGTTTAATCAAAGCAATGAAAGGAAGACTTATCTCCACAAAAAGTTGGGAGGGGCTGCCTCTGTCCGAATCACCGGAACAAGAGGCAGCCCAGGACTACCCATCCATAGGGCCTGTCCTATTTTCTTTTAATTCACCACAGCAAGCTCCGATAGGCCGCGAACCCCCCCAAACACCTGAGACCTCCGCACCTACACAGCCAAGATGGAAACGATTGCCTCCACCCAAGAAGTCAGACAAACTACACAGTGCTACCCAGGGCAGACAAGCACTAAGCTTTGACACCAACTCGAGATGGGTCCCGCCTTGGACACCGTGTAATCTCCTTCATCCTCAAATAGAGACAACAGAATCCAAATTAGTAGGGCAGGTTGAATGGAAGAATCTCACCACTACATCCGACCTTTCGCAACCATACATTTTCATCGCCAAGCCGCAACCGTATCAGACCTGATGGATCGAGACCGTCATTCTAACATCTGTGAATCAAAACCCGACAGTGGACCGGACAAACAACGGACTTGGCCCTGAACGAGCAAGTACCTCGGCGCGGACCAGGAAGCTTCTCTCTGTTTGAATAGCAGTGCCCTCCGAGATTAGTTTTTGTTTCCTCTGCATCAATGTAGATACAAAGTTGCAGGGCGGAAAGCGGACAAAAGACATCAACAAAAACCGCGGATCGTCTCCTTCCTTGAATCTTTGAGATAGATACGAGGCGGAGGAAGGGGTGTACAGACATCACAAGGATGAATGACAGTGTGCTGGCGTCTTCCATCACCCAGGGTCCTAGCCCTGGGGAGAAAGTTGATGCGGCTGATCGGGATCACTCTCAAAGGAGTCAAAGCCTGTGGCTGGTACCGCGGCGATGGTCTCGTGGGCTGACTGCGCGTACTGAGGCGAGGTTCTGGTGGTAGGAGAGGGTGGAGACAACATCCTTCGTAGTCCCACAAGGGGGAGGACGAACAGGAAAAGAGAGGCACGGGACATCTTCCCTGCCAATGAATTGCGTGAACCCATCTCTGTAGACACGATGGAATGATCGTCAATTGGGTACGAGAGGCCGTTCCGGAGCGTGGCAACACGTCATTTCTTCGCAGCACTGAAGTGCTTTGAAGGACAGTCTTCTGCTTAGCGTTTCTGTTTGAGGGCTGAATCGAAACCTCGCTACAAATGCAACAGCAAATGTTTCCGACGAGTGGGATCGAAGCCAATTCACAACCATCAGGAGGTGGAAACTCTTGCAACTCTTGCAAGAAGACTGTCTGTTTGTAGACTTCTCGTATGGAGTGTTGTGCTCGGCCTCCGCAGTCCAAAAGTAATGCAGACATTTTGCCCGAGAGTTGATAGAGAACACGTTCATCAATTCGGGACAGCTTGATGAAGATCCCAAAGACCACTTCTCAAAAAAGGGCCTGTACCTTCTCCATATTGTATCTCCTCTCCAGACCATCCGCTTATGCACGACGAAGACAATCCATAATGATCAGAGTATAACGTCCAGCCGATGACCCCGACGAGCGTCCTCTCTGAGGCTCTTACCAGAATGGCTCATGGATGAAATCTGTTTTATCGTCTCTCGACATCTGGACTATTCCTCCAAGTTTTCAATCACCAGCCTTGTTCAGACCACTCAGCCTTTCGGCCTTGCAATCATCACTCAGCAGATGGAGACCTAGTAATCTGGAAGAACAACTATGACCGCAAAGCTGAAACCAGCAAATACTTAGGGTTAAGTTCTGAAATCCATTGTTCCTTTCGGAGAACAGAAGTCAGAGAACTGTAGAGAAGGCGAGGTGCTGAGTTTGCGGGTGCTCTTGAGGTCAAGAGCGAGAGAAGCTTCGAGTTCGCACGCATAGGAGAGGCATTTGAGCGTCCAAGGGGTCAGGTTGAATGTTTGGTGCTGCTTTTGGAAATTTCGATGCAGATGCAAGTCGGGAGTCGGTCCGCAGAATGATTTGGGATGCGGTGGTCGGAGATAAAGCTACACGGCAAAGCAAATGATCATTCGAGAGGTAATGGTTGGTGAGGAAGAGGTTGAAGAGGAAAGAAAAGCAGGAGACCTCGGACGCGAGATATCAACACGGGCGTCGCGTCGCTTGAATGTTGATGCTGATTGGTCATAATCAAGCGAATCGCGAGATCACATGATCACGGGATTATGGAGTCGACTGTCGACGGGATCCTCGCGTCATCGATTACTCTTCCTTTGTCAGTATTGTCGCCTTTGTAAGGTAGATTTTGATCAAGAATCCAAGAACATAGCTATCAGATTGCTTGAGTTGTTTGGGTACTAGGCCGAGGAGCGGCAACTTTTTCAACCCTCTGATGATCACGGGCTTTCAAGGAGGCAAAATTTTGCCAGACAAGAACTGACGAAGCAAGATGCTTAAGTAGCGTTCAAAGGCCTAGACTCCTGGTTCTACTCAATCGTTACCAGCTCGTCTTTTAGTCCAGTTCCTGCATTCCTGTTCCTGAACTAAAGAAGCGATGGCTCAAGAAACATCGTCAAAAAAGGCTCAACCTCCCTTGGTTGATAACCTCCTCCAATATGGAAAACTGGCCTTTGATCCCAGCTTGCCAGAAGCAACGAGACAATCCAACCAGTCAAAATTCAACACCTTGATAGAGAGGTATTGTCTGGATTCTGCCAATTATACCCTTTGCTAAGTATGAATAGCACAAGTGTTTTAGCACTGATACCAGCCTTGAACCTTCTCGTGCAGCCTAGTCGAACAGAGCCTTGGCTACGAGCACCATTGATTTCAGCCCTTGCGACTCTTCCCCTCAGAGAGCGTGGAGTCCAGCATACCATTGAGTTTGTTCTTTCTGTCCATCCAAGCAGCGCTGGCTTCGATGAGACAAGGAAAGCTGGGAGAGGGTCCGGCATTTCCCACGAGGCTCTAAATGCAGCGTCGAGGCTATTATCTTCGCCACCTGCTGGGATGTCTCCGGAGAGATGGTTCTCTGGCATTGCTCCTCAGCTTTTTGCCCTCCTCCAGGGGGAGGGCGAACCAGAAATGGATCGAGCTGCTGCTTTCATCATTGGATTCGGTATCCTCGGCAGGAAGCAGTATGGTGCTCCTGGTGTGTATATATATCATCACATACCTCAAGGAAATACTAATGCGTTGTAGGTATGCCTGGTTGGAAAGCTTTCGTTGAACCCATATTTCGTTCCATCGACCCTGCGATCGTTTCACCCAACGCGGAGGTCGAAAGTGTCGAAGAAGAGATAGTCTCCTTAAGTCCCAGAAAAATTCTGGTTCCATCTTTGCAAGTTGCCAAAAGTCTCCAAAGACTTACCGCCCTTGTAACTTCCCATCCTCACCCCTCTTTGACAAGGCGCCTTCTTGGACCGATTCTCCTGCCTCTCTGGTCACTTTCATCTTGGTATCAGAGTAACGATTACATTGATAAATCCTATCGAAAGCCAGCCAGAAATTTATTGAAGACTCTGCTGCAATTATCATCCTCCAGCAGTCAATTACCTAGTCGACCAAATCAGCAGCCCTCTAACTCTAGCAACATCTCAATCATTGCCCAGAACCTTATGTTTCGAGGACGATCAGACCCAGGAGCGTTGACATGGATCTACACCGAGTCTAGTGATGGCGGGATTCAAATTGAGGAGCGAGCAATCAACGAAAGCAACGAACTCACCGCAATGGAATCCGATCTGGCATCGATCGACGGAGCAACAGCTGCATTCATCGCCTTGATAGAATCTGTATCTGATTTTGACACCGAGATTTCCCATCTGTTCATAGACTTGTGCAGAAAATGGCTCAAAGATAGCGAAAAGAACAGACCTGGTTCGGTAGTCTTGACACTCCTTGAACCGACAGAGCCGACGAATAGTGCTGAGAAAAGACTTATTGAAGCCAAAATCATGCAGAGGATGATGACTTCGGTTCCGGAGAAACTCGTGAGCGACTCGCGGCAAGTTCTTGATCTTGTCAACCAGATATTGTCCGGTTTCAACACCGATGAAGTCAATGACAATGGCGACGAAGATATAGCCGCAATTGCTCTGAGCCTGTTGAATATCATCCTAACATCTTCAGCTTCCCTGAAAACGCCCGATTCAGAGCAGGTTCTCGAGGAAATACAAGCGTCATTACATTCAATCAGCAAGAAGACGGAGTTAGATATTTCATCAACAGCGCAAAACCTGCTCTTGCTGATAAAATTTCGGGACACTCTTAATGATCCAGGGAATGTCACCCCCAGTATTACTAAGGATCAACAGGTGGAAGACCGTAAGAGCTACAGCCTTGCAATGTCGTACCTTACATCTGCGGATTCACCACCACCAGTCCGCGTCCAAGGGCTCGAACTTATTTCAGCTTTAGTTCGAAGTCGGAGCTCAGTCGTTGATATACCTGCTCTTCTTGTTCTATTTTCATCGCTCCTTCAAGATAGTGATGAGTATATATACCTTCGCGTCATTAAATCTTTCATTGAGCTCTCCGACAAGCACCCAAAGGCTATCCTCAATGACCTCATCGACCGGTATGTTGACCCGAACGAGGAGTCCGAGCTGGACCAGCGTTTGAGATTTGGAGAAGCATTACTCCAAGTCATCGAGAATGTTAGCAGTGGATTTTCGGGGGAGATTGCAAAAGCCGTTTGCGAAGGTCTCTTATCAATTGCTGGTCGTCGCGGATACAGGCCGAAATCCGAACAAGAGCAAGAAAAGCGAAATCGCCTAAGGCAGGAGAAGAACAAAGAAGCAGAAGATGCATGGGATGGGCCTGTTCCTCAACTAGAAGATGACGCACCAGAATCGCAGGAGGACTATGAAATACTATCGCAGATCGTCTCAGGGTGGGAAAGTAAGCGTGGGAGTGAAGATGTGCGCATTCGCGCCTCTGCTCTATCGATACTGGGTACAGCCATTGAGGAAAATGTAGCTGGTATTGGGTCAAGCCTGATATCTACAGCTATAGATTTGAGCATCCATATATTGACTCTCGAGCCAGAGCCTGAGAAAGGGATCTTACGACGTTCCGCAATACTTTTGATCATGTGCTTCGTAAGAGCATTGAACTCAGCGAGGGAACAAGGCAGAAAGCTCGGCTTCGGATTGGTTGGCAAAAATCTCGAGGACGTGCAGAGGATTTTGGGATATGTGGAGGGCACCGACAATGATGGGCTGGTACGCCAGCACGCCAAAGACGTGATTGATGGTCTCCAAGCCTGGCAAATCAACACGCTCTTGCCATCCCAAACGGGACAGACCGAACTTCAGGAATTGGCCGGATTGTCAATCAAACCCGGGGGAAGAAATGGCTCTAACGCCAGGATAGGACCGAGGATTGAGGAGATAGAGTAGAGGGGCGGCTCGGTCGAATTTTCGGGCTCCTTTGGTTGCAAATTTACGATCACAGGGGCGGCAGCGATTTTCCTTCCTCTGGGTGAGGCCTTTCTCTTCCGAGATCACCGGGCACAATCTCTTTACCCCAAAGGTTGAAGAGAAGGTGTCAGGTATTTCGAAGCTCGAAGTTGGTCAACCCCCGCTCTTTGCCTGCTTCCTCGGATGGATATCTGCCAAAGATTATCAGCAGGGTACTAATAGCTTCGACGATTACTTATGTATGGATAAGACAAGGCAAAAGACCCACCGTCTCCTCCCAAATCACGGAAGATATTCGACGGATTTTCGTAGACTATTGGGCGCCAGAGCTACTGGACATCGTCCGAGGCCCAGAGAGAAATCACAAGCCAAACGCGGTGACCGTTCCTATCTTCCGTACGCCGTTGGGTACAGATGACAGACAACTCAGCCCGGGCTCGCTGTTTTTGGTGATGCAGCACGCCTCGTGACACCCTTGGCCGGAGGAACGCACCAGATTTGCCTTCGAAAGTGCTCTGCAGACCGACAATACCACCTCGCCGTCTCGAGGGAATGCCAGGAAGATATGTCAAGTCCAGAAGAGGAGCCGTGGAAGATAGTAAAGCCGTGTGTTCTCACCGAGGTGTGAAAGCTGGGATGATGCGGGGTAGCACCGCTGATCGGCGTTGGGGAAGACAGGGGGGAACTTCAATCTTCCTTTTCCGGAAATAGTCTATTGCCTACCCCAACATCTTACGTCGTGGGCCGTGGGGATAATGCTGGTATACTCGGATACTCCGTATGCGTACTAGTAGTACATCGTATACAAGGACAACGCGAAAAGATTTGTATTGATTTGTGTTATTTATTGAATTCTTTTGGTTATTATTTTTTCCGAAACACTGGTATCAGTTGTATCTGCCCGTGTCGCAAGTAGGGAGTTGAGCGCTTTACAATAGCCACCTCATTGGCCGGGTCATGTTCCAGTGGTTCCTGGATCCTGATTCCTAAGAGGATGATGAGGTATAATGAGAGCCGCGCTGAACGCTGGATGTGCCGACATCAGGATAAAGTTCGTCACAGGTTCGGATTTTAAACCCCTGCTCTAAAGAGATGTCTCCATTGAGCCCCTTCAGCCCACCCTTCCCATCTATCATCCCTGGACGGCGTGGGCCCGATCCATCCAACCGCCCAGCGACATCACGCATTGCTGCATTGCTTCCGGAAGAACGGTCATCACAACGTACCCCGGGTCCTCCGTACAATACGACGATATCCCCTCTTCCCTCTTCCCAGGCCGATAATAGGTAGGCCTATAGCCCATCCAAAAGATGGTCCGGTGGGCACAATAGTTCGTTAATTTCCCCCTCTCTTCTCCCATGGTCCAACATCGAATAATGCACTGCTTGGATGTGACTACCATACCTTGTTGGCAGAAGTAACCGCTGGGCTGGACTGGACGTACCATGGGCAAGGACGGGTAACGATCTGTAATGGCAAGCCGGTCTCTAATAGTCATCTGCACAATGGACGCATGAAGAGTCCGTCAACTTTCAAGCCACAAAGTCACCCCCTGTACCCCATCCCTCCTCGTGCACTGCATCCCCTGACAATCTTGCATAGAGCGAAAGGCATCCCAAGAGAGGTGGAGTCTGGAGAGGCAGACCATGGTATGGAGCGGAGCATGGAAAAACCTCTATAAGTAGGCTCTGGGAGTCCTCCCAGTTCCCACGATCCTCCCGCTCAGCTCAGGATTCCCGATCGAGGCCTCTTCCCAAGTTCCTAGCACCCTTGCCGGATTCAGGTGTTCTGCAGGCAGGAGCCTCACCCCTCGCGGTCTATCCATATACACATTGGCATCCCACGATGTTGTTCTTTCGCTGGACCCTCTTACTGACCCTTTCGGGTCTGGCCCTCGCCTATCCCGCCCCTGCGGAAGATCTCAGCAAGCGAGCTCCCTCCAAGCGGGAGACGCCTTTGAATGCCTTCCTATCCACGCTCCTAGAGTATCTCCCTCCGATCAATGGTGCTATCGATACAGTCGTCGGCGTCCTCACCGATTTCGAGACGCTCCTCGGAGACCTGACGGGCGACCAGGAGACCTACAACCAGCTCGGCGTGGGGCCATGCACGGAATACACGCTCATCTTTGCACGGGGCACTTCTGAGCCTGGAAATGTAGGGATCCTGGTCGGGCCTCCCTTCATCGATGCGCTGCAGGACTTGGTTGGCTCTTCAGCGCTCACAGTGCAGGGGGTGAACAACTATGCTGCGAGTGTTGACGGGTACCTGGCAGGCGGGGACCCGGAGGGAAGTTCTGAGATGTAAGTAAGCCGTTAATCAACGTCCAAAGCTCTGTTCCCCTGTTTTCGGATCTCGTACTGACTCCCCACAGGGCAAAGCAGATCGAGCAGGCTTACGCACTCTGCCCCAACACGAAGCTCGTTGCATCGGGTTACTCGCAAGGCGGGCAGCTCGTCCACAATGCCGCGGAGCTGCTGCCTCAAAACGTTGCTGAATGGATCAGCTCCGTGGTGATTTTTGGAGATCCAGGTATATATTATCAACCCCTCTGACCTCTCGAGCACTGGACTAACGACCATGTAGATAGCTCGTCGCCGGTGGCCAACGTCCCAGCTTCGAAGGTTGACATCATCTGCCACGCGGGTGACAATATCTGCGTGAATGGAGTTCTCATCCTGCCCGCACATCTTACCTATGCTGTCAATGCAGCCGCAGCCGCCCAGTTCGTGGTCTCGCATTAAGGTGGTTAGAGCGCCGGAGAGGAGCCTGTGCTTTCCTTGGTCGAGGAAGCTCGTACGGGCGCTGAAGATTTCCTGAAAATGGGACCTGCTGGGAGGGAACTCGACGTTCTCTTTCTCTCACCAACTCACGCGATGAGAGACGGGGTTCAGCGGACATCTGGGTCTGTTACTGTATATAGTCATAATTATTCGCTAAATAAAAAGTCTATGATAATACCGTACCTGGCAATCTGCACCTTGCAGGAGACGACTCATTTGCATGCTGTGACAGAGACCATGACGAATCGCACTCGTTCCCACAGGTATCTCTCAACCAGAAGAGGCTCCTACGGCACTTGTTAGGAAAGGCTCTGGTCCTTTAGAAAACGAAGACAAAGGATTGTCCGTATAAAAGCTTTATTACGTCTCTAACCTATCTCATAGACAATATTGATCAAGCCCAAGTGAACTAGATCACAGCCAGAAAGTTAAGGAGGCTGTGCCTTGAGCAATAGCAATTAAAAAGACAATAGCCTATTAGAGACTCCGAGACTTAGCAAACTCGAATCTACCTACAATAAGCATCAAAGTCAAAGTAGCGTATATGCAAATCCCCCCTCTGAGGGTAAATGTTGTCGGATGCCACAAAGCCCAGGGAGTGAAACCCTGGAGATCATTTAGACAAGCTTGGGAATCCTACTGTTAGAACCTAGCCTTGACGATGGGCTCTTCTGCTCTTTGAGTAGAAGAAGACGAGCCACCAGTTGGGACTTGGAGACGTTTTCCAATTCCGGGGGAGGGAGAGGGAGAGGGAGAGACTATTGTCTCTTGTCGATGTTTAGATGGAGATAACTCCAAGTGAAGAGCTTAAAGGAACAAACAATGAGGCTGATTATATAGTGTGGGTTTCATTAATTACTACTTAATAACTTTTCCACGGCCCATTTCACGGAGAGGTTCCTCAAATCGCTGTAATGCTGTCCAACACCAACGAAGAGCACCGGAACATTCGTAGCATGAACCATGCTAACCAGGGTGCCAACCATATCTCCAACTGTATCACACTTGGAGATTATGAAGCCATCGAGTGATCGGCCACTGCCGAAAGCTGTATTGAAGTTCCGCGCTTGTGCCACTGAGTCTGTTCCAACCAGCGCCTAGGAAAGTTAGCCAAGCAACATGTATTTGAGACGCGTCCTGACTTACTTCTCCGACCATGAGTATCTTGTCTGGTTGGGCGAACTTGGCGAATTTTTCCAGGGACGACATAAGCCGCTAAAAGTGAGCTGTCAGCAGGAGTCAATGAAATGTGAGGCCTGTTTTCTTACCTGGTCATTATGACGGCGGCCGGCAGTATCGATTAACACGACATCATATCCTTCCTGGGCCGCAAAATTGACCGCATCTTTTGCTACATTGGCCGCATCCTTGCCGTATCCCTTTTGATACAACTCCACCTCACCTCCTTCCCGGGAGGTAAGCTCTTTCAAATTGCGGACGTGAACAGCCAGTTGTTCTACTGCGCCAGATCTGAACGTGTCGCAAGCCACAATGAGAACTTTGTACTTGTTCTGCAAAAGGAAGAAGCATATTTTGGATAGATTCGTAGATTTGCCCACACCGTTCACGCCAACGACCGAGATGACATATGGGCGCTTCTTTTGTAAAGAGGTTGCGGAAGGTGATGTGACAGCGTCGATTTCACGAAGAAGGTCGAGTGATGAGGTTGGAGTAAGAATCTTTCTAAGTGAGGATTCCATCGCTATTTGGATCCTTTTCTGTACGCCTAGGAATTGTTAGTTGCTACCATTGCATAAATTTCAGCAAATACTCACTCTCAAAATTGCCAGTTTTTGTCCCAATTAACTCCCTCTCCACGCCCTCGCATAATCGAACTGCGGCTTCACGAGCAACGTTTTTTCTTAGTAGATGGTCCTCCATTCCTTTCATAGCTTTATCCAAATCCTCTTTTGTTAATGTCTTGCCTCCGACCACATTTCTGAAAAATCCTCCGATGGCATTTATACCAGACCCCACAATTCCGCTTGAAGCAGCAGTTGAATCTGCTTTCTTGGCATCTGCGGTAGCTAATATCGAGTTGACTTGATCATCAAGATCTTTCAACACAAATTGCCCTTTGCCAGTTCTTGACCCCCATGACGCCTGGTCCACCTTTTCCACAGTTCCTGGGCGCTCCTTTGCCTCATCGTCTCCGGATGTAGCGCCATTGGCTGGCGCAGAATAATCTAATGGCGTATCGCTATCTTCATCGGCCAGGCCATCCGCATCCCACTTCCTTCCTTTCTTTGGTGCTGCTGCTTTGCCTGCCCTGGTCCTCTTTGAGTTTGATTCATCACCGGAAGATGCATGTGCTAAAGGGGAATTCGCAGCTTTGCGAGCTCTTCTTGAGCCTTTGCCTCCAGGCCCTCCTTTCCCAGTAAGGAGATGGCCAGCGGGGGTTGTCGGACGTGAGTTATCTGGTGTAGCAATCAGGGTGGACTCGTTCGAGGTCGGATCTCTGTAGTTCTTGGATTGCCCTGCCTGATGTCAATCTCTGGCGACAAACTCCATCGTCATGCACATACCTCTAGAAAGTATTCCTGGCAATGGAGGTGGTTCATCTCCCGAATCTTCAACAAGCGACGGCGGCGCTTCTTCGAGTAGTGCAGAAGACTCCGCGACTCTTGTGTCTTGGTTCAGCGCTGTCTTCTCTAGCTGCTGTATCTGTCGGTCGAAGTATTCGTCGAAATGGCACTCGACAATAGTAGTATGGGGCTTTTTCAACTGGTCTCCATAAAGATCGACAAATATGGTCTTGATATTATCAACAAGTTTGTCAATCCAGGATAGGTGCAAGAGTGATCGATAGACAGCCTGGGGAGGGTCTCGACTTAGCAAAAGAGCGCACAGAAACATTTACATTATGGAGTTGCGACAAAGAGACTTACGACAAATATAAGGCCCAATTCCTTAACTGTAGTCCACTTCAGTGTATGCTGATCATGCTTGTATGGTGGGTTGTTAGCAGCTGAAATATCGTCAGCTATCCCAGCTCCAGGTAGCGTTCGCTCTTCAATGAAAACGTTCGTGATGAGGCTATCAATGATAGAAGGGCTAATGGGGGTGTACGACTTGGACCATAGCACAACGCCAGAGGTCGTGAGGATCTCAAAAGAGTCTAACATTTTGAATGTTCTCAATTATGCTGGAAAATGACACGCTTGCGTTGCGCGTTGCGTTTTTGCCCTTTTGCCCTATGATCTGATAAGGATGCGGAGAGCAGGGGTTTGGCGGCAAAAGAGCCGCGCCGCGCGAGTCCTTGAGTAAATACTGGGGCTGAACTTCCGCGGGCATTTCTCGAAATAGCTCGACCAGATCGCGTACAAAATAACACATATCCATCTTCACTCCTCGTCTGCCAAGACACAAAGCCTCCATCTCGACAACTTCATTCTGTACATATTTGAAAGTTTTCCCTCTGCTTGCGAAGATGCAGCGAAATAATTACGGGCACCCTGCCCCTGCGACCTCTCCGCCTCTCCATCATCCCGTACCCCAACATGTCTCTACAGTCCCTCAATTGCGGTCACCACCCCCTCCGGTCCCTCAGCAGCAGCAGCAGCAGCCGGGGTATGGAAACCCTTACCAACCACAAGCTCCACAGGGGGTATCGAGTGCCTTTGGCGCATATGGCGGGTTCATGACGGATCCTACGGCCCAGATGGGCTTTCAAGTCGGACAAACAGCTTTAAAGCATGGAACAGAATACGTGGAGCAGAATGTTCGTTTTCTCGCCGTTGCAATCTAATAGAAATGCTGATTATCTGAATTAGATCAACCGATACGTCAACTGGTCTGCGCTCAAGCATTATTTCAATGTTTCGAACCAATACGTTGTCAATAAGCTGTTCTTGGTCCTCTTCCCCTGGAAACATAAGCCTTGGTCACGAAAGCAGGCTATCGGTCCAAATGGGCAAGAAGGTTGGTTTCTGCCTCCACGCGACGATATCAACAGTCCGGATATGTACATCCCTGTGATGGCACTGGTTACATACATCCTCCTTTCTACCTTGCTTGCCGGCCTTCGGGGCGCCTTTCAACCAGAACTACTTGGATACACAGCAACTTCGGCCTTTTTTATCGTCGTGATCGAGATTCTTGGCCTGAAGCTTGGATGTTACCTATTATCCATCTCAAATGACTCGCAATTATTGGATCTTGTTGCCTATTCCGGCTACAAGTTTGTCGGGGTCATTGTTACGTTAGTTATCAGTGAAATTCTCAATGGTGGGAAAGGCACCGGTGGATGGGTTGGCTGGACGGTCTTTGTATACACTTTCTTAGCGAACGCCCTTTTCTTAGTAAGTATCATGAAAAGAATAAATTTACAACCACTGACTGATTTGCCTAGTTACGATCTCTGAAATACGTCCTTCTCCCAGAAAGCTCCAGTGATGAGAGGGGCACGATGCAAACAGTAGCACGATCACAAAAGAGCCGAAGGACCCAGTTTCTCTTCCTATATTCATACCCTGTACAATTGGTCTTTATGTGGGGCCTCACGAGAACATGAACATGAAGTTCGTCATGAGATGGGGGAAATAGTGCTGGCAATAAAATTTGGAGAGGGCCGAGAATCAGGAGCTACAAGCGTGGAAGATCCCCCGGATCTGAACCTGGCGAGACATCTGGCCCATGCTATGAGAGGTGCTCTATGCTGTACGATACATAATTCAAACCCGATAAACGTGAGAAAATAGTTACGATTCTCTAGGAAAATATTTCAGGAGTGCGGCCAGTATCATTGCGGTCATAGGATATGTCTGCAAGCGTAGCACAGCCATTACCAGCCAGCCCTGAGAGAAGCTCTAATTAGAGCGGATAATTAATTGTTTAGAGGGGATTGGAAGGCTTCAACGCAGAAGAAAGTATCAAGGCAATCCGAGCGTGCGGTCAGAAGGATTGAAACGTTTCCCTTTGCCCTCGAACAAGGCCTTTGAACGGCCGAAGTACCATGGTCCAAAGACTGAATTGGTATATCATGCCGCGAAGAGCACATGATTTGAACAAAGACACCAGTTCCTATCCGAATACTCCGGAGAGGGGATTCGAGAAGCACATGTAAATTGTCAACAATTGTTTTGTCAACATCCCACTCATTATTACTTCTTGCTTATCGCAGGCAAACGAGATGATCGGAAAGTCTACCCCCGTGGGACCCCTCGTCGCTCAGCTCCGAGAGTGGGGATGCGCAACGGCAATTATACGATAAACTCGTCGGCGACCTTTCGACTATAATAATTGATTGATCCATTCTTCAATTATCTTAGGTTTGTTTTCTTTAATTTTTCTCATTTTCGCACATATAGAAGCTCCTCAAAGTGCTGTCCGCTTATTCTCAGGTTTTGGTATCACTTTCTAAGTATCCTCTTTCTTTCAAACAATCAAGATGGTCGAACCATACCGCTTGACAGCAAGCCAAGCTCTGGCATTAATGCAAAAAGGGGAGCTTTCAGTCGAAGACTACGCCAAATCCCTCCTCGCTCGTATCAAGGAGAGAGATCACGTGGTCAAGGCATGGGCGTATCTCGACCCAGAGTTCGTTCTCGCTCAAGCCAGAGATCTAGATCAGATCCCTCCTGAAAAACGAGGTCCGCTCCATGGTATATCTGTCGGTGTTAAGGATGTGATCCTTACCAAGGGTAAGCTCTACCTGCTTTCCTTATATATGCAGTACGTGATTGAGGGGTTTGAACAGATATGCCGACATGCCACAATTCGGATATATACAGGAATGGGCCAGCGCCACTTGTTGATGCTGCCCCTATTATCACGCTCCGAGCATCTGGGGCCCTCATTATGGGCAAGACAACGACCACCGAGTTCGCAGCTGTTGTCGATGGAGGTCCTTCGACAAATCCCCATGATTCCACACGAACACCTGGTGGATCATCCTCTGGGTCAGGTGCTGCGGTCGGAGACTATCAGGTTGCCATTGCACTCGGGACACAGACTGCAGGTTCAACCATTCGTCCTGGCTCCTTTAACAGCATTTACGCTCTCAAGGTTTGATCGCTCTATTAAGTTCTGTAGACAGCGCTGAAAGATCAATAGCCAACATGGGGAGCCATCTCACGAGAAGGATTAGCGCAGTACTCGATGACCTGTGATACTCTAGGTCTGTACGCGCGCTCAGTCGAAGACTTAGAGCTCCTCTCCAAGGTCTTCAAGCTCGAGGATGATGAGCCTGTTCCTGCGGCGCCATTCCCGGTAAAAGGTGCCAAAGTAGCATTTTGCAAGACACACGTCTGGCCAAAAGCCGGACCTGGAACCAAAGCTGCATGGGAAAAGGCCCAGGAGCTGCTGAAAAAAGCCGGTGCAAACGTGGAAGAGCTCGAGCTTCCGGCAGAGTTCGAGAAAATCACGGAGTGGCATGCTAATGTACTAGCTGGCGAAGGTCGCACGTCTTTTCTGGGCAGTAAGTCTCCTAGGTTTAGATTTGCTATGTGAGCCTTGTAGCTAACAAAGCCCGGTAGATTATTTACTAGCAAAAGACAAACTGAATAAATCAATGGCTGATCAGGTCGAGAACACAACTAAGCTGAGCAGGAAGGCACAGCTTGAGAGCTACGATGGGTGCGCACGTCTTCGACCAGTTTGGGATGAAATTGCAAGTAAATATGATGCTGTCATCACGCCCAGCGCGGTTGACGAGGCACCCGTGGGGCTTGCAAGGACTGGAGATCCTGTAAGTTTCCTGTCCCTTCGCAAAGTACCGAACCGAACTAAAGTAAATGATAGTCTTTCTGTTCCATGTGGACAATACTTCAGGTTCCGTGTCTCAATATCCCCGGATTTGCGGGAGAGAATGGTTTGCCAATTGGATTGACTCTAGTCGGGCCTCGTTATCACGATTTGCATGTCCTTCATGTCGGTAAGGCCTTTGGGAAGATTTTCGAGGCCGAGGGTGGGTTCCAATTGAAGCTTTTTTAGATAATGTCCAGTAGATCTTATGCTTTGATAAGTATGATTGTATGTGGAGTTGTAACTATATTGTGCTATTGTGCTCTAAACCGTTTCCTTGGCAAGGCTGAAATTCCTACCCTATTGAGACTCGTAAGTAATCCCAACGAAGTGATAACTTGTGCTAGCTGAGGGCGTTTTCGTTGACCATCTCAGCTACGCTTACATGCTGGATTATTAGGAACCTGATTAAGGTAATCCGTGGTCTCCTTCTGTGTCACGGTAGACTCCCATCCAAGAGGCCTCCTTCCCTACCTAAGGTAGGCAGGCTATAAGCGAAGAGAAAGGGGGAGCAGCTCCAAACCCCTTACTAGTGACCAAAATAGCTTAGCGTTCTGAAATATGATTGGATGAAGCTAGCTTCAAAATACGCGCACATTCAGCCTTGCAGTCATTGCCACTCCCGTACAATCCGCCCAACTTCAACAACGTCCTCTCCTTTCCCTTTGTTCACTTCATGCATCGTTCCGTCTTCTCCTCAGACAACCATTCACGTATTTGTCTGCATTTAGTGTCAATCGGAAATATCATGCGCGTGCGCAATTAGGAACAAACCTCTATTGAGCCGTCTGCAAGGCGTCCGGACTCGTGGGGTTCCTTCACTTCAGTTAAATCAACCATAGTACACTCTTTAACAACTATTGATCCTAGTCTACTGGCCCCGGGTTTCGTACAATACTCCCTCTCCGCACCTCTGCTAGAAAAGAAGCACAGGGCAGTTTCCTTGAATCCGCATATCAGAAAACTCCTCATCTCTCATCATCATTCACATAGAGACGCAACAACTCATCACAGTCCACAATGCCTACTCGTGCCGCTGCAAAGCGTGAAGCTGCGCTTCTCAAGGAAAGTTTAGCTGCTGTGGCTTTGTCCTCCACACTTGACACAAAATCTGCCAACGGGGCTATTAGTATTGTCAGTCCCTCTGCTGGTGGTAAAGAGTCGGTTGGAGAAGGCAAGAATTCTGGTGGTAATCCAGACATGCAACTACCGACTCCGTTGGCGGGTGCAAAGAGAAAACGTGGTCCGGCAAAGAAAAAGGTCGTGGAGTCAGTCAAAGGCGAATGGGATGTTCTTCCTCATGGCTTAGGTCGGAAAGGTGATCTGCTTGAGGATACAACCATCAAGCCCCAAGGGCTTGGCGAGACTCTAGTTCTTCCACCACAGAAAAGAGCTCGACGGGGTAAAAATACGACAGGAAACAATGATGGCTCTATGGCGGATAGCAGTGTCAGGGTCAAAGTCGAAGACCAAATCCACGCTAAAGGTATACCAAAGGAGGAACAGACTGGCACCAGTGAGAAACCTGACCCCGTCACCGTTGAACTTCTGGAGGAGACGTTGCCAAAGAAAAGTGGAAGAAGGGCAAAATCTGTCAAGACCGAGGAAGATGGCGCCGATGCTAAGGATGAGGATTTTGAAGAGAAGCCAAAGAAGCGCGCTCCCCGAAAGAAGAAGGCTCTCGATGTCTCGGGAGATGTTCTTGATAAAGTCAACGATCTGTTAAATGCCTCTGGACAAATTCTCAAAAAGGAGCCGAAGAAGAAAGCCAACAAGTATGGATTGACGCCTGGCAAGTCACCTTTCCCCGATTATGTCAAACCAACACCGGAAGATTGTGAGGAAGTCAATAGCCTGCTTTCCGCGCTTCACGGCGAGGTCAAAGTGCCAGAAGTAATTCCTCCTCCATCCATGGAGGTCACCGGGTGTGGCGAGGTACCTGATCTTCTCGATGCTATCCTCAGAACGTTGCTGAGTGCCTCAACCACTGCCAACAATGCCAACTTGTCTCTGAAAGGTCTGAAAGACAAATTCCATCTCCGCGAATCAGGTGTTGGTAAAGGAAGCATTAATTGGGAGGCTGTCCACAAAGCAGACCTGGACACGGTCATTGATGCCATCAAATCAGGAGGTTTGGCAAAAGTAAAGGGAACGAATATCAAAAAGATACTCGATGCTGTATACGAGCAGAATTGTATACGTCGTGATGCTTTATTAAAAGAGAAAGAAACAGGCAATCCAGCAAATATTCCCGGAGCGAAGCACGAAACACAAGAACAGAAAGATGCTGAAATTGCCAAAGCCAACGAAAACATGCTCTCGATGGACCACCTCTTTGAGATGACCACAGAAGAAGCCATGGAAGAAATGACAAAGTTGCCTGGCATCGGTGTCAAGACAGCTTCTTGTGTTGTCCTTTTCTGCATGAAACGCCCGAGCTTTGCCGTGGATACCCATGTTTGGCGTCATTGCAAGTGGCTTGGATGGGTTCCTGCAACGGCTACAAGGGATCAAACCTTCAGTCACTGTGAAGTTCGGGTCCCTGATCATATGAAGTATTCTCTTCATCAACTCTTTTTAAAGCATGGCAAAACGTGTGGGCGATGCAGAGCGAATACAAGTGCGGGAACCGAGGAGTGGAACAACACAAATTGTCCTATTGATCATTTGGTCAACCGGACAGAGAAGAGGAAGATGGCAGGAAACAGCTCCGTGGGGAAAGCCAAGCCTCATAACGGGAAGAAAGGAGGTAAGAAAGGAAAGAAGAAAGACGATGAAACAGAGGAGAGTGACGTTGCAATGGACAATGAGACAGATGAGAGCGGATCTGAAGGCGATGTTCAAAGGGGCTCTTGATCGGCATTATGAACCACTTTGCTTTGACATCTAGCATGGCGTTGTTTTGTGGCTTATGGCAATGGTAGCTACATGTACATGGATTAAGAGATTCATGTTCAGGAGGAGCTAAGTGAACTGAATACAATAGCTATATTACTCAAACTCTTCCGATATTTAGTAATATTTACTCATTACTAAATCCGTCTAAAACAGAGATCAAGAAAGATTTGAGGAATTCACAGCTTGAAACGAACCTATCATCAAATCATTGAATTTCTCTCTGAACATGGTGTTGTTAGATCCACCCCCTTAATCCGCTAACCCAGAACAAGCGTACCTGGAATGGGCCGCGAGGCTACGCAGTAATCATTCAGCCTGAAATCAACCACTGCGCTAAACAGCAGGGGTTCCAGCTTCCCCAGAGCTTGAGATTTTGTCAACGCGTGCAGACGGTGCTCTTTTGTCGTTCCTTCCTGCTCTGCCTCTTGATTCCTCAGTTTCTCAGTTTCTCTTTCACATTGCCCTGGAATTCTGCGAGGCCAATTTCTGCAATAAACCTGTCCTGGTGCGGGCCAGCGGTTTTGCGCCCTCGAGACGGTCAGGGGGAGTGCTGCTCATCCACAAGGTCAATCGCACGAGGGCACAATGGGAGAAGCAGGCGGATATTTTCATAGATTTCTGGCGGGTTGGGGGTCAGGAGAGATGTAAGTCCTCGCATGTAGGGTGCTGGTCTCTGGACTAATTATGGGTATTCACAGTGAAAGATTGCTCTACATGCCCGCGGTGGGTGCGACGATCTTTGTCACAGTGGTTATCTTCTCTGTTGTCAGCATTGTAGGGTGGTACAAAAAAGAGAGAGTTTTAAAGTATACGGTTAATGTGCCAAACCCGCCGGGCGATGGAAGGGTCATGGAAAAGCCATCTATCAAGGTACTAGTCGGGCAGACAGAATTTGCATAGACAAGTGCTGATTGTATGCAGGCCCCTGGTTCAACAGCTATTCAATGTTATGCCCCAGCGACTGGGGAGTTCCTTGGATTCGTAAATCCTTCGACACCGGAAGGCATTGATCGTGCCATCGAAAAGGCTCAGATCGCACAGGAGAAGTGGGCGCGGACCACCTTTACACAACGACGACAAGTTCTTCGATGCATACAAGCTTTCATAATGGAAAATCAGGATGATATATGCCGAGTTGCTTGTCTTGACTCAGGGAAAACGATGATCGATGCGACTCTTGGAGAGATTCTAGTGACGGTAGAGAAGCTTCGCTGGACTATTCTTCATGGCGAGAAAGCACTCCGGCCCTCTCGAAGACCTACGAACCTCCTTATGTCGTATAAGAGAAATAGAGTGGAATACGAACCCCTCGGTATAGTAGCTGCGCTGGTATCGTGGAATTATCCATTTCATAACCTTGTCGGACCCATGATCGCAGCCATATTTTCTGGAAACGGAATTATCACCAAAGCATCCGAAAACACGGCTTGGAGTGCGTCATATTTCACTCAAATCGTTAAAGGCGCTCTTCAAGTCTGTGGCCACGATCCCAACCTTGTTCAACATGTGACCTGCTGGCCTCAGACGGCAAATTACCTAACGTCTCATCCGTCTATATCTCACATTACCTTTATTGGAAGCAGACCCGTTGCCAAACTCGTCGCAGCATCTGCAGCCAAAGCTCTTACGCCAGTTGTGGCAGAACTCGGAGGCAAAGATGCGGCTATTGTCCTCGATTCTGCCTTGAGCGACCTTCCTCGGATAATTGAGATCCTCCTCAGGGGAACCTTTCAAGCAGCTGGCCAGAATTGCATCGGTATTGAGCGTATTATTGCTTGTCCTAAAGTCTACGACGAGATTGTCAGAGCACTCGAACCACGCATCCGCGCTCTGCGTGTTGGATCTTCTCTCGATGCGCCAAAAGATGCGCAAGTTGACGTAGGAGCAATGATCTCGGACGCCTCATTTGGTAGACTCGAGAATCTTATCCAACTCGCCGTCAAAGATGGGGCACGCCTACTCGTCGGCGGCTCAAGATTAAACCACCCGGTTCACCATTCCGGACACTATTTCCAACCGACCCTCCTAGTGGATGTCACACAAGAGATGGCAATCGCGAATGAAGAATGTTTTGGACCAATCTGTGTTGTTATGCGCGCGAGTGGCCCTGAAGAAGCTTGCAAGATGGCTAATGCTCCTAATTTCGGCCTTGGTGCTTCTGTCTTTGGGAAGAATGACGGGACCATGAGGACAATGCTCAGGAATCTGAAAACTGGAATGGTGGCTGTTAATGATTTTGCTGCATATTATGCAGTGCAGCTGCCATTTGGCGGTGTGGGCGGAAGTGGATACGGACGATTTGCAGGGGAGGAAGGTTTGAGGGGCTTGTGTAATATCAAGGCTATCTGCGAGGATAGATGGGGCTGGGCGGGCATCAGCACGGCCATCCCGAAGCAAATCAGATACCCGATTCCTGACACAGGGAAGGGGTTCGGATTCGTGAAGGCTGTGAACGAGCTTGGTTATGGGACAGGCTTGAGGGGCCGAATAAGCGGCTTGACGAATATACTGAGGAATAGCTGATGTGCATCTGAAAGGTTGCAAAATCATTGGCTCTGTACTATCATGTGGCTTCTTGCGCAAAAGTAGTAAGTTTAATCAATTGGAATTTCTGTTCTTTGCTTTATAAACTAAGGTCTACACCGAATTCAAGTGCTGCGAGAGAACCTCTACCCGTCACAGCTGCAAGGCTCTTGGTGGGGTCAAGCAAGCACATGCTCTTTCCAAGTCGCAACAGCGCCCACGCTTGCTGAAAGACAAGATGCGAATGTGAGGACTTCCAAAGAAAGAAACGTCCAGCTAGTGCTTAGCAGCCTCCTTGTGAACCTCGGCCTTGGTCTATCATCACCAGCATTAGCAAATGGGCAGGAACAGCTGGGGAAAAGGAAAGCGCTGATCATACCTCGTGGCTGTGTTGGTCCAACTTGTCACTGATGGCATCACCAGCGGCTTGCAGACGGCTGGAAACGGATACGTTGGAGTCCTTTGCAACCTCTGGGAAGACTGTCAGAATGCATGCAGGTAGCTGGGGTAGGATGGGATGGGGGGGTTAGGCGTACGCTTGTTGGCTTCCTTAGAGGCCTCAGAGCCAGTGCCCTGGATGGTCTCAGAGACGTAGTTTGCGACGTTCCTGGTACGGCAGGGTCAGTCTTGAGGAGTAGTAATAGGGGCGGCCTCAAGAGGGGGGGGGGGGGGGGGGGGGGGGGGGGGGACGTACTTGACGGTTTCCATTTTGAAAGTATAAGTTATGGGAGTATTTGGAAGGGCGTTTGATTTGTGTGTTCTTCGTAGGTAGAGAGAGGATTGATGATTCAATTGTAGCTGATGAGTGCAAGAAAAAAGGGCAGGGGAATGCCGTTTTTATATCTCCCCAATACACACCAAACCGGGAAACTGCGAGCCATTGCGCGGCTGTGGTGACGCCGTGACGAGTGACGTCGTGCTTAGAAGAGCGCGTCTACAATACCTTACCTAGGGGTCCAGTACCTTACCTATCTCGGGCTTATGCGCCAAGAAAGCATGCTGAATCTGGCGAGGCGTGCCTGGACTCTCTTGGCTCCCTGTTTATGAATATTTTCATGACGCAAAACATGCTAGGGAAAGTTACGTCTGGTCCCGAAATCCAGGTTCAGGCGGACCCCCCGGGTCCCGAGTGAGTGTCTTAGACCGTTGCTGGTGGGGTACATGTTGCCTGTTCCTTGGAAACGGAACGCTTTCTAGGAGTGGTCAGATGATATCCAAGTTGCAAGAAATATAGAATCATGAAAGTCGAGACTGAATCTATGACTGTATAATGTTGGAAGAGAACTAAAATAAGAAGATAGGAGCGTCTGAATATGTAAATGCATCTCCCGTAAAACGCTACACCTGAATCCCTCTTTTCTACAGCCCAAACGCCTTGCCCATATGCTTTCCAGACGCTAAGATTCCGACAAGTTGTACACTCAATGCTTCGCCTTCGCACCTTTGAGGGCAAGCTCTTGTTTCTGGAGCGAGGCGCCTGCCCTCATATCCTCCATCGCATTAAGTCTTTCTTCTTTCAGCCTCCTCTGCCGTTCGACCCTCTCCCGTCTCCCTAGATCTAGTTCTCCTCTAAGACCACCATCTGCATGCCTCCAGCTGGGTCCTTTCCTTCCCGATTCTCCCCACATGCTGACTCTCTGGACCTTCCTCAATTTGACAAGCCCGTAGACGCAAACTACCCCTGCAAAAACTGTACACCAGGCCGTCACCCCCCAGAAACCAAGGTTTGATTCCTCGATGAAGTTTTTCAGGTTCATGCCGTAGAGAGCAGCGATAAAGGCCCCACTGCCGATTCCGAGGGTACCAATGGAGAACTTAAGGTCCAGGAGCATTAGAGAGTTCCGGTTTGCATCTAGAATGGCTTTTACGCTGTACGATAGTTAGTAAAATGACACCATTTGAGGCGAAGAGCTTACATTTCTTCTGTATTCCTGATGTTTGAGACAAGATTCCCGGACTCCTGGACGATCTCATCACAAAGCTTGTGGTAGGACTCTAACAGCATTTCAATCTCTGTATGATCGTCTTCTCCACGCACAATATCATGACTCTTCTCCGTCAGATACATAGCCGCGAGATCATCATCCGCTTCCAACAATTCGTCGATCGAATCTCGAACAAGCTTTGCTTTCTGCTCAAATGTCCCCAACTTTTTCGAGTATATAAGGAGTTGCCGCAGTTTATCCCTATCGATGTCCTCTTCCAATTGCCTCAAAACTGTCACGACAGGTTCTCTGACGCTTTCAAATTCTTTCTCGAGGCTAGAAACCACTGAAATAAGAACGGCTTCTAATGCCCGGAATTCATAGGGTAACCCGCCTGCGGCAGGAGAATTTTGCTTTTGTCGCAGCTTATCTTCTAGATCGTAGATGAAAGCCGACTGGTTGTAGGAGTTTGTAGAACCGTAAGCGTCGAATATGAGCACGCGATTGGATTTTATGAGGACACGGAGGTGGAGAAGGTTGATGAGAATTGCAGAGGGTCGAATTAGTATGTGTGGGAGGAGACTCGAGTCAATCTTGCGGAGATCGCGAGGAAGCAGCCCGTACTGTTTCAAAAGAGATGTATTAGCAGTGGAAGTAGTGAAAGCGTGTGAAGAGGGAGGCGTACCCTAGCAATGAGCTCGCTCTTCTTGAACTCCCCACTCGCAAGGACGACATTGCCATTCTCATCTAATTCCGTGCATCGAAGCTTAGGTTGAGCAGCCGCCTTGGCAGAGATGATACGCCCCTTGCTGAATATTGAGTCGCTGCCATCCTCTACTACGCTGTGTAGAGGGCCCGGGAGGTCGTCTGGTTGCAATGGCCTCCCACCTTTCGTCCCTTTGGAACCCCAGAGCTTCTCAAGCCACTTTGACGACTGTGTGGAAGAGTTTCGATATGTAACCAGAGTAGGATTCTCATATACAGGTCCCTTGACTCTGGCTATATTTCGAGACGATTTGGGACGCAGTGCTGACGTCGCAGAGCGAGGCCAGAGGAAGCTGAGATTTAAAAACCCTGCCTTGATGGTCGCACGTCGGGGAACCGTAGCTGAGAGGCATCCTTCAGTACGTCTGGAGACAGCTTTCAGGATGCGCGATCGTAGTTTGGGTCCTGCAGGCGCTGCATGATCGAATAAAGAGCCTGCTCGAGGGTTGAGATTGAACAGGCAAATGCCTTCTGATTGCGACTTTAGGAATTTGAGAAGAGTGGGTGAAGGCACAGGATTATGCAGAGCAGACCGCATAGCAGCTATAAGAGCTATTGCAATCGTGGACTGATGTTTGCTACTGCTCCCTGGGTGGTGATCTCTAGACTCGAGATATTTCTCCGTATTTTCGAGCTTGGACGTCTAAGGTAGGTAGATTCAGCCAATCACATGACAATAACAGGAAGGTACAAGGTAACCGCAAAGGGGCCTGCAATCTAGAAGGAAAATCATCTATCTTATTTAGACAACGCCTATCCTGGCTGAACCCATGATTATCTAGTTATACACGCCGCTCCAAGCATTTGCGACAGAATCGACAAAAGCAAGCTGTTCCTGATCAGACTCTCGTTCAGCCTTGCCCTTAATTTCCGCCAACGCCTTCTGAAAGTTATACTCCTCTGCGTCACTCAGATTTATCTTGCTCAATAGAAGCTTTATCACAGCAGCTTTATCACCACCGACATTCCGGACTGCCCAGTTCAGAATGTCCCCATCAAGTTTCTCCCTGAGCCCAGCCCATATCAACAAGTATATGACGCGATTATCTCCAACAGAGATGGCCTTTTTAAGACCTAGGAGGGCAATCTGTAGTGACGTTAGCATATTGCAATTCCTAAAACATAGAAGAAAAACCGGGACATACTTCTCCGCTGGTGGAGGTGAGCCATTCGATACGGGCACCTGACTTTATGATCCAATACAGATGTCGGACCATCTCTTCGGTCCAAGGGCCTAGCAGAAGATGACTCGGTATTTCAACCCTGTCTGCCAGATCTGTAAAGGTGTTGTAAATGTTTATCAGGTCGGCCTCCGGGAGGAATCCTAGAAATCCGGCGAAGTCTTCATCGAAACGCTGCGCAGCTGTCTTTCGGCTGGAGGTTTCATCTTCCCCTTCCACCATCTTCGTCTTGCTCGAGGTAAAGCACGCTGTAGCAAAACATTTAGCATTCGTTATTTGGAGTTTTGTATAGTCAACACTTACTAATAGGCTTGAATGTTGCATCAAGTGCACTTCTTTGCATCCAGATATCTTGGCTCTTGAGTAAAATGGAAAGAGTTGCCCAACGGCATCGCAAGATCGCGGACTGCAGAGGAGACATAAAATTAGCAAAGTGTCAGCGCGGATTAGACTGCGATATCCTCACCTGTAGCTTAGAGTCCCCAATGCTGGGCACTGGATCTATGACGCTCCTCTTGTAGCGATGATATTCCTCCCATGTTGGACCAAAAGCAGCCAGAACAGTCCGAATATAAACGGTCTCACTGCTCAGCTTTCCACTGATGACGGGGCTGGCCCTGGCAAGATCGGGATTCAAACTGTAGAAGAAGACCTTCTCCAGCAACTCGATGGGTAGACTCTCCAAGTGAGACATGTTGCGCCTCGATTTGATATTCTTCAGCGATCGCGTCTTCAATTTCTTGGGGGCCGTGCTACGGGAGTCTGAGGTTCCAGGAACCTTTTTGTCAACTGTCAGTTTCATAGGACGACCTGGAGGCCGATTCTAAAGATGAAGTCAGTGAATGCTCAGCAAGGGGAGGACTGGACAACTGACAAGAGCCTTCCGTTCTGCAATAGCTGCCTTTGTGGTGCTACGCGTCCTCTTGCCGGGGATTTTGATGGGTGTTCTGTCCTTGGGCAGCGCGTACATGGTTAGAAGACTTGGAGGAGGGAGTTCCGAGTTCTCCTCACGGAAGGCTCTTCTTCAGCCTTGCGCCGGTTATCGCCAAAAAAAAGTACAAGCACGTGATGCTAATCCTGACCCCATCAAACCCCCCGGTCAACACTCCTGAGATTGTCGTTGGTGCGATGTGCAACAAAACTTCCCTCCATGTCATGTGATAAGGTAGTGACCCAAGTGGAGTCGACCGTCGACGTTATTTTATCTAGATCTTACCTATTATGAAACCAGGGCTGTTAATCGGTAGTCTCGAATCGGAAACAGGGTTCAGTCCAGAGGGGGGTTTCTGGATGAATACATGCTCTGCTATTCCAACATATGAAGACTAGATTGTGTTTCTGAACTGTGTATTCCTACGCTTCTGATCATAGTACACGGTCATGACAGTGAGTAACATAGAGATATATATAGCAGTCGCTTATCAAACATCACTGAAAGATCGAGTTCAACGCAGACAATAGGCCATTGAACTTCACAGCCTGATATGCGTTGTAACCTGGTTCAATGAACCGACCTAGAACTGTGAACTGACCTACAAGAAGTAATCCCCTTCTTGTTCCTTTCTGTAAGATCCTCCCTGCCCCTCTTATGCACAGACCTGGGGGTTCACATGATGAACTTGAAGAAAAAACGGCCAAAATCCCCACTACAGTCTCCCCCGCGATACAGGGACTTTGAGGCACTAATATGGCTTATCTTACAGCCTTACTCTACATAACCTTGGTCTTCTTCTTATGTTGCGGTTCGACCTCCGGGAATCGAGCCGGAGGAGACCATTGATATCGGTATATTCAATTTTAAGGTACGCAAGTTGCAACCATGGTACCTAGGAGATCGGGAGGATAGCAGGTCCGCTATTCTAATCTCTGCCGGCCAGGTCCAGGTACAGAATCAAAACTCTGAACCCATGTGTAGGTTTTCAGATCAAGCTATTCTCCTGTGTCTTTCAAGGCGGTTCGAACAGGAAAATGTCAAAATAACAAGGATGCAAGCTAGCAGCCTCTCTCACCTCCTCGTCATTACTCGGAGCGATGTATGATAAGTGGCAAATCTCCATGATACATACCTAGGTACAAGTAGTACCTTATCTAATGTGGGATAACCAACGACGGAGGTTAATAACAAGGTTTGTATCGGGCGTCGGTAGCCGCATGCGTCATTTGCTGCAGGATTGACACCGAGGCGTGATGACATCGAGGCTAGCTATACATCGGCCCCCCCCCCTCGATCCATCGGCCCCCCCCCTTGTGATGCTAGCTATATTCGTATGCGGTGAGCCGGTGTCCCTACTACTATAGTAATTTGTTAGTATAGCTAGACAGGCGCGCATTTCGTATTTACCCGTAAACATAGTATACTCGACCTCGCTGTCGCTACCTTACTATCGCACCCTCGCCGTCGCCCCTCTGTTACACTCTCTACTGTCTGTTACCCTCGCTATTACTGTTAGTAACAGCGTGTTAGGCTACTACTAACTAAAAGATTAAAGTGTTCGGCCCGTAAGAGCTAAACACGCCTAGGTAGGTAGGTAAGGTACCTAGGTAACACTGTATTGTGCGCATCACGTGTGACGTCACGTGCGCCCGCGCGCTCGTAACAGTTACCCTCTGTTTTTTGACGCGCTTAAGCGACAGTTTAAGCAGCTGTTATTAGCCTGTTATTTAGGTACTATATAGCTGTTGATATAGCTGTTAATATAGCTCTGTTAACTGCTGTCAAGCCTGTTTTTTGGTACGATTTGACGCGTTTAAGCAGCTATTATAAGCCTGATATATAAGTCCCTATTCTATCTAGTTTACTATACAAATTGTATGTAAACAAAGATAGTCAAGGGCTCTTAACTCGAATCGGTGCTGTTGGTGGCAGAAATCCTAAAAGGGTATAGTAGGTGGGGCAGGGGGGGCCGATGGATCGAAGGGGGGGGGCCGATGTATAGCTAGCCGACATCGAGCGGCAGTTGTTAGCTGTGGCGCATGACGTTCGAGGTGTGGCTTGCCTCGGGGGCGATCATGCACATCATTCCTCCATCGAAGGCTGAAGTTAGGAGAAAGAACAAATAATATCCAGGTTTCCTTGACTCCTGCTGCTTTTTTCTACTTTCCTTGCTTTCTGTGACATCCTATTAATCCACCCACCGGGCGCGGGGTCGGCGCACTCGTGGGTAGGAGACAGAATTATACATGGGGAAAGCCTGTATCTGACGTCACAGGGCATGGCAGATCCTCGAGTTGAGATTCACTGTCGCATACTCGTCCATGACTGCAAAGCGAGTTGGTGGATGATGGATGATACGTGGGCAGGTAGAGATGCGTAAGGTAGTATATAGGTAAGGTAGGTAGGATGGGTATACAACTTTTTTCGCCTTTCTCTTCTTCATACCTTCCCCACGTATAACACAGACAACCACAACCTATCAAGACAAATCACATACAATCTCAAGGCACACCACACCGCCTTGAACCACCCCATCTCCACAAACAACTACAAGATCTTATCCACAAACACAAATACAGAGTCGCTCAGCGCACTAACTTCACAATGGGAGCCGTCGTATCTTGCGTGAGTGCCCTTTTTCCTTGCACCGCGCGTCTCGTTCATCATCACCTAACAGAAAGGAACAGATCGTGGCCATCTTCCGTACCATTGGCGCCTGCCTCATGGCAATCGTCAACGGGGTCGCAACAGTCCTCCAGACTATCATCGGAGCCATCGCCGGTCTCTTCGACATCATCATCTCATGCCTGACCTGCGGTAGGGGAGGTAGTAGGAGACGGCGAGTGACGAGTACGGTCTAGTCTCCCTCGACAGCCTCGCTCTCCCTTCTGAATACCTGGTAATTGAACGAGCGCGACTTCGATTCTTCTAGGGCGTGGGTAGATGGTGAATTGGATGGGCTAGGGCTTGTCGAGGGCTTGTGCTTTGATTGGAGTGTTGGATTGGGACGTTATGAGCTTATGGACAACGGAATAATGATGCTTTCCTTACCTTACAATACCCGGAATTAGACCACTATAGCATTCTACTCTTGTGATTTGAGAGAAGCAATGAAACAATTCGCATGCATCAAGGCCTGCAGAAATCCAAGAAATACCAGCAGAACGCCAGTGTCATATATACTAGGTACCTACTCATCGTGAAATTGCCACATAACGCAGGTAACCAGCTAAAATGCTCTCCATCTTGACTGAGATCTTCATGATCGTATTCCCCCAACGGCTTACCGCACTAGCCTACATGTCTCCTAGTTACACTGGGAAGCTATAAGGTCCTAGATACCTAAAAAATACCGTTGCCCACTTCCCTCATCCATCGTCGAAAACGCTCTTATTGAAGAACCTATGAATCTGCCCCCCAGCCTCTTTCCCCACGATCGGCTCCAACTCATCAACAGATGCATTGGCAATGTCCTTCAAACTTCCCATCTCAATAATCAGATTCTTGATATTCTTGCTCGTGACACCAGGCACCACTCGTAACATGTCTTGAGGCTCCCGGTTGAAGCTTTGATCTTCAGCTCTCTGCCCACCTTCCAGCCCGATCCTCACCGCCTCGATGGGATCTGGCTCCGCTTCTTGGGTTTTCAAGGATTCGAAGATCTCGGCTGTTTGATAGGGCGAAGAAGACCATATTATTCGCAGCCTTGGAAATGCGAGCGTGAGGAGCACGAGCTTGGATTGCAGGTCCGAGGCGCCGTTTGAGGATACCGAAGAGAGGGAGCCAGAGAGATCAGCGAATGGTTCAAGGGTGAAAGATTTGTTTTGGTCGAATTCTATTAGCAGCATGGGTGATTTATAGTGTTGGAGCATAGTCTCCGCTTGGTTGTATAGACGGCCATCTTTGAAGGAGGATATCAAATCCTTGATCGACTTCCGCTCGATGCAGATGTTAGGTGAAAGGATGTAATCCCCTACCGTGAGCATGCAAGGAACTATGACCATAGACCTTCCGTGCAGGAGAGAAGGAAGTGAAGAGCGAAACTCCCGCACATCAACTACGACCCGCGGGGGCTGAGCGGTAGCTGCGAGTCTACCACCGCCTGCTATCCGAGTGTTGATCGTCCGGAGGAAAGCTTCTTGTGGATCTTCGACGCCATGCGCATCCAGCGTCATAACGACCGACATAGTAGACTTCTCTTTGATGAGTTTGGTGAAAGCATCCTTTTCACGCCTGACTGAGGATAAATACCGTTGTTCTTCCACGGAGCCGCCATAATAGAGGAAGTACACTCGTACATTACGGTCATTGTGGGATGAGCGATAGACTTCAACCCGGCGGACAAAAGAAGTGTCTGGTTCGTACATAACTATGTACCGCGGTTTGACTTCTTCAAGAACATGCTCGTCCATGTCTCCGTCATAGGCATGGATTAAAACGAGATCTTGCATATCGTAGAGCTGGTAATAGTCTTCCATATCATCTAACGGATCCGCGACGACTTCTTCTTTCTGTGCAGCCTCTACTTCCGTGGGCCGTATCTCAGAAATCAGAGTGGCTACCTCCAACGGTTTGTCCTCTGCTGCTAGCACACTACCTGGACTGTTAGAAGCACGTGACGTGCCTGAACCAGCTGCTCCACCACCTCTGACTCTTCTCCTTTTATTCGCAGGCGCTTTCCCTCGAAAAGCTTGGTTCGAAATGTTTTTTGTGCTTTTGGCACCATCCAGAGCCGTCTGGTTCTCTGCAAAGAGAGATGCGCTTATCTTGGCGAATTCCTTCTTCCATTTCAAGTAGTTTCTGAGCTTCCTTCTCATCATAAAGGCCGCAGAAGGTTCATGCTCGTTTTCCTCGTCGTCAGTAGCTTCATCGCCTCCGGGACGTATATGCATAGTTTGGAGATATTCTCGTAATTGACGGCATTGGGCCGTATCCGTACACATAATCAAGACGGTGTTGTTCGAGTCGTCCCGTACAACGGGATTGAAATAGAGATCTCGATCAATTTCCTCTAGCACCTCTGTTAGAATTGCCCATTTAGGCTGCTCCTCTAGGACTGGCCGAAGCGACTCAATATCCTCTGCTCCGGCTTTGACCACTTTCCCTGTATATACTCTCCGCTTGGCAGTATCAAATATAGTATGAGCAGCATCGAGAAATAGCCATGGGGACTGATTTTGCCTTGTGGATCCAGGAGGAGGGGAGTGTGCTGCAAGGATAGTATCCAAATGTCGATTGAACGAGACAGCATCATACGTGAGCAGAGTGTGAAGCATTCCTCGCAATACTGTCAGGTCATTGACGATCTGTTTAGTTCTCCAGCTGACTCTATGCCAGACTGGATCCAGTTGTCTTCTCACAACTAGGTCAAATTGCTTGTGAAGGGCGCTATCAACGTTCCAGTCTTCCATATCCAGGCCCGAGTTGGCCTTCTTCAGCTCCCCAATACTGACTTCAACACATTCCATAATAGCATTCTGGATATCTCGCATGGAGTCAGACATTGGAACTTCAAGTTCAATAACTTCTGCCTTCTTCTTTCCTTCCAGGGACTGGGCCACAAGAACCTGGAAGCGTGGCCACAGCGATACATTTCGTAGAAATAGATTCCGCATCATGGTCGAAAGTGGCGCGAATCCGGTGGTGAAGGGCTCCGGGTTATCTGAGAACGCCTTGAGGAACCCAACTTTGTTCTTCTGCCTATAGATCCGAAGAATGAAAGCCTCCAGGGACGTAGCAACTATTCGGTCCGCATGTAGTACCACAAGCCCCGTAATGGTTTCGGGGTTCAGCAAGTTGGTCAAGAGGTCGACGACAAGAATTCTGGATGTGATGCTGAAGATTCCTCCCTGTGCATACATTTTCTCTCTCGTTCCTACGCTCATGACATCCGTGTTGACTACGTTAAGACCTCTCGCCTTCGGAGACATGCTGATAGCAGCGTGCTCCGCCAGGGATTCTCCAATCCAGCCATTCTCCCTCTCTTCTGCTCCGATCACTAGTATAAGATGGTTCCCCGCGGCATCGTAGGAGTGGAGGAGGTTGGTAACGAGTCGAAGGAGACCAAGACCACGCGCAAGGATGACAAGCTCATCCTTTTGTCGCAGCTCCTGGAAGAGTTCTTGCTGGTATTTCTGCGCCTGTTAGCAGAGGTGTTGACTGCCCTAGGTTCGAAGTAGCTTGCCAGTGGTAGCGACAGCCTCACGGGCTGCTGGTCACCGTTCGCCGACGACATCTGAGGCTGTCATGTTCGTAGGCGCCTCACAAGAAGGTGTCCATTAAGCCTTAGGTGTCGATGGTGGGTGAAAGGATGGATAGATTGATTGGCTGACTGCTTGATTGTTGCGTGGTGGTTACTGGTGTACAAGAGCAAGAGAAGACGTCATGCGTCCTAGGCTTCTACGGAGGCATCGATGGAGGGGCATTGAACATGTAAGGTATGTATATTATAAATTCAGACTACCTGCTCTCTTCTCTCCTCTCTCTTTTCACTATTGACCTTTTACCCTGCTCTATCTATTCTGGCTTGAGAAATCACCAAGTCTTCATACAGCAGCAATAATATCACTATGGCCACCAGATCAGAAAACACTGATTACCACCCTACCGGCGGTGCCACAGAGCACGTTGCAAAGCACGCCTCTTCAAAGACCGACTCCAGTGCCAGTACGCACCATCTGCACAACACAGAAGAGACCAAGGGCGATAAGGTTGATATCCGTTACCACCAAGCCAATCCGGGGCCGGTTATCCCCGGAGAAATAAACGCTCAGCAAGAGGGGACGAAGGAGGAGCGTATGGCTAAGGCTAAGGAGCTAAATAAGTAATACTTCTCTGGTATGCTTGCAATAGAGGGTGGGCTAGTTTGGATGTTGAACAAGCTGGAAGCTGACTAGTACCAGAGACTCCAAGATGTGAGGTGAGGGAGCTGAAAGAAAAGGATGCGCCTGGAAAACAGAGCCCGGGACGACGCTTGGAGAGCAGTTTGGAGGGATCCAGTACCTAATCGTCCCATGGCAAAACTTGAATTTCACGAATAAAAATTGCTTCTTGCTTGGAAATATCTCGTCTTCTTCAGTGCTGAAATAGCTCGGTCATCGCGCTTGTTTGCTGGTGAAGGTGTTACCCTTCCTTCGAGATGAGGGATTAGAAGTTGAATCCTGGAAAAGCCCTGGCCAGATATATTTAATTCTGACTCGTACAGCCGTACTAGCAATCGACCTTCTCCCCTCTTTGCATCTGGATGCTGTGATATTGACCGCGCGTTGGCGAGGCAAGTAGAATCAAAGTCAAAGTACGCTCGTCGCTCTCCTCCGGCGCTTCCTTGACCAGAGCCGGTCAGAGCCCTTTGGGTGTGGCTCAGCCGTCGTGGCTGAAATTACGACTTCTACTCTGCAATATTGTCAGGCACCACATACTCCGTATACTTACTACCAACACCACGTTTGCCCAGTGACTGCAATCATTGCTCCTCCTGTGGCTGTTCATCACTCGCTCAAGGTATTCAATACGCTCTTTTCGTTCTTCTGGGTTGGCTAGGAGAACAGCTGCTGCGCGTTCCACGATCAGATGCGCTCAGGAAGCGCGGCGACCATACGAGACCAACCTCCCACACGACTACACCTCCCTAGCATCGCATGAAGACGCAGCCATAAAGCCTGAGGTCGACAGAATTTACACTACTGTTTGAGGTCGATCCAGCTCTGAAGGGCCAAAATGCCATCGATATTGTCTGATGAGGATAAGGAAACTGTCAAACGCCAGGTGCCGAAAGCCTCGAATAAGATCCAGGCTGTAGCGGTAGCACGTCTCTACGTTGCTTATCCCAACCGCAATAAATGGACATATACTGGTTTACAAGGGGCAGTAGTTCTCGCGAACGATCTTGTGGGAAACACATACTGGCTTAAGCTTGTAGATATCTCGGTGCGTTTACCCCACCGGCCCCTTCCCCTGGAATCACTCTGGACAAGATAGGAAGAAAAGCTAACATCTGCTAGCCTGCTGGCCGAGGAGTAATATGGGATCAGGAGATCTACGACACGTGGTCCTACAACCAGGACCGGACATTCTTCCACACGTTCGAGACAGAGGAATGCCTGGCCGGATTGTCTTTCGCGGACGAGAAGGAAGCAAGGACGTTCCTGAAAAAGATGAACGATCGGGAAAAGAATGCTAGCAAAGCAACAAAGGCAACTAAATTTGGAGGATCGGGTCAGACCGCAGGTGGGGGAAGACACGGTCTGCTAGGAAACTTTTTTGGTGGACATAGACACTCATCGGCCCCTACGGTGCAAACGCCTCCTGATTCTCCGGCCAATGCACTTCCGCCTGCACAAAATTTCAAGGCTTCAGTTGGTAGTTCTAATGGCGAAAAATCCGAATTCGCTGCGCTGGACGCTATCGATCCCAACTGGCGAGAGACTTGGGGGGGTGATTTGAAGCAAATGGGCATTACAGATGATCTCATTCGGGATAACCAAGACTTTATTGCAGATTATATCCGGCAGCAGCAAGCTGTACAAGCTGTATCTTCCCCCACCAATGGGACCGAGAATCAGAGAAACAGGGCCCCTCCTCCACCTCCGGCGCGATCAGAAAGCCCTCAGAATGCAGGCAAGGGAAGAGGAGCCCCCCCAGCACCCCCGCCAGCGCGAAGGTCTGCTGCTAAGCCTGAACCTGTTCAAAGAGAGCCAACCCCTCCTAGAGAACCTTCGCCTCCGAGGGGGCCACCTGTAAGTATACTCACAGCGAATTCTATGATCAATTGTGAAAGATCCTTCCGCTGACCTTCTGGACAGCCTCCCCGGTTTGCTGCACCGCCGCCTTTGCCTGATGCTGGGAAGTATGCCCACACGAACAACAAAGCCCCTTCACGAACCCATGCACCATCTCTATCGAATCCAGGGCCGCCGCCCCCACCCAGGCCTCCCAAAAACCCAGTCGATGATCCCCACGAGCCTGGAGAAACTGGTTCCAAATTCGGAGTCCCTCCACCGCCGATGGGAGCAAGGACAGCACCACCTCCTACACCCAGTAGAGGCCCAGTACCGCCCCCACCTCCACTTCGAGATGTCCAAAGTCCACCGCCGTCTCGCATTCATGCAGTGCCCCCAGCACCTGCGCCCCACGCTCCACCATTACCTCCGAAGACACCGAATGCGCCATCCTCGACTGCACCACCCTTACCACCTAGTTCCTCTCGTCCTGTACCGCCTCCCCCTTCAAGGGACAATGCACCGCCACAACCTCCTCCATTGCCACAATCGAAGGCACCATCTGTGCCCTCGTTCACTGGTAGCTCAGTACCTCCACCCCCTCCCCCTCCTGGTGGTTTAGATGGCCATCCAGCCCCTCCACCACCGCCACCTCCGCCTTCAAGTAACTCCAGTGGTCCCTCAGCTCCCCCACCACCACCGCCGCCGCCTCCAGGTAATTCCAGTGGTCCCTCAGCTCCTCCACCACCACCACCGCCGCCTCCAGGTAACTCCAGTGGTCCCTCAGCTCCCCCGCCACCGCCGCCTCCTCCGCCGGGTAACAATGGTCCACCAGCTCCACCACCGCCTCCACCAAACAGAGATTCCGGGTATGCATCCGGAGTTCCACCCCTTCCAAAGCCTACGGGCGATCGAGCAGACCTGTTAGCTGGTATTCAGAAAGCTGGCGGTATTGGAGCATTGAAAAAGGTCGACCGAAGTAAAATTAGAGATAGGAGTGCTGCTATGGTTCCTGGATCAAGTGATACCGGGCCGGCTGGATCTGGATTACCACCTGCGGGAGCAAGCGGAGGAGGAGGAGGAGGATTGGGTGATGCGTTGGCAGCTGCTCTGGCACACAGAAAGCAGAAAGTTAGTGCTAGTGGTAAGTCTGATTGATCCTCTCACTCGTGTGTAGTTACTTATTCCTCTCTAGATGACGAAGCAGATGACGACGATGAATGGTAGGTAGGATAGACGGTTACGCTCAAGTTTTTGGGCTAGAAATTGATGCAACATGGCGTTGTATGTCAGATTTGGCAGGCCTCGTCAAAGGGCTGTCAGGTTAGGTGTAGTAGGTATTGAAATATAATCGAAAGAGCATTGGAACCTTACGTTGTGAAAAGAAGAAAAAAAGGCCCTTCACTACTATATATATCAGTCTCTGCTCTCGCCGACTTCCCTGATCTTTTTGAACGTGTCACGTTAATTCTCCCCCTATATCTAATCTATATCCCAATGAGAAGGGGGCAAAAAAAAAAAAAAGAGGAGACGAAAGAGACATACAGCAGTAGGTATTCGCTGGTGGTCACCCACCCAACTACTAATCTACCGATCTGAAGCTTATGTATGGCAGAGCGGACGGGATGCCCAGTTCTCTTCAGTCTATGGCCGTATGTACTAGCCATTTTCTTGTTCTGGAATATATGGTGATGAGTTGATGGGAGGAAGCGAATAGGTACCTAGAGAGAGGAAGGGGGGACGAAGAAAGAAGGGAGGGGGCCTCCGGTTTGGCATCATTTAAGGGTTTTCCTTCTTCTTCCTCTATATCTTCCGAAGGGCCTCCTTGCATTCTGAGATTTTGTACGACTGCTGTGGACTTAACACACTTTGCAATAAGTAGGTAGACTAGAAGATCCTTGGCTACATGGGATAGTTGGCACATCGTCATCACATTGGGAGCATTTATAAAAAAGACCATAATTTTTCTATCTCCATCTACCGTGAATGCGTAAGCGCCCAAGGAAAGATGCCAGCTGGAAAAAATACGGAGGAAAAGCGGTGTTAAGAATTAAAGGCATAGTCAATGGATGCACAACGTCTCTCCCACTGTGCAAGCATCGCCAGTCAACAAAAGAAAATTCTGTCGAGGTTCTCCGGATCCGTATCGAGAACTCGGACAGGATCCGCGAGATTGAGAGAGAAGACAGTCTTTTCCTTCCACAGTACACCCTATTAATAGATCTAGCAGGGTGACTCGAGCGGACATCCCCTTAAATCTCATCAACATCGATCTCCTTGCCACCCTTCCCATCCTCGTCTTCGCTATCGGACCTGTCTTCGTCGAACTCGAAGTTGCAGTCACCCTCGCCCTCCTGTCCGTATGTATCCGTCTCGTTGATCTTGGCGCTCTCGGGCAGCTCGCCGTAGGCCTTCAGACTTCGAGCCTCGTCGGCGCTGTACTTGAGGATCACGTCGCCCTTCTCATCCTGGTAGTCTCGCAGGGAGAGGAGGATGATGTCTCCTTGGTTGATCCAGACCTTCTTGCGGAGCTTGCCTCGGATATGTGCGAGTCGTTTTGAGCCGTCGAAGCAGAGAGCCTCGAGCCGACCGTTGCCGAGCATCTTGATGACCTGGGCATATTCTGAGGTGGGGGGGTTAGCGGGTCTTTCGAGAGTGCGACAGAAGAGGCGGCGGGGACGTTACGTACCTTGGCCTTCCTCCTTGAAGGTCAGTTCACGCTTCTCATTGTCGTTTTCGTTCTTTCCACGACGACGGTTCTTGCCTCCCTGTTCGACGCTGTGTCAGATTCGTTCTTGCACGAGGTGCGGCTCAAGCGATGCGGGCGCTTACCTTCCCCTTATTCTTAGGCATGTTGAATATCCGATGCGATGTTCTCTCGGTGCAGAAGTTTCAGATATGTTCTTTGTCAGGTGTGTGTTTGTATGCGACTCTGCGACTCTGTCTTGGTGGCGTTGGGGGAAATGTCTGGAGGGTGTAGGTTGGAGAGAGTAAGACGGGGCTTCTTCCTTTAAGTGCGCTGTTGATTTGGCGGGGCTGCGCTGTGCGTCACATGTGTTAGGTTTCGCGGCTACAGGACGGTGCAGCCGCCTGAATCGCAGTTCCATCTTTTCTTGCCCAAGCGAGTCCGTTTGCAGGAGATATCTTCCTCCTCTTTGTCTCAATTCCCTTTCAATTCAACATGGCAGTTCCGCCTTTGGTGGCAAGTCGGGGAGGCAGATACACCTCCATGGGCCAAGCCTAGCGCCTAGACTCTTGCAAAGAATACGACGTTGTACCATCACCGATGTCTGGCGTAGCCGCAGCTCGAGCCTTTGGCTCACCTCTCCCATCCCCCATGGCTCTCACAGTCCGGCGTGCCATGGGGGAACCTGCAGCTTTTGCATGGAGATTTGGGAAATTCCACGCCTATACCTACACGGCGTCCCCGAACCTCGAGAAAAATACGCACCCTTTGTACGAGTTCACAAAGAGACGGTGGAACACGCGGTCAGAGCCCCTTTGGGTCTCGGTCATTGCGAAGAAGCACACGGGCATCCATAACAGCCGATGCGTCCGCAGCTGGCTCTCCCGCAGATTGCGGATAGCCGTGAACCTCTCGCTGAAGAAGAACGGCTATGCTCCGGACGGCACCAGGTTGGAGGGCCCGGAAAGTGGGAACCATCTATGGGGGACGGCGCAGTTCCTGGCGGAGCAGCCGATGATCAAGATGAGCCAGGAACAGGTCCAGGAGCAGACGGACAAGGCTGTTCTAGAGATCATTCGACTCCAGGAGCCGAAGGTGAAGAAGGTGAAGAGCGGAAGCAAGAGTCCGTCTAAGAACCCGCCCGAGTTGGAGAAGGCACAATAGGATAGGAGGATTAATTCCCCTGGGTTATCATGATAGTTACATACCAAAGCCAGAGAGAATGTGATGTTGCAAGGGTACTTGAAAGCCAATCGAGCGTGGACTGGAACTGTTCGAGATGTGCTATATGCTATATATAACCCCTATATCCACGAGTAGTTTGTTATGTTGGCGGCTCTTTTCCTTCCCCGGCCTCAATTAATGACTGGCGTCTTTAGTGGACATTGGACACAGTGTTTTGGTGGTCAACTAGAGGTCCCAGGAAATTGGAAATTCAAGACAGGGGAATCTGGCCTCCTTTTGTCTCGCGCCCTTGCCTCCCCCAGCCTTGTCGGGGCGCACCCAATCACAGCGTCGGCAACATCCAGCTCCTCGAAACAACTGAATTTATTCACAACCTTTCCCCGTATCCTCCTCCACACCAGGGCTCCCCGAGTGCAGCCCCGCAAACCCACGATGCTGATCTCCCTGACCGTCGGCAAGGTCGATGCAGGCGTTGCCGTCCTGCTGACCAAGGACAAGAGATTGGTATGCTATGCTATGCTTTGCTATGCTTTGCTTTGCCCCAGCCCTGTTGCGACCGCACCACACCCGCCCTGAATGAACCCCCCTCAATCCCCCCAACGGGAAGCCCAAAACTGATCTCTTTATTTCCCTTTCTACAGATCGAGTTTCCCTCCATCCTTCTTCCGCCCAACATCTCATCCGGCAGCATCGTCGACATCACCGTCTCGCGCAACTTCACGTCCGAGCAGAAGACGCAAGCCTCCTTCCTCGCGCTCCAAGATTCCATCTACCATTCCTTTGGCGAGGCCGAGCCCGCGCCTCCTGTCCTCCGCTGCAGGAATGCAACGCAGACGTCGGTCGTCCTCGAGTGGGACCCTATTCAGCATGCCACGGCGGACGTCATCTCCCTGTCGCTGTTCCGCAACAACCAGAAGGCGGGCAACATCCCGCGGCCCACGGTCATGCAGAGCACCAAGATCAGCGGCCTGGCCGTCGATACCGAGTATACCTTCCACCTGGTGCTGCGGACGAGCGCGGGCACCTTCAGCAGCGAGAGGGTCACGGTGCGGACGCATAAGATGACGGATCTGAGTGGGATCACGGTGACGCCGGGCATCCTGCCTGCTGCGCTGAAGGAAAACCTCACGAAGGCGATTGGGAGGATCGGAGCCAAAACGGCAGACACAGTGCGCATCGACACGACGCATTTCGTGACCGTGGAGGGCAGAGGTCTGGCCTGGGAGAAGGCAGTCGAGATGAACATCCCGGTCGTGAGGCCCGAGTGGGTCGAGGCCTGCGAGAGAGGTGGCAGGATTGTAGGCGTGAGGCAGTATTATCTCGATGCCGATCCGAGACAGCGTCAGGTTATCCCGCCGCAGGCGGAACCTGAGCCTGCTAGGAATTCTCTCGCTCCAACGCCCTCTCAGGAGAGCGCAGCGAATAGCAATGGTGCGAGTGCCGCGAATGGTGTCAATGGCAAGCAGGCTGCACCTCCATCCCCACCCGAGAAAGACACACCCAAGAAGGAAGAAGAGAGCAGTGATGAGGAAGAGGAAGAGGACGGCGAAGAGGAAGAAGAGGAAGCCGAAGAAGAAAAGACCGCAGTGCCCGACGAACAAAAAGTGCGAGTTGAAGACCGCGACCAATATAAAGTAGCCCTCCGGCCCGCGGCGCCCACCGCAGAAGAAAAGGGCAAAGGAAAGGAGAAAGCAGAGGAGGCCAAAGAAAAAGAAGACGGCGAGGACGACGGCGACGGCGAAGAAGGAGAAGCAGCAGCAGGCGACCACACGCCCGAAAACTCCAATTTCCAGGACGTGGCGCTCTGATGATGGCATGGGCATGGCATTGCATGTCTAGCTATAAACACTATACCTACGAAATTCTTTTTTTAATTGCAATAATGGACAGGACGCCCTGCCTTGCCCTTGCCTTGCCATGGTTCACCTCGGGCTTTTTGTTCAGCGCCGAGTGGAGGGAAGGATGGGGGGAAGGCTTTTTTTTATAGCTTGGTCGTGTATGTGGGTGCTGTCAGTCAATGTTATGTTTATGAATGAGAGATGTAAAATATAACTAGATTACCCAATCCATCCATCCTACCATACCTTATCCACAAACATCACAATACTTCAAGAAGTAGTATTACCGTTTGTATGCCTCAAATTCCTAGTTTTTCTTATCTATACATATCTACTGAGAGTTACCTGTGTGGACCGTAGGAAAGAAGGAAGAATGCTATTAATCAATCAATCAATACGATCAGCGCTCTGACTCAAAAAAAAAAACCCTCGACTTACATACAGTACAGTACAGTATAGTAGTAGCTAGCTCTTGTTGCATTAGATGAGATGAGATGAGATGAGATGTCCCAGAGTGTGGCATCGCATCGGGCTGGTACATATGTATATGTACATCTCTAGAGATCCGGTGCGCTTGGTGAGCTGGGAAACCGGATATAATTAATAGGGGCTCTGCCAGGGAGGAGGGTGGGGGAGGGGGTGTTTGGGATTGAGCAGTTAGACAGGCTTTATAGGTAGGCATCACTAGCACATGACAATGAGCAACTGCTTTTCAACAAGATTATTATTATATACGTCCCCTATTTCGGGCCTCCACACCTCATCATCTATCATCATCATCTATCATACACTGCTGGAGACCCCACCATCCTCACTCACACTTGGCGCGCCTGCTTGCAGCTCCCTCATGACCGGCACCACTTCCTCGACCAAGCCGTCAGCAGCCACCATCCCCGGCGCGCCGCCGAGCAGGCCATCCGGTCTCCTCCTCCGCTTGGGCAGCAGGCGGTCCAGCTCCCCGAAGCTGTTCGCGATGCCGCCGAGCGTGCTCATCAGCATGGCGTTCTCGCGCTCGATCCTCTGTAGGCGGGCCTCGACCGCGCGCTCGCGGAGCGACATGTTCCGCTTCGCCCGTCGCTCGCGCCGCCGCGCCTCGAGGTCCTGATCGCTAGGGGATTGCGGCGGGTGCACCTGGCTCCTGTTTCGCTTTCCCATCTTGGGGGTGGAGTCAGACTCTGAGCCGCAGGACGAGGTGAAGGAGCGAGGTGGTGTGTATGTACCTTTCGCAGCGTGCGGCTTTGGAGAGGCTTCACTCGTCCGTTTCCTGGCTGCTCTTGTGCTTGGTGGGGTCTCGGATAGATATACCGTCCCTGTGTAAGGGGCGAGATCCGCGACGAGCATTATGGGGGAGAGGGTATTCCCACTTCTTCGCTGCGACCTCTCTAGAGATATGCTTCGTCTCTTCTGAGGCCGAGCAGGAGAGTGGGAGATTGTGGTTTGCGAAGATGCGCGACTTCGGTTTGCGGTGCTAACAGCATCGGAAAGGGGCTCTCGGCTACTCTTCTCTCGTAGCGCCGCGATATCTCTTGCTTTTCGTGCTTTGACTCGCTCCTGCCGGCTTTGAAGCGTGACAGGATTGGACTCATCTGTACTGCCTTCCACGGGCTTTGAGTCCGTTTTGGATACGTTATCAATTAGGCCGCTCATGATACTTCGCCGATTGATGGGAGGCGAAGGGGACGGCAGGAAGTCGGGGATGCAAGGACTTTCTGGGACGTCGGGGAGTCCCCGAGTTGGAGCTGGAGAAGGGATCAGGTGTTTCGGAGTGTGGCCTTTGAGGTGAGTAACAGATACAGCGGTATACCCCTGTACTGTCTCTCCGGTGCCAACGACCGTCGAGGTTTCGGAAGCAAGGCTCTCAGCCTTCTCAGATAGGTTAGAAGGTGTTGGGGTATCTTCCCGAGAGGCATTTGCAGCTGTGGCGTAGTTTTGAGCAAGCTCTGTCTGGACTGTCTTAGATATTGTGGAAATACTCGATTTCCGGGTTGGCAAATCTATTTTCACAGAGGCCGTAGCAACGCTCGGTGCCGTCGAAACACTGCTTACTCTTCGAGACCGGTTGTGCGGAGCTATAGTTGATGCGCTACTATACACCGTACCAGCTGAGTGCCGGGAGTCTGTTCGTTGACTGTCAGGCCGCAGGATATCGGGAGGAAAAACAGTGACGTGGCCCTGACTGCTCCTCCGTGACCTTGACGATTCTCTTGTCTTGACTCCCGAGGTGCCTTCCTTGAGCTTCTGCTGGCGGTTGAGTTGAGTGTAATAGTTTTCCAAGGTCTGCGTAGTTTCGGCGCCCAGAAGTTCTGCTGCTGGGGTTGCCGCTGATGGTGGTCGAGAATGGCTGCTTTCTCGTGTCCCATCGCGATTCCTGGGTGGGGTTGTTCGGTGAGATGAATTGGATTCCCTTCCCTCAACAACAGGCTTCAGAACGGTGACATGAGCGGGTGGCGGAATAACTTTAGCTTGTGAGTTGTTGGGAGAATGTCCTGAACGTTGCGGTGGCTGGGATTTGCTCAGGTGATCGTACTCAAGAGGTATCGAAATTGCAATATGACGAGAGCCTTCGAGAGTTTTTGCAGCGACGGCAGTGTCTGGCAGCTTGAGCAGCTTTTGCGGTTTCTTGGGTTTGCGCCCAAATATCTTCAAGGCCGACTTCTTGATTGAGCCGTGATTCGTCTCATCAGAGTCAGGGATCGACATCCAGTTATCGGGTGGTGGTTCCTAGATACGGCATGTCAGCCTTTAGGTTCCAGAAGGAACAATGGCCACTTCTTGCCTTAGTTCTCAAAAATTCAGACAATGCCTTCATGTTTTCTCTGTTACTCTGTAACAACTCTACATGTACTGAACCAACGTTCGCCGCAGTGTTACGCCTCGAGGAAGGTTGCGACCTCATTGATAGCCTCGACTCGGAATTCCACCGGTTCAATTGAGGCGACGAGGTACTGTGGGAGGGAGAAAAAGAGAAGCCATGGCTGGTTTGCGCCCTATCCTGTCCATACGTTACAGATTGCGTCCGGGAACCCCTCGCGTGCTTGTTAACTTCTCTGGAGCCACTTGCCCGGCCAGAGACGACCGAGATATCGCGGTCGACATGAATGGATTGACTCGAGTGAGATCGGGGTATGGCTGTGTGAGGAGCTGGGGATCCGACGGGTGATTGCATATTGGTGTCTAGAATCGATTCCGTATGAGTTATCTGCAGGTCGCCAGACTTCGTACACGGAAGAAGAGCCAATGGAACCAGCTCAACATACCGGGAAGTAAAGGTCCTCCGCCTGAGAGTCCTAGCAGCCTCGACCGCGCTGACCAGAGCGAGATCGTTCCAACACGAGGGACAAATGCAGCGGCGATCGGAAGCTTATAGAGAGAAGCGGTTCATGGAACAAGGAGAGTAACGCTGAATACTGATTCGGACGGGCAAGATAGGCGTAAGGAGAGAGGTTCGCAAGATGGGACTGATCGGAGCAAGGTAGCGTATGTCGATGGCAAGGGAGCAAGGGAGTGAGAGCTGCTGGAACAATGAAGCCGCAACGTCAACGTCAAGGCGGTGATGGAGGAACTGGAGAAGGAAAGAAGCTGGGAGGCCAGCGTAATCCAGGCGGGTGACTGGGATATGGAGATGGTATATAAAAGCGAATTGAGAAGCGCGGTGGCAGGACGTGAGACCTCAGCTCAGCAGGACGGATGAACGAACGGACAGAACAGAACGTTCAGAGAAGAGAAGAGTGACGATGTTGATAAGATCAGGCTCGAGACATGGAGCAGAGTTGGAAACGAGAAGGAGAGGGAGGAGAAGCGGAGGGGAGAAGGAGAGAGAGGAGAGACAGGAGAGGAGGAAGAAGACAAGGGACAAGGCTCAGATCAATCAAATGATGGAGAGGAAGTGTTTTCCCGTCGGTTGCCCCTGTTCTTTGCCCCCCAACGCCGGGAGGGCTGGAGGTGATCATCAAGCGACCCGACGAGCGCCAGGATGGGCGGCCCCATACTGGTTGGTGGTGGTGGTAAGTAGTGGCATAGCGATGATACCCTGTTGTGCCCTCGGTACGGTGCGACAAGAGCACAAGAGAAAAAAAGACGCTGGACCCTACGTGCACACGCAAAAGTTCTTGGCCGCGGCCGTAGCCCCTCGAGATCCTTCGACGTTAGACGATGTCTTACTGGCAGCCGCAGCTAGAACCAGTGCAGTAGTCCGCCCGTCTCTTAGCCAGGGGCTCAAGGACCCAAGAGCGCAAGGGTTCAGGTTCTAGGGTTCCAGGGTCCACCGTCCGTGGTTTCTGGCTCCGTGTGGCTTTGGAGGGCTTGTTTCTCCCCGGCCCAGAGGCCTGCAGCGAGATAATCACATTCATCCGAGGTGAGATCGATTTGAGAGGTTGCCGGGGTGGAAGTTCTGGGGATGATGCACGTCGGCGCACGCGTGTATTCCACTCCAATCCTTCCTCCTTCTTCACATAATGGCAGCGTAGATCGTAGAAAATCATGCAGCTGAGCTGATTGACAAGCTTCCGGCTCCCACCAATACTACGCGGAGCGTTCCTCTGTCAGCGCGCGAGCATGTTAGTAATAAAGCTCCGTAGCAGCGCAGTAAAAATAGAAAAGGAAAAAAGCAGACAGCGTACCTTACATCCAGAGATTCCAGAATTCCAGATGGTTTGTTATTATTACGGGACTGGATCCACGATCCCATCCAAGTCTTCTGATTCGGGATCCGTTTCTCCTGCAGTGGGGAATGCCTCGCGATCGGCGTGCGCAATGTCTGTACGCATAAACCCATGTCGGCCATCTACAAGCATCACCCATGCAGCGAGCGACAAGGCACGCGGCGTTGACCAGGTTGATCGTCTGGCGCTTCGTTCATATTTCTGTTGCTGTGCGGTGCTGTGCGGTGCTGGGCTGTATTGTTGTTGTTGTTGGAAGGGAGATGAGGGATTGGGAGAGGGAGGGAAAGGAAGAGACGAAAAGGGGAATGTGTGTGTATACACCTATAATAAAGGGCCATAATAAAATACATACATATATACAAGGTAGGTAAGAAAAAGACTTGCAAATCTTCGGCCTTCCTGTTTACACTCTTTTCATCTCGGAATCTCAGGACATACTCCAGGTCCGAGATCAAATCATCAATCATCAATCCATCAAGAGAGATATATATATAGGCCATAGAATCCTTTCAACGTCCAAGTCCCACCACTACCAAGAACCGTTAACAGTCAATACCTAGACGACGTTTCCTGTCTATTGATTCCGCGGTCCACTACTACTACTGTACACCCCCCCTTTCGTATCAATCAAGATGATCTCCAACTTAAACCCAAAAAAAAGGAAAAAGAAAAAGAAACGAAGAAACCCGACCCGGCCGTTTGGGAAATTTCGCGTCGCCCCCCCCCCCCAGGGCCCCATCTCCCCCCCAAGCGCCGCCCTTTCGGCAATTCCTGGTTCTTTGCGGAAGGCGACGCGCTCATCGCAATCATCACTTCTTCTATCAATTTTATCACATCACCACTTATCACCCACAATCAGATTGGGTGGATTTGTTTGTTTGGTTGGACGGGGGCTGGTCGGCGATCACCGTCACGGACTCACAGGCATTCTTTACGGAGCACGCTGTGCACGTCCTGCTCGCCCTCTCAGATACGGTACCGGGGATCAATCTACTACTCTGCTCTGTATCTACAGTACGGAGTAGTAGGTCCTAGGTGGAGTGTGGATTCGCGATGTCTATTCCGGAGAGCCCATCGCAGCCCGTCCAAACATGCTCATCCATCCCTATGGTAGGTACCGATATACCACTACACTCTACGTTTCTATGTCTCTATGCAAAGGTCCTGAACCGCATATATATACCTCTCGTGTGAGACGCCTGCAATGCTGCCGTGATGGTGATCCCATGTCTTCCCTGAACTCCATTATTATATTTATCATCCCACGTCTCATATCGGTTTTCCTTCCAACTCCCATCCTGAAATGTTCATCCCTTTCGCCTGGGGGGTTTGCGTTGAATGAACGGATCGGCAGGCGCTTTCTTCCGTGGCGGCATCACCCCGGCCGGTCGTGAGGGAGGAGGCGGCTTGGCGGCCTGGTGTGCAGCCAGCGCGGCGTCAAGGTCTGGAACCTTCTCGTTCTTCAGGGGGTGTGCCTGTAAGATGTCAGCCAATCTTGCCTTGAACTACTCAAAACCACACTCAGCCGTTTGACAGCACTGTCTCATCTCAATCACCGAGTTTGATAGTAACACAGCTACAGCGAAAGTATACGGAGCAAGAGGAGCCTACCTTTTTCGTCGACACATCCTCGTCTTTGCTTGTTGCTTCTCTGGGCCGCTTGCCGTGCTGATTGATTCCGAATACAGACATTCCTCCAGCAGAAGGTTTTCGCTCTTGCTTGACTGCCTGATCTCGAGACTGCGGTTTGGTCGGCTCATTCTCGCTACCCAGAGGTGATTTCATCGACTCCTGCTTGATGGCAGGATTTCGAGATGGATTGGAGTCCGACTTGGTTCCAACAGACATCGTGCTGCTTCCACCAATGGATGACTTTCTGGAGCTCGATGCACTAGGCGGTACATCGAGCATCTCCACGTCGCTGTCCTCTGCTTTAACTCGAGAGGGATACGCTTTGCTATCAGAAGCCGGCTCTAGCTGGAGCGGGGCTGGCTGAGATTCGTTACCGCTTGAAATGGTTGCAGGTGGCAAGGCTTGCTGAACCCGACTCGTTGGCTTTGACAACAGTGCCATGATATCACCGCTAGTGTATCTATCACGGCTTTTCGCATCTTCGATGAGCCTATTCCAGAATTCTCCTTGTTGCAACGATCTCGAGTCTCCGAGGACCCACAGGGATGATTTGGCACGCGTGAGACCAACGTTCATTCGTCTGATGTCACCAAGGAAACCGATTCCTCCAGTGGCCTTTGCTCTGACACAAGAGAATATAATAATCTCACGTTCACGTCCTTGGAAGGCGTCGGTAGTGTTGAACTCGATCTCCTCGAAAATAGCATCTCCATACTTCTGGGCAAATCGTGACTTCAGCTCATTCAGTTGGGCTTTGTAGCTGGTTATGATCCCAATCTTGCCCTTGAAGTCATATGACCTGTAGTCAGCTTTCAGTCTCTCGTATAGTCGAATCGCAGCATTGAGTTCAGGAATGTTGATAAATGAGTGGCCCCGGGCCTCCTTAGACTGGACACCTTCAACATCAAAAAACCGGTATGGCCCGAAAATCGTACTCGCGTGCCATGGCTTTTGCCGCAGCTGAGCCATACCGTCACCATCAACCAATCTACCGTGGTAGAATTGCTGGCTTGGGAACGAACTGATCTCGGGGTGCATGCGGTATTGTGTATCAAGAAGATGGACATCTTTAGGGTGATTGCGTTGCATGCGAACAAAAAGAGACTGTTCGTATCCAAAGCTCTGCGCAGATCTTGATAGGACTGTCGGTGGCAGCTGCTCAGGATCTCCAACAAGTATACACTTGGAGCATCCGTACTTGAGCGGAATCAGAGCACTGAGCTCAATGCATTGGGCTGCTTCATCAATGATGACAGTCTCGAATTCGACGTTCAAGTTCCTAAACATGTCATGGCCACTGCCACTGAGGGTCGAACACAACACATGTGCCCCGTCGATGATCTCCTGTTGGAATCGACGACGGTTGATCTCATTCTGACGGGTCACAGTGTTTCCACTCTCCTTATCCTCATCAATCTTATTACCAATATGCGCTTGGTTCCGCTTCAGCTGATCAAACTCCCGCTGTAGTTGGAGCTCCTGTGATTTGTCACCGCTGGCGCGAGCTGCATCCATTTGAGGTCTCAGCGCGTTCAAGCGCTCTTTGATTTTAGCAGCCTCCTGATGTAGCTTGTCCCTATCCTGTAAGAGCTTGTTCTTTTCGCCGTCATCACCTTCAAGTTTCATCCGGACCAGCTCGTCTAACATGACGTCCTTAACACTTGTGTTGATAGCGTCGCTTCTACCTATGCGGATTACGTTGATCTTTTGTAAGGGGCCATTGAGAGGCTGGATGCCCTCCTTCAATCGTACAACCAGCTCATCAACTGCAGCATTACTGGGTGCACATATAAGGAGTTTCTTCTTTGGGATTGGAGCCGGGGGTTTGGGGTTACCCGAGGCTTGGACTTGAGGCCTGGCCCGGTTTTGATCCTCGTGTTGTTGCTGTAACGTTCGAGTTAGGAGAGCGCCGACCATGGCGATGATGGTTTTGGTCTTGCCAGATCCAGGAGGTCTACAAATTGTAAGCTATCAAACAATAAAACGTTGACGAACTTACCCTTGGATTAAAGTGAACCCATCATTATCATTAGCAGACAAGATTGCCTGAGCCTGTCCTCTGTTTAGGTTGTATTTGGACGACATCTGAGAGATCTTGTCCTCAGAGTACTTCTGAATTGGTGAAGGCTTTGCTTCGAGGACTTCATTGCACAAATCGTAATACTCCAAACTACTTAGGGCGGCGAACTCGCGTTGTGTTGTTGTCATATCGGTAATCTTCACAGCATGGATTTTGCCATTCGGGACGAGACACTGAAGAAAGGTAGGGCTGATTTCTCTGCTGACACGATACGTGACCTCCAGTACTTCTTTCTTGCGAGTGGTTCTATCCACGCGAGCTAAGCAGTGCGGTTCTTGCTCGTCGTTCAGTGGATCCGGGCTCCTTGACAGGAGTACAATGTCTCGTTCAGACATTTTGAGTTCTCGATTGGCTGATATGGGCATGTTTGTGCTCACTTCCATGAATTTATCCACGGAAAGACGATTCAGGACTTTGATCTCAACCGGCTTGAAAGTATTCTCGTCCTTTGCGGCTACTAGGGAGCGCCATACCTCAGATATGAGCAAAGGGCCAAAGGTCTTCTTATAGAGGTCAAGATCCAGGAACTGATTCGCGATTCTTCTGCACTCGTTGTTGCTTGGCGGATCGTCGCCAGCATGGAAAATATCCCAATTCAGTATCTCGAGGTATAATCTGTCCATGTTGGGTTCTACACGAGCACGGAGATCCTTGGCTGATCGTTGCACTTTGGTCTTGCGTACTGGACCTTGCTGCTGTTGCATCAAGGCACGACGCCGGCTCTCCTCGTACTCCGTGACCTTTTTGGATGCCTCCTTTCGCTTCTTGACAAGAGCGTTCGTCTCATCTTCATCATCATCATCGTCCGAATCTTCATCTGATGAGCCGACCATGATCTCACTGCGCACTGGTGCATGGTCTTTCCCAGCTACGCCGCCGATGTCTTTAAGTCCAGACCCTTCTCCGCGGACTAATGCTGAAGGGCCTCGGAGCGCTTTAGCCTTAGCTATGGCTTCGGCATTTAGGCGCTTCCTTTCTTCCTCTGCCTTGCGACGATTTTGAAGGAACTGTTGGTTATTTTCCGCCGTTTTCGTGGAAGTCGCCTTTATTTTGTCAATGATAGCCTTATGCTTGTCTGAAGACAGGGTCAAAGCATGACTTTTGGCTGGTAGCGTAGGCTCGTATCTCTTCCCCCCTGCTGACTTCGACCAGGAGTCAATAGTGGATTGCTTTTTGGCAACGACAGGTGTAGGCATCTCTATGATTTCAACGCCTTGATGCTCGTCCAAAGCTCTTTGAAGCTCTGCCTTCTGCTGATTCGTCAAGTTTGTTCTCTTGAAATTGGGCTCGTTCTCTCGCTTGCAGGCATTCTTGATGTAGTCCGAAGCGAACTCATCAATCTCCAGCTCATACTCTCCAAGGCATCGAAGAAGTTTGCTCAACAGACGTGTGATGATACTGATAAGGTATGCATCCCTCAACCTGAGCATCATTGTCAGGCCATTGACGTTGTGGCAGATTACCTCTAGGACCCTTCTGATGGACTGCTTTGAGGACCCCGAGTGAATGGATGCCTGGTTATCTTCCGCCGGGCTCGATTCACTCAAGACAGAAGCAATAATGCTATGTTGGTCAAATAGAGCTTCCGCATAATCCATAGCGTCGCGGCAGAATTCCTGCATATATGCTGTTGAATGGTTTACCCGCGGAGCCCAATTTTCAGTTGTAGCAAAGACCACGTCTAAAGCTCGCCATTGGACTGCCCACCATGCCGTGACTGCATTTTGCTCTGAGCTTGTCAAGTTAGAGCGGATCCGCAAGATTCCCGTGTTTCCACAGAGTGCATCCAGCATGTCGTTCCCAATCTTGAGCATGTATGGCACAGGCGAAAAAGTACGAGCCTTGATGATTCGACTGACGGCCCACGTCATCGAGCTCAAAGTCAGCGAGAACGCTTCCTCCAATATTTTTGAAAATGCATCCTGCTTGGTACTGTGGCCAGTCATGGTCTTGACGACTGCCACAGTAGCTTCATAAACCGCCTGGTCTGCGGAGAGGAGAGCAGCAAACAGCGGGCGACCCGTCTGGGGAGTTTGGTACATCTGGCGAAGGTCTGAGGGTTCGAAGTCACTCAAACGCTCAAACACTCGCGAGATATTGTCATTGAGCTGCCTGAAGCTTTCGTTGTACTGGATGTGATCCTTGGGCAAGTCGGGTTTCTTTCTGTCCATTGGTAATAGCTCGTCAAGACCTACGAGGGCCGATGTGGCAGCTAGAATGCTCTTCGCCAGGTCAACATTTCCTGGCCGGAAGATATCTAGGGTAGCTTGCCACACTGATTGGGAATGACTTCGGCCGCCGCGCTGAATTGGCGTTCCATTTGCAAGTGCAAAATATTCCGCACTCAGCGCTTTACAATCAAGTGCGAGCGCATCTTGGATGACCAGCATGCCAAGTCGCTTCAACTCGCGATGATTGTCGTCGGAATCAGTCAGATTGGCGCATCCAGTAATGGTATTTTTGTACGTATTCACAAGGCCCATTATATCGTTTATGACAATTAAGGACGTTGACGGCTTGATTACATAGTCTGACTTAACAAACGTACCCAAAGTAGTGGATAGGGCACCAAGACCAGCACGACAACATGCGAATCTGGCGTTCTCAGAGAGTTTGGCAGTTTGTAGACGTTCTAATAGGTTGTAGAGTAACGAACGGCACGCGTCATGTTGGTGGACTGCAGGAAGGGAAGCAATGAATTCTGGTATCCAAGCGGTAGCAGGCGACGACTCATCTTGCTTGAATTCTTGCAAATTGGCAAGCAACTTCTCGAATCCAGGGCTGGCAAAAATCTGCTCTGCAACAGTGGCAGGCGATATTGTACCCATGGCCTCCCAGAAATTCGTCGGCGATTTCTTGAGAAGGTGTCGAAGTGCTTCAATAAGTAAAGTGACGACCTCCTCGGAGCCAGATGGAAGATGATGAAGTACCAACTGATAAATGTTGGGTTGAACTTCCAATCCTTTGAGAGAATGTGTGATTAAACCCTCATCCATTTTATCCAACATAAGGAGGAAGCCGTTCCAAAACCTCTGTATATCGGCAGGTGTGGCAGTGGGCTGGGAAACTGCGATGATGGCTTCGGAGAGAACGTCATGCACAACCCAGTCGAAGGTTTCAGTTGTAAGATTGATGGTCATCTTCTGCCATGCGCATACTGCGAATCGCAGCCGGTATTGATCACTATCGAAGAGAAAACGGGCCATAGCTGGGAGGATATCGCCAATCCTAAGCACCTTTCTGTTCTGGACTTGTTCGAAGACATAGTTGAAGTGTGCCGAGAGCCTCTCTTCCGATTTATGGTAATCTATACAGCACAAAGCTTCGTACAAAGCTAGGAGGGCCTTGGTGTCATATTTCGCCAGGAGTCCCTGGGTGCGTTGTTGGACTTCTACCCCAGCCAGAAGTTTTTCACCTGCTTTGAGACCATTGTCAAGCCGCTGAAAATCAATGGCATTCAGCCTGTTCGAGAGCTCTGCCACCGTGTCATCGTCGAATTGTCTGCAACCATGAGTGGATGATTTATTCTTTTGGCCATAATCACTTACTCTGCCAGTTCCTTGAGGTACGGTTTGCGGCCCATATGCCAGTTACGAACGCATTTGTCACAAGTCGTTAGCAACTCGTTCAAGCGTCGAGTATAGTCGTCCAGCAGAGTCCCAGATATCTCAGGAGCTAATCCCAGAATGAGCGAGTACTTGTATGCTATCTCATGTCGTCTCTTGGCATCCTGAATCAGTTCCTGCTTTGTCTCCGGGCTCATGTCCTCTTCGGCTTCGTTTGGGGAGTCGTAATCAGCATTGTCATCATCATTTCGCCTCGGACAGAACCAATGTGCGTCTTGAGGGAAGCCTTTTAGCTCTCTATTGAATACAATGTCAGAGTCTTTACTTGACTAAAGCTGAAGAGGGCAAGCCAATAAGAAGAACTGAGGAAGGGAAGGGGAGGGGAGTACCCGTCGAGACCATGGAGCTCGTCCATGATCTCTGCTTCCTCGCGCATGGCGGATCATATAGTGTCCTATAAGGGCCTCATCGAGTATTTAAATTTGCGAAACAAGATGTAGCTACAGAGAAGAGGCACAAACAGATGTTTGTTGCTGAGAGTGAAGGAGGTCGCTGAGAGGTGTTCGTTTTTAAATTGGAGATCGAGAAAGAGCGAGACTTGCAGACGATCAAAGTCAAAGTCTAAATGGCTAGCTAGGTAGGGCTCGAGCGCGTAAAGGCTGCCAAAGTGGCCGGCAGCAAATTGACTTTTGAAGACAGTTGAACTTGGTGAAGTCGTCCTTGGTTTTACCCTCCGGAGTAAATTATGGCTCGTCTCGGGTACGCGACACTACGATAGTTGTACACGCCAATCCCTGCAATCCTAGCCTCGCGCGCGAGGCCGCAGTGATACGGAGACTACCAGGGCATCAGAGGGGATCTATATCCTACGGTACACTGGGACTTGACATTTGCAGGCCGCACTTAGCACATTCACTCGGTCCTCACTATATCTTCAATTTTATTTCGTTCTTTCATGCGTCGCTAGATTAATAGTTTCCACTATTTTCAACCCTTATATACAAAAAGGCCCCACGACCCTGTTTCCGCCACCGCCCGTTATTTGTTCGCAACACCATCACAGACTCAACAAGAAGAAATCTAGTAGTGTCTCATAAGAGATGAACAAGTACAGTATGAGAAAGGCTCCCTTTTATGGGGATTTAACTGCTGGATCATAATCCAGCCTCATTCGAACCATTTGCGAACTCCAAACGCCAATGCGGCATAACAAATGCATGAAAACAGAAGGTCGTAGATTGCTCATGCAAATCCTCATGAGATCTCGTTGATTGACAAAGAAAAGGTGGTGTATAATACAGTCCATCCGCTACGCATCGCGGTCCGAGGTTGAATATGGGAGGTCAGGGGTATCCCCCGGGCCGAGGGATCGACTGGCTAGACTCTACTGTGGTCAAGCGAGCAGCTGAGGTGAAATCATGGCTCTGCTCGTAACTCGGCCGAATCCGGTCCAGTGAAGCTCTCACTCTCTCGAAAGACTGTCTTGCTTTCTCCATCGAATGGCCCCTAGGGGGGTTGGGGGGCTGTTCGACGAACGACAAGGGTTGTTCGAACCCCTGATCCAAAGACATTTGGCCTGTTAAATCCGACCCATCGCTACCAGTGTGACTCCGAGGATTGTGTGTTAGGGTTGGGGCAACTGAAGGTGGGTAAATAGGCCGTTGGTCTTCATCAACACTCAGGTAGTGGGTGTGCTTACTCGTTTTCGCGATATCGGAATCGGTGGTAAAACCTTTCGAAATCGTATCGATCGTATCCCCTCCATCAAGGTAGTCAAACTTCCCTTGACGAACTTGTTCGCGAATGATGTCGACATCGTATGGGAAGTAGACTTTCTGGACGACCTTGATGACGAATCGGGGAAGAAGTGAAAGGATGACAGATAGACATGTCACCGCCCAGAACGTTGGTTGGCCAAAGACTTCGGCGGCAGCTTTGTAGAAATATTCAGAGGAGCTGAATGACGAGTAGATGCCAGTCCAGAACCAGACAAGCAATATACTTATGGATACGAGAAGCACCATGAGCCAATCCCATCTATAGGTGTTTAATAGAATATAGATGTTGATGGAGACGACGGCGGCTGGAGCGATATAGGTACCAAATCGCTCTCGGTCATCGAGACCCAAGCCGTCCTCGGTAACGAAGTTTGCTGGTCGGAAGAGAAGATATGCCATGTAGAAGCATATTATGGACTGATAGAGTCCATCGATCATGTAGAGCCTTGGGCCTTGTTAGCATTATGAGTTCAATATGATTGAAACAGCAGTTACTGACCAGAATTTGGGTTGTGTCCACTCCTTCCGCTCGATTCCGCGTCGGTAAAGTTGAGGCACTGCTAGAGATACCTTGTCGCTGACATCTTGGTCCAAGACACCCATGAAAATGACCGGGACGGAAGTGAAAGCCAAGTTGAAAAGCAGGATATACGTGTAGTCGTAGAGGTATGTCATGTCGAAATCGCAATAGATTTGGTACCAGAAGATGGTGAAGGTCCATATCACGTTCTTGTAGAAGAAATTTGCAATGGACTCTGCCAATCTCCGATACGACCAGCGACCGTGCACAAGCACCAGTCTTTGAAGGAAACGGAATTGCCCAATGGCATAATCCGACGACATGACGGCTTGTCGACCTTCCTCTCCGGCAATACCAACTCCTACATCGGCCTCTTGAATCATAGCAACATCGTTGGCTCCGTCGCCAATGGATAATGTCATCACATCCAAGCCATTCTTTACCATAGAAACGACAGCGGCCTTTTGAGCAGGGCTGACTCGACAGCAAAGAACAGACTTGCATTCTTTGCACAGTAACAGGAACTTTTGACGAAGCTGGACATCTAAGACAAGTTTAAGTGAATCTCCGTCAATGACGATAGCATGAGTTGGCGGAGGTGGAGCGTGATTCTTCCTAGCGCGCTTGAGATCCTCATCCGACCCAGCCAAATTGAACCGGGCCAGATGCTTGTCCAGCTCTGCCTCGGCCGTGGAGATCTGGTCATCTTCGATTTTGAAAACAATAAGCTCCATGTCGTTGTTGAGAAGATTGCATGAAAATCCGATGTTGATGGCGGTCTCGACTTTGTCGCCAGTCAGCACCCAAAGCTTGATACCGGCCTCGGCAAGGAGAGCGATCGTGTCGGGAACACCCTCTTGCAAACGATCCTCAATGGCGGTACCTCCAAGCAAAGTAAGATCACGTTCTATCGCATCGGACACTGCTTCCAACTTGTCTTCTCGGTCTTGAATCGCGGCTGCGGCAAGCTCGTGCTCATGGTTCCATTTCTGATACTCTGCTTCGCCGAGCTCTCTCTGGGCTATGCATAGGGTTCTCAACCCCTCTCGCGCAAACATCTCCAGGTGTTCGGCTGTGGCTCTCCTGAGTTCGGGTTGCTCTCCAGGAGCCAGGCGCGAGTAGATTATGCTGTCTGCACCTTTGCAGAAGAGGATGATCCTATTGTCGGGCATCCGGATGATCGCACTCATTCGTTTTCGCGTTGAATTGAATTCCAGAGTATTGAGGACAGTGTATGTCCTTTCCTCACCTAGCACGTTCAGCCGAATACCATCTGACGAACGGCCCAAGACCGTGAAGCCCAGGTCTCGAGCGGTAGCAACCAAGGCAGCTTCATCTGGGGACTGCGCCTTGAACTCAATCCGTGGGGGATCGCCCGGCACGGTCTCAGATATGACAGTATGGCAGAGCGCGAGAGCGAGCATGAATTGCTCGTTAGCTTCCTGTTGCTCCAAGCCAGATGCCCCGGCGAGATCGGTGACGAAATCAGGAGCAATGAACGTCAAGTCCTCGTCATGTAGGTATGGATTATTGGAAATCGCGCGAAGGTCGACCAACATTTTTGCACGCGCTTGCGCGATCTCTTCCTGGATCCTGGCGCCTTCTTTGTCAACATCGATACCTTGTCGTTTCTGCATACCCGCCTGTGCTTCGGTGTAAGCTTCCCCGTAAGGAACGCCGTTGACGGTGGCCTTCTTGAACTCCATCACATTCTGTGTCAGTGTTCCGGTTTTGTCAGAGAAGATGTACTCGATTTGACCCAGGTCATCGGAAATGTTCCATGATTTGGGGGTGCAGGGGTAATCAATCTTATCGTAGTACATCTCTGTGTCGCTGTAGATGAAGAATGCCTGGCAAGTCTTGATAATTTCGAGGGAGATGTACAATGAAATAGGCACCATGTTTTGGAACAAGATAACTGCTGCCCAAAAGGTGATGAACCCGTCTAGGGCAGCATCGCCACCAATAGAGCCGAATTCGAAATAGTTCAAAGAGTGGTTGCCCTCCGACCAGGCGATGCCTTCCACGAGACCCGAAACGAAGCACATGAGGAGGAGAACAATGAAGTTGTAGAATACGTTCCAGTTGAGCTCTCGGGCAATGCGGGACCGTTTGGTGGGTGTGATTCCGGAGTTCATCATGATTTTGGTGTCAAAGCCGGTGAAGATGACCACACCGAGGACCCAGTCCGTATTTCTCAAATTGCAGCCACGGAGAAGCAGATTGTTGATGGAGATGGGTTCGGCCATCTCCTGGCCCTTCTCGTTAGGAAACCGCGGGTTCTGCTGATTCCAGCGGGCAACCGCACTGTATTGATAGAGGTTGGGCTGAGGGGGTTCACTTTCTATGACAAACTCCGTTCGCTCACAGTCACGGGCGTGCTTGATCTTGCGGCCACTTCGAAGCGCATGGCGGACCTTCAAATTTGTCTCTCCATCCAGGTTCTTCGTCTCAACGTAGCAGGCACCATCGGGATCAGATGTTGAGAGAATGACCACGTCAGCCGGTATTTGATCGTCGTTGTAGATTCGAACAAAGTCACCAACTTGAACATTCTTCCAATAATCTTGATGGAATCGAGGTTTCCCGGTCACAGGCAAGTTCGGGTTTATGAGGCTTCCAAAGTCCTTGTGGATTGGCGCGTGCTCGCCGCCCCTCTCGTAGGAGAAGGCGGATGTAGGGCGGTCTGGCACCATGAGGCCGTCGTCGCGAGGCAATGGAGAAGGAACCGGGGTCATCTGAATATCCTCCCGTACGGACATGAAAGATGCTCGTTGGTCCGCCATCATACCAGATTGCCTCCTGGCTGCCACTGAATCATAGGATCCCCGTGGCTCATCGTGAGCCCGCTCTGCATATTCCGTTCCTGGAAGTTCCTTCTTTTTGCTTAGCGACTTATACATCCTCACCATGAGCCGAGTAGTTGCTTTCTTGAACCTCCTCCATAACGAGACATCATCGGCGCTGACATTGACGTTGTTCCAATCTACTAGTCGATGCACTGGCGAGTTGTTCAAATCGTTGTCGAGGATGGTCCTCCGATAATCTTCGATCGCGTCCTTCACTGCCGTGATAAAGACAATGACGATCAACGGAACTGCGTTCAGACCTGGGTTTGAAGCTCCGAAGATGCTGAAAATCTGAGGATCCCATCAGCAAAGTGCATTGATAATGATCTACGAGACGTACCGTGAGGATAATCAAGAACAAGAAGTAGATGTTGGCAATGTTATGGAACTGGTAGTACAAGTTCTTCGGTACGAAACTCAGGGGAGTGTACTTGGCAGTCCGAATCTTGTTTCTCCGGTAGTGTTTGAGGGGAAGGCCATTCTCGTCGACCGCTTCGGGCGGTAAGGGGATATTGAAGAAGACCTTTCTCGGCCCCTGATTGTCCCTGTCGTCCGGTGCATCGTGCTCGTCAAACTCTGGTTGTTCCGGGACAGCACCAAGATCAGTACCCATAGATCCTGCTGATTCCCTCTTCTTCTCGCTACTCTGCGATGCTCGGTGATGCAGGCGGTCCAGGATGGAATGACGTTTTCGGGTCCCGCTCTTCCCCTTCTTGTATTGCGTCGCCCATCGTAGTCTCTTGGTGGGATTCGTCGGGACAGGCGCTTCCTCGCTCTCCTCCATGGTCGATGGGTCGTGAGCCATGATGGGCTATGTACCAGGAAAGCCTTGAGGGACTTATCGGACGGGGCAGCGCCCGGCGTGTTGAAGATCTTCCTCCAGCCTCCGTGCAAAGCAGCGACGCCGGGGCGGGGGCCAAGGCGATGATCGAGGGAGGGTGGATGATTGACTGATCGATAAGATCTGGATGTTCGTGTATGTGTCCGCAACTGTTGGAATCCGCAGCCGTCGCAGGCAGAAAAGAGTCGACAGAAGGTTGTTCTCCTATGTCCGCCGTCCTCCGTAGGGGGAGGTAGGGGGAGGGCGGGTCGCTTAGGTGGATAACACGGAAGGGCCGGGAAGGATAGTTATGGACGAAGGGGAGCAGAGCAATACAGCGCCGAGGTCTCCCGAGGACAAGAGGCTGCGAGAGCAATTGAGGGCCGATGCGAGTCCTCGCGGAGTTGAGGGATGGACGATAAGACGGCGGAGGGGGGGGAGGTGGTTGGCGGGGAGGAGGAGGGAGAGGAGGAGGAGAAGGGGTGCAGGAGTTATTGAACGGATAGATAGAACAAGGACTTTTAGTCTTCACGGCGGTAGAACATGCCACGGTGCCACCACAGGCCAAGTGGAGAGTGGGCTTAGTCAGGGCTGGTAGCCGGTAGCAAGTGTTTTTTCTTTTTGTCGTTGCGTTGCGCTTTTTCGGGGGGGGGGGGGGGCGGTCCTGTAAATTTAGATGAAAAGGCCCGAGCGAATGAGGGTAATTGGGGAGGCTGTCCCAGAATTCCCAGCCCAGTGATCGGGTGAGCCGTATTACCTACTGCACGCGGTCTATCGCTATATATATATATATACCTTATATATGGGCCGTATCGCCGTCTCTCGGTATCGGGTGCAAAGGGGGACCGGATGCGAGGCAGAGCCGTCAGTCGTCTTCGATGTGGAAATTGGTTATCGGGGACAGCGTAAACAATAATAACCTTCGAGCTTCCAGCGAAAGCCATCATCACTGAATAACCCAGGGGCCCGGGTCCAATACATATGCCTCCGTGCTTCCCCTTGCCCTCCCTCCCTTCGCCAAGTCCCCAAGGATCTCCGCTTATGAAGAGAGAGGCTGAGGCCGGTGATGATGGGGGGCTGGCTGGGCGGGATGGATGATGGATGGATTACCGCACGGATTTCGTTCATTATTAGGTATAATCAATCAGTGAAGCCCTCCTTCCCCTTCTCCCGTCTCTTCTCCCTCCTCCCTCCTCACATCGCCCTTTCGCTTCCTCCTCCTCAGATCCTGCGCATGTACACCAGTGTCTCTAGATACTGCACTGCACATCATCTCTCCGGCGCAGCGAATCAGCCAATAATGGACGCGCCCTAAAAGATTCCAGTCGCGATATGCCAGAACCCGATCTGCGAGGGACCCGGCCCGGCATGCCCATGACTCCATGTACTTGTCGACGTATGGGCCTGGCGCAGTTACAGAGTACGGAGCTGCGCAATGGGGCCTTGGCCGCAAGAGGCAATACGAGATGTCGATTGACGAGCATCTAAGTCAGCACTCCCAACCTCCTGTGTGTGATTGACTACCTACTCGATGCGTGCTATAGGGGACTACGATTCCGTTACTTTCGTACAAGACGATAGATACTACAGTACGATACGACGATATCTATCAACTACTCTGCCACAGCTCTCTCCTCGCCTCGCTCCTCGACTCGCTCCTTATTGCTTCACCTCCCCGGACGGGGATCGCGGATCGAGGGGGCGTGATGCCTGTGGATTCGGGATTGCGCGAGGCTCCATAAATCCACAGGGTCCAAGTTGCAACTACCGCAGGCCCTGCGGATCATGGATGATGATGGATTGATTATATTATTATGATTACAGCGTCGGCCTTCCTCTATGTTTCGACGACAATCCGCCCAATCCACCCGTCTTATTTTTATGCTTTTATTTATACTTCTACGCCTTTTCTTCCTCCTCTTCCTATATGGGTAGTATATGCCGTGCACAGGACATAGCTTACCTGCCTACTTACCCGCCATCTTATCGCTTGTGACGTGAGAGGTAAAGCCCTGACGACAGACCCTTTCATATCTGCTCTCGCCCCTGGGCCATGGGCGAGCCGTCGTAACCACAAAAGTGAGACGTTGCCCAACTGCCGCCGGCACATCAGCCCATCAATTCGCTCCGGAGTCTGATGAAAGTAAAACTCGATTACGGAGCGTTATCACCGGCAAAATGGCTTCTCTTAAAAAAAGAAAAAAGTTCTTTAAAAGTTCTTCGCTCGATTCCATTTTAATCAATGGGACCGGGCGCTTGGCATATCACGTGATTAGGCGCGATGGCGCGTCGCGATATCGTGAATGTGTGAGAAGTACTCGTATGTAGTCCACCAGGTCGACGTCCTTGCCTAAGGATACCAACCCTGCCTCCCACGGATCGGAATTCGCGTCTGGTAATGCATTCTTGACAGCTGATCCGTCCGTCCCCTGTTCAAACAATGTCTGGTGGCCGGAAGCACCAGGCTAGTCTGAATGCCTTCTTCAAACCTGTCCAACCGTCTTCCAAACCGGCGGCTCCAGTATCCAGCCGGCCGAGCCCCTCGACGACTGTCAATGGCACCCCTTCGAACGTCCCTCGCCCTGCATTTAGCCATTCCAGCAATACAGTGAACGGGTCGGCATCAGAGGCTGTAAATCCTACCGCCAGCCAGCCCGCAAAGCCTGCACATGACCAAGGAGGATATAATTCAAGCTTGTTATCTCCATCTCCCAACAATGATCCGTCCGAGGGCCCACCGTCACTTTCACAGCAACTTATTCAACCGCCGGCAGTATCAAGTAGTTTCTCCTCTGGCAGGATTATCAGAAGTTCAGACGATGAGGACTCAGATTCGGATTCCTCCCTGGTGGATCTCACCACGTTGTTACAATCACATCGCTCTAATATACCACCAAAACCTTCCACTAATAAAGACACGCCATCTACTCCCAGTGCCTCAAGATTTACGAGCCGCAACCTTGATTATAAAACTTCCCCTATTGTTGTACCGAAGTATAAATTCGATTTGAAGTACCTCGCCGACCTCGCGAGAACTGACGATGCCGCTGAGGCCAGTTCGAAAAGGGTCAAAGCATTGTCAGCACTAGAAGATGAAAACAGTACACTCCTTCCGACAGGAGCCAACTCAAATGAGACCAAAACCAGTCATCTCGATCTTTTGGGATCGGTTGTCAAGGATCGAGAAGAGGGCGAAGTGCAAAGGGTCACCCGTGCAATCAAGAGAACAGAAGCAACACTCTCTGAACATCGCTGGTATTTTTTTGATACTGAAGCCAAGCCATCTAAAACGAAAAGATCACCCTTTCCAACAGAGTTTGTCACAGATGACTGGAAGAAAGATCTTTCAGATCCGCAAGTCAGGTATCAGACGTTCATTTCCGGTTTCGCGGAGGACATGGTTTCCTTTGGGAAGACCTTACCAGACGAGATATTTCTATGGGTGCTTGATGAGCTCTGCAGAGAACCAAGCGCTCCGCTTCGGAGCTCTTACAGCAATACTTTAAGGGAGTCCTCGGAACAAGTTCACCGGCTCATCGTCCCTGATGTGGTCCAAAAACTGTTCAAAGATCTTGGAGGGAGTCCGGCGGCCATTTCTATCTCCCAGAAGATCCAATCAATCTCAGGAGTCAGGGACCCATATGGCAGGCGCCAGTGGGATGAACTCCGCTCAGTTATCGGATTTCTTGGTGACATAGCGAGTTCCCTCCGGCAGGAAGTCAGAGTCTATATCATCTGCCTGCTCCTAAGGATGTGCGCCGATGGCGTAGTCTTCGAAAACGTTGACTTGTTCGACGGAGTCCGGGAAACGATCAGTCGCCTTTGTCGATATATCCCTGAAGAATCTTGGGAAGCTTGTGTAAGTTCGGGCTCTATTTTCTCCAACAACCCTCTCTAATAGCATAAATAGTGTCAAGAAATATGTACATCACTATTCAACTGTGTTGAAGAGCCAACACTCCGCCTCCAAGTAGTTGAAAGTGTCCCGTCTTTTCCCCCACGGATGCATGACCTTAGGAGACGGCTTGCGATGAGCTTCTATTTCAACGATATCTCTTACTGCACGAAGCATTCTCACCTCCTCATGGATCTGGACCTCTTCATCAAGCGTCTCGAAGATCCAACCTTTGATCTGACACCACAGACAGACTACCGGGAACTAGCAGCTCTGATCTCCCTCCTCGACATAGCTATAGATGATGCGAGGTCCGCCGAGCTTGACCTGACGGATGTGAACGAAGAAAGACGTTTCGATAAAGATATAGACGATCTCGCCGCCTCCATCAGGGATATAATGAAGAGTATCGGTAATCCCGGGGCAGCGTTCATCTCCAGGATCGAAGCCAAGGAGGTTCTGGAATTAGTTGCGCAGCGAATTGCGGACACCCTTCGGAGTAAGCCAAAGCCAAAGCAGACGGTGTTTGACGGGCCGCGTGGGAGAGCCGAGGAGGATCTCGAGGGGGAGAGGGCCGGCATCCAGAGTTTCTTGTCGAGGATGAAGAGCACGGCAGGAAAGGTGTAACGGGGTAGGCTGCACGGTGAAATTGAGGGCGCTTAGGCATTGGACATGTGGCCGGGGGAATCAATACATTCCAGCTTCATAGTGATGCGACTGAAGTTCATTGTATCGTACACTTTCCACAAGTTCTACCAAAAAAAACCAGAATAAACATATAGCAAATTTGTGCACCGTGCCGCTTCCCTCTAAGACCTCATATTTGCTCTTGGACTATCGAATGCTTAACTCTCGCCGGACCTAGTCATAGAACTTCCTGTTCTCGTTCTTGCCAAACAAAGCCGTTCTTATGGAGGGTAACGCGTTATCTTGTAGCAGCTTAATACGCTCCTCGAAAGTGTTGTTAATCTCGATCTTCCCACCCCCACCGACGATTGAGAGGCCACCAGCACTATCACTCACAATTAGCATCCCACCCCCATACCTCACACGAAGTATACACTCACCTGCCCTCCGGCAGCGGATTCGCCTCGTCAATGGTAGCCTCGACAGGCTTCCCGGTCTTCTCCTTATACTCCTTGGACGCCTTCTCGATGGCCTTCTTCACCAAATCGTAATCGGCCTTGCGCGCGCGGACCTGCAGCTTCGGCTCGCTCAGGGCGTAGAAGCCCTCCAGCATCAGGTTCTTGAGGATGGTCTCGTACTTGCCCTTGTCCTTGGTGGCCTCGCCCAGCTTCTTCTGCGCCTGCTCGAAGATGCTATCGAGCAGCTCCTGGCGGGCGCTCAGCACCTTCAGCCGGGTCTTGTTGGCGACGGTGGAGCGGGTGATCTGCTGGGACATCTGGGCCTGCTTGAACTTCTTCTCGTACGTGGTGTCGATGGCGGCCGTCTCCTGCCGCACCAGCTTGGACTTCTCTATGGCGAACTCCTCGTCCGCCTTGATCTCGATCTCGCGGGCTTTCTCCATCGCTTCCTGCTTGATGAACGCCGTCATCTTCTTCAGCTCCTGCGACACCTGCCGTGCATCTCGTCAGTAGGCGGGCTTGGGGATGGTTCACTTGCCTAGGCGGCTGAGGCGTGGGGAGCTTACCTGGTCGTCCGACAAGGCGTGTGATTGTGACATTCTGGGCGATCAGTGCTTCAACAGCTAATTGACTAGGCAGGGAGAAGAAGTCTGGGGTAAATGGGGAGCTTGGGGTTAAATGCGTGTGTCGACGAGGAGCTTCTGGACAGGAAACCCGATAAGAGCTTGGGCCAAGTGGAAGCGTCACATGATTCAGTTCCAGACCCACTGCGGCTCCTTGCGTGGCACCGTCGTAACACATTCCAGCTTCATTCCGGGATATATCACAGGAGAATAGTATCTAGATTGTCTCAAGGCCTCTCAATTGACTACCTATCCAGCTTTTAAACCCTTTCGCGTTCCCGCACGAGGCGCGTGGATACTGTGTTTCGGTCTCCTGTAGACAAGCGAGAAGGATGCACTGGAATTGAAGCCGAACCCAGGACCTTGAGACAACGACCACGACCACGTTCCACGAGAGCGCCCTTTCTCCCTCCTTCGAATTGCAACAACCAAATCTTATACTTGGCTTAACGGGACGCTACACTGCTCTGAACCAAATGAAGACTTGCGGCAGCGTAACGGCGTGATGGGAACCTTCGGCGACCTGTCGCCAGGAGGAAGTGTAGCTGTGAGTTGCATCTGGAGCTCCCTCCCTCGCCCTCTTTCCAGATGGCACAGATCATTGACTCTCGTTCTCTCTCATAACAGATTGGCATTTTGGTCGGCTTGATCTCCACGTCCGTTCAGAGCTTGGGCTTGACCCTCCAACGCAAGTCACATATCTTAGAAGACGAGAAAGGACCCCACGATGTGCGGCGGCCACCCCATAGACGGCGGAGATGGCAGGTCGGAATGGCAATGTTCATTATTTCTAACCTGGTGGGGAGCACAATCCAGATAACGACCCTCCCATTGCCGGTCCTCTCGACGCTACAAGCTTCGGGACTGGTCTTCAATTCAATATGCGCCTCATTGATTCTGGGGGAGCCTTTCACACGCGGGTCATTGGGCGGTACATTACTGGTTGCGATCGGTGCCGTCCTGATTGCAATATTTGGGGCAATTCCTGAACCGGCCCATAGCCTGGATCAGCTGCTGAAGTTACTTGCACGGCGGGGCTTCATTCTTTGGATGGTAATGCAGGCATTATTGGTGGCTATAATCATTGGGGTGGCAGGATTTCTTGCCCGGGTTCCCAGCATATCCTCCAGTCCCCGGATCCGGCTCCTCCGTGGACTCTCATACGGCTGCCTCAGTGGGATCCTCTCGGCGCACTCCCTGCTCGTAGCCAAGTCGGCGGTCGAGCTCCTGGTGCGTACCATCGTGGATAGGATCAATCAGTTCAACAGATGGCAATCATGGGCCATCCTCCTGGGCCTCGTCTCTCTGGCCCTCACGCAACTCTTCTACCTCAATCGAGGCCTCAAACTAGTGTCGACCAGCGTTCTATACCCTCTCATTTTCTGCATCTATAACATAATCGCCATCCTCGATGGGTTAATATACTTCAAACAGACAGATCGGCTCTCGGCTCTCCACGCCTCCCTAATTGCCGTCGGGACCGTCATCCTCCTCTCCGGCGTCCTGGCCCTGTCATGGCGGCTCTCGGACGAGGCCCAGCCAACGGTGCCGCAGGGCGCCCTCACCCCGGCCCTCGGCTTCATCGAGGACACTGACACGGAAGAGTACTCTGATTCCATGGCAGCCGACGAAGAAGCCTCCATCAGCGCCGAGCACCAGGCGCTCCTCAACGGCGAGGCCATGACGCCGACGGCCAAGCAGGACGCCGTCCTCGGCGCCACGCGCAACGTGCGCAAATCCGTGCGGCTCACCGAAGCCGACGAGATCTGGGGCGAGCTCCAAGACGACGACGCGCAGTCGTCACCGGGCCGCGCGCGCAGCATCATGACCATGTTCGCCGAGTCTCCTCTCGTGCATCCCCAAGATGACGACGAGGACGCCGCCGCCGCCGCTGCCGCCCCGCCAGATGAGCATACCTCCCTGTTACGCGCGGGCGGGCGCAGGCGCTCGACGGGCTTCGCGGCGAGGCCGAGGAGGAGGAAGAACTCGCGCGGCAGGAACCAGGACGCGGTCGGGGGCCTGTGGAAGATGCGCTGGTGGGAGCGCAAGAGCCGCAGTCGGAGCGGGAGCGGGAGCGGCAAGGGACCTCCTCCTGGTGGTGCGGGGGGCGGAGGACCATCATCTAGGATGGATTGAAATTATAAGCCCAAGCAAGCAAGCCATGGAAAATCAAACAAACCAGAACCAAAACACAAGAGTCGAGTTCGTTCACAGGGATGTGTAGGGAGGGGAGGTGCTGTCCTGTATCATATATCATAACCCCCCCCCCCCTTTCTCCTCCCCACCCCACCCCCAACCTTCCACATATCCATATTCCATATTCCATATTTCATATCCCTATCCTCCCCATCCTCCACATCCTCCACATATCTCCAGGGCACAGGGGTCATAAGCATAGGCTACGGCGTTAGCGTTGGCGTTTCCGGCAAACACCCCCATATATCTCATCTCATCTTTTCCATTTCATTTCATTTCATTCTAAATATCAGGGATCTACCTATACATAGGATTAGGATTTTTTGGGATAGAATAATGGAGTGTGGAGTGTTTTGCTTGTTATGTATGTATGTGTGTATAGATAGATTGATAGATAGATAGGGTAGAATAGGGGGGGTTGGGAAAGAGAGAGAAGGGGAAGGGGGGAGAGAAGGGGAAGGGGATGGGAGGGGAGGGGAATGATGGTTTCTAAAGTGACTTCTTCTTGACCTAGTAGGCCCTTACGTGTATATGGAAGGGGAAACAGGGGAGTGGAGAGGAGAGGAGAGGAGCTATGAAGTGAAAGTGAACTTAACTATAAAGTTTCGCATCCCAATCCCAATACCTACCTTACCTACCTACCTACCTAACCTACCCAGATAAGATACATGTTATTGATTATATCGAGATATACAATACCATACCATACCATACCATACATACCATATATACGATAGGATATAATATAATATGATATGAACAAGGGAAGGGATAAAGACGGGATGGGTCAGATTAGATGGTTTGATGTTATAGTAAGGTACCTAGGTAGGTATATTAGGGTAGGTGCCTACTAAATAGGTACCTAGGTAGGTAGGTAGGTAGGGAGGTAGGTACCTACTTTAGTTGTATTAGAGGAGCACACAGCACAGCACAGCACAGCACAGCACAGCATAGTATCGAATCCGCACGCTTGCCTTATTCGGTATCACGCAGGGAACTGATATAGATAGATAGATACCCTAGATATGAGATGATATCTGGAGATCAGACGAGACGAGATCAGACGAAAGAGACATTATTAAAATGATTGATCGATTCGGATTGATTTCATGCATCGACGCCAGATCCACGCCGAGGGAAGACAGACGACCGTGTGTGTGTGTGTGTACTGTACAGAGAGCTAAGCTACGCCCTACTACCTCAGCCACTGACCTGACCTGACCTGACCTCCGGAGCGAGAGGGAAGAGATATAAGATATGTCTACCGCCAAGCCAAGCCATTCATTCGCATCCATCAACCATGGGGAATTGATTACCAGACGGGCAAAAAAACAAACAAACAAAGAGGTGTGCCAAATTATAGATCGCCAATTTTCCTCCCTTGCCATGCAGATGAAGAAAGGGGGTCGCGCCGTTCCTTGCCTCGATTGCCCCGGCCAGAAATCCACCTCGACGCAATGTTGCCGCCGTCCGCCCGTTGCAAAACCCCCAGAGAGCTTCAGGGGAAAATTATCTCATTATTCACGCGTGTAGTATCGAGTTTTGTAGTTTGAAAAAAAGAAAAGGGAGAAAAGCGGATTTGCAAGAAGTAGAAAAGAAAGAACCCCATATAATGACACCGAACACCTTCTGCAAGTACCCTTTGTTGAGGATCGAGACCCGCAGGACACAAACGAGGAGCGAGATAGACGCGTTGTATTATGTGTGCCGGGTATCAGTTTCTTTCAAAGACTAGCTCAACCCTCTCTCGTTACGGGGAGGGGCCTCGAGTATTCGACTCTATGCTTGGTGCGAATGTTGTTGTGGGATGCCGGCTTGAGGAGGCATAGGATAGCCGCTTCTTTGTTGCTGGGCCACGTAGTTCTGATACGCGATGGCCTGCTGCTGCTCGATCGTTTGCGGCATGTAGCCTGGGTGCATTTGGGGGTTGCCCTGGGGCATGCCAGTGCGGGCTTGTTGTGGTGGGAGATGTTGTGGGGTAGGCTCTTCGGGGGATTCGACGGGGTTGGAATCATCGACGCCGTTCTCGCCATTGCCGGCCGGTTCGGGTGCGTTCAAGCACGCCTAGCAGAGTATCAGCAGATGTTTTGTGGACGCGTCGGTTTCCGGGTGCGCCATACCTGAATCAAGTTCTTGCCCTCGGCCTTGGTAACCAAGGGTTGCAGCTTGGGAGTTGTGAAGGTGTAGACCAGACCCGTCTCCGACACGACAAGCAGGAGGACTTGGGTCCCGGTTAAGACGGACAATTCGTATGCCTATCCGCAGAGTCAATAACGAAGCTCAGAACGCGACGAGTGGACGCGCGCGCCATTGTGGACAATTGGGACCGACCTTCTTCATGATACCGGCCTTGCGCTTGGAGAAGGTGATGTGGCGACGCGACTTATCCGTGATGAACTTGATCTCAATCTTCCTCCGCTCACGACCGGGCTTGTCATCGTCATCGTCGTCGTCGTCGGCAGTAGTTGGGCGCTGGCGCTTGATGCCACGGCTCTCGCCAATTGGATTGCCATTCCCGACGGAGTGCTCGTCGAGGGCGGAGGGCGAGGCCTGGTCGGCGTGGTCGGTGATGTCGGCCATGGTGGAGAGGAGACGAGACGGGGGAATATAAGAGGCGGGCAGGGGAAGATGTGTGGTATGACGAATATGACTCTTTTGAGATGGGCGCGGATGACCTTACTGCTTATGGGGGATGGGAGAGGTTGTTCAGTCGCGAAATGCCTGATGTGGTCGCGGGCGACTGGATTGAGGAAGGCGTGGGAAGGAACGAGCCGATGGGGGGGGGAAATGGGATTGGGGGGGGGTGTGTTGAGAGAGAGTTCAGGCCAACACGCACAGGCGAGGGGGACGCGAGAGGCGAGAGGCGAGAGTGAAGAGGCGAGAGTGAAGAGGCGAGGGAGAGGCGAGAAGGGGGAACAGTCGAGTCGCGGTGGTTCCTGGACAGCAGAAACTGTGGGTTAATGGATTGATCAGGCAAGGTTGCGCTTTTCAAAGGAGTAAGGTAGTCGAGGGATAATAAGGGGAGGACTGCCCCCCTAGTGATAGTGGTAAATAATAAATAATAATAATAATAATAATACGAATAAATAAATAAAAAAGGACGGCGGCTGGGCCAATCATCGGGGGGGGGTCATAAAACATTCATAAGTCGTCATAAAATAATAATGCGACAGAGAGGGAGAGGGCAGGATTTCAATGGGGGAGAGGGAGGGGACGGGGGGGGACGGGGGGACCACCGAAGGACAGACACAGGTCTGCTCCGCCGATTCCCCCGCCACAAGGGAGAGATAGGTATAGGATGAGATGGATATAAAATAGAATAAAGCAAAATAAAATAAAATAATATCATAAAATCATAATATAAATTAACAAAATCAAACAGTGATATGCGCAGCAAAAGTGAACTCTGTAATGCGTACCTGAGAAAGATGAACCTCTGATGTGAGGATAATGTCCAGACAGTGACAACAAGGATGCGTCTGCGGGTTCACGAGAGATGGTTGAAAGAGGGTAAGTGCGGCCTTCTTATTCTTGCTGTTACTCAAACCGCACGCACTAAGGTCCGCCAGGCGTGACTGGGCCTACGCTCCCCGCCGCACAGCGAGGACCGGCGGGTGGTACAAGTGGGTCGGGTGGGACACGGTGGATCCGTCACCCACTCTCGGCCTCGGTACGGTGTAGTGCGTGCTGGAGAGGCCAGATGGCAGATGAAATGGGCAGATTAACGGCAGATTAACGCCTGATTAGGGGCGGATTAGGGGCTGATTAAGGGCAGGTTACCTTAAGAACTCAGAGGGCACATTGGGAGAGATCGAGATCCCACGTGATGTCTCCTCAGGAACAAAGGGCACCTCATTGTATTGAGGGGATTCCCTCTGGACGAACATGAGATCCAATAAGCTCTTCTCCCCCTCTCCCCTCTCGCGCACTCATACTAAGGTACCTTACTGTGGACTGCACTACGCTAGCATTACCTTAGCCCGTACCAACTCCTCCGCGATAAGACCGCTTGATAGCTGCGGCAATGCTCCACCGCCTCCATCCTCGTCTGTTGTTCGCGGCTTGGAGAAAGCGTCGCTCGGATCACGTGATAACACCACCTGATTTCATCATCCAGGGCAAGGCTTCTAGGTCGGCTTCTACAGGACTAACTTCTTCTACTGCGCGTTCTACCTTTCACTTGACTTGACACTAGGTAGGTACAGAAGAACCTGAAGCCCGTGGTTTTACGTCATGTGACCTTAAGCCTCTCCACCTCAGGTCGCCTGCATGCTCGCGTCGATCATGTGGCCTCAGGCCAGAATCTCAATTCCCGCTTTCTCTTTGTCGAGTCTCGACTCTTCTTCACCCGTCCAATAATATCGCCTTCTCTGCCAAACCGCAACCGCCCACTTGCGAATCCTCACATCCTCCCGAATCGAACCAGTCATGTCGTCGAGCGCGTCGAGACCACTCTGTCGACCGCGACAGAAGTGCGACTCCATTGGGCCGATCTGTTACAGCGTTCCGAAACGCTGCAGCCTCAGAAGCCCGCCTTGACGCCGCATCTAAAACGCCAGGCGTCGTGGATCGCGAAAGCCCCTACACTCCAAGTCTCCATCTCAGGCCACTCCTCTGCGCGTATCGCAGGGCCATGGTAGGCGTTTCCTTCTTTTCCTCGCGCTTCCTGTTCTTCGTGCTGGCTTGAAGTTTCTGCCTTGACCATTCTGCTTCCTCGTTACCTTCGTAATTCATCTTTACAGTATCTCCTTTCTTAATCCCTCGTTGTTTCCTTCCTACCGGCGGGGAAGTAATATCTTGGCCGAACATTTCGACCCTTCATTCTTTTCAAAAGTAGCCCATCTAGAGGCTGCCAGAATTGCAGAATAGACGCAGGTCGTCGTTGAACCAGTCTCTGTATCAACTTGGTCTCGCAGCCGAACTCATACTTTCCCTCGAACTATTTATTTCCATTCATACTTTGAAAATGCGGGACAACATTCTACTCACCTATGCCCTGGTGGATATCCTCTTCTTGGTCTCTGGGGTGCTCTTGTTGGCCTTCGCTTTGACAACACAATCGATGGGCCATCAGACACCAACGGTTACCACCGCGGCACGAGATATAATATTGAAGCAAGCAGCTCCAGTATCAGGTCAGTCTCCCTCACATCGATGTTAACTGGCACTAACAGAACTCCCAGCTACCATCGGAAATGCGGTTCTGGTCTTTATCACGTTCCTGATCTCTATTGCCGCCATGGTCATGCCGATGACACGGGGATGGTTGAAATTAAATGGCTACATGACTGCTGTATGCGCGCTGTTCACAATGATTCTTGGGCTGTCCATGTGGGTAGACACGCTCAGGACGAGATCGAACTTGTCTGTTGTCTGGGCCGATCAGCCAGCATCGACACAGAGCCTGATCCAGCAAGCGGTAAGCCGCAATCTGGCTAACGTATCCTCGAAGTCCGCTAACATGCAACAGCTGAAATGCTGCGGATATGCAAACAGTACCTCGCCGCCATTCGTGGTTGATTCCCAGTGCCCGAGTGCAGTCGAGGCTGCAACTCAAATCGGCTGCGTCGGTCCATTCTCCACCTATGCCAACAACTTCCTTGATCCGATCTTCACCGGAGCATTCGGTATCGTCGGTATGTAACATCTCACCTGATCTCCTTCTCCCCCTCATTAACGATGAATGCAGGCGTTGACGTAGCTCTAATCCTCGCCATCACGATGGTAGTCAAGGACCGCGCAGAGAAGGAACGCTACCGCCACATCGACGAGAAGAACGGCGCGGGAGCAATCTAAGGCATAGAGCAGGGGTGGAGATGCCGGGAATAGAAAGCAGTATTCGTAGAACGGGGCCCGAATATCGTACGTCTCTTTACTGACTGATGGCTTTCTGGCTAGGCCGGTTGGTCTAGCGGATGGCGCCTTGTCTTCTTGTTCTTATGATGCTGCGTCCAGGGCTTCTCCTCTTATACAATAATCCAATCCCAATCCAATCAATTCAACCAGTTCCCTTGTCAAGATTTTCTGAGATCACATACTCGAGGCATTTACTTCCTAGTCAGTGAGTACTTTCAGGAATTCCCGTCGGGATCTAGACAGTCTCGGTGACTACTTGTATATCAAGGATAAATTGACGCTGGCGGTCTCAGGCCGGTGAAGATTGGCAGAAGTCTTGTGCCTTTTTGTTTTATTACGCTAGTCTACCTCCTTTTTACATTTGGAGTCTTCTGTTTATTTATTTGGGTATTTTGTGCATTTCCTTTCCCTTCCTTTTCCTTCCTTTCCTCCTTTCTACATTTGGATTCTTCTGTTTGCTATTCGGGTATTTTATTCGCTTCCCTTCCCTTCCTTTCCCTTCCTTTCCCTTCCTTTCCTCCTTCCTTATGGACAACTTGGAGGATTCACGAGACCATCGTCTCTCTACAAGTGAACCTCTCTCCCCATCCCCAATCCCATCACGCCCATTTACCCAACAATGCCATAAGACCACACCCCAGGAACACACACACGACCATGAACGTCAACCTCCTCGAGTCGCGCGTCAGCTCCGGGTTAAACAGGAAATCCCTCGCCAGCAGCTCCACCAGCCCCGTATAGATCAGGATCCCCGCCGACGTCGAGTCCAGCACGCCCGACACCACGTTCGCCGTGAAGCTGCCCGCGTTATACGTGGTGCGCACGCCTAGCCCGATGGCGATGGCCAGCGGCGTCGTCAGGCCGTAGGCCGTGCACAGCACCCACGGCAGCCAGGCGACGCGCGACGGGAACGGGATGGCGGACATGCGGGCGCCGATCCCGAGGCCCTCGAAGGACTGGTGGAAGACGATGACCGGGTAGAGGGTCGAGAACTCGGAGCCGGCGGTCCCGAGGTTCAGGCCGATGATCACGGAGTGGAAGATGACGCCGAACTCGAGGATCAGGAACGCGGCGATCTGCTGCCGGAAGGAACGCTCGTCGGCGGAGGTCGTGCTCGCGCCGGATGACCCCGCGAGCTCGACGTCGCTCTCGTGCAGCTCCTCCTTGTGCGTCGGGGCGGCAGGGTTGCGGGGGGTGTCCTGGATCGCAGCGGCGGCGACGGCGGCGTGGAAACTCTCGTCCTGGTCGCCCGAGTGCAGCTGGTGGTGGCTCAGGGGCGCGCGGGGGTTGAGCGGGCCGGCGTGGTCGGTGACGAGGGCCTCGACGTCCTGATGGCTGTGGGCGAGGCCGTACTTGTACTCGACGTAGCGCTCGGCGGCGAAGTCCATGAGGAAGACGCCCATGGTGGAGGTCAGGGCGATGGCGGGCGGCCAGGAGAAGGAGGCCCAGCCTCCGGTCATGCCGACGCAGGTGTCGGGGCCGATCGATGCATAGCCTGGATCGAGGAGACTGGAGAGAAGGGGTGTCGTCAGTACGCTGCTCAGTGTTGTCTCATCTAGGGAGGCCGAGTGGTCACTCACTGGATGAAGGCCGTGGCGATGATGACGCCGGCGCCGAAGTAGCGCGCGAAGAGGTAGACATAGATGTTCACGCGCACCCAGCGGACGCGGGCGGCCACGACGGGGAAGAAGGTGGTAGCACTGGACACGACGAGGATCACGAAGAGGGCCGAGATGCGGGCGCCCAGGCGGCCGTCATACTCGTTCTGGCCGGCCTGAAGGAAACACACGACCTGGGTCGGGTCGGCGGTGTTGAGGTCTACCGCGGAGGGATCGAAATCGGAAGCCATTGTGTTTGAATTTTGTTGCAGAGAAGTGAATCGTTGTAGGTGGGGACTGGGAAAAGAATGATGGGAGAGAGGAGGAGAGGAAAAGAGAGAGGAGGAAAAGAGAGAGACGCAGTCAAGGAAGAGCAATCGATGGTCGCAGATCTCTTATTCTTATATCAAAAGAGCAACTCGTATATCTATGACATCTATTTGACAGGCCAGCTCTCAAGGTTGATTTGATATGATGATGGAAGGAGAAAAAAAAAAGACATACTTCTAGGGGCACGACCGAGGGGGGGCTGATGGCGGCCGTGTCAGATGGGGGCTGCGTGTCTCTCCTGCCAGATACCTTGATGGGCACGCTACTGTAGAAGAACCTCTTGGATACCTGACGCTACATGTTATATACCCTACAGATACATATACATATACATATACATATAAACTTTCCTTCTCTGAGAGAAGCACGCTCATTTGCTGATCATGGGCCGCTTGTGTCTTCTTCCTTGCTGCATTAAGGTTCTTGCGCGTGCTGTTGGTAAGGTATACAGAGAGAGAGGTGTAGGTCGGTCGGTCGGTCGTCTTGAGGATGGCTGGCTACACCGACTCACTCAGAAAGCCTCCCTCCCCCCCTCTGCACACATACATATCTAGGTATACCTTATATACACTTAATCAACCCCCCCCATTCCCCCCATTCCCCCCCCCCTCCTTCCCCCTCTCTCTAAACACACAAAACACACACACACATATATATATAAAATATATTAACAATCCCCTCCCCATCACTCGTCAACAAAATCTCACAGGGTCCAAAGTCTAAAGTACGGCTGCGCACCTTGATGGCTACCTTACCCTGCAGATCACCGAAGCCCCTCTTTCTTTCTCTTCCCTCCGCGCGTAAAGCCTTAAGGTTAGGTTGGTGGGGGAGGAGGCTCGTGGCTTGTGATTGGTGCGTGGGTTGGGCTTGGTTTGGGTTTGGTTTCTAGAAGGATTATGGGTTGGGATGGGGGTTGGGTTGATTTGATGGATTTAGATAGGTAGGAAAGAGGGGTGAGGGAGGGATGATGGTTTTTGTTTGTGAGCAGGGCTTGTTTGCGGCGCTATATAGATTGGAAAGCCGGTTCCTAGAAAAAAGAAAAAGAAGAAAAAGAAGAAAGAATACCTAGGTAAAAAGTCTAAGAATCTTTAAATCTGTGATGGATGAGGTGAGGGCTCTAAGTAGAACGTGCGGTTTTAATGAGAGGAATAGGGTATAAGCTCATTATAAGATGAAATGGGGTTTCAAGGTAAGGTAGGAGGGATATTGATATTGAGATCGAGAATGCATATCTGCATAGATATGATATATCTGGATTGAACTTGGGTTAGGTAGGTAAGGTATGGAAGATTTCTAGAAAAATAAAAAGGGAGGGGGGG